TTCTTACCTTTCCTCTCCTTATGACCTCGTCTTATCCTGTGAATCGATTTCGACGCGCATTTCTGATGTTATACAAGCGGACTGTTCATAATGTTTTTGGAAATTGCATGGGTTGGGTTGTAGAGTAAGGGAGGGGAGTGGGTTACGGGTCTGTGGAGTGATATACGGGGCTGGGGAGGGTTTAAAAATGACATATAAGAAAAAAATTTTGGGCGGGGCAATTTTTGGTAATAAGGGTGGAGGGGGTTTTTAATTAGTGAAAATATTTTAAATTTAAATTTTTTAAATTTTTTTTTGAGAAAAAATCAGAATTAAAAAAAAATTGAAATTTCATTTCCTTTCAAATTCAAAAGCCCTAAAGCAAGATTCACAACGTTAATATCATAAAAACTATAATGAAGTCTGAATACGTAGAGTTGTTTTCCGACTTTTATAACCTTACAGACCTTCGCTTCCACGCATTAAATAGATGTACAATCATCTTTTTGTAAGCTTTTATTTGATTTCGTCTTCGGCGTTACTAACACTGCTTTACCACGGTCTTGAAACGAATTTTATTTTAATTTTTAAAAAGACTAAATTGAAGCTTAAAACTTTTTTGCACGGTGCAGTTTTTGTACTTTAAATATTGCACTGTGCAGCCCGTTTTAAAATTTTTTACAAAATTTTTTGATAATTTTTTAAAGATCAGCTATGACAAGTTACCAAACCTTAACTTCTTTTATCTATAGCGAGTAAACGGTGGTTATACTATTTACATCTTGTACTCGTTTAAAAAATCGTTCATACTGTATAAGGGCTATATGATACTAAGCATGGTTTGTACTGTATAAGCCTTATATGACACTAAACAGAGTTCATGCTGTATAAGTCTTATAGGCTACTAAACATGGTTTATAATTATAAGTTTTTTATGATAATATACTGTAGAAGCTTTATATGGTACTAAACATGGTTCATACTGTACATGCCTTGTATGATATTAAACATGGACCATAACGTATAAGTCTTATATGACAATATGCATGGATCATACTGTATAAGCCTTATATGATACTAAACGTGATTCATACTGTATAAGCATAGCATGGTATTAAACGTGTTTCATACTGTACAAGCCTTATATGATACTATTTAAAGCCGCCTCATATCATACCGGACTCATCACCTAAGCAGCTTACGAACAGGCTGAAGAATGTAATCGTTTTGTAGGCCTCGTGACGCGCTTTGGCTCGAAAATCCGACCGGTTCTCGCACTTATGCCACATGTAATAAATAAAGAAAAGTCGAGAGGTTTTGGAAGACAGCAGCACTTTATTCATGCGTAAAGTCCGCCATTTACTGCCTTCAGATTGGGGCGGTGTTCCTGGCCTGTTTTGTCTGTTTTAATGCCTTTAGTAATTATGCCTTACCAATTTTGGGCCGTTTGTTTTGGCACAATGTTCGTTTGAAGGGAAGCGGGTCGTTGGCAAGGTGGGAAGGGGTTATTGTAAGGTTGGGCTTTGTGTTGGGGAGGTGGGTAGTGGGTATGAGGGCTGGGGGATGGAGGGGTGGTTTGTGGGGGGAGGAGGAGGGTTCTATTGAGATCGTGATTCTTTAAGGCATTTTTTTTAAAATTATAACTGATTGAACTTTTTTAAAATTTTTGTTTTGAATTTTTTTAAAAATTTGCATAAAGCCTATTTTTTTTAAATTTGATGCCGTTTTTTATCACACCTTTGATGTAATTTTTCTAAAAATTTTCTTCTATTCATGATCATCATTATAACTCCTTTGTCAATCCTTTAACACCCCTCCACACCCCTCAGTATACCTTCCCTACCATGCCGTCCTCAACGACCTTACAGCGCACCCCCCCCCCGTGCCCTTAAGATCGGAATGAAAACAAAGCCAACTTTCTCAGCCTCAAAAATTGGCCTTTGGAAATAAAGAAGACCATAAGAACACAATTTTCGTCTCGGTTTTTTTATGTCCGGAGCGTTTCATCGCTCCGGGAGTGTTTTGTCACTTCACTTACTTCTACATACATTATAAGAGGGGAGAGATTCAAACAAAAAAAATTTAGTGTTTTGGCCAAAACTATTCGCTTCGAGCTTAATTCTTTCGTATTGACGATGCCATCTTCTTTTGTATGATACTGAGGGGGGGGAGGGGGGTTTGGCGATGCCATGTTCTTTTGTATGATACTGGGAGGGGGGGGTTCGAAATGGCAGCTTGTTTTGTATGGTATTAGGGGGCAAAGGTGAGTGGGGGGAGGATTCAGAAGTAATAGTGGCCTTGAAAGAATGTGACTTTGAGCTTAAGGTGTTGGTTACAGAACTATGCCGATAAAAAGAAAGAAGCAATCATTCCGCTGGTCCAAAATTTAAGGAAAAGGTTATGTTATCCTTGTCTTGATTGTATCTGTGTACCACTGTAAAACGTTATTGACTTACCTCACAAAATCCTGCCTTATGTTACCCCGCATCGGTTCGTATTATATTATACAAAACCATCTTGACCTCCACCTATCGGACATTAATCTCAAGTTACCCACACCAATGTAAGCCCATCCATTCGAGGCTTGCCCGGATGATTTACTCTCTTACCTAACCTGCCTTTTATGAGACGTCGCGTTCTTTTGGCCTCAATCACAAAACTTGCCTTCATCGAAGGCATTTCGAAATTTATTCTTAAGAAATTCATGCGATTTCATTGTTTTTGGTTTGGAAAGGGCAATTTTAAAATTTTTTTGTGGTAAAAACTGACAGTTTTGGTACTTTTTAAAAAATCATTTTAAATTATATATGTAAAAACATATTTTTGTACTTACCACCGAGTACCCCTTTCATTACAGATCCTCGGGTTCTGTCGGAAAAACGATTTCCAGATTTCTTCGACCTTTGGCTGACTATACCTCCAAATTTTTAACTTTTAAAACCGAAAAAACGCGTATTTTAAAAGTTTTTGGCAAAATACGAATTCAGAAAATAAGACGCTACTAAAAATATACAAAATGGTTTTAGTTTCGCCTAGAAATCGTATTAGTTTTGGCGGGAAATGCGATTTTTTCACCCTAAATTTGCGCACTGATCATTATCTTCACCTTGATAGTTTTTGTATTAAACTTGGCATTCTTGGCGAGAAACTCATTTTGTTAAAGCGAAATGTTTTTTTGTATAAAACAAAATGGTGTAGAGCAATATTAACAAGGTAGACTTGTTTTAAGTGTCATTTTTGTTTTGAAAACTGTTTTTTCGTGAGAAAGTAAGCCATGTTGTTACCATTGCCTACAAAAACCGGCTCGTTACTCGTTAGAATAATTACACCTCACGTGCCAAACTTAACCACAGTTTTAGCCAAATTGTGAGATGTGAGTGTAACTTATTATAGCTATGTTATAACTTCCGCGAAACTAAATATTGCGAGTTTATTACAATATTGTGATGACTGAAATAGAATTATTTGGCCTGTCTTTTTTTTATATTATGGAATAGATAAACATTTTTCCTTGTGATTATAACTTGAAATTTTAGACTCTTAATTTTGTGTTACATTCCCGCCTTCTCCGCTCGCAATTTGCCCTACTACAATGTCGGTTAAGAGTCGTTCCTGGCCGTTTGCCCCCAAATGCGGCGACCGCATTAACAATGCCTCTTGCAAGTCTTTAAACACCCCTCCACCCATCCCCATATCTTTCTCATAACCACGCGGAAATCCCGGCCCCCCAATTCCAAATTTAATTCCGCTCCGAGTTCTCCGCTCCGGAGCCAAATCGCGCGACGCCAAACAAAAAATGGAAAAAATTGCTCATTCCTTTTCAAACACCGCTCTCTTAATGTCCGAGAAGCTTCCAAATCAGCTCGATGTGAGGAGTGTCCTGTCCTCTGTGGGTCGAGATCAGAGTACGAAGCGATTTCGAAATTTTTACAATTTTTAATCGCTAGCTAAAATAGTTGCGAGTTAGCGAATTTCGAACGTTTTAGGCGGTTTTTAGAAGTTTGAAGGGTTTTGGGTAGTTGGAACTGTTTTAATAAAGTTAGCTGTTAGCTTTGCTTTTTGTATCGCCTGAGACGTATTTAGTAATGTTTTTGAGGCTTTTGTGAAATGGTACACCTGGTCACTTTTTTAAGAAAATATTTAAATTACAGTCTCTGTGACGATTTTTTTGTTTATAACACTCTGTTAAAGCTATAGTAAATATAAATTTTCGTTTTAAGCTCACATCTATGTAAAAATAAAAATTTTCACAGTGCAAGCATTCCATGACTGCACCGTGCAATCAAGCGACATAATTATTGCACAGTGCAATGCAATTTTTATGTAATAGTAAAATCATTATTTAATAAAAATTTTGATTTTAAGCCAATTTATTTTATCTATCATTTACCATTCTTTGCACTTTTTTTATTTATTCTAATTATTTTGCGCATTTAAATTTCTTCCAAAAATCCCGTCATCCGCAAGTTCATTTTCGAAGTTCGAGAAAGTTCTTTTTATGAGTCTCATGTTCAGAATTTGTTTACTCATACAATTTGGCCAGTCTTTGTTTTGGTTGAGCAGTGTCCACATATTTGGAAGTCGTTATCTAAAAAACATTTAACGCTGTCTATAAAATATGTCATCATGTCTATTTAAAGTGTCATAAACACTTCGCTTTTGTGAATTTGACAAGAAAAAACGTCTTACTTGACTTTCCAGGGCTTTTCTAAAGAAGCACTTTTATTGGGCGTTTATCTGTTTATTTGAAGAGTTGAGTTATATTGTTTTAGGTGATTTTGATGTTGTTTGGTTTTTTAATTTTTAGGATGTAAAACATGATTTTAATTTTTTTAAATAAGCTACAAGTTATTCTTTAGTACCTTATACATGTATTTTACTTTACTTTTTGTATTTTACTTTACTTTTCACATATTTTAATCCCATATTTGTTATTTTTGTTTGAATTTCGTTCATAAGGTCATGTTTGAATAGGTTCAACAATTTCGGTCTATGAAAAATTTTAAATTTGTAAATTAACAATGGCTAAAGGTCGGTGTTTTCAGGCGTCTTCCGAGGCCGATCTAGCTGAAAATTCGTTAAGACGATCAACTCGGGTCAGCGCCCTTCAGGCCCAGAAAAAGCTCAAAAATAAGGACGGAATGGTTGACTCTCAAGTCGTAAGTTTCTTTTCTTTGAAAAGTTTGATGAATTTAGGTACAGATTGATAGCATCGAGGTTATAAAAGGTTAATTAGGGTTTAAGATGGGTTTTCAGTTTTGAAGCTTTATAGGACAAAGGTTTTGTTATCTAAAATAAGGTGTTTCAGATATAAGAACCGTAGTGTTTATGTTTGATCTAAAGTTTTTAAAAAATAGTTTGTTTAAATAATAATCTACGTTTTTAAAAGGTTTTTACAAATTCTTATATTTAAATAATTATTTCATTTATGAAATACAGTTATTGTTATCTAAAACAACGCTTTTCAGATCCAAAATGGTGTAAATCACACAGAATTGCCTGATCTGCCGATAAAAACGACGGCTGCAGATGCCGAAGCCTTAGAATCACCAAAGAAAAAGAAGCGAAAGCTCTCTGGAGCAGGTAACATGGACCAATATGATTGTGCATTCGGGATAAAGGTAGATGAAGATGGGGATGTAGTAGCGATGACTGAAGACAGTGAATTGTCATCTTTGAATGAGGAGGAGACCAAGCAAGTCAAGGAGAAGTGGGAAGAACATACGGTAAGGTTTTGAATACTTTTTTGCTTTTTAGGTAACAGTATTGATGTTTCGAAGATTTTTAGTCTAAAATAGAGATTTTGGAAGGAACATGGACTAAAACTATATAATACACAGGCCGGGGGATGCAAAATTTGTTATAGAAACCGTAAATAGTTCATTTTGAGCAAAAAGCCTAAAGCAGATATAAAACTTAATATAATATTGTTTTCAGAGTAAACTGAAAGACTTGAACAATGAAAAACTAAGAGAACGTGAAGTTCAAGTCAAAGATCTGGAGGCCTCGTTACGAACTGAAGAAGCTCTTCTGGCTATGTTGAAGAAGACTAAGCAACTACAGTCAAAGAAGGGACAGGTAAGACAATGTTTATTAATGTCTTATTATTTTTAAAATTTAAAAAGGAATTTAAAGCATTATTATGTAATTTTTGATAAAATAATGTAACTCACTATCTAGTCGACTTAATACTTATTCATTTCTTTTCAGCACGATCCAAAACTATTGGCATCAGTGGCCCAAAACTCATCTGGAGCTGCTTACAAACCAGCAATAGCTGCTCCATCAGCTAAACTGAACGGTGGAGTGTCGAAACAGAACCGACCAAACAAGACACAGAAGAATGGACAACAAACCATCACTCCACAACAACAACAAGCTCTTCAGAAGCTGATCGAGACTAAACAATTACGTCCAGAGCATCTACAACAATTAGCTCAGCTAGCTGGACCTCAATTCACTCAAATCATTGGCCACATCGCTTCACAGCACCAAAAACAACAAGAAATGCAACGTGAAAAGGATGCCGAGCTTCAGAAGAAGGCTGAAGTGGCCCGACGAGAGCAGGAGCGGAAGAGTCAAGCTGCTGCGGCAGCGGCCGCTGCTTTGGAAGCCGAGCGACAGGCCAAGCTAAGTGAACAAACTCAAACCCAGAAGATCAACGCGGCACGACAACAGTTGCGTCGACATCTGGAGTCGCAACTTTTGCAACTTCCTGCACCCAAAACACCCGCCAACGATCTAAATTTCATTCCAAATGCTGCTCAGCCCGATTTCTGTTACTTGTTAGGGCTGGATCTTGTTGTTCAGAGGAATTTGAAGGACAAGACGGTGTTTAAGAAAGTAGATGTAAACCCATACCTTTGCGAAGAATGTGGGACCGACTTTACCCCTAGCTGGAAAGTCATCTCCGGTGACAAAGGTGAACTTCATGTGTATTGTGAACAATGTGTGAAGATCGCCACCAAAAGGAAAGTACGAAACGAAAGGACCAGTTTGTACAAAAAGGTCTTCCAGAAGATTGCCGAGCAAGAAAAGGTTTGTTTTTTGATATTTGATACCTAAAATAATATATTTTTTATTACCTAAACTAATATATTTGCAAAAGTTTTATTACTTTGGATGTTTTTACCCGCAATTTCAATTTCAGGAGTTCGATCGCCAAATTTCCTCAGGCAAGTTCAACGAAGCCACTTCCTCCACAGCCACAACCTCAAATGGCACTTCCACCCCCTCCAAGAACACGGCCAACTTCAATGCAGCCGCGTTGTCTGGCCTAAGCGGCGCGGCCAAGGCCCTAAACCAATCTGCCGCCTCGCTAGCTGCCGCAGCCGGCTCCGGAGCCAGTCCCGCTTCGATGGCAGCCCGCTCTTTCCAAAATAACATGCGAAACACGGCGAGCACGACGAAGGACGTGAAGAAACCCATATCCACCCCCACCACAACTTCCACGCCCTCATCGTCGGCCAACCGGAAACGGCCCAACTCCTCGACTAACAACGCACAAATGCAACAACTACTGACGGCCATGATGCAGAACCCCCAGATGGCACAGCAAATGCAACACTTCAATCAGCTCAACATGTTGAGGAACAACCCGGTCATGTTGGCGGCGTTGTCGTCGAATCCACAGATGTTACAGGTAAGGACTTTGATGTTTTTTGAAAGGATAAAGTTAAGAAGGAAGATATAGTGAGGGTTTGTTGTTTTAAAACACGCCATTATTTTTGCATAAGAGGATACTTTTTTTTGATATTTTTTATCATTTATATGATAAATATCAAAATTTAAATACCTATTCTTTCGTTTCAAATAAATATTTTTAATTTTTAGCAACTAATGCAACGGACCAGCTCGTCGAACAGCTCGGGCAGCTCCTCCTCCTCCAACAATAACACCGCCCAATTAATGCAACAGTTCCTGACGGCCCAATACTTGGCCGCCAACCAATCCGGATCTCAGTCCTCGTCTTCGTCCAACTCGAATTCGGCCGCCCTCCAACATCTCCTCAACTCGAACCAACAACAACTCATGCGACAGTTGGGCAGCAACAACAACATCATGCAGGCACTACAACAAATGACTGCTGTCAGTCGCAAAAAATAATCTGTTTGACCTCATTCAACTACTATTGGGGGCAGGGGTGGCTATTTCATGGAGTAGGTACTGAAGAGGAAAGTGGGGCTATATTTAATAGTGGTACTGTAGTAACTGGGAATGTTACTTTGAATTGTAGGTACTGTAACAGAACAAACTATTTGTTATAATAGTTGCCTTGATGATCAGTAGCGAACTTTTAATGCACCAGAGGTTCAGTAAGTCCCCGAATAGTGCCTGCTTTTGAGATAGCCACTGGTCGCAATAGTAGTCATTTGTACCGATCTTTGTAATTTTCTTGTAAAGTTTTTGCCTTTGGGAGTTTTGGTCTTAATTTGAATTAATTGGTTATTTTGATTATTTTAAGTTTTCAAAAGGTTTGAAACGTCTTTAAAGGCATGAAAACGAGATTTTTTAATTTAATAAAGGATGTTGAATATATTTAAAATTTTAAAAAAGCTTAGTTTTGCCCTAAAAAATTTGTCCGAAGAAATCAATTTACACACAATTTAAAAAAGTCTCGCGTTTCATCCGCCCACCCTTAAAACCGCCCCCAAGGTGTGGTATTTATTGAACACTTGTTGAAAGGTACTGTAATATGTCGTCTCATGTTAACATTCGAATTTGTTAATGTCAATGTTTTAAAACATACAAATCCCGGGTTCGACTAACTTGTTAATTCTCTCTCTTTAAAAGGAAAACCTCCTGATTCGGGACCGATTTTCGTATTTCACACATCGCATAACGTTGTATCCTTTCTCTTCATTTACACAGTTATTTATTTTTGACGGAATTAAACTTGTTTAGATATGACTGACTTTGAAGGTATTTGAAAGTATAATTACTACAAAAAAACACACAGGTAAAAACTAGAAGTTTTACTACATCCTTTAAGTAATCTACTACAATATAAGATAAATTACAGCTTTACATATAAAAAATTATGGCAATATGCTATGAAATAATTTAGGTAATACTATATCACAAACGGTACATATAATACTTGACAAGCTCCATTATACATCTTCTTCTTCTTGATCGTCCTCTACTCGTTGTAATGGTCGGTCGACAAACTGAAGTAAGGAGGGGAATCGTTTTTGTAGCAGGAGGCGGATCAAGTCTTCACGGTAAATCTCTTCACACAAGGGAATCAGCTGGAAAGTTACAAAAATTAGTTTCCTATACTCCTTTCAAAAAAAGTCAAGCTATAGGTCAAGTCGAAAGCAGACATGATGTATTTTTTTAAAGAGCCGTGATAGCCGTTTTTACTATTAGATCGCCTTGATGTGGGCTACTATCCAACACTCTACAATATTAACCACCTTCTCCCCAAACAACATCTCTTATACCTGACTAACCACTATAGTGCACTACCTAAACCAACACCCTACCTGATTGACAATAAATTTGCAAGTGAAAGTGTGCACATCCGTGTTGATGGGCTGAGCCAGCAATTCACAATAATCCGACCAAACAGTTCTTATGAAATCGATTGACAATTCTCGTAAATGACCTGAAGACTTTAACAGTGACAAATCTCTGCTCAAACTTCTGGCGACTCTTGCGAATTCACAGCCACTTTGGGAGATACTCAGAGAGTGAGGTTGATGCGGCATTATGGCCCAATCGATGCACAGGCCGAGGTCGGACATCTCTTCTAGGTAACGATTCAGGCTGGATTCGGTTTCTAGGTTGTAGGGTTGCCATCTTTCTTCCTGAAATTTTATTTTTCAAGTTTGAACTTTTTGAAATTGTAAAATTTTCTTTGAATTCTAAAAACTTCCTTAAAATCTAAAAATGACAACAATTCAAAACTTTTTAAGTTTTTACACACCTGAATTCGTAACCGCGTAGACTCAATGATGTTCGTAAAGTTGCTCTCCAAAGCCGTTCTCAAAGAGGGTGCCAGTAATCGATTAACCTCAAACGACAAGTCAAGTCCTTCATACCTAAAACATCAACTATTCCATTTCAAATCTCTATAATTCGCCTAATTCGTCATATATATTATCTTTTGATTCAAAACATAAAAATATATTAATATACCTCAAGATCTCCAACTCCCCAGCCAGAATCCGCCACGCATTAGTGAGAACCGCCATTGTTGGTGCCACTTCCAACACGTGTCTTCTTATCAGTGACAACAACAAACTCAGCTCGGAACAAGCCCATTGTACCACCAAACAGTAGTCTTCTTTCTCTTTTTTAAACTCTGTTATCACTTCCAAAATGGCACTGATGAATACTGTGGAGACATGTCTAACGTACGATAACGGCTCTTCTGATATTGTGAACTCCCGTGCTCGTTGACTTAGAGCTGAGCTTCGACGTTTTAGGTACAAATCAATGGCATATGTAGATCGACCGAGAGATTTAAGGAGAGTTAGGGGACGATGAAGGGCTTTGGCTCCACCGTGCAAAGCGCCGGGACGTTTTATCTAAATGATGAATAACGTAAATGTTGTAAATAATATTACATATGCTTTATAAAGTCTCAAAGCCTTTTTACTTTTAATATACTGCCCACAGCACTCAACTTTACGATATTATTTACCAATTTTTCCAATACTTTTCAAGTGTTCAAACCTCAAAATCCATTGTCACGTATCCAATACTATTACCTACTACTCACCTCATCACTGAGCGTCTTAATAATCTGTTTTTCGTAAGCTCCGATCCGTGCCTTCAATTCTGGGTCCGTGCATTTGGCTGTTTTAGTCTCCATCAACAACTCTACTGCCATATCCAATCGTCTATGACTTATTTCTTCTTGTAGATCGTTCTCTAACCCTCTCAACCATTCCATATCAGCTTCTAGTTTCTCTTGATCATCTTCTTGGATCGCTTCTGAATTCTGAGACTTTATTGTAGCCAATCGATCACGAGGATCTGCTGGATGCGTCGCTGCCGAGGATTTGCGTCTTTTGGCTGAAAATTTCAAAAACATTAACTAAAAAATTAAAAATATTAACTTTCTTAATCAAAAAAACATTCTTAAAATTTAATTTTAATGTCAGATCTCAATGCCTTTAAAACCTACTATAATATCAACTTTCCTTACCTCTAATCGTAGCCTGTCTATGCAAATTCTTTTCCTTTTCCAAACTTCTTTTCGCATTTTCAATTCCCTCCAACCACTGTTTTTTCACTCTAGGTGCATCACATTTTAAATACAACTGTTCTGGAAATATCATCAATTGCATTATCAGTTCAGCAAATGGGTTCTCTGTGGCAGCTCTTTTCACGTTGACAATGGCTACAGAATCCAGGCGATGCGCTGATACGAAGGTAAACTTCATTTTTGGATTGTTTGAAGGATTACAAATGAAGAACGTCTCTGTTAACAACACCAAAAAGACTGAATGCACTGGCTCCATCGTATTTTCTGATAGTAAGGTAAACTCTGATTGCAGAAGGATCTTTTCAGTCGGTTTTAAACGGTTCAATTCATCCTAAAAGCAACACAAAAGTTATGATCAAAAAATAGTCGTACATCATACTTTCCTTGTTACCTAAATCAAAATGCTATTTTTAATCAATAAACCCTGTTAAATATAACCAAAATAAAAACTTAAACTCACAGCAATCCCCTCGACCTTGTGCATCAAAGTTTGTAGTGAATTCGATTGATTATTCCCAGCGGAATGTAACGAAACACTACAAACTGATCCTTTCTCTTGGCCACAAAGATCCATCAAATTCTCAATCAAAGCCTTTTGATCCGTCAACAAGGTCGACAGTTCATAAATCTCCTTCTCCAACGCTAAACATTGAACAATATTAATTGTAAAATAAACTTACACGAAACTTCTTTCGAAGTGTCGATGAACTGTCGGTAGTGATCAAAAATAATGTCTTTGATCTGCTCTGAAGCCGTGTTGGATTCTGCAGTTAACTTTGACTTTAAGACATGAAGCTTGTTCACTTCTTCCCCCGGCCGGGAGTTGTTCAAGATATCGTTTACATCTGAAAATTAAAAGCTAGACGTAAAAACTTAGATTTCGCAAACTTAAATCGACTTATAAACCTTTTTCAAGCATTATCAACATAAAGAATCAAATAAAACTTACATTGAGCACCGTTAAATTCTTCTGTAACTAATTGTTCACCTTCAAAACTTTCGTTCACCGACATTTTGACATTCTTTGATCATGAAAAAAGTTTTTTATAATTATTCACTTAAAACGAAACACCAAAGCAATTTTGCAAACGTTTGTTTTCGTTGCGGGACGAACACATGACTTATCGCTTTATTAAAAATCGCGACAATTAGACCAAATTAAGAAAATGATGTATTAACATACATTATGAGTAAATTTTTATTAATTATTACAAAAAATAATTGATTATATAAAACATTCTCTCATACATACCCACATAAAGCCCACACCAAAAACTTTGAATTTTATTCAACAATCATATAGTTAACATAAATATAGGAATAAATACAACCAAAAACCATTGATACGAAAAGCCGCAATTTACAAAGCCGTCCACACAGTTTGCAAGACCTTAGAATAGGAAACAATGTGAAGCATTAAAGCAGAATGACATTACGTTTAATTGAACATGGCAAAACGAATAGTTTGATGTGATTCGAAGACTCACAGACAACAAGATATTGCAATAACAACGGTCAAACTTTTACATGGCTTTTAAGTTACTATAGACCCCTTTTTCTGGTTGGTACTCTTTTAGTAAATAGTACCAATCAAAAAAGGCCAACACTGATTATCAACCAAGTAAAAGCAAATGTTATTACCATAATTAAGGACTATTAAGAAACGACATACAAAAACCAATAGTAAAAAAAATAATAACAGTTTTGGAGTAATACTGCCAAAACCAAACATTATGATAAAAAAATGCTTAAGAAAGTAGAATCAGAGACCTGGCCATACTTGAATAATATACTTATATTTAATTAACCCGTTTTAAACGCTTATCCAGTTGGTGCAGCCGTTTTTGGTTTTACTTCGTTTTCGATGAATAATCTCAGCCGTTCCAGGTATACGCCGTGCAGTTCCACGTCGTTGTGTCCTAAAAGCATGTAAGGGTTACTAAATCACTTCGTTTAAGCCTAACTCACATTATTTATAAGTAATAATGAGTTCGTAACTCCAATAAAATTTAGTACAAAAATTCCTGATTTTCAAATTTTGCTTATCTGTTTTCTTAAAGAACCAAATTCCAAAAATACCAAATATAAAAACACTCACCCGCCCCAGAAACCCATAGTGGTTCCACACTAGCCGGACATTGTTCATATAACGTTAATCCATGCGAAAAGTCAATAACATCATCGTCAGTGCCGTGAATCACCAATGTTGGACACTGTACGCGCGGTATCTTCTCTATCGATGGGAATGCATCACAACACCACGTCCTCTGAACTCCACCGCAAGCTACACGAAGACCCGACATTAAGGGAGAGTGTAATATTAGAGCAGCTATGTTGGGATTGGCACTAGCCAGATCTACACTAGGTACTGTGCCTATCGATTGTCCATATAAAATGACCTTTTCGTCGGAGATGTGGTACCGCGTCTTGAGGGCTTGTAGGGCTGCGGCGATGTCAGCGTAGAGATTCTTTTCTGATGCACGACCACTTGAACAGCCATAACCTGCAACATATACTTAGAATGTGAGTTTAGATACATTTTTAAACAATACATACAATATTGGTGTTCAAAACAGATTCAATTATCCGTTACTTCAAAAAACCCAACAAGACCACTATAACTAAAACCTTTTTTAAACCAATTTTCGATGCCATTATTAACCAGAGTATCTTAAAAAACAAAACCTACCACTGTAATCATAACTGAACACATTACACCCAAGTCGATAGCCAAGACCATAGTAAAAACTGCACATTTGTCCCAAATCCACCGCATTTCCATGTGAAAACATAATTGTATATTGGGAATCAGCCGAGTGCGGTCGTACAAACATACAAGCTATCTTATTATTCCTTCGAGTTCGGGTGTAAAAGACTTCAACGTTTCTAAATTCTTCTTCTCCATGAGGCCATTCTGCTCGGTTTTCTAATAAAACCATCCTGTGTTCGCTGAAATAAAGTAAATGTTCTAATATAAAACTTTTTTAATGTAAAATACAGGATTCTTTAATGTAAATATCATTAAAAAAATTTAAAATAAAAATTATTAGCTAAAAACGGTTGATACCTAAAATATTTTAAAAAAGGGAAAAAAAGATTGCCTGGAGTATAATTGTTTAATATTTTCATTTTAAATGCACTTTTCTAAAATTCGGCCACATTTTTCGTAACAAAAGCCGAGATTTCGTTTTCCAAAAAATAAAAAAGCATCTTATGACTCATTATTTCAACACTGACTATTATACTATTCATATATGTCCAATAAGCGAATTAAATGCCTCGACAGTCACCTAAATTAAAGAAACAAACAAAAGATGACTCACCCTCCTTGAGGCTCGGTTTCCATTCGATACGATGATTCCGGAGGCATGAATGCCAACTTTGACACGATGGCCGACGGGAACGGTGGACAGCAGAATAGGGAACATAAGTCACGCAGAGAAACACGACCCTGAGTCGTCGGTTGACCCGTTTGACTCGTGTCCGCGTTCGCCGACGCACTCATCTTATGAACCCTGGAAATTTTGAAGTTAACGACAATATATAGTGGATAACGAAAATATAGAGTTTTAACGATCCCGCAGATTTGATGAGCTAGGCCCTAGCCGCTTATAGCCCAGGAAAGCTTATGCTTAGTGCGATAAAACTTAAGTTCAGCCAATTAGCAATATACTATCGGTCTGCATTCAAATCGGCCAAATTGCAACAATGCAAAAAATAAAAATTCAAAACAAAACTTTTCAAATGTGTAAAAATGTACAGTTTGCAATTTATAATAATTAAAATAACCTTATAAAGTCCTTTATTTAAAAATATCAAAATGAAGTGAACGTCAAAAGAAACAAACTAAAATTTAAACTTGAGTTCAAAACAAAGCAATCAGCTTATAATAAAGCAATATAAAAAAATTAAAAACAATAGAGAAAATGTGTTTTAAAGTTCCCATTACATAAAATACTAGCTTTAGTTGCTTTAATATCAAATAATCAAAATTATGTGAAACACGTTCGACTAAACAAATTTAAAAAAACCTTTTTCACACTTATAACAGCTGCATTTAATTAAAACCAAAAAATACGATTAATAAATCTAAAATACTATATATAAAACCTCAATTACTACCACCAAAACTCCCTAAATTAAACTCAAAATACCCTTATCCCCATTCCAATCGAAAAGAAGTAGCTAATCAGTGGCGACAAAGCCCATTGAGATTCGAAATAACGTTGCGATTAACCAAAAATGAATCATCTGCACCAAAAATGGTGAATATTGTGATAGAAGGGAACGGGTGAGAAGCGAGCAGAACATAGGCGCCGATTGACCCTCGAGAGTTCAAGACACAAGAAAAAACTATGTGGATGTGTTATTCCTTCTACGCGGCCGCAGTTCGCGCGTCAAAATTGGGCGCAGTTTGCGTAATGAAAAGAGAGAAATCTGCAGCCTGCGGTTTCATGAAGACTGAGGTTTTATACGAAAAATCAAAGGTAAAAATTGTTTTTTGGAATATTTGAATGTAAGAAAATTAAAAGCCCGACCGATTTTCACAAAAACGTGGTAACATACATCGTATTTTACAGAAAACGCGACGAAGACCTAAGTATATTACACTGAAGAACCGCACTTCTTGTAAACGGTGAATCTCATCGCGAAACGCATAAAGCGGCCGAAAATTTAGGCTCATTTGTGGGCAAAGTCGTCGGAAGACGAGACTTTGAAATTCCAGTTCCGTTTATAGAAACGTTTTTCGAAATAGAGAAAAAGGCGAAAAAGACCATCTGTTCTCATTATTCATCATGGTCACAGGTTGGGATGGGTGCGATGATGGATACGTCTCAGGGTATCTACATGTAAGTGTTGATCTTTCTTGACACTTTTGGGCTTATTTGGCTTTAGTTGAGTGAATAAAACATAAAATGGCATTTATGTCATAATTTCCATTTGTTATCTTCATCACATATGGAACCTCCAGTACCTCAATAATCAGGGTACCACAGAAGAATAACAATGTATATCAAATCTTTCAACAAATACTTTATTAACTTAGCCTACAATAAGCAACAATAATAATGAGAAACACGGAATACTAAATGACACATAGGTGTATATTGAGCTAAAGGTAGTGATAAGTAAATGTAGACCGACAACAAAGCTTGAGTTGACATACGAAAAGCAAGGAATCGACACTTTTATGATATTCCCTTTCTGACATTTAAAAAACATGCAAATATTAACTCATATACTTTCAAAATTTGAATAAGCTACCTTCTTATTAAAATATTTTACTAAAAACAATATAATAACCAAAAAGACGACAAAGACTTCCGAAAGAACATCATTTTGTACTCCGTAAGCTCTACAAAGTTATGTTTTGAGTACAAACTTCAATAAAATGTAAAACCATGAGGTAAAAACCAGTATTCTTCAACCATTGGAGTACAAAATCTACCCTATGTTGCGCTAACCACAAACTCGTTGTCATATCCTACAATTATCTTTCTTTATAAAACACTTTAGAAACAATCACAATATCACATCCACAATTACTTTCTATTGAGTTTTGGGTTTTGAGAACATCTTGACGGCGGAACTGGCCAGTTCCTGAGAGTTTTGAGCCCAATGGAAGACGACAAACACGTACATACCAACACCCATCGCTAGTACAATCTCAAACAAGGCCGGCTTCACTACTTGAGCAACAAGTTCGTCTTTTACATTGTCGTAGACCTGTAGTTCAGTCGACTGGAATTGCTGAGACTTAGCTGTTTGGGCAGTGCTTTTGACCAACTTGAACAGATCTTGAACTAGGTTTGGTGGCAAAGCGTGAGCTGGTCGAGGTTGTTGGAAGATCTGGCGGAGTTCATTATTTTTGGACAAGAAGTTAGCCTTTGGAAGAATGTGACATTCATCTGCTTCTCGTAGGGCTTCAGTGCACCATTCTAGATCAATGTTGAACACGTAGCTGAACAAGGTCTCGGCGATCAACCTAACTTTTTCGTTGAATTTTTCGAACAAAACTTCTTCGTTGTCAATGTCAACATCGTTTAGAATAGTTGTTCTGTAAATAATTAAATTTTAAACCATTCAAGTATCAAGTTATCAAAAAGCTTCAAACCAAATTCAAAATATCTTCAAACCTACCTCGCAGGATCAGTAGCACTTTCGAAATGACTCAAAGTAAGAGCTGAAAGACGATTCTTGAAATAAACTTCGTGTTCCCAATTGAAAGCGTCTTGCTTGATCTGACTGTTCTGTTTGATCACCCTCTCCTTTGAAACTGGTGTAAAATACTTCATTCTGTTGAGGAAATTGTATGGAGCTGTTTTTTCTTGAAGGTTCTTGGAAATGTGAGCGTACAACTTGTCTCCGCCCATCAAAGATTCCAAAGATATCACCAAGAGAGTTCTTTCACCTTTTTCTAAAAAAATAAGTCACTTTATCTTAAAGGTGCAACAGAAAATGTTCAGTTTTATCAAATAAACCTAAAAATTAAACTTCATGTACTCGACATTTCTGCCCAAAATCAAAAACAAAAACCTTGACTCTCGACCAAATCATCAGCCAATTTTCTGCTTCCTTGATAGTTGTAAGCTCCTAAAGTAGTCAAAGCAAAGACTGTGTTCAACTTTGGTCTCATGTTGTCCATCTTATAGTATTGAGCAAGCTTTTGCATCAAAGCAACCAATGCTAACGCTCCTGAACCGTTAGAATCGTAACCAGTAGATAGACTCTGAAAATATATTTATTTTTAGTTGATTAAATTAAGTTTTTAATGATATTAACGAGTCAAAAGGCTAATTTTTAAACATTAAAATAAGAGATTCAACTTACCGGAACAATACCTTTACTATCATAATGAGCTACAATCACTACAGTTGGCGCATTTCTTTCTGGAGCAGACAGCTTACCCTAAAGAAATGTTTTAAAGTTTATAGTAAACAGAACTTTTAAAACTAATCATAGTTCCAAAAATCTCAACGCTCATTAGCTCTAAAAACATGTTAATTATAACAGAAAGCTTACAATAATGTTGAAATGGTTGCTAGTAACTGGCGCAGGATTTCCAGCTAATGTTGTAGATACTTGGAATGCGTTTTCCACAAACAAATTCAACATCTGCTGGAAAGCGGTAGGAGCTTTGGTAATCTTAGCACTCTTAGCCAAAGTTTCAAGTTCTGAAGTTGTTTCAGCAAAGTACACCGCTTGATCTGTTGAAAACTGAGCTAATTCTTCTTCCAATGTTGGTTTATTGCCTTCCTAAACAAAATTGTTTATCTTATGATAAAATTAACGTAGAATATATACTTATGATGCTTTTAACGCTTAAGTTTAAAACGTAAAATAAAAATGTCAAATCTGATCCCTAAATTCGTGTTTTGCACCTATTCAACGGCTACCTAAACCAATAAAACAAAATAAAGACTTACCCTAGACGTTAGAGGCTTTAAACCCTTTGGCAAAACAATCAAGACCGCACCAGCATTGCCTTCAACAACTTCTTGAAGGCTTTGCTCCTGCAGGTCACTCCACCGCACAACCAAACATCGTCGAATAACAGAATCCTTTAAAGGAACAACATCGTAAGCAAATCTAGCAGCTCTAGATCCATAAGATATTCCTGATAAGGTAAATTGTCTCAATCGATAAGCCGTGAATGTGATTTCAAAGTCACTGTTTATTGGTTGATCAATGGCTACGGTAGAAGCGACCATACAGAAGAACAAGCACGCTATCAAAACATCACGGATGCCATCAACAGGGAAATACTCCTCCCATGACATTTCTGACTAGAATAAAGCTTTAGAAACCTAAAAATTAGGATATTATTTAATAAAGAATAAGTGTTAAATTTTGTTTACTAAAGTTTATAACCAATGTTGCCGAAAAACACGGTAAAATTATGATAAAGAGTACTGACTAGTAATAAGTCCTTCCATTACACCTAAAAAAAAGTCGATATTTTAACGTCAATAACAAGTAAATACTCTAATCTTCTCAATTACTGCATCAAAAACTACAAAACATTTTTCGGTGCCAAATCTGCATTTTGCAACGGAACGCCACGCACTTCTAGATTTGGACCAATTAAATAAATCGCGTTGGGACACAGATTAGGCGGCAAAAGTCGTTTTATTGCGCGGAATTCGAGCTTAAGTTTTTTCCTGGCCAAAATTAAGCAAACCTCTTCAGTTGACGTGTTTAACAGGTGCGAAGAATGGCTGCTGTACAAGGTAACGACGATGGAATCGAGGAGAAGCTCATCAACGAGGAATACAAGATATGGAAGAAGAATACGCCGTTTTTGTACGACATGGTAAGTATACTTGCTTTTAAAGTTGTTTCTTTAGTTAGTTAATATTCTTTGAGTAATTTAAGAAAGGCTTTTATATATTTTTTTTCAAAAGATTGTAGAAACGCACATCTTATAGGTAATGACCCATGCTTTGGAATGGCCAAGTTTGACTGTCCAATGGCTTCCAGACTTTCAAAAAGCTGAGGGATCTGATTATTCTACTCATCGTATTATTCTTGGAACCCACACTTCTGATGAACAAAATCATCTGGTAATTGCTAAGTTGCTTTTGCCAACTGAAGATGCCCAATTTGATGCTTCTAAGTACGATACTGATCGAGGAGGTAACATTTTATGTTGTTTTTTTATGCATTTAGGTACTCTACGGATTCCGAACACTTTCTTAAAGTTACTTAAAAAGTCGAAAGAGCAATCAACTATGTTTTAAACCTTATCTTTATAGAGTTTGGAGGATTCGGCTCGATCACCGGTAAAATTGATGTGGAGATCAAGATGAACCATGAAGGTGAAGTTAACAGAGCAAGATATATGCCCCAGAATCCTCACCTACTTGCGACAAAGTCGCCTAGTTCAGAAGTGTTTATCTTTGATTATACTAAACATCCAAGTCTCCCAACTAATGATAATGTCTGCAGGCCACAGCTGAGATTGAGAGGACATACCAAAGAAGGTAGGTAGTAAAAAATTTGCTGATATTAATGTCTTTTGTAAGTGATTTCCTAGCTAGTTACGTGTATTACTTTTTAAATTAATTTATATATTATGTTAGGTTATGGTCTATCATGGAACAGTAATTTACCAGGACACTTGTTGTCCGCTTCTGACGATACCACGGTGTGTCTGTGGGATATTCAAGCTAACACAGCTAATGCTACGTATCTTGATGCCCAAACAACATTCACTGGTCACGCTGCTGTAGTTGAAGATGTCGCATGGCATGTTCTCCATGATTCGGTGTTCGGATCTGTTGGTGATGATCATAAATTGATGGTCTGGGATACTCGTAACAATACTCCATCAAAGCCAGCTCATTCTATTGATGCTCATTCGGCTGAAGTTAACTGTTTGTCATTCAATCCCTACTCGGAGTTTATTTTGGCTACTGGGTCTGCTGATAAGGTAACAGGCAGTAAATTAACAGTATTTTTGTATCATAGTTTTATTTTTAAATTTGTGATGACGTTTTATAATAATGATCGTTCAGACTGTCGCTTTGTGGGATTTGAGAAATCTCCGATTGAAATTACATTCGTTCGAGTCGCATAAGGACGAGATCTTCCAAGTTCAATGGTCTCCCCACAACGAGACAATCCTTGCTTCTTCTGGTACCGACCGTCGCCTTCACATTTGGGACTTGTCCAAGATTGGAGAAGAACAAAGCCCAGAAGACGCCGAAGATGGACCTCCAGAGCTTCTGTTCATTCATGGTGGACACACGGCCAAGATTTCCGACTTCTCGTGGAACCCCAACGAGCCATGGGTCATATGCTCGGTGTCAGAAGACAACATTATGCAAATCTGGCAAATGGCCGACAATATCTACAATGAGGAAGAGACAGAAACGGCAGGAGCTGACGCTTAAAGTTATTGTTTCAAGCTTTGGTTACCACACTTTACCATGATACTCTAACCGTACATTTTCTTACAGTTTGTTATACTCTTTTTATACATGTATTTATTAATTCGACGGCGAATGAACGATTATTTTACAACTTTACAGGTTTTACATAAGAAATTTTATTTTTAAACTGCGTTACCTAAATTTATTAACTTTTCTGGGTAAAACATTTTGTTGGCCTAATTGAAATAATTTTGAATGTGTGATTTGGATCTATCCAATCAATTTATGGTATTTTCTTTAATTCAACAACTTGACAACAATAACAAAAAACAAGCAACTTTTTCAAATCAATAACAAAGATTGTAAACTATTCAAAATATCCTGAACAGATTTAGTAATATATATCATTCTCATGTGTTACGCTACTAACTAACGTATTTTGAATTGATATTAATTAAACTTTGTAGACCGGCATGTATTATAAGTCTTACAAAGCTCTGCCCCAGAGACTTCTGACAGTGGATAACCTTTTGAGGAATATATCCAATTCTGGTGATTCGGCAAAGTCTTCTTTTGGCTTCAGATTCACTTCAAAGAACAACTGAAGACCTTGTGATAACAATTCGTACCTGGAATTTTCTACGACCGGTCGGAAAATGTCTTCTAAATCTGAATCCTTCGACTTTACAAAAAGACGGAATAAGAGGCGCTTTAGGAAGGTGGAGATTACTGGGTCCATCATGGCGAAATTGACTGTCTGAAAATGCAATTTTGAGTTTAATTTTCTGCCAAAAATTTAATAAAAACATTTCTTGGTTCTTAAATTATCTGATTCTGGATGTTTTGACTATAGCCACCCTTATCTCTAAAAAAACTCATTTAGCGATATCATTATATTTTTACTTACTTTCAAAGCACTGAGCTGCACACACTCCAGTCTGATCATATCAGCTATCAAATAGGCCAGGTTTGATCTTTGTTTTGGCTTTGTATCCGCCAATTCCTTGATTTTGTCCCAAACAGCGAACTGTGCAGTTAATTTAAATGTCTTTTTATGGCCACAAAACCGCTCAATTACAGCGCCGTAGAATGGGTTATATACCTTTTCATTCATGGCACAAACGAACAAAATGTAGATCACTTCTCGACCTTGTTTATCATTCTTTGTTGTCAGCTTCAGAAGTTTTTCGAAGGCGTCTACCACGTTCTGAAACATCAAACTAAGACTTTTTTAAACAGTAAGGAACATGACAATATATAATATAACAGCGATAACATACTACTTTTACAGTGAAAAAAGCCCTTGTCTTAAGTCCATTAATGACATAATTAAAAATACAAACACATCTAAAAATATCACATTAATATCACCGACCGTAGCGCTCATAGCCGTGCAGAATATCGTCTTCCTGATGTCAGTTTTCAATTTCAGTTTTTCAGCCAGGCTTAATAAAGATTTGTCAAATTTGTTAAGTCCACTTGTTATTGCCACTGTTGTGGTGGTATCTTTATCAACAGTTATACGATTGAACGCTGATCCCACCACCCACCAACGTCCCTTCTCTTTCACGTTCAGAACATCGGTTACCGAGAATCCTAGCTCAGTCACTGGGTCAGATTCTAAAAAAACATGTCGTATAACAGGCGTGTTAACATGTATATTATAATTATTGTGGCTTACGATAATTATGTTACCTATTACAGATTAAGAAGTCGTTGAAGCTCAAAAACTTACTTTTAGTGAGACCTTTGACGACTTTCTGGAAGTGATCCAAGAATGAAGAATCGAATTTTTCAGTATATTTGGCCAATTTGTTTCCTTTTATTTGTAGAAAATCTTCCACTAGGTATGAAATACGGGGACTAAATAATAATAATAATAAGATAGTATACAACACACAATTGAAAAACATCATACTTTACTACTACCACATATTCCTACTACATCTACATATATACTACTATTACTACCACAAAATCATTAGCAACAACCACAAAACGTCAGCAACACACTGACATTTACAATAAGATTAAAAAACTCAATAAAAACTTAAATTAATATAAAAACTCGTATTGAAATGGTAAATAACATACTCATCTTTAACATCCTTATCCATACTCGCCACTTGCTCTTGTAAGCGACTGATGAAAGCGCTCAGTAGTGATGTTTCCTTCTTTCGTAAAGAGTTTCCGGCATCTGAAACCTCACAAATGATTTACTCCTCATTATAGTCGACTTATTATGTTTTTCACATAATGCTGAGCCCCCAACACAGTGTACAAGAAAATGTTTTCTAATATAAAAATAATGCATTTTTACATCACTATATGAATAAAAAATTTAAACCTACAAGTAAACATATCACCAACAAGATTAAACCCTAAGGGGTTTTCCATTTTTCGAAGTCGATCCAACAACTCAAAAACAAACGCAGCTTTGATCACTTTAAAGTTGTATAACTGTGCAAATACAATTGTCACGTTTCTCAACACTTTCGAAGCACTTTCGTCCTCAGCTTTTGATAATTGGTCCAAGTAGTTCAGTGTGAACTTCTCTACAAGATGAGCGGCTAAAATAATGTTTTACTATAACAATATGACAATAAAATTATCAGCCTCCTCGTCAAATATAGTCTTTCCGTCAAATAGCAGTAAAACATTTTAAAAGCTTTTACAGAAGCGTCAAATCACTCTACCGTATGCTGTACAAAACTTACAAATATCAGTAGAAATAAGTTGATGAACCAATGATAAGAACGCAGAGTATTCGATTAACAGTCTGTCGGTTAAAGCAAACGCAGTAAACACGGCCTTACTGAACACTTCGTATACCATCTCTTTTACATCTGAAGATACCTTATTTTTAGTTACATACAAAAACTTTAAACAAGATTATTTGCTTCACTTATTACCTAAATTTTAATTTTAAACACAACTTAAAACGTACCATTTCTTGGGTTAGAATTGTACAAATCAGTCAACGTCTTGATAGAATTCACCAATGTTCCTTCATTCAATCTATTCACGATACTTCTAATTTGTTTCGTCAACTGCAACTTGGCTTCTTTACTCAGTCCTGACTCTTCTTCCAATTGCCTCAACTTTTCAGCCGCTTTGTTTACATCAATCTTCTCCAGAAGTTTCCCTGTTCTCGCATCAATCTTTCTCCCGTAAATATCTTCTGAAACTCGTGGATTATCGTCATCTTCAACGAATTCATCGTTTTCGTCATCGCCTAAATCTCCTTCATCATCAAGTTCATCGTCAAACTCTTGATGATCAAAGTCAGCGTCCCCGTCATTCAGTCCAACAATTTCTTCGTCATCTTCATCATCGTACTCGTCCATATCTTCAGCTTCATCTTCAGTAGAATCATCTAAAGCTGCCAAATCACCTTCAAGATCTCCCAGAAGCTAAAATGAAAATAAAAATTTAAAAATACTAACTCCTAAACAGTAAAAATCAAACAAATGTTACCTTTTCAACAGCACTCGTATCCAGTTTTCTGACCTTCTTTTTAGGCACCATCTTTTCATCATCTGAATCGCCCAAGTTGATATCGTCAATATCAGCATCTTCAGCTGTGATTTTAGCCAGATCTTCCTTTTCGTTCTTAGCCAATTCGGCTCGTTTTTCGTCTTCGCACACATCCCACAAACCTACAACAACATTTTAATTATAAGACAATATTGATTCTTTTATAGTTTCCAACACTATGTTATACTAACAAACACCTACAATCCAATCCTTCTTTAGCAATGACTTCTGGAGCAGATGCAGATTTTCGTTTGTTGTAGCCCAACTTCTTGCTCAATCTTCTAATTTCTTTCTCATCGTCTTCAAGTTCCTCTTCCAATCTCTTCATCCTCTCCTTCCTTGCTTGTTCATGAAAGCTTTCCACTTCTTTACTCAAACTTTTATCCTTCTTCGTCTTTTTTGTCTTTTCCTTCAACTTCTTGCGTTTTGATTCGAATTCACTTTTGATAACATCTTCTACCTAAACAGTTAAAACAATAAAATGAAACGAACTTTACCTTATCATAGTCATAACTATTCAAAACTATATTTTACCTTTTTGTGCGATGAAAATGCCTTTTTGACAATCTTTTTCAACTGTCTCTTCTCCTTCCTTTGTCGTTTTCTATTGTTTTGCAGATGTAAAAGGCCAGAAAAATCACGATCGGCCATTTCTGAAAAGATAACATAAAATAAAAAAAAATTAAAAAATTGAAGAAATTACAACAAGCTGCAGCTATTTTTCAAAGTAAAACAACAAGTTTTTTAGTTTCCTATTTTTACAAAATATTTTTAGAAATAATTATTGTTTGACATTTCGTAGACATTACATTGGAAGTTGGTGCGAAGTGACAACACAAATATAGAATTTATGAAAATTCACATTTTTTACGATTTCGTTTAGAGAATACCCAAATTGAACTCAAATTTTGAATCATTTTTTACCAGAAAATGCATTTTGCATCATTCTTAGTATCCAAAGACTTCGAGATCAGTTGCGAAGTCTTCTTTTGTCTGTGGCGTTATTGGTACCAGTCGGAAAACGAAATTAAATGGGTGATCGAACAGAACCGACTGGGGGGTAAGTTCATCAAAACTTTGTATGCTGTTTGTGGAAAATTTTAAGTAATAAAATAAATTTTCTAGATTGGAATTGTCGCCAACAGTGCCATCCGAGGAAAAACCGAAACAAGATGAAGTAACTCAAAAGTCCGATGAATCCAAAACACAACCAGACGTATCGAAAAGGCAAAAGAAGCCAAAACCAGAATCTGACGGTTTGAAAACGGCAAAAGAAGGATCGAAAAGACAAGTGAAGGAATCTGAAGAAGCAAAAGCACCGGCAGAATCACCAAAAGAGGAATCTGAAGGCTCGAAAACACCGGCGACAACAACGAAAAACCAAGAAGTTTTAGAACCGGAACTCGACTTATTGAAGAAACTACCAGAAGAACCGAAAAAGGAACCTGAAACACCGAGAAAACAACTTGATATAGCGAAAAGTCAGTATCTAATATCGGAAAAACAATCCTCAACATCCCCAGGTCCTTCTTCATCGTTCACATCACCAATACAGGCCGAAACGTCGCCAGGGGCTTCATCATCTTTTACATCACCTAAGCAGTTCGAAACATCACCAGGGCCTTCTTTAACATCAGTGAAACAGCCGGCACCATCTCCACGACCAACTTCGCCATCGGTTAAGCCAACATCACCAGGGCGTTCTTCGACCTCCCCAAAGTCATCTCCAACGACGCCTGCGTTAACAAAGGCATCTGCAATAACGGCAGAGGAGTTCTCGATGGGATCTGAGTGTAGTACTGGTCGTACAGATACCAGAGCCAGCTCTCAGAATCGCTCTTCTATTTTAAATACTGAATTTAGCTGCATTGAAGATCTTCGTGTTGTTCCACCGCTATTACTACCGCCAACGCCTAGGCAGAAGAAGTCGTCCGGGAGTGTAAGATATTTATTTTTTTTGTAAAGAAAGTTCTTTTCTTTTTGTTTTCCGATGAAATTGAAGCTCATATTAACAATTGTAAAGAATGTTTTTGCCATTTCAGTTAAAAAAATCGGGTGATTTTCCACTGACAGCCTTCTCCAAGAAAGCGTACCGTGTGAAAAGAAGGTCACGTCAGAAAGAGGGTACAGCTGCAACTTCTCAAGATGATGTCAAAGCAGGCGAACGTCAAAAAGAGAACAAGGAGAAGCGTCGTACCTTCAGGACTCAATCTACTTGGAACCCGTTGTTCCAGAGCGAGGTGGAAGACTTTGTAAGTTATGTTGTAGTAAAGACAAGTTAAGGTTGTAAGCTATATTGCAGTAGAGACATACTGTTAAACATGAATGTTATCATTGTGTAAGTAATACATGATTTGGTGTCGATACAGTTTAAGCTGCAGTTTATTATGATTTTGTGGTTTTAGACCGAGTTCGAGTTGGTTGATGCTAAGATCAAGCCATTTATTATGAAGAACAAGTCCAAGTGGATCAAGGAACAACCTATAACCATCATGCAACGAGTAAGTGTTCATACATGTTCAGTTTTTATGTAAATTATTTGTGATTTTATAGAGTTATTAGAGTACGAAGAATTTCTTTTCAGACAAAGCCTCTGGGTATCGCCAGCGACGAAATAGGGTCCCAGCGAGAAAGGGCTCCAAGGAAACCACCTGTGAGTATTTTTAATTTGCTATAACTAGTTGCCTTCTGCTTATATTAACCTAGCTTTTTGGCAAAATGTAATTTGGTTAACGTATTTTAGATTAAACCAATTGGAAGCAACGAGAAGGTTTTGAAGAAAAAGACGGACGCTGCAAATCAACCGGCTGTAAGTAAATTGACAATTTTTTACCTAGTCTTAATGGATAATATTTGACCTAAATCAGCGTTCTATTAATTTCATTTAGGCGAATAACGATTCAGCAAATCCAATCGAGAAGTCTGTGGATGACGACTCAAAAGAAATGATTACTGGTTTCAGGCGAAGAAGGGCAAAGACGCCTTGTCAACGTTCAAGTCGTCGACGTCGCAAGTAAGATCTATTTAAATTTTCTGAAATTTTAGAATATGTGAAATACTTTATATTTTGAGTAATATAAGACAAGTTGAAGAAAGTTATTGATATGTAATATGTAAAAAGATAATATTTTAAAAATTTAGGCGTGCTTCCCCGTCACGCACATCGAAACGACAAAGCAGCAGAAGGCAAAGCAGTAGACGAACAGACAGTATCGAAAAACTTACCTCACCTAGCTCTCCTAACCAATGATTATAGGCCTAAAGAAATTTGAAGAAATAAACGGATTTGATTATTTTTCGTTATTTTTAATTTGTTTTGTCATTTTTTATCGGCACTTTTTTGAAATTCTTGACAGACTCATTTTATAATATTGGCCCCACCACGGAAACAATTGCATGGCATTTCGCATCACGCAAATTATTTTTGACATTTTTTTCTGGAATTTAAAAACCTTACAGTAAAAATGGGAAAACGGAAACATGAAGATAGTCCCGAGATTATTGAGGACAGTTTCTTGAAAAAAGTGAGGTTTGATGAGACACTCGCTTCTAATGGCTATATACCTCAAGTTAATGGATATCACGGAGTCCAGGCGAGAGTCTTGGAAGGAATTGACGTTTGGCTAGTTAGGAAACCCAAATCGGCAAGTTTTTTTTTCTGTTTCAATTGTTTTATATTTAGGGAAAGTTTTGAAGGCCAGTATATAAGAGGTTCTCTTGCTGTTGTTTATGTCATACTACATATATTTTGATAAATTAGGTATATTGAGGTGTTTATTTGATTCAAGGCTTTTAATACTTACAAAAGAATGAATAAGGGCTTTTCAACACTTTAAGTTTATGTTTTAGCTAAGCATTGACGAACTGAAGGACATTTCCTTGCCAAAGAAAATAAAGCCAACAAATTGTGATAAACAGGTGGACACCAGTCTTGGATTGCTTGATTGTGAATTGGAAAAGCCAAGTAAATCAATGTTCTATTTTGAAACGCCTAAAGAAAGAGGGGATAAGAATCCAAAGGTGCCGTTGCGTAAGTTTTATTGTTGTTGAATTATTTTGTATTATCATAGATGCTTTCTGGATCAAACCTAACTTGTTTCGATGTTGTAAATATATTATTTAGATTGTAATTTCTTAATATTTTTGTTTCAGAAAAGAAAATCAAAGGAATTGCATGGGTAAAAATGCCAGTAGAAGTAGAAGACCCGTTTCCACAGGCGAGAGAAGAAGACTTTGAGTTAATGGACATTAAAGTAGAGGATGAAGACATAATGGACATACCATTCAAAGTCAAATCGATAAGAAAGAAGCCGGATTGCTCGTTAAGTTCAAAAGAACGACTTCAAGCGTTTGGAGCAGGGGATTCGACAGAGATTGGCAAAAGGAAGAAAGAAAAGTTAAAGAAGGTGAAGAAGGAGAAAAGCTATTACTAAAACTGAATAATTTTATTTTTTTATATGTTTTTCAACCAAGGTATAGGTTCAATAAGAAACTAAATTTTTTATAAGAAAAAAAGTTATATGAATTTGTTTTTAGTGTGGGACTTAAGGTTTACTATGTTTTGAATGTAAAGATTATTGAGTTTGTACCGTGATTGAAGCTTTGTTAATTGTTGTTAAATTTGTTAGAGTTAATAAAAATGTAAAGATATTTGTCAATTGACTACTTTCATTAGGTTATGGGCTTTTGTATATTTTATATTCTCGTGTTTCCTTTTTTAATATGGCATATGAGTAACTGTGGCGTATATTTTTGATTTTTTAATTTGTGCGATAATTTTATTTTTTGGGTAGGGAGTTTTTGTCTGTCAGTACTGAATGAGGTGGGTTATATTTTATGGACTTATTTTTGTGCCCCTATTTATTACATTGTTAGAGCAATACCCTGTGGGTAAGACAGTGTAAATTTTGCGTCTTACTATACACGGCGCGGAATATCGTGTATTTATTTACTATATTCTGGTTAACCGTGGAATCTTTTACAAAATACAAAGCGCAAATAACTTACTTGCGCGTGTTGAATACAATTTGAAAGCCAAAGGTTTTTATGCACAATATCATATGATATTTTTTTGCATTTGAGAACTGTTTTTAATTCGAAACGCATATGATTAATCTTTATGAGAATTTACACAAATTTAAAACAGCCCTACTGTATCGACGTGAATATTTAAGCGAATTTTGTTGGAATTCCGATTAATCCGATCTTATTTTTTTGATTTCCGGAGACTTTTTTTGAATTCAATCTGCGGAGTTTTTTTTCGGTTAGACTTGACTGGTTTTTTTGCAGACGGGCTAGTTTGGTTTTTAGTTTAGTTCACGAGGATCTGGAGCGGAAAATCGTATGTGTGTTGGAAGGGTTTTGATCTTTAAAGTTGTGATAGTTGATTGTATCGTGCAGGTGGACGTTTTTGTAATTTGGTTAGGATGGTGTTAAAATTTGGTATGTTGGAGAGAGGGGGGGGGGGGGGTGGATTTGAGAGGCTAGCTACTTTTTATTTATCTTAAAAATGTCTACTGAAGTAAAAGAGAAAACTCTGATTCGTCGCACAGTCTAGTCATAAACTTTTGACCAAGTGCAACGTGTAGTTCTTATATTTACTGATAGATCAAATTAGTTATATCTGTCGAGTAAATTAATAACAGTAATTTTCTAACTGAGGAACTTTAACACTATTGTGTTAAGTTTCTTATTTATCTGAAGATTGGATCATACAGTATGTTTAGAACCCTATCACGAGGCCATAAACACGTATACAACTGTAAATGTTTATGTCAGAAGGTAGGTGACAGATTTTCCAGATGTTTCCGTTTTAATCGCCGTTTTTTGCGATAGTAAACACGACCATATGACACTGGGTCTCTTTTTCTTGTGAGTAATCTCGTCCTTCAAACGAATCTCTTTCTTCAGATTGTTTTGAAAACAGTCTCTTTCTTCAGAGCGATCTCTGCTTCTAGTATTCTGGTCGTTTCTTGGTAGCCTCTTTGCACACTATTTCTCGGTTTCTTATGTTTGCTCTCGCATTTCTTTTGAGTGTGTTCTATTTCGTATGTCTGTGTTTACTCAGTAGATGAAAAGGGGTCCAAATGGGACAGATTTACACAGCTGACAGTACTATAAACATTATTTGGAAACAAAACTTAACACTAATGAAAGAATGACGAGATTTATGTAAATAAAGCAGAACTTTCAATATATGAGGAGTTTAGATGTTACTACTGTTTATAGTGCTGAATTGATTTTTCTGTATCGAAGTATCTTCGAAGTTACGACGAAGACACGTCGAAACAGAAAATTTGCATTCAGAATCTTGAATACCGACTCTTTTGGCACATTGTCTCATTTGGTATGCTTGGTTTTATTGTGGTCGTTAAGTATTGTGTATTCTATATATAAAATGGAAGGCATTTGATCTCCGTCCTCCTCCCTCCACACAGTCTTTTTCTTTTGTGTCGCCGAAGCCATGTGACTTCTCCGGCCGTCTCCTGGTGTGCTGTGATCTATCGTCGTTTTGACAGGGTTCCTCGCTCGTTTTGAGAATCGATTAATCGGCGGTGGAGAGAGAAGGGGCCCCTTCGGAGAGGGGGGGGCCTGTCTTTCAACCGGACCCTTTTTTCTCTCTCAACTGACGTCGTCGCAGCCCTCTCAGCCGGAGACCCACCTTACAGCACCCCCTTCCCAAACCGTCCCCACCACCAAAAGCTGCTCACAGTCCCGTGCTTTTTTTGGGAACGTGCCAAAACGTGGGAAACCGGGGGGCCAATAGGGGATGGGGCGTTCGTCGAGTTTTAAAGTGATGTTGATTGAGAACGAGGTGTAATAGTTGTGGGGAATATAATGCATAGAGGCTTGGGACGTCAACATTTGGTTTGTAAGACAATTGATAGATAAAGATAAGATTGGTACTTTTGGTGGAAACGTAGGGCAAACTTTGCTCTTCTGGATTCAGAAGATTGAAGTTTATTCTTTTTTGAAATTTATAATACTGAGACTTTTATGAATGTAAACTGTAAAGTACAAAATTCTAAATTGGAAACCCTATTGGCTCACTCAGGGTTTTGGTTCCAATTTTGAAGTTTCCTGTGTTGCTCTGAGTTTGTTTCAAATAACAGATGTACAAACCAATGTCAGACCCTTTTTTGATGAATTTGAAAGACCCGTGACCCCGGGGGCCGATTGATTTGTTTCTGGGAAGCAAATCCGCCTGTCTGGACGGTCGGAACGGCCGAACTCTTTTTTTGATAGTCAATTCTGATTGGAGCGTCGCCAATCGAGCTGTTGCTCTTGGTTTTTATAGTTTTGTATATAATGAGGTTTTTCACAGTAGAAGTGATATACTTTGGTGTGATCAACGTTGGATTATAGTTTATTTTTACCTAATATGAATGATGTTTTGTAGTTTAGTTCAACTATAACAAGGAATTTACGGTAGCTATAGACAAGAAGAAGTATTTTTACTGTGTAATTATTCACAAATTTGTATTGTGTCTTTACAGAGTAAAATACAAGTGATTCGTGAACAAAAAATCGTACTTCGAGTTACTTTTTTACTGCCTTTGTCAATTCGATTGCTGCAAAGTGGGGGGTTTTAGGTAGAAAGACAGTAATCTTGCGCAGATGACGTTTTACTTTTAGGGGACGATATGTAGTCTGTCTCGTTTGGATTGTGATGTTACTAACGTGGTACGATATATTGAAAATTTTATTTATGATATAAGTAATAATTTCTATGTTGTAAATTTCACTTTATTTTTTTATACCTAAAACTACTCTTCTACTATAGTATACAGTAGATAAAGTCATTTCGAACATAAAAAGTCGCTTGTTGTGAAGAAAAAGTCGTAAATTTACTAAAAGAGCGACGAAACCAGTTAGGGTTTCCCATTTTGAGCTACGGCTGCTAATTATAGGCTAATGGATAGAGGGTTACAATAGAGTCAATTATTTTGCAGTAACTTGCGTGTGTTTGTATTAGTCCATTGTTCTTCATTCGATGGTCAGTGGGTCAACATTAGGTAGAGGTTATGATTACAAAGTCACGTACGAAGTTACTATGGTAAATATTTTTGTTAATATGGTAGTACATGGTGTGGTATACTTTGTTGTAGCTTTTGTATGATTTTTTATAGCTTTTGGTTTCTATATGAGGTATTAGACATTATTTGAAGTCTTGTTATACTGTGGTTAACAGTCATTGGATACTTTACTTGATTATAATACTGAATTGCAAGGTGAATTCTTGGATGGAAACCAATGTTGTTATTGGTAAAAGTTTAAATTTAAAACTTGTGTATCTGGTAATTTGGGGCAGTAAAGTGACTTTCCGGACAATTTCGTATTTCACTCAAACAGAATTCCATTTCGAAATCGTGGAGGTCGAAAATAATGACGAAACTTAAAATGTGGTGAAGAAATTTGCATTTAGTGGTATTTGCTTTAAAAGGGCATTGATCGGGTTCATGTTGATTTGGTTTTGAGCTCTGGATACGTCTGCACTGTGCAGTCAGGGTATATGTAATAATTTTTAAAAACTTGTTTTGCATAAAACTATACATTTCCAACCAATTGCTCCTACTGTAGTCAATTAGTTTGTGGGTTACCGTAGCCGTTGTAAACAGCGCTCTTATCTCGACGTGCCAAATAATTCTTTTTCCCCTTCCAAAGTTTGTCCTTTTTACACTTTTTCTCTCGCGAGACTGCGCATATGACCGCTCCGCTCCGGAGCCATTCATTTGGCTTCGCTTTTGAAAAGAAAAAAGTGAGTCATATGAGGAGGACCGTCAGGGGGAGAGCTGGCTTTTACTCGCTTTTTGAGGGTTAGAACTTATCTTTAGGTTCTTATAGTTTTGAGTTTTTAAAGTTTTTTAAATTGGGCTTAAATTTTTGAATTTAGGCTTGATATTAAGATTGGCAAGGGTTTTTAGTTTTGTTGGAGTTATAAAGCTTAATTTTGAAGAAGCTTTAAAGTTTTTAGTGTTCTAGGTAGACAATTAACTTTAAAACCCGGGTTTTTTTTTAAATTTTATTAAACAGGCTATTTTTGAAAATATGTTTTATCTAATTTCTAAATTATGACACTTTTTCCACTAAAATTACATAGTAAAACATGTAATACCATAGATTACATGTTAATACGCGTTGAAAATCATAAAAAATAATTGTATTTCTGTTCGGTTACTATGGTTATTTTAATTACATTTATAATTACGGATTGTATGTGTTCGTTTTTGTGACGATTCAAGTAATATTTACAACTTTTGAGCACCGAAATGGGCGGTTTTCATCTAAAAATCTAAATTATTGTGGATAATTTAGATTTCATTCCGAGATTTCTATATTTTGGTTGTACTTCTGGGATTAGGCTATTTTATTATTATTATTAATAGATTATTTCGTTTGCTTTGGACATTTTATATTGTAGATTTGTGAGATTTTTGATGGGGAAGTGAAATTGACTTTAATATAGTGGATAATATGTTGTTCTACGCATAATATGTTGTACTTGGCATTAATTAACAAGTTTTTTAAGAGTAAAAATATTGTGTTAAAAAGATTATATGGGTAGAGAATTTATGCTACCTAGCATAAGGTCTTTAGGCGCGAATATTTCACAATAGCTTTGTCTTTGAGATATACAAGGTAGTCTTTTTGTCGCCAGAAAAAAATCTTATCTAAACCAGCAGACAAACTGAGTCTTTGGAAAAAGGAGCTGCTCTAACTTCATTCTGCGTTTATAGCATACGAAGAAAGGTTGACAGTTAATATTTTAGGATAAGTAACAATTTAGGTAACAAAATTTGTTTTTCTGGCGGTTTTTAAGGTATTAAGTCGATTTTTGCAAAGTTTTGGGCAGTTTTGATATGATCTTAGACGTTAATATACTTTTTGCGTGTTTTGTCTATTATTTACACTTAGTCTACAATTTTTACAAATTAATTTTTGCCATTTTTAGTTTTTTATTCTCTTTTTGTAATTTCTCTATAAGACCCCTCCGGGCGTTCGACAAAGAAATGAACACGCCACAGCGCCAACAACAACGCCGGCCACGCCGCCACAACGAGAATGGGCCCACCACGTCGACGGCCAAACCGCTACACACGGTCCAGTCGACCGGCTGCATGGAGATGCGCACGCCACGACCACGCCGCCAACGTTCCTCGGTATCGTTGTGCTCCACACCCAAGACGACCGGAGCAAGCTACGGAAACGCCAGCTTCAGTGCCAGCCGCGCCACTTTCAACAGCTCGGCCTTGGGCAGTTCGGCTTCAAGCTCTGGCTCGGCCAGCTCTGTATATGCCGGCTCCAAGTTCACGGATTCACCGATGGCACGGCACGTTCCTCAGCCACCATGCACCTGGCTGACCGACTTCCAACGTTCCGCCTCTGCTCTGGAGTCGAAACTGAAATGGCGTGCCAGTCCAACTCCATCTACATCAAGCTCGGGAATGGCTTCCATCTCCGAGACGGATTCGGTCGATGAATTGGTCGTTCTACCCCCATCTCGCAACCAACCCACTCCCATCAAGGTGCATCCCCTTCAGCTGATCAGCGCGTGCGCCGCCGTCTGAGCTCCAAAATCAAGCGAAAACACGGAGGATTTTGACGTATGTACATTGTTGTAGAGGGGAGTATATGTGTTTGTTATAGTTTTGTAAAGTATGATTGATTTCTTTACATTAATGTAAAATTAATCAATATTTTTTAGCATTTTTTGGTGTTAAAAGTTGATTTGATACTTATAGTAGAAGAAATCAATTTTTTAAGGGAAAATGATGCTTTACAATGCTGTAAGAAGCCGCATATTCTCTCTTTGAAGAGAATGCTTTGTATTATTGTAGATTATTTTATGTACAATGTAATTCTCTAACCCAGATGTATATTCCCTGTGCAAATGTTTTGTTTTCTCTAGTTATTTTCGTGTGCTCCCCACTGAAATATAGTCTTATTTTGTGCTGTATTTTACTTTTACACTGTACAGTATCCCTTTTCTTACTGTACAGCTCATTTTAGAATATTATTACGGTAATTGTTGAATACGGCGATCTAATGTCTATATTTTATTTTTCAACGTTTATTTTTTCTGTATGTGAGGGTGGTGCTGTAGATAAGGGCGTGGTACCTTTTTTTTTTAAATTTTTAAAAAATTTTTTGCTTTTAAAATTTAGTTTTTATTTTTGTTTAGATTTGAAACTGTCAATTATGACACATTTTCTGACGTTTTATTTTAAACCATTCAAAATTGTGTGTGAGACTTTTTTTAATACTATACAGTACTTTTTGGTACTGTATTTTTATTTTTTTAAATACAACATACCGCCGCTTTTTATTTTACAGTACTACCCAAGCATGATTTGTTACAGTATATGTATTTTCTACTTTCTCGGTGTTTTTACGTTTACTGTGTTATTCGATCTGTAAATCTAATTTACATTGTCTCTTAATTGTCTTACCGTAGCTAACCAGTTTTTGCATGTGTTTGTTACAGTAACCAACTAATGACTTTTCTAAATCTAATTTCTTTGTCTTTTTGGTTTGTTTAAGGCACAGTTTGGCTTATAGTCATCTTGGTACTGTATTTGCTAAAGGTATTGTACTGAAGAGACTATCGTACCATACTGTAACATATGATTGGACTTCCCTTTCGTATGTTAACTTTAACAAACCAGTCATCTTTGCATATGCACTGTCTTAATATCCCCATTTCCTATCTAATTGTTAAAGGTTCTAAACCCGTCTTGGCCTCGGTTCAATCACAACCGGCCCCTAATCAACCGGTGTTTCACTCGCCGAATCTCTGATCTCTTTAAGATGGTTTAATTTGTCCACTTCTTCTATAATATTATTCATTTCGGCGTAGATTTTCAAATTTTGAGAATATATTTTAAGCAAAGTAATATTTCTAAAATATTTTCCAACACTTTTAAAGTGTATTCTAAAATATATTTTCGAGTTTTGAAAAGGTACGGTGATCTTTTGTCCCAGTTATTTGTTATGTTGACAGGTCTTCTGATCTAGCGACCTCATCTTTGTTGAGTTTTAAGTTATTTTTACTTTTATAAACTTTAACAACCCCCAAGTCAGATGGTCTTGTCTACGAAGCCGGATTCAGGTGAAACGTTTGAGAAAAAAAAATTATTTTAAAATTTGATCATGAATAGGTTATGAAGCCTTAAAAATTGGTTTTGAACTTGCTGATTTGATAACAAGTTCATATTAGACTATAATTTGAAGCGCTATTTCATTTTTTTGTAAAATTGCTTATTTTTTCAATTTGAGAATCGTTTGGATCGAAAAAGAACACTGAATTCTCAAGCTTCAATGTCGTTATCTGACTGTTCTTTGGACTCTCCCGATTCCCCACACTCTTTTCTTCTTCTATCTTCTTGACCGTGAGCTCGTCGCCGGACTGTAAATAGCTTGTACATTAACATTACCGGTCGATTTGGATTTGAAACGCCCAAAACTTTGCAATTTTTTTCTTCAGGATTGGAAAATTCGCTGAGCTAGGTCAAGGTTTTAAAGTAGTAAGTTTTGTACAGTACTGTAATACGTTTGAACAGTACTGTAATAAGTGTTGTAGTAGTGTATTAGATTTCTTCGTTTTGTATTTATTTGAGTAATAGATAAGCTGTTGTATGGGTAGTCCAAAGAGAAATAGGTTTAAGTAAAAGTTTATAGTCGTTAAAGGCTTGTAGATTAATATTGACTGGACATTGTATTCTAGAGTTTTATGGACAAATTTCAGAAATTTGAGTATGAGACGTACTCGTTTACAGTATATGTTTATTATTATACCTGTAAACAGTACTTGGCTTTATTTTTTGGTATTCTTAAGGTGAAACACTATTTTTTGTTTTCGTACAATATTTGTTTGGGTCTAGGGCTTATTTTGTAATTTTTGGGTTCGTTGGTCGCTTCAGAAGGCAACTACGCGATTCAAGTAGTAGTAAAGTTCTTGTTTTGAACTAACACGCTTTCGATCCAAAATTTTGACTTTTAACAGATTTTTCAAAAAATAATTTTTGGATTACTGTAATTTCAAAAACAGTAGGATCTTGTTTTTACTACCTTGCCTTAATCCACGAACCCGTCCGCTACTATTTAAGGCCTAATACGCGAATAGTTAAGGCACAATTACACAAATATTTAACGCTTTTTAGGCAGATTTTCAAGGCCCTCCGGGACTCAGTGCTATTTTAATTATAAGTTTGAAAGTTTTTTTGCCGCGCCTCTGACAAATTTGTTCCTCCAGGGCGTGGCAACGAAATGTTTTATATTTTAAACTAGCCAAAGACCCGCTAACTCGTCGGTGTTGTACATAATCAACGAGGTGCGAAGGATTATTTAGGCTTACATATACCTGTTGCTTTTGGTGGAACCGGTCCGTTAGACTGTAAGATGTAGTTGATGTAGTAGGTAAGGATGCTTGTAAGAAGCTGCAGTTAAGGATACTTGTAGATATCTAAAGTAGTGTTTGAGGCTTTAGTATGAGTACTTTAGCTTGACTATGTTAAGGTAGATTAAAAGTACCTTAGCTTGACTATGATAAGGTAGATTAAGTTATGTTTGCTGACCTCATCTTACAGTATCAATTTCTACTTTTCTTTTCTCTCATTTTACTAGTGTACGGTACCACATCTTGTCCCAATGGTACCGCCGACCTCGTCCTACTGGTATCCCCCCAAAATTCTATTGATCTCTGACCCCAGTTTTGTCTCTTTTTTATTACTTTACAGTACCCTTGAGCCCCTTTTCTAATGTTACAGTAACCTGTGACGTGTTATAAGTTCAAATGCAATCTTTAACAGCTATTTTCTCTCGTATTTTATTTTTTTCGGGTAGTTGTGTTTTGTAGTCTTAATTGGGTATTATACGGTAACATTACGGTAACTGTTTTACTGTATCTCTACGGTTGTTTTCATACTGTGTATTCGTACGGTATTTGCGTACTGTAATTCGTGTTTTGACCCAAGTTTTCGCTTTTATTCTTCCAAAAACCTCATCAAACGGGCTTCTATTTCTTTGTAAATTATCATAGAGACATCGCTAACGAGCGGAGATCGCCGTTACAGTAAGCACTGAAAGATCTCGCTACAGTAATTGGTCTTACTGTACTATTTCTGAAAGTTTACTGAAATCTACTTTGGGTTTACGACGTCTTTGTGGGATTACTGTAATTTTCTAGGCTTCAACTAAAGTTATAATAGGGTTCAGTTAGTTACAGTACCCATTCTACAATATTTTTGTACCAACAAGGGTAACATAATATTAACAGTATGAGTACCGTACCTTCTTGACACCTAAAATAAGTTTATTTGAACCCTAAAAACATACAGTAACCCACTTCAACTACAGTAACCCAGTCTAATCCTCAAAATTTGCATTTCTCCACCTAAAACCTTCCACCTTTTGTCTTACTGTAACTGTGTTACAGTGTCCTGTAGATGAAAACTACAGTTTCCTGTGGTTTCAAACTACAGTAATCAATACCGAACTCGATCTTCAAAAAAAATCTTTTTGCTGCTTAATAATTCTACGACTAACATGTTACGCGGTGTGCTACAGTACACCCAAAAGTGTTTTGTTACAGTAACGCTCGTTGTTTCCTTCTTAACAGTCACTTCATTGTGACGGCTTTACTACTCCCACTATGGTAATATGTTATTGTTGCAGTAAGGTATTGTAACTTGCATCCTCTTGTCGTGTCTTACAGTAGTATTATTGTATCTTACGATAATTCTCATCGTATCTTTTACTGATTACGGTAATTGTATGTCTGTTACTGAACCCCTTCTTACGGTAGTTGTATTGTTCGGTTAACTCTTGCAATAGCCAAACCTCAACCAAAAAACTCTTCGATTATTTTTCTATGCATTTCTAATATTATACGGTAGTCTTACTGTAATTTATCGTTATTTTGCTGAATGTGCGAGTCGTAAACATCAATGTTATGATATGTTAAAAGGAATCAAAATAAATGAGTATGCAGCAAATTGAGAGGGATGATGATTATGATTAATATTAATGTAGATACGTGTACATCAACATAACTACGTTCGCGAATACGTATCATCAACATAGTCATGTTCATGTATATGTATCGATAAATAAATATTATGTTGTTCAAATAATTCTAAGCCCCCTCTCAAAGCAAATTTTTGAGATAAGGGGGCGCAGAATTATTTGAACAAACTAATATATGCGTTAGGTATATAACTATAGTAAAATCTCAATATACAGAAATTGAAGAAACCGAAAAGTTGTTCAAATAATTCTGTGCCCCATCTCATAGCAAATTTTCTGGGTTAGGGGTTTATAAATAAAAATTATATTGACATTCATCTTGTGCCTTCGTTAATACTGTCGTATGTAGACTTAAAGCAAAGATAATATTTAGTATCTTGTGAGTCGTACAGTTAAGTACGTTCCATGAGATTCTTAAAAATATAATGGTAGTCAATCGATACACGTTACACTGACTCTGTTCTGTAGTTACATTGTAACGAAAACTCGACAAACTCCGAGTCGATGCGTGGTGCTGAATATAAGATATGTTTGGTTGGGAAACGGAGCGAGTTGAGGTCGTGGTCCCACACAATCCCCTGAAAGCGGTTTACGTGACATTGGTATACCGAAAGATGTTTACTTTGCATTGGTATACCGAAAGATGTTTACTTTACATTGGTATACCGAAAGATGTTTACGTTACATTAGTACACAAGCGATTTACATTACAGTACAATGCACCTATTTTTAATCATTACAGTACCGATATTATACTTGTCAAAGAATGTAATCTTGATGACAAAACCGGTAGATTATCCATAATTTTAATCACGATATGACACATAATACTTTGAAAAGTTATGAAATTCAATTTTAGAATGTGTCATCGCTTTTTATTTATAATAATGCCATCGCTTATGTGAAACAAGAGGGGTTATCTCAATATAGCCGCGAAACTCAAACAAAACAATGTACGATGAATATCTCCACTGAAAATTGTTTAAAGTACTTACCGACACATTGTTAGGATGTGGTGCTTCGGGTAGTAATTTGCATCGAATTTGAGCACTTATCTCTAAAACAATATGTAAACACATACAAGTAACACACATTTGTTCAAGTCACATTTGAGAGAAACAACATCAATATACAAACTTCTTGTGATGAATAGAATTAATTTTATATTCACCATGCAAATATAAATTATATCCTTCTGTAGAAGCTTATATATTGTATTATTGATGCTTATAACGCGTTTTCGATTTAAAAGACTAAAAACAGCTAAAACATTAGTGTCAGTAATACCCTTTGACACCTAAAGTATACCTCTTCCTGCAACATTGTTCAGAAGCTCTTCTCTGGTCGGTAACTCATCCAGCTTTTCGAATAAACATATACATCTGTCCTTCACCCTCTCTGTTACGTCTGAACGGATTGATCTGAAAAGACATCAAAATAATGATAAGATTCAAAATTAAATTCACTATTTTTTTATTTTGAAGATGTTATGTTCCATAAGGTTTTGAATCAAGAACTAATACAAACACAAAAATAAGCAAACACAAAAACATTAACACATCCAAACCTACAGATTCTCCCAATTCTTGCCAAGCCCAGAATAGAAGCCTATCGTCACTTCAGCCACTTCTTCCTCATTCTTTACATCCTTGATTACCACGGTAAACGACATGATGTGTTGATGACTTATCCAGTAACGTAGCGTTGATCGCATGTCATTCATATACTTCGCTATCTGAGGATGAGCTCCTCGATAAAACATGACTCCACAAAACGAATCCAGTACCTTGTGTTCAAATTTACAGTATCGTAAAGCCAGCTTTTGAAAGGCACACTCAAGAAAGTCGACGATGATTCTGGCACATTCGAGCTCACGATTGGAACGTTGGCGTCCAATGTCGAATTCCTCGATCGACTGCTTTTGTTGCTTATCGGTCAAGCTCTTTGCTGGGTTTTCGGTCGTCATTTTATTCAATTTACTAAGTAAATATATTGAAATTTACTGAGTTATATTGAATAAAACCTAGACTACAGAGTAAAATTGAATAAAAAATTATACTCTACACATAGTTTCGCTAACATAACAATTCAAAAATACGTTAAAAGCAAGCAAATTACATTATTATTCGAAAGAACCATTCAAAATTCAAAACAATTTATTAAAAAAAGTAAAATTAAAAATATTAGACACAATTAATGTACCATGAACAAATGTGAATATGAGAAACAATACAAAAAGATGAGATCAGAGCGACAAAATAAAGTTTAAAGCAGAACCCGAGAACAAGAGTAGCATCACATTCTACTGTTAGACAAAACCATTAATATTTCTGTTGGTTTTTCAAACTTTGAATATTAAAAAGTGCAAAATATAAAAAATCCACTCAAATTATCTTAACACCAGTCCCCATGTTATCATAAAATCAAAAAAAAGACAAAATTACATCCAAAAACAACTTCCAATAGTGCATCTAGCAAAAATGACCATATGAAACAAATTTTCAAACCTATACTTCAATGTTCTGTCCCAAAATGTCAATGCCTAGTCTCTTGGTGCTATTGAAATTCAAAGCAGACAAAAATACAAAATAATATAGACAAAAAAAAGTAAAATAAGTGTTACCCATGCCCGTAAGTCATAAAGCGATTTTTTTTTGTGCTGCACCAGTATATTAATATTACCCATAAAATAGCTCCAATTGCCACCGGATTTAATGTGAATTAGAGGCTGAATTGCCTTGAACTTGTTCCTTTCTGAACAGTCCAACAACTTGGACCAACAAGATCTGAGGAGACGTTTGTCTTGTCAGTTTTAACGTGATAGTGTGCTCGGAATGTTCCGCAAACACATAACAGCCATAGATGTAGGGGTTCATTCGAGAGATGATGGAAAGTTTCCTGCCATCCAGAACCATTTCCGTTACTGGGCATGGGCCGTTAATTGAAGCATTGGTGACCTGAAAAAGAAAAAACTTAATTTCCAACTAAATTAACATTCTTCTGACATAAAAAAATATAGTTTGCCTTCCCAATAAAAACATAGTAGCAATGACTTATTAGTAACCTTAGAAGATGTTTGACCATTCTTTTCATTACTTTGGTGATCCGAAAAGTAAAAAACGCCTAAAGAAATAAGAACAAAACTGAAATTAACTTACTCCGTTGACAGTACGTGCAACAGCACACATTACAATGCAATAGATACGTTCTCCCGGAAGCGTTTTTGGATTCACACCGTTCATGAAGTTCATTTGGCATTCCGTTTTCCCAAAAATCATAGATTGATAGACATTCGTGTACATATGATACCTGGTCACATTTCTAAAACATTACAGCGTGATAAGAAGCCGTTTTCATTGAAAAACATAAAGCTATACTATAGTAAGCTTATAATCAGCATCAAACTTTACTTTTCCATTTAATAATTAAAACGAGGAAAAAAAAGTTATCAAACATTACTTTAGCCATAATAATATCCAAACATAATTATTTCAAACCCTACTTAATCATTCCATCCCTCAGTTTGTCCATGATGCTCTGTAGTCTTTCAGAATAACTCAAGACCGGCTTCAATTGAGCTTTAGTCAAGTTACTCTTTGGCTTTATTACTGCAAAGTAATCAGCACCATATGTCAATAACAACTTCGTGTATTCGGGATGTAGTGTTTTCATGGTAGTGCTCAGCAAAGGTTCTCCCGCATTGTTGACTGTATTGACATTGGCACACAAACGGATCAATCTGATGATATGACAAAGCCTTCTGTTCACGCAGGCCAAATACAGCGGAGTAAAGCCACGTTTCTTCTCTTTTACCTCCACGTTAGCTCCTGCATTCACCAAGACACTCATCATCTCATCTGGGGTGTGTTGGGACTCGCATACACCTTCCGCCAACTGAAATTTAAATCCGTAATTCATTCTTTACATTATCTTCTTCTCTCAAAAACTATATCATAACATTAAAATTTAGTCTTACAGTTGTTTATAAATGTATAAGCCGTGTTAATATGCTTGTAAAAGAACACTTACTCGATGAAGAAGTGTGTATCCTTCAGAATCTGCCCAATTTATGTTAATGTTGTTATTGGCTGCCAACATGCCTCGAACCACTTTTATCTTTCCGGCCAAAACAGCATCGTTAAACTCCTGAAAACATCAAAATATGAAAAAAAGAACAACTTCCAAAGCTTCTTCTACAATAAATTATCAAAGTTATACCACTTTAAAAAATCTAGTGTAATCTACCCTCTCTTCCTTAACAATTTGTGGAGGTTCGCCCTTCTCAATAATTAACAATACTACCTTAATTTAAAATCAAAACCATCAATATTTATCAAAAGTTTTTGGTCGAATATCATCCTCACCTTTTGAGTAGCCTCAATTTCAGTGTTATCCTTCAAAAGCTCGTCAATCGTGTGAATAACATTTAAATTATCGTTGATATGCAGCTTTTGAGTACCATACGTAGCTGGCACACCTGAAGCTGAGACGGCGCGTCCTCCGTTAGTTTGTAGCTTATCAGTGCCCTTAGGAATACGATAGTTACAGAACAAACTGCTCTTTCTGTCCACTGGCACAGCTTTCTTTGGTGGAGGCTAAAAAATTTTTTTTTAATAAAAAAACCGCATTAACTGCTTAAATTGCACTTAACTATTAGCAAATATCCTTGTAGACAAACCATCAAAGTTTTAATATTTTTATAAAAACCATAAAGACATTTCCAAATCCATAAAAATTCAAGACTTACAGCCGCCTCATGACCAACAGAACTAACGCCGTTGCTGCCAGACGGCTTTTCCAAATCTTTAGGTAGTGACGCTTCTTTCTTGTCCTTATTATTTTTCTTCTGATCAATCGTTTCTTTCTTAATATTATCCTTCTTTTCCAGGTTCTTTTTGTTGCTACCTTCCTTTTCCTTATTATTCTTATCAACCACAACCTTTTCCTTGTCACGCTTCTTTGGAGATCTTTCTTTTTTAGACTTATCTTTCTTCACCTTCTCCTTGGTTGATGTTTCGTCAACCTTCTTCTTCTTGGCTTTCGGAGAAGTAAAAACAAAACTGTAGCTTTCGACAGATTCGCGCGAAGGTGACCTTTTGAATTTATCGGCATCATCAGTCTGTTTTGTTTTTGGTTGTCGCACTAAATAAGAAAGTTTTTTGTTTACTCAGTGCGAAAAGACTATTTTAAATGTATTATTGAGTTAAGTTATTCAAGTACAGCAAAACTACTACTTTTACATCAAAATTTGGTATTCATCTTACCTGGAGAAGGAGTTTGAATAGAAGAAAAAGATCCTCTCAACTCCCTGATCTGAGACCTTGTCAGCCGACTGGTATTAGGATCTTGAATGTCTGTCAGCAACTAAAAACATACATCAAACTTTCACATCCTTGATTTTGATTTTCCTTCTTAATCATTTTTTTCCATAAAAATTCGTTATAAGTGTCATTGTCAATTATCTACCTTAACATCAAATCAGAAATTCCATTATAACGTATGTAAAATCTTTAACACAGTCCCAAACCTTACCTTCTCAGTCTGCGTCAGCTTCCGATCATGTACAAACAAATTCTTTAAATCTCTTTTAGATTCATCTGCTTTGATTCCATACCAACCAGCACTATCAGTACTAGGTTTCTCTTCACCTTCATCCTCTACAAACACGAATTCCGGTTGTTTGGTAGTTGAAGTGCCTTGAGAACTTTCGAAATCACTGTCACTCAACAAAGTCGACTTCAACTTCTTGGCCTGTTTTCTTCGAGCTGGAGGCTGCTTCCTCAGTCTTTCGGGTGTTTTCTTAGGCTTTGTATCCAGATTCTTGTTTTTCTTGTATTCGTCAACCATTTCGACAGATGTTGAACCAAGAAGGTTCTCTTCTGGCTCCCACGTATCATCGCCAGGTCCGTAGCCAACCCATCTGATGCGGTACAATAACTTTCTGCCTTCCCACTTGTGCCCCACAATCTTTTGAATCTAAAAGCAATATAAACATTAACTTACTTATCTATAATTTTATAAAACAGATGCTTATGTTACTCAATAAACAATACCTTCCTATACAAAACTGATAAAAATGTACCAACCTTATAATTACGAAAAATATAAGCATGGGCATAACGAGTGTTACCTAAAAATTCAAACAGTCAAAAACTAACTTACTTCAAACAAATCGTCGGTGCTAACCACAGTACCTGTAGAAGATGTCTCTTCTACATTCTTCTTAGGATTCGTTTCATCCATTGAATCATCCGATGTATCCGACATGTTATTAACAAAAGCAACTATAAAAAAATTTAGCTTAAGAAGACCTAAATTTAAAGCACGCTCCAAATGAGATCACTTGTCCGGATAAAAAACTATTGTCGTAAACATTCTTTTATGATAATGTAAAGTCTGTATTTACGCTTTTGAGCTATATTTAACTTTATATTCAACATATACAAAATTTTCACATAAAACTATAAAATCTAATAAAAAAATCAATCTTATCAACCAAAAACGGCCATAAAAGTAAACAATGTTCGTGTCGATTGACAATTCCCGAAACATATTATAATATTCCATCGGCCCGTGGCATTCCGTCTTATATGATCCTACGTCCTGTCACGAAAACGATCGTATTCTTGTTTTCAAATCTTCCGCCAAAACAATCGATTTTTCGACGGCGTTTTTTCTTTCGCGTTTGCGAAGCTACATTACACTTGTCATTTTTTGTTTTTATACGTTCATTCTAGTATTATGACCGACGTAGAGATGGCTGATAATGGTAACACCACGGAGGAGGTGAAAGTGGTAAGTATACGAGTTTTTGAAGGGGTTTTTGGTTCGTATTTAATACCTAAAATTGTGTTTTTTGATGTATTCAAGGTTTTAAAATGCAAGTGGTTTGGTTTACTCGTTAATTTACAACTTTTTGGATTATTTTACTCATGATTTTTTGATAAACATTTACCGAACATTTTAAGCTGTTTTATATTGTTGTTTTTTCAGCCTTTTGAAGGAACTACTCAAGAACATTTGACTAAAGTGTGCACTGAAAAGAAGGTCAACAGCGATGTGGCCAAGGCTTTGTCCGAGCTTTTCGAGGCCTTGAACTTGACTTTGGAGGACTTTGACGAAAGAGTCATTGAAGCTTTGGCTAACTTCCCAGTTGAACATGGAAAGTTTATCATCAGCGAGATTAAGGTATGTTTTGTCCTTCTTGTTTGTTTTTAGGTAATATAGAGGTGTTGACTGTCTTGAAGGTTTAAATTTTTTGTTAGATATCTCGAGAAAGTTAAAATTTGGTGAATTAAGTTTCTGATAGAATATGATAATCTAAAATTTTATAAAATACGTTTATTCAATTTTGATCTAACTTTTAATAGCTCGAAACAGTTTTTTCATGAGTTTAATCTTTTTTATTTTAGAAATCCGAGTTGTTTGGAGTTCAAAACCGACCCCAATTCTTGATGTCCGTTATGCGCAACTTCAAGGACAAGGTCAGACAAGTCGGAGGGTCTGAAGCCACCAAGACCTCATTGATCCCAGGTCCATCTGTCGAGAGCCTGAAGAAGTTGATTGCTGACACTGGTTACAGCCTTGAAGTCACTGTTGGGCAAAGAAAGTTCCACGCTCCAGCTGATGTTGCAGCCCCAACTCATGGCCACGAAACCTTCATTGGCCAAATTCCAAAGGAATTGTTTGAGGACAAGGTCTTCGAGAAGTTCCAGGAGATTGGCAAAATCTACGACATCAGACTCATGCTGGACCCAATCATGGGACGCAGCAGAGGCTATGCTTTCTTGGTATATCTTCAAAAAGAGCATGCCCACGAGGCCGCTAAGAAGGTAATTTATTTACTTTTCAGGTTTTGTAAGTTCATTTAGATTATATTGTAATAACTGTATGTAAATTATATTGATCATCAATTAACTTCAAAATTCAAAAACAACACATTAAAATTAAACTAAAACTAACGGGTCAAAAGCAACAAGACCGATCCCACCAAAACCCGGGAGGTCTTGAAACCAGTCAAAAACAACACAAAATTGACAATTTGGTGAAGAAAGTTAACCAGATTTGGTTTTACAACTTTTTCTACAGATTTCGCTCAAGCATCGGCGATTGAGTGAAATAGTCAAATTCCAAATTCAAAGCACTTTTCAATTGATTTTAGTTTGACGGACACGATATTATTCCGGGAAAACCGCTGAAAGTCAACGTTTCTGTGGCTAATCGCCGACTTTTCGTTGGGAATATTCCTAAATCCAAATCCAAAGAAGATATTCTTGAAGAGCTTAAAAAACATCCAGGTAAATCAACGTTTTGGACACGACTTTTCGGACGTTTTTATACATTTTTCGGAGTTTTGTGATGTTGAAAGGGTGAAGTGTGTGGCCTATGTTAATATTCTTGTTTTAGAGCTGGAGAATGTCACCGACGTCATCATCTACAGCTTCCCTGATGCCACCGAGAACAAAAAGAACCGAGGATTCTGTTTTGTTGACTTTGCTGACCACAAGTCCGCATCTGATGCTCGTCGCAAGCTGAGCGGAGGAAAGGTACGGGTATGGTTTTAAATCTTTTACGCACAACCTTCTTGCACCTATACCTTTAACATTCATGGAGCTTTTGATTATAATTTTAAATTAAATGCTAGCAATTTTAAAGTTTTTATTTCTTTTGTTTTAGGTTCGACCATTCAACAGCGATCTTGTCGTAGACTGGGCTGAACAACAAGCCGAGCCTGATGAGCAAACCATGTCCCAAGTTAAGGTGCTTTATGTCAAGAACCTGAAGGAAGCCGTCACCGATGAAAGGCTGAACGAGCTCTTCAAGGAATACGGTAAAATCGAAAGAGTCAAGAAAATCAAGGATTATGCCTTCATTCACTACGAAGAAAGAGAATCAGCCATTAAGGTATGCTTCAGTTTACATTTCTTGTCGCTATGTTTTGTGAATGCCCGTTTGTAATAATATTAAAGCCTTTTAAAAAATAAACTTTGTTTGCAGGCTTTGGAAGCCATGAACGGGACAAAGATTGACGACGTTGAAGTAGACATTAGCCTGGCCAAGCCTCAAGGAGACAACAAAATGAAGAAGAAGACCTTCCCTAACAAGTTCCCAGGTCCACCAGGAAAGAAAGGTGGTATTCCTGGTGCTTTTGGTCCTAAGCGTGGTGGAGCTTCGGCCCGTGGATCCTACGGAGGACCACCATACGGATCTTTCCCACCAGCTCCAGGATACGATCCCTACTACGGTGCTGCTGCGCCTGCTCAAGGTTACTACCAAGGTGGATATGATCCATACTACCAAGCTCAAGACCCATACTATGGAGCTGCTGCCGGAGGTTACCCACCATCTGGCTACGGAACCGCCTACGGAGGTATGCCAGCAGGCTTCAAGGGACGCCCGCCAATGAGAGGCGGTGGCATGAAAGGACGAGGAGGAAAGAGGCCCGGAGGCAGCTTCGACGGCCCAGCTGTGAAGCGAGGCGGCCGAGCCTTGGAAGACTTCAGCTCGGACGTCGCTCCAAGTCATTTTTAAATTATTTTAATTTATTGTTAAGTAATACTGGATTCTTATATTTTCTCCAATTCTAAAAATATTTCTGATAGTCGGTTTCAGCCGGTCAGCGAGTTATGTTGTTGTATGGACGGTAATATTTTGTATTATGTACATAGTATTATTAAAGGACACTTCTAAACTCGGAGGTTGATACTTTTTTATTGTTAATGTATTGTAGTCGTGGCTCTTCTCGAGGGTTATTTGTAACGAGAAATTACTGTGTCTCAAAGATCTGAATTGCTTTGTTAGTGTTATGGTGTCTGTTGTAATCTCAGGCAATGTCATGCCCTCTCATCAAAACTACCCTTTTATATTCAATAAATGTTAATAATAATTTAAATAGTTTCGTTGAGAGATTTAAAATATAATTTTGAAGGTACACTTTTAATTTACCTATATATTGAAAAAATAATTTTATTTTTTAAAATACGTTACGTTGGAATGGTATGGCAGAGATGGGAGGGGTAGGGGAACGTGACGTGGCTAATGAGCTGGACCTAGTAGGTTTTCGGCCTAGAATCTTGTTGTAACGTTGGATATGTTCGTTGAGTCTTTGGAATGCGTCTTGGCGGAACTCTTTGTTTTTACAGAACAGAGCTGTAACAATATTATCATTGATCATGTTGTTAATCGTTGTTTTAAAACTATTCAAAAAAATTAAATACTTACCGTCCTTAAGGTAACTTGACGTCAGCTGATGTACATACACTTGTTCAGCCTTCTGATAGACGTAGGGGAAGAAGTCTTTCTTCACCTCCTCTACTGTCCGCTTCATCTTCAAACTCTCCACCTCCAACTGCCTTGTGTCAGCAGCGACGTCCTTCATGAATCGGTCGTCCTTGATTAGATTCCTGTTCATCAGATGACTCAGGCATTTCTTTTTCAGGTCGTCCACATACTCTATGGCCATTCGACGACAATCCAGAGCATCAATCTTGAGATCGGCCGTTTTCTTCTCGACTTCTAGGGCCTTCTGGATCTGGGTGTGATGTTGGATACTCTCCTGTAGCTGGATGTTCCTCTGTTTCTCTTCGTCAATGGCTTCCATGAGTTCGGTGACTTGTTGTCGGTACCTTTCTATGTCTTCTTCTTCCATCAGCTTTCTCATGGCATCGGCCATCGCTCCGGCTACCATTTCTCTGACCAATGGTTCGAAGGTGTCATCAAAGGTCTGGAAAGAGGTAATGAGTATATACATACAATACTATTTGTATGACTTTAGACTATATTTTTAATTCAAAATTATTTTTAAAAGTTGAGCGAACATATAGCTTAACCACAAACGATAAAGCTAATATAAAGGTCAATAACAACATAATGTCATAAGGTCTTACCAAAAAGTCCTCGGTCTGAATCTCGACATTGTTCATGGGTTGTATTGTGATGGCTGTCGGGGGAGGATCTGTGAGGTCTTCAATGTCGTCCCATGTCTTGGTATGTCGTTGATTAGCAAGTATAGGTAGATTCTTTTGTGATTGACTTCGTCGCCCATATTTGGCAGGTGGTCCTCTTCGCATTGGACCAGAAAGATCAACTTGGCCAGGCAGTAGAGGAGGCATGGTGGTTGAGCCTAAGAAAGGCATGATTAATATTGGTACAATTTTTAGTTTTTAAAAATTTTTTGAATAAAAAGGTAATTTTTTTTAATTTTAAAAATTGTTTAAACATAAATTATTACCCATGAGGTTCTTATCAGTTTGAGCTCGTCGAATCGGTAGAAATCTGACATTTTTGAATTGACTTGGCCTTCTGGATTGGCCAGATTGGACACTTGGTGGAAGGCTTGGCAGTGCTGGGAGGGCAGGTGAAGCTACGGTATGCCTAGATGAGGATGGCACTAGAGAACATCGTTGAGCTTCTTGGAAGGTGCGACGATGAAGAGGTTGGTCTGTCAACGATCCAAACCGAAGTTTGGCGTCGATGGATTGGGGGGATTCTGAAGAGAAGTTCGTCAAGATTGAAGAAGGTGTTGTAGGATGGGTTACTCTACTTTAAGATACCCTACACCACTCTACCTTACCTCACCCTACCCTACCCTACCCTACCCTACCCTACCCTACCCTACCCTACCCTACCCTACCCTACCCTACCCTACCCTACCCTACCCTACCCTACCCTACCCTACCCTACTATTCTCTATCTTACTATAACCTCTCTTAAACTTCTTCCTTAAAAACCAAACACCAATCTTTGTTACAGTAACCCACCGATTTGATCGCCTTGATTGAGCGTCAAGATAGGGGGACCAAGTTGTACTTGCCCAATCGGACCATTTAGTCTGGCCAATTTGTATTGTCCAAAGCGTTGGACTAGATTGTCCTGAGGTAGGTAAGGTTCGGCTGGTTGATCGATCGACTGGTCGAATTGATCGGCCATGAAAGACGACTCATTCATTGCCATTTTTAGTCGTGTTCGTACAACTGAAGCTCGCCAACGCTCTTCATGTCGTTGTTTCTCCATTTCCTACAATAACATCAGTTTAAAAATGGCAATAAAAGAACCACCCCCTAAAATTAAAATAAAATCAATAAACCTCCGCCGCTTGATGTTTTCTATAACGAGAGGATACAGAGTAAGTTATAATTGAAAAGAACTATCATTTCCAAGACCTACCTGTCGCATTTTAATCATTTGCTCTCGTTGTCTGGCGACGACGGACCCTCGGAAGACCCGAGGATCCGCCATTATGTTCAGCGGCTTTGGCGGTGTGTTCATCGTTCTAAACTACGATTTTATGTAGAATATAGACATAGATATGATGTTTATAAATAAAAATTTTAAAATAGACATTAAAATTTAAAAAATCAAAAAATTTTTAAGAATCGACAAATCGTCGCAAAACTTGTCGCCCATATTGTGCACAATGAAATTGAAAAAAGTTGGCATGCTATTAGATTGCTCAAATAATTCTGCGCCTCACAACCCCAAAATTTTTTTTGAAAAAAGCACAGAATTATCTGAACAACCAAATAAAGAAATATTACACTAGACCCCCTTTATAAAGAGAAATATCAATGGGCAAAGATGTTGTTGCCACTATTGTACACTTATTATATAGCAAATATATAAACAAAAATTACCAAAAAACAAAAAATACTTGTTCTTCAAAAGCCCTTTACCTTGCGACAGTTTAAAAACGAAAAGCGACTTTTGCACGGTGCAAACAGAAGTGCAGTCAAATGGAAAAACTGCCAGAATTAAGCGGAAACACTAGCATCTACTTATTACATACGCATATACAAAGAGGCATTTTATACTGGGAGCCGTTGTTTTGTACTATTAGGTTGTTCGAATAATTCTGAGCTCCTAATCTTGAAACGAATTATTTTAAAAGGGAGCTCAGAATTATTTGAACAACAGTATCTTGTGTAACCAATCATGCTTATCAAAGTAAAAAGCTACCGCAGTAGAACCCCCTATACCAAAAAAGACATTTATATGACAATACAAAAAGATTTTGCCAAAAACACCAGCCGGCTGTCACAAAAAGCCTCAGTAACTTTTACAGAATTAAGCATCTTTCGTCTGATAAAACCACGAAATCCGTTATTTTTCGAAATCCGAGATTAAAGAGCGGAAGCTGGTGTAATCAATTAGGCACTACATGTTGGGTAACCAAAACAGCATCACTTTTAGTGTCTGGTCAGTACACTAATGAATACTATGCTTAAAGTCATCGGGTTTATTCGTATGGTAATTCGATCAAACAATAACAAGTTTTAAGCTTTCAAAACAAGAAAAGTATCGTATGATATCCTTAATATATCTAAAAATCTCTTTAAAATGAGTTTAAAAACTCCAAAATGTAACAGATGTTTTAAAACAAAATTTCATGCTTTTAACTATGTAAAACAATACAATTTAAAAAAATATCATAACAAAAACCTAATAAATCTGTCTATACTTGTAGTAAAGCCTAAAATATATTTTAATATGTTACATACACCAGTCTATCCTCGCAAGTCACCTATATCACGTACTCTACATCAAGAACACGGGATATTCAGCATCGTACTCCAGCAGCTCGTACTCTTCGTCCAACTCGAGTTGTGACAAAAAGGTGTTGATCCTATGTGAAATGACACTCTTGAGGCCGGTTGTGTTCAGTTTGGATATATCGAAGACCTTGTTACCGTAGTTAATATCCCACATCAAGACATCTTGTGTTAGTCTTACTGGGTCTTCGTCACCAAACACTGACTTTAGTTCGTTGATTTTGGCCTGAAAAGGAAGATAAGTATCTATTTTTAAACGTATTTTAGTTTTATTTCATTAAACGAAAAGATTTCGATCCTTACATTGATGAACTTGACACATTGTACCACTTCGTCTTCCCCATCATCTTCCATTCCTTGATCGTTAGCACTGTCTATACCTCCAAAGACCTGCATCAACGCCTTCCCAAACACCTTCTGATACTCTTCAGCTGCCAATCCCAATTCGTACAACAATATCTCGTCTCCAACGAGGATTCCCTTTGCCGTCTCTCCTTTCTGCGTGATCTCTAGCTCTTTCTCGTCATTTTCCTCTAAATAGCCAAGCCTTCTCAAGATGTCAACTCGCTTTTCGAGTGCTGTAAGATCAGCAATATTATCCGTGGCACCTTTTAGTATCTTTTGCAGCTCCATCTTTGTCTTCTTTAGGCTTAGCTTCTGACGATATCTGTCAATGTCTTCTTTGACCGCAATTCTCCCCTCGCTTTCGGTGAGTTTGTCATGAAGATTGTCACATTTCTCTTCGATTTCTCGGGCTTCAGAAGTTTTTAGGCGGAGTTTTGGAACTTTTCCATTGTCCCATTGAATCAGCTTCTAAAATGACAAATTTTAAAGAAAATTGACAAATAAATTTTGAAAATCTGTTAAAATAACTTTAAAAATTTTAAAAAATCGAAATAAATTCTAAGACACCAAAAAAAATTTATGCCTTTCAAGTTACAGTAATTCTATCTCACCCAAAAAAAACCTACATCCAGCATAGCTCCCAGCTTCTTCAGATCCTTCATATCCTCTAGATAAGTTGGCAGCTTTAAGCGATACGTCGAAATGTCATAGATGCTGCTGATCGGAATCTTTCTTATCACAAAATCGCCCATTCCTAAGTGTTTGGCCTCCAATTTCTCAAACGGCCAATGATTTTGTGAGCTGGCCTGGCTTACACCTAGTCCAGCATAAACCTCGAGTTGTTGATTTTTGTTGTAGAGAGTGCCTACTATCACCGCCCAGCCTAGGTCGACACGGTCGGTTCTTACCTAAAATATCGTCATTTTTAAATTTAAAAAAAAATCAAAAAATGACTTCAAATACCACATAAGATAACATAATATAGAAAAATGAATAAAAACTTATTTTAAAGCCTTCAAAAACCAAAACCACCTAACATAACACCAGGTTGTTCACATAATACAAAAACCTACGTAAACAACCCTCCCTAGCGACAGATACTGTTCCGCCGAATCCACAACCAGCCTTCGTGCCTTGTCCTGTAGTTCTTCATACTCATTTGTCATATTAACATACTTGGCTGCTTCACTTTCAAAGTTAATATCGTCGATCTTCCTTTCCTCATCTTCCACCAGCCTGATCTCGTTCTGAGCTGTTATTCGTACTCGAATCGAGTCGTACTTGGTAAAGCTTTGTTCAAATACCCATTTCTTATAGTTTTCTAGGGTTTGTGATCCTAAAATTCATAGAGAAGGTTAGTAGCATAGTGCAGTTCACTAATCTTATCGCACGGCACTCTACACCATGCATTACACCGTGCAAAAATTCCAAAAACTTATAAATTACTATTCTTTAGCAAGACAGATAAGACCATACCTGACTTCTCAAAGTTGTCTAAGATGTTGGCAAAGCTTTTGTTTTCCAGAACTCGTAACTCTTTCATCTCTGGATTCAAAAGGGCTTCAAACTGTTCTGGCTTGATCAAAGTGTCCAATGAGAAGATACGATTAGCCGTCACATTACCGAACCCTCGAACTGCCGTCATTTCCTCCACTTCTTCTGCTGTAATCAACCTAAAATGAAACCAATTGTTTTAACACTATTATAACTTATATATTACATATATATATATGCTTATATATAATATTTTAAACTTAACATCATAAAAATTTTGACTTACAAATGATTCATATACAGGCTTGGACACAGGGCAGGGCATTGGCAAATTTCCATGCCCTGCCCTGTGCCCTGCAATGCCCAGCCCTGTACAGGGCATTGGGGTTTTATGCCCTGCCCTTGCCCTGCAGGGCATTTACAGGGTATTTACAGGGCATTTAGGTATATTTTGGCGGACGCCTCCGCCGAGTGGTCGATAATCGGCGGACTTCATAACTTGGTTAGTTTAGCAGCTAGAAAAATGTAGTTAAGTGCAGAAGTTGTTATCTGTCATAACCTACACATTAAGCCAGAAATTTATGTTTTTAAAAACAATATTGTTATCGACCGGTCGATAATTTACAAATGTTTAATTTTTACAAAAAACAAGGATTTTTGCTTAGAATTGTATATAATGCAATTTCTATACAATTTAGAACAACAGAGCGATAAGAATATATATAAAATTTGCAATTAAAATATATTAAAAATTATCAACCGGTCGATAACAATACTACTTTTAAAATCTTAAAATTATGCTTTTACTTGTAGCGTATGACATATAATAACTTCTGAATTGAACTACATGTTTCTAGCTGCTAAACTAACCAAGTTATGGCGTCCGCCGATTATCGACCACTCGGCGGAGGCGTCCGCCAATACTTACCATGGCACAAACAGGGCATTTGCAGGGTAATGCAGGGCATAGGGCATGCCCTGCCCTGTTCCAAGCTATGCCCTGCCCTGTGTCCAAGCCTGTTCATATACCAAGACTTAAAATAAAAATATCATAAAACTTACCGTTGTTCTCCACCTTGTCTGACTTCAATCGAAGGTATCACAACGGTTTTGGCCTTATCAAGTCCTCTTTTTACCGTTTGTTTTGTCATCACCAAACACAGTAAATACCCTCTTTTGAAACATGTTCTAGTAATCTCTACCAATCCAGCAGGCAACGACGAATGTACCAATCCAATCCCACGTGCAATCAAAGGAAAAATGTTCTGAACAATAGCCAATTCATCTTTTCTGTGTGATTGATGCTCGATAAAAGCTTTAAACGCGGTTTTCAGCCGTTCTTTCTTGGTTACTGTAACAAAACTATATTTTTAAGACGTAAAATTTTATTATATTGTTATTAATAACATTTTTATAAGTTTAATTTATTTTTAATTTAAAAAGGAAAAAAAATTCAAAGCGAAAAAGTTATTCCTCCCCGGCCGGGAATCGAACCCGGGTCTCGCACGTGACAGGCGCGGATACTTACCACTATACTACCGAGGAACCGTTATAAGGTGAAGAAAAACCAATCAAATTCCGTTTTGATGGTAAGTTAAATTTAAAAAATTTCGCAAAAAGTATTTTTAAACTAAAAAATATTTTTTTTTGTAAAAACTAAAATAATCTTTAAACAAAAAGGCAATAAAGCCAATCAGTAGCGATCAAAAACCTACATGATATCAAGTTGAATTTACTAGCCAACGACGTAAAATACTCTTCTGCTTGTTGATCATCATCAGCGACAATAATGGCCGGGTAGATTCTGTCTTCCATAAGTTTTTGCAAAAATAAGTCGAGGTTGTTCCTGGTTATTGTGTTATTCCGTCTATCAGATGAATCCCTCATTAACTGTAGATACTTCTCCTCGAAGAGTTTTGCTCTTCCCAACACAGTCTTTGGATTCACAAGGTTATGGAAGTCATGGTTGAAGAGAATAATGTCATTGGTGAAGAAAGGACGAGTCCTCGAAGTGATAACGTGGACATCTCGGTTAGTTGACTTGGCAAAGAATCCTAGAACAATTATTAAAGAAACTTCTTGCAGTTTTAATATGAATTACAAACAATCTAAATCATAGCCAACATTCTAAAGTATACCAAAATAAGCACACAAACTAAAACAACGTCAAAACCCACCAGCATAATCCTTGATGTTCGTGTAGATGTTAGAAGTAAACAAAAAACCAGAAGTCTTTCCAACAGCGTTGTTCCTTAGTTTCTCCATCAACTCATAACAATATTTTCCGTAACTTTTGTCCATAATAAGGTCAAAATCTTCGACAATAACCATACCGACGTTATTGTAACAATCTTCATCTAGTCGGAGATCAGCCAGACTCTTATCCAAGGAAGTGAATGTTACTAATGAATTCGGCATCTTTCGTTCGATAAATGCTGTCTCCAGTCCTCCATTACTAAATTTGTGAACTGAATGAAAGTTCTGCATGGCCAACATAGCTCTGTCATTGGTTGGAGCAATGTATAGGACATGTTTCTTTGTAGCGACGTAAATTCTGGTCACAATACTAAAATTTTAAAGATTTTAAATCTTTTTAGAGTAATTAGATCATCCTTAAGAATAACATTCCTTAAATTCCTGACTAAATCAACTTCATTACATACCTAAAGCCCAAGGAAAACAATATATAAACCTACGTTGCCAAGAAAGTCTTTCCACAAGATGTTGGACCGTTAAAAAAGACGGGTTCTCCCCTTTTGGCACAAAGAAAAGCAATTGTTTTCGATAGGTCCAACTGCATTCCTCCGATCATGGCCTCCTCTGTCTTGGGTTGGCAATAATAGTTACCAAAACCATGTCTACAAACAAAGTGTTCCACGTTCTTGCCATGAAGAATCTGATGCATATGTGTTCTTCCTGCTTCGTTTATGTCTTGGTTCAGTTTCACCTCATCCATACACACGTCTTCGTGTGGTTTACCAGCTGTTTCTGCTTCACTAAAGTCGGCAAATACCAAATCGTCATCTGGATCTACATCTTCTTCGTCTTGAACTTGTATTTCTTCTTCCTCTTCATCGTCGTACAGATTTGCGGGAATGTTTGGCAAAAACGGCAAGACTGTTTCGTCGTTGATCTCTTCCTTCAGCTCAAGATAGTCGAAAAAGGTACAAGCTTCGTCGCCACTGCTGTCTTCTTTGTCTGACATCTAAAACAACATCGAGAATTATTTAACATGCTAATAGTTTTATTTTTATACGTTTTTATAAAACTATGTATAATATTAGAAAATTAAAAAATTTTGTGATTTCTTTTTGAAAAAATAAATATTTCAAGGGATAGTGTTGACTCGATATGTCAGGTCTTCCTAATCTTGTTCGCAGACTGCACACGATGTGAGCCCAGTGTTTGAACTTGTAGAAAAGTTTTGGCCAAACGATATTCATGATAAAATTCAGTAGCCAAAAACAAATGAGAAAGTTGTGGAAACGAATGTTGTCCATGACAAAGTTGGAAAGATAGAAGAAGCAACTGTACCACGAGGCCTCTTGGACAGTGCCTTTTTATTTCAAAAAACAAAAATAGTCTTAACTATAAACATTCAACAACTTTCAAATATAATGATTTATTATAAAAATCTGCGTTTGGCGACATTCGAGCTTCGTGGCTTTCCGAAGCTTGACAAATTTGGATTCTTGACTTCGTATTCAGCGTAGTCGGGGTCGTTGTTCACTTCCCAACTAGGGCTTCGGTCTTTGTTGGCCTTTTCTTTATGTGCTTTGATCCTCAGTCTGTGGTACTTGGCTTTAGCTTCTGGAATTGGCTTCACATCTACTAGCTTTTTGGAAGTTTGGGTTTCTTCTGAAGACTTTTGATGCTTATTTTTCTGACCTTGTTGATCTTCCATTGATTTTAATGGTTTATTTTCATTGGTCAACACGTCTATTACTGTTTCTTTGTATTTTTTGTCTTCTGAGGTTTTCTGATTTTTATATATTTTTGATTTATTCATTGTAGTGTGATCTTCGGGATCTACTGGTTCTAAAACCGAGTTGTTTCCGATTCTTGGGATAGGTTTGACAGTTTTACGGCTACTTTTCGTAGTACTCTTCATGGGTACTAACTCATCGTTCAATGGATTCAAGAACTCTTTGGTCTCATCTTTAGTGTGTCGATGTTTGTTTAACTGTGGCAGCTCTTCCAGTAACTTGACGATCTTCTCTATTTCAGCTGCAGTTACATCGTCGTCGGTTGGTGCGCTTTGATTAGTACCATTTTCATCAGATGGTAAGCTTTGTGTAGTTCTGACGTTATTTCCTACTGCGTTGCTGTCAAAGTCTTGGTATTCTGTGCTTGTTTTTACATTGATTTGAGTATCTTCTACACTTGAATCTTCTTCTTTTGTCGCTTTCTCTTTCAGAATCTCCTTATTCTTTTGTTGCAGCAACTTTTCCAAGTTGCTCAACAGCAGATCTTGTGTAGAGAAGTCTTCGACAACTCCTTTAACAACTTTGTTCTTCATGGCGACGTTTTTTGATGGTCTTTCCGTCGATGAAAACCTGAACCTTGTTTGTTTTGGTGTAGCCGGAAACAGAAGATCGTCGTCAGCAGTGTTGTGACGGTGTTTGTGACGTCTGATTTTATCGTAGTAGGTGTTCCGACGGTTTGCTACATTCTTTGGGGGCCTTTCCGTCGATGGAATAAAGCGGTTTGTCGGTGGAATGGACTTTGTGGTTCTTTCTGGTACCAAGAATGGTTGATTTGGTTCGAAGCCAAAGTTGTACGGTGCTGGTGTAGTAGATAGCACAAAGGTCGGGGGTGTTGGCTGTAGTAGATTGGTACTGAGTGGTGGTATGAGGGTGTTTGGTACAGGTGGAGCAGTTGGGATTATTAGTGGCGGTAAAGTTGGCAGAGGAGTAAAGGCTGGCACATTTGGTACAGAATTGGGCAATGGTAAGTTTATACTTGGTATGTTAACTGGATTTGATAAACTTGCTCCAGCTGGTACTCTGTTAACATCAGAAGGTACAACAAAAGGTTGTTGAGTATATGTTGGCACAGGTATATTGGGCAACGTGAACAAGTTGGTATTACTAGAAGGTGGTGTAGCTAGTACAGTATTTAAGTTTGGGGGTTCAAACCTTAATGGAGCTTCTCCATGTTTCAACCGGTCCACTTTGTTTTCTTGTACATACTCGTCATTATCATTGTCTCGATATAAAACTGAGTTCGTGGATGTTGTTGTAGATGAAAACTGATTGAAAAAGTTTTGGAAATCCACAAGATTGGGAAAAGAGTTTCGAATTGACAGTATAGGTGGTGGTGTTGTTGTAGGCTGTTGTGGAGTTAAGAAGCGAAGTTCAGGAACCGTTTGGAATTCTGGCATTCGAATTCGGTTGAGAACTTGTTGTTCTTGGTCGAGAAAGTGGTGCTGTTGGAGCTAAATTTTGAAGAAATTAATACTATAAAAATTAGGCCAAATTTTAGACATATTTTTATGAAAAGTTTTGCCTATAACAGCAAAATGACTTACTCCTTCAACATGATGTAACTCGGGCTCTTGGATAACTTCCTCGTCTAACTGTTTACTATGAATTACACTAGACACCACGTTTGGCAGGACTTCTAAACGCAGACGATCGGCTAGCGATTGGGTGTCCTAAACAGAAAATGAGCTTTTATTATTATTATACATTCAATAACTTTTCTTACAATTCTTTTAAAAATTCATTTAAAACTATAAAAAAGCTGCAATTGTAACATAAATTACCTCATTTTGGCCCGTTTTTTGCATTTTTCGAAAGAAATCGACCACAGAAATGCCATTTTCTCTTAAAATATCGACAATCTTCTGGCCAGATTTGGCCATCAAGTCTACAGAATCATTCTTTAGAAGTTTCTCTCTGTCTTGTAGACCTTGTGCCATTCTTTCCAAGTGCTTTTTATGCACAGTTTTGGCCAGTTCATTGCGGCCAAGCTTTAGAAAAGTGTCCATCAGTCTGAAGCCCATGTCTTCGATGGCTGCTCGTGAGGGTAAAACTGTGTGTAGAGGTGATTCTTGTGAAGATACTACTGAAATGGGTACTGTCATATTTTAACATCTAGTACAAATTGAGCTTTGTGATATGAATTTCAATAAACTTATAAATTAGACTGTTCAAGAAATTCTGGGCCTACTAACCTCAAAAATTTGCTTTAAAAGAGGGCACGGAACAAATTGAACGATCAAATAGGATAATGCTTGAGCTATAAAAATGAAAATTTATAAAAAATGCCAAAAACTTACAATTAAAAATAAAAACGAAAACAGTAGGTCTAACAAACATAATATTCAGAATGTGTTACAGAGCGCGATGTCGAATGTTTGTTTTGGTTGCAAACATTTACTTACTGTACTTTCGCTTTACACGTTTTCGAACATCTTGACATAGTTTTCGATCTTTTCGTTGAGTAATGTTTGATCTAATGCATAACATTGCTTTTCATGCTTGTTAAAGTTATTTGATAGTCATATTAATGCATAAAGTTACAAATTTTTCTGTAAATTTAATGTTAACAAGGAATGTACCCAAACTGCCCCATAATTTGCTCAAAACCTTTATATGAAATTTATGTACTACCAATAGTACTCATAAAAACTTTAGCTTGCGCTTTTAAGTTTTAAATCTTTGATATTTGAGATTTAATTTAATTTGCTAATTTGGCATTGTGTTTCAAACACTTTTTTTAATTTTCTAGGCAAGTTATGCTTAAAACTTTAAAAAATGTAGGTTCATTTAAAACTTTTCTACTAATATATAAAAGAAATATGACTAAAAGTCAAAAAACGACAAAGTTATAAACTTGAAACACAATGCCAGTTTAGCAGGAAATTCAAAACATAATTTTTTTGATCTCGATTTTCTCGAGATTTCCTGGAATCGCGATTTAGTACTTTGCTGAAGATCTTATATTTACATGACCTTTCTATATAAAAATTTTGAAGTCAATCAGAGCGGTCGTAATTAAATTTTTTTAAAGCTCAAAAATTGTTTATTCAAGGCATTTCTAGACGCTAACTACAAAAGTACAAAAATTATAAAAACGTATTGTAAATAATTTTAAAATTTAAGAATATTTAAATTCTTGGCTAAAATATTTTTGTTGCCAATTTTAAAGCACTATCCCATACTCATACAAACGTATTGTAACTTTAAACTGCCAGTTTTCGTAAATGTTGTCATCGCACCTCCAGGAACGACTCTAACGCTCAAGTAGAACTCCCAATAGTCATTTATGGTAAGTCGTAATCTCTTGTGCGAAACGTAGTTAAATTCAAACTTGACCAATCCCATAAGTTGAAACTTGTTGTAGACATCACGATACATGTGAATCTGGGTTGAAGGATCAGCTCCATGACATGGTGCTAGACAATAGTTGACCAGCATATCGTCACGAACCTACGGTAGTTACAGTTAAAGTTTTGACTTTATAAAGTTTCATATAGAGCAAATAGTTGCTGCTTAATGAAAAGTAATATATGGTAGCCCTTATTATAAAAAAGAGTAAAATAAATTACCACAGTAAAGTCAAAAACAAAATTGTCTTCATCGTTCATCAATGCCATAGAAAAGCGATACTTTTCAGGTATTGCTTCTATTGTCAGTTTCCTGCCTGAATAATAGTATATACTTTATTGTGATCAGTTTAACTTACCAGGTGACAATTTATCAGACAGATAGTATCCGCCTACTTCTCGGTCTGAATCGCTGGATTGATATGTCTAAATCAATGTTATCTTTATATGACACTAAAAGGTAAAGCGCATAGCAGCACCAATAAAAAGTTGGTATTTAGTAGTGCTTTTTGTTACAGTAGGTGTACGTTACCCCCAAGTTTGTGATAATAACCTGTTATTATAAATATAATTTCTTTTTATAATGTTGTTTAAATAAGTACGTGCTCCCTAACCGCAAAAGTGTGCTTTAAAAAAGCACTGAATTATTTGAACAAACTAATAATACCGGGGCTACGGCAGAGTCATCGTAAGACAATAGTAAAGCTAGGTAAAAATAAAGCAATGTCAAGCTCAATACAACAAGGTTAGGCTAGAATACAGCTAAACCCAAAAAAATGTTTCCATTATCTACCCAATCTTAAAAACGTTTAAAAATATCTTTACATCCATACACAAACTGTTCAGCCGCATTTGACCAGTCACTTGAAACTTGTTCATTCCAACTCCAGGATAAAGGTTGATAGGCGCATAAAACAACCTATTATTAATGTAAAGTATAAACGTCATATCGGTTTTATAGAAGAACTTTATTCTGTTCATTCCACCTAGATTGAGAAGCTGTATTTCTTCGATATGTAAGAGTTGTCGCGAATGATCCCATTCCTTGCAGGGGAACTTACAGTCATTTTGGACTATGTACTGGCCAATCTAGAGTAATGATGAAGTCTGACTATTACTATTATTATGGCGATAAAAGTAATGTTAGAAAGAAGTTTTATGCTACGAGGCACAGAATTATTTGAATAAAAATCATAATATTCATATAAGATTTCATTAAAAAAAGTTAAAAAATAATTTTTTAGTTAAAAGTATAACAGTAGTTTTACCCAAAAATGCAGATGAAAAATATAGTTTTCATCAATGTCCAGCAACGAAATCGAAAAGTCTCCAGATTCAGGTATTAAGACATGGAATACAACTTCGTGGCCTATAAGAATTATAATATAAAATTGATATTCAAAACTATTCTCCAGAAACTTTTTAGAAAATTGCAAGCTTCCTCTTTATTTGTCAAAAAAATATACCCCGCCCCCTAATGATAAGAAAAAAGGCGCGCAGACCCGGCTCGGTCTAGCATAGCCATAGAACTGGGCTGGTCTTGAGCTGACTTTGAAACGGGTCGGGTTTGAAGGTTGGCTTGGCGCGCGGGTCAAGCTTGAAAAGTAGGCCTGGACCCAAAATCTCTAAATAATTTTTAAAAATCATAAGTAAACAAACACGACCAAGCTTAGAATTTGTTTGACAGGCCAGGCCAATCATAGAAAGAATGGGAACGGGCCGGGCCTTAAATTGGCCCTGCTCGTTTCTCACCTCCTCCCCCTTTCCTAAAAAAACTGACAGCAACAAAGTGTTTTTATAATTTAGAATATCAAAATATTATAAAATGTACCGATATACAAAGTAGTAGGCAGTTGTTCAATATTATTACACGTAGCTAATGTGACAATCTAAATTTATGTTATGTTTTTTTTTTTAAAATAATCTCGGCTTTTTCAATAGCAACTTATTATACTTACAAAATAAAGTATTTTTATATACATTTTGTTATTACATATACACTTTTCAAATGTGGAATTTAAACGCAAAAGTGTGTTAAGCTTAATTTGTGAAAAATTTTAATTTTTATTGGTTTTGTGTGAAAGTTTTAACAAAAGGTTTAAATTTGTCAAATACTTTAAATCGTCGCTTTTTTATTTTACAATTTTAAATAATTAAATTCATTTAATGCTTAACTGCATTGGTGTGGGAACAAATATCACAGTTTAATATCACTGTTTAGATCACCAGAACAGATCTAAAATAAACTTCTATTCTAAAAATAGTCAATGAGTTAAATTTGCTGACAAAACTACCCTGGCTCTACAGACAGAGGTACCTGTAAAGCCAGTAGGATGGTTTTCTTATCGCTTTTCCTCAAAAATAGCTGTTTTCGCAGTATATTTTACAAGTAACAAAATAACTTGAAATAAAGATTAATTTACACATATATAGACTATAACGTAAACATTAGACACTTTACATAAATTATATGACAGATTTTTGAAACCGAAGGTTTATTTGTGAAAGTACTATGGGAGTATGATTAATGGGTTAGACCGATGACAATGTTTGAACCCGTAGTTGTCAAAGACCAGACATCAAATGTCACTTTAAATAATTAGAATTTTAGGTATTGTAGGTTAGAGTTAAATAATAGTTAATTTTGAAATGTCAATTCGAAAAATCCATTAATTCTTTCGTTTTTTCATTCTTATGCAATTTAAAAAATAAGTATTAAAAAATACATCTCTTCATGACAAAAAATGTCAGTGTTTTTAAAAACAATACTTGAAAAAATTTTAATCCTAATATATTGATAAAGCCTTTCTAAATGAGACTGCAGCCTAATCTTCAGGAATCACAATACTATCAATAAATATACTAAATAGACTAGTTTTTGTAGTAAAGACGATGTAAAAACCTAAAGCAATAGAAACTGACTTGAATTATGCGATGTTTTGATAGCATCAATGATTTTAGCAAAGACAGCACCATTGGCCTCGATTCTAAACTTTTTCTCTAGCATTCCAGCGGCCGAAGACTCCAACGGCCCTTGTTTTCGTTTGGCAGCTGCCCATCGACTCTGTGTAGACGACGACGATGAAGTTTCTGACGAATCTGTTGTGTCGACTTCCACTGAGTTGTTGTTGTGTTCCTCCCAGTCCAGTTTGTGGCCAAGGAAGTATCTGAAAACGAAAAAATAGTATTAGAAAATGTTAAAAGTTGTTAATTTTAGTTCTTAAAACAATTGAGAAAACAACAAAATTTAAGTTTGATCAAAAAGTTCATAGAAATTACTTTTCGCATTCTTGTCTCAAAAACAGTGCAAAATCCGCGGCCGCTTTTGATGTTATACTGCACAACGGCTCGATCAAATTCGGCGGTACTTCTAACGACCACCAGTAGATGATATGCACAATAGTCTTGATAGTCAGATGAGACTTCTCAAAAAAAGTCCCACTTCTGATGCTCTTCGTGGAACAGTAGCGCTTCTTTCGTCCCTCGCTGATCTTACAAATCCATCGTTTCTTGTCTATATTCTCTTGTCGACTGACTAAATGCATTGGTCTGCCACATCTTTCGCACTTCCTAGAATTGGGTAATAATCCTACGGAAGCTGCAAACTGTATCGCCGACCAGTCGTCCACAGTGGCTAGGTATAAGTCGTTCACCGTGAATTCTACCATCAGGTCCGTATTCAGCGGCGACCGTGTTATGGCCGTCATTTTTAACCCTAAAAGTAGTTTTTATTTTAAACAACTCTCTTGCGCCAAAAGTTTTTGATCATGCCACGCTGTAGCAAAGGTGAAACAAAAGTTGTATTAAACCATTAAACAGAACCCTCCATAAGTATCGGAATAAAACCGGTGGCAAGTACCCGCAGTAGAAAGAGTAGTAAGTACCCGCAATATAAACGACAACTCTCAAGGACTACTCGATCCCCGGAAGCGTTGAAATAATTGGCAGTGTGCCCTGCGGGCACCTTCTTCTCCCTTCAATCTGGAAACGCCTGAGGGCCCAAAAGGCGAAAAGCCGTTCCCTTTGCGGAGGGTAGCCTTGTCTCCATTCTGTTTCCTTGGCCACATCCTCCCTTAGGGCCCCGTGGCGTGAGGGCCCCCCTTTTTGCTCTCTCGCACAGGTACCCGAAGAAGAGAGCGGACGCCCCTCAAGGCAAGAAAAAATTCGGGCTGTGTTTTTCGCAGACTTTTTTGCTCTCGAAAAACAGCAAAGAGGAAATATTTCTGGGTGTACCCTCAGGCCACAAAGCCCCCACCATCACACGGCCGCCCCGACTCGTCTGTGCATGGAAACGAAGGCAAAGAAGGGTAACCACCATTTCAAACGCTTTAAAGGCCTGTAATTACAGACCTGCATTAAATGTCGCAGTATGTCATTTTAATGAAAACTAAGTTTTGAAAAGGTTACAGTCATTGTCATGTATAAGCAACATAGAGATAAGAGTAATAAGGTCAAAAGTAAAAGGTAGTCTAATTAAGAATATTTAAAATTTTTAGCTTTTGGCACAATAAAAAACAGTTTTGAAGCATGACAGTAACATAGAAAATAGGATTTAAAAAAGATTTGTGTTCACAATATTAGTCCAAAATTAAGTAGAACAACACAAATTTTAAAATTTTTTTCAAACTTGTATAATGATGATTACTTTAAAATTTATTTTTTAAAAGTTAACAAATCATATAAAATTTAAAAATTTTTAAAGGATAAGCCAAAACAACTTTAAAAAGAAATAAAATGTTAGGGCAAGTTACCTGAACTCAAAAGCCCTTTTATCTCCCTTTACTTCCAAGAAATACCTTGAAAACCCTCACGACTCCAGAAGCTGTTGACTTCTTAAGGACACGATCCGAGACGAAAAAGGGTCAAAGATTCGAGAGAGGGTCCCAGATCCTTTCAGTCCCCCCTCACTTCCCTTCTCGATACGACCGCAGGGGTTATTCATTCAAAAACAAAATAGCCAAGCATTGGTACCTCGAGAGGCTTTTCAATCTGTTATAATATCAAATTTTGCATGTAATCGTCATATGCAGTATAAAATGTAGAAGTTTAGCTTTAAAAACATGAGATATTGTGGTAGTCATCCCTCAATTACTTTACCTCACATTACTGTAGACCTACAATACGTTACCTAAATATCTCAACGTTTATCCAATTCCCCCTCCCTTATTAACATATCAAACTTATGACCCAGAAAAACGTCAAAGACATATTCACATTCACTCCGTCCGTATATTTTATCTATCTCGCCCGTTTCCTTGCTCTCGAATTTCCATGTCCGCAGGGTACCTAGTTATTCAACCAAAACGAAAAGTGGGCCGCACTCCCCTTTTCACGGACAATATTTGCCCTCAGGCACTCTTGGGTACCCAGCTCGAGAAGAGAGAGGGGAGCGGAGAGATTAGAGAGTCGAATACAGTTAACAGATGGTTTAAAAGTATAGGCCAACGGAGATAAACGGCCGAAACTAACGTAATGTTATATGAGAAAGGTGCTTATAGGCCATATAATATAGAAATTGTTATATAAACACAAATAAATATAACCATTATATTATAGAGCAATATTTTGGAAAGAACGAAGTTTTTAACGTAATCATTTTAATCCCGTCAAGGTTTTAAACAAACTTTTTGAGTACAAAACAAGTAAACTTTTAAAAAATTTAAAAAAAATAAAAAAAAATACTTAATTTTATATCAAAATTAACAAAAATAGGCATAAAATCACAGTAAAGTTGTAATTTATTCAAATTTTAAACAGTAAGTTGCCAAGCCAACACATGACTCATTATTACGAGTCAACTGTTTCTCTTAATTATTTTTGCAGAATTTTGTGAAAATATTTACTTTTAATATTTTTGTTGTTAACAACAAATTGATGGAAAATGCCTAGTAAAAGGATATCAGTGACTGGATTCCAATCTTTTGGATCTTATGACGTTAATCCATCAGAAATTATTGTTAGCCGACTGGAAAAACACGAGTTTTCTAAAAATTTGGACGTGGACTTTCGCCTCGTCGCTGTAAATTATGAGGTTGCTGATGCTTGTTCTGAACAAATTTGTGGCATAGACACTTCGGATGTACGTTTTCATATTTTGGAGGGTATGCAATGTTCTTCGGGAAATTTTTGAAAAGTATGGCTATTTTAGTTAGTGTCTATCAACCAGATTTGCAGGCTAAAATGAGGACTTGTTTTAAATTGCTTGCAGCACTGATGCTTTTTATGTCTTTTTTAAGTATTAATTGTGCTATTCAAAATTTTGTGTTGTTTTTACTGTTTTGTTACCTAAGATAACTTTTTTCAGTTCGTGATTCACATAGGAGTTCATCCAGTCCGAAACAGAATATGTTTAGAAAAGCAAGCCAAGGCTTTTGGTTATTGTAGTCATGATGTTAATGGTAAGTTGGTTAATTTCATGTTTATTATTTAAATTTAGGGCAAGTTCCTTTACACAATCGACCAAAGGTTTGTAATGGTCAGATTACTGAAGTTTTACAGTCAAATTTGGACACGGATGAAGTGATTAAGAATCTGAAAGGTGTTCCAGATTTATTGGAAGTTAAAACAAGTCATGATCCTGGAAGGTAAAAGCGATTTGTTTAGTTTAACATAAGCAATTGTTTAGTTTAACATAAGCGTTTTGTTTTAAACTTGTCATTTCAGATACCTATGTTCGTACATTTTCTACAGTTCTTTGGAGAACAACAAAGGGAATGCTTTGTTTATTCATATTCCCACTTTTTCAGAAGTGGCTACAGTTGATGTTGTCTCTAATATAGTGGCACAAGTTATAGAATCTATTGGGAAAGTCTTGTAAATAGGCGTGGTAGCTTATTCTATCAGATTGTAATTTTATATCAAGTTTACATTGTCATATCAGCTTCTAACATAGCTTTTTAGCATATCATCTTGCCTGAATAACCTTTTTTTATCAACTTTAACAGATTATGTATAATATTTTTACATTGGTTTTGTTGGGTATATTAGTCGAACGGGCGAAAGATTTTTATTTTTGTAAATTATGCTTGTTTTTGTGAAACTTTAAAATTTTGAAAAGGTTTGAATAAATGTATTCAAGTTTAAATTATTCGTATCGAAGAGCGGTCGGTTCTGATAATTGGTAGAAATGGTATTTTATGTGATCTTTAGTGTTTTTATCTTTCTCTTCTTTTCCTTTTCTTGTGGCAAGGATGGTCAGCATCGAGGTAAGTTATAGTTTATGCGTTTTATTTTCGTTATAAGCAATTGTTTTACAATTAAATACCAGCTATAGTTAAAATAAAAAGTGTTATGAGTTGTTTACAACAAGAATAATTTGTTATTTAAAATACGATTTTAGGTTTGGAAAAGACGCCCAAAAACGAAGGGAACAATGTACCGGCAGATAATGAAAAAAAGGTACCATCGACCAAAGTAGTCAACAAAGAAACAGGGAAACCCAAAACTAAGAGGAAAACCGAAGTCAAGAAGAAGAACTCGGACATGATGGAGGACAGCTCTCAATCACAAACTTCTAAGAAGACCAAGAAGAAAACCAAGTCAAAGATTAGGGTAAGTACAAGTTAATGTAATTAAAATTCTGTAGATTTAGCCGCTTTACTCTCATATGTTTGAATTAGTAATGTAAACATGTACATGTACTTTTAGAAGAAGGAAAGCAAACCGAAAGCTGATGCCATACTTGATACTAAAAAACTCAAATCACCAGCATCGATAAAGAAAACCAAAAATGTAAAGAAAAAAGAAGAATCTGACGTTAAAACTGATGGTAAGTTAACCGTAATGGTGCATTTTTTAATAATTCTGTCGTATCTTATGAGGATTTGAATATTTTTCATAAAATTTTGCGTCAAAAACTAATTGTTGAACCTTTTCAGAGAGCACTATTCTTTGCACACCGCAATGGCTGATCGAACTGGAAAAGCGAATAAACTCAGAGACCAAAAAACGACCGAAAAAGGAACAAAAAGTGCCGCCAGAAGTCCCGCAGAAGGAAGTGCCACTGGTCTCGGCAATTGGTACCGTCGCAGAAGCAGTACAAGACAAGACACAGGTCGAGGAAGAGAAAACGGCACTGGATGTGACAGAGAAAGAAAAGAAACAACAAGAAAGCATCTACTTTGGTGTACCTCCTCTAAATCCCGACAATTCGTAATTATGAGTACGAGGTATTAACATCAATTTGGTACTATTCTGTATCTGTTCTTGTTGGTAAATGGAGTTTATATTAAGGTGCTGTAGAATCCATCGTTGGGATCCGTTAGAGCTGTATTGTAAAGCTATGGGTTAGACGCTTTGTTGGGTCAAATCAAGTTTTTTGGTCAAGGAGATACGGAAAGACGTAATTTTTTTGAAAAATTAATTATATATTTAAAAACAGATTTTAAAAAGTTTTCTGGAATTTAGTTTGTATCATACTATTATCATTGATAACTAAAAGTTCGGTGAAATTTGATTTCAAAATAGTATCATACGTAAGCCTCACCGCCACGACAAGGCATCCAGAGTTATTGAAGAAAATTTTTTTGTTTTTTTTTATTTTTTTGGTTTTCTAAAATTTATGTTTTTAAGGGTTTATTTTTATTTTATTTTTTGTGGATTCTAAAATTTTATATTTTTTTTTTTTTATAAAGAGGTTATTCAATATGAAAATTTTTTATTTTAAAAAGCACAGGAAACATTAAATATTAAGATAAGTAAACTTACCAAACCTACCACAGTTCCAAGCTTACCAACTTCTTCGGAGCTTTCTTCCCCATCTTCATCCTTATCCAGTCGACCCTCTGAAGGCATATATGGTAGTGTTCTACCAGATTCTTCCGTTTGAACGCCTTGTCCGCCGTGCTGAATCCCTTGACCAGCATCTTGAACTCTTTCCTTACCTCCTTCCCCATCTGCTTGAATTCCTTCAGTGTTGCCTTCTTGGGTGCTCGACGAATGGCTCTTCGAACTGGAGGAGGCATCCGAAGACAGTCCAGTTCAGACTGGCTCAGTTGACTCGCCAGGCTCTCCGAGATTGCCAGCCGGCTGAAGGCGTTCTCCAGCTTCTTGCTCTTCGACTTCTTACCTTTCTTTTCCTTCGCCGCTTTCTTGGCTTCTTTCTCTTCCTTCTTCTGCTTCTCCTCGATCCTCTCCTCTACCAACTTCAACGTCTCCACGATCTTTTTAGACTTCTTCGCAGCCCTTTCAGCCGCACGGTGGCTCCAAGGCAATTCCGTGGCCGGAGCTTGAACCACCATGGAACTCGAGCTCAGAAGGCCAATTGTACCAGTCACAACTGGTACAATTGGGCCTGAAATGGTCTCAAGTTCCATAGGCTGGTTAGTTCTCCAGCTAGCGGTAGAGCCAGGGAACACAGCGGGTTCAGGAGCGCGGAAGGTGAAGGCGTACATTTTCTAAAGGTTGATCTCTAAAAAGTAAAGGTTATTATTGTAAAAGGTATAACTCTTGTTTATAGCAAGAGGTATGTCTTGAAATGTAGGTATAAACACGATCATTTATTAAGTTTAAAGCTTTTAACTAAGTGCACGACCGTCTGTGGCACCGACATATGTAAGGAGTGAAGATACGACGAAATGAAAATACAAAGAAAATGTGGTGAACTCTTTAGGTAAGATACGACGGTTACGTCAGTATCAAGTTTTAAAGCTTAGAGCCTCGAGGCGCAATCTTTATACGTTTCGTACAATATTTTTGTGCGAGCTCAGATAAGAAAAGTCCAAAGGTTAAAAACTTTTTAAATTGATATAACGGCAAAAATTACATGGAGAGGAATGAAGATTTTTAAAGTTTGTTAAAGGATTATTGTACTCTTTATTATTGACATACTACAAGTAGTACTGTAAATATTCGAAATGCACCTTTTGGTAAAGAATTCAAAGCTACATTAGAATCTTGTTATGAGCAATCTCGTTATAAGGAACTTTTATTAAAAGTTATTGACTTTTTAACCGGACCCTATTGTAGAAACATAATCAATATAATATCAGTTTATAAGACCATGTTACATATTGATGAATTCAATAATTTTTAAAACTTAGTAGATCAGACGTAAAAAATATACCAAACCGATCACGAAAGCGACAAATGTAAGGAATGAAGATAAAAAGGTAGTAATAAGGGCTTGTAGGCTTAGGCTTGACATAAATTGTGCAATTAATTATTGACCTCTATTTTGTATTAATTTTTGCCACGGGTCGTAACCATCATCTCTCGAGGTAAGACAATCATGTTTTATTTAGCAGTACTAATATTTAATCTTTACAACCTCGAGGCGCAATCTATACTCATCTCGTACAATAACTTCGCGCGGGTCAGAGAAGGAAAGTCAAAAGGTTAAAAACTTTATATTTTTATAAATGGTACTGTAAAACTATGAAATAAAACTTTAGTGTAAAGAGTTTATAGCTGCGTTAATATCTTCGTATGAGGAATCTCGTTATAAGAAACTTTCATTAAAAGTTTTTTTTTCATTTTTTTTAAAACTTAGTAAGTAATAAAGGAAATTTAAATACAATGTTGCATTTTAAGCTTAATTATAACCGGATTTTATTTGAAAAATAGTATTAATATACAACAACTTAAAAAACCATATCACATATTATTGATTTCATTAAGTTTGGCAAACCAGTAAATCAAACGTAAAAATATACCGAACCGCTCACAAAAGCGACATATTTAAGCAATGAAGAGATAAGGGTAGTAAAAGGACTCATAGAGAGGCTTTGTAGGATTAGATTTGGTATAAGTTGTGCGACCGATCCTTGACCTCTATTTCTATATCACTCTTTGCCCAGGGTCGTAACTTTTAATAACTCGAGGTAAAATCAAAGTTTCCAAATATAAGTTTTATGTCCTATATTAAATTTATGTCAAATTTTTATTATTTTCAGAAAAGATTTGACAATTTGGTCGGTTCTGTCATTTAGTACCATTTTTTCGGTCGCAGAGCAGTCGCTTTTTGTTCTCGACTCTAGGGATGCCGCCAAAGAAGACTGTAGCCAAGATGCCGACAGTCAAAGCCAAGGTAGGTTTTGTAGTTATATTTATGGTTTTATGATTGCATAATATTAAATGTATGGTTTTGTCGCTATTTTTTTTATTTAATTTCAAAATTTTAAGGTTTTGTAGTTTACTATAAGTTTTTAACGGTACTCTATCTAATTATGATCATTTCAGTCAACGAGAGCTCGCAAGCCAACACAACGTGCAAGCAGCTCTAAAACTCCGAATCAGAAGCTTCAAAGCTCGCCTTCTTCATTGTCGTCGTTGTCGCCAAACACTCGTGCCAACACCAGAAGAAACTCCATGACCAACCCAGCTCCGGAAGACATTTTTAGTGATTCCTCTTCTGACGACGAACACAGAAGCCGATCTCGGGAACCGCGCAAGAGTGGTAATGCTACAAAAAAAGTATTCAACAGAACAAGATCAGGATCAAGAGATAGCGAAAGAACAGCCTTGTCCAAGTCTAGTGCTGGTGGTCCTTCAACTGTGTTCAGAAGTCCGTCACAATCTCCATCTTCTGATTCTTCTAACACCAAAAGCAGAGATTCATCGTCGTCCAGCAGAAGCTCAAGTGAGTCGAGTGACACCTCGACGACCTCAAGCAGTAGTTCGACAGCCAGCAAAGGCTCAAAGAGATCACGTGGTAGTGCTAAAGCTAAGAAAAGAAAGAGCAACCCAAAGGGAAAACGATCGAGATCAAACAGTGCTAATTCGAGGAAGTCGGACACTTCTCGGACTAGCGTCAACTACTACACTAATAGCCTGCCACGCGGCCTGGACTGGAATGCAATTCAACAAATGGTGCCGCCGCCGTACGGTAGCCCTTGGTCTGGGTGTGGTATGCCAATAGATCAAAACGTTAGGAGAACTATTGTAAGTGATTCTTGATTTATTTAATTTTTAAAAATGGATTTATAAAATTTTGATATTTTTTAAATAAAAAAAAGAATATTGCATTTCAAATTAATTTTAATAGTTCAATTAAAAATTTTATTTTCAGATGAGGCCGAAGCCACCACATTACAGCAACCGCACCAAACGAGCCAAGATTGTGCTCCAGGTGTCGCGAGTGCGGAATCAGATGAAACGTGAACGACCAGGTAAACGGATCGGGCACAGAACGGCGGTTGTAGTGAGTGCAATCGCCCAGTATATCGTTACGGAGCTTCTGGAGATGTCGGCGGACGCTGCGGGGCTTCTGAAGAAGAAGCGAATCACTCCACGATGCTTGAACATGGCCATCCAGACGGACGAAGAGATGGCGTACCTCTTCAAAAATGACATAATCGCTCACGCTGGCTACGTAAAGAAGTTTTATTGATCAACTAATGTAAATGTAGATTTACTGTAATTTTAAGAAACCTAGTAAATTAAATGAAATACCAAACCGCTCACGGAAGCGACATTTGTAAGGAATAAAGGGTAGTTAAAAGGGCTTGTAGGCCTAGGCTTGACATAAGTTGCGCAATTACCTCGACCTCTTTTTTTACTTTACTTTCTGCCAAAGGTCGTAACTACGATATCTTGAGGTAAAATTAAGTTCAGTTTTTAAAAGTATACGTTGTATGTCTTTTATCAAATTTATTAAAAATTTTAAATATTTTTTAAAACAAATGGCTATTTGGTCGCTTAATTCATTTGGTACTAGCTTCTTGATTGCCATTTTATATTTCCATGATTGCTTAATTGTAGATGTAAGATTTTGTTGTTATATCGTTTTTGCAGTTCAATTTTGAAGTTTTAAGGTATTGTAGCCTACTGTAACTTTTTTCTATTAAATTATATTTATGCTAATTTCCGCAAATAAAACTCGCAAGCCTACAAAACCTGCTTGAGACTGACAAATGCATTTTATTTATAGCAGTACTAGTTGATCAAGTTCATACAAACATATTGAAGATTGGCATAACCGGTTATTTTAAACTTTGTCATTTTGATGCCTTCTTTAATGTTGACGTTCAAGTAGAACTTCCAGACATCGTTGATAGTTAGTAGCAGTCTTCTAGGCGACACGTAGTAAAACCCAAACCTGTTCTCTTCGAAAGTCTTTATCTTTTCGCCTACATCTCGGTATAGTATTACCTTGGTTGACGGATCAACTTTGTGACATGGCGCGACACAATAATTGAGTGTCATGAGATTACGGAACTACAAAACGTATAATATTAATTTTGTTAATCAACAGTAACATTACCACGTCGAACCAGAAAACAATATTGCCATCATCGTCCGATAACTGCATTCTAAACATATGGGAGGTGATGAACGTTTTGATTGACAGTTTCTTGCCTATAAAGTAAAGGTTGGTTGTGGCTGAACTTACCTGGATCCAGCTTCTCGGGTAAGTAGACTTGTTCTGTTGCCTTATCCGAAGCAGTTATAATTAAAGTCTAAATCAATATTGTTATGATAAAAATAGCTCTGCAACCCTTATATACGCTTATCAACACTTACATCCATGCACATCTCTTCGTATTGAGTTAAACTGCCACTGAGCTTATACTTTGTCACTTCTCGTCCAGGACGAAGTCTGTTAGGTACAGTAAACATTCGGTTGTTAATGTAAACTTCAAACGTTGACTCAGTTTTGTAGTAAAGTCGTATTTTGTTCAGACCAACAAGGTAAAGGTACTTGATCTCATTAATGTACGTGATCTGCCTTGTGGCGTCAAACTGCTGGCACGGAGCTTCACAATCATTGAAGATGATGTGCTCGCCAATCTATATTAATGTGATTCAAAAAGTTTTACTGTGTTCTAAAATTCATAACAAAAATAATGTAAAAGTTATGGTTATTGTTTAATATAAGATAAAAAACGTTAACAAATCAAATTTAAAGATTAATTACAGCGTTACAGTAATCCTACCAAAAAGTCCAAGTGCAAAATATAGTTTCCTTGCCCATCAATCAATCCAATAGTAAAGTCGACGTCAGCGACAATCACTTTGAACACTATTTGATGACCTATAAAACTCATTCAATAGTAATGTATGCAAATTTTGAATGACAGTAATTTTATACAAAAAAATATTTGTTAGTTAGCTCAAATAACTACGTGCCCCTTCGTCCCAAAAATTTGCTTTAATAGGAGCACAGAATTATTTGAACTCCCTAATAAAACACAAAAAATGCTCTACCAACACGCAGCTCAGCGAATAGATTATCAACGTATCCAGCATGACAGACACTGGCAGCTAGTACATTTATCTAAAAAATTATCTGATTGTCGATAATTTAAGTTTAGAAGTTATCATGCTTCACGGATAAAATTTACTTACAAAAAAGAGTGCTTTATTAAACATTTTTAAAATCAAAGATAGTATTACAACGATGTTCGCAAGCAATTCTAATTAAAAACTCTAACTTTCTATTAATTTAATATGTAAATTTTTTGAAAAGTCGTTAAAAGCAGTTTGATCTGTTCGATGTGCTTGTGTATATTTAAAGTTTACGCTTTTAAAATTCACAAAAGAATTTAAATCTCATTACACTAAATTGGTTTGTGAACATTTTAAAATTGTTAATGCACAAATTTGAAAAAATAATTCATTTAAAAATCTTAAAAATAAAATTCATAAGCAAAAGTACTCGACCTGCCTCACGCTGATTGACTTGAAACGTTTTACATAGAAAGATAATGTAAATACAAGGAGCAACGTACTAAATCGAGGTTCCCAGTCAACCTCCAGAAAATCGAGATCATAAAAATACGTTTCGAATTTTTCGCCAAATTGGCATTGTGTTTCAAGCTCATAATTTTATTATTTATATATGTATTATATGTAAATAAAAGTTTTAAAAATATTTTACATCGCCGCAAGTTTGAAAAATAAAATTTTATTATTACTGTCTTTCCAGTTCGATACAACACCAATTAAACGAAATTAGAGATTTTTAATTGAATTTAACAAAAAATGATCCAAATTGAACTCATTTATTCACAAAGAACATGTTGCAAATCGTAGTTGTTTGTGTAAGTATCCATTTTACTTTTTTTAAAGTTTAGCGACGATTACTGTGATCACATCTGTGACTTACAAATACTGTTTTAGTTAGTGATAGCTACCGTTGTTGATGGCCGGCCGGGGGACACACAAGGTTCATTGCCTTACCCATATAAAAAATCTTAGTTTGCGGTTTTAAGTTTTAAAATTTAAATATTTGAATTTCCCGCCAAATTGGCAAATTTGGCATAGCGTTGCAAGCACTTTTTTCAACCTTCCAGACAAGCTACGCTTACAAATTTAAAAACGTAGGCTCATTAAGAGGTTTTCTACTAGTACATTAAAGAAAAATCATTAAAAGTCAAAAAGTGGCAGTTATAAGCTTGAAACACAATGCCAATTTGGCGGGAAGTTCGAAAAGTGATTTTTTGATCTCGATTTTCTCAATACTGGCCGCAAACCGCAACTTAATAATTTGCATAAGATCTTACATTTACATGACCTTGCTACAAAAAAGTTTGAACCGAGCGTTGCAGGTCGGGTACCTCCTTTGTAAGCTTTAAACTAAGTTTATTTTGATTAATACCTAGATAGTTTTATAAAATTTATTCTTTTTTAAAAAAATGCAATTTATGTCAGCCTAACATAAATTTCTAGGACAATACGTAGTATTTGTCCTTGTACCTAAACAACAGTCATTTGTGATCAATTTGTTGGATAGGTTTGGCAACTATCTTGTAAATTTAGATTTTCAGGTAAAATTTTTCGTGTTGAAAAAGTAAAATACGATTGAGCTATCTCAAACTAAAATAAGTTTTAAATTAAACATAAACTTACTACATTTTATGCTACTGCCTATAGGTGCGACGCTATATAACGTTATATTTCGTAGACCCACAACCATGTGATTGTTCAAAACTATAGAAAAAATCACTATGCTTGGTTGCCTGAGAATGAAGAGTATTACAAAAAAGAGATAGACTATCTGAATCTAAACGAACTTAACCTGATTCGTATCACGTACTTAAACGAAAACTCTTGTGAAATTTCCATCAACGGAAACAAGTTTAATATTCCGTTGAAATTGAATGGCGGAGAAAGGTTCACGGCCTATGAAGTTAATGGTGGTGATGTCGAGTTTAATCACATGAGTGTGAGCCGTTAAGGCATATCTTGGTTATTTTTTTGTTTTGAATAAAATATGCTTTAGAGATCATCTAAAAAGTTCAAAAAAATTGGACTTTCCTGTTGTTTGTAATAAAAAATTGGAAAAATACTGGAATTTTTTTTGATCCTTGCTCTAGGTCAAAATAGGACAGTGGTGACAATAAACACTAACCGTTGTTTGTAAAATCTTTATTGAAGCAATCTCTATTGTGTAAAACACTGTTTGATCTCAGCTTAGACTGTAGTAATGAATTAGTAATACTTATATTCTTCTTGACCCATAGGAAAAAGTATAGACCAAATTTGCGCTTCGAATAGGTATGGTTTATATAAATATTTCTTGAAGGTTATTTTGGTCTTCTAAATAATTTTTGTAACTTGTAATCTTAGGTATAGAATCAGTACCCAAATTTAAAACTTTTGGCTTTGTCTTTAGCTCCGGCTTCGCTTTTTTTAATTCTGGTACCAGCTTCTTAAGCACTTGAAAACTCTGAGAGTAATACTTGTTAGCACCTAACATACATTATTAGTTTTCTGATAGTTTCTATGTAAATCATATTGAAAATTAATAACAAAAAAATGTAAATTTCATTTGGTTATTTTCTCAAGCCAATAGAAATAAAAAAAAACAAAGAAAATAGAATGCTTTTTAAATTATTATGGACTGTAAAGTTTTAAAAATGTATCTGAAGGCCTTGTTTTGTGTGAGTAAATTACCATTATTTATAACTATTTTTAGTCATAATAAATTATTGATAATTTAGGTTAGTTTATTAACTATAAGTGATGCAGCTCGTTTACCCGCTCCGCTGTTACCTGGTAGGTTAAGGTATACAGTTTATCGTTACTTTACAAAACTTTGAGTTAAACTTTTAATTTAAAAGTATGACATTTGAAAATAATTTTTAATTTTGCAATTTGACTTTTTTCCTTAGGTATTGGCGAAGCGACGTTTTATGTAATACCTGGTAACACAGATTTCGCGATTTCGTTGGTTGATGAATATGGCAGATTTATTTTTCATTTTCACTTTTGGGTGAGTCAAATATACGTTTCAATAGATATGCAGTGGAAGTACTGTATAACGAAGTCTTGTATACCAAAAATCTCGTATAGAACATCTTTTGAATTTGCGAGCGATTTGTTATACAAAGGGTTTGCTAGTGTAGGTGAGGTTTGGGTAGGGCTAATAAGAGACGTGTAAGCTTAAATAGAGCTGAAAAAGCATGGTAGGGCAGGATAAAGCTAAAAAAAGCGAGGGTGATCTCCGGGGAGGAGGGGGGGGTTTACAATTGTAACAGTACAAAAAAGTTGAACATAACATAAATTTATGGCTACAGATGGGTCGTCATATCATTCAAAACGACTGCGAAACGCCATGTAATAACTGGGACGAGTCCACAGAGATCAGTTACGACAAAGAAATACATTATTTGAATCCGGTCGAGACGAATACAATCAGACTCATCTACAAAACAGCTCACACTTTTGAAGTTCACATCAACGAGAACGTGTTCGACGTTCCGGTCAGACTGAAGCCTGGCAATGCATTAACAAAGTTTACTTGCGAAGGCGATGTTAAGTGCCAACATTTGTGTGCCACTTACAAACCTACATAGTTTGCTTTAAATAAATGTGAAGTTGCTGTTTTATAAATCTGTTCGGTGTGACCAAATTTAAAAAAAAGTTTAAAACATAATAATTTTTTTCAAGCAACGAACGCCGATTCAGTGCAATAAGTTGACAATCTTTTTTCACTGCTTTTACTGTGAAAAAATGACAAAGTAAGTATTTTCATTTAATTTGAAAACAAGTCCAACAGCAAGGAGAGTGCTCTACCTGCCAGGTTGACTTCATACTTTTTATATAGAACGATCATGTAAATATAAGATGTTTAAAAAAGTACTGAATCGCTCTCTCTTTCTAGTAACCTCGAGAACAATCAAGATCAAAAAGTTACGTTTTGAATTTCCGGCCAAACTGACACAGCGTTTCAAGCTTATGAACTTTGATATTTTTTGACTTTTAAGCATTTTTCTTTGATATACTAGTAGAACGTATAGCTCTAACTTTTCAAAGCGGTAAGCGTAACTTGTCTGAAAAGTATGTAAAAAAGGGCTTGAAACACAATGCCAAATTTGTCAAATTGAAATCCAAATATTTTATTTTTAAAACTTAAAAGCGCGAACTAAAACGTTTTAATTGTACGATCGATGGTGTAAGTAATTCATGCAAAAATTTTGAGCTGATTCTGGGTAGGGCAGGTTTCTTTCTTATAAAAAACTAAACTCTTTGGTTTCTAAAACATAATGTAAGATATTACCGTAACTAATGATTGCAAAAAGTGAATTAAATTTGATATTTTTCTCAAGCCAATGATACAAATGAAAAAGATAAAAGCCATTTTTTATATTTGCATTTATTGATACTTTTCTACCATGTATACAAAACTCTTGTTTTATGTAAGTAAACTTTCAAGCCAAAACTGAGCTACTTTACATTATAAAAAAAATTGGGATTAAAATTTTATTTTTACTGCTTTAGGTTGCAGTGTTATCTGTCAGCAATGCTGCTCGCTTACCAAACGAAATGACTCCAGGTGGGTTGCTGTTTAACTTATACTACTTTTGTTGTTAAGGTTCTGCTCCTTTGAACCTAAGGAAATAACTATATTATATATATAATTAAAATAATAGGTTAATAACATTTTTTTGCAAGAAAAAGTGTTAAGATCACTGATAACTGTTACCTGATTTAGTTTTGTTGCAGACGGCAGTGAAGTGTCATTTGCTTTTGTACCTGGCAAAACAGACTTTGCAATTTCGTTGGTCGATGAATCTGGCGACTTCATTTTCCATTTACATTTTTGGGTAAACCTACATTCTTCATATTTTTAAAAATTTTAAAATTTAACTTTGATTTCGAATATTTTAATTACCTAGCATTTTCCGTAGTCAATTTTAACTTTTAAAATCTACTTTAATACAGTTCGACTTTAGATGAACAAATATATTATTCAAAACGACTGCGACTCACCTTGTAATGACCACTGGGACGAATCCAAAGAGATTCGCTACACTGAAGCAATCAGATATCTAAATCCGATGGAAATGAATACAGTACGAATTGTCTACACTGCGAGCGACTTGTGTGAAGTTCACATTAACGAGTACTCGTTCACCGTTCCGATCAGACTTTATCCTGGAAACCGGTTCACAAAGTATATTGCCGATGGGGATGCTATGTGGGATCACATGTGTATATCTTTGGAGAATTTATATTGAAACCTTTTATAATTTATTTGTATAATGAAGGGTTTCTAGACTTGCTACTATTTCGTGAGGACATTTATATAAAAATAAACTTTCTTTTTGAAAAGTGGATCGAAGACAATGCTGGAGGAGAGAGACTGATAGAGTTAAAGAAAGAATTATATATACTTGACTATTTTGCACGACATTGTAGTTAAGTATAAATAGCTAAAACTGTAACAATCAAAAAGCCTCAGAATTCAATGCAAAGTCAATAAAATTTTAATTTTTGAATTTAAAAATGTTTAATCACACTTTTTTGATCCAACGCTTATCATTAGCAGCTATGTTTTTAAAATTTTTATGTTTTGTAAGTAAATATAAAATGATATTGTCATCAAAACACTTATTGTTATACTGTTAAAATGTGTACTTTAGATGACTATGTTAGAATCACGTTTTGCCTTGGTTGTTAAACGTTTACCTACCAAGCTTCATCCTAGTAAGTTATTTTTTAAAATTTATATGTAGGGTCGAGTAGACCCGGCCGAGACCGGACTTACAATCAAACCGTGCCAGTTTTAAGCTGCTATTTTTGAAACGGCTTAGGCCTAAAAGTTGAACACGGTTTGCAAGCCAGGCTTGAAGGGTAAGCCCGAAGGCTCAAAAAAGTTTTTAAACGGATTTGGCTAAGTTGGGCCTAGGATTTTTTTGAAGACAGGCCGGGCTTAAACATTGGAACTTAACCCTGGGCCAGGTTTCAAAAGTGTGCCCGACTTGTTTCTCATCCCTACTCTTTATCGCCCAGCTTTACCCTGTGTATGTTAATTCCTTTTTTAATTTTTTATAGATCATGAGGTAGTGCTCAAAGTTTTCGTCACCAATGATGACTTCTCCCTTACATTGTTTGACGAGCTTGGAAGTTTTATTTTGCACTTGGATTTTGCAGTAAGTTTAAGTAAATAAACAAACAATTACGGTAACATACAACGGCCAGCTTGGTCTTTTTGTAAAATGTATATTGCACAATTCTTGTTATAAAAGTTGTAATTTTTGTAAATTTTCTTTTAAAAAATATTAAAGCACTAAAAATATATTTTTAGGTAGCAGGTCAATATATAGTCCAGAACGACTGTCTAACACCGTGCACAAAATGGGATCCTCATCGTCGTATCACATACAATAATGAAGGAAAGTACCTAAATCCTGGAGGTATAAACAAAATAAAAGTTTTGTACAAAGGTCGCAATTGTAATATTTACATTAACGATCAGATGTTTGTTGTGCCTATCAGAATCAGACAAGGCGTTCCACTAACGTTGTATAATCTGTATGGTGGTGCTACTCAGTTAAAAGACTTTTGCATGGATGTTAGTGATTTTTGAAAGTTTTACAGAGTAGTTTATACTTACTTTCTATTGTATATTTTACTTACAAGAAAAGTAGATTTAAAATTATTTATTTTTGGTAATATTTACAATAAAAATATTATTGATCTAGATGTATTGTCTCGGAACACAAGATTACCGAACGCAACCACACAATCTTACTTTGCCCGAAACACTAGTACCTGGTATGGTAAACTATCAATACTTATATACAGTTTTTAAAATATACTTTGACTTTCTAAGTACCAGTATCAAATATTATTTGGTTGTTCACTTAATTCTGTGCCATTCTCAAAGAAATGTTTGGAAATAAGGGCACACAATTAATTGAATAACTTAATAATATAGAATATTGTACTTTTACCAATTCTTTTACAGGAATGAAGTTGACGATCGATGCCATAGCCTTCAAGAAACAGTTCACCATGTCTCTGCTCGACGATGATGACAATATTGTAGTCTTTATTATTGTGGTAATTTTTATGTGAGAATTTTTAGTTATATTTTCATATAACATTATATAGAAGTTTGTTCAATTAATTCAGTGCCTTCTCTCAAAGCAAATTTACAAAGTTTGAGGCACGGAATTATTTGAACAACTTAATAAATAAGCAATTATCTTACGATTCTTGACTGTAACGTAACATAACTTGTAGTATGATGGCGCGATGATGTTCAACTGCTGTGTCGCACCGTGCAAAGGATTAGACCCGAACAATGAAATAGTACTGGCCAAAGACAGTACAAATGTGATGACTTTTAATGAAATGTCCAAGTTCGAATTTTTTTACTGGAGGTCGTCAAATATGCAATTTATAATTAACGACGACATCAAGTTCTACTTACCCATTAAGATCAACCCTGGGGGTGGATTGACTCAGTTCAAAAAAGATGGGTTTTTGCAGCTGGACTATGTCTGTATGAAGATTGCCGAGTAATGTGTTGGTTAGAAATGACAGAATATATTGATTTAGATTTTAATATGATATTATGTAAAAATATTGATGTTGGCTTAACTTTCGAGATTTAATAAAGGAATGTCATACTCACAAGGAAAGTACCTAACCTGCTTCGCTCAGAATCAGCTTAAAGTTTTTATGTAAATGCTTTAAAAAAAATTGATCTCAAAGTTCATTTTGTTTGTCAAAATTAAATATTTTTTAAATTAGTACAATTTGTTCTCAAACCAATCCTGATGAACATTTAAAAATCAATTTAATTCAATGTAAAAACAAAAATTGTAATGGCTAGACTAGTCTGGTAAAAAATCGAAAACATATTATTTTAACTAGATTTATATTTAAAGTTTACATTACAAACAATGTATTTTAATATTCAGTTATTCGTAAGTAAATTGTCATTTTTTTCAAGACATATCTTGTTCTAAAAAGTAATAATTTAATATTGATTTAGATAGCTGTGCTAGCGGCATTTGAATTTGTTGGTTCTCGCGCTGAGCATTTTAATCGTTTACCTGTAAAGCTGCTTCCTGGTGAGTAACATATGAATTGTGATATATAAAATAATAAGGAAAGTACACAAGCTTTACTACTCAAAAACTTTCATATGAATTCTTTGCAACTCTAATAGTACCTATAAAAAATTTTAGCTTGCGTTTTAATTTTCACGTTTTATATATTTGAGGTCCACGTCAATTTGGCAAGTTTGGCATTGCGATTCAAGTACACTTTTGACTTTCAAGACAAGCTACGCTTACAAATTTGATATTTTAGGTTTATTTCAAGATTTTTTACTAGTATATTACCGAAAAATTATGAAAAGTCAAAAAATACCAAAGTTATGAGCTTGAAACACAATGCCAATATGGAGGAAAATTCAAAAGAAATTTTTTAAGCTAAATTTTTTCGAGATTGACTGAAAAGCACAATTTAGTACTTTGCTGATGATCATTAACATGATCTTCCTATATAAAAACTTCAAAGCCAATCATAGCGGTGCAGGTCGGATATTTTCTTCGCTAGTATAAAGTAAAGTATTGTGACAAATACACTGATTTTAAAAAAATAAATTTTTAGGTCATGAAATAGTGTTTAAAGTGATTGTCAACAACAATCACTTTGCAATTACACTACTCGATGACCAACACAACTACATGCTCTACTTGAACTTCTATGTAAGCTTACTATAAGATAACGACTCTTAGTGTTGATAAATCTTAAGTTGTTCAAATAATTCTGTGATTTGACTTCCTAAAATTTCCTTCGTGTCAGAATTATTTGAACTAAATAGAAAATTCTTTATTATAATCATTTTTGATTTCAATTCATACTAAACGCTTAGTAAAGGTGTTACTTTAGATAGGTCACTACATAACTCAAAACGACTTTATCGACCCGTGCACAAGATGGAAGAACCCAGAAATTCAATACAGAGACGAGATACATTAGATCAACCGGTTTGGAGCAAACAAAATCAAAATTTTGTACAAAACAGAGGAAAACTTAGAAATCTACATTAATAACAAGATGTTTGTCGCTCCAAAGAGACTTAATCCTGGATTTGCACTAACCAAGTACGTACTTAATGGTACTGCAGCTTTTGACCTTGTGTGCATGGATGTAAGTTATCATATCGGTCTTAATTATTTCCTTATTAATCATAATAAACTTATTATTAATTTAGACGGTCACTCTGACTGATGAAGACGTTGTGCACCAAACGAACGACTATAATTTACCAGCAATGCTGCCTCGTGAGTTTAAAATAAGCCATAATTTGAGAGTAATGTGTTAAAATAGCTAATATTATTTGCAATTACTAACATTAACGATTTTTAAAAAACTTTCATAGTATTACATATACTATATTATAAATAGTAGTACTAATTTAAAGTTTTACAAATTTTGCAATTTCAAACAAAGTTTTACCAAAAGAAATGTCATAATAAGCATATTTGCAGGAAAGAAGCTGGCAATTGTCGCATTATCCGACAGGATGCCTTTTTCGATATCATTGCTAGACGAGAATGATAACATTGTGTTCAACTTTGATGTCAATGTAAGATTACCCTGCCATTTTTGAAGTTACCTTCATAACAATTAAATATTTTTTGCTTAAAATATTTAAGAAAATTAGAATTTTTAGATATAGCTCTGAATGCAACAGTAAACAAGTATATAACCATGCCATACGGTTCTAACTAATATTGTTATAGAAACAAGGAGACATGGTCTACAACTATTGCCAAGCTCTATGCAGCAATGGGTTTGATCCAGCAACACGGACAGTTCTCAAACGAAATAGCTAGTTTATAATACCCAAGATGAAGATGAACAGGTTTGAGTTTGTCTACCTGAGGCCTAAAAACTTTTTATTTATCATTAATCAGTACAAGTTCTACCTGCGCAACCTACTCAACCCTGGAGTGGCGTTGATAAAACTCAGGAAAAAGGGCGAAGTGACGTTTCAGTACATGTGTATGACTTTGGTGGACTAATAATGACTTTGGTGGACTAACATAACTTTGCTTGAACTAATAATGACTTTGGTGGACTAATAATATAATTTTAATTTTTCCTTAAATTATAAATAAGTTAATATGGGTAGTAATATTATAATTATTTTTATATGTCAATCTTAAATTTTTAAGCTTTTTTACGAAGAATATAACACACAATTTACGTGGTATTCATTTTTATTCTACTGTAAAACGGTTTTTACAAAATCGATAATGAGCGAACGAAACGTAACAATTGAGTTGAAAAATAAAATAATTTGTTTTGTGCGAACATGAACAGTTTATGCATGTATTTCTTGTTGATCAATGCGGGAAAAGAAAGCTTTTCTTTTTTTCTAATATTTTAAAAGTATTGGGGTTTTTACAGCGAATAAACTTATTGTTTTATTTTCAGGTTCAAGACTATGAATCCAAACGAACGGTTAAAGAACATTATAAGAAATGAGTTCAGTGTTTCGAACACACAAAAGCTGGAGGAATATGAGGAAGAGCTTTATGATGTTATTGACAGCCTGATTCAAGAGTTCTCAAGGAATGAAAGCTTCAGTTCTTATTTGGACGATCTGATTTTTGAGCAAAGTAAGTTGTTTTGGGTAATACTGTTATCTGTGTTTAGAATTGAAAGCTGCAAATGCTTTTCTTGCTGGAAGCTCTACGTTGCCATGTTCATCTTCACAATCATCTGTTTCTGTAGCTTCAACCTCAGCGGCTTCATCTGTTTTCAATGTTAAGGATGATGGATTGAACGAGGTTAGAAAGAAAGCTGAGGATCTTTTCAAAACCGAACAGTCTGTACCTTCTGAAACAGATTCTGCTTATTATGGTTTTACTGGTGAAACGGAGGGATTGCAAACGGGTGAGGACGTTAGTGAGACGCAGAAGAAAGCTGAAGACCTGTTTAAAGTTGGAGGAACTTCTTGTGATGTTGTTAGTTCTTCAGTAGATGATGTGAAGGATGATGGAAAGATGTCACATGAAGCAAAGAGTCAGAAAAAAGATAAAAATGTTTCTAAATCTACACTGTCCGCTTCTGACAATTGTGAGGCCTCTACATGTTCAAAAAGCGTTATGATTGAAGAAAAGAAGAAACCTGAAAGCAAAGCTCAGAAGAAGGCTGAAGAAATAGTGAAAAAGACTTCGCCATTCTTAATTTCTTTTCACTATGTTTCTAATGTAAATGCAGTTTCAAGCAAAAAGCTAGCCAATAATGTGACAAAGGGTTGGGTGATTGTCACAGTGACTCCAAATGTTGTTGTTAAAGTCAAGGATTGCGATGTTTTGACTGTAAGTTTGTTTTCACTTTTTCATTTAAAGTTTTTTTATGTAAATAAAGTTTTTTTCAATTATTATTTGAAATTTTACAGGAAGGCTAATAAATATGCAGAATTTTCCCACTATTATTATTTTATGTATTTTTAGGTACCAGTTGGAACAGTCGGGAATTTATTCAACATATTAAAAAACTCGAAACTGGAAAAGAAAACAAAGAACATTGTTCTGTTTTTGAATAATAATGTTGTCAGCAACAAACTGAATGGAGGCGTCCGTAGTGTCATTAACAAGATTCAGGAGTACCACAAGCATATAAGCAGTAGTGCCAATTTATATGTTACAGAAACGGTAATTCCGAAATCAGCTCCAAAAGATGATCCTTTGTTCTGGTTCAATTCATTGGCCGTCTCAGAGTTTACTAATGGCCTGAAGTCTATGAAAATTATGAAATTTATGGATTCCGATGAAAATGTTGAATATAGTGAGGAGAAGATCGCTAGGGCGTTTGTGCTTTCGTTAATTGAAGTTAGAGGACAGTGGTTAAAGAAGGTAAGGGGTGGTCAAAGCTTTATTTTTTGGTTCTTAAAAATGGGTCTAAAAATGAAATTTTTTTACTAATGCTATACTGGTAAAGTTATCAATTCTAATTACTTTTTACTTACAGAATGCAAAAAATCAAAGCAAGGAAGTGAAGGACAAAGAATTAAAACCAAAAATGAAGAACGATATCACATCAAAAGTAAAACAAGTAGGAAATGAACAGAAAGCATCCAAAGTAAAGCCGGTATTGAAAGGGAAAGTAGCCAACGTGGATACCAAGTTGACAAGACGTCAAAAAGCAGGGATGTGGCAAAAGATGGCAGAGAAAAACGGAAACACAATTTTTATATGGGCACAGTTACCCAAACCGACCGAAATTTGGCCAGAAGAAAGCAAAAACTTTGAATTCATTCTTATTGTGGCTGGACATCAAGCACCGCCGAAGCTAAACGGGGTCTACACTTTAATGGTACTTTTATTAAAATTTCTTTTTTAAATTATTAGTTTTAGTTTAACTGTCATTATGCGGTTTTTATACTAAAAATTGTTATCGGAGTCATTTATATATCAGTCTTTCCGGAAAAGTATGTTACAAAACTGCACAGTGCAGTTTGAAGGAATCGCTGTCGCGCCGAGAATTGGGCGACAAGCGACAAGGTCTGCGACAGTCGCTTGCACCCGGCGACATCCCAATGGAAATCGCAATGTCGCAAGTGCAAAGCTTTGCGACAAACTGTCGTGTCGCGCTTCGAATGGCGATGCGACAGTGTGTCGCGGTTGTCGCAACACTCAAGCCACAACTGTGTTCAATGGAAAAATTGCGACACGTTTTTTTGACTGTTGCAAGTCATTGAATCCTGCGACAACCGACCGGTGCGGCACTGAAGGGATTGCACTGTGCAATCTTTCCTCACATCGTTGGCTGTATCGGGTGATCGCGCGGGAAATCTGCACTGTGCAGCGGAATAAAAAGGGCGCGATTTTCTCGGGGACTGCACCGTGCAGCTGTAACATTCTGTAGTGGAAAGACTGATAGTAAACATCTAATTTCAGTTCCCTTACCTGCCTCTACCCGACTTTTTGTTTTATGTGACATTAATGATCAGTCAGAGAAAACGAAAGTCCCACTACATTATAGCACCAAACCCACAATGGTACTTTGGCGACAAGATGGCTGACAATAACTGGATAAGCACTTTAATATTGAGGTTATCTCAACTGTACAACAATCTTCACATCCCTCCGTTCCGTTATCTTCATCTTCTTGGATATCCAACTGATCCGCAAGACATGAAGTTCTCAGGAAGATTAGGCAACTTCAACGTCATTTGCCAGAACATGTTGGAGAAGTTTGAATTTACCGATACGACAGTATTCCTGCCACCAAACCTGAAACCAGAAAGCGTGGAAAGACCGGACCTAAACGAATCTGTTTTGTTGTTAAATGAACTGGGGACAGACGTCTTGGTGAAGGCAGTACAATATGTGAAGGATAATGTGAGGAAAGATGTAATGATTTTGTGTCCAGACGATGAGCTTGAAGAAGAAGTTGTAAATATAGTGTCTATCAAATACAAGAAGAAACGGAAACAGGAACAGGAGTCAGCGGAAGTTGTGCTCAAGGACGTACCAGTTGTCTACCAATTGGAGAAAACAGTGCAAAACGTGGAGCCAAAAAGCGATGAAGAGGTAATTAATATTACGTTATAAATATTAATTTAATATCAAGTTATAGCTAAATACAAGAGATGAATTTTGCATTTTTTACCAAAGTGATCAAATTTTTTTTAGTTTCATAGTCAATGTGAGCTACCAACATCGCAACCACAATCGCCAGTCATCAGGAAATCAACACCAGCTATTAACCTGAAACGAAGATTCTTGCTATCAAAACCTTCTGTTCAAGGAACCGTGAAAGATAATACAACGATCAAACCGGAGATGGCAAAGCCAGAACCTGTTAAAGCAGAGACTTCAATTACTGAAAAGGTGGTTCTCAAAACAGAAGCTGAAGAAACTCTTGAAGATTACGAGATCGAAGGTCGGGTTCTAGCAGACGGGAATATAAATTTGCCGAATGTTGACATTGAAGAAGAAAAAGTGAAACTGATGTTTAATCAAGTTTTACATGTGCATCCATTGCTTTTGGCAGCAAGATTCAAACTGGAGTACGTGAAAAACAACGGAGAAATCTTCAAAGTGTACCAAGGTCACTACAACATGTTCCGCTCAGTTAGTGACTACTTCAATGTCCCGACCGAAGCCCTAAAGGACGATCAAAAGCTAGGCGAGTCTGTGATTGAAGCTCTTCGTAGATTTTCGGACTTCGGCTTAAAAGAACTTGGGAACAGGTTCAAAAACGAAATTCGGACCTATGAACATCTGATGACTCTTTGGGAAGCACCTGATGCCTTTGCCGGTGTAATTCTCAATGTCGAGTTTATACGACTTTTTGGTCATGGAATTTCAATGTCAGTCCCGCAACGAGAAGAAAAAGAAAGGAGGATAAGAGAACGGGATGAACAGAAACTGAGAGAAACACTTCGAAAAATGAGACCTGGACCACTTCCAACCAAAAGCTTTGAAAATAATAAAGGAAAAAGCTCGGAGGAAAAAGCAACAATCAAAGGTTGCGACACAGAATGCATGAAGACAAAGGTTGAAGACACGCAAAAAGGTAAACTTGAAGAACACAAAGAAGAAAAGAGACCAAAGCTGGAAGAACACGTTTCAAACACAAAACTGCCAGAAAGAACGATAAAGAAGCCTGAAGTACAGGAAAATAACCACATCCAAAGGTTTGATACCCACGCCGCGGTGATTCGGATGTGTTCGGTAGTAACAGACATTGAGATGGGAATTTCCTTCAAAATTTATTGTAATCGTTCGCCTATTAAAGGTGTTGTCCTCAAACTCTTACGGGTGTTTAACCCAATACGAGCGGATCAACTAGTACTAACCAAGGACGATTCTACATTGGGAAACGCCTTGAAGCTGGCTGTATGTTCGATGGCGAAGGAAAGGATCGAACATATTGGTAGAGCTTTCAAATTGGAGTTTCATGCCGTTGAAATACCAAATATGACGTCTACTCACTACGCAAAAATCAATAGCTTGACGGATAAAGAAGCTGGAGAACACTTTTTCAATTTTATACTGCCAGATCTAAAGTTTCCAGAGCGCTATGAAACCATTAATACCTCAGTAAGTAATTGTTCTGTATATCAAAATGTTTTAACTTGTTGATAATCTCATGAGGTATATAACATTATCATCTTTTTTCAGCCACTTCAAACAGCTAAACCTTCCACTAGTCAACCTCAAAGGACGAGTAAAACTGCTGATCAGGCAGACTCAAAACAATGTATGGTAATGTAAATACGGGCAAATCACTAATGATGTATCGACTTTCTCTATCACGTTTTCATTTAATATCGTCTTGTGCCTTCTTCTTTTGTAAATATAACTTAAAAAATTGTATATTGTTATTTTTAAATCCTCAAGTGCTGATAATAAACCTTCTCAATTGTCTTTATTTTACATTGTTGTAAAATAACACAAAAATTAAAATAGTGAAACGATTTATTAACTTCTGACACTTTTTCTAGCAAAAACGTAGAACTCTGCACTGTCAGATCGGCTTGCATCTGGTTTCACTACTCGACAATTACCAAACAAGCTTTCGACATCGTTTGTGAACTGTTTCTTTAGATGTCCATCCCAGATTTTGCACAAAAATGCTAGGTTATCTGAAGTCTTGAGTTTCGTTTCATTGTCATCACTTATAAGTTTGAGGACTGTGTGACATAAGCCAATTATACGCTCGTGGTCTATAGTTCTTGAACCTAAAGTAACAATATGTTTATAAACTGGCCATTTATGTTATTTGTCGCTATCTGAATAGCTATCAAACAATTTAAAACAATTTTTAGATGAACAAACGGTAAAACATAGACACAATGGTCCAAAACTATATAGAACCAAACCTAAAATACTATAAAATTACCTGTAGGGCTAGGAGCCATGTCGCTGATTATACAATCAACCGGTCGATCTTTGAGTCGTTGAGATATTGCCCTCTGAACCGCGGGATTCTGAATATCCGCCTTTGACAAGAAATCCACACCCCCTAGTGGCTGCATTGCTTGTAAATCAACACCAAGTACATATCCTAAAGGTCCGACATGTTCAGCAGCCACTTGAGACCAGGATCCTGGTGCTGCACCAACATCAAGAACAATGTCACCAAAAACAATAATTAAAAGTTTTTTTTTGGAAATATTAATAGCTTTTTTAAAATATGTAGTGTAAAATTCACAAAAGGTGCTATCCAAAGTACCATAATATAAATAACAATAACCTAAAATAACAAAAAACGAAATAAGCTTTACCTCGACGAAATATTTTTAGCTTTTCCTGCATTTCCAGCAATTTGAAGGCGCTTCTGGCTCGATATGAATGCTCCCTAGCCAATTTTGAATAAGAATCGTTGAGCTGGCGATCCAAATAACTTCTCACAGCTTTATTTTTCGTTTTTATTCCAGTAGAATACCCGCAAATCCGAGAAAACTTCATTTTCATAAAATTATTTTATTTTGGACACTTCGTCACAAAAATTATCGGAAAAACGGACGAATTGCCATCCATTGTATTGGAACTACGTGTACAATCTGTAGGTTTTGAACCATAATCTTGTTTACCATCTTTAATACCCGCTTCACAAACTTTCGATAAATCATTGGCTTCAAATCCAATACCTTAGGTAGAGATATTCATTTCAGAGCATTGAGTGAAAAACGTAACCTCCTTCGTCTTTAAATAATCCATAGCATTTGTTATCACATATTCTTCCATATCTTCTGATATCTGATCATTCGGCTTCGAAGACATGTCTCCAGTTTTGTACGGTAAAAACATTTTAAAGTCCAAAAACATACTTTCTTCCTTAAAAATCTCTGACATAGCGCAATTAAACTCCCCCAACCGTCCTTCGTATTCTTCACCAACCATCATTCCATCAGAAAATGAAGGAAATCCGAGCCAATAAAGCTTTGTAGCCGGTGGATTGTTAAGACCGTTAAACATGTGTATAATTGCTAATACAAAATCTTTAACTGATTGCTGATTCTCCTTGTTACAACTTGAAAACCATCTCTTGTTGCCATAGAAAACAATGTTTTTAGCTGACAAACCGATTGAAGAAGATATAATTGATATAAGCTTCGATATGTCGTCCACAATAATCTAAAATAACAAAAATTATCTACTATCCGGATAACGCGCTTTAAAAGTGCGAATAACTGTAAAGCTTACATTATAAACATCAAAAAGTCCTGTTTCTGATATTTCACTTTCTCCCATCAAAACTAATGTCCAGTTTGACCTTCCTTTAACTTTCTTTATTAAACTCGTGGCTTGATTATCAACACTGTTCTTCTCTGAATTGTCTACATTGCTTTTAGAAGCTACTCCAAAATCATCCGTAGGAGCACGACTAAAAATTTCCCTCAATTCTTTTACGTTCTCCATTAATTCAATACTACTACAAGGTCCCGTTTCATCTGAATATGAATCAAAGTTACGCTGATGAACATCAGCAATATTCTGCTCAAGTGCCGTCGTTGACGCTTCAGAAGCCACATGTGCTTGGCATCCATCAAAAAACTGTTTTGCCGCACAAACTCCTAAAACATAATAAATTTAAAAGAAAAACTTACGCGTTTCGAAGATTTTTTCGTTGAGAATTTGATAGAAGTCGCTGTTTTTTGAAAACTCGGTGCACAAGAGGGACAAAACATCTTCTAGTTCTTTTGAATAAACATTCAAAGCCGGATTTTCTACTGTATGCTCATCTATAAGTCGTTTTAATCGTATTTCTGACGTTTGTCCCGCCATTCTCTGAAAACAGGAATGTAAGTAAGATAAGGTAATACAAACAATAACTATTTATCTAAGATAAAGACCTTATTAATGACAACATCGACGCAGAGCCGAATATTTTTTTTATTTAATAAATAAATAAATACTAAATGTCACTATTGATTTAGAACTAAAAGACAAACAAAAAGAAAAACTTGACTCACTTTAAAGCTTGTGGGTCAACTTTATTTTTCCGAAAAATATTTTCACGCGACAAAAGTCCAATAGCGTTTGATATATCATGATAGTTAATCTTCCCTTCACAGGCGATTTGAATACTTGTGCGTTTCTGATCTGTAATATAAAATAGCTGCTATTTACAGTTAGAGCAGACTTTTGATGATCACGGTCGGAATATAAATTTGACGTTTAATTTTAGAACAGTTCTACAAAGGCAATTAAATTTTTAATTTCTTTAGTATGTTGTATGTTGGATAAACGAGAATTTAAAGGTTTATAAACGGGTTGAATTAACGTTCGCTGTTTCATCTCTTGTAACATTTTTTGACAATAATTTAAAAATTGTTCAGAATAAACGAACAATATGGATCAACCCTGTTGTTCACGAACAATATCTAGGCCAAAGCGACGGTTGACTTGCGAATCCTTTCTACACTTTGCCATTCACATGTCAAACCCCAGTTTGCGACCTGTGCGTGCAACACCATTTTCTTCTGGAATACAAACTGGTTCTTTTAATTCTGATGAAAATGCTACTGTAGACAATGTGAACTTAAGGAATGATAATCCCATTTTTGATGCTGTGGCCGCAGATGATAAGCGTTCAGAAGATAAAGATACAGCAAGAAATCTTGAAGACGACGAATTTAGTAACGATAAAAATGTTGGAGATGAAGACAATCGAAACACAGAAGATAATAACGAAGACGCTGATGTTAATGACGTTAACATTGAAGAAAACAAGTTATCTGAAATACAACAACAAAATAATCATGCTAATGTTGGTCAGCCGAGCAATTGTGTTGACAAAAAGACTGGTGATGACATGGAAGAAGGCGATGACAACATTCCAGCAGAAGTATACGATGATAACTTGAGGGATGTGTGTGAAATGTTACCAGGATTAGACACTGACGAAACTGAGCAGGATGATGAAGAAAGTGCACATCTCGATTTCGACGACTTATTTGAACACATTAATAACCAATTTGTTATTGCGCGGAACCAATTGGACGGAGTTTCTGGAATTGACAGTGACTTTGAGTCTGATTACAGCTTTTCTGATGGACGGCTTGGACGAAGAAGGTTTTTGAGATGTGTCGTAAGTTATCTTATGTTTTTTCTACTTTTAGGTTTATTAGACTTTATTGTTTCAATTAATTTTAAAAATTAACGAAAGCGGAGTAATGTTGGAAAACGTAAAATTGGACTTATTATAATTTAAAACTCAAACCTAATTGCATGGCATTATGATTTTAAGTTTATTATTATTTAGTTTACGTCAAGGAGAACATTAGCATCAATTCGCGAACTGTTCCGCGGCATATGGTTGGTTTGCGATTTTAGCGACAAAATACGATTTACTCAAGAAAAAAACAAAGAAATCCGACTGCCGTTCTGTGTGTCGTGTTCCAATATCAACCAGTTGACCACTTTGTTACGACTCATTCGTCCTGCCAGATTCAGACTTGGCGGGGAGTTTAATATCTCTTATGAGTCTGGATTTGTGATAGATCTACTGCAATATTGTGGTAATGTGTTTGAAATCGAATTGTGGACTTCGAACGAACCGAGGAACGGCCGGAAGTTGTTGTATGAGCTAGGACCACAGTTGAGAAGATTGAAGTGCGACTATGACTACTTGAGGACGACGGCTTTGCCTAAAATGACACTGGATGTTTTTGCTGGAGATTTTAGGACTGCTACAAGTAAATTTTATTTAACAATGTGTCATTTATTATTAAATTTGTATATTTTTCAGTTTTTACATTTTAAAAATTTCCTTAGATTATGTTTTAGGTACTATTGATGTTATGGATGTCTTTAAGCACGAAATTAAAGTTTTGGATTTGTCGAACACTTACTTCAATAAAATCACGTTCGAGTAAGTTTTAAAGTGCAAACAAATATCAATATATTATTCAAAAGTACATTTTGCACTGATTTGAATATTAACTATGTTTTACACGTAATGCACTTTGTTTTTCTGTTTTGCATACAATTTAAAGGATTAAGAAGTTATACGTGGGTGATCTTTTGTTTGGTTATTATGATTAGTACTTATTGACCAACATGATCTTTGTTCTACGTTACGACTTACATCTGCTACAACATAGCGCTAAAATATATTTATTTTAAACATCGTATCGAAGAGGGCAAAACGAAATATCATAGCACTTATAAGTCTCAAGATTATGTTAAAATTCTTAATTTTAGCACGGGTATCCCAAGTCCATGCGATCTCCAGGTACTTAAAGTAAAGTACAGAGCTTGTCACCGAGATCAATTCGAACCTTTCCTCCGTAACATGAACAATATCGTGCTGAACAAGTACACGTTGGAGCTGAGTTCCGATGAATTCTTACCAGAATTCCCGGATTCAGAAGTGTTTCCAAGGAACACGAGCGTTGAGCAGCTGTTGGATAATATAAAGAAGGTACTGGAAGAGTACAAGAATATCATCGGCGACAAGTTGGATCATATCGAAGCGAATGTCAAAGCTCGGATCTGTCGTCTTGCTCCTGCTGAGGTGGGTTTAAATTTTTTTATAAACAGATTTCACAAAAGTCGATAGTTAACATAACTTAATGCTAAAAAATTAAAGAAATGTTTAATTTCAACAACTACAAAATGGAATTTTATTTTACAAAAAATGTCGAAATTGAAGCCTCATTCAGTGAGCAAATGACATAACCTTTTGAGGTCCGGAGCTTTGGAAGAGTAATTCACGGAGATTTTTGTAGTCTTTTTCTTTCTAAAACATTTAAAATTATATTATCATTGCGTTAATACAATAGTAAAATCAACTTAACACAACTGATTCTGGTATATTAGTTACTTTATAACTGGCAAAAGTAATCATTATACCACACGTGAGCAACAAACTTGCCTTGGCCCAAATCTTGTCGTCCCACGACGCAAACAGTTTCTTGAATCCGGGATTCTCCTTTCCCTGATTCAGAATGTCGATTTGAGCTGTCTTGTGACGAGGCACTTTGTCCGTTTCCAAGTATTTCTTGGCCGTTTGGCTAGCCGCTTCCCGCTCTTGTTTGTTGGCACCGTCGCCAATCCACACGTAGATGGTGTTCAGAGCGTCCAGAATCATAACATCGTCTGTGTCCAGGTCTTCTTGGGTAAAGTTGGCGACTTCATCGATCACAAGCTTGCCAGTCTCATTTGACACGTTGTAGAGCTTGGGCTTGTAGTCCTGCGCCTTCTTGGTGTCGCTCCAGTTGGCGAACCATTGAGTGAAGATCTGGGGCTCTGCACCTTCTAGGACACGGATTACTTGGGTGTACTTGTTTCTTTTCTGAAATGGAAGGTCATATTTGTTTTTGAAAATATTATTATATTGATTAAAGATGATCTTTGTTGCCTTTTGTATAGCCATCAATTATAGTTCTATACAGCTTAATTTTAAGGACTCAAAGGTTTAGTCTTCAACTTTTTAATGTATTTTACTGCTTTTGTTTACCTCAAAAACTTTTTTTGTTTTTCTTACACAATGGAGCGATAAAACTGATTTATTGCAAAGAGTTTGCTTGGAAAACAGTTTGTTTTGAAGGATTAACTGCCGTTTTATTAATGACACTTACGTGCTGCTTCAGATACTCTTGACCCCATTGCTGGGCCTTTGATCTTTCTTCTTTATTACATTCTTTTCCGATCCATACAAACACACCACCTTGGTCAGCATCCAAAATGAATGCGTCCTAAAACAAGAATACGTACTAAGAGGTACCATAAATAATAGTACTAGTATATGGGCAATCGAGTATTTACTCCTTTTGAGCATTGCTATAATGTGTAGTTTACCTTGCCTTTCTTTTTTTTCCTTACAGTACCATACTACTACCACAGTTTTAAAAACCGTACCATTTTTGTGATTGGTAGTAAAATTACTGTGAGCCAATTAAACATACATTAGTGTTCAAGTCCTTGATGTTTAAGCTTCCTTGAGCAACACGACTGACCTTCAGGGTACCACTGGCATCAGAAACCTTCCACAATGTGACGGCGGTTCCCTTTTCCCTCCAGTAGTTCTCATCCACCCCACCGGCCTTGGCACTCTTCACTCTGCTTGCGTTTTGAGCACCACCAAAGTGTTTCCAAAAGGTCGCGTTCTCTTTCCAATCCTGGTCTAGCACGTGGATCTTGGGGCGCCCAGCACGCTCTTGATCTCGAATACTCTTGGCTTGGTTCACACCTTTGACGCGCTCCAGACGACCGGCTTCTGGCGGCATCCAAACGTAAATGTTTAGGCCAAGGTCGAGCAGGAAAACGTCGCCCAGGTTAAGAGAGTCCAGTTTGCAGTCCACTTGGGTGCATCTGACATTGCGCTTGCCTTTGCATTGGAATAGTTTGGGTTTGTAGTTGGAGTAGGGGTCCACGACGTGGTTGAAGCCACTCGAGTGACCTCCTTGCATGTACCTGAAAGGTTTGGCCGTTTAAAGAGTTGGCTTAAGATAGAAATTGTGATGGGTTGTGTTAAGGAAAGCTGGGTTTGAAGACAAACTGTTATTATTCAGTTACTAAATGTATAATATCAAGGTCGCTGTAAATTCAAAGATCTCGGTTTATCATTTTTACAGTATGGTCTTACTTGATTCCATCTTTGAAGTAGGACAAAAATACTGCACTTTCGTGATCTTGAACTTCACGATATTGAACTGGCAATCCACCCAAAGAGTCATCCAACTCCACAGTTTTAATAGCCGCTGTGCCAGCCTCGTCTTGGCTTGTGTCCCGGCCCAACCAAAAGTGTACATCCCAGTTGTCATTGTTTTTTGTCTGTAAAGCAATAGGTGCGGCAATCACAATATAATCCTTTATTTTAATGTCTTCTTACAGTTTTAAAGCTTTTTTAACTTCAAATAAGGTAAATAAACTTACATTAAGAATAATATAAGAGTCTCCACTGTAAAAGTTGCCGAACTGCTCTTTGGGCACTACTTCAAGGTCAAAGTTCTGAGAAGTTGGATTATATTTTTATTTAAAAAAATAATTTTTTATAGCAGGTTGATCAAATAATTCTGTGCCTTTAACCCTGAAAACTTGCTTTGAGAGGGGCACAGAACTACGTGAAAAACCTAATACAAAAAATCCTAAAAATCATGAAAACCGCACCTTGATCCTCCAGATCTCGATCCCTCGTTTCCTGCCCACATTCTTAAACTTTGGGTCAATCACAACCATGCTCGCCACAAATCGGTTTCAGCACTGAACGCAATGACCCTCGGGGTCCGAATCTTTAAAGTGTTCGGGGCAAACAGCTGGCTAATAAGTTTCCAACTTTTTGAAACAAACCATTCATTAAAGCTGGATCCGCTTAATTGTTAGCATGACCTTTGTGTGAGATATCGGCTTACTAAACAAAGATGCATCATCCTCGCGTTTTTTGTAAACAGACTTTTGTTTTTTGATGGATGACAAAGCAGTCGACATGTGCTGAAAGTACAGGACAAACAAGATGATCTCATAGGGGGTTACCTAAACTTTTTTATAAGTAAGGGGGTCAAGATAAACTAGGGAGGCTAAGGTTGTAGGCTTAATCATAATGTTGCTTCTTGATCTTGTTATTGTAGTCAAAGAATATAAAAATTAAACTTAAAAAAGGACGAAATGTGGATGAGTAATTCATGTTTATGGCCACAGATGTTATAAATTATCACCAAAACCCATAAATTTCATTATCTGTTATCAGTAGTTAAAAAAAGATGACAAAAATATCTGATACCAGAAGTTAAAAAAGGAGTACAAAAATAAAGTTACTGTATTTTATTATTGATTTAAACTTACCAATAACAATAAACTACTCAAAAATTAGGAAAAACAATCACAATATTATTCCAGGTAAAAGAATGGATGCAAAAACTAGAAAAGTATGCGACAGACAGTCCACAAGTCTTGTACATAAAGAAGAGCGACCCAACGAACGTCGAGTTCAGCTACTGTCCTTTCGACCAAGCCTTGGTTAGTATGACAATGAGTGTGAACAGCTTTCCCAATCACATCATGTTCGACCCTGACTACGACACAGACTTCTTCGACGATGACGACAACGATGACATGATGCTGCCAGAAGAGATCTTCAACGTGGTGGCTGGATTTGTGTAGGGAAGATTGCCATATCATGAAGGCGGTGGCTGGATTTGTGTAAGAAAAACTAACACAGGAATTCAAAATTTTAAAATTTGGTTTCTTGAGCCTTCCTTTGTTTCCAGACAGTTCAAAACATATATTGAGTTATGTCTTTCATAGACGTGAGCTTTTGAATGGTAATACTAACCTTGTTGTATATTCATTGCAGCTTTTAGCACCTTTTGTGACATTTTACAACTGTTATTACTTTGTCTATCTTTCTAAAATTAAAAACTTTTAAATTACATTGTCCATATAATTAAATAGTGTCAATGGTGATATTATGCATGTAAACCATATTGATGAGCTTAAATAGCAATTTTTATAACATTTTTCATAAAAATACATCAACATCTTCTCCTTTCCATTCATTAGCTCAACTAAAACCGTATTTCGAACCATTACTGTGTCTTTACTTCCTTTTCTCTCCGCAGTATAAGTATAGTGTCATAAATTACCATTTTATATCGTTCTAAAAAATTGTACAAAAAACATAATGACCATAAAAATGTCGCTTTTGTTGTAACCAATAGTTTAATTGCTAAAAGTAGCGAAACTTTTATACATGTATTGTTTTAGATTTGAAATCCACGATTGGTCTTTGTTGCTTCTTTTAAACCATGTTGTTGCAAAGAATTTTAAAGAAAATAAAAAACATAGAGCTGAAGGTAATTCGTAATCTTTCAAAGTTTTTGCGTCAAAAGCCCAAAAAACTTACCAATGTTAGCGACAATGCAAACAGATTGTTCAAGAAGAAAAGAAGTATAATTAACTGCAAATGGTCAAAGCAAACGGTGAGAAACTGATTCTTTACCCAAACTGATCTTCCTCTTGAACAATCTTCTAAGTGGGTCTTCCATTTCTAAAATAGTACCTGTCTTATCCAGGAAATGAATAAAAAAAAGAGAATTTACAATTTAAAAATACTATGCACAGTATGATAGCACAAGGAGAAGCAAAATATATTTTTCGCAAAATGTGTAAAGCAACATTGTTAACATAAGATAATATTGCCAAGAAAAGACTTTTTTGACCATTATTTGCATAACAATAACATTTATTAGCGCAATATTAACATATAAAGGTATATTAATATAAAATCATATTAAAAATTAGTAAAACATAGTAAGTTGAGATAGCAACGTTATGTTGATGTGAACTTTAAAAACTGGAAAGACTTTATATTATATTAATTACATAGTGAACATTAGTCTGATTTATAAAAAAATGATTATCATGAAAACGTGCCAAAAAATAAAACGTTACATACTTAACATAAAAGTAACTTACTTTGTGAGTATTTAACTATCCATCTCTGTTAACCAAAAGCCGTTACTTGGTCTTGTCCATCAACGACGTTATAGTGAACAGTAATCCAGCTCCCACCTTGTAGTCGTCCAGAATCATCTCATCTAAGTGGTCGAAGAACGACGTCCTCTCCAAACACATCTTCTTCTTAAACAATCTGCCAATCACAACAACTGGTTGCTCGTACATATGTACTAGAGCGACCTTGATATCAGCACCAAAGTTATTGTCGTCTTGACACAGACTCAGCTGTCGATTGAACTCCTGAAGCACCAGGTACAAGTACTTGCAGTTGTGGAACTCGGCCAACAATTGTCTGAACTTGCGAGCGACATCTATAGTCGAAGCCTTTAGGAAACGTTGATTGAAGGCTTCGTTCAATTCAACCATAAATTCATCTTCAGATGCGACTTTCTCTAATTCGTGGCTCTCTTTCACCTCGAACTGATCAGGATCAATCACAGGATACGAGGCGTTCTTGAACAATGTAAAATAAACATGCATCAGGAAGTAAAGACCAGCCAGCTCGTCTCTGGAGTTCAGAAACAACTCCAAATGCTTTGGTTTAAACTTCTCAATCCCTGACTTGAACAACATTCCAATCGATGATGCCGACAAAACTGACATCTTCTTCAACATCGTCAATATCTCTTGTGAAAACGTAGGTTCAGGAGCCTTTGATAAGCTATCAAAAGATGCTTGTACCTTCTTAAACACAAAATCAAACGCATTTCTGGTGTTATACAGAGCTCCTGTCTTTGGATTCACAAACTCTCGACGAAAGCGTTTTGCTGTCTCGTTGTATGAATTTTCGAAAACCATCTGAAGCTCCATACGAATCACGTCGTGAACAAAATCTTCAAAGATCTGATTTAACCTCATGATGGTTCTTTCGGTGACAACTTCTTCTTTTAGTTCTGGCTTCATTGGATCGATGTCTTTATCGTTTCTTCTCTGTTCACCTTCCACACCGTTATTTTTAGCTGATTTCCCCGCTGATTCGGTCATTTTCGAGTCCTCAACATTTGTTTTAGCTGCAGCACATCTTTGACTGATTTCCAACACTCTTCTCCTCAAGCTTTTTGGCCTACTGACTTGTTGTTCATCTGTTTTTTTGTTTTCCTTTTCTTCTGCTTCTTCGCTGTTTTCTGATAAACTTTCAGCTTCTAAACACATAAACAATAAGATAAATTATCATTCGTACCTTTATCTATAGCCAACTGCTGTAACTGGTCATAAAACAAAACTTCTGTGTCAATTTCTTTGGCAATTCCATCACAAACGTCGTTAACATTGAAATTGGAGTTCCCGTCAACGCTGAAAGTCTCTTGCAAAACTTTATTTAGACTGCCGGCCATACCTGAAACACTATCTGATGAGAGTATCCAAGATTTAGTAAAATTTACGCCAAATACTACCTAAAATTCGATGTTATTTTAGGTAATATGTCATGTTATACAGCAAAATTCAGTTATAATTGTTAAACATACTTTTACTCACCTGTAACAATGAAAAATTAAAAATTCAAAGATTAGAAGAAAAAAGTCGAGAACAACAAAAATTTGTAAACTTTCTATTTAAAAGGGAAATTCGCGACTTGTGGCATTCCGTCAATTCGTTATTGGTTTCGTGAAATTGTGTCTAAAAGTCGTGAAAAATAATAAAAAGCATTTATCTACCAATTGGTATACCAATTTATTTTTACGATTTTTTCAATTTATCATTTTTTATCTTTATTTACATATTGTCTTTGTTTCATTAACGTAATTATAATTCTGAGACATATTTTGATGGGGTATATTAATGTAAGCAATAACCACTTGAATTTCAATGTAAAAGTTGTGCCATTTTAAGAAATTGTGCCGATGAAGAGAATGGCCAGTTTGGGACACTGCTTTGCTTGTAATTATATTGTTTTAGATAATAGTTTTTTGTTGTTTTAGGTAAAATTTTAAACGTTTTCTTATTTTAGGTAATATTTTGTTACCTTTGATCACTTTAACTGTTACGTCTATTGCAAAAAGCATTATCTAGTTTTGGTAAGCTCAAAAAGTTTGTGGAAAACTTAAGGTCTTGATTTTCTTTAATTTTGCTTGCGCAGTGCACGCAGAATTAAAGGAGCCTGCACAGTGCAAAGAAAACAAAGCATTTTTGCACGGTGCAGTGGGAATGATTGAGGTTTGCACGGTGCAATGAGAAAAAACTGCACTGTGCGCAAAAAAGAATAAAAGATTGCACAGTGCAAACTTTAGAAGCCGCACAGTGCAGTCATCGCGACAACTTCCAGTCAGAAATCGTCATTTCTGATGTACGGTGCAAAACAAACCACGGTGCTCGCCAGGACACCTTGCAGTTGTCGCAAAACCTCAAAAATCGGTTGTCGCAAACTCTTTCTGCGACAATCACCTTCATTTGATCAAGTCGCGAAGTCTTTTCTCTTCATCTGCGACAAGATGCTCTTCCTCATCGAGCGACATTCATTCGATTTCCGACGCAAAAAGATGTTGTCGCCAGAGACTGGAGCACTTGTTGCAGCTTTTTTTTTGTCGCTTAAAACTGACGGCGCGACAAAGAAATGAAAAATTTGTCGCGGCGACTTTTGTTTGAAAATGGAGTGAAATCTTCTCGCAATTTTTGTTTTGTCGCGAATTTTTGGTTTTGTCGCACTGTTTGGGGTTTGTCGAGCATTTTCTTTTTTGTCGCAGAGCTTCTTGCCGCAACATGTCTTTCCTGAATGTTTGTCGCAGAATTGCAACTCTTTCCAATGTCGCTGAGTGTTTGTCGCTCTTCTTTTCTCAACGTTTGTCGTTGAATTTGGCTGTTTGTCGCAACGCAACGTCTCTACGCACAGTGAGGTTGATTGAATGAGGAAGAGTTGCTTTGTCGCAGTCGCCCCGCTTATTGGAAGGATGGAAGTGCGACAAAATAAAGATTGCACGGTGCATGGGAAACGAAAAAGAATTGGGTCTGCACTGTGCAAGGGATTGAGATTCTTGCACGGTGCAGGTTTCTTTCTTTTGGTTGCACTGTGGAGTTTTGTTTTAATTTTTTGCAATTGCAAAGGAAATAAATACTGCACGGTGCAATAAATAAAAATGTTTGCACAGTGCAATGAGTTCAGGTCGAGTTAAAGGGAATTTTTGGGGGGTTTGGACGTAAAATGTTGAGCGACAATAGAAAAAAAAGTTCATTTTGCGACAAACCATTGTTACTGTAAGGTTTTTAAAAGTAAGATAAGTTTAAAAATGACATAAGTTAAACAGAAGAAAACTCTGGCTTTATCTGATACAGTAATCGTTATCAATACCTGCAGTAACCCGCCACTATTTTATTATAATTTATTGTCGAATAACTTAGAATGACATTAGATTTGAGCAGAACTAAAAAGATTTCAAGTGGAATGTGTTTCTTTTAAAGTCCACGATGTCGCGGCGCTTACAATGTGGTGAATATGTAGAACGATGCGGAATGAGATGATAAAAAAGGTTTAACAAGGAATGGCCATGTAAGTAGGAACAACTGGTACCTTTGGTTGTATTTACAGTAAGATTGCAATAACAAAGGCGAGGTCGTTACAGTAGTTGGTGGTACTGTAGGATGTTTGTAGTAGTATGTTGGAGTAGTAGGACAAGGCAGAATAGAAGTTACTATACTAGTGGTACCAACTTGTAGTAGTATTGGTACTAACTTGATGAAAGTGGTACAATAAATAGTACTAACTGCACCAACTCGTCAAAAGCACCACTATTACAGTACCCACCGTACCAACCTAGTAGTACTGTTTGGGCGAGTCGTTGAGTAGTCGCGAGAAGATGTACTTGCCCACAACCAACGCCTGTACCAGAATGATCAACAACAGGGTACCAGTCACACCCAACAGAGAGTACTTGTTCATGCACATTTGTCCTTCCGGTGCGACAGCGACATTCTGCATAATCTCCGGCGACTGATTGGCCAACTCGACCGGTGAGTTCTTGTTCAGCGACACCTGAGGTTGAGGGTCGTTGATCTGTTGGAGGGGGTCGATGATGACGAGGGAGGTGGTGGCTTGAGCGAAGCGAGGGATCTTGTAGCGTTTGGTCTCGACTGAAATTAAAATTTGAAAATTGTTTTTTTTTGAAATTTTGAAATTTTTTTTACTTTTAAATTTAAAAAAATTTAAATAAGCGAAACTTACACTCAGTGACAGAGTTGTCCAAGTCCTGCAGCGATCTCTTCTTGCGACCCCAACTCTCCTGCACTCCATTGAGCAGATTGCACTGTTGCGACTTGCACATTCCCTTGCAGATCTCCAATTTGCATGTCACACTGACAGTTGGCGACGAATCGAAGCGGAAGGCTTGGAGATGGGCGATCTTGATGGCACTGCCTTGCATCTTGATTGCCTCTGGCATGAGCTTTTGGGCGACAGCAGGGGTGGGACAACCCTCCTCGATGAGCTGAAGCTTCTCGTCCTCGCGTCGCTCCTTGCCGCCGGCTTCGGCGTAGCAGTCGCGGACGAAGAAGTCCAACTCCTCGTCCATCGCCATGATCTCCCAGTGCAGCTCGAGGATGTCGCCGAGCTTGGCGTGGATGACGGGCTTGGTCTCGGTGCTGTTGGCCATACTCATCTGCATCATGACAGGGTTGCCGAGCTCGATCTTGCCGCGGGGCTGGATCAGCGACGGGGTGGGGCCGTGGACGGTCATGTTGGCGGCGGTCGTGACCTTACCTCCCAGCATGCTGGAGTAGTCGCAGCTGATCTCGTAGATTTGGTCCATGGAGGTGACGAGGCCAGGGATGCCCAAGTTGTTAGTCTGAACGACGACAGTGGTCTTGTAGGTACCGTTGTTCATGTCCTGGATTCCGCAGTCGCGGGTGGCTTGTCGCTTGCGACGGATCTCGTTGCCAGCCAACTCGCCGTGAGCTGAGGTCGATTCTTCGTTGTCGGCCAACTTTTCCTTGGTCAGCTTCAGTTCAGCGGCCTTCTCCTCATCTGTCGCCAGAGCATTCAGAAGAATGGGCTTCATTCCGAAGTCGTGAGGAAGTCCGAGGACTAATGTAGCGGAATCAGATTCTCCAATCTCGACGCGACAAGTGTCGTACTTGTTCTTGACGAAGACGACACCACTGAAGGGTTTGTCGTTCTTGATCTGTACCTTGATGCCTTCGTAGTTGCAGATGGTGTGCACGGCTTCTGGGCCGACTAGTACTGGTGGTCCAGTTGGGGCGATGTGTCCGGTGGCCTTGACGTCGAGCTTGGCGTCGGGGAGGATGGGTTGTTCGGTCTCGGAAGTCGCTTCCTTCAATGGAGCGAAGCGAGCTTCCTCCTTCTCTTTCAGGCTGGGCTTCTTCTGGCTCTGCTCCAGGATCGGGTGTCTGGTCTTGTTGAAGGCGTGTCCCGACGACTCCTTGATCTCTTCCTTTGGCACGTTGGCGGCCGACGACGCTCCAGAATCCACCTCCTTGACTTGACACAGATTCTTGTAGAAATCGACGTGGTCGTGTGGAGCGCCCACTTCCTTCTCGATTGTCGCGAACAGAGCACAGTCGCCGCTTCTGCGGTTGTAGTTGACACCTTCACATCGCTCCGAGGAAGCACACTTTTCGAGGCAAGTGCTCAAGCTGACCACACTCAACTCCTCGGTGGGCAGACCGGGCTGTTTGGTGTACAGGTAGCGAGAGAACTGGGCTGGGTCCTTGGCCTGGCACGAGGTCGGGGCTGGCGACAAACAGTGGAGGTCGTAGAGGTCGACGCCACTCTTCACCTGAGGTCGCAACGTGGTCTTTCCGTCCAAGTACAACAAGTTGCAGAGTTTGCTGTCCTTGTCGTAGTTGAAAGAGCGACACTTCTCTGGAGCCATTCCGAAGCACTTCTTGGCACATTCTTGAACGTCGCCAGTCAAGCTCTCGATCACGTGCATTGGGCCTTCACCCTCGGGCAGAGCGGCGTTAAGTGATCGCACGACAGACACATCCTTGCCAGCTGGGCACTTCTCGGCCTGGAGGTGGCAGTTGATGTCGAAGTAGTCGACCAGAAAGTCGTCTTCTTCTGGAATGAACAGTTCTGGCTTGCTCTCGCGAGATTCGGCGTTGAGGATGCACTCTTGTTCGTTGTAGTAGTACATGGCAGACTTGCAGACAAAGTTCTCGCCAGTCTCTGGTGGTGGGTTAGTACACTGGTCCAAGCACATGGTAACAGATGGTACATTCTCCATTACGAAGGCGGCGAATCCGACCAAAAGCATCTGAGGAACACGGGTGAAGGAGGCTGTGTTGCGACAAGTCCTTGGGGCTGAAATTGAGGGATTAGTGCTGGTTTGGGGTGGTTTTATGTTGAGTATGTTATTAATCTGCTTTGGTATGATATGTAAATCCAGTATAAGATAACATGACATTCAGACGCGCTGATATCAAGACTTACAAGCAAAGCATTTCTTCTCGAAGTAGTTGAAGCCGATGGCTTCGGTCAGGTTTCCACGTCCCAAAGGCTTCGACCTCTCGTCCGACACGATACAGGTCCTGTTCTTGGCGTTGTACATGAACGACTTGCAGTTGAAGTCATTGGCTCCGACAGTGATTCTCTCGGTACAGATCTGTTCACACTCTTCCAAGGTCAGGTCGTGGAAGGTGCGGTCAAGTTCCTCGACCAATTGACGGTTTTCAACAGCGACATACTGAGTTACGTATGGAGCGTAGCATTGAGAGCCGGCACAGTTGTTGTCCAGGTAGATGACGGTGTCTTCGTGTTCGTCGACGAACAGATCGGGACGGTCGAGGCGGTCTTCGGTGTTGAGGATGCATTCAGAATCGACTGGGTAGTACATCACGGATTCACACTCGAAGCCAAAGGTCTCGAAGGCGTTCAGACAGGCGGAGAGGCATACCTGAAGTTGTTTTGATGAGGAAGTACGTTATTGACTTGATAATAAGATAAAAATTGAGGTTTGAATTGTGAAAGGTCATGGATAATATAGATTTCAAGCTTTAAAACAACATTTTAAAAGGTTTTAAGGTGAATAACCTCTTTATATGAATATATAAAGGTAGAGAAAGATGTATTTACCTGAATAGAGTCGGCTGGGACGACTTCACGAGCGAATCCGACCAGAATCTTCTGTTCTTTCACGTCGAAGTGGAACGGTGAGTGGCAGACTCTGGCGCTCTGAAATTCATATTAAAATCTGTCGAAGTAACTTTTTTCAACATATGATACTAAGACTACTCGAAACTTGATACTTTACAACTTATCACTGCTTTTCCAATCAATCTCAACTGATATTAACCTACCTTAACACAAGTCTTTGTCGCCAACGACGCTTCATCGAACACCGGCTCGTAGACTTCCTTGTTCGCGGCGGCACCAATCAGACGACACCGTCCAGCATGGTACTCGACTCCGACACAATCCTGTAAATCATCGGCTAAGCGACGGTTGAAACGGCGGAGGAGGGCGCAGTCCGCCGCCAACTCCCACGGCAAATCCAGGACCCGCATGAGGAGAGCGGCCGAGTGCGAATCAAAAACGTCACCTTCACGGGCCCAACGCTTTAACAGAAGCCTCAGAGCAACAGAGGGGGAGTTAGGATAGGCGACAAACTGTTACGGGTTACGGTGGACAAACATGGTTAATATAAGGTTTGAAATGTAATGAGAGGGGGTTGAAAGACAGTTTATGGAGCTCAAGATAAGACAAAAGGTATAATGTAAGTGAGCATCTACCATGATGGTTAGCGACGTGCATTCTCGATTCACACTCGTGGATTGGCGGAAACACTCAAAACTCAAGACTTACGTTGCCAGCGGCACAGAGCTCGGAACAGTCGATGAAACTACTGGTCGGGACTTCACGAAGCGAGATACCGTAAGTTGTGTTGTGTTGGAGAAGGAAAACTGGCGAGTTACCCTCGGGACATGATGAGATTACCGCTGAAAGGTACGTTGTTGTAGAAAGTTATTTTGTTATAGGTTAAATGTGGGTTTTTGTTTGAAGTTAATGTCAATATTAATGTCAAAAAGTTTTATTTTTAAATTTTATTTATTTTTAATGGTTTTTGTTACAGTAGGAATACGTTGCAGTCAAGTTTTTTAATAATAAAATGTTGTTATTGTGTAATGTCTTGCTTTTATTAGGTTGTTCAACCAATTCTGAGCCTCTTAATCTCGAAAATTTGGTTTTAGAGGGGCGCAGAATTATTTGAACGATCTAATATAGACTTATCCCCTCTAGTATATGACATATATGCTTTAAAATATATGACATCTAGTATAATACATGACATATATACTCAACCTAATAGATTTTTTTAATGAGAGCCTACTACAACATATTTATAATGAGACTCTACTACGACATATTTCACTTTTCTATGTCTGAACTTAATTGAGACGAATTTTACTTTCACATCAAGATACTAATTAATCGCGACTGTTCCTTTGTTAACGGAACGTCGGAACGGCGACTGATTTCGGATTCTGGGTCAGTAGGTTACTCGGCTGATTTCCAGTTTATCAACCTTTACTTTGGCATTTTATGAAAAGTGTTCAGACATATCAAAGTAAAATATGCAATAGTAGACTCTGATTATAAATATTTTATAGTAGACTCTCACTAATGTTACAGTAGACTCTCATCACAAACAATTTATTAGGTTGTTTAGATATGTCATATATAAGAAAAAATATGTCTATATTAGGTTGTTCAAATAATTCTGTGCTCCATCTCAAAGCAACTTTGGGTTGTTAGGTGGCGCAGAACTTTTTGAACAACCAAATATTTTAGACTTTTGTGTCATAACATGCTATTTTAAGCCTTTATACTATACTAACCACCGATTTTTTCTAAATTTAAAATTGAATTTACAAGATTTAAATTTAAAAAAAAATTAAAATATCTACCATTTTATCATTTTTTAAAATTTAAGCCTTTTAAAATTCAAAGCTGCAGAACACTTAGAAGCCTTGAGAAAGTGCATTGAATTGTGTCATAAAACAGAATCGGTAGAAGACGGACGCTTCTTTTTATAGGTGAAGGTCGTCGCCGGTAAATATTAAAGATATCATCGCGGAGATCAGTACAAAGATAGGTTGGCCCCACAAAGGTCAAATGTAATATTGAGAAAACAGGAGATTTACAGTTTTATGGCTTACAATTTTAAGGTTTAGGCTTATAAATGAGAAAATGAATTTTTAGGCTTATCTTGAGTTTGTAAAAAATTTTTGATATCTAAATTTAAACTTTGAAAACAATTTTGAACCTAAAAATTCAAAAACTTACGGATTGCTTGCGACGCGACACCAGCGGCGACGCTCAGACCGAAAACGGCCAGAAGCCAACTCCTGTGGCCAAAAATCATCGAATTGGGAAAGGGAGCGCCGCTTTTGCCCAGTACTTTCGGGATTCAGCTGGGGCTGGGGGAAACCTTAAACTTCAATTTTTAAATGATATACATATTGATAATGACAATAAGGTTATACTGATTAATAATGGCACAACTTTTCGCGATTTTAAACACGTAAAACGTAGTAGAAACAATCAGGTTGCTTAGATAATTCTGTGCCTCCTTCCAAAGGAAATGTTCGAACTTTGGGGCACAGAACTAATTGAACAACTTAATATCCAGTATGTATTAAAACAAGTAGCAAAATATGTTTGAATGATCAAAAAGACAGTTAAAATTTAAAGTAAAACATTGTATATGGCTATGGCTAAAACTAAAGCTACAGCTGGGGCTAGAACACTTCATCATAGACTAAAATTACCCGTTTGGCAAGGTAAATCACTAAATAAATGTAATTTCTAATCTTATAGTAAAACTTTACACTAAAAAATGAAAAAGTAGCGTTAAGTAATGTCAGAAGCAAAAAGAACGGTAGTAATTGAGCAAATATTATTGTAAGTCAAGGTTGACTATTACTATAACAATAGACTTGGAAGAAAAACGTTTGAAAATAAATTTTATGATCAAGGTTGTAACTTAGTATTATACTATTATCTTTATACTGGCACTGTAAATGTAAAAAAAAATTTTAAATAATATGTCATGATCACAGTTGATATTGCAAAGGAATAAAAGTGTGGCACAATGTGTTTTGTATTGGGTTGTTCAAATAATTATGTGCTCCTATATTCAAAAAGTTGCTTTGAGAGGAGGGCTTAGAATTATTTGAACAATCTAGTAGAAATGCCAAAGTAAATGACAACTATCTCAAAGTTGATGACAATCCTAAAAGTAATAGTACCAAAAGAGACTATATTACCAATAGTACCACCCCTTACAATGAGTTACTAGTCCTACAACGCCATTATGCCAAGCCACTTAATACTCAAACATTATGATAGATAATTAGTCGATGGGTATACTTGACTGAGACGGGTCATCAGGTCGTCTACTATTGATGAAGCTAACAGATACGGACCGTCTCCGAACGAATGACCCTCCCCCCGATCAGCCCCTCTAGTTCCAGCCCGATCTCCGTTCGACGGTTTAATTAAAAAAGCTATTAATTAGCTGGGAATGGCATATAAAAGTGCAACTGGAGGTGCAGTTGAGGTATGTGAGTAGAGTAGTGTATGGAGGACAAAAAGTTTTGTTGAGTTGTGGCAGTAAGGCATGTAATTTTGAGGTTTACATTGTGAGTTAGGTTGTAAAAGTGATGAATTTAAGAGAAAGTTATAGAAGAGAATTACAATACTCATTAGTATTTCAACCTTAAAACCATCATTGCTTTTAAGCTAAAACCAATAAAGCTAGTCCAACATGCCTATTACATCAGTCAATACCTGTATCACCAACAACCAGTAGTTACTAGATAAAACAATTAGATATACCATCCCAAACCAGTAGGTAACCCTTAGCATTTAGTGGTTTAACTACTAATATAACTCTTAGCAGTTGTCAGCTCAACCACTGATATGATTGTGACCTGGAACGGCGCATCGAAAAAGGAATGTCACAGTTTAAAGTAGGCCAGCCAGATCAATCAAGCGCGGATCTCTGCCGTTGCACAACGTTCCGCGGATTAAACACTAATTCCGGCGACTTTTACAGAAATACAAATTGCATTGCGACAAACGGTTACATCGCTATTGGATTGGTTTTGCTAAACAAGGCTTTACAAATTAAAAATTTGTTTTTAAATTTATAAAAAAATGTTGGTTAAATAGTTCTGTGCCCTCTTTGTGGTCTTGAAGGTATAATATTTTGTGTTTTACTATTATTATGTTTACATAGTTCTGTGCCCTCTCTCAAAGCAAATTTTGAGTGTTCACAAGAGCACAGAATTATTTGAACGGCATAATAAGTAGCAAAACACAAACTATCGCACCTTCAAGAACACAAAGAGGGCACACAATTACTTGAACAATCTCTCAAAGCAAACTTGAAGTGTTAGGGGTTCAGAATTATTTGAAAACCTAATAAAACAACAAAATTGGTCGAAAACCAATTGCCAAAGAGTCAAAGCTCAACTACCATGCTCGGCATGTTACACCAAAGAAATACCTTTGGAGATATAAATCCGACGTTCGGCTTTGGAGGTCACCAGATCTGACCTACGATAACATCGCGAGATTTATCAAAACTCTCGTCGCAGAAGATGGTAATACACAGCATTTTTGGTAAAATACAAAGCAACCATAATATGCTGTCTATACTTCACAGTAAAGTTATTCTGTACATAGTAATGAGTACTGTAGTAAGCAAAACACCATAATTTAAGCCTACAGTAAACAGAAAATTTAAAAATCCTTAAAAATCATCTAAAGTAATAAAAAATATGTAAAAGTGCAAATCCAAGAAGCAACAAGCTTATAGTACGATTGGAATTGGAATCCGATCAAAGTAAAGTTATTTTTCCAACCGTTTACTCCGCCGATCCTTTAATAGGATCCGATTACCCACAGGTTCAGTGACCCTTTTCCTCTTTATTTCCCTCCAAGGCTATTCAAACAAGGCGTTTACTTAACAAGCACAGACGTCACATGCCATAGCTCGATCAACTTCAAGATTTCATAAACGGTTTTCAACAGAGTTAGGCATGAAAAAATATCTTTAAAAATGTTAGCCACTACGTTTGTTACATTAGTAGAAACATTAACTACCACAATTGTTACAGTAGTACGGATAAATTTAAAAGCTTGTTATCACTAGACCTGTAATGGAGCCGGCAAATAAAAATGCAAGAATCATGTTGTTTTTAACAAAAGAATGCTAATTCTCTATACCTTAAAAGTATAAGATAATTAGATACCTCAATATCTTTTACTTTTAAAAAATATATTTCAAAAATCTTTTTAATAATTCAAAATCAATTTCAAAATGCATAATTAAAATTGTCAGCGAAAGTTTATTATAGTCTTTAAGCAACCGGATAACTGAGTCATTCGAATTACCTAAACCCCCTAAGGCAATGGGTTTCAATCTCGCGACGGCGGAATCGCCTTCTGCACTTTCGGTGTTCCAAATTCCATTGAAACGAATAAAACTGCTGGAGTGAAAGTGACTTTCAACTAGTTACCAAATCAGTCGACTTTACTATCGTATTTATAATATTATAAGGTCCCGGCTCCTTTACAGGTCTAGTTATAATCAATGAAAATGTCATCCATTAAAGAGTATTTTAAAATGATTTTACTGTTCGAAGATGCAGTAAAACTCGTAATATCAAAGAACATTTTTCACATTTGAAATAAAAAAGATAATAAATATAACATAAGTTAACAGAATAGTAAAATAAAAAAGAAATTTTACAGTTACAGTAATCCAAAAGATTGAAAAAGAAAATTGAAAATAAAGTAGCTAAAAGCCGGATCACAAAACGGCTTCAAGTCCGAAAAATCTGATCAAGAGTCATTGAATGAAGCCATTACAAAGTGGTTTCTAACGGAGTCGAAAAACAAAAAATTAATCGACCGAGATCCTCTGTCGCTATATGAATGCGTTACAGAAAAGACAAAAAAACTTTTTTACATTTTAAAAATTTATAAAATTTTAAGTTGTTCTTATTTCTGTGCCTCCTGGCTCACAAAGCAAATTTTTGGAATTAGAGGCACAGAATTATTTGAACAAACTAGCATATAATAACATTGACAAAATTGCCAAGATTTTTTTGCCAAATTATGCGTAAAATAAGCCTAACAACATATTTTTAGTAGATTTTTAAAAAAATTGAAAATATGAGTTTGATAGAGAATAACACATACATATATGTAGTATACGGTTCAAGAAGTATATGCCAGAATCTTAAGATAATTTTAAAAATTACTAGCACAATAAAAATGAAATTCTATAAGTTAAAATGGCACAACACGTCAATCTATCCTAAACTATGCCCTATACCTTTACCCGCCAACCTAACCCTCCCCTCCACCCCCCTTCCCCCCCCTCTCCTCCAAACCCCTGCCCCTCTCCCAAACCGCCTAATCAAATACGGTAAAAAGTGAAAGTTCCCCCATAAACATTTGCAATTGTCTATTCACAAGTAAGCTCATAACGAAAAGGTTAATTCGAATTCCAAGGGATTTCGTCGCAGAAACCGAAATCGTTTTTGCCCTCCGGTCAAAAAGTCTCGGAGGATGCGCTGAATGGAGTCTGAATTTGACACGGATTTTTTGTATCAATTAATTTCGATTAATTCGCGCGAGAAAAGACGGTTACAGCGACAGTTTCACATTCGTTCGAACCAACGGTTATGTACAATAACAAAAGAGTATTATACTGGCTGAATGAGGAAGTAAAGGGGAGAAAGTTGGATGAAAGGGCAAAAAAAGAGCACAGTAATATAGTAATGGGAAGGTTTTGTACCAAATTTAGTCTAACATTTGAGTTTTGTTAATTTAATCATGATATTATCAGTCAAGTATTATTAAGTATTATATTAATATAATACATGAACACAGTTATGGCACATAATTTATTGTAAAGTTAGCTACGAAACTTGAGAATATAGAAACAGTTATTTACAAACATTATTCAAACTCCTTGTCGAACATGAATTCTCCAACGCCCTTGCCGCATCGCTTCAGATTCGTGACGATTTTGCCGATTTCTTCAATGGATTCAACTTGTTCTTGCAGGAACTTTCCTTCCAAGAAATCGCAGGCCTAAAAGAATCAAAATTAATATAATCTATTGTAGTTATGCCATTTAAACGACTATATAAACCCAGTATTAATCAAAAAGTAAACAGAAAATGAAGAACAACATAAAAAAAACATAAAATAAGCTTTTAAAGCTTAAATTATATAAGTTTTACATCGTCCCAATCTACACTACAGTAAAACACTTACTGTAACATCGTTGGCCTCATCGGCAATCTTGTGCAAGTCCAAAAGCGACTGATTGTTGTACTTCTCCAAAGCCAAGGCAGCTTGGAAGGCTTCCAAGGCCGATCCCCAGTCGTCCTTCTCTGGCTTCTGAATGCTCTTGAGTACGATACGTCCACCACGAGTGTTCTGATACTTCATGAAGGCTTGGGCGTGTTCTCTCTCCTCATCTGATTGCTTCTTCAACCATTTGGCAATGTTTGGCAGGGCAACATCGTCGCGGTCAAAGTAGAAAGACTGAAAATGTTAAGTTAGGTACCAGACATATGTTACAAAACAATCGAATAAGTGGCTTAACTTCCTAATAACGCAACCAAAATATAGTTCAACTTACCATGCTCAAGTAGACATACGAAGCGTACAATTCAATGTTAATTTGTTTGTTCAAAGCAGCCTCGAAGTCGCTGGCATAGTTTTGACGGATCTGGGACTCGGTCGACATTATTGGTACTGAAAACACCATTTACAGTTTATGATACGACACTATATTACATTATCACGTCAAATACGTCATCATAAACAATATGTCATCATGATAAAAAATTTTAGTCCTTTCATCAATAACATAGTAAGAAGTTGAAAATTTAATTCCATAGCAAAGCATTTAAATCATTACTGAGTAAAATAAAAGTGTTTTTAATACTTTTACTCTGTCAGAACAAATAACTTCAAAGGAAACTAACGGTGACTCAAGTTTAAGATTTATATTCCACTTGCTCAACCTAGTCTCCCACATTCTAAAGAACCTTGGATCAAAGATGAAAAAGCTGTAAATACCTATATATTATATCAAAAGTTTAGTAAATACCGGACAGTTGAATAAACACCACCTCAAGAGAAGGAATTCCCAATAACTAAACAACTTCTCCTCAGATCCCGACCTCTTATTATCATCAAATTAACTGATAAAAACGCCGAAACTCAACAAAAATCATTTCCCTGCCCCCAAAAATCGTTTTCCTGCCCACAAACACTGATAAACCTCGCAAGTGGGTCATTTGAATGGCTATCTACACCTGAATTCAGCTATCTCCACCCACTTTTCGGAGATTTTTTAGGCCATAAATTTGAAAAAAAAATTTCAAATTCTAAAAGATCATGACAAATGACGTGAACGCCAGAAATCGAACCAAAAATACTAGAGTTTACAAGAAGTTTGTAGTGTTATCAGCAGTTTCATAATGAGCCTATCACAACATTGTGAAAGGGCAGCGGAGAAAGAATTATTTGTAACATTCAAGATCGCAAATTGGTTATCTTAAGCTCTTTACATTACAAACAAGTCTTTTGAAAGAAATTGTGTTAAGGGTTTTATGAAAGGTTTACATTAAAAGTGTATATTACTTTAGTTTTCGGACGAGTAACCGTAAGTTATCGATATTGTTAGAAGAATAGGTTTGATAGCGTTCTAGTATTCCAAAAGCCACTCAGCAGGTTTAAAATGGTTAAGTATACATTCCTATCAAATATCAGCTAATATTTCATTAAAAACAAATGATATTGCAAGTTCTAGAACCACAAAAAACAATTTTGATTTTCGACTGGTTGATAACAAAATTTAAAACCCATACTTCCCATACATAAACTAGAACCCTTTCGTCAACTTTCAACAAAATTTCAAACAAATTCACAAATATTGCCGCAAGTTACAAACCGTTTCAACTGCCGCCTCCTCTTCTACATCAACATAATAAATCAAAACTTCTTCTAAAACATGTACAACGTCACAAAGTAAAACTATTAACACTAAAACTATACACAGATCAGTAAAAACCTGTAGAACAAAACCCCTATCACTAAACAACTTCTTTAAAACACAATCGTATATTACTCATGTCGAAGAAGGCTGTGTAACAAAGAGAGGCGCTTCTCACTCTCTGTAAGTCTTTATATAGTGTAATTCCCACCAAAGTCTTATTGAAATCAATTTCAAAATTCCACGATTTTACAGGGGACCCTAAGGGAGCTTCGGTCAAAAATTGTGAATTATAGTAGTAAACAAGTGGAATCACATGTAAAACAACCAGAAAACAGACATAATTAACGAAATTTAAATGTATAATTAATATACATGACATAATATAGAACATTAGAAGAGAATATAATATATATTCACATTAAAAATAATACAAAACGCGTTTACAATCGTCTAAAGTTATATTATCCATCCTTCGGTAAACTAAAACAAGGTTTTCGGCTAAAAGAAGGCGAATTTGATGCAAGCATTAATGTCCGTGAATAATTAAAGGTCAAAAACAAGATTTCTAGTTGGATCAGGCTGTTTTAGAGTCAAAAAGCCTAGATGAACATTGAAAATAAACAAAAACAAGTTTCTGTCCTCGAAAACTAAAAAAAGCGCGAATTCTGGATAAAAATGAGAAAAAAATTTATTTTTGCCGAAAGCTGTGAAGATGTTTCGAATAGAAACTTGATGAACTTGGATGGAAAAACTTGAAGGAATGTTGATAATGTTTCTGTCAATTAATAACAATGTTTGGATTGTGAGTATCCAGTGATTAAACAGGTAAAAAAGCATTTATTCTCAGATTATTATGTTATCTATGGTCTTGTGGTTTTCGATAACTATTATACGGCTAGTAGTGTTCGGATTGAGCTGAAATTTTGTGGATAGCTTGCTTATAAGATGTATATCAAGTAGACGAAAATTGATTTTGATCTGAATACTTTTAAAAAGTCAATTATTAATTTCTCTCCAAGTAGACTCAATGTTAATATAAATGTTATTCAAAAGCTATTTAAGTGTAAACTTCAATTTTTTGCGTTCAATTTGCTTCAAAATTCTCTCTATAATCGTGCCTTTCATAAATTCAAAAATCAATTTAGTATTTTAATGATTACGCGTAATTTTCCTCAAAACCGAGACTCTCGCTTATCAGTGTTTGTCGAGGTTTGGTAATGCACGTACTCCGTTTCTAATGTAATGCACGTCTTATCATCGTAATTTCATTGACAGCACGTATCTCGGGGTCGGTGCCTTTTTCGATTCGACCGTACAAGCCTCGATCTGCATGCGATCGGGGAAAGGGCTTATCAGTTATCAAATGAACGGCAAAATATTTGTTGAGAAAGTGCACGAAGCAGGCAGAAATGATGAAATATAATAGTACAGAGTACAACGGGCTTAGGTATTGATTAGAGGCTGTTATCGTTGGTTGTAGCTACAATTGTAGTATTGATTAGGCTGTGTTACCTTAAGTTATATTATCCATTAGGTATGTCATCATAGTTAGAAGTTAGTATTTTAAGTTTTAGGTAACAATAACTTCAATCTTAAAAGTAAAAAAAACTTTAAAAAGCCCATCGTGACATAATTTATTGAGATTATCCCTTTCCCCTGTGTTTGGCGGCGCTTTCGGCCTTCTGCTTCTTGGTCATGACGATGCCGGTCACGTCCACGATCAGATGTGTCTCCACGTCAAAGTTGTAGTCGCTGACGAGTCGTCTGCTGGTCTGGTTGTTCACAATCAATTGTTCGTCATCAGCTTCGTCGCGTCGCACAAAGTAGCCGTACACTTTGTCGGTTGGGAGGATCTTCAACGTTCTCCTCACCTCCCGTAGCAGCTCGCCCAACGTGCCGTCCTTGGTGAACGTGAGGAGGGATGGGCCTTGTTCGTCCTCTTCCGACACGCTACACTTCATCTCGAAGGAGCGAAGTTTGGCTGGCTTCAGCAAGCGAATGTCAATGGACTGAAATGTTGGTATGAAGCGTGATGTCATAGTAGGTGATGACACATAGAATTTTGGGAAAAGAAAGTCAAAACATAATCTACTACAAAGAAGTAAAGTAATTACAGTAATTGAAAATTATAAAAGCTTACCGTAACCGAGTCATCTCTAATCACTTCGTAGCCTAATGTACTGTCCAAGGCTAGGTTAGCAAAGTATTTGGCATGGTGAGGTAGGAGAGCTTTTAATGCTGCTACAGACTCGTAACGATACGGTAGTCGGCACTGGTTATTGGGACACATCGGGAGGCTATCTGAAAGCAGTACGATGCATAAATTGAGCTATATTTCTGTTTCACAGTGCTCTGTTAAGGTAAAATGTACAGTATCAAGGCAAAAGTAGTCAAAGCCATACCGCAAAGTAAATTTTTGGAAAAATATTCCTGTAGGTATACTGTAGATATACAGTAACGTTTATGTAGATACACAGTACCATGAAAATCCTAAAGACACTTTCTATCGTATACTGAAGCAAATAAAATTACGCTACAGTACGATACAGTAACCCACCAGTCAAAGCACATTGAGCGATAGCCTTGTCGAGACAATTCAGACAAACTTCATGATCACACTCTTGTTCCGAAGGGAAGTTCCTCAGCGCTTCACCGTTGCACTCTGCGTAGCCCATACACTTGGTTAGGGCGGTTGGCACGTTGCTCTTATGGCGAGCCGGCTTCTTCTTCTGTTCTTTGTCCACACATTTGCCTGGAGGGCATTTACAGGTTTCTATAATTTCATACTTATTCCTACTCTACACTTCATACTCTAATTTGTACTATAAAGTAATACCTACATAGTTAAAATTAAATTACAGTACCCCATAAAAGCTACCGTAACTTTTTTAAACTAAAATTACTAATTTAGGCAACAGTCCCATCGCTTACTAGGATCAATTTTGGCATTTTCGTCGCCAATCAGCTTCTGGTAACAGGGATGACAGTATTTGGCTTGGCAACATTGGGTAACGACCAGTTTGTCTGCCTCGTGCTGTTTATGACATTGTCCATCACATTCTCCATCGTCTTCCTCTATCAGGGCTTGGCCACATTTATCGACCGGACAAAGTTGGGGCTCTTTTCTTGAAGCATCATTGTAGCATTGAACGCTGCAGAATATATTATAGTAGGTGTTTTGTTTGTTTTTATGGATTTTTTATGTATTTTGAAAAATATTTTAGGTAACAAATCAAGATTTTTTTATAAAAATTAACTTTTTAAATATATTCTTATCAACAAAAATGACTTTTTTATTCATATTAGAACTCTAAAAAAGCTATTCTAGCAAGAAAAGCGAAAATCTTACCAAATTTCATGTTGACAAACGCTCATTTTGAACAAATCGATGGGTGGCGACAAGCGACGTGAACATATCTGGTTGTCGCACATATTCCACTTGAGATCGTCGCTAACTTTGATTAAACAACAGCAATCCGCGGCCGGGCACAGCTGAAATCAATTTCTATCGTGTACCAAAGATACGTAACGCACACCTACAGGCTGTTTACAGTTTGTACCTCAAGTCGTACATATCTCACAGGAAAGTACCCAAACTGCCCGCTGAGAATCAGCTCATTCAAAACGTTACTTTTTAGTTTTGATTTTCTGGAGATTGACTGGGTGGCGATTTATTACTTTGCTGAAGATCTTATATTGACATGGTCTATCTACATAAAAATTTAAAGTCAATCAGAGCGAGCAGGGCACTTTCCTTGTAAGTTCATTTTTATTTAAAAAATAGTTTTAAAAAATGAAGAATGCCAAAAAGATATACAGATATGTTGGAAATAGTAAAACATACCTTGGAGAACTTGCGATGAATGTCGATACACTTTCCACAGAACATATGCAGACATGGCCATATCTGGACCATCTCCGTTTCGGCGAAGCGGCGGACGCAAATGCGACAAGTCATTTGCAATACTTCGGCCATCTCGACCGGTTTTCGTTGCGACAGTAATTCAAATGAACAAAATTTGTAATTTTTAAATTTTTATTTGTAAAAATTTGCATATTTTGATATTTTTTCGAAATTTCAACAATTTTAATTTTTTTTTCAAAATTTCAAAATTTTAATTTTTAAAAATTATGCAAATTTAAAAGTTTTAAAAACTGTCGCAAATCTTTTGATTTTTGTGAAATTTGCAGTTTATTAGCAGCGAGAACTTACCGACCGGTCGGTGGTTTTGGAATGGGAGATACGAAGCGACTTGTTGTTACAGTATGCACGTTGGCTTTGTTCCAAGTCGCAGTAGCCAAGCTCGGCGATAAAATCTTGTCTCCGACCGATGTGTGGATCACTGGCAGAACACCAGGTAGGCTTTTGGCTTATTAGTGGTGGGCGAGGTAGAAGTTCGTCAGGGTTGAGGTTGGCTTAGTTAAAGTTTAGGCGGAGTAGAGGTAAGGGTGAGAAACGAGCCGTGTATCCCGGCCCAGCTAGGCCCTACAAGATGAAAATGTAATCTTTTATGAAATGGCAGACATCTTTATCACTAGATACTTTTAAAAGATACAGTATGACTTGTTTTCAGAGTACGAGTGTCTGTTTCCTTACTTCAACTCTTCAGAAATGTAAGTTTTTTGAAGAAGCTGCTACTGATTCATCATGATCTTTGAATTCACTTGAAATCTGTTATCAATTAATTTTTTCAGGAATTTTAACAGTAGTACCTGCCCTGGCATGAACCACTACGGTGTCGAGTTTCCCACCTTCTACCAGCTTGGACCTTTGGACTTTAAATTTTATATTGAAGGTGCTAAAGCAAATTGTACAATAAAGTAAGGTGTTGGCTGTGAAAGTATTATATACACCTTGTATATGATAAAGTACAGTATAACTATTAAAGACTATACTTATTGTATGTTATTAAACTTACTAAAGTCTATACCTATTGTATAAATCTATGCCTACTATACTATTTACTTTTTTTACTTTTACTTTGTAGTAAGTTCTTTGATATGGTTAGTTTAAACTTTAAAATTATGTTAAAATGAGTGTTATGGCTAAAACAACCTTTTCAGCATAACATTAGAGGTAAACACGTGTGAGTTATCTCTGCATCTGAACGATACTCGTCGTGATCGTACTAATTTTGAGGTGCATATGAATCATACGAACATTGTGATGTCTGTAGTTGAGTCATTTCCTCTGATATTCGTTGAAAAGGAATGCGAATTCGACTTTGAAAGTGGAGAGACGTTGAATGTTACAGTATATGCTAACAATGACGACAAGGGGGACTGTCGAGTCGGCTTGGTAAGGTTATTTGTTATTTGAGTTGCTGTGATTACCTTGTTAAACACAATAAAATATTTTTTTTTCTTTTACAGGAAGACAAGTACAGACTTCCATTTTACATTGAGTACCCAGAAACCGACTTTGACACGGATCCATATTCAGAAGAAGAAGCGCTACTGAACAAGTACAATGAAAAACACGACGACTCTCTCGATGTTCTGTTCAGTCCTGCTTGTACGAACAAGTGTTTGTACGCTCTTATCGCAATGGCCATCTTTAGGTAAGATATGTCGTCTTGATTTCTCTTGAGTTATCGAATGTACTTACTTATTTATTTTCCATATTCACTCGTAATCAATACAATCAAAATAGTATGAAACTGTAGTAGGAAGGAGAGTAGTGATTGCAGTTACAGTGATGAGCATAACTTAAGAGTAGTTTTTGATTATTGAAAGTTCGGATCGATTTCACTATATTTGAAGTATTTTAGCGTGTTGTTCTTCATCTTATGCTGCTCTGCATTGTGCTGTGTCCGAAAGGTTAGAGTAAGTGTTTTAGGTATCATTTTTGGGGGTTTCAGGTATTCTTAGGTATTTTTTGTTGATATACTACTTTGCAAAGCCGTTTTGTAAAGATAAATTCTTGAATTGTATTTCTTACATCTTGATAGTGCTGAAACCTTTTTTAGAATGACATTATTGGCAGTTCCAAAACTCAAAAATCGAAGGATTCCAAGGCCAGTAGCAAGAAGAGCAAGAAGAGCAGTAAGAAGAGTCAGAAGAGTAAGAAGAGCAAGAAGAGCAGCAAGAGCAAGAAGAGTAAGAAGAGCAAGAAGAGCGAGAAGAGTAAGAAGAGTCAGAAAAGTGGCAAAAGTAAGAAGAGTAAAAAGGACAGCCAGAAGAGTAACAAGAGTAAGAAAGACAGTCAGAAGAGCAGCAAGGATGAGAAAAGTGGATTCAATACCGTCTCTGCGTATAATTAGGAAAATAAATAGTTTTTGTAGTGTTGTCTATGACATTTTATTTTGTAGTTTGAAAGATTGTGTATCTTACAAGGAAAGTGCCTGTTCATTCCTGCTCTAATTAACTTAAAACTTCCGACATAGGAAGATTATGTAAATGTAAAACCTTTAGCAAAATAATACATTGCGCTGTCTAGGAAATCTTGAGAAAATCGAGATCAAAAATTAGATTTTAAACTTCCCGCCAAATTGGCATTGCGTTTCAAGCTTATAAGCTTGTCATTTTTTGAGTTTTTTTGAATTTACATAATATAGAAGTGAAAAACGTTTAAATGAACCTATATTTTTAAATTTGTAAGCGTAGTTTGCCTGGAAAGTAAAAAAAAGTGCTTGAAACACAATGCCAAGATTGCTAATTGACTAAAACTTCAAATATTAAAATTTTAAAGCACGAGTTAATATTTTTCATGGGTACTATTGGTGGTACAAAGAATTCATAAAAAAATTTTGAGCTGATTTCAAGCCGGGAAGGTTAAGTACTTTCTCTGTAAGTTGTTTAAATAATTCCGTGCCTTTTTCAAAATAAGTTTTCAAGGTTAGGAGGCTCAGAGTTAAGTGAACAACCTACCTTTACACAACATTAGACTTTTAATTTTTAAAAAAATTTGTAACTAAAAAACAAACAAGTTTATTCAAATCTGTGTTCAGTAACAGACATGGCTCTGAACAAACCCAGCATTGTGTGTGACATTATTCTCGTTGTTATCAATACTTTTGTTGTTCACATTCTCTTTCACATTACTATCGACCGGTTGATTCTCAATTTTGTTTTCTGGTGCATCTGGTTCTTCAGGTGCTGGTACTGCGTTTTCTTCCTGAACTTCTACATTTACTTCGTCTTGAGTTACTGTATTGTTGTTGTTGTTTACCGTAATTTTGATTCCATTCCTACTGTAATCTTGGCCGTATTACTGTAACTTGAGTTGATTTTTACGTTTTTCGGACCGGAGAAGTTTAGCCAACAACTGTGCTCGAGGTCTTTCTGCAAAGAAAATGTTTCATGATGTTGTAGTAGGTTCAAAATTAGTAATACAAAACTTACTTTAAGATCGTTGACTAATATAACAGTACCAGCACAAATGAGTACGTTTCCAATTATAAAAAAAATTTTTTTTTAAAGATTTTACTTATGCATTCACTATAATGTAAATACTATAATATATACAAGCCTTTATATAATACTACAATAAAAGTTACCTTTAAAAGTAAACTTACAGTACGAAGCACAGTACGATCATAATACTCAAACAATTTTCGGAACATTTAGTCGTTCTTAACACATAAAAGAAGTTTTTACCGAGTTCATCATGAATTCGTATCTTCTTCGTATGTTCTTCTTCAATGTAAGTGTCTTGGTAGTACGAGGGAGTAAATTGTTGTGGTGGATATACGTTTAAGCCAGATAGACCCTACAATAGTCTATTGTTATATTTAGGTTCCTACAGTATGTCTTTGTATGCTGACTTTACTGCAGTATGCCTTTATATACATACTTTACATTTTCAGACTCTACAGTATGTCTTTGTATATTTGCTTTACTACAGTATATCTTTGTACATTTAGAGTTTACTATGTATAAAAGTCTTGTGTTAGTAACATATACCACTGCTACACTTCTTATAAAATGTTAAACCCAACATACCACCTCCACGTTACAGTAAGACTCAGTGTCCGCGGCCGTCCCTGTAATTGATATATTGGCGTATCGCTTGCTCGTATATCTCTCGCGGCACTTCCTACTGTACATCTGCTTCCCTTCTACTGACAGTAAAATACCTACAGTAGGGTCAACGTACGATACTTCAAAGTGTAGTAACTTTTCCGTTACCTTGTCTTGTCCAGTGTAGAACAACTCACAGTCATCTATATATAGACGGAAGCTGCAACATATTATAATACATGATGGTTTAATATCAACATATGATGTTTTACCATCAAAAAAATAACTTACCTTGCAGTACATGTTTTACCACTGTTATCAGCTCGTATGCTGAACTGTAGTTTGAAAGGAAATACGACGTAATACAATGGAAAGTAACCACTATACGACGGTAAATCTGGACATGTATCATGGCCAATTATCCTGCAAACATATTGTCATAAGCCTACCGCATCTATATATTGTCAAATTCTACTGTAATTCTACAAAGTATAACACAATTTACCGCAAACATACCATGGTAACTGATAAACATATACAGGTTTACAAGATCCAAACCAATGTGGATGGTAAAAGCCATTGATATCGACCATTGGTAGAGTATTACTCAGTAAATCAGGTGTTTTGCATAACACACAACATATCAAACACAGACATACCACAGTAAGTCTTGAATTTGCTTTTACCATCTCATAAATTATACAAAAATCAACCGGTTTTTTAAAAAAGTAACAAAAAAGTAAAAAAATTTTTTTTTCAAAAATTAAAATGACATTTATTTCGTGAAAATTCGAGATATTGTTAGTGTTATTCCCTTGTAATCCCCTATGGCACGTCGGTTGCTTGGTCTACACAAGCTTCCGACTACGGCTTGAAGTCTTAAGAAGCGTTTTATCACAACTCGAGAAACAAGCTAATCTAGATGGGACCCAATTGAGAACAGCTACAATGCTCTGACGGTCTTCACTGAAGCTTCAACATCCCCTCACATCTCAAATTATATACCTTGCGGTAAAAACGAGAATAAACCTTTAAAATTGCTATTAACTGTGATATAAACACGCTCGCTATAGGAAAGACAAGATAATCATTGTTTACTTATAACATAATCGCAGTTAGCCATAAGCAACAGATAGTTTATTTTTTATTTCACAAAATACATTCATATAGAGACTTCTTTGTTCTTAGGATCTTCTGATTTTGATTCCTTTTCTCTTTCTTCTTTGTATTCTAGATCATCTTCCTGTGTTTTATATTCTGTCATTGTCCGCACGGAGACGGTGGTTGATGACATTCTACTTTCGACTGATTTGTAGAACGCTTCACCTTCTAGATCTGACTAAAATATGAAAGTTGATGGTAGTGTTACATACTATGTTTACTCCTTTTTTAGCTATATTATGTACATTTGAATGTACATATCTCCCATAATTCACACAATTGTAAGAAAACCTTGCATATCCCTATATATCTGTTACTATTAAGTTGTTTAACTAATTATGTGTCTCTTTTAAGAATTAAAATTCTGAAAATTTGGTTTGATAAAGAGCACAGAATTAGTTGAAAAAGCTAATAAAAACCTAACTAAAATACAAGACTATCATAAGCTTATACAGCACAACAAATTATAAACCCACCCTAAGCCTATATAGAACAATACCCATACACAATACGAACATGGCCATGACCAACAACATGATGACCAATATCATGACCATAGTAAAAACCCTTGTTTGGCACTTCATGTGAGTGATCGTGTAGGTAAAGTTGTTTACGATCAAGGTGTCTGGTCGCTGTGTAGTTGTGGGATCATAGGGATCTACGCGGTAATCAATGTCTCTGACTCTTGGAAAGTAAATTCTCGTTCTTTTATCGTCCTGAAATGATAATAAAATACGAAAACATAGCTAAACAATACGACAACATACCTCAATATGATACCAAAACATAATAAAGTAAGTACCACAAGCTACCCAAACATACCGAAGCAACACCACAAGAAACCAAAACATACCCAAGTAATGACACAATCTGCCTGCTCTTCTGCCACTTTTGATCGCAACGATACGTGTATAGGACCTTGATAGTAAAAGTCGTAGTAACATTCGGCTATTTCGACGTCTTTTCCATTCTCTGACATTACCAACTTTCGTCGCGATTCATCCATGTAAACCCTAAACTTCTTGACCTCTCTATTGACTACCGTATCCTCTTTACGATAAACTGTACAGTCTTCTATCGTTATTGTGAATCTAAAAATAAATTTAGAGCTAACCTATTATATTAAGATAGGCTAGCTTTGCTTCAAACCGATATATCTAGCAGAATGTCGCAAATACAGAAATGTTCAGCTGCGCCCTCACTTAGATAATAATGTGCAAGCTGCAGAACAAAAAATCTTAAAAACCTTGATTTTACTAAACTTATACTAACGTTTAGGTGCAAGTAAAAATAGTAAACCTACGTTACAAGGCATTCCACTGACTCCTCAGCGTAATCTGTCTCTATTGCAAATCTAACATCAAGTGGATAGATATGATATAAAGGTGGCATGTCGACACTATAGCCTTCCAAGTTTGGAGATGTCGATCTGTTGGTTATTCTAAAAATGGGCATTAAGGCAGATTTATTTTCAAAGGTATATGTTTTGTAAAATACGATTTTTTATGTTTTTTGTAGTATTAACGGTGTCATGTTACAGTAACTCAAATAATAATACAGTAACCAGTCTCTGATTGTACTTAAAGGTCTGTACCAAAAACGTTGAGTACTAGTACTTATACTAGTACTTACAATAATACTTACATTGGCTGTTCATACGCAAGAAAGTAACATAAACTATCGTAATACTTTTGTAGCGGAGTAATAGGATTTGTGTAGTTACTACTGTAGACCAACGATTTTGTAGATGTTATCAATATCACCAAAACTAATCCGAAATTCAAAGCCAAAAGCTGTAGAAAACTCGAAGTACGACCGGTCATGAGTAAAATATCAGAAAACAAATTAAATTTAAAAAAATTTAAATTTTTAAAAAAATTTTAAAAACTTTCATTGCGACAACTTTGGAAACTCTGCGACGGTGGTCTTCGATGTCGCGGCTTCGGAATCTGGTGTTTTTGTTGCTGGTGACGGCGGTCAGAAGTCGGAATGAGACCGAGGAGGACAGAGAAGGTCTGCAGCCACATGCCCCCACCAGTGGCATCTTTAGCATACCCTGCGGCGATCTTATGCTCACCGGGCGTCCGATGTGAGTTTTAGCATGGTGAATATAATTACTTTTGGCTTGTTTTTTTAAACTTGAAACTTTTTTTTAAAATTTGAATTTTTTTGGGGGAGTTTGAATATTTTTTTTATTTAAAGATGGGCGGGGGGGGAGGGGGAGGGGAGGTAGTTCCCCTGTCAGACTTAAAAATTTGTTGCAGTATCACAAATGACTTTACGTGCCCGAAGCTAGATGGCTACAGTGTTATTATGCCTTTACTCTACATTCCCACCAACCTCCACATCAGATTCCAGATGCGTGAGTACAGGCAAAAAGCGGATCAGACCAGAATCTGTAGAGAAGGGTAAGATTGTCAAAATATCTTCATATCTTCCTCTTCCCTAAAGCTTTTACATTTACCTTTAACCTGCTTACTTGAGGCACTACTTGAGTGTTACCTGAGATATTCCCTAAACAATTACCTAAGGCAATCTATACAAAATTTCAAAAAGTTCAACGTTTTCAGATTCCAAATTTATTTGTCCGAGAATTGTTCGCTATCCGCACAAACATCGTACTACCACCATCACGGTAACCAAGCGGTCTACGATGTGTTTCACGATGGAGAGAACATCACACTGATGAGAGACGACACCGTCCTCGACCGCGATTTCTGTAACTTTACGTTGTTCGAGGAGGACTACTTGTTCAACTTCAGCTTGATTTCCACCGTGGACAAGAACGAAGCGGCGTGCGAGCTCTACTGGGTAGGATTCTAAAAACTCAAAAAATTTAAATTTTTTTTGAATTTTTTTTAATTACTGAGCTATATTCATGATGTTCTGAACTATATTCGTGGTTTCGAGCTATATTCGTTATACCTTATCAAGCAAATTTGTTTTAGGACGAACAAACGACGAACCTGTTCATCGACCGAACTCCCTTCAACGACACCTACAGACGCGACCCCTACTACGATGAAGAGATGGAGATTCAGCAGAACTTGCAAGATGAGTACGCTACCTTGTGGCACAAAATTGTACACTTTTACCCAGATATTTGCTGGATCATCGCCATTGTTTTTGCCGTTCTTTTGTAAGTTCTAGAACAATTGAAGGCGTAGGCAATGTCGTTCTATGAAATTATAGTAAGGAACGTTATTGACCTTTTGTGTCAAAACTATTTTAAGGTACATTATCTTTAAAAAAACAAGCATATCAGGTTGTTCACATAATTATGTGCCCTCTAACTTCAACTATTTGCTTTGAGAAGGGGCACAGAATTTTTTAAACAACCTAGTAGAAAGGAATATTTTAAGGCAGCTTGTCGTAATCTGAATGTTCTTTTAGTGTATTGTTCGCGGTACTATGCTCGTTGGCGTGCTTCTTGATGTTCAGATTGAGAGTAAGTTTTTGATCTTTTAATTTTGTTTCCATCGATTATATTACAATACTGTTAGCATGGTTTACATTTAAAAATGTTAATTTTATATAATAAATTAATAAATCTGTTATATTGAAACAAAGAACTTCATTATCAACCTAACACCCACATTTCAGAGAGACCTCAAAGGCTCGGACTGGATGGCAAAAGACAAGAAGAATCAAAGTAAGAAGCCGAAGGACAGCAAGAAGAGCAAGAAGAAGGATACCAAGAAGACCGGCAAGGAGAGCAAAGCCAAGGACTCGAAGAACAGCAAAAAGAGCAAAGATAGCAAGGATAGTAAGAAGAGTAAGGATTCGAAGAAGAGCAAGGACAGCAAAGACAGCAAGAAGGGCAAGAGCAAGGAATCCAAGGTCTCCAAGACGTCAAAGACTTCGAAAACCTCCAAAACCTCGTCCAAAACTTGATGTGTTGCTTCGAATAAACATACTGATTGACTTTCATATTGATATTGTTGTTGTAATGAAAGATGCAATAAAATGTCTCAATATCAATGTCTCAATTAGGTCTTTTCTTGTGATGACGTATGTTATAGTAGGTAAACTACTAAAGGGATAACGAAAATCTCGTATGGCCAAAAAAAGATAGCTATATGGCTTACCATTATCCACCATTTTGATTGCTTCGAGATTTGCGCGGCCAAAAAAAGCTCAAAAAATTATTTTTTATTTTTCGAATTTTTTGAGAAAATTATTTATTTGTTTTTTGATGTATTTTAGAAAAAATGGTAAAAAAGTCAATATTCGTTGGAACTATAGTAGAATTGACAATTTTACACTTTTAAAACACTATTTTTGTTATTTGAGCGAAAATTTTGTTTAAAAATAGTAAATTCTTGCCTTATCTACGCCCAAGCTAATCTCCCAAAAATATTCGGGATAAAACATGGAGCACAGAATTACTTGAACAACCTAATACAACTCTAAATTATCCCAAAAAGTTTGATAAACATACTTGAGAACTGGTAAACCATCTTAACATACAAGTCTTTACACTTTTTGTTTTTAGGTAATAATATTGAACAACCTTTGCTAATCTATGGTGTAGTGCAATGAAACCGGAAACTGAAGAGGTATTCATAACAATCTTCTCAAGGTTTCACTTCAATACATACGACGTAACATAATTACCCCAAATGAAAGTAATGTCGCTTTTCCGGTCAAACAGCTTAAACCTGGTATATTGAAGTAGGTTGGACTGGTTTGTTGGTTATATATAAAACAATCTTTTGTAATTATTTATCGTTTCACAAAGTATTGTATTGAAATTTTTTTAAATAAAATTATTATTTGTTAAAATAATTCTGTGCTCCCTCTCAAACCGAAATTTTAGGGTTTGGGGCACAGAATTATGTGAAAAAGCTAATATTTCAATATATATCAGTTTTTTGTATTGTCTTGTTACAGCATGAAAAGCAATCCAGTACCATACAATTCGGTGGACTACATGAGTACCGTATCCAAGAGCAGTTTGGCTATATGGACGGCTACAATTGGGTCGGGTCTGGTGATTGTTGGTTCACTTTTGACAATCGGAATATTGTTTCAGGACATTTACAATTTGAAGGTTGAAATTATGGCTGAAATGAAGGAGTTTCAGGTGGGTTACTGTAATTTTTGTAGTGTGCACACATTTAAAATTATTTTGAAATGGCAGTTTTTCTGCACTTCATTTCAAAATGGTAATGTTTGTGGTAAAAAGATTTACAATTACTTTTAAAATTATGTTTATAACGCTATAAGGTATTGTATGTCTACGTCAATATTACAGAACTACGCCAACGATGCCTGGAATGAGATGATATTCCTTCAAGGCCAGATTCCAAGTCAATTCAGTGCTACACATCAGTTCACTGAGAATCCCTTCAAATCGCTGTTCCATCGGCAGAAAAGAGGTGGCCATTATGCTCAACCACGACCAGCTTCATCGTATGGAGGAGCTCCGCAGTGCAGTGAGTACAACATACGACTTTATAGTACTTTAATTACTGAACCAGTCAATGAAAATCATTTTTTAAACATTATATTGACATAGTTTTGTATGTTAACGTTAAACATTTTTAGACTGCGCAAAAAGAGCTCACAACTGTCCACTTGGACCACCAGGCCCGCCTGGCTCACCTGGAATTCCTGGAGGTATGTTAAACAAACTACACATATTATACCTAAAAATTTACATCTTACATCTAAAATATAATAATTCAGTCATTTTTTATCATAAAACTTTTCAGATGACGGCTACCGAGGCTCGGACGGACGTCCAGGTGCACCAGGAGTATCACTAACCACAAACACCGGCTACAATGGCTGTATCAAATGCCCAATGGGACCACCAGGACCACCTGGCCAAATGGGCGGTATGGGACAACCAGGTCCACCTGGTATGCCAGGAATCCCAGGAAACGGCGGTAGTCCCGGAGCACCAGGCATAATGGGACCACCTGGCGATATAGGAGCACCAGGCAGTCCGGGTTCGGATGGTAGACCTGGAGCACCTGGCCAAAACGGAAGTCGTATCAAATGTTTGCCTGGTCCACCAGGTCCTCGGGGATCGGCCGGTCCTATGGGACAGTCTGGAGCTCCTGGACAAGCTGGAGGAATGGGTACGATGGGACCGCCTGGACCTATGGGACCACCTGGAAGTTCTGGTCAACCTGGTTCACCTGGAGTGCCTGGTTTGGTAAGGGAACTTTTAAATTGTGTTTTTTGGTTAAGAAGGGGGGCTTGAACTGACTAGCGATTTGTTATTTAAAAATTTTGAATTTTAGCTTGGACCAATGGGAATACCTGGAAGCGACGCTGCTTACTGTCCTTGCCCACCTCGAGGCGCCGCTCCTTATCACAAAGCTTGAGTATGGTGTTAAAGTATTTTATTTATTCAGTAAAGCTTGATTATCATAAAAGGAAATAGGATAGGTTTATTTTGAAGCTGACAACTACAGTATGAATAAAAATTACAGTAAGGAGATAAGTTCAAGAAAATTTAATAAGGATTGTAAACCTTATATTAGGTTGTATAAAAAGTAATGAGCTATTGAACTCCATATCGCCATAAGAGACGTAGCTCACTACTTTTTATACAACTTAGTATGACATTACTATACAATTCCAAGCAGCACTTTGGTGCACTCATCTTGAGTATTGTCCACCGTTCTTTTCTCTACCAAATCACGGCACGTTTGAATCACTACTTCTTGGCTATGAACATCAAGATTGTAGACAATATAACGCAAATCCATAGACAACCAATTGAAATGATCAGAAGACAAAATAGTTTTGGCTTCTGGGTCAGTGATACCCAAAAAGAAAGCTTTACCGAAACAAGACTTAATGATAAGATAAAGTAGATAAAGTGTTGAAGAGAGTGACAGAATGATGCCCAAGAAGCATGCGATCAGTAAGAATTGGTACAAAATTACAGTAAATTCAACATCCATGTAGATACACTGGTGATGGTGATTGACTACTAACAGAGTAGAGATACAGCGGACTTTCTGAAAATGATAAGTTTGAGGATTAGTACTGTATATCTAGGGGTAGGGGCAAGTTAGGGTTAGGCCAAAAGGGCAGTAGGCTTGAGTATCAGGAGCAGGCTTTTGGAGGGTTAGAATGGGCATGGGAGGCTTGGGTAGAGTTAGAACGGGCAGAGATAAGATTGGGGAGGGCTAGAATAGGCAGGGGTAGATTTAGGTAAAGCTAAAAGGGGCTGTAGTAGCTTTGGGTAGAGCCAAAGTGGGAAGGCTAGAGTGAGTTTAATTTTGAATTTACATTGGGGGGGGGAGGGTGGACCTATTCCGGTGTTCAGATTTTTCTACCCCTCCTTTTCACTTCCTCCCTAAAAACTCAATTATCTGCCCAACCCTACTTACACTGTCAAAGAAACCCGAAGCTTCAGAACCAGAAATAAACCACTTATAAACGACACCAAGTTGATCGTAATTCCATCGTCTAGTAAACGAGTACGATGTAACAGCAAGAGCAGCAACATACGAAGTCATCACAAAAACTGATAGCAACAAATGAAATGGCCAACGAGCATTACAGAAAGATGGCTTATATGTTTTACCGTAGACTTCCAAAAAATAAACCAGATCCTGTGAAGTTAAAAGTTTGTTGAAAAAATGGACAAAACGATGACTTTTGTTCGCTGGAAAGTAATATTGTACAACTTACAGTAATCCGACAAAAATTTACTTTAATGAAATGATTTTTTATTTATAATATATTACTTCAATATATAAGTTAGCATAAAACAGCAAACTAGAAGTTACCTAATTTAATGTGAAAAATAACATACCCAAGACTTTTGCGATGCCATCTTCAATAAAATCAAAGAATAAGAAGACCAAAGTCATATACAGAAGCGGTTTGTACTCATAGCCATAAATGGAAATGTTGACCCTTTCCAATGTGTTTTGAGACGACTTTTGATAAATTGTGGCACCGTGACAAATCTAAAATCTTGTTTTTAAAACGTTTTATAAAGATATTATAAAATATTGTAAACTATTGCTATTAACTTACATTCGGATAATCGACGCTACAATTGAATCCACCATAACCTCTGTACCAAATTGCGACAAAAACAATCACAAATCCATATCTTAACGTAAGTTTAAACCATGTAGTGTAGGTTTCAACAAACGGTTTAGTACGGTTAACCTTCAATAAATCAAAATCATCATCCATTTAAGTACAATGAGTATCGTATAACAAAGTTTATTAGAAGCCGCAATTTAGTCAAAAGCAACTAAAAGAGCTGGTACACAACTGACCATATAACCGAAAGTTCAGAAGACAAGCCAACTTAAAATCACTTTTTAGTCGTTTCGGAGATCGTTTCAGGTTTTGGCAGCGATTCTTTGTTTTGTTTGGCCGGAAATGTCATCTGTTATAAACACGATAAGAAAGGGCCGTTTTTGGCCGGAGAGAACCCATTTTTCGTTTTGTAAATTAGCGATCTTGGTTTTGATAGCGATTCAATGCTTCATTTGATCGTTCTGACAAAATCATCCTATGTAATTAACACATGTTAACATAATATAAACATAAAATAACAAAAACTTCGTAAGCAATTCTTTCTGATTTTATCGTTTTGGCCGTAAAAGTGAGCTGTTGCAAATCACAAATATTTTAGCACATTACTCAAAAAAGCCTTATCTTAACATAAGGTCTGATTCCCACTTCAAAAACTCAAATTTATTAGCAATTACAATAACTTTACTATAAACAACTATAAGATAACAACTCGTTTTCTTTGATTAACCAAATTTACATCAAGCGATATTATAAAATGAATCCAGTGATATACCATAAGATTTGACATAAGATACGACAATAAAAGAGCAATTAAAATAAAAATAGCTTTACCATAGAAATGATGTACAATAACATTACACGAAAACCTTGAAAATGCATTAGATTTGATCGTATGCTTGTAGCAGTTTCTGGCTGATCTGATCCAGGGTCTTTTTGTCCGCCATTTTGATTCCTTTGCCTGAGGTGTTGCCAATGCCAAGGAAGCCCTTTTTGGTTTGTTTTAATTCTAATTTGATGCCATCTTCGCCAATGAATGGTCGTTTCAGCTCTTCGAAGGTGTAGCTCCATCCTGTGGTCCAAGCACCGCCCAGACTTTGTCTTACTGACATGAAAACACGTCTGAAATCAAAAGTTAACATCAACTATAAGATGAACTTGATGTAAATTCTAACATAGTTAAATTAATACCCAAACAAAAATAACCTAAAAACAAAGTTTTTCTAAAAAGCTATTCCAAGCTTGATCAAAACTACACCACTTACTTGTCGGTAACCACAAACACGCTCTTCTCGTTGATAAAGGCATGAGCGATAAAATTCTCGGTGTCAGCGTACCGTCCTCTGTCAGTTTCGTTAAATATCTTGGCTCCACACGAGTCGTTGTAGTTGTAAGGTCTTACAATAAGGTCAGGTGGAATAACTCTGGCTGGTCGCACATGTTGCGCATCTTCGGCGTTAGAAGCAACCCTGAAACCAGTAATTTACACTCCGCGATCATAACTTGAATGCCACATATAGCGTTTTATCAAAAAAGTCCTAAAATATATATAATCCTAGCGTGGTCTGAAAGTTAAAGTCAATTTATAAAAGTACGATACTCTTTCTCGATTTGCTTTAATTTAGCTTTGATGGTGAAGGAAGGGACCAACAGATCAGCGACAGACAACAGGACATAAATACAGTAGAGGTGGAAATTGAAGCTGAATCTGAAGTATACACAGGTATTTAGAACACCAGGATATACGACAAGGCCACATTTACAACATCTAATTTCAAGCACAACACCTTAGAATTTGTTATTGTAAGTAAAATAATTTAAAAAAAGCTTGCTATATTGTACTAGGCTACAATAACTTCCTATAAAAACACAAATAGGCCAAGAACTACAAAACTGTCTAACACAGACTACAAAGACCTATAACAATACAACAATAAATATCAGAAAGCTTACGTTTTGACCGCATTCAAAGATCCACTAGCAAAATCAACCAGTCCACTAGCTGGCCTAGTCACAGCACCGATCAGACCCTTTCCAATTCCCTTCGTGAATCCAACAACTCCACCCTGTCTAGCTCCTTCCATTGGCTTCGTAAATATACCAGTAACACCATCCACAACTCCTTGTGTCAGGTTCTCTCCAGCTCTCGTGATTCCTTCGCCAAAGTTCTGTGGCTTTCTGTTCAGAGCTTCTTGTCGCTTTCTCTGATAATCTTCATCCAGAGTTAGAGCAGCTACACCTTTGCCGAGAGTTCCTGTGATTCTGGAGACGGCACCAGCAGCTCCACCAACAGCATGACCAAAAAGAGAAGATACTCCTAGTGCTAGGCCTTCGGCAAACTCTTCCGGTCCTTGAATAGCTCCCTGAAATCAAAAATATAATATTAAAGTACTATATTAAACAATTTTAATAATATAAAGGGTTTATAATAAAATGAAGATACTACGATTTAAATTTAAAAATAGAAAAAAAACTAAAAACCAGCGTTCAAATTTCTTCATTCCGACTTTTTCAATATTATACTTGCCTGGAAGGGTTGATAGAACAAGTCTTCAACTCCAGATGACAAATCTCTGACCAATCCGAATGGATTTCCGATGATGTCAAGTCCCAGTACAAGAACATACAGTTGTTTAATAAACTGTTTCGTGTAGTGACTTTGAACTTCAGTCTGGAGCTGAGTCGAACTGTAGAATGTGTAACGACGATCAAAGTAAGCCAATCTGAAATGACATGTAAATTACTCTAGTAATAGAAATTTTAAATATCTTTATAAGGATATTCCTGAAAAAGAACTACAAGTTTTACATTTTAATACAAACATATCTAAAAAAATATCTGTCTAAACAATCTGTGCAGCCTGGTAAACTTTCGCTTCAAGCTGCGCCCTCAAACAGAAAAATAAATCATAAAATACTAACCGGAAGACAACATCTTGTAGTTCAGTCAAAGTTACACCAACAGATTTGAGCAAAAGCTCGACGAATTCGAAAGGAATGGCACTGACAGTTGGAGTATCCACCTTCTTTCCATCTTTAGTTAATCGCTTCGGATGACCACTAGCCCCACCTTGCGAGAAACTCAAGTGAATCTGAAACAACATCAATTTATATCTATATCAATCTTTACATTATCAATATCAACCGGTTACGTAAGTAATACTGCAAGACAAAAGTAATGACATACCATCAATGGTGAGATGTGTAGATCATCGTAGTAAGCCTTTTGAGTTAAAGCTGCTGTTGTCGCGACCTTTTCTTGAAGTTTGGGCTTGGCCAGTTCCATATCTTTAGCGAAGATCTCTGGCGTGTACTTGGCTTTGTTCTCCTCACTATTACTCAACTCCATCAATGCTACTAGTAGTCCTTTGTCAACTCGTACAGCAAACTCTTGAACCAGTACGTGCAGATATTTGATTTGGACAACTTTAGAGTGCTCAGATTGTGACATAATAAATGAGACTTCGGTGAAAGGTTTTGGCTCTAAAAAAATGTAATTTCAAATTATTTTTTTTGTAAAAATTGTTCTTTAGGTAACAACGCATATTACTACTATAAAAAAGAAGTAATTGTCAAGAAAAAAATGTAAAATCTAATGATAAACTATCTAAAGAATCAATAAAAATCTAAATTAACATACCATTGTCAGCCACAATTGACCTGGGTGGCGGTACTACAGCCAAAACAACTGGAAATACACAAGAAGGTATCTAAAATTATGTGACTGTAAAAAATATTACACAAAAATAAATTTAAAAACGTCCAAAGCAAAAAATTAACATTTTTCAACTAATAAAATCAAAAAACCCACCAAATTGTCAATTTGTAAATGATTAATCTTCAGATGCATTTGAGTTTGATGTAGCGATTGCCTATACTGTAGCCAGAATCCGGTTTGGAAAGATCTCCTCACGGACACTTCAGACTTGCCCTTCTTCTTCATGATCATATGCGCAAAGTCAATGTCGGTACCATCAACATGATATTTCTCGTCTGGTTTTCCTCTCAGAATCCATTCCTGATACTTTTGTTCCAAATCTGTCATTACCTTCACTGTCAGTGGTTTGAATCTGTTTTTGGGTTTGTGTTCCCAGATGAGACCACTTGACGACATTGACATGTAGAGGACTTCAAGGCCGTGAAGGTTGTTCACCAGCGATATACCAATACCGTGCAAGCTATAGACAACATTTTACAGTATTTTCAAAACAATGAAAGAGTTATACCCAATTGACTTACAATCAGGCTTGGACGTAGGGCAGGGCAGGGCCCAATTTGCGGCCCTGGGGCCGAGCCCGCTTGGGCCCTGCCCGGTACAGGGTTTTAGTTTTCAGGCCCTGCCCGGCCCGGCCCTGGGGCCGGGTCGGGCAGGGCATTTACAGGGCTTTACAGGGTTTTACAGGGCATTTGTAAATTAAGTTTATAAAGCTAATAACAAGTGAAATAAACTGCTTTAAATCTATCCGGCCTCACCCCTGACCTTTTTCGCCTTACCCGACCTCACCCTTGACCCTTTTAGCCCTACCCGACATCACCCGTGATCCTTTTAGCTCTTCCCGACCTTACCCCTGACCTTTTTAGGCCTACCCAACCTTACTTCTGACCTCTTTAGCTTTATCCAAGTCTACCATTGACCTGTTTAGCTTTACTAAACCCTACCTTTGACTTTATTACCCTACCCTACTATACCATACCCACCCTACATAAAATTCCATACTGTACTGTACCATGCCCTATGCTACTTACTATATCATACTCATCTTACCAAACAAAACATACCAAACCTTACAATACTTTACATATCATAACTTATCCTATCTATCATACCAGACCCTGCAATACCCTACCATACTATATGCTATCCTATCTACCATACCAAATCCTTCAATGTCCTAACATATATAACATGCCATACTCTACCTGACTATATTATACCATTTATCTTGCTTTATTTACCTACTCTACTCTACCTATGGGTAGTACACAGTAGTGTTGTATAAGATTGGATAAGGTATGATATGATACAGTATGGTATATGTAGTATGTTATGGTATGGTAGGATATGGTATTGTATGGTAGGGTATGGCATGTTATAATATGTTAGGATATTGTGGGGTTTGGTATGGTAGATAGGATAGGGTATGGCGGGGTGTGGCATATTAGGTACAATATGGTAGCGTAGGAACGGGCAGGGCTACAAAGGTCAAAGGTAGGGTCGGGTAGGGTTAAAAGGGTCAGGGGTGAGGGTGGGTAGGGTTAAAATAGGGGCTGAAGTCGGGTAGAGATAAAAGGATCAGGGATGAGGTCGGAAAGAGCTAAAATGTTCAGGAGTGAAGTGGGGTAAGTAACATTACTTGTTAGACACTCAACAATTTTAAATTAATTTTTTTAATATATGAAAAAATTATTACCGGGCATTTACAGGGCATTACCGGGCACGAAGCAAGCCCTGCCTGGTTAGAATCATGGGCCCGGCCCGGCTCTGTAATTGATCGTAAAAATGGGCCCTGGCCCGGCCCCAGGGCCGGGCCGGGTCGGGCACAGGGGGCAACGCCCTACGTCCAAGCCTGCTTACAATACACGGTGCCTTGAAGCAATTACTTATTAAAGTAATCAAAAACTCATACCTAAAATCAACCTGCATGTCAATTCTCTCCACTTCATATGCTTCCTTGGCCGTTGTAGCGACACTCAAGTCTTGAGTGAACAGTATCGTACGTTGTCGCCCATTCAAGAAACAAGCCCAGTAGTAGAACACTCTTCTTCCCTTTGCTGGTTCGTAAGAAGCCAGATCAGTTCGTACCAGCGACAACTCAGAAGAGTGATCTCCAGACTTCCACTCGATCTTCTTATCAGCGATACACAGGTCAGAGTAGGTAAAGATACGTTGTTCTTGTGGGCTTAATTTGATTCCCTTCGAGGCGTCTACTCCCTTCTGACAGAGCGTGATCTCTTTGTCAGTGTCGTTGATTAACAAGGCTGATGCCATTCCTTGTTGGAAGGATTCTACAGTAGCAACGGACGAACTTTCACCTACTGAACAGGTAACGTAGAACCCGACGTGCTAAAACATATTGTTTTAGAGAGTTAAAATAACTTTTATATTTTTTAAATATTTTTCGGTAAAAACATAACTATTCAGCACGATAAACGCTTTTAACTATTAATTTTAAAAACCCCAATCCATTCTCTATAAAACGATTTCAAAAACCTACACTTCCATTAGTCGGGCAAAACTCCTCAAACTGTTCCGTGAACGGAAACATGGCTGTTTCTTCTTCATCGCCCTTGTATCTCAGTGCCAACAACTTCTTAGGTGTGTTCTGAGTTGGCCACAAACAAACACAAGTGTTGGGGTCGACTGTCAGCCATTTAGTCGAGTCCTGTTCTCTCAATTCTACCGGGAATTTGGTGTTGTTGTAGAGTAGGTAGAAGGCGGTGAAGGTGACAATCTTTGTCAGACCAGAGTAAGTGACGTTCACTTCCACTGTGACTTCGTACTCTCTGCCATCACTGGACTTGCACTTTACTCTGCCAGCATGACCAGCAATGTCCAAGGGGAATTCTTCGCTGAGAGCGCTGTTCTCCACCCTCAAGCGACACTTCTTTTTGGGTCGGAACTTTTGTTCAGCAAATGGCAATAGAACAGGGTTCCTGTTGGGTTCGTGAATCAGTTCGATCTCGGCCTAAAATACGACAAATAGCGACGTTTTAAACTTTGAAGCGACAAATAAACCGTTTTGAAGCAAAACTGGAAAAAGCACGGAAATAAAGTAAGGCGTAAGGAAAGAAACTCACTTCAGACATAGTTAAAATAGAAAAAATTAGTAATAAAAATAAAATAACAAAAAATCAAAATTAAAAAGACAAAAAAACAACATTATAGATATTACAATTTATGTTACAGTACAAAATTAACCATGAAAACTAAAATTTTCGCTTTTTCAAACAAAATGTTTTCCATTTTATAATTCCCAAGTAAAAGGGGTACTGTAACATCAAAAGCACAATGTAAAAACCGTAAAAAAACCTGATCAAACCAACTTATTTGTAAACCCAAAAGCTAAAAACCCAAGCCATCGGGTTGAAATGAACCTAACCTGAGATAATCGACGACTTTCGGGCGTTGTTCGACCACTAATACAGCTATTACAGCGACGGCCGCCGCTCAGACCATAACGACGTGCCAGCCACATGTCCTAAACAATCAAAAATCAATGCTCAACGTGCTCAAAGACTCGTGCACAACATCAAAACCAAAAGTAATATTTTACAATGCGTCAATTTAACCTTTAAAAGATTTTTTAATTTAAAAAAACTGTAAAATATACTTTTATAGATTTACAACAATGTAAGTGATAGTTATGTTAGTGTATAGACGTTAGGGTAGACAGTATAACATTTATACAGTATACACATAGCTTTAGAAGCACACAAAAACCTAATTACGACGGTCTATCAACAAAGATAGCCATTGTGATTTGCCAAAGATAACAACATAGAAAGCACTAACTTTCATTTCATAGTGACATTATTTAATGGCACCTAACTTTAAATTTAGATAGCTTTCGTTTGCCAAGAAATTCGTATTTTACAATAAAATGACATTGTGTTACAGTAAACTGTATTGCCGTTTTATGATACTAAAGTATAACACGCAGTACTCATAAAACACCGTTCACACCAGCTTATAACATAATGTCATTTTACTGTATATCAAGACTAACTGACATTCCAATTGACATGTAATTGGTTAAGAGTGCAAACACAAAACGAACCAATAAAGAAACGCCAAAACGTGTTACCTTTGCCAAGCCTAAACCTACCAAGTAAGCCAATGTCTTGCCAGTACTGTTCACAATCCAGTACGGTGAGTAGATCTCGCATTCTCTGCGTTTATGTTGCGTCGTCCAGTGGAGACCAAGATTCTGAAAATAAAACCATTAACCACGTATCAATAATTAATCACAATAATATTCGACTTTATATTACACTAGCTATCATAAGGTCCTCTTATATTGTACTAGACAACAAACTGCTAACAAAAGATCCTTTTCATGCTGTAATAGACAAAAAAATTAACTTTACCAATTCATATTCAGGTTTGTCTCTGCGTTTCATAGATACAACTTCAAGTTCTTCTTGGTCACGTTTCAACCGCATGGTTACGTCGTATTCACCGTCGTTGTCAACCTAAAACAATATAGTTCAACTGTAAGTTACAAACCCATTTTTTATATTCAAGCATTATGATAACAATCCTATATACATGTTACTTCAATTCTATAAATACATACCCAGAAGGACAGTTCTTGTTCGGCGATCAAGTTGAGAGGAACATCTTCTCCTCCCTTCAGCGACTTCTCAATCGGCGATGTCAGATGAACTTCCATAGGTAACAAGTTTCTGAAGAACAGTGGTGGATACAGATGCACCGTGAACACCTTGTCCACAAAGTCTTTTCCACTTTCACCGTGAATGTCTTCCGTCTCTACTACCGCATCTACAAACAATCCAGTTCGAGGATTCTCGCTGTTGTCGCATCTGACAATGAATCGTTCTGTTTGATCAAAGTCATTCCAGGAGATGCTTTCGGCCGATGTTTCGTATAAATCGTTGGCTGGTCTGAAGAAGAATTGGCCTGTCGCTGTGTATAGTTGTTCCAATGGTACATGTAAGGCAGTTTCTGAATTGGCTTCTAAAGTGCCACAACTGTCAATGTTGGTGTCGTCGCGCATCGAATAGACTTCCATTGGCACATCCATGTGATTGACAAACTAAAACAATTTAAATTAATTTATTATACGATTCACCCAACGTATTTTACGCAAATTTTTACTTTAAAAAGCATCATAACTTTCAAAACTAACTTACATTAACCAACGACTTGAGTGTAACCACCCTTCTGCCACTCTCAATCGCCGTATCCACCACCAACGACCATTGTTTGCCAGAATCCGCGTGTTTTGGCAATCTGACGCATCTTTTGACAGCTCTGTGAACATCGACGGGTCGCTGAGTGTCCAACAACTTGAGCAACAAGTCCGTGCGTCGTTTGTCTTCTTCTGGCTGTAGCCCAACTTTTTGTTCCCATCCAATCGGATTCAATTCCACGTAATAACCGTGAGAAGCGTCGATGGCTTCACCCGTATCGTTGACTTTCATCGTGTCCGAGTTGAGGATCTGGACGTGGATACCCGTTTCATTTTTGATTAGATATGGACTGTTTCCTGTAAAAAATTACAATTTTCAACTTGACAAATACAAAAACTTGTCAGACATTTAGTCGTAGTCTAAGTCCCACCACGAAAACTACCGTACCCTCCCATCAATTACCTGGCAATTCCTTCTTTTTAGGCGGAGCAATTTGCTTGGCGGCTTTTTCGAAAACTTCTCCTAATTGGGTCGTCAGTTGAATGAAGCTCTTCGTCATGGTCAGATTCATCATTTCCGAAGCTGCTACTTCTACCGTCATCTTCGGTGGAGGCAGTTTACCGTCGCCGGCTTCTTCTTCCGAATGAGTTCTCACTTTGGCGGTCAATTGCCATGGATCCCAGTCCCCAGATGCGCGTTGGATGGGTTCGATGACTGGCTCCCAAACGGAAAAGGTCTCGTTGAAGTAGCTCATCTGTAGCTTGAAGGCGCTGTCAAGTTGCATACGACCCGACCAGTCGGAGACCGAGCCTTCGAGGCCGGATTCGATGAGGATCAGGGGGATGGTGCCGTCGTCGACGTCCGCTTCTACTGTGATGATGAATTTTTCGATGTTAAAAGATGCCTACAATAATATTATGATTAATCTGTTTAAAATACTGCAAATATCGGTTGCTTCACTAACTTACCGTTTCCAAGAATGGCGAGCTCTCAACAATCTCCAACTCAGGTCTGTAGTCATCGGAAGCTTCTTGTGCCACTTCTGTGAACCACCAGTAGTCAGCGTGCTTCAGCTTCTTCGGTTCCCAGTAGTCTGGGTAGCTTCTCAAGATGGATTTGGTTGAAGCTTGTGTATCGACCACTTGTTTGTTGGCCGAGAACGATGAAGCTACGGCACTGAGGAGTAGAATGACAGCTGGGGATACCTTTAGATGGATGGTATCGATACAAATGGCAAAGTCTTGAGCTTTCGTTTCGTTGTTAATGGAACCACTTAAGACAACGTCCAGCCTTCTGAGGACATAACGATGGGCCAGATGGCGTTTCTTTTCCGAAAAGTAGGTTGAGACGATCCCGAGGTTCTGGATTCTTGCGTCAACTTGTTGAACATTGTCCAGCTGAAAAAAATTTTAAGTTTTATTCGCTAAAACAGTTATTTTTCATTTCAAATTTCTTGGTTAGCTATACTATTGTTCAGCTTACATTAGTGATGTCAGACTTGCAAGAGAACGACAAGATCAAAGCCTGTGAATTCTCTGGGTCCATCGAGTTCTCGATCAGAATCACTTCAATGTCCTGAATCCTGGCCTTCAATGTGATCGTTGGCTGTGGCTTTCCCTTCTCTTGGTCCACAATCACCTGAGTCTTATTGGCCGAAGTGTTACCTGCATTTAGAGCTTGTTGTGGTCGTTTTACAAACATGGCGTCTTGGTCCTCTTCTTCTGGTGGTTTTGGGACTACAAAGAAGCTGGACAAAGCTCCCAAAAATTCTGGACATAGGTACAAGAAGAAAGACGACGAAGTAACATCGATTTGCTTGTCGCCTTTGGCATTCTGTTCATACTTCATGGATACTAACAAAGAGTTTGAAGTATTCGAGTTCTTTTTGTCCATGAGACGGCTGATCTTGGTCTGATCGGCTGGTCTTCTGTCGTCCATCGTGAAGCTGAGAACCGATAAACTCGTGTCGATAGCTCCTTGTTCTGTCATCCATCCTGACACTTTGACTTGGGCAATGATCAATTGGCCAAACTTTTTGTCATCATTTCGGCTGAGGGTGCCTTCCCCGGTCTGAAATTGATATTTGAGGTCATTATGATTTTTCATGGTCCGAGCATAACAAATACCATTATTTTTTACAAATAGACCAACAATATCCTTACCTCCAATCCTGAGTCGCCAGTATACAATCTAGCGTCAATTTCATCCATCTGAAACTGGAACACGATCCTCTTGTAATCTGTTTTGTCCTTCTTTTCTTCTTTCTTCTCTCCTTCCGTCTTCTTGTCCTTATCAGCACCAACCACACCACCCCCCGGTTTCTCCACCATTTCATCTTCAGCTTCTTCCACGTGTCCTACTTGAACTGGCTTCTTCGGTGGTGGTGGAGATCCTTCAGCAAGGTTGCCAGCCAAAGTGTGCATTACCAAAGCATAATCTTGTTGTGCCATTGAAAGGTCGATGAGAGAAAGATGAGCATCTAAAGCGATCTCAGGAAGTTGTTTTAGGGAAGCGAAGGAAAGGTTCCTGTGGATGGTCAAGGTGAAGGTAAGAGGTTTGAGCATGTTACACTTGGCAGCCACGTCCAAGTGGTCGCGTGCAAGTCTGGCAGCCGCAATGTGAACATCCTGAAACGTGTTTTAATTTTTAGTTCATATTAGGGGCTTGAACAACTAAAATATTTTAGAAATTTTATAAACATCAAACTATTCTTTCAGAACCCATGCCCTACCTTAATTTGAACGACCATAGTATCAACAACAGCACCATGTTGAACACTAAAGCTGTTCTTGACCACCAATTTACCCAGATCCAACCACAATGCCTGATCTGAAGTCGACAGTCTTGGAACAACGATAGCAGGTGCGTTTAACTCAACATCCAATCTGATTCGTTGGGGGTTGTTCTCCAACATTTCTTTTACATTCTGAGCGGCTTCTGTTGCTTTGGCTTGAGCTGCTTGTTGAGCTGAAGCGGCGGCCGCTGCTGCTTCCTCTTGGAACGGCGAGATCCAGTTGAGCATTCGGTTTAGCCAGATATTCAGGAAGACGAATCTCATCTGAGCAAACCTCATTCGTACTGTCATGTCGTGGTCGCTGGTCGACATTTTCTTTCGTTCCTCGTCTGTTCTGATCAGTTGGACAAAGTCCAACATGAACATATCGTGTTGTTGTTCATTCTTGGGTAGTTGGACGACCATAAGTTGCTTGTGAGCGGCATTTGGAGTTTCATCCAACATCTTAATATCTCTCAGAGATGCTTTAACGGCCGTTTCTTTGGCTTTCATCAAAACAGCGGCCTTAGCTCCAGTAATGTCAAGGGAACTGTCGGGGCCAGCATTTGAGCCGATGAGTAACTTCAATGATATGATATTGGCATTGAGTTCCATTTTGGTGACATTTTCATCGACTTCTGATGCCTTTCTCTGAAGCTTCTTCTTCTTGGCGGCTGCCTTCTTCTTGTTGGGATCGTTTGTAAAGTTTGATGATGAAGCAAAGCTCAGTAAGCTAAAAGTTAACCATCATGAGACAAGCCAAAGATTTTTTTAAAATTTTATTAGGTTGAAAAACTCGATATGCGCTATCTTTTCAAAAAATTCAAGTAAAATTAAAATTTTTGTGGTATAGGTATAAAGACTACATCAAATTACTTTATCTAAAGCACGCTTACCTAGCTCTTCCCATGCTCTGTTTCCTCGAAATCTTCCTGCCATCTTTGTGTTGCTCTATCTGATCGTACTTCTTCTGAACACCTTCCAACTCCTTCTGAAGTTTTTCTCCGTAACTTTTGAGTGCCATCAAGGCTTCTTGATGTGCCGTGACATTCAAAGTCTCAAAGTTAAAGTTGATAAGTTGTTCGGTGCTTCGGTACTCGGTCTTGAAGAATGGCGACTCCTTGTTCGCTTGGATGAATGTCATTCTCATCAGATGGTCGCCTTCAGCGTGGAAGTTGTCAATCAAGAAAAGAGTGTCTCTGTTCGGCAACAAAGACTTGAAAGAAGGCATTTCTACCGTCAAACTTCCAAGGTGAGTCTGTACCTTCATGTCGTTGGTTCTCATTTGGAATCCGAAGCCGAGTTGGCGGATGTTAGCTGACATCAGTACGTTTGTTCCTCTGTAGATCTCCACTCCAATTTGGTTCAGCTTCAAGTTGACGTCGATCTGAACCATTTGTTCTCTCTGAACAGACGACTCCTTCTGAGTATTGTCAACATAGTCTCTTGAGCTTAACAAGGCTTCTTCTCTGTCGGCTCTCTTCATCGCTTCTTCATCTAGCTCGTTCACTTCCATGATTGCTCTCATTTTGGCTCTGTTCTTCAAATTTCCGGTTTCTAGAGGTTCTACTTTGGCGGCTAGATCAACTTCTGGTTCTACTTCTGCTTTGGGTAACGGAATTGACAGGCCTAACTTGGCCAACTCGATCAGACGTTCATCTGACATCTTTACAACTACGTCAGGCAGTGTACCGTACAATCGTAACCTAAAACATTGATGATGAATAAGATATGAAGTTAGAAAATTTATGTCACCCCAATTTGCTAGTTATGTAAACGACTCACTTTGGAATGTTTAAATCGTCAATGGAACTCTTATGCAAATCTAGATCAAGCCCTGTGGGCTTCAGAATGTGGCACGGGGATACGGGATCTTGTCTCGCAGACATACATTCATCAAACGAATGTCCGAACAACAATTGCATGTTAGATAACTTGATATCGAACTTATCATAGGCTTTGATCATGAGTTCTCGCAGACGCTGATCTTTGACATCTTTGTATGAATCCTGAGCTACATGATCAGTAGTCTGAATAGTTAACACTCCGAGTTCTGTCACCAGATTTGGCTTCTGACCACCGAAGACTCCACCTTCACTGACGACAATAGTAGTCGGCTCAATCTTGATGTCGAGCTTCAGCTTCGACTTCTGATCGACAGCGTGCTGTAGCCCTGATACTGAGCGAGCTTTCACATCTTCGTATCTTGCCAAAGCAGCAGCGGTGAGCCTAAAAAATCAAAATTATGTAAAAACCATCTTTCTGTAAATTCTTAATTATTTTTAAATTAAAATTTAAAAATAAAACGACAACTTACTGATTCAACCTGACAGATTCTGGAGGCTTGAACACCTCGGCAGCTGCATTGATGGCCGGAGCATGGTATCTCAAGATAGTTGGACTAATGAACAATCCAACATATTGATCAAACTCTCCGCTTAATGGGTTTGTCTCCACACCCAACTTCAACCAGTCCGAGTTCTCGTCCAACAAGGCCAACATCGGTGTTCCGCAGCCACTCATCGACAAGGTTTTGATCGAAGATTTAAGACTAAAATTATTCATTGCTTAATATTTTCATCAATTATAATATACTTAGGTACACCATTTTATAAGTGTTGTCGTACTACATAACAATTTTAAGAAACAGCACTGTGCTTACCAAATAGCTCTAGCTGAAGGTCTTTGTTCAAATTGAGCACCAATTTCGCCCATTTCAAGTTCCAAAGCATCTTCCACGATGATTGCAACTGTTTTCAAAGTGGCCTTGACTCTGTTCTCAACGTACTTCTTTGGGTAATCCGTTGGTGGAGTGTTCTCCTAAAACAACAGCTTATAAACTATCAGACATTCAAAAAAAGTGCAAAAACATCGTTCAAACTAAAGTAAAAATCTCAAAAATTGATTTTTATGAGCAACAGTGTAGCAAATATTACAAAGTAAGTTAACCCCATAGTTTAATATTAATTTTACCTGATAATCAATTGCATCAAACAATTTGGCCTTTTCTTCTGGAGTCATTGCTTGTTGGAACTTCTCGGCAATGTCATTAGCATCTTGAGTCTTTCCAGGTGGTAGAGCAGTTGATCCGCCTGACCACCAGCTCTTGGCCCAGCCGGTCCATCCTTGTGGCTGGTCTTCCAACCTAGTCAGATTCTTTCGATCAATCTCCATCTCCGCTTGTTGTCGAGCAATGTTCAGGTTGAACACGTCCAACTTCTTTTCCGCATTCTCGATGATATTGGTGATCTCGGAAGGTAGATTCTTCTCGGTTTGTTTTCTGACCCATGACTTTTTGTACTCTTTGACCAGGTTTCGGTGCTTCTTCATGCGATGCCACGACCAATTGTTCTTCTTTCTTCTGATATTCTCTTCCAGAATACAGGTATAAGCAAACCGCCACCTGAAATATTCAATTTCACGTTATAAGCCCTTTCCTTCAAAAATCAAGTATATAATTTGTAACGCGATGCTATATAACATGAAATAATCTTACCATTCCTTGTAGTGTCCCTTATACTCATTCAAATGAGGTCGATATTTTAGGTAGGTAGAAGCCAAATTGAATCGTTCTTGAGCTTCCATGAACAACAAAATGTCCTGATACTGATATCGACCAATACACAACGCCAATCGCTCCATCTCCACACCTAAATCCACTTTTGGTATGGTCCAGTTGCTGTTGTCGCTCTCTGGTTTCTGATTCAGTTTCAGTCTGGCGTCCATTCTGATTGGCTCCAGAATGTACTTGTAGTCTTGAAGTCGCTTCTCAGCTGTACCAATTGTTTCCAAAAGTGCCTTTCTGATCGCTTTTCTCTCACTCAAATCAGAAATGAGTTCGCTGTGAGAGTTCCAGTAGATGGAGAGGTCTTGAAGGTTGACCAACTTGTAGAAGATTTGAAGCGTCTCCTTGTGGATCGTGGCTTTGAAGTCTTTGTCGGTTGTCTATAAATCAAAATTTAAAAAAAAATTAACTTTCTAAATACAAAAAAAGTTATGCCATTTTTAAAGCTTTCTAATAATGAATACGTCATAAATCACAAATAAGTTACCTTAAAATCCAACGATCCTAAAGTAATACCGGCTGCAAATGGTCGTCTTCTGTCTGTGTACTTGTCTTCGTACCTAACGTGAATGTTCTTGATATGAACTTGAAGATTCTTGATCACTTGTGCAACCAACTTTTCGGTAAAAGTATCAGCCTGAGGGTCTTTTGGTTCTAAAAAATTAAATTATTTCCAAAACTTCAACATTCATTACCTAAAAATTTAAGGTATCTTAAGATTTAAAAATCAATTGGAACACGTCATAAACTAACTATCAATATAAGGTAACATTAAAAATCCTACTTCTTCTGTTCTTTCTGTTCTCCTCCAACCTCAGCAGTTCTTTCTGTTTCGTTTCGTGATCGTTCTTCTTCGCCTTGGCATCATCGTATACAACACCTTTGTTTGGTACTACAATCAGATATAAACCTTCGATATTGGCAATCACTGGCTCTGTGTACAAATTCTTCCATGGGATTTTAAGTACAAGATTATCTAGACATCCAAATTTGAGTTTTACTGGCAGATCCAGCTGATCCATGGCCGTCTCTTTGATGTCCAAATTGGTCAGCTTCACATCTCCTGAAATAGGATTTTTTAAATTAAATATTAGGTTGTTGATATAATTCCATGCTCTTTTTCAAAGCAAATTTTCATGGTTAAGGGGCACAGAATTATCTAAACCTAATAAAATGCTGGTTCCGAATGATTTTAGGTTAAAAAAATTAACTTACCGCCCCATATTCCAATATTCAACTGTGAAGCATCCAAATTATCAACAAAATCACCCAAAAATCGATTTAATAAATCTGCTACAACACTTTCAAAAACCATATCTGAAAGTAGAAGAATATAAAATGTGTACTGGTCATGTAATAACGAATGTAAAACGTGACCGCAATGTAAAATAAATAGTGTACTAAAACATAAAATTTAGCAGTAAAAATATATAAAAGTAATTAACAAGCCAAAACACGATTAATTTTGATTATTCAAATAGTTCGAAAAAGTTGAATCATCCAAATTATCGAAATAAAAACAAAAAAAGTCTAGCCAAAACGTAACAAAAAGTTGCCTATTGTTTCTAAAACATTGTTGTATCTTCTAGCAGTTCTAACAGAAATGTCATATGTTCGATATAAACATATTTTACTAATAATTATACCAAAATTTATAACAAAAAAGTGACAATCAAGCAAAGATAAAAAATGTGAAACAATATCAATTTCGATTTTCATAGGAAAAATAATTTTCCATTTACTTTTTGACCAGTAATTGTAGCATAAAAAACAAACATAACACTATATACATTTTTTTTATTTTTGCGGTATCGAAAATAGCCAAAATACAAGCAGTTTGGTTTGTTTCCCTCCGTTCAGCTATCATAATATTCTGACACAAATAAACAGCCTCAAGGCCTGTTTTTTGATTCGGAATAGAACGAATTTGAAACCAAAATCAATATCATTAATTCGACACAAACTTAACAGAATGTTTGCTGACTTTTATTGCGTCTTTCCGGTCAAAAAGTTAATAGAAATAACGAAAAAACAGTCCAGCTTCGTCAAGAAAACCCATTACCAACACTTTTAAACCGAAATAAAACAAAAGTAACATTCCAATTAGTATAAAAAGCTGCTTAATATAACCGCGATATACCTAGAATACAAAATCTAGTCAACTCCCACCAGTTTTATACCTAAAACCGACTGTAAAGCCACAAATTATTGTTTTTGGCCTCATTTTCTGGCCGAAAATAGCAAAAAAGAGCTTTGGCCACTCCAAAACAAGTCCAAAATAGCGCGTTCCCTTCGTATAAAACACGGCACGAGCTAAAACAACAAGAAACACAAGTAAACACACCAGTTTCCACAGGGTTTATATTATCTATGCTAAAGATAAGGCTCAATTTCAATAAATTTTAAATAACATAATTTAAAACAAAAAAACACGATTTAAAGTTTCACAAACAATATTTTAAAAACAGAAACACAATTAAGCAACAAAGACCATTTGAATTTACATTTCACACCAACAAAAACAATAAATATATTAAAAATTAACGGACTTCGAAGCCATGTTCAACATGAAATTTCAAAATTAATAAATAAAGGTTAATAGCGATTTAAAGCTCTTTTCGAGTATAAATTGATGTGTCTTCATTCTTTGGAATGAGTTCGGAACGTTTCGGAACGGCGAAAAAATATTTTCCGTAAACAAGAGCAAGTCTCGACCCGAGAGAGCTAAACTTGACTCAAAATAACAGAATTTTGAATAAAATTTCAAAACTATTTTTGTAACAAATAAGGAGGCTTTAGGACAATACAAAATAATTTTTAAAACGTAAAGCTATCTTTATTATTTTTTACTTTTTTTGAATTCCCGTAAAGTTATATTACACTGCACGGCCAAAGTATCCAAATGTCATCATTTGTTATATGAAACACCTTTTCGAACGTTCCCTGGTGTATTCAACATTTTTAGCGTCCAAACCTTTAGAGTTCCTCCTTCGAAATCATTTAAAAGGGCTTTTTCAAACAAAAACCGTTAACGAGAGAGTGTGTGAAACGAATAGACGGCCATAGTAGGGTGACCAGGCGGTCTTTTTGTTTTGATCTTTAACAAAAAAGAGATGAGTAACGTGTTTACCACAACTATAAACTGTATTAAGTTTGCATAAAATGATCTTATTCTAATTGGTAACAGTCATTTTAATTGATAACAGTAAGGCTACGTTGTAATTGAGGAAAGGAAACATGTTTATCTGGCTGTACTGTTGCATCGCGCCTTTTATGGTTGCTCGTAAAATTCAAATCAAGGACAATTGGAATCTAAAGAAGGGAAGGGACCCAATTTTGAATTTATGGATGGGACATAACTTTAGATACATCTAAAAATGGCAATGAATCGTTAAAAAACCAGTTAAATTCAGATGCCTAAGGCTTCAAACTCTACTTTAACCCTTTTTTGTGTCACAGTGGAAAAAATCTTTGTTTATTAGTGTTCTTGATATTTTAAAGGAGTTTTGTTAAGTTTCAAATTTAGCATTAACAATAAATTAGATACGAAAACACCAAAAAACGTAAAATGATCTGAATGAAACTTGATAAGAAACTACGTAAAATTCATATTCTTTAAAACTGACCAAATACGATTGCATTCTACTACTCTTCTTCCAAACTATTGAATTTGAATTGTAAGTTTGTTTTAAAAAATTATTATATAAGCTACTTTGAACAGTTGAATACCTTCCTACCGCAACCTTAATTCCACACATTTTTAAGCCTTTCCTTACTCAAATTCGACCCAAAAACAGATCCAACCACAATAAAATAAGATTCATTAATACACCGGTAACGATTAATTAATAATAGAACTGTACAAAAAACAATAGTAACTACAAAAGTAAAGATTAAAAGAATATTAAACCGTCATAGCGAGATGAAAGGAATACAAAATAAAGAAAGAGATCCAGATAACAACATTAAAGTCTTAGTTGACAATGTTCTTTTACAATGTTACGGCGCTTTACATTGACAAGGTGGTTCAGTAGTTCCATAAGTTGACTTAGTAATTCAATTAATGGGTAGGGTGAACTTAAAGTGTAGCAGTAACATCAATTAAAAAGTAGCACAACAATATCCATGTCAAAAACATTATCCCCGTAATTATACCAATAATAATAATGAGTTTGGCCCACAAACTGTATATACCATTATGTACATGATGACATGTCAAATGTCATTAGATGCGCATCTGACATGGTGCTGACTTTGTGTACGATAAATGGGTAGAATTCAGTTGGAAAGGCAGAATCCTGGTTTCGCGTACTGCTGTGTCTGGAGTAAAATTTGCTGTCGTTGAGTTCACTGTATTATCATATTGGTATATACTTTTCTGAAATCAATTTACTTATTACTCTTGTTATCCATAACACCTACCTCAATACAAATGTTAAGCAACATACCTTTGGTTTGATTGGAGTAATCATCTCAGGAATAATATCCGAATCGAATTCACTGAAGCTGACCTTCTTCATTTTGTGCATCTTCTGCTTTTTCATCTTTTGTTCCGTGTTGATCTTGTATACAACACAAAGAAATAGCGCACTGACAACCAGAGCAAACCCTATGACAAATAATAGTTGAACATCGACTGAAGTTTTTCGTTTTGACAACGTGAACTTCTTCTTCAGATGATTGTTATTCAGATCGATATTCAAAACAGCTTGTTGTCTGTCTGAGAAAGCGGATTCTGATATCGAATACACTGAGATCACGTGAACCCGGGTCTTGGGGTCTGATTTTAGTGGAATTATAAAGCGATGGGTGGTGTCCTGAAACGATTATCGTCATTTTTAAAGTTCATTTAAATATAAATAATGACAATATCAACATTTTGGTAACTCGTTCTCAAAACTTCATGTATATAATTATTTCAGTCTACGAATTAGGGCAAAGCACGGCACCCTGAACCAATAGAAATAAAACGCATTCCTTCGTTGACATTTCGCCGCGCCACGCTTGATTTTTTAGAATAAAAAATACCGAAATTGTAAAAACATTTTTATGAATGGAATATGAGATGAAAAATGTAGTATATTTATTAAATATGCGTTCTGCTCGTTTTCAAATTGACCGTTTTTCGTTCCATATAAATTCTGATTGATCTGAGGATGAAGAATATCAACATCCAATTCCTTACAAATTTTAGTTTACAACATCCTGAATTTACACATGCTGCATCAGTAAAAAATTACGATTAAAATGGTACCAAAAACGTCTGTTTAAATGAAATACTTTGTCACATTGAAAAGCTTGCTTTCCGATATTATAGTAGACCATCTGATCATTTTTGTTTTAAAAAGACTTTTATACTTTCCCTTTCGATATATAGTCAAACCTTTTATTAAAAATTAACATTTGTGTTACGATCTTGCTAAATCAAACCTAAAACGTGAGAAAACAACATAAATTACTTACCAAGGATCCGCCAAACTCTATCTCTAATATAAAACAGCTAACAACGTATTATACGGTCAAATTAGCTAAATCAACATGTTTGACAGCGTAATAATTTGATAACCGTTTCTGACATAAATAGTTTTTACCACATTTTGCACAAAATAGTAGAATAAGTTTCAACATTAGACGAAAAACCGACCGAAAAATAAAAAAACAGTGGAAAACGAAATGAAACAAATTATCGGATAAGGGATCAATAACGATTCTCTATTTTGACTGAGCGTTCGGTTCAGGGTGCCGTGCAAAGTGATTAACGTTATAAGTTGAAGACGAAAAAAAAGGATAATATACCCACCAATTCAATCTGCTTTGTCCCAACTTCGCTTCCACTGCTCCAGTTCACAAACTGTTCACATTCGGCTGGATACTGATTATCGTAAGAGTTCCATTCAATCAACGCCTTTGAAGCACCATCGAAGAGATCAACGAGCTTGAGTTGGAGCATATCCCGACGACCATTGAACAACTTATCTGGGGTAACCTCACCAGAACATTGTGGTTTCTTGGCTAATCCATTGTTGTCAAAAGAATAGACTCGAACCATGAGATATTCCTTGATTTGAACGTTGCTGTACTCGTACTCAACTTCAAATCGAGAGGAAAAACGACTAAAAATAAGTTTTGGTAAACTTATATAATTTTGTTACAAAAATCTTCCCAAAACAATCGAAAAAAAAAACTTACAAACTTCCTAGAAACAAGAGTGCTGTTAAGATGTCCATCTTTGTAGGCAAAAATTCTCCAGATTTCAATAACCCTCAATAAGTGATCATCGTCTTCTTCTCCCAATGAGAATTTAGCTTGAATTCGAGGAGGAAACAAGGTTATTTTGTTCGCGCATGCCAAATCAAGATCATCGTACCCTTTTCGGGAATCATAAGAAAATCCAGCCTCATCCGCAGGTCCATCGCCAACTGCTGTACACACTTTTTTACACTAAAATTTGATAGAATATTGTTTTATATATCACAATAACAGTGTTTAAAATAAATGATATTTACCAATATATATATCAATAAAAAGAGTGTGTTTATGAAACTTAACAAAACAAAAGCTCTACTTACCTTTTCGATCTCCGTCTCTGTCACAATCAACTTGGTATGGTTCTTGCCTGACAACAATATTTCTGTGGTTTCGTGACCAAACTAAAGCAAGATTTTATGATTTCTATTCTACAATTATTCATATTAAAACATAAAAAACAAACACTTTACGTTATCCATTGGTCTAAACAAAAAGAAAACAAAAAATTGCCCATTGACAACAATTCTCCGGTCTTTTTACAAAACAAGTATACCTAACACAATATAAAATTCTGAAAAACCGACTTCTTGTCCGCATTTAGCTACACATCCATAAAACTTGGCTTGAATCGTCTCGGGAACATTAGAACATTGAAAACTTTGGGTAAAACACAGTAAGAAAAATACAGTTATTAATTTATTATTCATCTGGATCCTGAAAAGAGAACATAAACACAAATTACAGATAACAAAACAGATATCATAACGATACAAATATAAACATTTAGATTCTCTACATTCTTCAGAATTGTTTTCGTTTCGAATCCTCGAAAAATTTGAGAAAATCTGGAAAATGTTATTTTAGCGCAAGTTGCGGCCAGAGTTTCGCAGGTCGCCGAATGAAGCAGACAGCACAACTTCTACCATCTTTTATCAAACTATTGTAAGTATGTAGCTATAGTAGTCAAAAACTTTTAGGCTTTCAAATCATAGGAAAAAACGAAAAAATAATATTAATATATCATATTTACCCAATGTTTAAAGAAACTGGCGTATATTAATATTGATCAATTAACCCAGAACTGAACCCGTTTCCGTCTCTAGTCTGAATGCCATAAATTCGAGGCTTCTTTGAATCCGAATGGCGCAAACAAAGCAAAAAAAGGCTCCGAGTTTACGATCAACTTTTGTCGTTGCCTTTGATCAGAATGCCGAAAAAGGCGAGGAATTGTAAAAATATTGGCAAAACGAAAACAACGCCAAAATGACTGAAAATGTAATCAAAAGTAATAATAAAGTAATAGAACATTCACCGCCGAGCAAGAAATTATAAAATTGCAATCGGCTTGGCTTTGGTATCAGCGGTGCTGTTAGCCATCGACATTTTTAATGAAAACAAACATATTCCCTTAAAATTAAACAATAATAGTTTATAGCAAAACAATCTTTATAAAATCAATCGCAACATACGAAGATCACAGAATTTAAATGTTTACCCAATTTTTGCTTTATATCCGGCTTTTTTTTATTCGTTTGTCTAACAAAGTCCATCGTGATTAAAATCCGATGATTCATGTCATTTAAAGAAGCAGTACAGTTTAAAAGAACATATTAAAGGGATACTTCGTTATAATCAACATTGTTACAAAAGATCATGTAGTCTACAAAACTGCTTGCTAAGCGATATTGTTCCTCGACCGTCGGGTCCCGACCAGACCAAAAAAACGACAAAACTTTTGGACAGACAGGACCTTTGAAAACAGTCTGACCAGGCCAAAAAAATTTAAAAAAAAGTAAAAACACTATTGCCAGGTTTAAATAACAGAAGCTAAAATTTATCATATTAAAAAGTTTTTGACATTTATAACGCAAAATGACCTATTCGAATGTAAAAATAATTATTTTTTTTATTTTGTCTCTGTTACGGTCGATATTGGTTGCTTTTTACAATGTCGAGCGGCACGATCAACGACATTTTGAATTCTGATGACCTTCAACGATGTTTTTCTTTGTACGTTATTATTTTTGTTTATTTTTAAGTTTACTTATTGAAAGTTTTGTTATTGTCTTCTTTGGTCTTTACTTTGTAAATCCTGTTACATTAAAAAACATATGTAAAACAAACTGCAAGTTGACGCCTAGGCTAACCGATCCAATGCAGTTAAACTTAAAGTACATTTTGACCACGAACTTTATTTTATTGCAACTTCTTGACAATTTATTTCTATTATACTCATCGATTTATTTTTAGTCTACCCATCAAAGATCGTGTCAGGTGTAGCCAAGTGTGTAAAAGATGGAAACAAGCTCTAGAAGTGTGGTCTGATGTAGAGAATGTCTTTTTGGGTCAGGATACATCATGTTTTGCTACTGAAACTGCATCCTCGATTGTTGAGCCGTCGCACAGTAATAGAGCTAACGTTTGGGCTGTAAGTTGCTTTAGTCATCTTTTATGTCGTAACTCTTGTATATACTAAAACTGTTTTTAAATCAGTGTTGTTTGAATAAATATTTTTAACTTTTAATAATTTTCAAAAATAAAAGCATTTCAGACAAAGACCTTGCCAGCTTTGTTGCCTAAATGTCCGAATCTAAAAGTTTTGATAGTCGAAAACCGTGATGTGATGCAATTCGTCTACCCTACAATCAACAATCTCTCCAGAATCAACACCTTAGTCTTGTCGCACGATTTCTTCTCCCTCGACTTCAGAAGTCGTTCTCCATCGTATCTAAACTTACTGGTCAACAAATCGACTATAAAGCGACTCTTCGTACTGGTCAACTCTAAATTCATACTCAACAAGACTAATATAGTGACGTTGAGGGCAGTGGAGAAGATGGCTAGTGCTGATTTGAGTGAAATTATGCTACAAGGGACGTTATTAGGTGCGAAGGCTATGGAATGTTTGGCTATGAAGTACAGGAACAGCTTGAGGTACCTACTGATTGGAGGCACGGTGTGTGACTCTAGAAAAGCAGAAGAGTATTTGAAGGCGTTTGGTAAGGATTTTAAAAGATTTTGTTACCTATTTTGTTAAAAAAAGCTTTTTAAAATATAAAACGTTCAATTTTAGGTATCTTTTCCAACCTTGAAATTCTACAAGTACCGTCATCCGTCTTCTCTTTCTCACGAGACCAAATACCATCATATCTCTCGAACATAAAGAAGATTACCACGTTGAAACGCCTTGATGTTGCTGTAGTTGAAATTGATCGTCGAAGTATCAGAAACTTTATCACTAATCATTTACCGCCAAATTTGGAATTATTGTACTTGATTGACAACTGTGGAGGAGGAGGGTTGGATATCAGCGAATTTCAAAGTATTCGACCGGAGCTAAAGGTATGGTGAATTATTAATAAGGTCGTTCAAATAAGTAGGTGCCCGCTTTCAAAATTTTTCGGGTTAAGGGGCTCAAAATTAATTGAACAACAATAACTAGTTTTTTTTTATAAATAAATTTTTGTTATTAATACGGTGGCTTACTGTAATTTTAGTCAAAATATAAGAAACAATGTAGTACAAGTTACCTGTTTTGACATTAATATTAAACATGTTTCAGATTCACTATATTTTTGGACCAACTAACAAGAAAATTGACTTGGCTTGGATGAACAACGAATCAAACCTACAGTACCGGCCGTACTGGCTGCCTCCCTACTTCCAGCCGATCGAAAATTTTGCCGTTCTTATCACTAACCAGATGTTAACAGCTCAACAACGGAACCCTCAGTTTTCTCATCTTGACTTTGACGAAGACGAAGCCAACCAAGAACAGATTCTGGAGCTAGAAGTTGATGACAAAACGACAGAAGCAACTAGGACAACTCAAAGTACGGACAGCCTATTGTCGACGGCATCGCTGCTGTTGGCACGGTCAGAAACTTCTGGAAGCGAGGAGAGTGATTCGGAAGATGGTACTCCCGACAGCACGTCTGCTCGCAGTAGCGGTTAATGTGTACTTATGGTGTTCGTTTAACTGTAGTACTAGTTTACTTATCGCTTAATTACCGTACTCGTTTACTTATAGTACTCGTTAGCTTCTTCTTGTTGTAGTAATTAACTTTTATTCGTCGTGGTTAACTGACAATAAAGTTATGGCCATATAAACATTGAATTAAACGCGTTTAAAACCCAAACGATCGTTGCCAATTCAAAAGCTGAAAAGAGCACATTAGTCCTCGTCTCATTATTATTCCGAATCTACTTGAACGGCGCCTCAAATAAGGACGCCGTAATTTGTTTTGTTTCTTTCTCTTGGAATTCCAAACAAAGAAGCCGAGTTTTGAAGCCGGCGGGCCGCGGCTCATTAGATATGCCACTTCATCCAAAAAACGACTGCCGTTTAGGGGTGACAATCCTCGGCGTAATTTTGATGCTATAAACATGATAATATTATAGTATAGTTGTGTTAGGCTTGTTTTGATTTACAGTGCTGACATGTGATAGTTGTTATGGTGGTGTGTTTACGTTGTTGTAGTGTTCAGATTTAATAGATGATTAGTTAGTTTTTAGATAATAATATATAAGTATAAGTTAGTTTCTTTGGATTGTATGTTATAATTAGAACATAAAGTGTTTACTTTATTAATGCACTGCTTTAAGCAACTTTTTCATAAGAAACAATCTTTCTAGCTAATATGTTACTTACTTTCTTATATATAAATTTATGTAAGGTCAACTTGACTGCAACTACCACTTTGAAACAGACTAATCTCCAATCTTCGCATCATCAAATGTATAGAAACGTTATTTCTGACGAATTTTTCGAGTATTTTTAAAACTTTACCACTCCCCCGAGGGTCGTTCTACACTTTTCACACGCAAATCCTGCAATTCCGAACGGAAAAAACAAAGTACTACAACATAAACAGTTAGATATTCGGCTTTGCACGTCAATAACACTGCAATATGTTGTATTTAACATGGCATCAACTTTAGAAACCAATTTAACCGCAAGATTGATGACATTACATAATATTATGGGCCGCAACTTTCAGTCCAATGCCTCAGGGGACGTGTTTTGTTTTGAAGCAAAACATCTTCCCCTGGGTCTCACGCATCGCTGGCAGAAAGTTTTTTTTGTTTTGGCTGCCAAGTATTTAAAATTTGAAAAGTTTTCGGGACAAAAGTCATTCTCTGCGCGATTCTTGGCCTTCTGAAGTTCTTTGTTTTCGAGTTCGACAGTATGTTATATGGGGCAATTAGAGAGATTACTGTGTTTTTGTAGGGCTTGTTTTGGGGTTATTTGAAGAATTGTTTATAGTCATTTTGGCACGTTTTTGCTTATTGTTTTTTAAATAATAGCCTGAGGGGTCGGAAGCTTACAAAGTTTTAGTAAGGAACAGAACCAAGCGGGCAATTTTAGTCTGGAATGCCAAACAAGAAATCAAAATTTTTCTTTTTAATCAGCGGATTTTCAGTTTATTTATTTAAAAAAAATTCAAAAAAAGTTTTAAAAAATTGTTAGTTTTAGAGATTAATTAATCTTCGCTAGCCGTGGTTTTTAAAGATTTTAAAACAAGCATAGTTTGTTTACATTATGAATGTTTGTCACGTTCTATTTCAACAATTATCTCAGCAGTACATACGAACGGCGATGTCGCTCCGTGTCTTTTTTCTAGTTTAATTTCCGTGATTTCGGCCGACACTATTACTGCGAGAGTAAAAGTCGGTTCGAATTGAGATTGTCCTTGTTCTAACCTTTACATTTGTGTTAGATTTGTATAAAAATAAACCTTTTAGGTATTATAAAATTTTAGTTTTTATTTAATTTCACTCATATTTTTATATTACATAGTAATTTAAAGTCTTTTGGTTTGATATCTTCATTTATTTTTCTTAAAATCTTGTCATCCTTTATATATCACCTTCTACATTGTTTTTACAATAGTTTTTACAGTATATGTTACGTACAATAACATAAAATTACACTTTTAAAAGCTACTTTTCAGTATGTTAGGAGCCCTATTCCAGTCGCTTCGAGAAGCGACGCAGTTGACATGGATCATAGTAATATTATCCATGTTTGTTTTAAGCCTCGTTTTAACTTGGTATTGCACGTGGAGATGTCGACACGAAGGGCATAGCTATGTGTTGGATCCGAATCGACAAAGTCGCAACAAAAAGGCGAGCCGAGAGTTCTACGTGTAGTTTAATCATCATTTATATTATACTGTTTGCAAAGATATAGAATTTTCATTTTTTATCCAATATTAGTTAGTAGAACAGCGTTACTATGTTAGTTGATACGATAATGTTAATAATGCCATATGGTGTTTTCCTCGATATTACTTAATAATTTCAAAATTCACCATGACATGCGGTGAATCCGTTAAGCCTTTCCGTTCTCGTAGTTCCTTCAGAACAAAAATGCGAAATGACTAATGGATTCACACAAAACTTCAAAGTCTTCAACCTTTACTATGTTATCATTACGGGTAAACGAAATAAACAAATGAACATACGACGTGAGATCTCAATAATTTATTCAAATAAACATATATTCAACCTTATTATTGCTCTTCACTTCCATCTTGGCTAAGCTCGAATTCTCTACGTTCAAATTCCTCATCCAATTCGTCTTCGAGTTCTAGGTAATGCTCAATATTGTTCTTGTAGTCGGTGTATTCACGCAGCTCGTCTGGATCTGTAGGCTCTTGACTCAAAAGCTCTTCATCGACGATGTTTTCCAATTCAGATAAGTATACCATAGTAGCTAGTTGCTGCAGCCGAACCATCTTCATGTTCTGTTCTTCTACTTCTATGTCTGCTGTATATTGTTCTTCGTTGCTGTTGAAATCGACTTTATCGAGCCAAGAACGCAGCTCCTGCATGGGATCATCAGATATAGGAAGCGGTTGAACAACATTCGGGATGGGCAAATGTTCAATGGTCGGTCGTGGAGGCGGTGGTATCGGGTAGTACCCGTATGGAATGTAGGGATGAGGATACTGAACTGGTTGTGGCTGATGCAACATCCTGCCTCCTGGTGGGTATTGTACGGTGAATGGCGGTAGATATGGCATAGAGTAGTAGAACGGTAAGGGCATGACTGGAGGCATCGGCGTGTTAGGCATCGACATGCTAGGCATTGGCATACTAGGCATCGGCATGTTAGGCATCGGCATGCTAGGCATCGGCATGTTAGGCATGGCAGGTAACGACATCCTTTGCTCCGTATACATCGTTACAGGATTTACTATAGAATTATGTACATTACCTAATTCATAAGGATTTTCATTTAATACAATAGGTCTTTGAGATACAGTAGACCTTTGAGATACAGTAGGCCTTTGAGATACAGTCGGGCTTTGATCGTCGGTTATAATAGATGTTCCTGCGTTATTTGCTGTTGAAGGTGTAGCACGATAGGTTTCAGGAGGTAGAGGTGGATACATTGGCATGGCATTCATCATCGAAGGCATCGCGAACGGCACAACAAATGGATTATAGTACCCGTTTGGATGCATGATAATGTAAGGTTATTACCTAAACAAGAGAATTTAAACCAAATAAAAGACATTCAAAGGTTCGGAAAATGATTTTGTAAAATTAAAAAAAAGTACCGATTTCTTTATGACTGAAATAAAATTCCGTTCAAAACAGACATTTATCGCGTCGCAACTCAAAAATTGTTGTTGCTCTTGAGTTTCACCGCGACAAAAATCTGTAGTTTAACGAAGTTCAGTTTACTGATACAGATGCGTTAAATTTGATTTACACTATGCGATTTTGCCATTTTTTCAATGATAAAGTCTGTCTGAATGCAATATGCGTTCTTCATATAATATAAGTAACCTAACCGAACATCTAGCCTGTTATGTTTACTTTTAGAAACCTTAAATCGTGTTTTACACCATAATCTTAAAAACGTACATATACATTGCAAAAATATTAGTGTAAAATCAGTTCCTTCGGCACTCCACTTATCCACTTTAATAACAAAGACTCTAAATCAATTTCCGAATAGTTAAGATCAGTATAAGACAACTTACACATATAAAATCCAATGCAGGATTATACAAACTTTTATTACTTAGTAAAATGCATTATATACTCAACTCATAGATAGGACAATATCGTTACAAACTTAAGCAGGCATACCGTATAAGAGCAGCTTGTTGTCTAGTTAGGAACAATTAAGTGATCTCAAAAACCGCTATAGGTTAGAATAAATAAAGGCTGTACATGTACAGTAACCGTTGATGTACTTGTAGTTTTGCTAAGATCAGAACTCTTCTGGTTGTGCGATGTCGCCATTGGCTTTGACCGCCGTTTCGGCTTCTGGTTTAACTTTTTCTCTCGGTGTGTCGGCCGCTTTGGTTGGAGAGTCATCGAGGTGGAGGTCTTCTACACCGACAGCGCTTTCGAATTCTCCAACTGTCTCGTTTGGCTGCTCTTGAGGAGGTCCCTCCTACAAAAATTTAGTTCAAAGTTATGTTACAACTTAAGTTACAAGAAGAATAGCTTATAACAATTATACTAATCAAAGTGCTAACAATAATCATAATAAAAAGCTATGTTAATAAGGAAATGTTATCCACAACTTACATGAGTACCATTGATCTCGTGAGTATCGTTCAAAGCTTGAGCACTCTCCGAACGGTCCAAAGTCTCTGTGACATTAGATTGGCTGCCATTTTGGTCCACAATCTCATGCTCTACTTGTTCAAATTCGCCTCCGCTGACTTCTCCATCATCCTAAAAGTAAACATAATACACTTATATACAAATTAAGACACACAACCACTTAATTTACATCTACTAAACTACTTTATGATCGAGAGAAACAACAATTCTTAGTCAGTTTCACAAAACCAAATGCCTTATAAAGCTTTACGTAATGTGTTACCAACTGAATCAAAAGATCAAACCGTACACAAACGCGAAGTAATTCACAGTATTCAAGATACACACATCCGGTGCTTACCTTCGTGTACAATATGTTAAGAATCCTAGAGACTTCAACGTTGTTAGCCTCTCCAATTTGTTGACACAATTCTTCGACCTCTCTTAAGCGATTGTAGTAGAAATCTCGTTCTCCTGATAAGTCAGTCACTTCCTTTTCGTACACTTCCAACTAAAATTTAAAAATTGGTAAGATACAACAAGTAATACCTAAATTATATTTGTCAGATCTAACGAAATAGAAATTTTAACTGACCTACTATTTAGAAAATATTAATCCAATTAATAAAGTATGAACTGACCAGTACTTAATATATATTAACCTACCTGATTCTTAAGTTCACTTATTTCAGTCTCATAGGCAGACTTTGCTTTGGCGTCAACTCCACCAGAAACTGGTGTTCTCGTAGTCCTAGCTGAAGTGGTGGCAGCTACAAAATATAAACTTTTAGCTAAAATTATAGTACTGATTAATAACCTAGGCATCAATAAAACCCATCAACTTCAAAAAAATTTAAGAATTCAAAAATATTAGATAAAAAGTAGATTAAAAATCGTTGACAGACGTTAAAATCTTCTTGTACCTATTTTTAACAACTTTTAAAAGCAAAACATTAGTTAAATTACGTCTAGCTGCGGCAGCAGTTGCTGGTTTACTAGCTGGCCTTGGTACCGGTTGTGATGCAACTGGAGCTCTCCTGACTGGTGGTGCTGCAGCTCTACTAGGTGGAGCTCGGGCTCCAGGACGACTGTTGACTGGGAATTGCTAAAAGAAACAACTTCTTTAAAATGTATGAAATTTAAAATTAATCTGTTCTAAAAACAAAAAAATGCCAAAGCAATAAAAACATTTAATTTATAGTACCTAAAATAAAGTAGGTACTTTTATTTAGTTAAGTTAAACGTTTGAAAGATCACTTACCTCTCCCCCTCTCGCAGCCAATGGATCATATTCGTACTGACTATCATTCGCATCGTAGAATTTCTTAAACCACTGAGCGAACTCAAAGTTATCTTGGAACTTGGCTCTCATCAGAGTTTGCACATTGACAGGCTTAAAAACAAATAATTAAAACATTCAAATTTAAAAAAAAAACTCCACCCTTTAACTTCCCACAGCCTTGATAACTCCTAAAACAAAAATATGAAACAAAAATCTACCTTGTCAATGCCAATTTCAGTCCATGTCTTCTGAAGAATCCTCCAGTTGTTAATCCAGTCCACCTCATTCCTACTATTCCATTTGACCTTCTTCAAAGGCACTGATCCCGGAAAGAGACGATCAGTCAGCTGGCAGTAAGCAGCTCCCGTTGACATTTCTTCAATCTTGTTGAGCTGAGATTGAAGACAATCATTGACCCAAGAGAGAAGACTCATTCGGGAGATGTTGTCCGGAGTCACGGCCGAAATCCACACATTTGTGACCGTGTATTGGTCCTTCAGAGACATGATGAGCCTATAACAAGGTATTATAAATATTGTGTTATGTCCATAATCACACGATTTAAAATCACAATATCATAAGTCACTGATCAAAACCTAATCCCTCGAATTAAAAAAGCTCCGCCAAAAAAATCACGCAAAAGTTGAGGATGAATTAGCTTCAAAATGAGTGACATTGACCTAATTTGCGTAAAACAGATAAACAATCACTCGCGCAGTTCATTACTCTAGCTATTCGCAATCTTAACTTACTCCACAATCCTCCAATGTAATTCTCAATCCCCCAAACAAACTATAAAAACAAGATGAGCTGTCTAATTAGCTTCTAAAAGCAGTTATATTATACTCCATCTGCTGTCATGCCTTTTTAATCCACAACTAACATACCAATCGTAAAAAGTAATTGAGACTCATATAACTTCGAAAACAGAATTATACTTAACCAAACAAAAAACAACTAGCAAAGGCAGATAGATAAGTAAATTTGAATTAGAAAAAGAAGTAACCCTTGCACTCCTCAATCTCTCTTTTAGTTTTCTTGACAAAACTCTCGCAAAAACTAGCATAAACAATAACGTATAAAAACCATACATAACTCCAAAACTTTAGAATAATTTTTATTTAAACTATCACAGGAATTGCTCATAAACTTGTGTTATTCAACATTTTGTTATACACATCCTCTAAAAACCAAAATTAAAATACCCCCTCCTCTTCAAACGTGCCAAAAACAATATAAATGACACAAATGGTATTCAAAATATAAAAAAGGCGCCCGACGAACACTAGTGACCTCTCCGACGGCTCTGTGGCCACCTCCAACATCACAAGAGCGCGAAATTTTGAGAGCTCAACATGAAGAACAATAGGTTCCGCCACGAAAAAGTAAACTTGGCATAACGTTTTTATAAGAAAAATAAATAAATTTTTGGAAATTTTAAAATTCCGTGAAAAAGTTGTTTTATTGTGCAGATGAATAAAGGCTACGGAAGGAAAACGTTTATAGGATGTTGTATATTCAGTACCGTTACTATTTGTAAGTTTTTAAATATTTTTGTTTTAATTTTAGGCTGGAAAAGATGGTAGAGACGGTCTAAAACACCGTTTATTTTGTTGAAATACTTGTTTTTGTTTTGGATACTGACCGAGATTTAACGTTGTATTGTTTTTAAGACTGAAATTTATCTTAAAATGTAGAAAATCATTGTTTTAAGTACAGATTTTATAATTTTAGTGGTGGTACTATACGATGAAAAGTTACAACGAGAAAGGAGACAAGTGAATGTGAAGTACAGGTTAAATCAAATCTCACAAAAGGAGAATATGGCACAATATGAAACTCAACGACAACGAGGATTAAATCAACAATAATTAGGAAATTTGAATAAAAATATTTATAAAACTTGTTGTAGGCAGTGTATTATGCTGTAAAGTTGGACAACTTTGAAATATGTTTATTTTTTGTTCATTTTCATCTTTATTTTTACTTTTTTACATTTAAATGGACGTTTTTTAGGTATGAAAAGGGTAATAACTTCCCAAATTCAGCCGATTCGTCGCTTTACCATTGGCAAAGCGCCGGATCTTCAGAAGTCCAACTGGAAACAAGATGTGGTGTATCTTTATCAATTCAAGAGGTCACCAGTGATACCTAATCTTTCTCCGTTTTGTATCAAGGTCGAGACATTTCTTCGAGCTCATGATATTCCTTATGAGCCAATTGGAAGTTACACTTTGAGGTCGAAACAAGGTCGTCTTCCTTTTATAGAGCTGAATGGAGAACAAATAGCTGATTCTCAGATTATTCTTTGGCATTTGGTCAAGAAGTTTAAGATTGATGTAGGTTATTTTATAATTTAGGTTTTATTAGAATGCTAGAGGTTTGTGTAGAGACGTGTTTTGTCATGGTTAATATTATAACAAAGCTAATTTTTTTGAGGAAACTGTGATTCATTGTTGTAATTGTAAGGCGAATAGTAATGTACGGGTTAAGACTTAATTTAACATATTTTTAGGAAGGTTTGTCGAAAGAACAAAAAGCTTTGTCCAGAGCTGTGGAACGACTAGCTGAAGGTAGTATCTACTAGTAAGTAATAGTGACATTCTGTTTTGTATACTAATTTTATTGTTTAGCCCGATCACATACTTCCGAAGCATCGAGAGTGCTAAAAACATGATTAATCCTAACGTCAGTGGACTGCCATTACCTTCATTTTTAGTTGGACCAGTAGCCAACAGGTTTATCAAAATGGTACGCTTTTAGTCTTAGTATTTTTGGATGGATGAGATTGGTTTGGCGATTTTAGATTGAGGTTGTTTACGTAAACTCTTTTATTTATTTACCATATTTTAAATAAATGGATATTAATGTTGTTTTAGTCAAGACCTCGATTGGACATGGAAGGTACTGGTCGATTTCCACGTGAAACTATTATTGAAGTGTTGAGAAGAGATATTGAGTCAGTCGATGGACTTTTGGGCGACAAAAAGTTTATTATTGGAGCTCGGCCGACAGTTGTAAGTTTAGTTTGATACTCTCTTAAGTGGTACTGTTGTAGCTTATATTAAGTAAAAAATTTTTTTTTTATGTTTGTTCGTAACGTTCTTATTGTTTTTGATCATGTTTATTTAAAAACTACTAAATTTCCTTGTTTACACATTTGTCCAACACAATGTTAGTATAACATGCTGTTCACTGGTAGTATAATATGTTGAATATAACTGCTATTACAGGCTGACTTCACAGTCTTTGGGCATTTGAGCGTGGGTTATTTCCTGCCGTTCCGCCAACCGGTTCAAGACATTCTGGATGACGAATTCCCTCGCGTCCGCGGACTTCTCGAAAGGATTCGGCTTCACTATTGGCCAGACTGGACCCAAAAGTCTAAGGAGTAGTTTAACCAGATCTGTGAATACGCGAGTTACCATAGTAGGACAATAAGTGCTATGTAATAAAAAATTTTTATTAAGTTTGAGTTTTCAGGGCATTGTTGATGGTTTTAATAATTTGTTCAAATAATTCTGGGCTCCCTCTCCGAAATAATGTTTTTGGGTTATTTCTTTTTCTTTGGGGCGCAGAAGTATTTTAACAACTATATTGTAAGATCAGGTAGTATTTTAAATCATTTCTGTTTAATTTTTGAGCGAATTGACATTTTTCGTATTTAAAACTGAAAAAAAGTTTTTTTTTCGGAAGTTTGTTTTATTTTAGACTTGACTTTTTGACCAAACTAGCTAAACTAACATAAAAACAAGTTTTGTCTCGACTTGACCTCATAACCTAAAGATCACTTTTGGAAATTTAACTAAACTTCAAGTTGTAAACTGAAACTTTAAACCGCAAGCACATCGTTCTTAACGATTGCACACCGTTCCTCACGGTTCTGTTTAAAATTTGTGTTTTTGCGGCAATAAATTGACAAAAAATACGAATTTTTGACCGGTTTTTCGGGCGCAAAAAGGCTTGAATAGGAATGTTTTGGTGGGGGGGGTACCTCAAGAAACAGAAAAGTGAGAAGCTCTAGAGATATTCACGCAAACGGTCAGCGGAATTCAGCTTTAACTGTTATCGACTGCTGTAGACGGGTTTATAACAACATGTTACGTAAGATGGCAAGGTAAATAGGTTACCTTTTGAGTGGATTGTTTTGATAGTAATTTACCTAGTTGTCAGTATTGATGTTTCGTTACATTGGAGAGAGGGACGATGGAAATGTTCCAAGTTTTAATTATATTTTTACCGTTCCACGGAGGTAATGAAAGGGAGTAGTAATGACACTTTGATCACGCTATGGTAAGGTACGATTGTGAAAAGTTTCTTTTGGGTTTTGGTAGAATAACATGTGCTTATACTTATTATAATTTCTACTATAACTCTTTATAAGTTGCGTTCTATTAAATTTTTAATCTTATATAACCAAGTATAGTAAGCCACTATATTATAGCAGGTTTACTATAATATAACGATGAAACCGAAAGCACAATGTATACGTTTGTTTTGTTTTGCAGCTTACTTTAATAACTTACCTTTTGGGAGCTGAGAAAGATAAATAAAATAAGATATGCCCTGCGGGTCTTTGTCACTCCACCGATTTCTTTTCGTTTGAGGTAATGGATAACAGTTAACTAACGTCTTTAAGCTTTTTTTTCGTTGATTCAACCTACGTAGAACCTTTGCGAATGTTTTAATTTTGTAAAATTCCGACTTTTGGCTAATATGTCTTCTTTGGTCAGGCTAAGAGTGGGGTAAAAAATAAAGGTAGACTTAAAAAAAGATTTTAAAGTTTTCACCTCCTCACCCTTTGCTTTCTTAATGACTTAATGAGCTCTTTTGTCATCTACTACAATATCCGTTACCTTTCGTGCGTAGGTAATGGATATTGTTGTCGTACGTAATATACGATGGTTATCTTGTTAAAAACTGTAGAGTGCACTATTTTTACTAGACATAATAGGCAATTTAATGCTCGGTCGACCGCTTAAAAGTTGTTTTTTAACCATCTTTAACCGTACTTTTGTAATTATTATGTTTTCTCGTCGTATCTCGAGGCCTTTCTTGAGACTTTTAAATTTTTCAGACCTATGTTTTTGTAATTTAACTTTGCGTTATGTTATTTTATATTAAGCTTGTAGTAAATTAAGATACTGCGACTTTTCTTGTGCTTAACTTTTATGACGAAGTTCTTCTTATAGTAAGCAGGTTATCTTGTTCTAACTATCTCTTTGCTGTGTACAAACACACAGAAAAGGAAACTCTCAGTAAAATAAACTCAAAAGTCATCTCTTTCAAAGTTGCTTATAACGCAAGCTCCTTCTACTATCATATCGTTTCGAAAAACCAAAGGAACTTCAAAATATTGTCGATGATAACCTTTACTTTCGATTATCTGCAAGTCGAAAACAGTTGACATTACACAGTAGACGTTACAGCCGTCTACTATCACCGCTTTACGGTAAAATATATATACTTTTATATATATATTATGTTTGATTGGGCTGAACCTGTTTAAGGTTCGGGTTTTTTAGGTAATTGCTCAGACAAAAGAGCCCTCGAGACTCTCGCCTCCACTAACTTTATATTAATTTTGATTATTTCGCGAAATTATCAGTTTCAAGTAGATTTTTAAAATTTGGAAATTTTAAAAATTTTTGGACAAAAAATAGTTTTTCGGTCAAGAAGTTTGGAAAAGATCTTGTGAAATTACAATTCTGATTCTAAAACTTTTTGACCTCCAGTAACCTTTTGCTTTTCAGGAACTAAATACGTTTTTTAATTTTTTTCAGACTTTTATAATTGTTTTTATGTAAAAACGGCTAGCTAGTCGAACCTTGACCTTCCTTTTATTTGTAAACAAACCCAAATATGTCTACAGAATTGTCATCAATAAAATAAGAAGAAACGCTTAAAGTTTTAAACCTGTGTTTTAGTATAATAATTTAACGGTTTTTCATTTGTTTTTCATTAATTCGATATTTTTAAATTTTGTAATTTGTTAAACGACTTCTGTTAAAACTGTTATAACGAGATTATGCCGTAAAAGTTTATTTTTTTACAATGAGATGAGTTATTAAACTTGTTATAACCACCCCCTTTATAGTCAATTTACAATAGAGTTAATATCTTTTGATTGACGAAAAAGTGCCCTACCGCCCCACTCTGATGACTTAAAATGTTTTATACAGAAAGATAATTTAATAATATGATAAATACTTTCAGCAAAGTACTAAATTGCGTTTTTCAGTCAATGTCGAGAAAATTGAAATCAAAAAAATACATTTAGAATTTTCTGGCATTATGTTTCAAGCTTGTATTATAACTTTGTCATTTTTTTGAGTTTTAGGAAGTTTTCTTTGATATATTAGTAGAAAATCTTTAAATGAACCTACATTTTTAAATTTGTAAGCGTATCTTGTCTGGAAAGCCAAAAAAGTGCTTGAAACACAATGCCAAATTTGCCAAATTGGCCGGATACCCAAATAATTTAAATTTAAGACTCAAAAGCGCCAGCTAAAATTTTTTATGGGTACTATTGATGGTACAAAGAATTCATATACAAATTTTGAGCTGATTCTGAGCGAGGTGTGTTGGATACTTTCCTTGTGAGAACGAAATAATTATTGTCGTGCCTGAATTTGTAATTTTATTTATTTATTTTACAAAAAAAGTTAAAAAATTTTTGGAATTCCTGATTTGATTTTGCTTACCCATTGTTTATTTATGAGAATCTAAAAATCTTTTCTTATTTTTACTTTTTACCCAATTGTTTAGCTCAACTTTTTCAATTTAATTTTTTAAATTTTTCTACTTTTTACTGTCCTGTACTTTGTGCATTGCACCAAACCTGGTATCAATTTAAGCCGGATATTTCTCAACTGTTTTCGGCGACAAGTTTAAATTTCACAATTTATTAAATTGCGTGATCGAAAAACATCGCTTCAGGGTCTTTTTACACTTTCCATTCATTCCGATGATTGTAAAGGATCGTTTGTTGTTGCTAAAATACACTTGGAAGACATTACATTGCAATCTCGTCGTTTTATAGACTTTTCTCGTGTAAACATGGCGATAACTTACTATAGGAGGAAGTTGATGTAGACTAGTGACGTTTCCGTTTTATATGCCATTTAAATGTAGTATAACATAAATTGTGTTAATTTATGGCTAGCTAATGTTGCAAAGCATGCCTTTGCAATAAAAATGAAGATTTTTTAATCAAAAACCTCAAAAAATGAAAGTTTCACTAAAGAAACCTACTACAATATAACTTTTTTAGTCGAATTGCACCACTCCCCCACGAATTTGTACTGAACAGTCTTTTTATTGTTTTGTGCGATCAATTTGATATTATACTTGAGAGATTCAAGGTCTTCCGATTTTAATTGAACTCAATCGAAAACAAGTTTGAGTTTACAGCGGCCGAGAGTTTAACAAACTGACTTATAACTACCTTTTTATTATTTTCTTACAGTTTTTATTAATATTTAATTAGTTGTTGATGAGTACATGGCTAAACAAATTTTTTTTTAAGTTTAATTTTTAAATTTTTAAAATTTAAAAAATAATTAAAAAGTGCCGGTTTTGTCCCTAGAGCCAGCCACTCAAAACTTTGCAGCAAAATATGAATTCCACTGGTTAATAACGACTGTTTAACAAATAGTAACCCACTTTTGACACTTTGCGACTAAAAAATCAAACTTCAGAATAAGCGATCTTTCGTGAGTAATTTGCCAAACTCATTCCAAGGTTACAATAGGTTAAAGAGGCGTCTGTCTTGTATTTTACTCTTTGTTGAATAACTCGAGATATGGGTAACGTTTTTTCGGGTATATAAACCTATAATTGACCAGTAATGTTTCTTTTTTGTGCTATATTATTTATTTTTATGTTATTTTGTAGTTAGTTGATGTGATTCGTATTTTAATGTTATATTACGGTTAGTTGATGTGATATGTATTGTAGTAGTAGAACATGAACTAGACATGAGGAACGGCCGGGCCTGAGTGTTAGGCCCGTACGGACCTACATTTGGGTCAAGGCCTGGCCCGTTCTTCATCACTAAGTAGTACAGCTTTATATATTGAATTCAAAGTTTGTTTTCAATTCGAAAATAGGCGATTACCTTGAGAAAATTACTTTTTACGGTTATTATGTTGTGATTTGTTCGCTGTAAACTCGTTAGTGCAGAAAGTGTAATATTTGAATTGGAATATCTATTGACCGGTTGTTTACAATTAGATCTGAGTTGGTTAAACAGTTTTTTAAAGTTATTCTATTATTCACCTTTTTTCGAAATCTTAATATACATGTAGGTCATGAAACAAGCTCTCTTTATAAGAAACAAGAAGTAATTATTACTTTGAGCTTACAATAGCAGGAGTATCCTCTATTGAGAGTGTTTTACATTGAAGTAAAGTGGTGATTATTAGATGGTCTGTCTACTATAACAAAGATTTGCTCATCAAATCCTTTATCACTCTATCACAAAGTTCTTTGAAACCTTAACACAACCAAAAACAGATCACTGTATTATGCCACAGTAATATATTAGAAAGTAGTAAACTGATAAGAGATCTGAAACGACGGTATGACGTCGCCACATTTGCTAAACTCCGAACGCAATAATATTTTTGATGGAAGGGAATTCAAAGTCTTTAAAGATTAAACTGTTTTGGGTGTAGGGAGTAAGAGACTACCTATTTACCAGCATTCCTTTCGACGTATCTGACGTATTTTACCCTTTTTTACTGTAATGTTTGGTTTGCTATCTTCAATTTGGGTCTTTATTTGCTGCATTATGGGTGGGTAGTAGGTCCTTTTGGTTTTGGGGTAGATAGTTATTTTTTCTTTGAAAAAAGTATTTTTATATTATTTTAGGTAATTTCTCCTACATATTAGGTGTTAGCTTGCCTGTTATATAGTGTTTTTATATCTTTTTATCAAAGAGGGTTAGTTACTACTATAAGGAAGTACTAAATCTTATGTACGTAAGTTATATCTATTTCAAAGGTCAGGCTTGTTATTTGTGTAAATTACTTCACCTTTATCACTCTTGTTCCTTCCTCTAACCTTGTTTTTGTGATGTTAGTGCTGTCGCGCTTTCGCAACTTTACCCCTCAAAAACGGCTAGCCCCTCTTTCTTCGCCTTACCACAAGTAACTAGTACAGCAACACGTTTTACACCTGTTTAATGTTAAACAACAGACTGGCTGATCTCTTATGTTCCCTTAACCATCTTCTTTAAATCTCGACCCTCTTCCTCAACTCTCGACCCTCTCCCACCACTCTCGACCTTTTCCAGACTTTTTTCTGTCGCAGCTCCCCAAATTGGGTCCCATTTAACCCATTTTATGAAATAGGTCGAAAGAGTACGTGTGAGAAAGAGACGCGCCAGCATCTCACCGTTAATTAGCATCTGAAACTTCAGGTAACGATGGCTGACCGAAGGCGCGTCAGTCAGCGGCCATTTGCCGAGCGCCGCCGAGGCTCCGTTCTCGTCGGCCAGCGATCCATCGACATCATGAACATGAACCAAAGCGGCCAAGATGGTGGTCCACGCTTCGTCAAGTTCATCATTCGCCAGTACAAGCGATGGGGATACTTTATTTGCGACCACGACTGGAAGGCGATGCTGTTTTGTACGGCGTTGAGTTTGTTGGGATTGGCTAACGTGGTCTTCACACCGTAAGTAGGAAAAGACAGTATTAGAAGATACAAAATACTGTTTGGTGCAAAAAGTTACAAGATTTTATTCAATACCTTAACCATAAAAAGAGAATACCTTAAACTTATTCTTTTAGTCAACAAAACGATATTACCGGATATACACCCTACGGAGCTCGTGCCATCGATGAATATTCAGTATATCAAGACTTTTTCTCAGAAAATGGTCTTGGTGTGACAATATATTTGTTTGCTTTAGCCAAAGATGGTGGTACAATGTTAAGGGAAACCCATCTAAAAGAAGCGGTTACGGTATGTTACCGTACTTATGACTATGAATATGTTTAGGTGCTGGACAGGGCGATGGATACGGTGAATTTAACAAGTTCCAAAGGAGTTTCAAAGCCGTTTTCAAAATTTTGCAAAAGTTTTTGCCGAATTAACGAGCCAGTTCGACAGTTTTATGTAAGTCGTAATGGTATCTAGTGATATCTAAATGCATATCTTAAAAATAACAAGCCAGAACACTTTGAAATACCAACATAAACCTCAATTTCAGAACGGTTTCAAAATCCAAAGCGAACTGGCATCCAAAAAACAAAAGCTAAATGGTCGTCTGGTACTGAATTACCCACAGAGTACCATCTTTGGTCAATCGTTCACGTTACAACAAAACTTTTACGGAATGGAGTATTGGGACGACAGAGAGACCAGAGACACCGTAGAGGTTCTAGAACAAGGTGACGATGGGAATGGTACTGAAGTGTCATCTGAAACCATACAAAACCACGTCTCAAACATGAAGAGTGTCAAGATGGTGGTAATGCAATTGAGAGCTGAACATGACCCTACTTGGACCAATGCTGAGGTCAAGCAGTATGAAATGGACATGGTTGAGGCTTTTGAGAGGTATGGGTAATATAAAATGACGATTTAAAGAACGTTTGTGCATATCGTTGTTAAAATACAAACTGGGTACAATAAATGCGACTTATTTCAGAAGTTACCGACCAAAACACCTTCAATTGTATGTTTTGTCTCAAACATACGTTGAAAACGAGATGATCAGAGCTGGTATTAGCTTACTACCTTATTTGACAGTGGGATTCTTCATTATGTGCGCATGTTCGGTCGTTTCTGTAACTGTCAGAGCTGTGTACATGCAACAGCACAGTTTGCCAAAGGTATGTTATACACACTATAACATGTATGCTGTTCTGTTCTTGTATACTGGATAATATCGATGTTATACACCTTTATCGGGGCCTTCATCTCCTTGTTGATTGGAAATTCAAAATTCTTGACAAAAACCATAACTTTACCGTATTTTACAAAAACACTATTTCCAGATTCTCCTAGCCATCACGGCCTGTGTGTTGCCCTTCATGAGTTGTGCTACTGGCCTCGGTTTCCTCTTCTTCTGTGGCATGAGGTTCTCCTCCATTCTTTGTGTCATTCCTTTCTTGGTATTAGCCATCGGAGTAGATTCCTCCTACCTGATGATCCACGAATGGCAGCGAGTCTGTAAACATTGTCGCGATCATCCAAGTCGCAAATCAATGCAAGTTGGTTATCGTGTTGCCGAAGTGTTAAGCGAAGTCGGCCCAGCCATCTTGATCTCTGTGTTGACCAATGTCTTCGCTGATGGAGTAGGATCTTTCACATCGTCACCTGAGATCACGTTGCTTTGCGTTGGTAACTTGGTATCTATGATTGTCGCTTTCTTGTATCAGGTAAGGTTTCCGACATAAAATTTTGAATAGACATCAAAATCCATGCACAATCTACTAATGTCCTCATAACATTTCGTAAAAGACTTTTCCTTACCTATAAAAAATTACAACGCAAATTTTTCGATTTTCCACACCTATAACAACATCAACAAATCATAAAAAACTAGAATGTAAGAAACACAAAACATAGAGTAAAATGTACTCCAATTGTAGATGACATTCTACGCGGGCCTTTTCTCGTTGGTTGGAAGGTACGAGATCTCACAAGAACGCAAAGAACGGTCGATCTTCGAAGCCAGCTTGAGAACAGCCAAATTCGACCGAAAACAACATCTACAGGTTTGTAATTTATGAAATAAGTTATATTACAAATTTTATAACATTAAAAATATAAAACACCTTTCCTTTACCTCAAAAAACATTAAAAAAGCTTGTAAACCCCCAATTTCTTCGTATTCTGGAAACATTCCGAAAAGTCTCCCAATTTAGAGTAAACGAAGTGTCCACTTTTGTCATTTTGTTTACTTGACAAGATTTTGTGGCGAAAAGTTAATTAACAGTAAATTCTGTACTAAAATTAACTTTTTTTACAGCGCCAAGCTTCCAAGTTCCATGACAACACAAAGGAGGCTATCAGCCACACCATGGAGGTGTATGTCAGCTTTGTGGCCAATAAGTTTGTCGCCAGTCTGACGATCTTGGTCTACTTCATGTACCTGGCTTTCTCAATCTACGTAAGTCGTTTTTACGAAAAAAGATGTGTCGTATATTACTATATAATTGCTATATACATTAAATGTTGCTTTATATTGTTTTAGGTAATATTGAAACAATATAACTTATTTCAGGGTATTACTCAAATAAACATCAACTTAACGACTCAAAAACTGTTTGCTGCTGACTCGCCTCTGCTTGAGTTGGATAAATTGAGGGTAGAGTATCAAGTACCTCACTTTACGATGGCTACAGTTTTTGTAAATAACCCTGGTAATCTGAGTGATCCAGACAGATTGGACAAGATGAATCAGTTCGTCGAAGACATGGAGAAGATCAAGGGAAGCTGGGGAAAGATTGGAACACAATACTTTGTCAGAGATTACGAGACTTTCCAAGGAACTTTCGATGGTATGTTGCGGGTACAATAAATGTATAATAGCCTTTCTTGTATTAATATGTTACTCTATGGGCTTTAAGAGTAGTATATGGTTTCTTAAGGTTCTGAATGATCAAAAGACATTATAAATCCAAAAAATTATAGATTTTGACGTAGATGCGCTAGAAGCTGAAGAAGAATCAGAAGACAACAATGAAAAGGCAGCAGCGTTGACAGGAAACAAGCCGTTGACGTTTGACGGTGATGATCTCGATCACTTCATCAAATGGCCCGAATACAACTTTTGGAGCGGATTCTTGCAGCTGAACAATAAGACGTAAGCTTTTTGTGAGATAATCAGGCAAATAATAATAGTTCTAGGATCAGGCAAACGACAGTAGTTTTATATTGCTTTAAGTTAAAAATAATTAAAATCAATGTTGTTTTAGGTAATGAAACATTAATATTGTTCTAGATAAGGTTAAATTATTTTACTATAAATATTGTTACAGGCACAATTTGGACAGATTTTTCTTCACGACTGGATATCACGGTAAAGAAATCTCAATCTGGACGAAACGTGGTGAGCTCCTGAATACATGGAGAGCTACTGTTGATAAGTACAAGTAAGTAGAGGACAGTCAAATCTAAGATACAGAAACGATAATTTTTGACTAAAATATTATATGAAAAGCAGGAACTTTTGTAGATTCACAAATCGATATTTGAAAGGCAAACTTTAAAAACTAAAACAATATAAAAATATTTTTAATCTTCAGGGACGAATTCAAGGCCTCAGTATTCCACGAAGACGCCGTATTCCTGGATCTGATTGAGAACATGCCCACAGATACCTGGCAATCAGTCCTGGGTACCTTGATCTGTATGGGAGGAGTCTGTTACCTATTCTTGAACTCTTTCTTCACCGTGATTATGGCTTCGACTTCTGTGTTGTCGATTTGTGCTGGCATTTTGGGTATATTGAGTTGGTGGGGAGTGGATTTGGACCCCATCACTATGGCTGCCATGATCATTTCTATCGGTTGCAGTGTGGATATACCTGCTCACGTTTCTTATCACTACTATCAGGCTTGTAAGTGAAGTTTTCAGCAACATAATGTAATTTTTTTCTAAGATATTTAAATTTTAAAGCGATAAACATGAAAATAGTTTATTTTTGCAATATTTTAGGTATTAAATTGGTATGATTTAATATGAAATGATTTTTTAGCAAAACGAAGTACTCCAGATGTCGACGATACTCCAGAAGCCAAGCTAGTCAACTGTTTGTCTTCTGTAGCCTTCCCAGCTGTTCAGGCTGGAGTATCGACGATTCTTTGCGTTTGCTCGTTGTTGTTCGTCAAGCTTTACATGTCCATGGTAAGATCCTTTACTCTAAAATAACAACTTATTATGTTTAATTTCAATATTCGTTACTTTGAACAATAGTTTATGTTAAAATTTAGGTATTCGTCAAAACCATGGTGGTATGTGTAGTCTTGTGTAACATCCATGGTCTCATCTTCTTGCCCGCCTTCTTGATTATGTTCGATTCCTGCTTCACTCATGCCAAAAACACCGTGAAGAAGGTGAAGAAGCCGAAAAAGAAGAACCCGGAGAATGGTGCTAACGGTACTACGACCAACAGAAAGCGAATCCAGCCTCAAGAAGACCGTAAGAAAGACCACATGGCACCAGACCGGCCACAACTTTCTCCCGATCCTAGTCCACTTCCTTCACCAAAACCATCGACCGCGACTTCTGAAGATCGGCCAAAGACTTCAGATGCTCGGCCAACGCCTTCTGGACATCATTTAGCTGTGTCAGACGAAAAACCAGCGAATTCACCAGATCGACCGGTTGAAAAAACTTCGGAAGGCCCAAAAGAGGACCAGTTTGAAGAGGTACAGCTTACCAAACCCACGACGATAGAGATCCGTGATCCAGAAGATCACCATCCAGTCCAGACTCAGTCATCTGTCGACTCCAAGAAACAGGCCAGACTGACGCTGCAGAAAGCGGTCGAGGAAGAGCTACCGGTTTAATCAGTTGTTAATTATACTTTATTCATCGACAGTAACTCGTACTGTTAAGTGTTACTGTAACTTTTGTAATTGCAAGAGTTGCTATAACCTTCGTAACTTTAGGTATACCGTAATTTTTGGATTACTGTAATTTTTGTAATTTTAGGGTTATCGTGATTTTTGTAAATCTAAAGGCTACTGTAACTCAATACAGTGTAATTTGCTGTCACTCTAGATTGCTCATGATTGTATATACGTCTTTTTTAAGTACAAAGTTCTCAAATACGAGTACCAGCCTGTGTGGTGCCTATTTGTACATTCAGGACTTGTTGTTCATTGGTCCGAAAGTATTGAGACATTTCTTTCAGTTTCGACAATTTTGGACAAATTATCATTCTATAGTTGTTGTTAAGGCAAGGTTAACTTAAAGTAAATAATTTAAAATATATATTTGGCTCGAAATGTATCACAATATATATATATATACATTTGAAGGTGGGAGTACTGCAAAACCTTATAGGCTAGTGAAGGTACATTATAGTATAGAAGGTCTTTAGGTATACTGTAATATAGTGTACAAGGTTTTTGGGTATACATAACATAGTGTTCTTAGGTATACTGTAAGCTATAAAACTTTAGGTATACTCTAACAAACATGGTTTTAGGAACTACTCAATATACTGTAAATGCAGTACTATTCTACGCACTACAACAACCTTAAGCCCTATTAGAAGCCCGCTGACTTTCTTCTTCAGCTTTGTTTTTCAACTCCAATGGCAGATTGTCGTTCTCTTGATGGTCAAAGTACTTTTTGTCCAGCAAGTACTCTCTAGCACCATCTACAGTAAGATGGAACCAGATTCCGAGGGCGGCACAGGTAAAGGCGACGATGGCAATACAGAAAGGCCAGATCGGGCCGAAATGGAATTCCATGTCTTTTACACTAAAACAAGTTAACTTAGGCCTGTAATAACAAAATTGTACATCTATAGAGATTCACAGATACAGTAGTAAAACTTATTAATACTATAAAATTTAGTTAAAAAAGCGTCGTTTTGTCCTACAAATGACGAAAAATAAATATTATTAAGTCGTTTAAAAATTAATGAGCTACTGAACTCCATATCGCTATAAAAAACGTAGCTCATTACTTTTTATACAAGCTAAGGTTGTTTGACAAAATACAATACTTACTTGACAAAAGGCGAGAAGATCCTGCTGGTCATGTCAATACCCAATGACATACTGGCAATCGACAGAATTGACATACCAATCATAACCGCGATTTCGAACGACAAAAAGTACAATTGAGGTTGTAGGAACGATGGTCTTTCAGATTTCAAGCCGTAGAACTAAAAATATAATTCTTTAGAGTGCTAATTTATGAAGTTGTTAGGTCAGAAAGTTTATAGAAAATAAATTTTTAGCTGATTGAGACCCAATAATAACATTGGTACACTTTGGTACAGTTTTTGACCAAATTGTATTATAGCAGTTGATACAAAATTAGTTAAAATCGAAAATGACATGAGTTTTCAAACCGTTACCTACCTTTCTATGTAAAGAAAAACTGTTAAAACTTACCATAATACATGTTGTGATACTTGCTCCTACCAACAACCCAATGGCAAACAGTAATGTCCACAAAGCTGTCAGTTCTTTTGTGTGGTGAAGATCTAAAACAAGGTTTGGGTTACAAAGCTCAGCTCATTACCAGACATTCCAACTTATTTAAACTATCTTATTCTGCAAAGGTTGGTTCGACGTATTTTACCAAATAAAAAGTTACAGAGTAATGCATATTTAAAAAAAAATTTTATGATTAAGCGCGGCATTTTCTGTTTAAATAATTTTTTAAAATGCTAAAACATAAGGTAAAACAACAAACTTACTGACAAAAGAAGCGACAGCCAAGCCAAGAGTGACAATCTCGCCCAGTCCAGCTATTATGGCACCATAACGATAATGTATAAGGCCACAAAGCGGAGCACACAGGTAGAACCGATCGTTCACGTTGAACCTATACTTGGCTGTCATACTGCTGAAAACAAACTGTAAAAAATGTCATACTGGAGAAAATAGTTGGTTTTGAAGTTTTACAAAGTTATATTGAACGTCTATAACAAAGATATGAGGATGTGACATTAAAGTACTAACAGTACTACTAGTAATAGTACAGCATTATAAATAGTCAAAGAAGGATCATATTAGACTGTTCAAATAATTCTGCGTTCCTTTTACTAACAAATTTTGTGAGTAAGAGGACACAAAATTATTTGAACAAATTAATAGACAAAAAAGTACAGTAACAATTCTAGTATTCTAAAGGCTAAGCTATAACACAGTACGCACTTTAAGCGCAATACTTTTAAAATGGGGTACTAATAGTACTAAAAACCAATGTTACTACTTTTTTTTAACGTTTCCCTCTCTTCTATTATACTAGGTTGTTCAAATAGTGCTCTTATCTCGAAAGCTTACTTTGAAGGGAAGCACAGAATTACTTGAACAATCTAAAAATAAATTAGAATATTTTTATGTTACGATAAAAAGTAGAAAAAGTTTACCCCACCCAAATAAAAAACCGTTATAAAAGTCGACTTTGCACTTTAAACCTAAAACTCTGAAACGTTAGCCCAAACCCAGGATGAGAAACAATTAAAGGTTATAACGAAACGAAAGAGCGAAGAAATAGAATTAATAAAACTGACCTGGATCGCGATGGATCAGCGGCATAAAAGGGAAATCCGGAATCTGAGATTCGCTTTTCTTTAAACGACACTCGCTCGACTGTAGAATGACGTTCAAACGAAAGAAAGATGACCAAAGTGTTTGCAGCTCAACCACATTCCTAGACTGAGTTACTGTAAATTGTTAAAATATTATAGTGAGACATAGTTTTAAATTAAAAGCTGTAAAACTTAATAGAAAAATTTAAAATCATAACAAAAATGGTTATGAGAATACAGCAAAACCTCTTTATTATGACCCTCGATAGTGTGCCATCTCTTTATAATGATTGCTTCTTTACCGCTCTTTGTAATAGAACTCATCTGAGTATTTCATTGTATGATATCTCTCTTATAATGACACTTTAATCCAGTTCCTTTAGTGTCTTACTAAAGAGGTTCTACAGTACTATATCTTAAATGCCTTTCAAAGAGTAAAAAATAGCTTATGGTTCTAAGGATCGCCTTGTCATACTCAACTGATCTGGTCACGGCCATTTGCAGTTGTTAGAAATCTCTCGGTAAAGAATACAGTAACCATGCTTAAAAAACAATCTTAATCGAACAATTGTAAAAAGACGATCAACTTTTTTATTTATAAATTGATTTATTTTAAAATTTTTTTGGTAGTTGACAAAGAAGATACGTTTGGGTATCTACTATAAAAAGGTTTTTAAAATTACAGAATAAAAGTATGTTTTTAAACTTAATTTTTTAAATTTAAACTTTAAGATCTTCAGCGTATTAATGACTATTATGACTTTTGTCATTTTACCAAGTTTCAAAACTGCCTTTTAGCAACAGTCTTATCTCTATACTCTATACTTCTGTTTTCAACAAATATTTGTGGCTGTGACTCATCCCGCGCCTCTTTTTGTTATTCATGTGTTCTGTTTGACTCAATTTTAATTCTCGAATTGGGTAAACATCAAAATTTAATACTGTTTGATATCTATGTTAAACTTTTGTCGTATTACTTAATATGGTCATGTTATAACGATTAAACTGCTGATTAGACGTCAAATTAAAGTTTACAGTTTTATTTAATTTAGTTTTAACAAAACTAGTTTGTCAAATATAAGGGTTTTTCTTACTTCACTATCCTTTACATGATGTATTTCTTAACTTACTCTAATCTACATGATATAACAAGCTAGCTGCTTATGAAATATACATAAAACATAGTTTCAAACCATTAAAATATTAAAGATTACTGTATTTTACACTTTTAAATATTTTTTTATTTTTTATAATGTCTTTAAAGTAATTTTTTAATATTTAGATAGTTTTTTTAAATTAAAATGATTTTATTTTATTTATACAAAAATTGGCGTTTTATTTATCTACCTTAATATCCGTAAATGTTTTGTCGAGAGTGCTCTCGAAATAAAACTAAAAACCAAACTTTTTCAAACGTTTCTCTCAAGTTTTGTAAATTAAAATCAAGTCGTTTTAAATTGAGCAACGTTAATGCAGTCACGTTTTTCGAGTAAAATACGAAGTGTTTTTCAAACATTTATATCACGTTTACCTACGATCTGCATTTACAACCGAGGATAATTTTAGTTTTGATAATTTTTACTGTTTTTAAATATTTGTAAGATTAATTTTGTAATTTTGCATTTTTATGTTTATGACAACTAATCTCAGACTGTACAATTTTATGAAATTAGGGAAATAACTGATAAACAATCATAAAAATCACAGTTTTGAGCGCTTCTGGAGAAACAAATTCAAGGTCAAATTAGGTTTCGATCGATTTATTTAATTGCAAAACGCGATGTAACGTTTTGAAATGTACAATTTAAACTTTTACTTATATATTTTACACTTCTAGAGACATATTTTACAGTGATAAGTTTGATTTTTTTATTTGCGTTTTACTCGGGTTTTACGTAATGTTTACACCGCGATTACTAAATATGTTTTCTTATAATAAATTAAAAGTGTCAAAATGAAATGTTTGTAGATGTCAACTTCATCTGAAGAACCAGGTGTATCCGAATCAACCTCACCCCCTCCTCGACCATTACCTCCAAAGATACCGCCACCACCTTGTGATGATCCTCCACCGTATACGTATGTTTTCGTCCTTCATGTTCAGCTTTTAGAAGTTTTCTTTATAAACTTTGATATGTCCGTTATAATTGGTTAAATATATTGTCAAAGTTTCCAAGGTATCTGAGGCTGGCTCCAAGGCGGCTTCGGCTCCGAAGCAGCTACGGCTCTGAAACTAAAGATTACATTTTGAAAAAAAGCCGAAGTTGAAGCCAGGCAATGTTGAACTTAAACATTAAAGACCCCCAGAACCGAAAAGTCTTGGATTTCGAGGCAACATTGGAGCTGAAGCCGGAGCTTAAACTTTGAATATTGCTGGGGCTAAATAAAGCCAGAGCAAAAAATTTTAAATTTAGGAACTACATATAGTAATTGCATTTCGCCATAGTCAACAAGCAGTTTAAGCAAAGTTACATCATGCTGAAAAGTAATGTGTCATAAGTAGACATTTAGATTGAGTATTTTTACTCTTTAACATAAATTAGTTTTCGTAATATTATGTTAATTTAGGTCCCATCATGTACAAACTTCAGCGTTAATTCAAGACGGAACAGCAGCACCAACAGAAACCCGTCGTACTAATAACAGAGCAAGACCCCCAGGTAAGAGACTTTTATCTATATTTTACATATATTAAGTTGTTCAAATAATTCTGTGCTCTCTAACATTGAAAATCAGTTTTAAGAAAGAGCACAGAACTATTTGAACAACATAGTATTTAAAAGTGCTAAAAAGCGTTCCGTTACTTTTGGCCCAACCTATAATAATATCTTTAGGAATACATAGATTCACGGCATTATTTACGAAAAGAACGTTGATTATAACGCTGATTGCTTTGATAGTCGTGCTGATAGCTGGAGTGGTGTTATTTATAATGAGTGAATCAGCTGAAGGATATCAACATGAGACAGAAGGTATTGTGGGAACGTTACCTGTAACCGTGTCATGGAAGTTGTTGGGAGAGTTCAAGGAACATGGGTAGGTTGACTTTATATCTGCACCTACATAAATATTTATTTTATTTATTTATTCGGCGTCAAATATAAGTAATAAGCAATAGAATAATAAAGTAATAAAAGTAACAATTGACGAGGTCTCTATTGAGACAGATTCCTATAAAGTTTGCAAGTACGAATTAAAAAGGAGTTTGCTTTAACCTTAGTCCTAGCAAAAGGTACAATAATTTTACGAGAAGCACCTCGAGTACTAGATGTTTTGAACTTCGGAATTAAAGAGTTGTTTACAATAGTTTTACCGGATAATATTCTATTAAACAATTTTAAATCTAAAATGTCAAAGCGGGAGACCAGACTACAAACTTAAATTGCGCTAGACGCTCAGAATAAGGTTTAGGCATAAGGTTACAGCGAAAAAAGATAGTTCTTGTTATTAATTTCTGTACAGCTTCTAATTTGTTAATATAAATATTCATAATACTATCAAAGTTTTAATTAGCAAAGTACTGCAATTGTAGTGCAAAGTACAGTAATCTCAATGCGAAGTACAGTAATCATAATAAAAAATTATCGGTGCAGCAACCAACTATAATATAAAAAGTAAAAATTTTTAGCCAAAAGATATCATTCGACGAGAACTCGGATTCAATTATATTATCCATGTATCATCCTGAAGATCACGAACTGTCTTCAGAAACATTGAGTGTGGAAAACTATATGGACGGATACACGTAGGTTTTAACTTTGTTGAAAAAACCATTTTGAATTTTGCTGATAGCTGGAATGGTATTATAAGAAAATCTATTGTTCGTTACATTAACACATAACTAACATTGAAACAGAAGTAAATGTAAGACTTTTTAGATACATGAGCAGTAATATTACTGACGTTTACGAAGGCTGTCAGCGTTTTACTCCAGACATCTTCTGTTGTTCAACATCTAAACATAGTCATGGACATAGAACTGATTGTTGGAATGGTGAACGAGGTCAGTTTAGTAACTCAACTCAGTTTGATAAGTTAATATTAGGCGCCGACATAAAGAAATTACCATAAATTTTCTGTAATTTCTTGTAAAGAATGGCGGGTTCTTTATGTCGGTCTCTAATATAAGTTTAGTAAATTTAACTACAGTTGAAGTAAGAACAGTATTCAAAATAACTTAAAACGATATCCGTTGCAGACAAGACTGTGCACACTTCTGCGTCTCATTATGACTTCAGCTCAAACTGGCAGAGTTTGTACGACGATCACAAATTGGTACTTGTTTTCATTAACAACAGACATGCTTGGCTTGATGTTACTACTGGAAAGTAAGTCGTTATACGTCTTTCTGACAGTGTTAAAAAGTTTTCTCGACATACGACGGTTTTTACAATGTTAAAATGTTTGTTAAAATACGCTGATTGCTACTTTTGTTTTCAGAATCTACCGTATCGAAGAGAACCGAATGCCAAGAGATTTTGCGTCAGCCGGCTTCTTCTTCAACATGGATAATATTCAAGAAATGAGTGAATTAGGTCAGCTTAGAGAAATTATTGTAAATATTTTTAATTTTTTATAATTTTATTTGTCATATCGTAACAATAACATGTATATTAGGGCTTAAATTTTTATATTTTCAGTACGAAGTGGACAGGAATTTAGAATCTGTGAATACGAGCGCGCTCCTACTGGTGATTACATTTTGAAGTCGACTAATTGTAAGAAAACTAAGTAAGTATAAAATGCAAAACTTCAAAAAATTTTTTAAATTTTAAAAATCCGACAGAAAAAATGACCTTCTATGAACTTTTCGACCGGAAATTAAAAAAAAAAGTTATTTGTAAATAACATGCCAATTTCAGATTCACAGTAGACTTTGATCTACGCAAAGTCAAATTCTGTACGAATCCTATTTACACCGCAGTAATTCAATATGGTCATATGGGAGAGGACCATGACTTAACTTGGCGTTTGAGATTGAACTTTGACAATTCAAAAGACATATATGGTACTCAAGAGGTACTCGAAACAGCTTATGAACAATTGACCATTGACTGTAATGACGACACTATCGAAGTGTATGTTGTGGGAAAATACGAAGTTAATCAGTATACGATAACGTTACCTGATCCTAGTTTTTGGGGAGAACCAACGGTTACAGAGTCGGCTTCGATAAAATTACTTTTTTTGCGATAAAATTACTATACGTAATAATATTTTGACGATTGTATAATCTAACAATATACGTAATGATAAGGTCAACATCACTAAGTACTCGATTAGTGGTTATGTATCATATTATTCATAATAAACGTTTTTAAAAATTTAAAACATCATTGTTAATTAAAATAGAAATTTATTGTTGACAAAAGTAAGCTAATTATTATTATTATACATATCAATGTTGATCATATAGACATTATTTAACTTCCTTCTTCCACTTCTTCTTCATCTTCCACTATATCAAAATATTGCTCTGGAATCTGAGCATAAAACTTGTCGTTCTTCTGTTTTGCCACCTTATTGAACAGCGAATACATGACGATGCTAGGTCTTTGGCAGTTCAGACATTTCAGAAGGGTTTCTTTGCACTCCCTAAGGTAATCTCTGAAACAGACTTTACAGGCGATGATCTTTAGGCATTGTAGACAGTACATGGGGTCTTTCGCTTCATCTTCTAAACAAATGTGACATCCTTCATTCTTCAGCTCACAACTACTCGATTCGCGCATCATTTTGTTAGCAATTCTAAAATTCAAACACGTTTTAAGACCGTTATCATACAATTTTTATCTATACAGCTGGAAAACTAAAACGCAACTTTAATTAACCTTAATACAGTACTTTCTCTATATAAGCGACCCGAAGAGACCGGCAATTTGTGTTTACTAATAAAAATGATGTTGTCTTTACAGAGAGACTTTTTAGTGCAATTTGGTTTGAATGCCCAAATTTTTTGTTTACTATAAGGAGAGTTGCTCGTACCGATGGTTCACTTTATAGAGAGACCACTGTACTATGAACGAAAGCTTTTGAAAAGACCTATTCAGTGGGAAAACCTGTTCCCGTTTTGCGCTTTTAAGGGCTTTAAGACCCCAAAAGCTGCGGTGTACCTACCACACATCTCAAAACAGGAGTGTTCGGTCAAAAAAGCGTCAAATATCTGAAAATTTAAAAAAAAATTTAAAAAGTTTGATTATGCCGGCCTAAATTTGAAGTTAACAATAACTTTACCAATTTTAGACCGACCTGCTCAAGTAGGGTTAAACATTTACTGGAAACTGTAAATTTACCAGTTTTTACCGAAAAACAATTTACCGGTAAGAGTTCAAGCCTAGCTGTTTAATTTCTTTGTGGAAAATAGAAATGTCAAATTTCCCTGATTTCTGACACAGAGCGCCAACGTTTGGCTAAAAGGTTTATTAAGACTTAAAAAACTACAAAACGTTTCCTGATCCTTTAAGTCCTAAATAATTTTAAAAAATAAAAAAAAGTTAACAAAAACATACTCGACAAAAGCAATATAAATCTGGTTTAGTTCATCGTCTGATTCATCCTGATACACGTCGCAGACTAAGTCTGCCATGTTTTCCTGGCTTTTTCTCACAAGAAATGCCACTTGATCAACATACTTTTTGTAAATTTTTTTATCAAAATTCACAATTCTTTCTGAGCCGGTCACAATAGCAGTAGAAGTCGATGGAGGACACATTTTTTAACACAACAAAAACGAGAAAACCAACTTAACACTAAGTATTCGAAAGTTTAAATGCTACATACGAAAGACGAAATTATTTTGCGATATCTGCACAAATTTCCGCACAAAGAATCCGCAGAAATTTTTGATATTACCTAAACTGATCTTTGGACTTTGCTACGTTTTGCGGAATCATGCCAGACGTTTGAATGTAAACTAATTTGTCTTTGTCAAATATTTTTGAATAATTGTTCTAAAATATAATTACTATATGTCACAAAAATCATAATTTACATATTTTTTTGATTTTGTTTTAACTTTTAATATGTATCTTGTCAAGACTATAAATTAAGTATTTTATTATAACTTATTATTATAAAAAAAAAAGTTCCCAACCTTACCCCTCTTTAAATCAGCACAAACTTTTTATATGAATTCTTTGTACACCAATAGTATCTATAAAAATTTTTAGCTCGTGCTTTTGATTTTTTAGTTTTTAATATTTCAGTTTCCCGCCAATTAGACAACTTTGGCATTATGTTTCAACTAGTTTTTTTGACTTTCCAGACAAGCTACGCGTACTAATTTAAAAATGAAGGTCATTTAAACGTTTTCTACTAGTATATCAAAGAAAAATGATTAAAAGGCAAAAAATGTCCAAGCTATAAGCTTGAAACACAATGTCAATTTGACAGAAAATTCAAAGCGTAATTTTTTGGCCTTGATTTTCTAGAGATTTACTGGAAGGCGCGATTTTGTATGTTGCTTACAATCTTATATTTACATGATCTTTCTATATAAAAAGTTTGAAGTCAACTAGAGCTAAGCAGGTTGGGTACTTTTCTTGTTAATTTTGCCCCTAACTTTTAGTATGCGTCTAGACAATGAACATACAGAATATTCATAAAACGAAGTTCAAGTTTATTATGCCTGTTTTTATAAAATCAAATTGTATTTTAACTTTTAAATTTTAAAAGTTCTTTTTTGTCAACCTTTCTTTTAAACCTTGACTTCGTGATAACTTTGAAACGATTTACAGTTTACAGTAACTGCAAGAGTAATAAACGGCTCACACCAGAAAGTGTAAACCCCTGCAACTGCCTGAGGGGCTTTCCAAAAAGAAACTGACCTTGGGTTCTGCTTTCTTGTAAATTACCTTTACTTCCGTATCTCCGCATTGTTGTCTGATGACCAAAATACGACCAATAGACGATTTTTAGCGCGAAACTTAATCGGGTTGATTTCTGAACTTGATGTTACTTTCGGTTAACAACTACCGAAAAAGGAAATGGCTAGCGAAAGGGAAAGTGGACTGATCCTTATCTTATACTTGTGAGACATTACCTAATTTATAGGCCTGGTCTTGAGGTTGTTCTTGTCTCAAGGTAGAATGTCATAACAAATTGTACTTATTTTACAAAAAAAGTGGAGGCAAGGCGTATCTTACAATATTGTTGTACTGCTTGGTTTAAAGAGCGTGCTTATTTTATTTTTTAAAAGTTTTTAAACGAGTTTAAAAAAAACATTGTTTTTTAAAAAAGTAAAAACGAACTTGACCTTTCGAGGGCTTTTATGCGTTTTATTTGAATTTCGATTGTCCAGGTTTGTAACCATCAAAACATTTACAGTTTTTTTAATTTCTTTACAATTTAAAATATTTCTTAATAAAAAAAATAAACTTCTGTCCACGGTTTGGGCTTCGCGAAGAGATGCTGGCAAAATTTGTTCGTTATGAAGGAGTTTCGATATAGAGGAGTTTTAAATTCACTGTGTAGCGTTAGCCAGGGATTAAGAATTTGTTCGTTATACGGAAGTTTTGTTATAGAGGAATTCTAGTGTAAGAAGAAGTTATACTTTTTAATTTTTTATTACAAGGAAAGTGCCGACCTGCCCTATTCTGATTGACTTCAAATGTTTCATATAGAAAGATCATGTAAATATAAGATACATTTACTATTAGTAGTACGAAGAATTTATATTAAAACTGCGTTGATTTTGAGCGCGGCAGGCGGAGCACTTATTAGGAATTGAGGAAGTGTTTTCAAAGTTCATACCAATGTTTATGTAGATCTTTACTATAGATATATAATGATAATATTATTTTGAAAGGTCTGCAAAAACATGATGTTGAAATTGTACTGACTATTATTATTATAGTAAGTACATAGTAAACAGGTCCGTCTATATGAACTTTGTTGCAATATGTTTCAGTTTCTGCCAGGTTGAGACTATAGAAAAGTATATTGTAATTGAATTTGTACAGTAGGAGCTTCCTAATGAGCTATGTATAGCTTCCTAATGATCTATCTAGAAGCAGGCATCTACCTTTTGGTTTTTATGCAAACTGTTTCTCTTGTAGAACCTTATTCTTACAACTATCACTAAAGTAAACCTTGAAGACACACACGCTTTTTGTGTTTACTGACTAATAACCAAAGTATTTGGAATAACATTGTGGTATGTTACACTCTGTAGACGCCATCTCTGTTTTTTGTAAGATTATAAACGAGTTCCGAAAGTGTTTTCAGTCGTTTCCGGCCCTTAGGTTGTTAACCAATGTTAAGAAGGTTTGTCATCGGTCGTAAAACGGGGCTCATTTTACTGTCTGTATTTCAACATACGAACTGTAAAATGTACTGTGTAAAACATATTTGTTCAAGAAGATATTGTAGTAGCTTGAGCATAAGAATTGATGAACAATCATTTCCATATACATTAAATTATCTTATTTTGACAAACTCAGCCATTCTCGATTGTAAAATGGTCGTTTAGCCAAGTAATTGACAACTTTAACCTTGCTTTGGTCATTTCGTATCTTCAACAAAGTTTAACCACATAAACATTCGACGTATTCGTCTAAGTAAACTGTGACGTAGCAAGTTTCAATCGCTTAAAATGACACGATTTATTGCGTGACTTCGTATGTCGCTTATTGTCTCCACGAACTTAAAATGTATCAATCATTAAGTCGTATGTTGATGAGGTGATATGTCAAAGGGAAACTTTTACTTTTACATTTTGGACATTTTACTGTATTTTTAAGTATCGTACGGTGATTTGAAGGCTTATATTAACATAAAATTTAAAATTTTTAAAAAATTATTTTTTAACATTAGAATGATCATACTGTACAAATAGTACTGTAACTTTAAAAACGATCATATAATTAACATGATCCTTAGAATTTACAGTCCTAATGACCATGTTACAGCGAGTATTTATGCTTTTGAACTGATCGCTTCGTTACTTTCTTCTTCCTGCTCGACGACCCTTAAGCGACACATTATGAAATGTTTTGTGATCTTTAGGAAACTGACAATTACTTAAGAGAAACATCTTCAACATAAACATACAAACATATACGGGTCACGTTGGTTTTTGTTTCATTTTAGGCTTTTAATTGTTTCAATATATCTAGGTTTTGTAGCTATTTTTTAATTTTAAATGACTATAAAATGTTAAATTTATATATTAGATTGTTCAAATAATTCTGTGCCTCCTAACACAGAAAATTTGCTTTGAAAGAGAGCACAGGATTAGTTAAAAAACCTATTAATTTGTTGTATTTTACAATATATTATAGAGTGTAATGCTTGATCTTAATTCCCATATTTAGTACTATTTAGTATCGTCCTGTAATTTTCAAAATTTTAATTTGTGCCATTTTATAAATAAAAATCCAAAAAGTCATCACTCAAAGTTTCCCCACGTCGTATCACAGATTTGACCGAAGATACGACGCGTGACAACAAGGTTGTTTGTTTTTAAATTATACGTTAAGTTCATAACTGTTAATGCTTTACTTGTTGTAAACGCATTTTTACAAAAAAAATATTTATTTCGACGCTTTAAACAGAAAATTTAATTGATTCGCACAGACTTTAAGTTTGTTGGGAAACTTAGTTATAGGAGTTTTGATCAGCATATAATTTTTAATTTACATTTTTTTTGCTTTTATTGTCTTACTAACAATAAGATAATGTATTTTACAAGAAAGGTACCCAACTACCCCACTCAAAATCAGCTCAAAAATTTTATATTAGTTCTGTGTATCATCCATAGCACCCATAAAAATTTTAACTCACGCTTTAGAGTTTTAAATTTTAAAAATTTGAATTTTCCGGTAATTTGACAAATTTGGTATTTTGTTTCAAGCACTTTTTTTGGTTGTTCTAGATAAGATACACTAAAAAATTTAAAATGTAGGCCTATTTACTCTATTTAAAACTATAGAAGTGAAACAGGGTCAGCAGGTCGAGTACTATGTTAGACTGAAGCAGGCTTGAAGTAGAATAATAAAATAAAAAAATATAAGTTCATATCTTTCTGATGTTTAATTTTTTGAAGGAGACATTTTTTTAAAAAGATATAAACTGAGCGAGGTAAAACAGATTAATCATTGTCTTTATCACTTCCAGCTTGGAGTTCTTAAACCTGGAGTCAGCGAGGAAAGTCTAGGAATTTAAAAAAAAGTTTTGTCAAGTGATGAAGTTCGTTAAGTCATCAAATAGTTACCGTTACTTTCCATTTATCTAACTTCTTTTTAACTACTAGGTTGTTCAAATAATTATGTGCTTCCTAACCCTAAAAAGTAGCATTGAAAGCAGGCTCAGAATTTTTTAAACAACTTAATAGTACAAAGCCAACAAAAAACTTTTCTTTTTACAGAAAGAGTAATTTTAGAAATTAGAAATCTTTTTCATTAACAAATCCTTGTTACAATATACGTCTAATCAAGTTTGTAAGAAAACCTTTCTATGCTTTTTTTCAGTAGAACTGTTGTTTTTTACTAATTAACCTACTTTTTAAGCAAAGAAAACCTATTCATCCGCAAATTCGCTTACAATTAATTTCTACAACGATTCGGTAGACAGTAATTCCATTTAATAACTTTAATATTTTCAATGATTACTATAGGTTATATTCTCTATAGTAAACACATTCTTAGTATTTTTACAAAATTATAACGTTTTATTTTTTAAAATTCTTTTTTTTCATATTTGATTTTTGAAATTTTTTAAGCAGTGAAGTTTAAGATATCTATTTTGAGCCGTTCTAACCTAAATTAAGTTACAAACTTTACCTATTTTACTAAAAAGTACAAAAAATTAGAAAAGTGCAAAATTTGAGTCAATAGTTACCTACTTTAACATGTAGGTAATGGGTGTACTGTTTAACATAGGTGATGAGTGTACAGTCACGTTTTGTTGATTGAACCCAACTATTCGACCGTTCCGTGATTTGTGCCTTTCAGCAACTTGTAGTTTGACTCTACTTTGTTTTATTACTGTTTACTCCCCGTATGTTACTATAGGGTGACCTATCCTCGGGGGACAGTTAATATATAGTTTGGTTTCTTGTTATTGTTTACTGCAACAACTTAAAATGAAAAAAAAATTTAAATTTTTAGTTTTGCGACTTTGAAAGTTTAGAAGAGGAGGTTTCACTTGTTGTGTATTACTTTTGTAACTGCTTTTTCCTTTTGGTTTCTTGTATCGTTGCAGTGTGTTTCAAAGTCTGTAAAATTTGGAATACTTAGACGTTTAAAAGCGTTCGACTTTAAAAAACGGGTATGGTGAAGACCGTCAGATCAATGTATTGTAGCTGTTCCCAATCATGCCGCATTCAGGTGATACTGTTTCTCAAGCTACAGAGTTGTGATGAGGTCCACCTCAAGACTTCAGATCGTAGTCAAAAGCCTTTGTAGGCCAAGCAATCGATTTGCTATAGTCCTTGTGCACTTAGAACTACTCATTTATTTGTATATTACAAATGAGCTTGGGTCGAGCGGAGCAGTCAATCGCACCTGAGAACGGTGGTTTACTGGTACATAGATGCCACAACCGACTGAGTTACACTCGTTTGATCATACTTTTAATCTTGATTAATAATATCGAAAAAAGTTAAAATTTTTCATTATGCGTTTTATAATCTTAACATCTTTAAAAGTTAAAAACTTGTTGAAACATGGTCAACTTTTCCTGCTGACGCTCTCTGATCACCGGCGTTGCCTCTTTGAGTTGTTTTTTGTCATCGTGTTTTGTTTTATAGTTTTGCCTCAGCTTTTTTTAGAAATTACTGTAATTTCACCTTAATTTACATTGTGTTTTGTATTTTTATGCTGTTTCAATAAGTTAGTTAAAACTGAAACTAAAAATGTAGCCCAATTCTCACCCCACCCCCTACTAACGGACCCCTTCTCCCCCACCCTTTTTCTTACGGACCCCTCACCCCCACCCACCCCTCCTTCTTTTTTGTCTGATAAACTTAATTGGACATGGCGATAAAAAAAGGTAATCGACCGTCTGTCACGACTACCGTTTACTTCAACTTGAGCTTACTGCAACGCGCCCTCAGGCGCTTAAACGTTGACGTAACCCTTTTACTTTTATAGACCTGTTTACTCAGTAATAATACTACCGCTGTAAAATCGCATTACTGTTTGTGGCGAGGCGTGTAAAGTCGAGAGTCTTGGGGTGGTAAAATTTAACAATTTTTTTAAAAGGGGTGTTTTACTTACGACCAAAATATAAAAATTTTTTTTTTTTATTTTTTGATTTACCATGGTTTCATACTGTATTTGCTATATTGTTATTTACAAAACTGTCACTTCCGCCGAGACAAGAACAACTTCCGTTCAAAAGTCACATCGTATTACGAAAAGTTTCACGACCGAAGAGTAACGAGGTGATAACTGCGAAACTTTACACGGTAACGTGACACCTTCGCTAACCTGTTTGTTAAACTATATGCCATAAAATAAACAACCATGCCATGTACTTTTGTAGCATCTGTTTGTGTTTTAATTAGGCGCGGTTTTAATATCAACTTATTTGTTTTTTTCGTTTTTCATTCTTGTTGCGTCGTGAAATCTTTGCCTCACATACGGCTCTGCGTTTACACCCGGGGATATTTATCGAAAAATGTCATTTTCGAATTTTAAAGCTATACCTTTTGGTCATTTACGCATATTAAGCGTATTGTAACTCGCTAATCAAAACCATTTAACAGTTTTTGATAACAGTTTTCGCAGTAAATGTTTACTCTTTTTCATCCCTATATACGTCTTGTTTTAAACGTCAAAGAACATTTGGTGCAATTCATTAGTAAACATTTGATATTGCACTGTGCAAAACTTTCACAAAATGTTGACCTAACAGCTTAGCATCCCTTCTTGATACACTTACTTCAACTTTTTAATACACTTACTTAACCTGCCTTTAACTGCCCATTAAAATCCAATTTTAAACCCATTTCGCGACTTTTACTGCCAAACACACGTTTCCCGAAATAATCATGATCTTTGACATTTCGCTCACTTGCTATTGATTTTTGAAACTATTTATTGAAATCCCACCCCAAATATTTGTCAGTTTAGTTTGGAAATATTGTTTGACGTAGTCAGCTAACCTTGATAAGGAGTAATTACTCTTGGTCGCGCAAAGTTGTAACGTAAAATGTGAGATGAACCTTTGGAAACGTTTTTCAAATTATTTTTGGGCGAATTTTGTTTATTTCTCTTATCACCGAATAGACTCTTTAAAGAGTGCGTTACGGTAGCTTTTGGGTTGTATTGTTGCATCTAACCAAAGCAATATTCATATAGGACTTCTTTAAATTTTATATGGATGACTTGGGTTAGTCTGTTGTTGTATTCAACGAAAAAGTGATTTTACCTTGTCTCTTCGATGTTTATTTCTCAGTGAAAGTTCGAGAAAACAAAAAATTACTATTTACTCCTTCTTAACTACTATTTACTGCTTCTTAACTACGTTTTCTAATAGTTAACATTACCAATCAACTACTTTTACTACTTTTTATCATGTTGTTACAGTTTCAAGATAAAGATTCTCAACATTTTAACAAATTTTTTTGTTATGAATAATCGTACTATTGGGTTGTTAAAAAAATTCTGAGCCGCCCTTCAAAAAAGGTTGTCGGAGTTAGGGGGCGCAGAATTAGTTGAACAACCCATTAGTACGATTATTGATAACGTAAATGACAAAAATTTGTTAAAATGTTGATAATGTTTATCTTGAAACTATAACAACTTGATAGCTTATCATCTCCTTTTGATCCACTTACTTTAACTGCCTTTGACTGCCCATTAAAACCCAATTTTAAACCTATTTCGCGACTTTTACCGCCAAGAACTATTCTCGAAATAAGCATGATTTTTGACATTTCGCCCACTTGGTATTGGTTCGTAATATAAGACATTGTCATCATTCTAAAACAAAAAGCTGTACCATTTCAGAGACGAGGTTTGACCTCTAACGTGGGGAATGACCAATCGACTGACGGTCGAGAAACCGACCGACTCGACTTCAGATGCCGCTTCAGTAGGAGCGTCGTCAGCGGGCAGTGAGACACGACTAATCAAAGCAGTCCACTCCATCTACAAACGATGGGCCTTCTTCATCGTTAACAACACTTTCAAAGTCATCACAGCGTGCACAATACTCACGTTGATATGCACGGTCAAGATCTTATTGTCAAAGTGAGTTTTGTAGTTTGGGAAAGTGGGTAATTGGAAGAGTTCAAATTCAAACATTAGGAAGGACAAAACTTAGAAGAAAAAAGGGTGTTTTGGAGTTTATAAGGATCATTTTGGAGTTTATAAAAGGAAAGGGATGTTTATACCTGAAGGAATTTTGAAAAAGTCAAGAACAGTAGGAAAAAAGTAACTTTTACTGTTGAAAGACAAGGTTATCTCCTAAGTTGTAAAGTAAAAAGGTTTAGAAAACTCCTTTCTTGATCTGTCAGAAACAAATTTATTGCCTAAACTTATCATTTTTCTTATACATGGCTGTAAATCTGCTAGTATAACTTTACTATTGCCATCTCTCTAGTAACTTTTTTAAAAAACTTGAACAAAGACATCTATAACACTAGTTATAATATACACAAAACATTTTACTGCAACATAATGAATACTTTGGCATTTTTCCTAACCCCGCAAAGTTGCTCTGAAAGAGGGCACAGAATTATTAAAACACCCTAATAAGTCAAAATCTTCAGACAACACAATGACATCACAGGCTACACGCCGTACGGTGCGCGGTCGTTACTGGAAAGAGACATTCGAAATGAATTCTTTGACCAAAATGGAATAGGAGTAGCCATCATGGTACTAGCTGAACCGAAACATGGCGTTGATATTCTGAAACCGGAATACTTGGAAGAACTTGTTAGAGTAGGTTCTTGAGTACGGTAACCTTATGCTTTTAGATTGACGACTTTGTGAGGACAAACTTCACGATTCTGAATCATTTCACGAATAAAACCGAGAACTTTGACGAATTCTGCTCAAACTTCTGCAAACTAAATGAGCCATTGCGGAATTACTATGTAAGTTAATGTAACTGAAGCTATAGGTTGTTCAAATAATTCTGTGCCCTCTTTCAAAGCAAATTTTAGGGATTAGGGGCACAGAATTATTTGAACAATTTAATACTATATAATTTTAGTACTAAATTTTAATTAATATTACAGTACGTCCACTGTAAAACGCTAAAAGATCAAACAAAATTACAAGAATAATACTTTCAGAACGGCCTAAAGCTCCAATTAACGGCAGAAAACAACAAAGAGCCAATGAATGACAGAATCAGCCTTCATTACCCAAAGATCGACGTGTATGGACAAAAGATCAACATACAACAAAGTATCTTCGGAATTCACTTCAAAAATGAAACAAAACCAACTGATTACACCAATCTTGAGTACGCCGAAATGGCAGCCTTGATCTACAAATCAGAAAGAGAAGGAGGATGGAGCGACGACGAGCTCAAGGAGTACGAGACTGCCATCTCTGACTACTTTGAGAAGTATGGCCTTATTTAAATTATTGCTAACATCATGGGTGTTAATGTACTGCTAAATACATGATTTAGTAGCACAAACATGCCATGATTAAAGTTATGCACCATGAAATTTAAAAAAAGCTATATAGCAGTTATAGCAGCACAAACTACAACAATATTTTGCCGTTTCAGTGAGTACAAAAGCAAAAACCTGCACGTAATGACAATCAGCACAACGTATGTCGAAAGTGAAATCGTCCGAGCTGGCTTGACAATGTTGCCATTCTTGTTGATTGGTTTCACAATTATGTGTATCGTATCATCAACTACAGTACTACTATCAGCTGTGTACTTTCAACAAGTCAGCATTCACAAGGTAAAATAATATAAATCAATGTTATACTCGTATAACACTGTTTTGGTACCTAATTAACATGAATAACATCGACAACATGTTATTCTGCCTTATGAATTTGTTGAACAACAAGCTGTTGACCATCATTATCGTTAAAACGACAAATGTTTCGATTTGACTTTTCCATGCCTAACACAAGATTTTCCAGATCTCCTTGGCCGTTATGGCCTGTGTCTGTCCATTCATGGCCAGTGGAACAGCACTTGGTCTCATGTTCTTTGCTGGTATTCGTTACGGTTCCATCTTGTTGGTAACTCCCTTCCTCGTCCTAGCCATCGGAGTAGATGACGCCTACCTCATGATACATGCCTGGCAACGAGTTTCGAAGCAAATGCGTGAGAACCCAACTCCAGAAGACTGTGTAGCTCACCGCCTCTCCTTGGTCCTCATCGACACCGGGCCCGCCATTCTCATCTCAGCTTTGACCAATATCCTTGCTGACGCTGTAGGATCTTTCACTGGATCTCCTGAAGTAACGCTTCTCTGTGCAGGAAACATGGCATCCATCTTCATTGACTTCATATACCAAATCACCTTCTATACGAGTGTTATGGCCATCGTTGGTCACTTCGAAATGAGGGATGAACAGAGGATGCGGTTCAAGTTGTCCATTCCAATTGGAGCGGCCGAATCCACTAAACATGCTGTGCAGATTGTGCCTGCCAGGAAGTCAAAACAGGTAAGAGACAGAAACCAACAAAAATTTGGAAAAAACTAGAAATTCTACTAAAAGTTTATTTTTTCTTTTCTTATGTTGACGAAATGTCACAATATTGATGGATTTTAAAAGAAGTCACTTTTTTTATTGATTGCTTGAAAACTTTGAGTTATTTCTTAATTTTTATATCTATTATTCACTGAATCTTATGCGATCTCATTGATCATACCCTTTTACACCTAAAGTTTTGTTTTTTGTGTTGAACAACACACATTCTTTTATATTTTTGATCAGAAAATGGTCTCGATTTGGGAGTAAATACCTAATTCAGCAAGCTCTTTGACGCAATTCCAAATTTATTGACGAGAAACGTCGAGAACACTGTGAGGGTGTAGAAACAAACAACAATGTGACTTGAATTCCAAAAAAGTTACATAGATTTTGGTGATTTTAGGTAACAAGTGACATAAGGGTTATTTTTAGGTAACAATCGATGAAAAAAGTACATTTTCGGGTAATGTAGATTAGAAAATTTTGTTTTTAGGAAACAAAACTTTTAAAAATTGAGTTTTAGGTAACAAAACGTTTAAAATTTTATATTTTAGCCTTCTGGCAAGTTCCATCAAAAAGTGAAGACACATTTCAACAAGTTTGTCATAACATACGTCGATGTCATCACGAACACGGTTGTCGCCATCTTTGTGTGCATATTATGGGCATTGTTCTTGGTTCATTCAGTTTATGTAAGTCTTTGTAAAATTTATATATCTTCACGTTGTAATATACATATAGTGTACAATAGCATAAGTGCTTAATTTATTATTTTAAAAGCTTTTACATCTTTTTTATTTTAGTGGCTGACCAAGTTCGAAGTAAACCTAACGACTAAGAAGATGTTCGCATCAGATTCTCCACTTCTGGCAATTGATCATCGGCGTGAAGAACAAATAGTACCGTACTATACTGTAATCACGGTCTTTGTCAACAACCCAGGAGACCTTGGAGACCCAGCTCGAGTTGAGAATCTTTATAAGTTAGTGACAGAGCTGGAGTCATTCCCAGAGTCATGGGGGACTGAATCGACCAGTCTTTGGTTGACAGACTTTTTGGCTTTTGAAGAACAATCAGATCAGCTTGAGGAGGAGGAAGACACGACGGTGCAGATGGGTAACAGGACAAAGTATAGGGCTGATGACATCCCAACGTTCTTGGAATGGCCAGAGTATGATTGGTGGAAGGGATTCTTGAAGTTGAAGCAGGAGAAGTGGGTCTTTTTTATGTTATATTTGGTTTTTAAGCAGTTTTTTAAACGATTTATGTTGATCTTTAATTAACCAAAGATATTATTTAAAACAAACTTGATTTATATTAATCATGCTGTTTTAGCAACCACACAATTCTCGAGAGCTTCTTCTTTACCACAGCCTACCAAGGAGATCATCTCAAGTCGTGGAGTGAACGATCTCGACTACTACAACGATGGAGAGCAGTAACCGACCGTTACCCACAATTCAACACGACCTCCTACCAAGATGAAGGTATCTTCCTGGACCTCATTGATAACATGCCAACGGATGCTTGGCAATCCGCCTTGGCCACTTTGGTGTGTATGGCCTTTGTGTGTTTCATATTCATGTACAATACTTATTCGGTGCTTGTGGCTAGTGCTGTGATAGCATCGATTATGACTGGTATGTTGGGCACGTTGTGTTGGGAAGGAGTTACCATGGATCCGATCATGATGGCTGCGATGGTAATATCTATCGGGTTCAGTGTTGATATACCTGCTCATGTTTCGTATCATTTTCATAGTGCAGGTAAGGGTCTTGATCTACTATAATATTGGAAATATATGAAGATTTTAGGCACGACTTACTAGTATATCTCTTTATATATGTGTATAATAATAAAGTTATATTATTGATGGTATATTTAGATGTATTATTCTATAAATGATGATAATATTTACTTTTCAGGCTTTGAAAACCCAAATCTATCAGTTAAGGACAGGTTAATATTAACATTGTCTTCTGTTGGATTCCCAGCTATTCAAGCCAGTTTCTCAACGAATTTAGTCGTTTTTTCATTGTTGTTTGTACCTTTATACATGGCGCAGGTATGTCATTTTCAATTTTTAAAAATCTTGGTCGAAATTAACGTATTTTACATTTTGATTACTTAATATTGGCTTTTGGTATTTTGTCAACTCTACTTTTCCCAATTGATAAAAATGCATTTTTAAAACAGATTTGAATCCTTTCAGGTGTTCGTGAAGATAATGTTTTTGTGCATAGTGCTGACCATCATCCACTCGTTGGTCATGTTGCCGGCCATTTTCAGTCTCATTGAAAAGATCTCGGGCTCTTTCCGCAAGGCCAACTGATTTGCCATCTTCTTTCCCCCTAACTATATTGTATTTGTTCGCTTTAAACGGTTGAATCTAAAATCGTGCACGATATTATTCAAAATATAGTATTATTGAATTTAAGAAATCTCGGCTCGGGCCGTCGGCCCTCGCACACTTTTCATTTTTAGAAAACCTAAAAGTTTGGAAAATTGTACACAATAATCAGTATCATACTCAAAATAACATCAATCCTTTCTTAGCCTTTCCTTATTCTTTACCCTTTTTTCCTTAATCCTTATTCCGAGTTTTTAGCTTCAGAAAAACCAAAAATTTTAGTCAAAATACGACCGCTCATTGCCATAAAATTTGGGCGAATGAATCTTTTTCATAGTTTTATAAAATTTTCTCACCGATTTTTAATTTTTTTAATTTAAAAAATGATTTTTTTGAAAATTTGCATGGCTCTCTTACTTGTACTTTTCTTTGGCTTCAAAAAAGGGCAGACACGATTTTGGGCCCATTTTTCTTCATTGATAGAGGGGATTTGTCTAAAAAGGTAGGATAGGTTAGACTAAAGTTACTGTAGGGTTTGGTTAGGTACATTACAACACTTAGCTATCTATTACAGTATCAAAAAGTAGGATTGAAGAGGAAGCTTTTAAAATACAGTACGACTATAAGCTTTTACTATGGTTTGTTTAAACACATATAATTGATGGGACTAAAGTCACAGTAGGGTTTGGTGAGGTACATTACATTACTTAGCTATTATATCTATTATATAAAATTTAAAATAAAAACCTCAGTTTACATTTTTCACTTTAAACTTTTTTTATGTACCCCTATAACAAAACACATCGCCGTACCCCCCCTACAACCGTAAAAAATCAAAAACCGTAGGGGATATTAACACTTAAATGACATTTGGCGTGAGAGCCCTTTTCCGTTCGAATAAACATTGGCACTGTTCTCGACGACGTTTCTCTCGAGAACAACGGTCGACTTTCATGGTTTAAATGAAATCCGTACTTATGAGGAAATGCGATACCATCGTTTTAACCGATACACACGTATCTACTCTATCGGCTTTGTTTTTGGGTATATTTGGGGGATTTTCGGGGAGGAAGGGCTAATTTTAGCCTGGGGCATTGACCTTTAAAGCTAGCTTTACTTGTTAATAAATAAGAATTTAGGTATAGTAGATATAGGTACAGTACAAGTAGTTACAGTATAAGTACAACTAGTTAATGCATAATGGACCACCTAATAGTATAACCCTATGTACGCTCATAAATGTGCAAGTAAAAAGTTTAAGCGGCGTTTCGATGAAATGTAAAGTAATATGTTTTTGGAGTGGCTCAGCCCTCAAGTGCTTCTTCTTTTGTTATTAAAATTGTAATTGTAAGCAGCCAACCTGACGGCCCAGAATCTTTTACTATTCGTTTGTTGTAGTATGTCATAAGGTTAGTACGTTACAACTTTGATTTGTTACTTTGTGCGATAAAAAATGGTGAGAAATGAGCAAACTGTTTACTATAGGTGTCTATAAATACGTAGAATTGAATGGTTTTGTATGGTAAGCCACCATGTTATTGTGGAGCATAGTTGTTAACAGATTTTTTATCTTTATATCGTATTTCATTCTTCTTGTCACATTTAAAACAAAAGATATTACTATAATATTGGGTTGTTCAAATAATTCAGCGCTTTAAAAGCTATAACGTAGTGCAAGGTCCTATGCAGTACTTTATAGTGTAGTTATACATGCACTTTAACTGATAAGTGCAACATAACAGCACCCATCTCTTATCGCAGTTTGTAATGTCAAATCATGTGTCGCTTCTTTGTGTTACTTTTTTTGATTTGGACATTAATTTGTGGCCAATTGTTTTTCTTTTCACGGCAGCTGATCCACGAATTCGAATTCGAAGTTTGAACAAAAAACAGTTTTGGGTGATTAATTACTTTTATAAGACAACATATGAAACATGCATAGTTGTTTTTTGTTTTTTAATTATTTTCGTGATAATATTGTGATATAATAGTTTCCTATGTGTAATAGAAAACAAAAATTGTTGATTTTAGTCTGAATGAAAAAATAATTCAAAAGGCTAGGGGTAGACAATGAAAAGGATGAGTACTCAGGCTCAGAGCTCAACGTTTAGGCACGAACAGATTTTGTTTTTTCTCAGCTAGGCCCGGCCCCGATCAAAAAAAAATCTAGGCCCGGCGTAGCCCGGCCTTTTTAAAAATTTTAAAAACTTTAAAATTAAAGAAATTTTGGCTTTTGAATTCTTTTTTAGATTGTTTCTTGATTATGTTACTTAAAAAAACTTTGAACCCGAGTAATAACTTTTCAGGTTCGGCCAGTTTTATCTCATAGAGCCGGACTGGGTCGGGTTGAGTCTACACGGTTGGTTTCTCACTAGGGTTGGACATTTACCGGTAAATTGATTTTTCGGTAAAAATTTTACCGGTTTTTACCGGTAAATTTACCGGATTATTATTTGGTATTTAAAAACTTTAAAATGTCATTAAAACGTGTAATAAACGTTTTAAAACAACAAAAACAATAAAATAGTAAGTATTTCACTCTTTTACTTTAAAAAACAACTTATAAGTCCAATAGCTCTGTCCACTTCTTTTTCCCTACCGGTATATGTTATGTTGACGTAGCTAGTCATAGATGATTGGATGACCATTGTCCAGTAGACTCTGCTTGGTTCGATGGAATCTTTTGTTTTCCGCATTTTTGCTCATACAATTGCACGACCTGTTCTTGACCATTTGAAGATATCTTAGTACAATTGTTTCGCTAAATAATCACAGACCTATACATAAAGTATCAAAAATCAACAAGAAAGTTTAAAAATCGAATTTTCCGTCCTTGTGAGTTGTTGGCAGAAGATGTTGCAGTTCTTGTAAGGTTACTGACGTATTTTGCACCACAATAATTGCAAAAGTAGTCATTATTTGTTCTTTTGTAACGGTCTGTGATATTTTTCAACATATTTCGTCAAAATATTGCTAATTTTCCAAAACAAAAACAAATTTTGAAACAAAAATAATTTTCGTGCTAGGACACAAAACACTTTTTTACCGGTAAAAAACCGAAATTTTCGGTAAATTCACCGGTAAATTTACATTTACCGGTAAATGTCCAACCCTATTTCTCACCCCTAAGGAGCAGGAGGGTGAGGTCAGACTGTTTTTTTGTTGAATTAGAAGTGAGTTTTAAATAAATTGTGTATTTTATGTTTATATCATTTCTTGTTGTTTTTGAAGTTTATATTGTTTGTACGTTTTTGTGAATATTTTGAAATTTCGGGTCCATTTTTAAAAAATTCGAATTTCTGACAAGACCTAATTATTTTTACATTTTTGGGAAAAGTTTAATTTTGCTTTTAAAAGGAGCACGAGGGTATTATAAAGCTAACTATATTTTGTATTTTACAAAGAAACCTGTACTTTTGAATGCTTTTTTTTGTTTTTTTATTAGTGCACAGGGAGTACTATCTTATATGTAATGTTTAAAAGGTTGTAAAGTAGTAAATGTTTTTAAAAAATTTTAGTATTATTCAGTACTATATTATATTTTAGCCTTTTCATCAGTTGTTCAAAACCAAAAAACCGAATTTCAAAATTTGCATATGCGACTTTTAATCCCGCTAAAAAAAGTGCATTTAAAATCGTTTTTACGAATCCTCGGGCCTCCAGAAGGCTGCCAGAACACACCGTAATCAAATCAAGCACACACCCACACTAGAAAGACCCGCCAAACCCCCTTAGGGCATTTATAAGCAGATGAAGAGAGCGAGGCCGTCCAAAAGTTGAATATACGCATCTAGGTCACAATAACATGCATAACATCTCGTACTTGGTCGAATTGGCTCAAGTGAAACGCGATAACTCGAGTATGAGCTTACATTTAACTCAAGTAGGAGCTTCAAGATAAAGGTATAATAAGAAGAGTATGAAGTTCGAGATAATTATTTGAATATGAGACTAGAGTTAAAGCTAAGAAGAATATGATATTTGAAGCGGAAAAACGATGCACGGTGAGCACGTTCAGACAGTTTATAGTGCTTGCTGACCAAGTGAGCTGAAAAAATTGGCGTACGTGCAAAAGTCAAGTATAATGTGATGTTTATAACATGTAAACAATAGTTACAGTTATTCTTAATAAAGCAGTAAAATTTTTAGGCTTTGGGGGCACAGAATTATTTAAACAATACTAGTTACAAATAGTGCTTTTTGGCGTTTTAAAATGGTACTGTACGGAGATAAGCTTTAAGAAAAATTTGTTGTTTTTTACTGATAAAGTACCAAACAGTACTAAATTAAATATGTAACCAACAGCTCTAAAATTTTACAAGTAAAATATTATACAGCGCTGAGCTTCATAACGTCATCAATGTATTTAAAAATTGTAAAAATGACAAAAACGACCTATTTATGAGGTTAAAACAAACTACGTTTCGAGTATGTTCGTATTACTATATCATAAATAGCAATTTTATGTTAATTTTTTGATAATTCTATTGAAAAGAATGCTAATTATATACATTGAACCTTTCAAACCAATTTTGAATTTAAAAACTTACCTAAAGAGAAAGATCGAGCTACTATAGTAGACAACAGCCTTACTCAAATCCCTTATTGTAGCTACATATGTGGCAGTCGTGGATGGGGATGAAGTTACGACGAGCAGGAAGTCAAGGAGCACGGCCGCGGCTTCAGAAGAACGTTCTGAGGTTTGGCGCCTTTAAGAGGTCTCCGACACAAAAAATATTCAACGAAGCCGGCTTCGGCCTCAAAGTCGTTTTATTTTTGAATATGTGTTGTTGACATCGTTATTGGAAGGGGGTTTAGTTGCGTTGTACTTGTGTGGTATCTTGGTATTTTTGGGAGTTATATTGTTTTAGTTTTTTTTGGTTTTAGAGGTATTTTTGGGTTTAAAAGTCTATTGTTGAAGCCTTAATGCGCAATTTTTGAATGCTTACTTTACAAAATCTATTTCACTATGATGTTTTTAACTTTTCCACCAAAACCACAAGCTTTGACGGTGTAAAACTACAATTTATGTCATTCATGTTACACTATCTCCACACCTACTACAATATAATCCTAAACTAAAAGTATAATATTAGATACAATTTGAGTTACTTAAAAAAGTATTCTTACTGTTTGCACTTTTCGGCTTCAGAAGTCTTTTGATGAAGGTAATTGGCAGCGGCGGCATCGCCGAGAAACGTTATAACATCTTTTAACATTCTTAACATTTTTTGATTTAATTTCTGCGCGGACTTTGGGGACATATTTAAAACATCAGTTACTACGTGATAAGGCTAGTTTTTTATGGAAATACGTGGTATTACTTTAGTTGGATTAAAGTACGCGATGTTGTGTTACATTTATGCCAAAATTTTGTAAATTAAATTTGAAAAATTATTTTTTAAAACTGATTATTTGGTTGTTCAAATAATTCTGTGCTCCCTAACCAAAAAAAATGCTTTGAAAGGAAGCGCAGAACAATTTGAACAATCTGATAGTCGCTAACATAACATGCCTAGTACCTATTACTTAAGCTTACTAACCCATACCTAATCCGTTTTAGCAAAAAATATGAAAGTACGTCTTGTAGAGAACATTGTAGAGCACGTATTGTTGCATCAAGTCAGACTTTTATATTACTGTGAAGTGCACGAGGCTCCTGATGTAATGTAATTAGACTAATTAGCATACGTTTACGTAGTGTTGGAAAGTTTCGCCGTTTAGATGATACTTTATATCTTTTCTTTATGAGTCAATAGACGTGGGAACATTGCTTTAACAGATCACTGGTGCCTTAGGGGGTTTGTCTTTGAACTTACGGTCGAAAAGTAAATAGAGTTGGATTTAGGTTTTGGTATTTTTATTTAACTTTAATTTTGAAGTTGTTGCTTATAGGGAGAGCTTAACTTTTCGTTTTGTGATTATTGTTGAAGTTTTAAATTTTTTATATTTGGAAAAGACTTTTAGGCTTTACTAGGAGGTTAGAAATAGCACCAGATATCCCTCGGTTTTTAAAACAAGGTCTATATAGGATGAAAGAGCGTAAAGAGTTACCGAGCAAACTGTTTTCAAAAACTGCTAAATGGTTTCGGCTAGCGAGATATTGTCGGCAAAAAAATTTGCTGAAAATTCCTCTTCTTTGTCGTCTTAGCAATGAAAAGAAGGTATTGATCCAATGTGGCAGAGAGGTTAGTTTAGGGTGCATGCAGAAGGGGATAAGTTCGAATCCCGCCGCTTTTACTTTGGCGTTTTGCTGTCATAACAAGACGTTTTGGCTAGCCAAACAATAGTTTGGTAAAAAAATATTTTTTGTCATAATTGTGTTTCAGTTATTATACTTTTCGAAAAATTTTTTTTCAAAATGTGTCATCTTTCGAATTTTAAAGTTCTACCTTTAAAAAATATAAGAATAGTGAGCCTAAATTAATCCGCTACCCAAAACCATATGTTTTTAAAAACAGTTTTTCCGGTAAATTTTTACGGTCTTTCCTTCTGTATACGTCTCTTTTTAAAAGCCGTGCAATATTTGGTTCAATTCCATAGTTAGACCATAAATATATAAATTGCGACAACAGTATGTTACGTGTAGAATACGGCTGATTATGTTAACATGTTATCACTCTGACCTTTTGCATTGTTACATGTTGATTCGTAATACGGCTGCAAATAGGAACCCGTCTTTGCATAAAGGATTGAAGCCGGCTTCAATGCATTATAAAGCCGAAATAGAATAAGGGCGGGTCTTGGCAACAGATTTTCGACGAGTATTTTTGTGCGCGGAATGTCACAACTTTTCAAACATAAACTTTCAATGCCCTTTTTGGCTAAACTTTTGATTTTTTTTGATTGAAAAGGGCATGGTAATTAAAAAAAAAGTTTTAAAATCAGTTTTATTCACTTTGAAATACCTTAATTTTAATTTTTTATTACCTAAACAAGCCCAAATATACATTATCATTCTTTAACCCCTTCCTTTTAAAGAACACTGAAGAACGCCCAAACCTCCACCGTGCCAATGTTTATTAATAACCCTTTTTCATAAACAAACAGCTCCTCAATCGGAACATTTCCAGGCACAACCAACCTTAATCATATTCAAATCTACTGCCATTCTCAACACGATGCGAATAATTTGAATACGACCTCAACGTAGCCACCGTCCAACATGTTGTACAGCCACGTGACATTGTTGATGTTGCGCGTGGTGGATGTGGTGGCAAAGACAACAGTACAACAATCCGCCAAAATGCTGGTGGGCGAGGTGCCCGGCGACATTCAGGTGAGTGTCATACGTGTCATGATAAGTGGGTTTTGATTTCTGGAAGTTGTTTTAGATTATATATGCTACAGAATTGGTGAGAAATAGTATATTATGGTAGTTAAGGTACTTTTCCACATAAAGTTTTTTGCAAAAAAAAGATAGACACTTGAAATTGTAAGTAGTAGTAAGCTCATGTACATTGTTAAACAATAGTCAAGGCAGAACTTCGAAATTTAGATTAATTTCGAAAATATTAGATTGTTCAAATAATTCTGCGCTAGCTAGTCAAGAAAATTTGCTGTAATAGGGCCTCAGAATTTTTAAACAGCAAAGTATACTCAAAATTAACTTTTTAAATTATTTTTTGCAGAAACTTGAAATAATTTTTAAAACCTTGCCTTACATTCCCACCCACATGTCTCGATTACGCGTGTTACCGCCTTCGTCTCTTCTTTTGTTTATTTGAGCAGGAATCGTCTCCTTCAACTTGTAGCCAGGAGTTTCAATTTCAGTTATTTTCCAACCCTTTTCTGTAGCCAAAGGCGGATTCTGTTTATTTTTTATTCATTCAAAAATGAATTCGAGAGCAAAAAACAATGGCACAATAATAGGCTTGTGATTAAGAGCCATCAAGTTCTACAAGTGTTTTTGCAATTGCTAAATACGAAAAAAACAAACTTTGAGCTTTAATCTGATCAAAAGAGCAATTTCAATTTGGCGTGAATTCAAAATTTCAAAAAAAATTAAAACCTGGTTTTAGAAAATGAAAAAATTTGTAGCTCACAAAGAAAGTACTCAGCCTGCCATGCTCAGAATCAGCTCAAAATTTTTATATAAATTCGTTGTACCACCATAAGCTTTCATAAAAAATTTTAGCTCATGTTTTCAAGTTTTAAATTTTAAATATTTGAGTTTCCCGCCAATTTGGCAATTTTTACATTGCGTTTCAAGCACTTTTTTCGACTTTCCGAACAAGCTACGCTTGTAAATTTAAAAATTTAGGTTCATTTGAAGGTTTTCTACTAGTATATCAAAGAAAAATGATTAAAAGCGAGAAAATGACATTGTTATAAGCGTGAAACACAATGCCAATTTGGCGGGAAATTCAAAACGTAAGCTTTTTGCCCTCGATTTTCTCGAGATTGGCTAGAAAGCGCAATTTAGTACTTTGCTGATCATTTTGTATTAACATGATCTTTTCATACAAAAGCTTGAAATCAACCAGAGCGGGACAGGTCGGGTATCTTCCTTGTTAGTAGATCAAAAGTCAAACAGTCCTCATGATTGTCATGTCGTCTATCTAATTTTTTACTTATAAAACATATTTTCGAATAGGTATTGAAAAAATACATTTTCATAGTATACACATTGTGACAAAACTCAGCAAAAACCTACCGTAACTTTCAGATTGGTGCTTTGTTTCCAATGCATCGTCAAATCGCTGGTACTGAAGCGTGTGGTGCCATCTGGGAACAGTACGGCATTCAACGAGCCGAGATAGCAGTGTTAACAGTGAAAGAACTCAACAAGATATTACCATTTCGATTAGGGATAACAATACGAGACTCTTGTTGGACGGAACGAATAGCTATGGAACAGGTATCGCCTTTAAGCTCTTTGTATTTAAATTGACAATTAAAAATATTTATTACCTAAAAAATCAATTTCCAGACGATAGGCTTCCTCCGAGAAGGTGTCCAACAATGTTCATGTTGTCAAACAGCCGGCTGTCAGAAGAAAGCCAATCCAGTCGTAGCCATCGTGGGACCAGCAAAGTCATCAACAACCATAGCTGTCCAGAATGTCCTCCAAGTCTTCAGAATCCCTCAAATTGGCTACGGTGCGACAACTACAGACTTGAGCGACAAAGAACAGTTTGGGTACTTCTTGAGAACAGTACCATCTGATGCGTGGCAAGCTATGGCCATAATGGAACTACTCAAGTACTACAATTGGACCTATATCGCTGTAGTTTACTCCGCCGGTAATTACGGTGAAAAGGGGTTCGAAGCGATGGAAAGATTGAGTAGATCTGGAGTTTGTATCGCTCATACTGAGAAGGTGAAGAGTCTGGGAGAAATAAACGACTACATTCAGGTACACAAGAAACTTCTGAATTTGAAGCCACGACCTCAGGTTGTGGTATGTTTCTGTGAGGGAATGAGTATGACCAAGATATTCAAAGCTCAGAAAGAATTGAGGAAGAGGACGCCAGAGCTCCACACGTTTCAATGGATCGGTAGCGACAGTTGGGCTGATCGGTAGGTTATTTTATTTTGGGTTTGAACACAAATTTTTGTCAAAACATAGGGCAGAGGTTAATAAGGCACATCGAAAAAAATTATTTTACAAATTCAAACCTACAATCATATGCCATTTCAGATTGGATGTTGTAGAAGGTGTAGAGAATGAAGCTGCTGGCAGTTTTTCGATCAGAATTCATTCTCCAAACGTCGAATCCTTCAAACCATACTATTTTTCCTTGAATCCTGTTAATCACACTTGGAATCCGTGGTTTCGAGAGTTTTGGCAACAGAAGTTCAAATGTCAGCTAATGGTACCAAAAGACGACACATTGACACCGGTTTGTACTGGAAAGGAGAATCTGACCACCAATTATGAACAGGTATGACTGAAATTATATGTAGATACTTAAAAGTCGCAGTTTGGTACCTTAAGTCAGAAGTTTTGTACATTTTGTTACCTAAAATAATATTTTTCAACCAAACCTTTAATGGACATATTGTTGTTGCAGGATCCAAAGCTGTCGCAAGTAATAAATTCAGTTCGAGTAGTTGGACTAGCTTTGAAAGCTCTACATCGAGATAAATGTAAAAGCTACAACACCAGTATTTGTCCTGAAATGGAGTCCATCAATGGTACTCTACTATTCCAATACATGATGAATGTCACATATACAGATCGCTTCGAACAAGACATATCTTTTGATGCTAATGGCGATCCTCCTGCTTGGTATGTCAAACTAAAATGTCATTTTTTTGGCATTAAGCTAATATTACTTTTCCAAATTTAATTATTATCTCGCTCACATAATGCTGTGCCTCCTAACATCAAAATTTTCTTTGAGAGGGGGCCGAGAATTATTTGAACAACCTAAAAATTCTAAAAAATACTTTTACATAGGAAATTCAACCAATACTTTAAGGTATGACATATTGAACTACGTCGGCCGAAAAGGCTTCCGATTAGCCGGTCATTTCCGCCAAAACAGAACTGGTCAACACTTCCTGGCGATGACAAAAGAACCCATCATGTTTTACGACAAAACCTCGAAAATGCCAGAAAGTGTGTGCAGTAAGCCTTGTCGAGTGGGACAACGAGTAAGTACCTTCCTTTACATTCATTCTGTGTTTAGCAACGGAAAACGACCGCTTGTTGTTGGATCTGCGAGGCTTGTTCCGAGAACCAAGTGGTCAACTACACCTCGAACTTGTGCGAAGATTGTCCGTTAGGCTATTGGCCTAATGAAAAGAGGACTAGTAAGTCATATTGTTTTAGTTTGAGGATTATTGATGTTTTAAGGTCTAAAAGCAACATTTTTCTCCATTTTTTGCTATTTTTACTTAAGTAAAAGTTTTATTTCAAACTGGTGCACTTTCATTTTTAAAATATCTGAATAAGCTTAAGAAGTGTATTTCTTACGCAAATGGTTAAAAAGTTAGGCGTAATTTACAAAAATGTTTGAATTCTTTTGACTCATTACAGGTTTAGCCGCTGAATAAGCAAGTTTAGAGAAATTCGTTGATCTTTCAGCCATTTGATTACCAAAGATCTCAACAAACTCATGATCTAGGCCAGTACAGCTGAAATGCACGCACAGGAACCGAACTTGCGGGCTTTCGCGTAGAAAACAAAACGAATTTCCACTGCGCTATAAAAACACGTTTCTTCTCTTGCTCGCTTTTGATGGGGAATGTATTTGTGTGGGTAGACTACGTTAAGAAGAGGCCTTAAAATCGTTTTTTGTCTAAAAATATTTTTTCAAACAAATTTTATTATTTTACATAGTTTACGACCTGTTTTTTAAGCAAAAAAATTATTTTCAGGCTGTTACGCGTTACCCCATGAACACTACGAAATCACGACATTGTCGTCAATCATTGCCTTGATCATAGCAACAATTGGCATCTTACTGACCCTTTTAACCGTCGTCATCTTCGTGAATCACAATGGAACTCCAGTTGTGAAGTCGACGACAAGAGAGCTGTCGTATATTATTTTAGGTGGAATCATTGCTTGTTATGCTTCGACTTACTTTATATTGGGACGACCGAACCCATTGACGTGTTTTGTCGCCAGAACCTTACCTCCAATTGCATTTGCTGTCATCTACTCGGCTTTACTGACTAAAACCAATCGAATCGCAAGGATTCTGGCGGGATCGAAGAAGCGGATTCTGACCAAGAAGCCTAGGTTTTTGTCCACATTTAGTCAGGTTATCATAACATGGTCTTTGGTATTCATACAATGCGTTATTGTCGCGGTTTCAGCCATGCAGGTGGGATTTTTGGAGCTTTATTGATTTTACGTTATTTTAGGTAATAATTTGAAAATTTCGTAATTTGTAGTGTAACAAGTTATAGTTCAATAGGTAATGATTTTTTTGCTTTAGGAATTCCCTCATGCTGGCTTTGATGAACACTTTATGCCACAAAGAATGGTACTCATATGTGCAGCTTCGAATTTATGGGTAATGGTACCATTTGTGTGGAACTTTGTCCTCATTGTGTTTTGTACTTTATATGCTGTCAAAACACGGAATCTACCTGAAAACTTTAATGAAGCAAAGTTTATTGGTTTTACTATGTAAGTTATGATGTAATACAGTAATTTGGGCGGTCACAACGTGATCACAGTGCTATAAAAAGGTTCAAAAAATACTTTTTAAGTACTGTATTTTGTTAACCATGTTCTTCATTTTTTTCTCTTATTATATTCGTTTACTTACAGGTACTGTACAGTGGTAGTATGGGTAGCCTTTGTTGTGTTATATCTTGGCACAGTCAACAAAGCCTTGACCATGTGTTACACGTTTAGTATATCAGCGACAATAGCTTTAGTTTTGCTATTCTTTCCCAAAGTTTATATTATTTTAATACATCCGGAAAGGAATGTCAGAGCTTCGTATACGACGACAAAGTTAATCAGATGTCATTTTGGCAACTCTCAAGGCACTCAAGATTCCAAACATGCTAGTGCCAAAACACGGCATTCGTCACAAAGCATGTCTATTAGGTGAGTTTGGGTTTTTAAGTAGGTTTTGTTGGTCTTACTGAGAATACATAAAGCATAATTGCTTTTTTTTAAATTATGGCACCAATAGTTAAATACATGATGAATAGCTTTTTAAATATGCCTAAGTAAATTGGGACTGATGCCAGACAAGAGAATGCATAAATATTTCGACTTTCTATCGCATTTCTTTTTGCAATGACCTTTTGTTTTTCGATCGAAATCAAATGAGAAAACGAAAAGGAATTGAAACGTTCCTCGGTAGTATAGTGGTAAGTATCCGCGCCTGTCACGTGCGAGACCCGGGTTCGATTCCCGGCCGGGGAGGAAAGCTTTTTGCTCCTTTTGTTGTAAATTTTTGATTTTTAATTTCGGTTATGATTAAGTATGTTAAGATATAATACAGGTTTGGATTAAAACTAAATAATTTTTTTAGAAAAAAAAAATAAAAATTGCTTTTTCATGCTTAAATGAAGGTCAATATCAATTTTTGTAAAATATACCACTGATTGTTTAAAAACGGGTTCTATCTTACCGAATTTACTTTATAAAACAGTAAACTTCTGATTGATGATTTACTTATGAAAGTAAAATCCACTAAATTTTAGTTCATCACGATACCCAACAAGAACAGCATCGCTTCATATTATGAATCAGTCACCTTCTGGCTCAATGACTAACACAACACCAGCCTTGCCAACCCAATTGAAAGTAGTGGAGTCTGGTACACAAACAGAGCCAAACAGTACCAAATTCATGCGAACCTTTTCAGTGATGCAAAGTAAACGGAGTAAGGCGTTGGACGAAGATGTTCTGAATCTGATCGAATCCTGCAAAAGATATACGGTCAGTTTTGGCACTTTTAATCTTTTTTGATTAGTATGATAATATAATGTAGTAGATATTGACATAAAGTACATTTTGTGAGATTCTTATTTACATTGTTTATATTGCACTTTATGTTAGACGTTACAGTAGCATATTGCTGTAGAACTTGAGTTGGCACAGCAAACCCTTACCAATGTTTCCAAAACTTACGGTTTATCATTTTGATAGTTGATAATTGGTATTTGTTGAGTAATGTTGTGCCTTGCACTTTCACAGTTCGAAACATGATAAAATATTTGGGAAAACATGCTGTTTCGACAATTTCTTTTTGCACTCTATTCAAAAGTCATGGTTATAAGTGCGAGATAGCCTCGATTCGAACATGTCATAGTTGGTTTATACATTTTGCTGATTGGGAGGTTCTTAATGTAGATATCTAATAGTCTTATATAAGATAGATATCTACTAGTCGTATGGTTAATATATTAGGAAGGTAACAACAGTTTTCGGTTTGATTTGTACTGTAAAATTATGATGTTCTTACTGTAACGCTTTATATAAAACATTACTGTAGCCTCTTATGTACAACTTTACCCTAGAAAAGAAGTTTTTGTACTGCAACACTGAATATCTTTACCTTAACCTAATTGATTTTTTGATAACTTTACCGTAACCCTCTTCCCCTATTCTTTCGTATGTTGTGTCGATTTTAGCGTCAGCGTGCATCGTTCGTAGCTACGTTATCACCGAGGGATCTGGTCGATCTAGAGCCGTCCACATCGGCACGATGGAGATCTTTGTCGCCGAGAAGAGACGAGTAGGTACTTCAAGTGGATATTGTTGTCCTTTGTATTGTACTGGCTTTAGTATGTTGTTATAAGGGCTGAACCGCTTTTTTATACCTAATGTAACGTGTTTTTGGTTAAATTTTTGGTTTTCCTTTGGCAAGTCTGTAAAAGTCGTGGATGTATAGTTGTTTTCAGGTGTTTTGCCTTGATTAAAAGCATTGATATTGAGGATAATCTTGGTCATTATAATTTTGTCGCAAAAGAAACTTGTAGAAGCAGCTTGTTTTGCTAAATTTCATCTTATATTACACTCATTTCCTTTAATTTTGCACTTTTAAGTTCACATTCTTGGTTTTTTTGGCAGTTATTTTACTTTTTTTTAAACTTTTTTTTGGCATTTTTCATTGGTTTGAGCATATTTTAATTTCCAACCTACCACAGCATGACCCATCTTATACTCTAAAAGACTCTTACAGGACGAACGAGTGAGCAATGCCAACGTCCAGAACCTGTTGTTGGAGGAGGAGGTGGAGGAAGAGGAGGCCGAGAGTTCGTTGGGTACGATCGAGAAAGGGATGAGAGCCGTGCTACAGACTGTGTCACGACCGTCACTCGACTCCAGAAGTGCGTCGATTGGGCAGAATCGCGATTCGCCCAAGATGAGTATGCTTCGACCACAAAGTGCTGCTGCTGGTACTCTCAGGCATCGACATGCTAGCACGCCGAAGCCTTCGATCTGCTCGGAGATACTGTCAGAGCATAGTGAAGATAATACTGTGTCTTCGGCTCAGGTGCTCTTTGGCGACAATCAGTTCGAACAGGTTGGTTTTGATTCACCTATATTTAAAGATATTTTATGTTAGCGATGGTATAGATTGTTCATATAATTCCGTGCTCTTTTTGAAAGAAAAGTTTTAAGGTTAGGGGGCACAGTATTATTTTAACAACTTAATATTACAATTTCGAATATTTTTGTCGTTTTTAAGCAGGAGAAGCTTTGTTAAAGAACGACAAGACTTTTTATATAAATTATACTATACTGACTTTTATATACATTTATATATATTACACTAGTCATTTTCACGAAAATCTAGTAATTATCTGCCCCAATTTCTAAATGTAGCGTTATTGCAACCCTAGGTATCAAGATTTGTTTAGCTGACCCTAAACTTCACGCCGTACCAGGCACGGTGACTTCGCTTTTCCTCATTGTTTTTATCAAACTCGAAACAATACTGATTAGTCTTGTTTTTATAAACACGATTTGAATACAGATAATGGGCATGAAAAGGGTGGCAACCAAACCTGACAAGTCCTATATAAATGGCAAAGTTACAATTTGGGAAAGTTGGGTTTAGGGAGGTTATAGTAACTTTTAGTATTGGAAGTTGTTGTGAAAATATTGTTAATAGTAGCTTATTTAGTAGCAGATAGTAGCTAAAAATGTTTGTTGTAATATTTAATAAGCAGTAGTTGGCAGAGTATAGCATTCTTAGTAATAGCGAGTAATAGTAGTAGTTAGCAGCTTATAATGGCAGCCAAGGTTAACAAGGAAAGTGCTCGACTTGCCCGCTCTGATTGACTTCAAACTTTTTATATAGAAAATGCATGTAAATATAAGACTTTTAGACAAAGTACTAAATCACGCTTTCCAGTAAACCTCGAGAAAATCGAGATCAAAAAATTACGTTTTGAATTTTCCGCTAAATTGGCATTGTGTTTCAAGCTTATAACTTTGTCATTTTTTGACTTTTAGGAATTTTTTCGGTATACTAGTAGAACACTTTTAAATTCGTAAGCGTAGCTTGACTGGAACATCAAAAAAGGGCTTGCAACACAATGCCAAATTTGCCAAACTGGCGGTAACTTTACATATTTTTATTTTTAAACCCAAAAACGTGAGCTAAAATTTTTAATGGGTACTATTGGTGATACAAAGAATTCGTATAAAAATTTTGAGCTGATTCTGAGTGGGCCAGGCTGGGTACTTTCCTTGTTAATTTGGCACTATGTTTCTAAAACTTACCGTATTTCTCAGCGAGGCAGGTATTTTCCTTGAAAGTAAAAAAATGGAGAAAATTTTTAAAAATTGATATTTGGTCTACAAATTTAAGATTTTGCAAAAAGGTTCAGTTTTGGAATGTAATTTTTTATTGGAAAAGTGTTATCACCTAACTTATCGTAAAACCTTTATCAGCGTTCGTCTTCTTTAATGGCGAAACAATGGGCGGTCAGAATGAATACAATACTATATACAGGGTGGTCAGTCAGAATGGTTTATACTTATAGCTTGTACTTATAGGCTGTATATCTTACTTTGTATAGATATTATTGTAGGTTTTATTGACTTGGGAGAGGAAATGATATTAAAATATCAAAAACGGCCAAATTTGTGATTGATTACTGTAATTTTATGCAAATTTAGATCTTTTTCTTTTACTTATAAATCTACTTTTAGCTTCTCCGAAGCCGCGGCGTCCAACCAGTCCAGCTAAGCAACGCGACTCAACTCTAGTCTCCATTTCAACCTCCTCCACCTACCTCCATGAACTCCTACCCCGACCTCCAACCCTTCAACTACCCTCAGGCAGCCTTCTTTCACTCATCGTATTACACCAACCCGACCTCAACTCAAGCCAACGAACTTCAGCTGTCAGATGAGGTACCGTCTCCATCCTACAGTATCTATTCGCCGTCGAGTTCGAGTAGCACGGACTCGGTGAAGCCGAAAGAAAGCAAGATTCTGGGACTGTCGGAACAAGAATTGGCACGGTTGTCAGTGCGACAGCTGAATCAGAAACTTCAGGTAGGCTTTGTAGGGTATTGGTGAGGTTTTGGTTACAAATTATGGTGTAATTACTGTAAATTGTTGTTACAGTATCCCTGTTTGCATGCCGAATTATTACAGCAAGTTGACTATGACAATGTTTTATATTAAGGTGTTAAGCTTTTCGTTTCAGGGCCTAGATCGTGACACCGTGTCCATGGTGAAGCAGAAGCGTCGCACGTTGAAGAATCGTGGCTACGCTTTGAACTGTCGCGTTCGTCGGATTCGGAATCAGCTACAATTGGAAGCGGACAATGTTTTGTTGCGAGAGAAGTGTCGCCAGCTGGAATGGGCTGTGCAAGAACTACGACAACGTTTGGCCTTCTACGAGAATCGACCGGTCGAAAACAAACAGATGCTACAACAACTGAACGTTCACAGCAATGCGTGGGCAGGCAGTCAGTAACTGCTCATCGTTACTATAATTTATGATTAAAGCAATGTTAATATATTGTTCACCATGTTTTTTATCATGGTTTACCACGCTCTATATTGTTTACCATCCTCTATATATTATTTACCATGCCCAATATTTTAAACATTTTACTCTCTAATCACTTCATTTACAATCTTAACTACTATCTTACACCATTTTCTATGTTAATCACTAAATTTTGCATGTTATCATATGTTAATCAACTGACTGTTCTCATCTTTGTTTTTAGTCTAGTCTAACCACAATTCCTGCCACCGGTTTCTGTTATCATCTTCATCCTATTTCCTTTGTGATATGTTGTATAAATAATATAATAAAACCCAGGGATAAACGGGCCTCGTTTTAATAAACTTTTACAGACCTTTTATCGAGTTTTGTTGTTTTAGGTAACAATTTTGACAGATTTTTGTGGTTTTCTAAACTAATGTGACTTGGAAGGTTATTGTGCTTCCATTCTTAGAAGAATAAATTAACTATAAAGTCAAAATATACCGATTTAACATAGTAAAACAATGTGATTTCTGTCATAAAGAACACTGAAGCTAATAACCGTAGACGTGACATGTGTATTATTGTAACTCTTTCAACCTCATAGTTAATTTTTGTTTTTAAGTTGATTTTTTATTATTATGTTACAGTAAATAGGCTTATCAGTGGTCTTTAGATTACGGAATTTGACGTAGCGTTCTAAAAGGAAATAATTGAGCTGGTACGGCCTGGCACGCTGCTCCTTCCTTATCAGTGAGTGCAAAGAAGAAACTTTTGTTCTCTACTCTTGCAAGAATTATATGTCATGATTAATAAAACATAAATATTAATATAAACTGAAAATAAATAATATTAAAATTTAAAAAGTTACCTTGCTCATCTCAAAATATCTCGCAATCATAATTGAAAAAACAGGACAATTCAATTAAACTTAAAAACATTTACCTTTTTTAATGTCTAAGGTTTTCTATTTACTCTTTAATCCTCTGGAATAAGGCAATGCATTGCAATGTTATTCTATGTAATTGAAAGACTGCATATAACTCGGTTTTTTGCGCGAAAATTCCGTTCAAACTAATTTTCTTTTTATTTTTTTTGCGAATTTTGCTTTGTAAAGAAGATAGTTTACAATTTTCGTTGAATATCAATTTTAGGTAAGAATTTACTTTAAAAATTTCACTTTGAATTATATATGTGTATATGCTAGTTTTAAATTTCAGATATGGACTATTGCGAGCTGCTCAATGAAAATATCTGTGGGATAGGACAAAAACTACATGAACTGGACATTCCTCATGAACTTCACTATTTTGATGAGACAAATGAATCTGTTCAGGTTTGTAATTTTATTGTTTGGTTTTAAGTTTTAGGTACATCATTAGTCGAAAGAGACGTTTTGACTTATAATAAGAGTAAAGATGCCAGTAGCTATCTAAAACAATCTTTGTGAATGCCGGCAAATTTTTATTATGCTTTGAAGGGTAACTTTTACTTAAATAAGCATTATAACATCGGTATGACATGAAACCTACCTTTTATTTTTAGTTAATCACTTCCTTCTGCCAAGAAACCCAACGATACCTTTCGATGTTTCATGAAAAGCTCTCGGATATCATTCTGAAGCCGACTATGGAACTGCAACGGCTTCCAGGATACAAGTCGTACCTTTTAAAGACTTTCACAGACTTTTGTGACGCGATAGAGGTCATCAGATGCGTGCTGGTTAAGGAATCAACGGACAAAAGCTATCTCTTGTTACATGTAGCGGTTTATATGAGAAAGTTGGCCGACTTCTTGGCCGATTACTGCTGGACAAAAGCGCCGCTGAGGTCGCTGGGAAGCTTTGGAAGCTCGGTGAGGTTTTATTTTATAGTTTATTTGGTTTTTAGGTATGAAAAATGACGTAGGAGAAATTTAAAAATGTGAAAATAAGGTGCTACTTGTGTAAAAATTTGCTTTATCATTTAGGAGTCGTTATTTTAGGTAAACTTTATTGGTTTAAAGTTAATTTTTAGGTAATAAATAACTGTTTTCAGATAAAATTTCACATTTTGATAAGAGTTTGGCTACTGATCATTGAAGTGATTCAAGTGTTTGGAGCCTTTGCATCGGATGAAGAGATTGAAAAGGTGTGCCAGCTGGACCATCGAGCTCCATTCTACCCGATAAGTGGCCTGTTTGCTACATTTTTGGTTCAATTTGCACCTTCACATGGGGTAAGTTTATAAAACTTGGAGTAGGACTTGTTTTAAGAAATTTACTGTAGAAGGTGGATTTGAGTTAGTTTTATTAGAAAATGTTAGTGATAAAGTTTAAAATGTTTGACAGTTTTGAGGGTTTTGAAGCAAATTAAAGGCAGAATACGAATTTTAGGTAATAAAATTATATTTTACAGAAATCAGCCTTTTCATGTGAATGTATACGAAAAGCTTGGACCAGATTAGCCAATTTGAATGACCAAATGTTTGTTGATGGCTTACTGGTTGACTTGATGGATACATACGCGGATGACATGTGTTTTCCTCAAAGCTTGGACTTACCTATGGTACAACAATTCTTGGAGACTAAAACTGAAGTGGTGGCTCGAAGTTTGACTTCAGTCATATGTGAAGTTGTTCCTAATACGACATTTGGAAGGTATGATCCGAATATACCGGTGGAACAGAGAGTTCGTATGTTTGTGAAGGTAGGTGTAGGCAATGATAATATTTTTTTAGTTTTTTTTTTGAATTTTTGAACGCATTGTTGGGTTTTTTTGTAAAGATGTATGTTCAGGTCAATGATACTTTATGTTAGATGTTTTTTACATTGTATGTTTGTATGACGTTTCGACAGTTCTAATACGTACTATAAAATACGACCTTTCACTACTTTAAGTCATAAAAATTTTATTTTTCAGACGTTTACCCATTTAATCGAAGTAATAAAAAAGAAGAATGACTTCGCTGAAGACTTTGAATCAACTGAACTTTTCATAGGATGGGCACTCTTTTCTTGGCACCGAATGCTAACTCAGTACAACAATATAGAGCAATTCGTGGACTCTAATATTGTATTGGAAGCTTTTTTCAACGAGCTAATCAAGGAGAATAGTTCTGAAATTGGTACTGTTGATGTGGTGGGTTTGTTACTAACATGCGATTGGCAATATTTATGTGTCTTCTTATATTATTGTGTATACTGTGAACAGAAACTGCCATTGTTTTGATGTTTCTTATAACGAGAAGTTTTTGTTTCAACAGCTACGACTAATTATAAGTGATTTAAAGAATGCAGCGTGGACTAACTATGGTTTATATAATATTACATTTTCAGGACCCACTACCGAGCTCATTTGTCGATTTTCCAGCTTACTTTGAGCAGATGTCGTATTTATACAATGAGTACGACAACTTTTTACGGCATAAATGGCAGCTCTTTGTTAAAATCACATTGATTTTGTTTAAAAGTAAGCCGTTTTTATTGAGTTTATTACTTAATTTTGATGTTTTGTCTTGATTTTTTTACTTTTGTTAATCCCATGTTAGTGTGTACTCAAGAAGGTTGCCAAAACTGTGTTATAAAACTGATTTTTTGCTTTTAGATTCAATGGTATGGACTGACAGTCAAGCCTTCATCATAAACAAGTTCACATCGCTACAATTGGCTAGGAAAATGGACGAAACCAACACGAATAGACTATTCTCGCTGTGGTCATGTCATGCCAAATCAACTGATTACGAGACGATAACACAATTTATAGAGAAACGAGAACAGATGGCAACTCACGGCACGGCCCAGAAACAGCAAATCTACATAAACTCGCTGATCTACTTGTTCATCTTGGGATCGGAGAAGGAGTTGGGGGTTACTGTACTCAAAAAGGCTTTGCAATGTAAGATCAAGGTTTTGAAGGAAAATAGATGTTTTAACATTTTATTCTTTTATTTGGCTGTTTTTTGCTAAATTTGACGTATTTTCAGTGGTAAAAGAATACGCTCCATCACGCCCCATCTTCAGGACAACACTCATTGAATTGCTAGTCTACGCAGCGACTGAAATGGCTGACCATCCGACTAGTACAGACATATTCCAACTGGCCGATCAAGTATCGAAGCACTTCAACGATCTTGAAATAGAAAAACTGATTGAAAAGCTTCGAGACGCTCACAAATGTCCTGGATTCTTGACGAATGAAGTTAAGAAGAGGTGGACACCTTCTGGAGACAAGGCATATATTGCACTGGAGTTCATGTTGACACAGGTAAGGGATTGACATCTTTTGTGTACTACTTATTTTTGAATTTTAAATTTTCCTTGAGGCTCTTTTAGATTAAAAACGATATATCACCACCATCAAGGTCGAAGCGTCTAGATCAACTGTTGAATGAAGCCACAAACGGAATCCGAGTGTACCCATTGATTCATACTGCCAAAATACTAAAAACTCAGTTCGAAGAGCTGAAACAGAACAACATTCAAGATGCTATTCCAAGAGCAAACTTGGTCAAAGCATATCTGTTGGTGATATTGGATAAGCAAAGTGATCAAGGTGAGCTTTGAGGGAATATTTATTGGCTTTAGGTAACTATAAAGGAAATATCTTACAACATTCTTGTTTGAAATCGTTCTTAATTGCTATTTTTAAAGGTTTTGTCATCATATTGAATTGTCCGAATATGAATGAGCCAAAATGTTCAAAGTTTGGCGTTTTGAATGGCTCATCCATATTAGGACAACCTATTAATATTGTTATTGGGCTTTTTTGGATTGTTAAATTTGAAAAATATATTGTTCATGAATTTATGGTTCTTATTTGGTCAAAAAAGTGTTTTGAAATGGGTTATGTTAAGATTTTTAATTTAAGATTAAAAAATGTTGATTATAGTTTATTTATTGCCTGATTAAAAAGATGTTGTTTTAGAGTTAGACGACCTCGTTCTGGAGTATTTTGAGCCTATTATCAGCAAGTTCGGAGTAGATTTGAGAGAATTAGAGGCAAATGAAGGTGACCTGAAGAGCTTTGTTTTGATTTTAAAGGTAAGTGATATGTTTTTTTTGAAATTTTCGAAGTTTTTAATAAAATTAGGATTTAAAACAACTAAATATAATTTAAAGATGTAAAACAATGTAAATCCTTTATTTTTACAGGCATATGCCAAAATCTACGACCTCCAGAAGGCATGGGCCGAGAAACGTATAGATGAAGTGTTATCATGCCAGTTCATCCAACAGATTATGAAGGTTCACAGGCAATTCAAGTCGGACACCATCAACAACATGATCTTGAACATCTTTGGTGTCATTTTCAAACAAATTGGCACCATTTTAACCATTAAATTGGAGCAGAAAATCATGGGATTGTCATCAATACCTATATACAACATGGTCGACTTCGGCGTTAAAATTGTGAGTTTTAGTTTTGGATTAATTGGAGCTTAATAGAAAAATGGCAAGAATTTTCTTTCCAAAACAAGAAGTAACACTTCCTGTATAAATATAAAACATGCTTTCAGTTAGAATCCTCTACCATGACATCAAGCCTAACAACAGCTGCGCTAAACTTCCTAGAAGCATATTTGGGTATACCAAGGATAATATCACTATTGCCAGCTCGCCTAACAGCCTCATTGGCAACGAGATGTGACAAAATATTGGAAAAGGAACAGAAATGTGTATTGGCCGATCTTCTTCAACCCTATTTGGGCTTTAATCAACTTGATGAACAACTCAAAAGGACGTTGAGTGAGGATCTCAAAGACATGTTACTGTTTTAATCTATTCCCACAACTTTGTACCGTGTATTGTCAAATGTATATGAGATGTATTGTTACGGTATATAAACGGTGAGGTCTGTAGATTGACATTATGAGGTATATATAATAAGGGCTGTAAATCTTAATGTAAATACTGTAAAATGTAATAAATGATAGCTACAAAAGTATGAAGTAATCATTTTTCAATACCTTTTTTAGTAATACCATCAAATCTATAACTTTATTTCAATCGTCAACCACTATGTCGCTGCCCTTCTGACTACGAGAATAATAGGCTTATGAGACACACTCTCGGTAACATGACTAGAAGTTCGAAACATTGTGGCACGAATCTGTCTGTTACAGTAGATCAACACCCATCCAGCGACAAATGGGTCCAGGTCGTCGATAAATGGGTATATAGTAAAGGTCCAGGCTTCTACCGACTTGTGATTCATAGAGACGTAGCCCATTATCTAAAACATGGTATGGCATACCACGATAATAAAAAAATAAAACTTACATCGTATCCAGCCCACAATAAGTGTGACACCATGTCAGCAACACATAATATTGTCATTGTACTCCACTGCTTTTCCTTTGTCGCACTCTCCCATCTCCACCTCAATGCCAATGCCGTACACACATTCAATACAAAACATACCACCAGAAAGGTCAGGTCAATGATGGGAGTAAGAACCCGAGGATGTATCCATATCATCGACTCTACTATTACCTTCATGTCCTCGCTGTATACAGTAACAAAGTCATTTGTATCCAGAATATAGGAAGATTTGGTGAACAAGAACCCATAATGTGCTAACAAAGGCAGTATCAAGCATACCGCGTAAATAATTTTGACGTGATCCGCCCACCACTAAAACAGTATACCGTAAGAATAAGATTTGCAAACAAAGCATATGTTTAGGTATCAAAATAGAAAGAAATTCACATTTTTTGGTTGAAAAAACGGAATTTTGTAACACCTGGCGTTCACAACTTCTTAGACTTGAACTGTAAAGTTTAAAAAGGAACCTGACGTTTCACTAATACTAACCATAAGTTCTGGTTAACTAACTAAACTAACAAGAAAGTTTTCAACTTAGAAGCAATAACTTACAGGTACAAACACCACAAACACAAAGAAAGGCAAACAAGAAGCAAAACAACAAAATGCTTTACAAGGTTTAAACATATAAGAATATTGAGCGTTCTGTAACTCGTTAGCCAAGGCCATTTAGCAGTTTTTAAAAACACTTTTCTCCGCAACTTTTTATGCTCTTTCATCCTATGTAGGTGTATTTTAAAAGCCGAGGGATATATTGTGTAATTCTCTAATGAAAGATAACGTACCACAGAATGTTTTACGCCTCTGGTAATTGAGCTCAATCTGTTCAATGCCAAAAAGGCTGTTCCACACAGTGTGACCATGCCACAATAATTTATCGAAAATTCCAAAAAAGACAAGCTCCATGTGAAAATGTCCAGATATTGTTCTGGTGCGAGAAATAACGAAGCATAATATGGAAAATTGTAAGAAATATGCATTGAAATCCATACTAATGTGTACTGTAACATCAATTTTAAAAAAATCACGCAAACAGTCAAAAATTTACAAATAAAATAAAATCAACAAGCCCAATAAACTAAAAAACACTTACAAATGTCATGTTCATCCTGAGAATCTTGAAGAAAACGGAAGAAAAGTCCTTCTGGTTCGTCCACAATATACACGTTACCCATACCTGCACCAAAAACAACGGAAATATGTAAAAATACCGCAGTAAAATCAACGGACTAGTAAAGACCAACATTTAGACAATATTTATTTACTTTTGTCACTTTTACTTAAAACACCCCCTACTTAAATGTCTCACATTGTTATAGGTACTTGAACTTGCACCGACAGGTGTGAATTCATGATACGACATGTTTAAATATGCCATGGCATGTCACAGCTGTCCGAAAATGTAAAAAGCATACAAAATTTGAAAAAAAGATTTCGCCGCTTTTTACTTATACTACCTAATATATTCATTGTAATAGTCCTACTGTAATAAAATTATGTTGAATATCATGCAAAAGTATATAATACTATCTTTTACAACGTACAATATGTGGTTTTAAAAAAATGTCAGATTATAGTCGACTAAAGTAATAAATTACTATTATATTTTCTTCGTTTATTTTGTGAATTGTTCCTTTTTCATCGTATAAAAAGTCGCTATTTTGGCTTACATTGTTTTCGTGTCGGGACCAATTCAATTAGCAAACGTAAAAAATATTTCAGCATCAAAAACCTGGGCGTTTAAGCGAATAAACCTAATTTATCTTATTGTTATTCTATAGTACATTCAAAAATGGCTGACGAAGACGATTATGAGGGAGGATATGCTGATAACGACGATATGATGGAGGACGAGCCAATAGAAGACGTCGATCTGGAAGGAAACGATGAAGATCCTAATGTACAGTTGATTGAGGTAAGTCTTTAGCTATTTTCTTGGATTTTTAGATTTTACTTATGTTGTAGAAGAATGTTTTCATTACTTTGTAGAGATCTTTGTTGTAATAGGCTTGTTTTGTTGTGTTAGGTCAACTTTTTGTTGTTTAAAGCCTGTTTTTGTTTTGAAAGCGTTTTGGCCATCTTTACTCATATTGTTTACGTTTTGTTAACTTGTAAACAATTTCAGCCTACTCAAAGGGTTGCAATCGAAAGCTCTATGAGAGTAACAACACAGTTCATGACGAAATACGAAAGAGCAAGGATATTGGGCACACGAGCCTTGCAGATCGCTATGGGGGCACCTGTAATGGTGGAATTGGAAGGAGAAACAGATCCTTTGGAGGTGGCTAGGAAAGAGTTGAAGGAGAAAAAGATCCCTATCATAATTCGACGATATTTGCCTGATGGGTCATTTGAGGATTGGGGAGTGGAGGAGCTAATTGTTATGGATCATTAATATTACTTGTTATCATCTTTGTTATCTTTTTAATAAATGCGGATCTCTTTAAATGTTATTAGGTTTAAAATTATATGATTAATATAGAGACAAGTAAGGTTTGTCACCTGGTATCTATTAAAAATGATAAAAGGTCGAGTTTTCTATATATTTTTGATTTTCAATTTCGGATAAATTAACAAAATAAAGTTTAGAATCTGGCATTTTTGATACTCAGAAGACTTTTCACGTCAACCATGGCAAAATTGGATTCTGTAGCGAACGTTGATATTGATCCAAAAGGAACGTTCAAGTACATCTTGATTAAAGTAAATTCAAAGTTTCTATCTCATATCTTTAAGTTTAGGTGACTGATCCTTCTTCTAAGAAGAACAAGGTGATTGTCAGAGGCTATGGCGATTGTGGATTCCACGGTGACATTCTGGACAAAGTAGAATCTAATCAGATTCAAGGCTTATCAGCTGATTGTTTGGGAGGCGGTCGAATCAAGCACGATGCTGATGGCAAGTCCATAAAGGTATATGGTTATTCACAAGGATATGGCCAAGCCGATCACAAGATTGCTGTTGATATGTTGAAGCAAAAGTATCCGGACTACGATGTTACTTCTTCTAATGACGGATATTAATTATTGAAGTTAACATAGTATGTATTATTACATTATTTAACAGTAATGGGTTATCCTGGTGGTGATTTACTATAATCTATGATAAAATTGTGATTGTTATGATCATATAGAATAGAATTCTTGATTCTACCTCTGGTTTTTGACGTGTCGTCTATTTGATAATGTAGATTTTCATGTTTTAATTTGTAACAAAAGTACTGGCTCTTTTGGAATGAATTACGCCATTCTTTTTGCATCAAATTTATATTTTTGAAACGAAAATTATTATTTTTTATTTATTCTGTGAATATATAGTTTAATTATACTGAATTTTTAAATATTGACATAAATAAATTGACTTCTAGCTGCTTTTGGGTATTCTTTTGTGGTTACTGACCAGTTACTTTGAAATTTCATGTATTAAGATGCTGTTTTTGATAATTTTAACATGTTGCTTTGCTAGTGTATGATGAGAGCTTGTGTTAGACCGTTCGGTCTGAGGTTCAGCAGTTCTGAAGTCGGGGCTAACATCCATGAAGTCACAACATCTGCTTTTAATGTTAAAACTAGTGTGAAGGCACAGATGAAGCTGACTGAACGTTTAGGTATGGTTTATCGGTTATTTCTCTTGATTTAACCAAACATTTATGGATATTTTGATATACATTTTGTCAAGCTAAAGGTCTTTTTAAAGCTCACAACATGTTAATGGAGTTATAATTTTTAAAGCAGTTTTTTTGTGGTAAATTTGATATTATTGTAGATGTACCAGCAAAGAAAGCGCAAAGGCTATACAGTTTGCCAAAGGAAGCAATCAATGGGTTGTACAAAGCCATACAGAATGTGGAGAAAGAGCCCAGGGTACTACAACATGATTCAGATCAGGTGGGGCTTTTAAGTAAGGTCAATGAATAAATGGCAGAAGCTGATAGTTTTAATTATTGAAGGGTTTTTAAAAGCTATAATTTTGAAAAAAATAAGTAGTTTCTCATGATTTATTATATTTCTTCTAGTTTTAGTTGACTCAGAAGATAATTCATCGCAAAATGCCAGCAGATCCAGAAGAAGTGAGGTTGGCGAGGAAAAATGACAATATTAGGGCTTATAAATGGAAACCGACTGTCTTCAAGACACGAGATGAGGGGTCTGGCTACGCTTTGTCACGGTATGTTGTAACATATGATGCGGTTGTTTCTAGTTCTTTTGTTTATAATTAGTCTATTATGATATATAAAGCATATTGATGTTATAAGCAACGACATGGTTTTATGATAAGAAAGGGTTTCAGATTATCCTCAAATTATGCTGAAGCCAAGTTTGTGCTCGATCAATTGGATTCGGATAGCTTTACTCCAGAGTCAATACTGGATTACGGAAGTGGAGTAGGAGGTGTATTCTGGGCAGCCAGAGAGAAGTGGGACGAATCTTTGAAGGATTACTGTGCGGTCGATCCGAATACTACGGCCAATCATCTGGCTATGGATATTATGAGGGTAGGCGCACATTTCTTTTTACTCTATAAAGCGACTACTGTATAATTTTACATTAATGTAGTTTTATATAAATCTATATATCTGTTTTCACTTTCAATTTTTTTATATTGGGGAGTTCAAATAGTTATGTGCCCCTTCTTAATGCAAATGTAAAGGGTTATGTGACACATAATTATTTGAACAAGCTAATATATAAGATTTCAATTTTCTTATATGAACTTTGAACTTTCAGAAAGACGACAACAAGTTAATATCGCCGTACGTCAGTTTCCGTCGCTCCATTATACCATCAACGAAACAGAAGTACGATATTGTAGTAGCTCAGCGTGTTCTTCCAGAAGTACCGTCTTTCAAATCGAGAATCGACTTGATCTCACTGTTGTGGTCAAGAACCAACAAGTATCTGGTACTGATCGAATCTAGTCTTTTGGACAGTTTCACTGCTTTAATGGAGATGAGGGACTTTCTACTGTTATCTGGGTACAGATTCAACAAGGATAATGTAAAACAACAGCTGGAGAGAGAGGGAAAGCTGACTCAAGACGTGCTTGATGTACTGAACGATCGAAGGGCGACTATTTTTGAAAAGTACAAGCTTCTGAAGAACAAGGTCGGTTAATGTACCCTGTGGCTCCGAAATTTTTTTTAGAGGGCGCAGAATTATTTGAAAAATCTATTGAAGATAAAAGAAGATAACGTTTAGGTAGAAAGGAGGAACGGACCGGGCCTGAAAAATGGGCTTAGCCCGCAGTGACGTCGCTACGATTTTTTCTCTGGGGGGCGGGGGGCACCAAGAACCACCCCCCCTCCCCTTCTCCCAAACGACATCCCTGTTGGTCCGTTCCTCATGTCTATGTTTAGGTATCTTATGTTCTATGTAAATTTATGTCTGTTTATTAAATCATGTTTTCAGATCAACATAACAACAGAGATAGACCCAGGGTACTTGTTTGCACCATGTCCACATGACTCAGGCTGTCCTCATACTACCAGCAATGGATATAGGTATGCGTGTGGAACAAAATTGGTTAAACTTTTCAAAATTTGAATTTTTTAGCATAATGTTGTTATAGTTAAACCATCTTATATTACAGTGAAGCCTGTGCGTTTCAAGCCAAGATACCTGAACTTAGACTTGACGGTAAATCAAAGAGTATTTACACTGACAGAACGTTGAGGGCCAAGTTTACCTATATGATATTCAAGAAAGGAGAGAGAGAAGTGGGACAGAAGGTGTTACCTAGGATTGTCAAGGTACGTTTGTTAATAATAGTTTTATGTTACGGAAGCTTTGATAGTTTTCAAGATAGAATTGACACTTTTTAAGGTAGCTGTGTTACCATTAAGTGTTTGGAAGTAACAATGACAACGCTTAGTAGGTGTTATGAAGTAGTTGTTAAAGCAATTTTGGTCTAACGTTCATGTTTGGATAGTTACAGTACTAACAAGTGTGTTAATACAAATTCATTTGATATGATGTATGTAATAGTGTAAAATAAAGTTATTTTACATTGTATTACATGTTTAAGTTATGTTTCTTTGTATTACATGTTTTGTAGGTGAATAACTGTGGAAATCATCAACAATGCGATGTTTGTACAGCTTTTAACGGACTACAACGGTTTACAGTAAGCAAAAGGCTTGGCCATTCTTATAACAGAATACGATCGTGCAAGGAAGGACAGTTATTACCGTACAATGTAAGTATTGTACTATATTTTTAAAAAAAAGTTGATGATTAGATAGGTTTTGTTTAAGTTTTCTTGGGACTATTTTTGGGCCCTTCATCCCTTCTAAAAGTCAGTTTCGGAGTTAAGGGGCACTGGATTATTTAAACAACTTGATGTGTAGAGTTTAAATGCTTATTGAACTACATATGGCAATACGATAATACAATACTATTGTTTCAGGAAGAGATACTAAAGGCAGAGGATGAGAATGTAGACATGATCAACCAGATTTACAATCAAGAGAAGGCACAGTTCAGTAATTGATGGTCCTTTACCTTCTACAGCTCTAGGGGGATTGGAAAATGCTTTCAATTTACAGTTAGGTTTGTTGTTAATTGTTTTTTGTTAATAAATGTAACACTTGAGACTAGGAGAAAGCTTTTTGAGATTTTTTTGAACTTGTTATGTGTACTAGAGGTAAGGTGATGTAGGGTAGGACAAGAATAGGTAGTCTTACTTTACATCACTTATATTGTAAGGTAGGTTATTTTCGACTAAGACGTAGTTACTATGGTAAAGTGATTTGTTTAAAATGTTTTTTAATTGTTTTTGTCACAGAGAGCGCAGGTGCTGTTGGGAATGCCCTTACTTTGCTTCATAAATACCTTTATAACCTAAGGGGTTCGGTTTAAATAACTCAAGTTTGTACAATTTAAATATTTGAATTTCCTCATGTTATTATTGATATCACTACAAAACCCGTTTTTACATAATGTTATATACAAAAACCGTGTGTACATAATGTTATAATGGTCGGTTTTGTATCTTATGCGAAAGAAGACCCTTGAACAACGTAATTCTTAAGAATGTAGTTCTTTGCCAATCTCGTGTTGCTAAAACGCGAATACAACACTTTATTGTATCACAGTTGTCACACTCCTGTTAATTATGGGTGTCGAAATGAAATGCTTCCGTTCCGAGTAAGAGGAAACTTGAAATTGTTGGTCAAACCCTCTTCATGCCTTTGTTTCACATAGGTATGCATAGATAAGTTTGAAAGTTTATTCTCTTTTCAACTCAAGATATATATTATAATTTGAAACGTGAGAGGGGGGGGAGGGGGATGATGAGGATTGAATGAACACTTTCAATCAATTGTTGCAGTTCCTAATTGGGCCGAGTTGATTCTGTTTCTCGAGCTACCAAGTCGGGTGGGGTCACACTTGCGGACAAACCCTTGCGGACAGACAGTTGCGGACAATATTTCAGTGTCCGCAAAAGTTTGAAAAAATGACAGATGCGGACACACAATGTCCGCACCTGTCCTTCACGGTCGCATTTGCGGACAGACACTTGCGGACACTATTCCCCTGTCCGCAAAAAACATAAAGAATGACACTTGCGGACACCAGAAGTCTTGTCGCTGTCCGCAAGTGTCGGAGATACAGACATTTGCGGACATTGCACTGCATATACTATCCTACCCTATCCAGCACTACCCTATCCTACTGTACCGTACCGTTCCCTACCCTACCGTACCCTAGCCCTACCTATCCAGCCCTCCCTACCGTACCTTACCCTACCGTACCCTAGCCCTATCTATCCAGCCCTACCGTATCCTATCCTACTGTACCGTGCCGTACCCTACCCTTCCTACCCTACCGTACCCTCCCTACCCTACCTTTCCTACCGTACCGTACCCTATCCTATATAGTAACTACTATGGATTTGGTAATGTATATGTAAACTCTTAATATTACTGTAACTAAACTTAAAAAATGTTTTTTTTAATTTGATTTTTTTATAAAATTTTTATGGTTGAAAAAATAGTGTATTTTTCGAAAATCGTGGACTAATTCTAAAACTTTAAAACGTTTTTATATGCATTTCGACTTGAAAACTCCAAATCTGAAAACCGTTTTGTTCTATTTTTACTCAAGAAGCCGCAAAATGCGATGCCTATTTTTGAAAAGTTTGAAGTAATTTGGATAAGCAGTTTTTAAGTTACAATTTTAGGTTTAAAAAAGAGGTCGAATTCTATAGGAAAGCGATTTGGGCTTGTAAAAAAATAGTAATTTTGGTAAAAGTTACTTATACAATACAAAATTGAATGCCTCTTCAAAACTACAAAATAGCAAATAAAACTTGTAACTTTAAAATTACTAATCCAAATTACTTCAAACTTTCCGGCATTGTAAAATCTGAAACAAAAACACCATTTTTTAAAATTTTTACTATAGTTATCATGCGTATATACGTAGTTACTACGGTATCTTTTGATTTTACATGCAGTAATCTTGTTAACAGTTAATAAAATTTTATCAAAATTTAAAGTTAAGGTACTTATACGATATAAAAACCAATAAAACTAACAGTTAAACAAAATTTCGTCTAAAATTTAAATTCCCGTCAAATTGGCGTATCTTGGCATTGCGTTTTGCGGCTTTTTGATTAAAAATAGAACAAAACGGTTTTCAGATTTGGAGTTTTCAAGTCGAAATGCATATAAAAACGTTTTAAAGTTTTAGAATTAGTCCACGATTTTCGAAAAATACACTATTTTTTCAACCATAAAAAGTTTATAAAAAAATCAAATTAAAAAAAACATTTTTTAAGTTTAGTTACAGTAATATTAAGAGTTTACATATATATTACCAAATCCATAGTAGTTACTATATATCTTCACCAAGTGTACATACTTAATAAACACTTTGTTGGTTCCCAAGAAATGTAAATCACTCGGATAGGGTATAGGGCTAGGGTACGGTAGGGTAAGGTACGGTGGGGAGGGCTGGATAGGTAGGGCTAGGGTACGGTAGGGTAGGAAGGGTAGGGTACGGCACGGTACAGTAGGAAGAGTAGGGTAGGGTACGGTACGATACGGTACGGTAGGAAAGGTAGGGTAGGGAGGGTACGGTAGGATAGGAAGGGTAGGGTACGGTACGGACAGTAGGATAGGGTAGGGTAGGACACGGTAGGGTACGAAGGGTAGCGTACGGAACGGTACGGACAGTAGGATAGGGTAGGGTAAGGCGCGGTAGGGTAGGGTAGGAAGAGTAGGGTACAGAACGGTACCGTAGGGTAGGAAAGGTAGGGTAGGGAGGATACGGTAGGATAGGAAGGGTAGGGTAGGATAGGGTAGGGTAGGATAGGGTAGGGTAGGGGTGGGGTAGGGTAGGGTAGGGTAGGGTAGGGTAGGATAGGGTAGGGTAGGGTAGGGTAGGGTAGGGTAGGGTACGGAACGGTACGGTACAGTAGGATAGGGTAGTGGTGGATAGGGTAGGGTAGTATATTTGTTTTTTTTGCAGTGCAGTGTCCTTTTTTTTGCAGTGCTTGCTTTTTTTTTTTATGCAGTGCAGTGTCCGCAAATGTCTGTATCTCCGACACTTGCGGACAGCGACAAGACTTCTGGTGTCCGCAAGTGTCTGTCCGCAAATGCGACCGTGAAGGACAGATGCGGACATTGTGTGCCCGCATCTGTCATTTTTTCAAACTTTTGCGGACACTGAAATATTGTCCGCAACTGTCTGTCCGCAAAGGTTTGTCCGCAAAAGTCGCACCGCCACCAAGTCGTGATGAGGTGCTCGTCAAGACTTCAAGCTGTAGTTGGAAGCCTGTGTAAGTCAAGCAACAGATTTGCCATAGCTTTGTGTCTAAGCATTCCTGATTAGGAGCTCCTCAAGAATTGCATAGACAAGTAGTAATTAAACATGAATAAACTAATTAAAGACTGTTTACAACTACATAGTCATTACATAGTAGTGCTTTTTGTGCTCATTTTTGTTTGCGTTAGGCGAGGGTAGTTGACCAACGTGTTACAGTACACTTTTGACTATCTAAGGTTTCAAATAGAGCGGCTGGGGCTCAGAAGGTTGTAGACCAATGAAACATCGGATTCTGATTAAAAATTTATAAAAATGGTTAATGATAAGTTTATGGGGGCTATGGCAAATTGGTTGCTTGGCTTACAAAGGCTTCCGACTATGGTCTGAAGTCTTTGGGAGCACCTCATTACCACTCGGTAGCTCGAGAAACAGGATCACCTGGATGGGACCTGCTTGGGAATAGAATGAATTGCTCTGATGATCTTTACCAAACCTTTATCATTCTTCCTTACGTCTCAAATTTACATATATTGCGTTGAAAAAAGGAATAATTTTTAAATTTAGTTACTGATGGTTAATTTATATCATTTTTCAAATAGCACTCGTCTTGCTTGATCTTCTTCTTTCATTGCTTTTTTTATTTGTATAAAATGTTGAGCTAGCTAGAGGCTGATTTACTCTGATTTTATTTTTTTGAATTTTATTTTTACGCACTTTTTTGTACTTTTCTAACGATTTGGGAACTTCTGCTCATAAGTTTCAAAATGAGGACTATTACTATATCATTTTTTAATCTGTTCAAAATTTTGAGGTAGCTTCTAGTTTTTTAGATATTGGCTTGGCAGGGTAAATTTTACAGATTAGTTTCAGTACCGACCAATCGTCATCTGCCAATTTTTAACCCATGTATAGGCTTTATCTTAATTGGTCATCTTTAATGGCCTACTTTTTAGTTTTGTTATTACGTTTAAGTTTCTTATTGTACTGTTGTAAACATTTACTATTGTACTGTCGTAAAACATATCATTTATTGCAGATTTAAAAAATGCTAGCTTATGCGATCTTCTTGTACGTAACAGAAATGCTGTTGAATACGTTTGCTCTGGTGGTGCATATAATGTTTTTGTTCATTTTGTCAAAGACAAAGTTGTTTTTGAACAGTCAGAGGTATTACATAGGGAATGTCATCTTGGCCAATATTGTTACTATCGTATTTCGGTGAGTAAATTGGTTTATGAAGTTATTAGGTTGTTCAAATAGCACAGGGACTCTTGACACAAAAAATTGTTTTGAGAGAGGCACCGAATTATTTGAACGACCTAATATTTCTGGAAGTTGGAGGGGGGTTAGATAGTAACAGTGGTTTTGATAAAGGAGCAAAGGCTGGGTAAGGTCTTGTTAGTTCATAATATTGTTTCAGCTATCCTCAGTTAGTCCAAATACTAGCAGAACAACCACTGTATTCAGATGAACTGAACACTGTAATAACAGAAGTTCACAATTTGGCTGACAGTGCTGTCACCAACATGTTGGCACAGATAACCATATTTGTAGATGTAACTGTTGTCATTATGGGTAGAGATGAAACCGCCTTATCTGTAGCAATAGTTTTATGTGTTTTAATGGTAAGTGCTAAATACTATGATGAATCTTTACATTTAAGTCTAATAAAACTTGACCAAGTTACGATATAAGAATTACTGTATTTTTTGTATATAAACACTACAGTATTTTCTTTTCAGTGGGCTGTAGGATACTATATCTATACGGTATATAACTCTATGTTTGAAGTCTTGGAAGTTCTCAATTTGATTTGTTGGTTCACCTTCTTTGGACTGATCTACATTGGTCGGACCAAGTATCGACAGCTTACTAATGGTAATGTCAACAACAAATACAAAGTAAGGAAGTACTGTGTTAAAAAAAGTAATTTATTATGAAAGTACTGTATTAAGACAGTACTGTATTTCTTCATTTCAAAACTAGGCACATACCAGAGTTCCACAGTTTTTTAAATTAGGCTGATAATAAGACGATTGAAATGTACTTTTATAAAATGTAAATTGTAGCTGAGTGTATGCCTTCGTACCTTGGCGGTACTCAAAGTAATGGCAGTTTGTAGTGCGATAAAGAACTTTGTTTGCATCAACGACATTCTAGTACTAAATGCTTTCATACGACCGTAGTAAGTGTACCTATCAGGTTGTTCAATTAATTCTGTGCCTCTTGTCAATAATTTTTTTTTGGATTAGGAGCACAAAATTATTTGAACAACTTCAACTTATTAAAAAACATAATTAAAATTTCCAGTATATTTGAAAGAGTACATAATATAGAGAAAAGTATATACATATTTGAAATTTACATTAACAAAAGTATGATATCATTTAATATGTTATCAGAAAAAATTTGCAGTAAAGACGTCTTTGGTGAACAAATCGCTAGTTTTGTCTACGACCTCACACTCTCTGTGTATTCGTCAGTAGTGCCATTTCTAATGATATGGAGCCATGAACAAATGAAGAAAACGTATGGGTGAGAACCTGCTGCGTTATCTATAACAGCGTAGTATTAGTAGCATTAACTCTAGTATAAGTACCGTTGACTTTAATATGATTACTATGACCTATAATATGAGTACTGTTACCTCTACCTTAACAAAACTTGTCTTATAAATCATATATAGCTAATGATGATGACTTTTCAGTAGATTATACTCCACAAATGGACCAAAATTAGAAGTTGTGTCAATCGAAAAGAAGCCGCGATTTGTTGCCAGGAATGTTGTTGGCGATGTGATAACACACCTGAGACCTCAAGAAGAAGAAGCACAGCACTTTGCACATTTGCAAAGCAGTTGGAATACTCTAAGAGTACCAGGACGACCTATTATGGTGCAATAAGATTGATTTATTGCACTATAATATGTAGGTCGATATAACTATACTAGATCTATGTCATCATAATAGGTCGATGTCACCATACTAGGTCGATACCATCATAATAGGTCGATATGTTTGAATTTCTTGTTATATTGGGTTGTTCAATTAATTCTGTGCTTTTTAACCCCGAAATTTTTTTGAGCGGGAGCTCAGAATTATTTGAAGAACTTAATAATTGGCTTTAATGCTGACATTTTGTATTTATGTTGTTATTTTTTGTATTAGGCTTATAAAAATTTGCATATTTTTTGAAAAAATGTCAAGTATGTTCCAAAATTTAGTCAGTTTTTTTATACAAAATAGTCATTTTAATTTATACATAACGTTGACCAAAGGTAAGATCTACTCGGCGCTGTTCAGCACTGTATAACCGTTGAAATCCACAGGGTTTTCGTGCTCTGAAATTACTGTAACTTGAGTTATTTGGTAGTACAATTGAAGATATGATGCAGAGATAACTGAATTTCCTTTTTCGTCAATTAATACGGTCAAAAAGTTGTTAGAAACGGCATTTCCTTATGATTTAAGGGGATTTTTTGGTTTTTTTTTCATTTTTAAATTTTTTATGGTCCAATTAGTATTGAATAGACAGTTAATTTCTGTATGAAATACCATATGGTCTCTAATTTAAATTCTAAAAAAGTTGGACTTGACTTTCTTACCAGAGGTATGTGAGACAGGTTGTAGCACGACCAACGAGGAAGTGTGTCCTTTTGAGTATCCGTACTCTTTTTTGTCGCTATAATTAGATTTTTAGGTGACATTGTAGTTTCACTTGACCATTTATATCATATTACAGTTTTAATTATAGTATTTGCTACAATTTTAAATTTTTCAGCTAATTTTAGGTATTAAAACACCTAAAATAACCTGTTAACGCCTACAATTGCCTTAGTTCAATTTTTTTAAATTTCCATTTGTTAAAGATTAAACTTCAAAAAATTTTAAATGTTTTGATCAAAAGCAGTAAAGGTTATTATGCGTCATTTGGAAGGTTCTCAACTTACCGGTAGTATCTCCAACAAGCGAAAACAATACTAATTAGCCATAGCTGTAATCCGAGCACCGCCACACAAGAACCCACCATAGTCCAGCCCATGTAAACTGAAATACGGACTTTGGGTACTATAGTAATTTGTATTTTAGTTTTTTACAGAGTAATTGCACTATACTGCTTCAGTGATCTTTTTGTGGCCTTTTATGTGATCTCTTTTATTTAAAACAGTACAATACTGTACAGTACTGAAGTTTTAAAAAGAGAAATTTTATTTTATATGATACAGAATTAACCCTAAGATCCATCACAACTCACTCAGATAGCTGTCATTGTCCAGTTTGGGCCCATGTGACTCGATGAAGGTCTTAATCGTGTTCAAGTCGTTGGCTGCCGTTATGTATATCAGAGCGAAGAAGATAACGAAGCCCGCTGCTAATCCCACTGTCTAAAATGTTTCGTATATACGTAACACGGCTATTTAGGTATGTTTGGAGACAAACATAGTTGTTATTCAAGAAATGGAAGTGAGATTAGGGTTATATTTGGAACAACGTGACATGACATAAACATGATTAATATAGTTGGGAGAAACAAGTGTAACGGATTGATAAACATCTTAAATAACACAAAATAAAATGTCAGAGTATAATGTAGCGAGTATTTTTAGAATTTGAAGTATAAATTTGACTTTTCAAATTTTGAAATTCGATTTTTAAAGACTGCAAAGTGCAAAGCTAAAAACTGTAAATTCAAAAGAAAACTTTAAAAAATACAAAAAATTACCTGTAGTAGAAGATACGGCGATAAAAAAGCGGCATTTTCACTTCGTAATGCATAAATGACCGATGCCGTGATAGCTGATCCGACCAACACTTGGAATACTGATGATATGATAACATTACTCGTCTTATCCTCAGTTGAAGCCAAATAAAATATTAAACTCCAGACTTCGAGAATTACTGTAACACACAACAACGCGGCTATAATCTTTACACCAATCTGAAAAAGGGTTATTGAGTATATTGATGTAAGTATAGGTATGAAGCTATGTGAAGGTACTGTCTTAAATTTTTGATATGCTTTTAAAGAGAATACTCAAGTTAAATATTAATTGTTGCTTTACGTAAATTATACAGAGCAGAGGAGTCGAGGACACAACATTGTTTTGTGTATAATAAATTTGTGCAACCTGCGACTTTTTTTTCGTGCTGCGCCCTAAACCTATTTCTTTTTTATTGATAATTGCTTGCCGTGATAATGCAAAGTTACAGGAAGTTCATTTTAAAAGATACTTTTTTCAGAGTAACTTACTGTGGAATGAAACTGTTGACAACAACATCTGTAGCGACTGTCATTTGGATCAAAGTATATTGTGTTCAACTCAACGTCGGCCAACGATCGGACTGACGACGACCTGACTGATGAGGATTTTGGCATCTAAACAACATATTTGTTTATTCAAAAGTAAGTTTAGGAAGATAGTTTGCGAAATGGCCCGAATTATCGCTGGATCTTAAGACACTGGCAAGACTGTCTATGTTAACATAAGATTATAGATAAAAACGTTATTTGTGTAAATGTAAAGACTTTGTTTTGGGTGGAATAATCATTTACGGATTAAAAAATGTCAAAATATTTCCAGGAAGTGTCATAAAAATTTTAAAAAATTAAAAAATGTTCAAATCTCGTTATTTTGACCGATTTTTCTGATTGTGCGGTCGCGTTATCGACTGTTTTACTAACTAAATCAAGTTTAGTTGGACTCAAATTGGATTCAAACTCAAGCTAATCGACCTCGGATTAATTTCTTGTCTAGCTAACTCGTCTCTTCTGCTAAAACGCCAGTCTAGCCAAATCCAGCTCGTCCAATCTAACATGAGTTCCCCTTCCAAGGATCAGAATGTAAGTTTAGCCGGGCCCCAAGTAAGGTCCCAGGATCGCAAAAAGTCTCCTAGTAATTATAATCGACAATTACAGGCACACCAAGTCAAGGAGGATCGCCAGCGGTCAAAGGAGGATATCGACTCTTGCTTCGACGAGAACAAACGGACCGACCCCAGCTTGAATGTGGTGCAGAAGCTCGAGGAGCACACTCGAACTGGTGGGTTTTAGGTTTATGAATTAGCATTGTTTAAAGCTTTATTGTAGAGACGTTTTGGCAGATCTTCGAAAAGTATTATATTGTAGTAGGCAAATATTATAAAAAAAATTAACAAAACTTTCGAGTTTTGACCTATAATTGTAACATGGTTTACAATAGATAAAATATGACACCATCGCGAAAAGAATATTCAACTTTTAAAATCTATCTGAAATGCAATGTCTAGAAAATAAAGCTTCGAAAAAGTGATGAAGTAGGCGTAAGACACATAAATGTACTATAAATCAGAGTAGTTCTCTAATGCCTTCCTTGTAAGGATTAGGCCTTATTTTATGTCTGGCAAGTTAATAACAAACTTAATTTAATAGGATTTCTGAAAATTGTTTTGAAATGGGAAAGGAATCGAGCTGTAAGATGTCATAGATCGGGCATCGTACTGGGAAACGTGAAACAGTACTATGATTATTTCAAATTTAGTAAAAGTGACATAAGGTTGTGATGCAAGAGATCATGACGTCTTTTAGCCAGAACTGATTTTTTTGAAAGTTTGAAATTTATAAAAAAATTGAAAATATTGGGTTGTTTAAATAATTCTGTGCTCTTTAACCCCGAAAATTTGTTTTGAAAGGGGGCCCAAAATTATTTGAACAAACTAATATTTGATTCTATAAAAACGAATACTCAAACAATCAAAAAGTATTTTAATTTCAAACCCTGATACATTACAATGGCTGTCACAAGCCTATACTAGTTGAAATTGGCAATACTTTATCCTTTAAGTAGCGACAAAAAGGGAAAAAACAATTCGAATGGGCCAAAAGTTAAATCTGGTGGAATCCGAGTACCCAAAAGCAGATACCGGCTTGCACGTGCCGTGTACGTGATGTCAAAAGTGGCTAATTTTGACACAAATAAAGGGAACAGCAACTTAGTGCACTAAAAATGGCACAGATTTGCAGAGAAATGGGCAATTTTTATAGCCTTGGTCATTAAAGTTATTCTAAAATTTGAAAAAAATTATATTCATTAAGGATAATATATATTGATTAGGCATAATACCACGGTTCTTAAAGTATTAACCATGCACATCACGCACCAAAAACAAAAAATCTCAAAAAACCATTAAGAAAAGCTATATTATTCTATTATTTTGACGCCATTTTGGAATCAAATTCAATGGTCGGGCCATGTTCTGTGGCCTAGCTGATAAACAAGACTTTAAATAATTTTAAAAATTTTGGAATAAGGAAGAAATTGAAAAACAAAGGCATATTAAGGTTTTGAATTTAGTTAACGAAGTGTATAATATGGTTTACAATAGAATCGTCTTTAAGCCTGCTACAGAGTCGACACTGTTCGGTTGCTTAAAGCGCAAGAAATGAACCTACAAGGCTATAGTTATGGCTTTTATACCGAGCTGGGCTTATTTTTAGGTGTGGGCAGGTAAATTTTCACCCTTAGGGTTAAAACTTTCAAGTACACGGTCAAGTAGGCCTATATTTAAAAAAATTCATACTCAAGGTATGACAATATAAAAACTTATATAAAAAGAATAATATAAAACAATATTAAGTACAAACTACCATATTATGCCAATATAAAGCAACACATTGCACTACAAAAAACCCACCAACCCCGGAGGCAGTAAAAACAGAAGAGTGGGGTTTGAAGGAGGACTGGCTGATGGGCTAATCTGAGTGATTAAAGGTCTAATTCTGGCTTCCCAATTAATCCCGACGACATTGTAATGGGCGACATTCGAAACTCTTTTTGTAACAAATTAACGAGTATTTTTGCACGAAATCCGATACTAGGCCAGGAAGCATTCTTGGCCAGGAATCTTCCTTGGCTAGCAATTCGAATGTCTTTACAATGATAGTCGTTGAGGAAGGCAACAAGGATCTATAACAATATCAGAGGTGTTCCATTGTAAAATGGCGTTTTACGTTTGATCGAGGAAATAGCTATGTTACAATGCGTTGTAAAGGTGTAAAAATTTGTACTTTGAATTTCAAAACAAATAGGGATAGGAAGTTTAGAAGAGGCTTTGTGAACGAGTCTCCTTGTAAAAAAGGACCCATTCACAAAAAACGTTCTTTTCTTGTAACTGGGCTTTGGTTAAATCTTTTGAATAGTAAAACATGTAACGTTTTACTGTGTAGTAGAATTATATGTAACAGTAATGTAAGAGATCTTGTCAAGGATTACAGAACGTAAAAGGTTGTGACCTTATGAAGGATATATTAGCGTTACTTTACACACCGCACAGTAGGGATATATTAAGATGACTTTAACATTGGGCACGTACTTTACAATGTCTCGAGTTTACAACGAATATGTGTAACATCAAAGAACGAGCAGTATTGTTAATTTTTTGCTATGTTAACATGGATAATATGCCAAAAATGTACTTTTAAAACAACAAAACATAAATATTGTTGTAGCATTGTCAGAATCTTTATAATTAACGTCATTTTCAGCCAAATTTGAGTCTCGTTTCTATAAAAAGCGTTCCTTGGAAGAATCGACCGAGAAGGAGAAACCGAAGCCGGAAAAGAAGATGCTTCTGAAGCCGATATTCTACGATTACAACAAGCACAACCCGGCCAAGAAAGACAGTAAGAAGAGCAGCGGGAAGAGCGATGAGGAGGGATCAGCCGCCGAGCTAGCTAACTTGTCTACTATTGGGTTGGTCGGGTCGCCTACGGTCACGGTATCGCCCAAGGTTACGGTAAGTGGGTGATGGCGTGAAAAGTCATTTTTAAAACGTTAATTTGTAAACTTATATATAAGTCAAAAGATCTTTGGCCGATGTTATAGTTAAAACAGCGGGGTTGCTAAGAGGGATTGTGTCGCTTGAGGCTAAGGTCGTTATTACTAGATTTTGAGAATACAGTAAACCTTATAAAAATTGAAAAAAACGTCAATATTTATCATTTTGAAAAGATAATAGCTGGTGTCAAACATATTTTCGGATACGTATATGTTGTTATGCCAGCCGAGTGTTCACAGTTTTGTAAATAATTAGCCGCTACTTCCAGCTAGCCGAATTCCGTCTTAATTAACAAAAACAAAAGTACATTTATAAGCTTTGGCATATAGTATTTTTGGAAATTTGATGATTACAAAGATTTTTTGAAACAATTTTGAAAATTTAGGTAATAAACTTAAATTTAACACAGTAAGTTGGTGGCACATCAGTAATGTTGAGTTTACTATGAAAAATATTGTTCTACATCTCTAAATGAATCTAATGTTACTTTTTCAGTCGTCAGATACTCGTAAGCGAAAGATAGCATCAAGTCCTGGAGGCACAGCGTCGAAGCGGCCAAGCCAGACTAGCCTAATGGCTTTGAAGAAACGGCCTGGACCGCCTGCAGCAAAGAAACTCAGGTTAATGGCTGCTGGTGAGTATAATATGATACATACGGGTAAAGAATTGGTTTAGCTCGTGCACGTTCATTGTCGGAGAATGCTATGAACATTACTATCAAGTCCGTGATGGCTGGAGCCGAACCCTTGAAAGTGAGAGTCAGCAAAGATGCGACAGTAGCCCAGCTGAGAAGAACCGTGAATCAGAAAATGCAGGGGAAGTCAAAGTTTACACTGTCGTATCAGGGAAAGGAGTTGTCGTAGGTTGACTAATATGTATCTATGCTTGTACTTGTGTGTATTAAAGGTTACGCAAGTTTATATTTTCATTTACAGTAGACCCGTATACTTATGTAGAGTAGACTCATGTGTCGTTTCAGACCAGAAGACAGTTCGCTATCGTCGCACGGTGTAGAAGAAGGAGCCGAGATTCAGATTTACGTCAAATCGAAGACGGGTTCTGTAGACAGGGAAGAGATCGCCAAGTTACTGAGTCTGGGAAAGACCTTGAGTATGTTCAGAGAGATTGTCAACAACATGCCATCTTCTACCGAGGACTTGGAGCCAAAGTCAAGGTTTGTGTCGTATATATTTAAAAAAACTCGCATCTTATTATTGTACTGTAAATGTTGTGTATTGTACTGTAGATGTTGTGTTGTGTAACCTTATTCTAGGTGATGTCTTGTAATGTATAATATTTTTTGCTGAGTAAGGTTGTTTTAACACTAAATTATGTTGCAAATATAATATATTATAATACGGTGGTGACTATACGAAAACAGTTTCAGTGGAAGAGCCGAGCCAAAACCGACTAAACAGTCGTTGGAATCCGAGAATCAGAAGACCAAACGGAAGATGGAGCAATTGATAGTAGGTTTTGTAAAATACGATGTTAGTATATAAAGTATGATGATATTATCTTTTATAAAAGTATTAAATGCAGAGGTTTTTAATTCTTGACTAGTTAACTAATGTTTTAGGAGAAGATGCGCGGCCGTAGAGAAAGAGAGGAATCTGAACATGCGTTGACAAAGAAGTCGAACAAGGTCTTCGGACGTAGATCGGATTCTGATGGTGCTGACGCTGGGTATGGTAGTTTTTATTTTGTTTTTTGGCTTTGGGATGGTATAGTAATTAATAAATTGATATTAATGTTTAAAACCTTAATTTTAATATCTTCAAGTTTAGAAGTGTATACAGTGATGTCGCTGAGACCCACGCAGAGGCTACAGAAATGATCGGAGATCGTTTGACTAGAAAAGAATTGTCATTGTACTATGATCCAATGGAATCGACTGGAATTGCTCAGATCAGAGAGACCATTCTCATGGATGTGGCCACCAACAAAGAGGATATCAGAGCGGTAAAAACATAACAGTTTTTTATTGTAATTTGTATTTTATTGTGTTAGGTTGTCCAAATAATTTAGTGCTCTTCTCAAAGCAACTTTTCGAATTTAGGGGGCACAGAATTAATTGAATAACTTAATATAAAAACTGTAAGGTTTGATTATACGATAGCTATCAGACTTTTGTCGTATTCACAGCATATTGATAACTCTTCAGGTGCGTGAAGAGTTTGCCACCAATCGATGTGCTCTCTGCTACACGAAACTGAAGAAGTTGTCGTTGTGCGCAATGAAGTGTCGTTGCAACAAGGTCTACTGTGCCACTCATCGCAATCCAGATGCTCACAAGTGCTCCGTGGACTTGAAGGAAGTGGACCGGCAAAGGCTTGAGGCCACGACAAAAAGGGCCAAGTCTCCGCCTAAAAAACTCTGAATCTAGGGAAATAAACTGATTTACTGACAAGTGAAAGATATGAATGTTTAATGGTTTATGTTGCCGTAGATCTATTTTTTATTAAAAGTTTGAGATGGGGGTTTCTTTTTATAGGTAACGATTAAATGTTGCTTATATTTAGTATAGAAATATTTTTATCGAGATTTTATGTCGCATCACGCTTTTCAACTCTTATTTATAACCAAAGCCATTAATATTTTGACTTTTTAATTTTTTACGACTTTCCAATGTTTACCCAACACTCGAAAGCCGCTTCTGAAACGCATATTAAACGTTGTTAATGTAACGACTATTAAACCCTTTCCTCTCGGAATTTGAATAATATTATTCATGACGAGCAAACCAGCTCAAACAATAATTTTCGGGTGTTTGTAATGGCACCTTTCGCCGTCCGAAGAAACAGCTTCTGAATCGAACCGGTTTCGTTTGGAAACAAAGCCAGTTAAATGGCCTGTTAATTGGCTGGGAATGGCGGTTAACGTGTTAGATTCATCTTAGATGTTGAAGAAAGATTGGCAGAGGGGTATTGTTCTTGATAATTATTTTGGTACAATTTAATGTATTTGCTTGATAAAAGAACTTTAAAAATTGTAAATAAAATTGAAATGTAGAATTTTAAAGACAAGTATGGCTGGAAATTGCTCAAAATAGGGGTTATTAGGTGGTCTGCGCCCGCTTTTGAAGTCCGGGGTCTAAAGTTAAGACCCAGTTCGTTTTCATGAAACAAATTTTAGGCCTGGCCTAGCGTGTTTTAAAAAATTTTAAAATTTAAAAAATAAAATAAAATTTAGCTTTGCATTGATTTTTTAGATTATTTATTGATTGTGTTACCGAAAAAATAAAAAAAACATTAACAGAAATTAAAATTTAAAAAATTAAAAAATTTCTTAAAATTTTTTTGAATTTTGTTTTATTTTTTAAGCCTGACCCGCGAGCCGTGCCCAACTTTTAGATTCAGCTTGTTTTAACTTTAGGTTAAGACCGGGCTTACGCAGCAAGTTTATTATTCCTAGCTCTAAAGTTCCTTGCAACAGAAAGCCAGCAATGATGAGATATTGGCGAAAAAGCAAATTTTTTCTGTAAATTTTGAAAATGAAAGTTAAAAATCATATTTGTATCTTTAATGTTACCTCAATAAAATTTTCTAGTTTTCTTTATCTAAAAATGAATTGCAACTTTTACAATCAATGTTCAAACATTTAAATTTTGAATAATAACTTAAGCCTTCCGGTCATGTTTCAAAAACATATGTTAAAAAACGGTTGGGGGATGTCGCTGGATTCTGTTACTGTTTCGTCTTGCGAAACCCATAATTTGGAGGGAACGGACCCGCTCATTGACCCAAACGAAGAATACCTGTCTTCTGATCACCGCCCCTCCCCGGATCCAATGGCCCGTTAAGGCATCTGGATGCCGCTTTCTTCACTTTCCTTTCTCAAATCGCTTCGGAAGTCGGCGTAGCATGGGGATAAAGATGCGCGAGATGTTGGGACTGATATGTTTGGCCATGATGATAAGGGTGACAGTGAGCTGCATTCCTTCTGGTAAGTTTTCGTATGTTTGATATAGGTTTTGTAGGTATAGAAGGAGGTTTACCAACTATATATCTGAGTTTACCAAAAGTTTGTTAAGATATAGCTCGGTGAACTTACGTTATATTACTTTAACCTTTGTTTCTAAACTTTTTTTTATAAAAAAACATACTGTGACGTCTCTACCACAAAAAATATACTGTAATTGCACGTTTATTGCAAAAAGCATACTGTAGTTTCTCATTTTGCATAGGATTTTGTCATCTTGTAATAAATACGCTTTAACCCTTCAGGAGTAGGTTGTGGTTGCCCATCATGTCCTCCATGCCCACCTCCTCCAGTGACATGTCAATGTGGTGGCAGTGCGCCAAGTTGTAGCCCTTGCTCTAGCTACAGCAATGATGGTATGTTTTGTAATTGTAATTTTGTTTGATTTTTTGTTTTAAATGTTCAAAATGACACTTTTTATGTAATTAGACGTTATGTCAATTTCTATATAGAAAGATAACGAAATGTCAACTTTTCCAATAACAAATCAACGAAGTGTCACTTTTTCATTTCATTAAACATTTTCAGCCTACCAACAATCACTTCCTCAGCCGTCGTATATAAACTCGCCAGTATCATTGACCAACAATCCTTCTGTTGGCCTGCCAGCATATCCACCCCCACCATCGGTACACCCAAATGAACCTCAATATCAACAATCAACTGATAACAACCAGAGTCCGTCAATTGGATCAGCATACGTTGCTGCTGTGTCTGACAATGGCAATTATCCTAGCGGCAACAACAACTACCCGCAGATACCACCATCGCCTCAGGTGTTTGGAAGTGGAGATACTAGGTAGGTTGGTTTGTTTATGATGGTGGCTATTATTTAAGTATACATATAGTTACATATCGGTATTGTGTTTTTTTTGCTTATCATACTAAATTAAGCTTTTACAGTTCGTATAACCGAGGCTACAACGTGGTAACCTATCAGATCAACAACAACGGCGAAGCTACGTTGGAACAAGCAGTAAGGTACTACAACAAAGAGTCTAGTGAACATATCCAGTTACCTCCACGCGACCCACCAGCTTCAGAGTACAGTAATCCACAAGACTATGCTTATCAGAATACCATAACTTCTGATGTCAACATGAACAACAAGTACAACGAAGATACGAACCGACATTACAATGAAGATACCAAGAGCACACAAACCAATTCTACGATTAGCTACACAGGCTACACTGCTCCACTAACAGGAGCATATACCGGATACACTGCCCAGCCAACAGTCCCAACTACTATAACATACGATGGTAACAATACAGAAGCCAAAGCATATGGATCGGGTACTCACGTAGCTGTGCAGCCATTGTTGCTACTGAACGGGTATCACATGTACGAAGGAGAAGTGTGTGCTGGAGTCACGATGGGACGGTCGGTGGAAGAGAACGCTGACATTGTGGCTGAGAAGTGTGCTTCTATCAACTGTGCCGCTGCCAATCTGAGGCCACTACTGGATGGAAGATACGAAGTCATTTACTTGAAGACTGTCGATTTGAGGAAGGCTTCGAGAAGCTACGATTGTGTCAGTAGTAAGTTATTCATTATCAAGATAAAATGTCATACTGAAACTTGGTTACCAAAATTTACCCTTTCATAACTTCTAAGCTTGTCTATGTTAATATATGATTAACTTGTATAGTCAAGTAGTTAAAAAAAACGATTCAAAACGTAATGAAGATATTGTAGATCGAGATGTGACGGTATTCGAGAAAAGCTTGAAGGAGAAGCGAGAGTTGGAGCGAGAACTTCATCGTCGCAACCGTCTAAATCGTATTAATGGTGCTGCTGGACTGAGAGCACGTCCAACGACTGTAGAACCAAAAGGTCGATATTAAGGTATCTTGAGTTACAGTTATCATTATACCAAGGTTCTTTTGAAATTTCGCCAATATTTTTATTATTAGATTGTTTCAAAAAGAATGGCCGATTTTAACCTTGATTTGTCCGCTAAAATCGGTCATTCTTTTTGAAACAGCTTAATATATTTTAGTGACGTTTACTGTTTCATTCAATTCAATATATATTGTATTAGTAATAGTAATTTATAACATTATATTAGGTTGTTCAAATAATTATGCGCCCGTTTCAAAGCAAATCTTTGGAGTTAGGGGGCGCAGCATTATTTCAACAACTAAATATTTAATCAAAAGCTATGTTAACCATGCCTTTCGTATTACAAATACATCGTCTTTCCCTCAAAATATAAGCCTTCAAATTAAAAAAGTTTATCATACATATATTTTGTTCTAAAGTGAAATAAATTTATTTGCTACCGTGGTTATTGTGTGATGATTCTACCGTGTATTCAAAGGTCACTACCATTACTGTCATCGTCATCGACTTCCGAGTTGGCTTCGCTGTAAATCTTCTGACGAAGCTTGGCGAACGTAGCGCCATTGTCTTTTTTACGGAACTGAGCGTATATCAAGGTGTCGTACTGAAATTAATGTGTGATTGTTTGGTAGGTATTATATGAGCGTTTAAGTAAGTACTGTACGAGTATTTGAGTAACTATTATGTTGATTTGGACTGACTTGTTCAAGTACTTCTGTACCATCTCTCAGAGCAAATTTGCAGGGTTAAACGGTACAGAATTACTTGTACAACTAATATAAGAGTTTTTTTTATATTGGGGGCGCAGAATTAAGTGAACGAATTAATAGATAGCTTAGTGTTCCTAAGTATGTCAACAATACACCTACCCCGACATGCATGTACTGTAAACTGGTCCTCTCGTAGCCTGGAATGTTTTCTTGCCACAATCTGTTCTGTACCATCTTACCGTGACGGCTCTGTTCGTTTGAGAACAATGTCAACATAAATGAGTTCGGCCTGCAAATATTGTCATCAAAATACGAATTTACTCTACTGTAATTGACATACAGACACAAAGATTTATAATACAAAAATCTGCAAAAAAGTACTATTTTTAATACGAAACAAATTAAAAGCTTATCAAAATCCCATATTATCATAACCAAATCACTCAACCTTTACATAACAGAAGAAAGCTTACTTGAAGGTATCCAGAACCTTGAGAGTCTGCTTATACAGACAATTTCCTCTCTGATTAGTCTCAAAACTGACAAAACAAAAGTCAGGTTCAGGAGTGACGTGTACTGTAACATATTGCTCGGTATCCTTCACAAGTCCATTCATACTGTAACCAACCGGCTCGAACAGTTCTTCATGAATTTCGGTACCAAACGGTACCAATTGAGAAATTCCTGACTTCTTGGTGCATTCCTTGCCATTGTCACAATTCAATTTACTGAATGTCTTGAGGACATCGTCAGGAACCTCGGTCATCAGAACCTCGAGAGTGTGGTCGGCGTGTGAGGGTGGAGCTTGACGCTTGGACTTGGTGAAGAGGTACCAACGGTCAGTGTTTAGTGGTCCCATACAGTACGCTGAGCCACCTGGAAGAAGATAAGGTTATATATTAAACATTAAAGTTTTAATTTTGCAAACTCAATATGTGGCATTTCGTTCACTTACTATCGAATTTCTTTGTTTCTTAACGTTTTTCATAAATAGTAGTGTCCTACTTACAAAAAACATATAAAGTTTAAAGATCCTAATATAAATTTATGCTCCAAAACTTCTTTTTAAAGACAAAAAAAATCCCCCCCCCCCTCTTTCATATCAATTATATTACTCACCCGGAAAGTATCTGCTAAGCACAGCAACCTCATGTTCGAAGCTGTGATGTGGTTCTGGCTGTAAATGTGGCTTCAAAAAGTTTTTCCTCGAGTAATATACATCTTCAACCTCTCTCATTCCAGCATATTTTCTAGCCAGACTAAGGATACAAGGTATTGCGGCTAGAAGACGTGTCGCTCCACAAGTTTTCAGAATCAGGCGAGTGTCTGACACAAACAGACTGCTCTCACTGTAAACATAATGTACATTACAGTCATGGCTATTAGTTTTAAAATGTTTTGGTGTTTATTTCAAGGTAAAGGCATAGAACGTTAACCTTACTATATCTAAAACAATATTTTAGTGAAAAGCGTACAATTTCGTATAAACTTTGATCTTTTTGCGTTGTAAAATACGGCAAAAATCGTTCGAAACAAAATAAGTTTCTAAATAATGAAAAATATTGTACAGAAAGACCTGTTTTTATACTGTAAGCCACTGAAGTTCACGTGTTTGATAACAGGTTCAAACATTGGCCCTTTATCAATTTGCTAGCCCTTTTATCAGTCAAAATGCAATTTAAATTTTAAAATTTGTTTTGCCAGTTCCGGTATTTTAATTTTGAGCAAAAAACTCGATTTTCCAAAGGATATCTCAAAGAGGCCATCAAAACTTTCTTTGGCTTCAGAAGTTCTGAAGCCTACGCTACTGGCATCAAAAAGCTTTAAACACGTTGGAATAACTTTTCTAATGCTGATCATAATTTTTCGCTTAATAATTACTTATTGTTGTTGCTCAAAAAAAATTTTTTGAAGTGCAATTTAGTAGCTCATTATTTTTTGAACAACCTAACTTTTAAAATTTTCAAAAAAATCCAAAATTTAAAATCCAACCTCCTTACCTCAAAACATAAGAATCCAGATGCTGGTTCGAAGTGTGATGTAGAATGTGACATTGCGCGACCTCCAGCATTCCCACAATCTCATCTCTTGGAATGTCTTTCAACGAAGTGGCATTAGGCTCGTCTTCCTTCCGAAACCAAAGCTCCAGAAGCTTCTCCGCGCCTTCGAAGAAGTAGTCCGCGTCCTTCAGGTCGGCCATCTCAACCTCTTTTTGGTTCATTTTACAATTGACGTTTAGTGTAGGTGAAGGTTGAGGGAACGCTAAGGAGGTCGGCAATAGTGGACTAGGATCAGTGGCTCAGCTCCCATACAAACTCTCTGAAATGTTTTAAATTTATGGATGAAATTAGGATTTACATTAATGTAAAGATACGTATAGAGGTATAAAAAGTGACATCTGTTCAGAAAATTTTTAACAGAACTAAAAACACAGTATCCTCACACTTACTGTAGTCCGTTGGTCCACTCGTTGCCCGAGGTGAACCAGGTCTCCGGACGGCTGAACGTCGGCTAGCGAAGAAAAAAGTGGACTGGAATTGATCCAGCTAATGTTGAATGACTGGAAATTGACTGAAATGCAAATATCAACTGATAACAACAACTGTCCATTCAAAGTACCACCGATAACGACGCCAATTAACTCTGCCTAATTGGTGTTCGTGAGTCATAAGTAATGTCTGGGAGAGGAGGTCAGACGATATGTGACGTTTTATTCAAAAATAAGTCGTTTTACAATTTCAAATAACCCAAGAAAATATAATGTTTTCACAAAAAATTAATTTAAAAACTTTCCCAGGTTTGTTATCAAAACATGCCAATTATAATATAATCAACCTTCTCAAGCTGTTAGTCTGATAACAATTTATGGCTTCTAATGCGTCTTTCATAACAGCTTAAAAGAACAGTGTGAGATAGGATTAAGTGGCTCAAATGCCATTCATCTCATACACGTCTAAAGCAACGTAAAACTTGTACGATATTAACATTAGATTTTAAAAGTTTTTTAAACGGGGCTTTATTAACAACTTTAAACAAAGCAAAGTATAGTGTTACAGTAATTATCAACCCGTTTCAAATTTACCTCAAGACCGGCCCTATGGTAAGACCGGGTCGGGCCTACACAGCCCTTTTCTCACCCCTAACCACTACTAACTCCTCCCCCTAGTGCCAGACTTTCCACATGTCTATAACTTAAATTACTACAGTAAAACCAGTAGTAAAGTAAACCAAATTTTACCAGATAGCTTAAAATTTTCAATTTTAAAAACATAAAAATCAACCCAAAATTTTCAAAATTGATCTTTATGTTTTAAACCGAGTAATACCTGTCCCATTACCCTTGAAACGACCAATTACAACCCCAGAATGATGAAGACAGATAGTCTAACCTCAATCCAAAATATAATAAATGTGTGCATGAGATCAGAAGAGAACACCACAGCTGTTTTTGATGTCAATCACGGAACGGTTCAGAACGGAACAACATATACATCAAAAAGCGTCAAGCGAGCACGTATGTCTACTCAAACAAAGTTTGAACATCTTTTACAGAGTAAAATAATATTGTACAATAAAGCAAACAGAGTAGAATAAAATAAAGTAAAATGGAAATAAACGTAATTTACTTTTAAAATTTTTTAAACTTTAAGTCGCTATAGCATTACCTTTTATAAAGATATTATAAAAACTTTTCGTTTATATACCTTGATTTTCCTAAAGCTCGCAGCTACTTTATCTCGTAGTTAATAAAATTTACACCATTTGAACTTTAAAAAAAGCAAGAAAACTTCATTTTGCCTTTTTTGTAAATCTAAATTTTAAAGTTTAAAGAATAGCTAATAAAGTCCCAGAAGTTCAAGAGTCAAAACCTCCTTAATCCCTCAAACTTCTACAATAATATTGTTTGTTTGTAAAGCGTTCGAACGTCACCGCCTTAAGGAAAAAGGAAGAACATCCGTTCGAAAACAGCCGTCTGCTTTCCGAAGGGTTTAAGAGCACATACAAATAGAGTACGAAGGGACTTGACGTAAGCCTATAATTGTTTCTACAAACAGTTCTGCACAATAACATAGCAAGACGGGTCAGTCTTAAGCGCTCAAGTTTTGTATTCTTAGAGGGATACTGTAGTTTTGTAAAGGGGTACTGTAGGTTTGAAAGTAAAAGCTTACATTTTAAACTAAAATCCTCTCTAAATAACAAAAGTTAGTTTTTTCAAAACCACTTGGTATACAAACTACATATTACTTCGTTCAAATCATTCTGTGCCCTCTAACTTAACTTTAAAAATTTTCTTTAAGAGGGGGCCCTGAATTATTTGAACAACCTAAAAGTATAATAAAAAAACAAGATCTTCTACTATGTATAACAAAACTTAATCAAAGCCCCTCAAAAAGTGATATAACCGAGCGGAATAGCCCTACTTCCTAATCTCATACACCCAAAGATGCCGTTCCCATGAGAATGTAAAAAGCGACACGAACATATACACATACTATAACAAAAAATATCTGTGCTTTCTTCAATTTACTTCCTATGCTATTGGCATTGTAAGTATATTGATGTATAAATAGAGTTTCCAAGTCTATTGGTTTTTGAAAGTGAAACCATCTCGAATAGATATAAGATACGAAGTGGCATATAACGTTTAAAAATTTAGAAAAAATACAAAATAAAGCGATATTGAGCGGTCAAAACTGATAAGCCAAAAGTTGATAACCGTTCAAAGTTTTACGGAAGTGCCCATTAGCTTTGTTTACATTCAATAATGTCATAGACAGACTTACTCTACTCTTTGACTGAGATATCAGTTTTGATACCTAAAATATATAAAATAAGCTTTTTCATACCTATAATATATAAAATAAGCTGTAAATTAAAATTTTTAAGTTATAAAAACTAGACTTTATAAATACTTTTAGTTACATTACGTGCAGTGGCTTTCAAAATAGTACTGTACTGAATTAACCATACAATACTAAGTCTTCGCATACAATAACAAGTATTTATCGCACGAAAACCATACGTACTAATGTCATGTTAAACCCCCATGTAACACCACAATAAAAAAGCATTTTATGAATTCAGAAGCACTTTTCAACAAGTTTCCTGAAGCGTACTTCGAACAACAAAGCAATCTTTCCACGGAACAGATATGGACTTTCGGGAGAACGTTCTGGAACGGAACGGCCAAAAGGTCCGAATTCCGTTACCCAGGTTGAACAAAGGCTTCGAAGTCAAAAATGATTTTGTTTACAAGAAAAATTATTTTCAACTTTTTTAGTTTTTACAGTTAATATCAGTGAGACCTATTCGCAAAGAGACCTATACTCCGGGGGCCTATTCGCCCGCAACGAAGTGTCATATATATAATAAAAGATAGAACGTGGGATATTTTACGACAATAAACTACAATAACAAGTTTTTCATTTCTCAAATTATTTTTTTACTTTTACGTATTTTGTGTTACTGCAACATAATTGTTTACTGTAGATTATGCTTTCTGTTTAAGGTTTTTAAACAGTAAAAAAAGATAAACTTAACAAATTAAAGATTTATTTACAGATAACAAGACTTTCTTAATGGTTTTTCATATAACATCAAACAACTTGAACATTTTATCAACAATAACAATAAATATCCAGAAAACGCGTCATCTAAATTCCTAATTGTAACTCCAAAACTTTAATTTGACAACAAATTTATATTGAAATTAACATTTTATTAATCTTTAAAATTAATTTTTATTATTTTAATCTGTCACGACGACTTCTTTTCTGAAAATCGAAAAATATTTTGAAAAAAATAAATTTTATTTTCCTTCGGAATTTCTAGTGTTTTGAAGAAAAACACGTAAATAATGCGGCTCAAACTGTTGGTTAAAGCCTTGGGAGTATCTGCAACAGCTTTATCAACATCAGGGTAAGGTTAATTTATTGTTTATTCTGTATTTAGGACTTTAGTGCCATAGCATGGTACCAACGTGGCGCTTTTATGCCAGAATACGAAATACTGGACCCTTGTGATGCTGTTTACAACATAAACAACAGTGTAAATCTGCAAAGATCAATAAGAGCATTGGAAGCGATGGCAGACATTAGTCCGGGCACGGTGGAACAGTGTTTGGCTGGACTAGATAGGATCGGATGGGCTGGATTGGCTTATCACAAGTCGCCGTTGTTTTATCACTATCAGGAGAAGCAGAAGGCTTCTGATGAGAGGGAGACGTTTGCTTCGCTTATGAAGAAGGTGATTACTGTATCAGGGTTACTGTAATTTGGGGTATAGATTGAGCTTGACAAAAACTGGAGCAAAGCGTTACGGTGGTTCTTCTCAAATGTGTGTGCTGAAGATGATCTGATTTGCCATGATAATCAAGAGCCAGAGCGATCGGCCAGGAGTCAGAGGAAGCGTGTTCATAAATGCCTTCAGGTTTTACTTTATTTGACAGAGGTAAGAGATTTTTTGAAAGGATTTTACATTTAAACGTCCATGTAAATGGTTTTAATATTACTTTTTTACAATATTAATGTTGTAGTTTGACGATTGTAAGCCGATGATAGATCAAAATGTTCCCCATATGTTACACAAGCTGTTTGAAGAATACCGTGAAGATGAACATGCAGAGTTAGTCATATTGATGTTCAAAATACTCTCTAACCTTGTTGGATATTCAAAAGAATCTGCTGAGATGATTTTTGATTCAGGTACGTATAATATGTTATTTTATTATTAATTTAGGTAACATTTAATTATTTAATACTGATATAAATTCTGTCATTCTCCAATCGCTTGCAATTAGTGTAACTTTTGTTTTAGAATGGATGAAGACTTTGGGTGAGATGATATTGAGGCCTAAAATGAGGGTAGAGCCATTGTTGGCCAAAAAAGTGCTCAAGAATGGTTGTTATCAGTTAGGAGCGGCGCATTACAAACTTCCAGCCGACATCTACGAGTTTTACTGTTCGGACGATGAACCCAAATTGGATATTGTGTTTGTTCATGGCTTCAGAGGCTCTGTGTTTAGGACCTGGAGGCAGAAGGACCAATTGGGTGGTGGCAAAACTACTCAGTATTGGCCTATGGTAAGTAATTTTTTGATAATATTTGATTAGAAGTTTTGTAATGAGGAGATTCATTAAACTGTACCAAGTAAATGATAAAGAAGTTGAAAAATTTTACTTTATTTTTCAAAAAATATTTTAAATTGTAGGAATGGCTACCTGGGGACATCCAAGCACCAGTACGAATCTTGGCCATAGATTATGCTACCAAGTTTCTCAGGTTCGGCAAAGTCTCAGATAGGATTCAAGATAGATCACAGACATTCCAGCAGTCATTGTCAAGCGTTGGAGTAGGAGACAGACCTATTTTGTTCATTTGTCATAGTATGGGAGGACTCTTGATCAAACAAATGTTGTTGGGTAGGTTTGGAGATTCCTTTATTTTATACTATGGTCGTAAACGTTTATATGTTGAAGATGGCGAGGATCATAAGATATGTCATGTTTGTAACTGTTACTTTCAGATAACCCAGAATTCTTCAAGAAAACAGTAGGCGTAGTGTTCATGGCCACTCCTCATCGTGGAAGTCCTGTAGTAGCCTACATTCATACGATTCTCCGCCCGACAGAAGACATTCGTCTTCTCCGATTGGATAGCGAATACAACAAAGACCTTCATCAGAAGTTTGCCGAAGCTTCTCAGGACATTCCCCTGGTGACGACAATAATCGAAAACAAATTAACCCCGATATTTGGTACCCACAAGACCATTGTGCCAGCTGAGAGCGCTTTCTTTGGAAGAGGGACGGTATATCACGCAGAAGAACATCATCACAATGTCTGCAAACCAGCCAACAGAGAGTCACTTTCGTATTGTGTCATCCTCAACATGATTAGGGATGCTCTTAAGAACTTTATTTGATTTTTAGGTATTGAGAAAAGTAAAAACTTGAATATAAAATTTCAATTGTTAGTGATTTTAAAGATTTAATGTTTGTATAAGTTTCCTCTAATACCTATTCAACTTAACGTGTCAATTGAAGCCCGGTGTCAAAATTAAAGTTGTATAAAGTCTGCTTTTTAAAAAAGTTATTCACCATCTAATATTAATCTTAAATCTATTTTATAAAAATACTAATGAATGTCATCAGATGACATACCAAGTAGCATTTCTACCTCATATTGACGACTTTATGTTAATATGCCATTTGACTACACGAATCTGCAGTTTATTACTAATTTCTATATTATTTGTGCCTATATTGTTCATCTTGAAATGCCATTATAATAAAAGTATGATTTTTTTAAATTATCAAAATTTCGAAAGTTTGATACCCTTTTTAACACTACTCTGACTGGATTTTTAAGAATAAACATAATATTAAAATATTATCCCTTTTATGTAAACTCTGCAAAATTTATAATCAACAACAAACAGTAACAAAACTATTGAATTACAAACCCTATCACATCCTAATTTTTGACCTCTTCAACCTTTTCTTTCGCTTCTTCCTTTTTCTTACTTGCGGCTTCGAACAATTCCGACAAGTTGTCATACGATTCCCCAGATCCACTGCCAGCAATCCTGAATCTGTCTCCAAACGAGCTCCTGACCTTCTTTCCGAACTGACTAGGTGTGTTCACGTCCATCAACGCTGACACTCCTAGTACCACTAACGAAAAGCCAGATACTGTTAACAGAGTCGCGATTCCCAAGGCTCGAGAAGCAAAGCCGACTCCACTCATCAGTTTGGCATTTGATAACTGTTGTGGATCCAATGGTTTCGCCTGGTTGAAAGCTGCTTTAACTCCAAGGCCAAAGAAGCCGGCTGTCGTGAAGAAACAAACTAAACACATAGAATAAGGAATAAAGCAACTTACTTGTCCTTATCCTTCCTGGCCACGGAGATTTTGTCGTTTCCGTCGACATCGCTGCCACATCGCCCATATATACCTAGAAAATACATTTAAAACACTGCTAATATACCAATACAAGTTTTATTTCCGAAAACCGCCGTATTAACGCCAAATGTTTTTCCTACCTACAACAACGTAAACCAAACTTTTGAAAAATATAATATTTTAATTTTTTTAAACGTCAACATTATTTTAGCCCATATAAAGTATATAGCACTTAAAACTGTCAGTTTTCAACAAAAAAACGAGATTCCTATTTCCAAAAAATATTTTATTTTAACACATTCCATCGTATAAAGTGTCGTCCGCAGGCCGTTTGCAGCTTTTTTAAATTGGCGCCGCTGTTGTTTACAGTTTTGTTTTTCCTTGAAGAGTACCAATTGAATGGAGAACTTCGGCTTTTTTACTTGTAATACGAGAAACTTAACATTTTGCGCCCTTTACTTTGCAAACTGCTTTATTTTCAGTACATGTCTTATACTTTGACTTATAAATACAAAAACTTAGGGGAAAATGTTGTTTTATCTTTTAGGCACTTTTACGTCACACTCAATTTATGTATTTTCACATATTTTCATTAGCAATATTTAAAGTAGGAGTTATTTGAAAGGTAACATTTATGGCCAGTCTGGGTTCTGACACGAAAGTAAACACGTTTTGGCCTTTTGGGACGCTTGTGCTCTCTTACCTTTTTTTTGTTTTCTTTTCAAGGTCTAACTTGTTTTCCTCTCATAATAATAAGAAATTTATTTTTTTTAATGTAGAATATAGCTTGAAATTTAAAAATTTACTATTATATTGCCAGGATATTTGTCGATTTTTCGTGTTTTAATCTCAGCTAGGCATTAAAAGTGTCAAAGGGATTGAATTAATTAATTTTTTTACTGAAATAGGAGCCTTTAACAGCTGAGGGAAGATATCTAGTCTTGTTTTTGGTTGTTGTTTACCATGAACAAACCGGGTAGCAGTTTATTGTATTATCTTTGTTTTACATTGTTGTTTTTGTAGTTTTATTGATGTTTGAGAGAGAAAATGTTTTAGAATATTTTGTAGTTATAAATAGGCATGTAATTTTTAATCTTGTACGTGAGAAATTTTCTTTCAGAGTAAAATTGAGATATTGACTTAGTTGTCTTGTAACTTTGAAGATTTACTATTTTTTGGCGTGATTTCTTAATATAACGTGTCAATAATGTTAAAGTTCGCTTTCTTATGTTACTTATGCCTTCAGAATGCCAGTTGACATCGAAACCATCCAACCCGGAGACGGCAAGACCTTTCCAGCCAACGGCCAAACAGTATCCTGCCACTACACCCTCACCCTCGAAAATGGCAAGAAGATCGACTCTAGCCGTGACCGAGGAAAGCCATTGGCCTTCAAGATTGGAAAAGGAGAAGTGATCAAGGGATGGGACCAAGGAGTTGCTAAGGTGAGCAATATCTTGTTACTATAATATCGTAAAGTCGATTTTAGTGAATTTTAAAAAATTATGTTAAGAAAGTAACTGTGAATTTTACAAAGCTTTTAATTTTTTTTGCTAAGAATACGAACTTATGATAAGGAATATCCGTTATATATGTTTTCTAACTGAAATTTGTAGTTTTATACAACAATTATTTGCAGATGTCCGTTGGACAAAGAGCCAAGCTGACCATCAGCTCCGATCTTGGCTACGGACCTAATGGAATCCCAGGGACAATCCCACCAAACGCTACATTGATCTTCGACGTTGAATTGGTCAAGGTTCAGTAAATCTTGTTTTTAAATCTTTATTTTTCCCATTTTTGGAAAGTTTTGGTTATGAAAGATGAAATAAACCTTTTTAATTAGTTTATTGCTGTCTATTTTAGGCTAAATTTAACCCTTATGGTTATTAAATGAGAAATCGAAACCTACTGATAATGCATATAAAAAATTATAAGATATATGGATGTGAGATGAGAACTATATCAGGAAAAAGTTGCTGTATCTAAAATATAATATACAGGGTGTCCAAAAAAATTTGAAGGAAAGTACAGGCTTCGTTCTCAAAAACTAAGCGTCTGATTGGCTTGATTCTTTTTTTGTTAGAGAGCCAAATAGCGGGCGGTTTTGGTTTTGTACAATTTTTTACCGATTCGGCGGACGATCGGCGGAGGCATAAAACCTATTGGTTCATACACAAAACTACAAATTTTTGGCTCAAAAATGCTACGATGTCTTCCGTTGGATTTCTATTTTTTTAATTTTCATATTTAGTCTTTGCGTCGGCGGAGAAAGATGACGTGTGGTACCGTTTTGTCGGCGAAGGCCATAACTCGGCTCAAACTCAATAGTTTTTCCTTAAACAAAAACCATTGAAAAAGTCGTTTTAAGGTGCTTAAAATTACGCAATATTGTTAGTTACTAAAAAAAGCTACTAGTTGTTTACATACAAGTGGTACTGATTCGTCGGCGGAGACCATAACTCGGCTCAAGCTTGACCAATTTTCTTCAAACAAAAACCGTCTGCAATGTTTTTTTGAGATGTTTATTGTTACGCAATCTTGTACGCATTACAAAAAGGTACTTATTGTTTGCACACAATTGGTACTGTTTTGTCGGCGGAGGCCATAACGCGGCTCAAAGATGTTCATTTTTCTTCTTGGTTTAAGTTGTTTATTGTTACACGCTAAACGTAAAAATTTTTTTTTTATAAAAAATTTTTTTAATGTTGGGATATTTTGTATAAGTAATGATACCAAACAATTTAAAAAACATGCCAAATGAAATTTTATAAAACTGTTTATTACTGACTGACTAAGGTTTTGGTTTGAAGCAAAATGAACAAGTTTGAGCCGAGTTATGGCCTCAGCCGACAAATAAGTACCACTCTGTATAACCGATCAGTACCTTTTTTTATTTACTAACGAGAATGCGTAACAATACTGTAAACTTCTCAAACCAACAGTTCTAATAATTTTTGTTCGAAGAAAAATGAACATCTTTGAGCCGCGTTATGGCCTCCGCCGACAAAACAGTACCAATTGTGTGCAAACAATAAGTACCTTTTTGTAATGCGTACAAGATTGCGTAACAATAAACATCTCAAAAAAACATTGCAGACGGTTTTTGTTTGAAGAAAATTGGTCAAGTTTGAGCCGAGTTATGGTCTCCGCCGACGAATCAGTATCACTTGTATGTAAACAACTAGTACCTTTTTTTAGTAACTAACAATATTGCGTAATTTTAAGCACCTTAAAACGACTTTTTCAATGGTTTTTGTTTAAGGAAAAAAATATAGAAATTAAAAAACATGAAAAAATATGAAAATTAAAAAAATAGAAACCCAACGGAAGACATCGTAGCATTTTTGAGCCAAAAATTTGTAGTTTTGTGTTTGAACCAATAGGTTTTATGCCTCCGCCGACCCTCCGCGGATCGTCCGCCGAATCAGTAAAAAATTGTACAAAACCAAAACCGCCCGCTATTGGCTCTCTAACAAAAGAAGAATCAAGCCAATCAGATGCTTAGTTTTTGAGAACGAAGCCTGTACTTTCCTTCAAATTTCTCTGGACACCCTGTATATGATGGTTTACACCTTTTAGTGTTACAGTAATTTCTTTGAAACTAATTTCTTTCAAAGTGCTTGGGAGCCGCGTATTGATATTCCATACCGAAGCCTAGATAGAAAAAGAAATATTAAGGTCAAGTCCATGAATTTTCATAAAATTTTGATAGTTTAGGCCAAAGAATATGAGGAGTCAAGTTTGAATAAAACTTTATGCACTTTTGAAATTATTCAATTTTGAAAAGAAGGAAATGATTTTAATCGGTGTTCTCATTTGGTACCAATTTGTGTCGCTGTGAGCAGTCGTATTCTATCCGGCAGTTCTAGGAATGCCACCAAAGAAGAGCAAGGTTGTGGCCAAGAAGCCGGCTGGCAAGCCAAAGGTAATGTGGGTGATGTTTTTGAAACTATTTTGCATTTCTCTGTAATCGAATGTTTTTATAACACTTGCTGAGTCCTTCTTTGTAATTTTGACAACTTAAATGTTTTAGGCAACTAGAGCACGTAAACTTGCAGCCAGCTCCAAAGGTCGGAAGCAAAGTTCTAGAAGCTCCTCTTCTTCGTCGACTTCATCCTCGTCGTTGTCGCCGAACACTCGTGCTAACACCAAAGCCAATTCCTTGACCAAACCGACTCCAAATGACTTGAACCTATCCAGTGATTCGTCTTCCGATGAAGAGCCACGCAGAAGCCGCGACCGTGAATCCAACAAGGGGCGGATGGGATCTGCATCTTCGGCAAGTGTTAGAACAGCCATGTCCAAGTCGAGTGCCGGCCGTACTTCGGATGTCTTCAAAAGCCCATCAAGGTCCAGATCTTCTTCATCTTCTGACACCAAGAGCAAAGGATCTTCATCATCGAGCAGAAGTTCCAGTGCTTCCAGTCAATCGAGTGCAAGTTCTAGTAGTTCAAGCAGCAGTTCCAATGCCGGTAAACGTTCGAACGGTTCTCGCGGCCGCAAAACCAAGAAAGCAGCAAAGCCAGCCAAACGACCAGTCGGAAAACGGAGAGCTCCTTCGGCCAAAGTGCAACGATCCAGATACAGCAGTGCCGCTTCTCGCAGGTCGGCGACAGAAACGCCCGTTCAGCCCAATGTTCAGTATCACACCTTCAATCACAGCAACAATCTACCACCCGCTTTCTGGCAAGGGATGCAACAGATGATGTCTCCACACATTGGTAGTCAATTTGGTGGTACGTCACCGTTGAACGTCAGCAGGAAAACGGTAAGTTTGTGATACATCGTCAAAGTTTTAATAGTTTCAAACCTTTGGAGTACATAATTGTATGATTTTTCATTTCAGATGACTCCGAAGCCATCGTACAACAGCAGAACCAAACGGGCCAAGCTGGTGCTACAGATCCCGCGTATTCGGCATCAAATGAAGCGGGAACGGCCGGGCAAGCGTATTGGGCACAGAACGGCGGTGGCGGTGGGAGCGATCACCGAATACATTCTTCAAGAGCTTTTGGAGATGTCGGCCGACGCTGCTGGGATGCTGAAGAAAAAGCGTATCTCTCCCAAATGCCTCAACATGGCCATTAAAACAGACGAGGAGCTGGCGTACCTGTTCAAAAACGACATTATCGCTGGTGGCGGATACGTCAAGACTTTTTACTGAATACTGACTACGAAAGTATTTGATAACCCTAATGAGTTGGAGTAATTTGAATAAAATTATTCAAGGGGAGTTTTGGGTGTTTGTTGAGGCGCGGTCGATTTCAGACATAGACCAAATCAACGGCTTTCAGATATAGATAGCTATAATATATTATATAAGAAGCAAAAAATAAAGATTGGACATAAAGCTGCAACGTCTTTGTTGCAATTGGTGGCTTGACGTGCGACATCTTTTTTTTTCATTTTATTCTGAAACACTTTGACAGAAAACGTTAATAAATCTGGAATCATGTACAATATCATCGCCGACTTGTTGTTGACCTTGGTTCATTTATGAGTATCTTCAATCACTTTCACAAAAGTTAAAATATTCTGTGATTCCAGTGCTGGCTTCAACCAATGAAACACTTGGCTTCACAAAATGTAGCCGAGTGAGTTGATTATAAAATTCTTTTGGGTCGTTTGGCGAATATGTCAGGTTCGCTAAATGAATAATTGGATGATCGCCATCTGGGGGGTAGCTCGACCACGATAACTTCCTGGAGAATCTTTTCGGTTTGGCATTAAAGGTTTTTGCTCGTGCGTGACCTAAAATTAACAATGAATATATAATACACAAATTTTAAAACTTTAGTGTTCGTCCTTGGCGATGGAGAACACAAAATTGATTAAGCAGTTTTGTAGTTTAGGTGTTATTATGCATATTTCTAAAAATTCACAATTTTTTATTTGGTTTTACGGCCTAAAGAAATCGTTCAAATTTGAAAGCCTATTGCATTAGCCTATTGTAATATATTGTTTACTATAAGGAAAGTTCCTTATGTAATTTTTTTATATAAACCACTGTATTATGAACTCAGTACTTTAGTTGTCTTATGTCATATAGCTGGGATGGCAAGTGCTTGTGACCAACCAGTCATAATAACTACAAGTTTGGTCAGTTAGTATTTTGAAACAGCGGAAATTGTAAACATACCATTTTTAAAAGTCAAATAAATCAGTTTTGAATCTCCATTTTGAAACGATTCCATAAGTGTGTTTTTTGGTACTGGCAAAAAACCTACATCACAGTAATCAAAGTAACGTTGTAGTAAAAGACTTGGATCTACCTTAACTTCTTGCCATCGGGTCATCTGTTTGTTGTAGGATATAAACTAAATATAATAAAAAAGTGAATTTTTGATGAAAAAAGTGATTTTCAACTGAAAAATAATTTGGGTGAAAATGAGTTTTTTCAAAATTTCAAACGACCTTCAGACGCACTTTAAAATCCCAAAATTTTGTCTGAAAAATATACATTGGCTGTATATTACTCGTGCCCAATTTTGTCTTTCTATCTTTTTTCATGGCTGTAATAAATTTTTCAAAAGTTACAAATTTTTTGAAACACCCTGTACTTAAAACTTTAAAAGAAAGTAACAAATAGCGCTGGACTCTGCCAATATACGACGTCGGTGCTTGGACAACCTGAACTTGCCCTCTAGGATTTTAACACAAAATTTAAACTTAAAAGTTATTTTTAAAATCTTACCAAACATTTGAATGGATCAATGAGGGTAGTAGAGTTTAAAAAATAGCACCGAAAACCCTGGTAATCAAATACAATTTGCTTATGTTTGATACTGTATATTCGAGCTGCAATTTTGAAGCCTGAAATGAGTAGAATCTATTATTGTAAAAAAAAGATTTCTTCAAACTAAGACTTGAATTAAAATTAAAGCACCATACAATTATCATTGTAAATTAAACTTAAAAATGAAAAACCACGTAAGCCCTGAAAAAATTGAGATTCAAAAACAAAAATTTTAATTCCGTAACTTGACATGACAAGTAAAACCCGTGAGTGCAATAGAAAATGAATATTACTTTGAACGACTACAGAGTCCATTTCATCAATCAGCTGCGCACTCATACCCACTGTCCATTCACAAACTTCAAATCTTTCATCTGTGTCATTGTTGATTACGACAAGTTTATCGTCTGTTGTGTGCACGGCAGTGTATTTAGACTTATCATATATGTTGACGTTGTGTATACGATAATCCAATTTTGCGTCAATTTTAAATTCTTTTTTGGAGTAAAAATCAAAAATAGTACCATGTTGTATACGTGGAAATTCAAATTTGCCGTTTTTCTTATACTGTGGCCCTGTTACTTTCATACTATGTAGATCATAAACCAGTACGACATTAGGAGTACGAACGAGAAGTTCTGTGCCTCGATTTATCATACTAACACCAGTGATTTCTTCTGTGTATGATGTAAAGTCAAGAATAGTAAACTGATTAAGACCAAAGTCAATATTGGTCAGTAGAACATAACCATTTTCAAGTTTTAATGCCATCTTTCCTGTGAACGAACAACAAATTGCGTTTGTTACATAAAATGTTTTGTTATAACGAATTTCATTAAATAAGCGATGCCCAAGGCTAAAATCATAGTGTTGTACATTATCTTATTAAACTTTTAGTAGATCAATTTGCAAACTTAAAATTTATAGTAATCAGTACATGTGGTAAAGAAGAAAAAGACGTTACATATATGGCGGTTTCTACTGCAGCTTTCACCATACCACAAGGTTTACTTTAATTTTTACTCCTGCATATCTGTTGTGGGATGTTTCGAAGGCTGTTGACATGCGAAGGCAATAAATCTTAAGAACGCCAGACATATGCCAAAAGACCTTGAAACAGCCCAACAAAGTCAGTTTGCGATCAATGTAGACCGTGGCCAGTGTGGAGTCTCCTCACTGATTAATAAAGATGTTAAACGAAGAAGTCGGAGTTGCTAAAGGTATGATGCTACTGTTAGAGCTCACGGGTCACCACTAAGTTCTAAGTGCGCCCCTACATACCTATTGAAAGCTAACTTAATGTTTCAACACTACCGTCTACCTAACAACTAAACCTTCATTTACGTACCCCAAGTATCATTTACTATATCTTTCTTTTCTTCAATAAAAGTGTAGTACCTTTATGTTAATTACAACATCTATACTTATTATGCCTGTCTCATATCTATACTGGCTTTTGTAGTTACACTTACAAGGAAGGTACCTGACCTGCAACGCTCAAATTCTATATAAACTTTTTTGTAGCAAGATCATGTCAATGTAAGTTCTTATGCAAATTATTAAGTTGCAGTTTGCGGCTAGTCTTGAGAAAATCAAGATTAAAAAATCACTTTTGAACTTCCCGCAAAATTGGAATTGTGTTTCAAGCTTATAACTTTGTCATTTTTTGACTTTAAATCATTTTTCTTTGATGTACTAGTAGAAAACCTGCAAATGAACCTACATTTTTAAAGTTGTAGGCGTAGCTTGTCTAGAAAGCCGAAAAAAGTGCTTGCAACACTATGCCAAATTTGAAAATTAGGCGGGAAATTCAAATATTTAAATTTTAAAACTTAAAACCGCAAGCTAAGATTTTTTATATGTACTATTAATAGTACAAAAAACTCATATAAAAATTTTGAGCTGATTCTGAGAGTTGCAGGTTGGACACTTTCCTTGTTAATTAAATAGGGTACCGTATCGTTAGACTTGAGAATATTATGTTATAGTATGTGTTTAGGGTCTCCGAAGTTTCATTTTTCTTATCAAAACTTATTCGCAAAATTATATTTTAAAAGTACTTACTTTAAGAAAGCGTAAGCCCAAGTTTCGCCTTTACGACGGTATACTGCATGATCATAACATAATTGCTTAAAGTTCAATTTTACAAGTTTGTAGAAGCGTTTATTCACCATAGCCAATGATACAGTATCATCCATTATCGTCTGGTGCTTAATGATAATGCACCACAGCTAAAATTTCTTACATTTATTTTAGGAGTCAGTACTAAAGACATACCGACTTTACAGTAATTTTCTTGTTAAATAAAAATCTCGTAATTGTGTTTTCTGTAGTTTTGCCTTATTGGCTTCATTTGACCATTCCATTTGGCCACCTCTCCTACATATTTACATTAGGTGCTCCCGCCCAGAATCAACACGTAAAATGAAATCAAACGAAAACTTACTTCTGGCTGCAAACTTTCGACCAAGATTCTCATTGAAACTTGCTGTTAACCGAGTGCTTAAACAAGAAACTGTAAAAAAAGTTTTTTTTCAAGCAAGCGCGGTTAAATAAAAAGCCGCTTTTTACTGGGACTCGGCATTTTGACGCGACATCGCGCTAAGCAAAAACGTATGACTTACATAAAACACAAGTTTTGGACACAACAATAGATCTATTACCTTTATCAACCACAATAATATAATATTATTAACTATATTTATTTTGGTAAAAAACCTAATTTTATTCTTCAAATATTTTTAAAATTATAATATCGAACCAGAGTTTTTTAGTCTATTCTTTTGTAATGTTAAACCGACTCTTTCTTGTACAATAAAGCGTGGTACACAATAAAAACATGAATCTTCCAATACTGCTATATTTTCTGATTAACCGAATTCTTCGCAAAACATAAATCGATCAATCGAATTTAGTTCAAGAAACAAATAAACTTAATGTTTTTTATTTAATCTATTTTGTTTAAATTTAGACATTTTTTGTTGACTTCCATTGGCGGATGATGCCGTTGTCCTGCTTGAAGTTCTGTCCAATGTTAACAACGGATCCTTCTCGACGATTCCTCCTTTCAAAACATTCTTAGATCCAGGTTCAATCTTTTTCTCGAACCTTCTGTCCATCCATTGTGCATACTGTCGGTCAACTCGGGGTTTCTCGTCTCGATTCCTCAATATTGACTTGACGTTCTGATCTTCTCCTGTAACGTTCTGATCCTCTAATTGTCCTCCAGTTGGGCCAAGTTCTTCTGAATTAAATCTGACACCTTTCTTCATTGATGATGAAGTAGATAGATCTGGTTGTGTTTTGATTAAACAGTTCTCTTTTTCATCGTTAACAACTACTTGTTTCTCTATGCTGTGATTTTGCTTTACAGGCTCGTTAGAAGATTCTTCGGTAATTTCCACAATTTTGGGCGTTTCTGAAAATAGATGAAATGACTTAACATTATAGCTTTCAAAGTAGTAAAATTAAAAAATTTAAACATATTAAAGCATCCCACATTCAATGAAAATTACCTTTCTCTTCCACATTTTTCAAGAACTCTCCGTCATCACTATTCTCATCTTCACCTTTCTCATCTACATCACTCAACTCATCTGAATCCGTTTCTTCTTCATCGTTATCTTCCAAATCCATTTTGTCCAAATACCGCAACAGTTTGTCGAAATCAGCTTTCGGTACCCCTTTAGGTGGTTCTAATGTCTTATTGTCATCTTCTTCAAACTCTTCACCTACAAAGCTGCCTTCTGTATATTCCTGGTTATCGTAGGCTACCGTATCAAACTCTTCAACTTTTTCAACTTCTTCCTCTGAATCGCTTTCTTCTTTTGGAATTTTCGTAACAACTGGTTCAACTAGCACTTTGTTTATCTCATCCTTTGCATCTTCTTCTTTCTCTAATTCATCTAATCTACTCATTAGGTCCTGAAAAATGCATATATTATCACATCCTCCTGGTCTAGGAAATATAAATTATTTAATTTAACATAAATAAAGCCTGAATGTGGTAATCTAGAAATGTTTCGTTTCTAGGAAATTTCCGACCGCCACAGTAAAAACTTACAACAAATTCCTTGTCCTCAACCTTTTTGTTTTGTTCTCTACGTTTCGACGCATCTGAAAAATTGGAAAAACAATAAATTTATAAATAATTAAAACGTTTGTCAAATTATGATACTCACATGATTTTGGTTGTTTTTCATCGTACGGTTCGATTATTTCCACTTCATCGCCTTTCAGCTGAAAAAAGTAACAATATAAGGCTATTATAGAAAGTATCTAAAGGATACATAGTTTTGGCTAAAAAGTTTATAATTGATAGTCCTTATCGAAATGTTAAGATTACCATTTCTATAGATTTCCATTAAAAAGTTTTATGTTGTAACCAATGATGTATAATATGATATTATACATGAAGCCATAGAAACTCCACATAACTAGGTCTTTCTTCTAATATATAAAGATAAGCTTTATAAATCAAAAACCGAACCTACCCCAAAAAACAGCTCCTCCGTCATCTTTATCTTCTCCTCCACCTCGGCTTTCTGTTTCTCAAACAACAATACTCGCTCCTGTATAGGTTGTTTTCGTCTGCTTATAAACTCGCCAGTATCATATGCACTTTTCCTCACAAAGTGTTTATCCCCTACCATAACAGTGTATTCGTTCGTGCTAGTCAAATAACACGGAATAAATGCCTTTTTGCCCAGAGGAATCTACAAACAACACAAAGTTATCGAAATAGAAAACAAATTACACAAAATAATGAAAATGTATGGTGAAACATTAGTTTAACCACATGCTTATGGAATGAACTTATAATGAAGTTGCGGCCAAAAAATCAAGGTTTTTAAAAATCATTATCAATGTAGGTTTTTTATTTATTTATTTTTGCTTTTAAACAGTAAAACAAACTTTAGAGAAAACATTTTTACATCAAAAAAAGTTTACTTTCTTCCATTTTGACCATAAGACAAGCACTCGTCATGAAAACCCTATCACAATGCCATCCTTAAGTTATTTTCTTTCAAACTTACATTTATTTTGACCTTCAACGATTTTACATGTTCAGAAACGTTCTGCGCTATGTCGTTGTATTCATTCAGTGTATTTTTATAGAAGTCAATCTCTTTATCCAACGATTCCAGCATCTAAACAACCAAAATGAACAAAACTGATGTCTTACCTCGTTTAAATACTTTAAGTGACAATCCACCTTGTGTTTTTCGTTTGTAAAAGTAACTCCAGGATTTATAGATGCCATATTCAACAAGTAACAATAGAAATTCAACAAGAAACAACAAAAAAATCCGAGGTTTTGAGGAAAGACAATTTTTAGAAATATATTTTCGCTGTCTATAAAATGTGTCATTACCATGCGTTTTAAACGTAATTTTTTGATTTAAAAATTTTTAAATTACGTTAGCAGTTTTACAATAAAATAATTGGTTTAATTTCTAAATGTTTTCTTCAAAAAAAGAAGAATAAACATTAAGCAAAAAGACGCATTTTATATACGTCTATTAAATGTGTCATTACTGCTTACCACTAAGCAAAAATATCAAAACTCAAAAAGATAATAAAAGTATATATTGATGGTTTTGTAGAATTTTTTAAATTTTAATGTTAGTTTTGTAATAGTTTTGTAAAACTTTTTCATTAACAATTTTTACAAATGGCCTTTTTGCGTTATCTATAAAATGCGCCATCCACAGTTTGTCATTCCCTTCTAAAATTACAAAATGTGAACAAATTAGTACGAAAATTTTGAGTAAAAGTTAAGAATGAAGTAGTGATGAAACCGATTGATGTTTGGTCGAAATACGACGGTTGTTAACGTGAATGAGAGATTGGTAAGACAACCACTTTCGTGAGTGCTTGCAACACAACGTCAATTCTGTCACTTTCTGAAAGGTACAGGTTGACCCTTCCTTTTTTACGGCGTTGGGTCAAAATAAGATAATGTCTCGTATGTCAATGGTGTTTGTTTAAAAAGGCTTTAGTTGGCTATAGCACCGTCGCTTGATAGGAAGTTCCAATGCAGATCTTTGCCGAAAGACTGGAGCCAGAAGTAAGTAGTATCGGTATGGAGTTATTTTTACACAGGGGTCCAAATTTACAATTACAGCATGAATTAGAGAGTTTTTAAATAAATTTGAGAAATTTCAGTTGTGGTGCATTGTCATTAAGCATGTGACGATAGTGGAGGATACTGTAATATTGGCTATGATGAATAAATACTTTTATAAGCTTGTAAATATGGATTTTAAAAAGTTGTGTTATGATCATTTAGTATATCGCCTTGAAGGCGAGACCTGGGCACATGCTTTTCTAAAGTAAGTATTTAGAACTGCTTTAAGTGAAAGCTAATCTAGTGAATTTAAATTTTTTTTTATTTTTTAAATGTCAGAAAATGGCAACTTTCAATTATGAATTAATGTACTGTAAGGTTTTCAAAAACTTGATTAATACAATTTCAGACTTGGAGGTCGTTTATTCAATGTAATTCCTTCTAACAAACGATTCTATGCAGAAAACACGGTTTGTTGCCCGTTTACAGGCAAAATTGCAATAAAACTTGAAGGCGGTTATGTTGTACTGACCAATATTGATTTTGCTCTTAATGAGGTTAAGCTTCTTGACTTTACATCATACACAAAGGAAGTCACTCGTGTTAATATGATAAATCGAGGCAAAGAACTTCTCGTTCGTACTCATTATTTCATACTGGTATATGACCTGCATAGCATGGAAGTAAAAGGAAAGTATTGGCAAAAAGACAAATTTGAATTTCAAATTGTACAGGACGGTACTATTTTTGATTATTATACGAAAAAAGAATACAAAATTGACGCAGTACACCCGAATGGTACTATAAACTACGTCAATGCGTACGATAACTCTAAATACATTGGAGTCCACACAAGGGATAATAAGCTTGTCATAATCAACACAGAGACAGATGAAAGACACGAAGTTTGTAAATGGACACTCAAAATGGTTGTTGTTTACGTGATTAATGAAAACGATTCTGTACTTATCCAAGGTAGTTTTTAGTTTATATAGTGTGTATATAAAAAAATTAAATAGAAGACAACCTATACCAAGGTTGTCTTCAATTACGTGTTTTTTTTTAATTTTTGAATAGTCAAGTTTTTAAAATTTACTAATTTTAGAGGGCTTAGCAGGTCGGATATACAGTATCAAACAGAAACAATTTGTGTTTAATTACTCAGACCACACTTGGTTTTTAAATTCTAATGCCTTTTTTGATTCAATCGGTTTGGTAAGATGTTTAAAAAATTTTATATTTAAAAAGGACTCATTCTAGTCACCTTTTGATTGGCCACCTTAGTTCCCGTAAAGTAAGACTAGGACTATTTTAAACACGGTAACGGTCTCTCTATACGGTCCGATCTGATTGTCTTTTCTTTCCATGTTTTGAAATAACCTTGAAATAAGGATAAAATGTATAATATATCAATATAATCTTTGTGTTAATATTTAGTTTACATTCTACAACAAACAATCAACTCAATGGCAAACAGTTAAGATAGATCCGAGTCTTCGATTGAGTTACAGATATCAGGTTTACTGCAGTGTAGGCTTTGTGCCAATGCCAAACAACAAACTCATGGAATCTTATAAAAATAATGTTTTAGAACGTATTTATTTGTGTTTTAAAAAAGGCAAGTTTTAATTTATTTTTTTCTTATTTATTAAAAAAAACAAGTTCACATTATTAAACCGTACTGATTTGGGCTAATTGAATAAAACTTTTGAATTCGTAATATATTTATATCATCACAAAAACTTAGCATATGACATCCGACAGTGACAGTACTAACAATACGTTCGTGGTATAAAATCGTTTTGTCTTACATTTTGTTAGCAATCTAGTAAATTCAATGTTAATTTCAGACAGCGTCCGAGTAAAAACATTCAGTACCAAACTAAAACAATTATCCCAGAATGAACGGCGATCAGACATTACCTCCTACTATCATCCACTCTGTTTTTTGTCAAGAATGAGGTATTGGCCAGACAAATCAAACGATTTCTTGAAGCCGTTCATTCAAATGGATAGTTTAACTCCTGTTGTATCAGTAGTTGACGCCAGAACTGGGACCGCAAAATATCTGAGCTTTTATAAAAGCAGCTGAGATCTATACCAAAAGTAAAGAACAATTCAACGATTATGTTACAATATATATTACAAATTGGTTCCAGGTTTATTAATCTTTCTATCAAGCAAATAAAATGGTTTTACAAAAAAAATTTATAAAATACAAACCGTCAATTTGTACTTTAATTTAAGTTTTATTATTTTTTGCGATAAGCAGTAACGACATATTTAATAGACGTATATAAAATGCGTTTTTTAATTGATGTTTATTCTTCTTATTTTGAAGACAACATTTAGAAATCGAAATTTATAGTAAAAATATCCATAAAATGCGTCATCTATAATTTATGAGTCCCTTCCAAAATTACAAAATTTGAATAAAATTAGTACGAGATGTTGAGTAAACATTTCAAAAAACTCATTTCGGTTGAAATTCATTCATTGATTTGGTGGTTGCGACAATGGCGGCGCTTCCCTTATTTCGGCTAGTCCAGGTGTTCCTCTTACTAACTCTTCTCTTCGCCATTGTGTTCTTGGCCCCAATCTGTACTCCGCTGGTCCCTTACGAGCCATGCCCGGTTGAGAATGAAGCCGTGATGAAGTCGATTGATGTGTTTGGTCAAAATGCAACGGTTGTTAACGTGAATGAGAGCTTCGTACGACAACAACGTTCGTGTCTGAAATTGACATACGGCGATCTGCTACAGGTGCCGGACATCAGTAAGACGGATGCCAGAAGTGTGGTTATCACCTTCTTCGTGGTTATGATTGCTGCTACGACTGTGGACCTCTTCGGCGCAATTTGCACACAATGCGAGAAGAAGGTCGACTCCAAGCTTGATGTGAGTTTGTATTTTTGTTATTATATGTCTTTCCAATGCATTTTAAGTCCAAAAGTTATTATTTGAAGTATTTTTAGATGCTATTTTGACGTAAATAATTATAGATTTTATTTTTCAGTTTTACATCCGTGCCATCACCATCATCTTGAGCTGCATCGAGTTCCTTCAGCTGATGTTGTGTCTCTTCATCTACTTGAAATGGACCGACTTGTGGGGTGTTGAGAATGGCATTATCCCAGAAATGCCTGTCAACATCTATGCCATTACAGTAAGTTAAAAAATTTATGACAGATACTGTAATTTGTTTAAAAATTAAAGAAAAAGTTCAATTGACTTTTTTTTATCAAATCGATTAATTTAATTTTTTTATATAAAAAATGAAATTTCGAGCAAATTTTGTTACCTAAATCAAAAAAATATTACTAAAATGTCATAGATATAAGCTATTGTTCATATGTCAAAAATGTCAGTGGTGGTGTGTAATATTGTTTTAGCTTCTGGTGCTGCTCAACTTCATTCTCTCTTTTGTGGATTCGTTTGTGTTCACTCCGAGAGTCGACATGGTCAAGGTGGACAACTTGCGGGGTACCAAACGCAGCTACCATTTGCCAGGCGGCGGCTACGAAACTCTGAACGAGTAGATCTTGTACTGAAAATAAACTCGCTTTTGTGGTGGCTATGTCGATTTTATGTTTTTTTCGATGGGAGGGGTATTTTGATGGTTTGACTGTATTTGGATGTCAATATGGGTCCAAAATTCTGTGGAAATGTTGTTTTCTTTATATATATTTTCTATGTAATTTTTGACCGAACTTTGAAATGCGACATTTTTCATAAAGTTTTTACTTTTTTAAACAGGAATATATAGGTGAAAATTGGCGGTTTTGGCAAGCCTGAGGGCTGGTTATTATACATGAAGAAGGGCTTTGTTGAGATTGCCATAGAGAAGTTTGGCGTTTCTTTATTTGGTAATTATTCATGTCCCGAGAAGACGTTTTTTGAGGATGATCTGAAGAGTTTAAACAATTTTGTAAGTTTCTGGTTTAGAAGTTTGTTTTGTGTATGTATGTATGTTATAGAGATACTCTATATAAGTTGTTTTAAACTAATGTTCTTTTCATATTTACTGAAAGATTAAAGTAAAGTTTAAAGTCTTGTCGTGGTTCTTGAGAGCAGCTACGGTAGGATCTTTTCAATAAGATGAAGCTTAGTGTTGTTTCAAACTTTTGTATACCTAAGTCATAGTAGTTTGCTCTTAAAATACGCTCAATAAAAGATCCTTTTCGTGTAATATAGTAAGCAAGAACTGCTGGGAGTTTTGAGCATCTTATCACAAGGTTAATTCTTTTTAAACTAAAAAAAAATTATAACTCACGTAATGTATTGTAACTCGCTTTACTACGCTATATCTTAGATATTTGAAAAAGTTTACCTTTGGGTTTGCAAACTAAATCCTGGAGTACGAAACCCTTGAGACTGTGGGAACTTTCGGACCGCGGTTTACCTGTTACGTTTTATTTTACAGAGTAAAAACATTGGGTTAGTGTCTTAATTGTGCCAAGATATTTGGCGTTTTATATTGAATTAGTGAGCTTATAAATGTTTTACAATTTTGGGTTCAGTTGGTCAAAAAGTATGTAGTATTATCTGTTTTTCCAGAACCGGAGCTTCTTTAACCTATCGTATTAGGATTGCCTTTAGTATTCTTTGATCAAACAACATTCTGTCTCACATATGTATTTGTCTACTAGTCGTTATAGGCCGAGTAAGTCAAACCTCTTCTTTACGTAAGCGTTGAGATCTCAACCCACATCCTCTTAAGTACTTGGGTTTCGTGTTGTATCCGGACTTACATCTTCGCCTCTCCCATTACCGTACTCTCGCCGTCTCTCTCTTCCACGCACTCTCTTGTCGGAGTTTGAAGGTTTGCCGGAAATTCGGGTGATTTCCTCAAATTGTAAATGAGTAGTATTAGTGCATACATTTGGAACTCGTCTTCATACTACTGAATACTATCGGAATATTGTAAGTTTTAGGTTTGGAAATGAAGTTAAAGGGTAGCTTTTATTGGAAAAGTTTGAGATTTTAAAGTTTTGTTTAGTTAGGAGAGTTTAAAAGTACTTTTAAACGCTGACGTAGTTGAAAAGGTAGAACAACATAACTTGACGTAGTAGAAAAGGTAGTGCAACATAGCTTTTGACCATTTTTTTCTTTGCAAAAACAAGAATTTTAGTTTATACATTGTTCTAACCAGTTGTGTACCAAGTTTTCTATATTTGAATATCTGACTTAATAGGGTGGCTTTGAAGATTTAAGTCTGTTTTGAGCTCCAATCCTCTTTTAATGCCAAGGTACTATATTAAAAACGTTCTTCTAAAGTCTTTGGTACATCGGTTTAGAATCAAAAAGCTTTTTTGAACTGTAATTTTTGTTTTTAAAAAGTTTTTTTTGGTATTGTTCCTAACTGTTACTTTATAAAGCGTTTGATAGTCATGTTGTTACGCGAATTACCATAGGTTTTGCATTCTAATTTTGGCAACAACAGTTTATAATTTTCAAAACCTCATATTTTATGTTGACATTTTTCTGATGCCAAGACATACGTACAATTTGCATGTTTTGTGCTTGCATTGTGCACTCGTGAGAAGGTAATGGGGTGCTCCGCTCGGAATAAGTCACCACACTGAATAGGTCACTTCTGAATCGGTCTTTTCTAGGAATAGGTTACTTTAAAAAATGGATCATCTTACTGAGCAGCTTACCCTTAATGTAAATTCAAAAATTAACTTTATCCAAGATGACGTCTGCTTATTGTAACTCTACCTAAGTCTGTCTTTACCCATTTTAGCTTTACCAAATCCTGCTCCTGACCATTTTAGTTTTATCGAAGCGTACCTCTGCTTATTTTAGTCTTAACTAAGCCTACCCTCGCCTATCGGATGTTTATCTCTATAAGAAATTAAAAAATTATATAACTAAAAAGAATTGTCTAAAAAACAAGTTCTTGATCAAGTATAATATACGATTGAAAAAAAAATATTGCAAAAACGTCATTTTTAACCCTAAAAATACGATTAAACCTACCTTTGAGCCGACTTAACCCCTCGCCCAATCTAAACTACACTTTTAGTCCAGTGCATTGTTCTCGACTGCAAAGAAACTGCAAGTATTTTTGGCACGCGTGCTTAGTTTGTGATGTTTGTTGTTTTTGGAATCTTCTCTTGCCACCTTGAGGTCATGTTCTTTCACGGTGTTCTTGCTAAATAATTGAACATGTAACTGGAGAATGTCTGTTTAATACCTTTTTGCGTCGTATGTTTGGCTACAATCCGGCGATGATTAAAGTTTAATATGTTTGCGATAGTGTCAGTACTTGTCTTATATTATACTTACAGTTTGGTCGGGTTTTGCCTTTGTTCTTGTTTAATATGAAGTTGACAGTGTTTTTTGGGGGGGGATGTAGAGGGCTTTGATTGCTTTTGGGGACAGCAAATCATATATTATTGTCTACAGTATAAGGTCGAGTATTGTATACAACACAGATAAGTTTACAGTAAACAAATTAAGTTTCTTATCAAATGTGGCAAGGAGCTATGAGGGGGGGCGATGTGGAGGAGGGGCTTTATGGCGTTGGAGTAGGTATAAAAGGATGTTATACTGTCAAATGTGTTTTTAAATGCTTTTTTTAGAAAAAAAACTTGAAAGTGGTACCTTGTTGGGTACCGAAAAGAAATTTTGAAAGTTATAATAATTTAGAGGTCCGTAGATGTAGTTTAAAAAGCAATTCGATCAAAAAAGTAGAGTGATAGTTGAGAAATTTTATATTTTTGTAAATTTTAAAGGGCAAAATCTTTAAAAATTTTTTTCAATTTAAAAAATAAAAATTTTAAACTTTTCAAAACCACTCTTTTTATTGAAACTTTTACTTTTAATTTTTAAAACTACATGACCCTTACAGTAAATGTATTTCTGTCAATATCAAATGAACCTTTACACCACAGACCACCTTTCCCTGCCAATATCGCTCGAAATGATTTATTCCGGAATCGATAATCGTTTGCACGGCGCGGCCGTTCTTTGTTTATCCCGCCACTTTTGCAGGGCCTTCTGAAGTGGGGCTTTATCGTGGGATGTCGCTGCGATTGGGGCTGAACACCAGTCCCAGCAATGTGCCGCTCATCCAGTTGCCGGCCTCCAACTCGGCCCCAGAAGAAGCGCTCTTGGCCCAACACGGTGAGATTCTCGGCTTTCTCGAGATTCGGCAATGAAGTGGGCTTCGTCTGACTGTTGACGTCTTCTTTGGGGGAACTGGTTTTGAGGCTAACCTGGGTTTTGGTTTATTGATTACTTTATTGTACTGTTATACAGGCCTAGGGGAGGGAGGGGAGGGGTTTTGATAAAACCTAGGACGTATTTGTTTGATTTAGAGTCTTCTTTAGAATACTAAGCTGTTTATATAATATTGTGTTTCTGATTACAAAAATTTTCATTGAAGGAGGCACATAATTATTTGAACAACATAACAAGTTCAAACAAACAGTCGTTCTATGATGATAGATACTTTTAAATTTGATTTACTATACTAGGCATACAATAACTAAAGTTAGCCATCATTACTAAGGCTACATAAAAATCTTTGAAATGTACCTCAAAAATATTTTACTTTTACTTTCAGGCACACAACAGAAACGTCGAATAGTCGTACGATCTTCGACGTTAGGCTCAGGTCTAGCCACTGATTTGGCGATGGACTCTGAACAGTTCGAAAACAATAATCATCATGATTGTAAGCGATATCTGTCACTTCATTTTGAAGCTCTAAAATATTTATTTTTTATAAATTTACAAAAAATTAAATAAAAAAACAAAACTGGAAATGAGAAAAGAGCTGGTCCTGATTATTGGCACAAACAGGCTGATCTTAAAAACTAAGCCAATCCTGATGCTTTTATTAAAGCAGTAACAGATCGGTGCTAAATTTATGAGCTAAAGCAAAACGAATATAGCCTAAACTCTAGCCTTCAAGCCTAAACAAAAGCTCAGGAACAGCCTTGCCTGGGTTTGTTTAGGCAAAAGCTAAGAAATAGGCTTGGCTCAGCTGGTTTATCTTCAACAGGTTTTGTTTTTTGGTGGGTCCTGAGACGAAAATGGCATTTTGTACCAAAAAAGCAATTTTATTTTTAAAAATATTTTTTCATAAATTTTAAAATTTACGCTAATATCTTTGTAAAGTAACTAAAACTTGCAGTAAAACCGAAGTCCACATCAAGAAGGACATCGTTTGCTGATGGTTTGCCGAATGGAGACAGTCATCAGAACGGTGGTACCATACCGATCACGTTGAGGAGGCGACGGAGTAGTGTAGTCAGAGAGAAATGGTCGTCCAAAGTCGAGTTTCTGTTAGCTGTAGTTGGGTATGCGGTAGACTTGGGAAACATCTGGAGATTCCCGTCGGTTTGCTACAAACATGGTGGAGGTTGGTGGTCTACTATAACATATTATTACGGTTATGAATACGCATTCTATAGCTATATGTTTATTTACTATGATTTAGTAAATATAAATACTATGGAATAGTACAAAAACCTACTATAATGTGTTACTTTGTTAATTTTTATAGTAAAATATGTGTATATTTACGTAATGCAAAGTGTATAGAACGAATAATATGCTGTTATGTTGTTTTAGGCGCATTTCTAATACCATACTTGATTATGTTGATGGTAGGTGGTCTTCCGATGTTCTACATGGAATTAGTTATGGGACAGTTTCACAGATCAGGTTGTTTGAGTATATGGAAGAAAATATGTCCGATGTTTAAAGGTAAGGCATATGGGGACTTTTACGCGATGAAACAGTGATTAGAATTTTAAAATATGATTCAAGAGGGCTCAAAACTTTTTGAACAGTTAACGTGTATTATCATGTAGTATGCCACATACTATCGTATTATACTACTGAATTACGACAACTTATAGTTTCGTATGGTTATTAAAAAGCCATACACAACTGTAAAACGTCGTATATTGTTAAAAAATCAAAACTTTATGTAAATTCAGGTATTGGGTACGGTATCTGCTTCGTATGCACATTTATTGCCTGTTTTTACAACGCCATTATTGCTCATGCCGTCTACTTTTTGTTTAATTCCTTTGCCTTCGATGTGCCGTGGAGGGGCTGTAACAACGAATGGAACACGGCCAGTTGTCGCGAGGACCTGAATGCCACCAGTCTTTCGGCCAATAAGACTATGATATACACAACGCCGTCACAAGAGTATTATTTGTAAGTTTTGTAACTTTATTCAGAAAAAACTTTAAAATTAGCCAAATTTTTGCTATTTTTGAGAAATTTTTGGTAAATTTTTCATTTTTAAGGAACATATGGTATAATTCTAAAACTTAACATTTTGTAACTAGTGTTTTATACTCAAAAATGGGGTTTTACAGGGTGTTCCAAGAAAAATGTTAAAAACTAACGAGCTATAATTTTCTTCCCAACAAAGCTACACATGCCAAACTTGGCATGATGAAAGGTTGGACCTACAAGTTTTTTGTCACAAAATTTTTGATTTTTTAAGTACATATTAAGGACGTTATGATTTTTCAAAAAATGTTTATTTTCCCCGGAATTACACATATTTTCAGTTGGAAATGCTTTTTTTGGTAAAATTTTCTAAGTTTTTGACAATTTTTTGGTTGAAAATGACATTTTTAGCCAAGTTTTTAATTTTCAAACGTCGGCGGAGACTCGGCGGACGCCTAAATTTATCGGCGGAGGCTATAACCCGCTTCAAACATAACGTAGCGACGTGAAACAAAAAGCATTAGTTTTAAAATTATCAAGGCAATTTTCACTGATACTGAGCTTGGCTTCAAAGTTTTTAAAACACAAAAATTTTTAAAAACCTAAGAAAATGAATAAAGAAAACATGTTTTTATATTTATTTTGTAAATTGCACAAATAACTTTTAAAGTTTAAACGTATTTTATCTTTTACTTTACTTAATAACAAAAAAACGAACAACATACAACATTTGATATATTTGCTGTTTATAACCTTTGAAGAATGAGTTTATCATAACTTTTGAACATAAGTTAAAGTTTTTGAAACATTGCGCCTATTTCTGAACGTTATATACCTTTTGATTTAACTTTTTTTGTAAATTTGTTAGGTAGAGTTATTTTCAAACAAGCTTAACGTCAGTGAAAATTGCCTTGATAATTTTAAAACTAATGCTTTTTGTTTCACGTCGCTACGTTATGTTTGAAGCGGGTTATAGCCTCCGCCGATAAATTTAGGCGTCCGCCGAGTCTCCGCCGACGTTTGAGAATTAAAAACTTGGCTAAAAATGTCATTTTCAACCAAAAAATTGTCAAAAACAGAAAATTTTACCAAAAAAAGCATTTCCAACTGAAAATATGTGTAATTCCGGGGAAAATAAACATTTTTTGAAAAATCATAACGCCCTTAATATGTACTTAAAAAATCAAAAATTTTGTGACAAAAAACTTGTGGGTCCAACCTTTCATCATGCCAAGTTTGGCATGTGTAGCTTTGTTGGGAAGAAAATTATAGCTCGTTAGTTTTGAACATTTTTCTTGGAACACCCTGTACTTTCTTACATTAGCTATCATTATAGTTTTCTTTGTATTCGAAGAAAACTCTGTCGCATATTTTTCTTTAGTTAATTGAAAGATTTGCTTTAAAACTGCCAATTATAACATTATATAACCCCAAAATACTGAGATATCCCTCCTCTGAACCGTTTAAATCAATAGAATCTGTTTTCAGAAGAAAAGTGCTGGAAGTGCACCGTTCCAAAGGTCTCGAAGACCTGGGAGGTATCAAATGGTCGATGGCATGTTGCCTGTTCGTCGTATTCCTGTGCGTTTATTTTGCTTTATGGAAAGGGCCACGATCAGCTGGTAAAGTGGTGTGGATCACAGCGACAGCACCATACATCGTGCTTACGATTCTGCTGATCCAAGGCCTTACTTTGCCTGGGGCATCGAAAGGAATCGCCTATTATTTGACGCCAGACTTCGAGAAACTCAAAGATCCGTCAGTCTGGACGGCTGCAGCTACACAAATCTTCTTTTCTCTCGGACCTGGCTTCGGAGTCTTGTTGGCGTTGAGTAGTTACAATGAGTTTGACAATAATTGCTACAGGTAAAGGAGTTTTTAATGTTTTCTTGACTTAAGAAGCTGCAGTTTAACCTACAGGCTAGGCTAAACACTTTTTAGTTTACCATAGTCAACATGTACTAAAATATGTATTAGAATCATAAGGAATGACGAAACCAATCTTGTCATGTTTAGGGACGCAGTAGTAACGTCGACAATCAACTGTTTCACATCCTTCTTCTCCGGATTTGTTATCTTCTCTACGCTGGGCTACATGAGTGAATTGACCAATAAACCAGTGAGTGAAGTTGTGGGAGAATCAGAATCCTCATTGATTTTTGTCGTGTATCCAGAAGCCATAGCGACGATGAGCTACAGTAGCGTCTGGTCGGTCATCTTCTTCTTGATGTTAATCACATTGGGTATTGACAGCACGGTAAGTCTTTAATTTTTTAAAAATTAAAAATCAAAGAAGTATATCGAATGTGGTGGTTTTGTTATGTAAAATACGATGGTTCATAATGATTTTTTAAAGTTCACTTCATCTACTTTGATAAAGAAATGTTCTGTTTCAGTTTGCCGGAGTAGAAGCATTGATTACCGGCCTGATTGACGAATATCCTCGTATGTTGGGTCGACGACGTGAACTGTTTGTGTTTATGGTCATCTTCATTTACTTTATAGGATCTTTGCCCACAGTAACTTACGTATGTTTACTAATGTATTATAGTCGCAAGTTTAAAACTTTAAAGTTGCATGTTTTACTTTGTTAATTATTATATTATGTAATAATAATTCGCAATTTAGACTAAATATCTTATTTTACTAAAACCGTGAATTGAAAGAAAGCATTAATTGTTTCTTTTGCAAAGTAATATATTACGTTGTTCAAATAATTTTATGCCCTCTAACCCCAAAAACTTCCTTTAAGAAAGGGCACAGAATTATCTGAACAATCTTAATATCCTAAACAGTAAAAGTAATTAAAAACTAATATGAATTGAACTTATCTTCAGGGCGGAACATATGTGATACCCTTCCTCGACAACTACGGCGTATCATTGTCGGTGTTGTTCATAGTAATGTGCGAGATGATCGCCGTATGTTGGTTCTATGGCATTCAACAGTTCAGCGAAGATATCAAACATATGTTAGGCTTCTATCCAGGCTTATACTGGAGAGTATGTTGGACTTGTGCTCCTTGCTTTATTGCGGTATGTTTTATTACAAATTACTGAATCTTACTGTAAAACTTTAGCGAATTATTGTAAACCATACAAATATAATTTGATTTTACTGTAGAAAAAGTAATTATGTTTTAGTACGTTAGCTGTGACATAGTATCCCATCAAAAATCACATAAATTTAATAAAGAAACTTATATAAACCAAGATGCATTAAAGAGTCGTTGATACAATTACATGTTATTATAGCTGATCTTTGCGCTATCGTTATACGACGCAAGCTTCGCGCCCATGGAGATACCTAACTACGTATATCCAATGTGGTCAGTATACTCTGGATGGGTATTGAGATCTCTCTCCGTTCTCTCCGTACCCGCTTTCATGTTATACTTGTTCTGTAACACAGAGGGTACTGTATTACAAGTAGGTTTGGTTTGATACTTCTTTCTCAAGAGCTATACCTCTTTCTTTCCCCTTCTGATACAAAAGAATAAACGGCATATTCAATACTCTAAACTACAGTCCAATGCCCTAAACTAATGTACACCGCGTTTTGTAGAGACTGAGCTACATGATCACTCCCCAACGCAAAGCCCACCCCAACCTCGGGACTCCGTCGACGGCGTTGGTGGAGGACAAGACAGTGAATAACAACTATGTGATTCAAGACGCTGACGTGACACACTTATGATCTCTTTCTCCAAAGTCTTTTCCCACCCGGTTCACCTTATAGATGATCTCCTTGTTTGGCTATTTTACATGGTATTTTGATAACAAATAAATTTATCTAACAATAGTAACATGAGATGATTGTTGTCGCAAATCAAACTTCAGAATATCTGGACCTACACCAAGAAACATTAGACAAACCAAAGTATACTTAACAGGAGCTTATTTAACCGTATAATTTAAACATTTAATAGCAACAGATAAAACAGATACTTAGCTTCACTCCAAAGCGACCGCAGTCAGTTGTCTGGCCAATTCTACAGCCTCGTCCAACTTATTCACATTCTCACAAACAGCTTGAGCCTGAAGGTCTTTACCTCCGCCACGGCCTCCGGCAATCTCACAGATCTTGTTCACCCATTCGTTAGCCTTAATTCCCTTTTGGCTTAGAGCCTTGTCCACACGAGCTATTACAGCTAGTTTACCGATGTCTTCCTGTACTGAGAAGGCAATCACAGCTTGGTGATTCTTTAATTGCTTCAAGGCTCCATCCAATGCCTAAAATGCCATTTTTGTAATATGTTAACACATAAAAAATAGTTACAATTCCTAAGCACCGCATTACATACACTTTCAAAATCATGTAAGCCATTCTTACCTTGCCATTGGCTCCCTCACTGAAGACATGCACCAGAATCTTCTCTTTGTTCTTCTCGTTCAAATCCTTGGCCTCTTGTACCACCTTATCAGCGACGGCGGCCTTTGCTTTTCTGTCGTAACTGTCCAACAACTTCTGAGTCTCCTTGGCCAAACTTCTGATCTTATCTTTCCTCCAGTAAGGCAAAACCATTGGATTCAATTCTTCCACCAATTCGTTGGCTTCTTTGATCAACTTCTTGAATGTGTTCTTGTCGTCCACAATCTTTGGGTCGTTCTTGACCTTCTCGTACAGTTTTGTCACTCGGTCTTCAGCTCTGTTCGCACGCTGGATGGCCAAGGCGGCAGCTGGACCAGTGAGAGCAACAATTCTTCTGATTCCCTTGGCTACAGCTTCTTCACTACTGATCACCAAGTTTCCAATGTGGCCGACATTCTTCAGGTGACTAAAACGAAGAAGTTAATAAATCTTATTAAAAAATTTACAAAAAAAATCGTTTCAAAGACTGTAAAATACCAAATTCAATAATAAAAACCAAGTTACTTACGTTCCACCGCAAAATTCAACTGAAGTTCCATTTGCTTTACCGGATTGCGGATTGGAGGTCAGATCTTCTACTGGAATTCCAACTGAAACGACTCTGACTGGATCTGGATATGTCTAAAATTTTATAAAATAGTCTTAAACCTGTATACAACGTCAATGCAAACACAAAACAAAAACCTTATAACATTTTTTAATTAAATTTATAAATTAGCTTTCAAATTACAAAAAGACCTTACCTCATCAAAGACAGCTCTCAACCCGTCGATTTCCTTGGCTTCGGCCAATTTGCAATCTTTTGCATATACGGTATTATGCGTGTCGATTAGACATTGTGCTTGTTCCTCGACCTTCTTCACTTGTTCTACCTTCAATCCTTGTTTGGCAGTGAAATCGAATCTCATGCGATCTTCAGCCACCAAAGACCCCTTTTGGTCGACATCTGGAAGCTCTTTTCGTAAGGCGAAGTTAAGAACGTGAGTTCCTGTGTGATTCTTCATAATAAGCCAACGTCTTTCCTATAAAAGTAAATTTAAAACAAATTAATCAAAAATGAATTAGAAAAAGATCATGGCTCAACTTACTTCATCAAATTCTTGGTCCACAACGTCACCAACACTCAAACGACCTTCTACAGTGCCCACAAACAACAGGTAACCGCCACGAACTTGTACGTTGTCTACTTTGAATGACGTGTTCTAAAAATCAAAGGTAAAATTCATTGTAAAGGACAATAGATGATATTTTCAAAGACATCCTAAATAATACACATTATTCTAGTTTTTAAAAAGAAATCAATTTTAAACGAAACAACTAGCAAAACGGTCAAAAATGTTGTCTTACCTTATCTTCTCCCAGAGTCAAGTAACCGGTGTCGTAGATCTGTCCACCTTGTTCAGCGTAGAAGCAAGTCTTGTCCAATATTACTCCACCATCTTCTCCGTTCTCCAAACTCTGTACAAACTCGCCGTTCTTCCTCAAAGCCAACACCTTTCCCTGAACCTTCTCAAAGATGTATTTGGCTTCAAGTCCCTTTTTGCCATCATCCTGGTACAAGTACTTGAAGGAGTCATCAGTGGTTGGAACACCCTTTCCTCTGAGTTCAGCAATTGCATGAACATTGAGGTCGAGAGTGTCCTGGAATCTGCCAACTCCACCAGCTGATCTTTCCTAAATAAGAAGATATTAATCATCATTTCAACATTAATCAAGATATTTCAAAATTAACATCATAGTAAGCCATCTTTCATAAAAAACAAGTAAAGCATAGTGAAACAACTACAATTACATTTTTTAAAGGTTTCTTACCAAAGCGAGCTGTTTTTCCTTCTCATACTGCTCCAAATCGACCAGTAGTCCCTTTTCTTCAGCCATTAACTGAGTCAAATCAACTGGAAAACCATAGGTATCGTACAACCTCCAAGCGATAGCTCCAGGGAATTTGGTTGCGCCCTCTGGTAGATCCCTAACGGCCTTCAAGAACAATGTTCTTCCTCTGTTCAACGTCTTCAAGAACTGAGTCTCTTCATCGTTGATAATGTCAATGACGGTTTCAGGATCTTTGCGTAGTTCGGGAAAGACTTCACCCTAAAATTAAATATTACATATAAAAAGGTATGAAATATTACCTGAAACCCAATTTTTTTTCAATTATTTTACAAAAAGTTTATAAAGATCTGCAAAATAAATATTGGATTTGCCTTTAATAAGCATGGCAAACACCTTACCAATAACGAAACCACGACCGGCACCAAACTAGCCAGGAAGCCAGGCTGAGCATTCAACTTTTCCGTAGCGTATCGTACTCCACGACGCAAAATACGGCGTAAAACGTAACTAAAAATAATTAATTACATTGATAAATTCGTCATATCAATATTAAAACTGACGTTCAGTAATTTTAAAATATATTACGTTAATATTTTACTATACCACTATAAAATTAATAAAAACGAACCCTCTACCAGTTGAGTCGGGCCTTCCACCATCACTCAGTGCAATAGTCAAAGTACGGATGTGATCGGCGACTACCCGGTATGCCATATCAATACCATCAACATCCTCATCGCCAACGTGGCCAGTGTATGGGCGTGTACCAGTCTTCTAAACGTATAATTTAAATTAATTAAGATTTCAGTGTTAACAAAAAAATACAACTTCAAACTCAAAGACATAAAAAAGTGCAAAACTATTAACATACCTCAGCAATAGCCTCAAAGATCGGAGTGAACAGATCAGTATCATAATTAGAGGTCTTGTTCTGCATAACAGCAACCAAACGTTCCAACCCAAGTCCACAATCAATGTGCTTGTTTGGCAATGTCTTCAGGTTACCATCTTCTTCTCTGTTGAATTGAATGAACACAAGATTCCAAATCTCGACCACCATTGGATCATCGGCATTGACCAAAGCAGAAGCATCTCGATTTCCAATCCGATCATAGTGGATTTCAGAGCAGGGACCACAAGGACCAACGTTACCCATCTCCCAGAAGTTATCTTTCATGTCAAAGGGTAAAATACGGGCTTCTGGGACGCTAAAACATAAAATAACTCATCATCTCAACACATTTTTTATATTAACTATAAAACCACCTGAACACACCAGAAAAAATATCTAAGCCCAAAAATGTGTTCTCCTAAACTTAAAAACAATCGCAAATATTCCTTACCCGATATCCATCCAAATTTGTTTACATTCGAGATCGGGTTCAAGTCCAGCAGCTTTATCTCCACCAAAGTAACTAACATAAAGTCTTTCGCTGTCAATCTTCAACTTCTTGGTCAACAATTCCCATGCCCAGTTACATACTTCTTTCTAAACATCGAAAATAAACTACAGAAAGCTTCCTTACCTTGAAGTAGTCTCCAAAAGACCAGTTTCCCAACATCTCGAAGAAAGTGTGATGGTAGACATCTTTTCCAACATCATCAAGATCGTTGTGTTTTCCTCCAGCTCGGATACACTTTTGTGTGTTCACGGCTCTCTTCAACTTGGCCAGGTCGCTCGATGGATCAACAACACCTTGGAAGATTGGCTTGTACTGAAAATCGCACAATATAAAACTGTTTGATAACTTGTTGAAGTTAAATTTTGCTTTAAAAAAATAGAAAACGACTGTTTTTATGATTAACCTCTATCTAGGTCAAACAAATAAGCCTAACAGAGTCCTAAACCCATACCTGGTTCATGCCAGCATTGGCAAACAGCAAAGTAGGATCATCGTGAGGAATAACACTAGACGAATGATAGTACGTGTGCTCCTTTTCGTTTTTAAAGAAATCGATAAAGGTTTTACGCACTTCAGCACTGTTCATGGTCATTTTGAACAGAAGCTCACTTCCAAGTGATGCAATTTTTATATTTTTCCTACCTCCAACTGACCAGTGAAACACTTGACGCAAAATGTCAAAATTGAGTCGAGTGTCATTTTATTAATGAAAAATTTTATTTTTCAATTTTTTATTGAAAATTAGACGAGAAGTTGACAATAGGCATATTTACTGTGCGCATAAAACATAATCTAAATTCAATATGGACTTGATTTAATAACTTTTTGGACGTAGTTGTACATTTTTACAGGTTTTCTGAAATTTTTATGTTTAAATGCATAATTTGAAGTTTTCAAATAGTAATTTTATAAAAACTAACCAGATTTATGGATAACCTTACAACGTACGTTACGAAGAGTAGCACTTAGATGTGATTAAGGCAATTTTACATTAAAACTACATGAAAACTTACTAATATTAGCTGTTTTTGCAAGTGTAATATTATTATCTTATCAGTGCAAGTTGGTAATCAACTTTTGGATATAAAAAACAACTGTAAGCCTAAAAAGCTTTTTAGCATCTCAATTTCACAAAAAAACGTCAAAATTGTTTCAAAGAATATGCGAATCAGATAAAGAATGCATTCTTAGTGCTTGGCCATTATGTCCATAAAAGAGGACATCGGGCGTAGTAAGGGGGTTTGTTTCGAAGCAGTGCGGCTTTTTGAGTCTCCGGACTCTTTTTCTGTTTCGAGAGTCGAGAACGAGACGAGAAAGGGGCAGAATTTGATCTTGCGCGCCTCTTCTCACTGTTGTTATATCAATTTCTTAATGGTATCTGCTCAGCCGGTTCCGATCGAATTCGTGTTACAAGAAAAGGATGTCATCTTGTGTATATTGGAATTTTTGGAGAATCGGAAGTTGCACATCAGTCAGGTTGGTACACGGATTAATACAGATTTTTGAGATTTTATTTTTGTAAAATACTCTCTATTAGCAATTAATGGTCAATTTTCAAGATACCAAACCAAAAATTAAATAAAACAAGAAACATGCGTTTGAAAGAATACCTTCAGCATATTTTACTCAATTTTTCATAAGGATTATTCTTCTCATAACCAAGATACGGCCATTTAGCCGTATGTTGTTTTAGGTTTCATTGGAAAGAGAAACGGGTTTGATAAATGGAGATTATTCAGAAGACATTCTTTTCCTCCGGCAATTAATAATCGACGGTCAATGGGACAACGCATTAGATTTTGTAGAACCATTAAAGGATTCGTCGACTTTTGACAAACGAGCTTTCACATATCTTATCATCAAGTACAAGTTCTTTGAGTTGTTATGTATCAAACAAGAGCCTGGGCCTATGCAGGAAAACGACTTTGCGGTCGAAGTGAGAGTTTTAAAAATTATTTCTCTATCTGGATTTTAAGTATTATATCATATGATATTTGTTTTTGAAATTGGCGGAAGGTTTACATGATGAAAGTCATCAAAATTAATGTAAAATTTTTTTTCCTAAAAAACAATGTCAATTAATTTTAGCCTAAATAATTTTTAGGAGCTCGTGGAATGTCTGAAACAACTAGAACACGTATGTCCAACATTAGAAGACTACCGCCAGTTATGTGCGTTGCTTACATTACCTAAACTATCGGATCACGCTGATTTCAAAAGTTGGAATCCCAGTTCAGCTAGAGTAGAATGTTTTCAAAAAGTATGTACTTTTGGTTTTTTATGTTTACAAGAATGAGGTTTTAAATGTACTTTTAAAGGTTTTTAAATTTTGCACCGTGCAATTTAGTTATTTTTATTGCAATGTGCAGAATATAAAAATCACTATATGTATTATAGACCGAACGGAACGACATTAATCTGAATTTAAATGTATTTTAATTTTATTATTCTATTATACATTAATGAAACCTCGTAAATCTAGGTATTCCCACTGATCGGTGATCTCTTGAACAAAATAGCGCCGAAGAAAGATCAACCACAAAAGACCCACGCAGTGAACGACAGACTACTACAACTGACGTCTAAAGGAGTCTTTTACGAAGCTTGTGTGGACTTCTGCCAATCCCAAGCTTTAGGTAACAAAAAAGCAATCGAAGCTGGTCCTCAATTTCCAAATGCTTTGGCTAGTCGACCAAAGCTTGGATCACCAGATTTGTCTCTGGTATCGTGGTTAGAAGTTGTCAGCAACGAACAGTTTACACTGCCATTTCAGCAGCGAGCTTTGGATTTCAAGTTTGACCTCATGAAGTTGGTTTTTTGCTTTTTAAAAATATTTTTGCAGTTTTACGATCAAATCTAAAATATTTTAACGTTTTTAAACTTTAAAAATTTCAGAAAGCCGAAGCTAGAAGCCCAATGGACGGAGCAGATACTGGCTACACCAATAAAGCCAGGAGGTCAATTCCCTCACTCTTTGGTACCTAATAACAAGTTTAAATTTGCGGAAAAGATGTCACAGTCTATGATATTACCTGCTATGTCAATGTCGTCGATCACAGACAACGAAGTCAACGTCGTTAAGAAGCGTCTGAATCCGATGAGTCAGAGTACGATGGCCGACATTGGCTTCAGTATCCAGAGAGAGCCGGCTTCTGAGAATCTGATGCAGCAGAGTCAGATCATATCGAATATGATGGAGCAGTCAGAGATGACGAAACAATCACGACCCACCAACTTGTTCAACACTTCAGTAACAGACCAACTGACAGCTGAGTTGACTCAGTCGAGGAGGGAGCTGGACCAGATTCAGAGAGGACTTCAGAATCAGAATCTGCCTCCACCGAGAACGATGGCGCAGTCAATGTTACCCACAGTACCGGAGTTACCCACACCCACTGGTGGAGTTAGTCCATCCACCTCTTTTGACAATCGAAACAATGACATCATGAGCAGCTCGAGGTTGTTTCAGGAGTTTAACTCACGGCGGCAAGGAAGTGCTCCAGGTAGGTTACTTTAATAGAGATTTTATTACGGTAAATCTGATTTGATTCGTTAAAGATATGTAAATTTGCTAGTTATCTTAACATACAAAGTAAAGTTGTTTAAAATTTCAGTTTCATCCCGACCGTCATCTGTAATATCAACCGGAGTACAATCATTGCCAAACAATATGCCCATACCTCCACCAGCATCGATGCCAGGTGTTCCTCAAATGCCGACGATGATACCAGCACCAGTAGACCGATCTCATTTAAGACCTCAAAGTCAAATATACCCACAGTACTACGACTCACCATCGTATCCACCCTCTCGACCTCAGAGCTATGTCGCTCCACCTAACTTCCAACAACCTACAGTAACTCCGCCTAACTTCCAACAACCTACAGTAACCCCGCCCAACTTTCAACCTCCTCCAGCTACAGTAACCAAGAGACCGTCCGATATGGGTATGAACATTCACTTTGTACCGGTGTGTAAATACGAAGATAGTCAAGCGATCCGAGCTGTGTCATTTCATCCAAGTGGAAAGTACTTTGTGGTCGGTACCAATTCGAAACAAATGTTAATATGCAAATATCCGAAAACCAAGAATTTAGAGTAAGTTTATGAAATTGATTTACAAAGCAATATGATGTTTTAGATAGATAAAACGAAACAGGAAATTGGCATTAGCAATTTGGTAGACAAATGTAATAAGTTTTTCTGATTTTAGCTGGTCAAGGGTACCATTCACACCCGAAATCGGACTGATACGTCCCAAACAACATCGTGGTATGTTTATTTTCCTTGAGTTTTTCTTGCGATAAACTCGAAATCTTCAAAATTTTTTTTAAAAGTCTTGAAACACAATGCCAAAATGGCGGGAGTTCAAAAACCGTTTTTTAAAATTGAAAAATAAGGGAAACTACCATTTTTAAGGTTATAATATTACTCAAAACTATGTAAAACAATTTAAATAACACTTTTCACTTCTAGGCAGTGTATATTGCTGCGGATTCAATGCCGCAGGCGATTTACTGGCCACCGGCTCCAATGACAAAACTCTTCGTTTGATGTCATTCAATGCAGATGAATGTAAAATAGGAGCAGAGACCGAGCTGAATATGCACGATGGAACAGTCAGAGATCTGATTTTCATGGACGAAGGCTCCAAACGAGTATTAGTGTCAGGTGGTGCTGGGAATTGTAATATCTGTTTGACCGACTGTGAAAGTGGCAGAACCTTTAAGAATCTGAATGGTCATACTGCACCTATACTGGGCTTGTACTCTTGGTCCAATGGGACGTCTTTCACTAGTTGTTCTCAGGACAAAACTATCAGGTTTTGGGATTTGAGAGCGTCTTCTGCTGTCAATGTTATCCATCCCAGCTTAACGTTTTCAAGTAAGTAAAGCTGGTTTTGTGGTTGATTTAAACCAAAATATTGTATTTTTGTATAAAAATTTGGCTTGGCATAGTTTTATATGCCTGGAACTTTTCAAAAACTGAAAAGTAGTAGAAAATACTTTAATGTAAAGTTAAAAAGCTGGTGTAAAACTGCAATATCTTACTCCTTGCTACATGAACATCGCTTTCAGATTCCCCAGTAACCAGTGTGTGTGTAGACCCCAGTGGCAAACTTCTAGTATCAGGTCATGAGGATGCTTCGATCATGCTATTTGATGTCACTGGCGGTCGTGTGATACAAACGTTCCGTCCGCACGGTGATGAAGTCAGAACGGTCAGATTCAGTAACGCAGCGTACTATTTACTGTCAGGCTCATACGATAAGCGGGTAGTCATTACTGACATGAGAGGGGATCTTACAAGCCCATTGACGTATCTTCCAGTAGCCGAACACAACGATAAGATTATCCAATGCAGATGGCATCCTCATGAATTCACATTCTTGAGTACGAGTGCTGATAGGACAGTAGCTCTGTGGACACTACCTCAACATTGATTTTATACAAATACTTGATTGTGTGATACAAGTATGGCTCAAAATGTGCCGTTTTTGAAAAATTTAATTTTGCACCGTGCAGAGTTACATTCTTCAACAAAGTTGAGATTTAAAAACTTTCTCTGTCATTTTATTTGTAATTATACGGTTTTATGTCTTGCTCACTATAACCTACTGCTTTTAAGACAGCTTTCGTATTAAATTAAGCACTAAATGTTAAGTTATTTATCTTATAATATTGCACTAGCTACCTAAAAGCCTATAAAGGTCTGTCTAATCTTAAAATACCTGACTGATGAACAATGAAAACTACAGTCTAATTTAAAGTATTGTATTTTCCATTCTATACCTAATTTCAACCTGCCTTGGCATTTAAATTCAGCAAAAACCGGTGTTTTCTTTACGCTCTCTCTTTTTCGATGATCTCTGTGACACTTCGCTTCGAAAATCAATAAATGGCATTAGATTTTGTGGAAAATAAATTCGTAACAAAATTTAATAATGTTATCAATGATAACGGAACGTTTCCTTTGTCTCATGATACCCTTTTGTTAGTTTTCGTTTTGTTTCATGTTATAACATCACTTTATCGATGGGAGGCAAGGTTCTTGCGATTGCTGGATGTACGAACGCTGGCAAAACGACATTGTCAAAGACATTGACTCAAAAAGTAGGTTTGTGTTAGAACAAGTCATAATCAGGCAAAGTAAACAAAAAGATAATATATTAACTTTGATTTGCTATAACTTTTTTCAAAAAATTTTTGAAGACTTAAAATTTCGTAAGATTTAAGTTTGTTTATATGGCTATTTAACTTAAAAAGCTGATTTTTGAAATTCTATGATTTTAAAAAGTTATTATCATCAGAAATAACGTTATTACTAAAACCTTTAGATCTCGGAAATCTACAAGTATTCGATTACTCACATTCTTCAAGATGACTTCTTCTACACTCAGGACAAAGTTAGGACGATTCAAAGCAATACGGATGACTCTATCGTGTTCTACGACTACGATAGTCCACGATCTGTAGGTAACGCTTCAAATCAAAAGTCTACAATTTCAGTTAGATGTGGAAAAGCTGAAGGAGACGTTGATAGAAGCAAAGAAAAGGTATGAGATTGTGATACTGGAAGGGAACTTGCTGACGCTACTGCCCACAGTTATGGAAAACGTGGACAAGATGTTGTTTTTGAGTCTGGACAAGAAGACTTGTGCTGAAAGGAGGGTACAAAGGACCGACTATGATCCTCCAGATATGCCTGGGTATGTTCAATGTTATTGTCATTGTAAAGGTCTGGAGTAAGAATAATTTTAAAGACTTACTTTTATGACTTCCCTACTACTATTTTAGTCTAAAAATACATTTATTTCAACGAAAATGTAGTAAATTTTCCAAGACTACTAGAATTGATTGGTATTGCGATAGAAAACACAATTTTTTATGTAAACTTTATTTCAAATTAGTGTTTGCTAATGATAACGTACTTGTAGCTACTTCGAACAAGTCGTATGGCCAGTGTACGAAGAAACTCTGTCAACGGCAGAAAAGATGTCTGAAAGCGTGGAAATTGTTGATGGAAACAGGTCAGATTTGGTGACCTATGCTCTTATGAATGTAAGTGTTATATTTTTTAATATTTACGTTGTTTTAATTTATTTATTGTAATGTAGAGACTTTTTATGACAAAAATAATCATTAATTATCAATAATATTAAAATGAATGATTATTTGTGCTTTTATTAACAATATTTTTAGCTGTTTAATACGTTTGGAAATTATGTACGGTTAACAACTGAACAATTGAATGTAGAAGCAATTACGAATACAGTAGCATCTGATCAAGCTGGAGGGATTAGTATTTTCATTGGTATGTTCTTACATTTTTTTAATTATTTGGGCTCATAAAGAACGTAGTAACTCTTGATATTTGTATCTTATAAAAATATTGTATTTTATAAAAATAACAAAATTACCGGTATAATATGAAAATACACAATATTTTCTTAAAAAATATAGTTTTTAGGCACAACTCGAGATAACTTTGAAGGCAAATCAGTGACGACTTTGTTCTACGAAGCCTACGAACCAATGGCTTACCAAGAGTTGTGGTTAATATGCAAAGAAGTCCGAAGTAAATACCCGAATCTTCGCAGAATCTGTATTCATCATTTGTTGGGGGAATGTCCGGTAGGGAAGAAGTCTGTGGTCATAGCTACAAGTTCTCCGCATCGAAAGGATACCATTGATGCTACTGAGTTTATCATTGATACATTGAAGGTACGAGTGCCAATTTGGAAGAAGGTAAGAGACTTCTCGTCGGTTATTAATGACACTTATGATTATGTTACCGACAAAAAATGATTATGTTCTGCATAATCATCGATCTTCTCAAAAGCCCGTTCAGTAATGATTTTATTAATGTTATTAACACGACAGTAAGACATTGTTTTATCTGATTGGCCATACTTTCAGGAAATCTACAAACAAGGAAGTGGAGAATGGAAGGAGAACAAGGAATCTTTGGTTCATATCAATGCTAATTCTAATGGAAAGACCCTATAATTTAACATTTCTAAGTTTATATATACAATGGTTTATATTATACATGATAGAACAGTTAGTCATTACATTATGTTGAATTATCAGTCATTTAGTTTACTGGGTACTATAAGTATTAGTCAGTACATTATTTAGTATTATATTTTACCACCTTCCCATTATCAATATCTTTGGCTTTCACTTCAAAATTTAAAGTCATTCAAATCGTTGTAAAATCAAAAATTTTAATAAACATTATATTTATTATGAAAAGCATTGTGATTAGATAGTTATTTTGTAATATTGACTCAAAAACATTTATTTTAACATTGTTTACAGTAAATACGGCGTGGTAATTTATAAAAACATTATTCAACTTATTATTTTTGACGTTTTTCAACATTCTTTTATTTGGTTTTGTAAAAACAAACATACCATTAACAATAACAACGTAAAGTCACAAAAACTAACAATCATTTTCATTGAAACTAATGTAAACAATAAAGTACAATACAATAACTGATATATAAACGAATTTATTTGCTTGTAATACAATATTCGTCTTGTTCCTTAACAATATATTGATGTAAAGTCATTTGTTTTAACGTATTCACAACCATATACCGACTCAGTATTATGTTAGGGTACCGAAACCAGAATAACTGAGATTTATGAGCTTTCATCCCTCTCCACGCAGCCAGAGGGGCTGATAAACAAAGCGATGTAGGTGTGAAAAGTGAAGGAAGCAGGTCCAGGATACTCATGTAATTCCGAAGGTCACGAACAGTTTCCAGAGTAAATACCTGAATGCTTGAAGGTATCCAGCCATTTGTATACAAGTACCGTACAGCATTAAAGCAAGCTATGTGGTTCGGATGGTAACTGATTCCATTTTCATCGAATGTGACTATGACATCAAGTTTTAGATCTTTAACATGCTGTAAAATGATATTGGCAAGCCTTTCTACTTCCCACTTATTGGCCTTCCCATCCTGCATGTCATCTAGGTCCATTACTGTAACATCTGACTTTGGTATACCCATACTTTCGCAAGCATCAAACATTTCTTGCCTTCGAATGTTACCTTTTCCTGAAAAAGAAGCTCAATCGTTGTTGAAATTGCTACTCAACAAACTATCAAAACTTATGCAGTTCTCTCGTTATCACCATAGTTTGTAGTCTTACCATGAAAGTTGCCGGTCGAAACACATAGTACAGACACTTTACATTGCTGTGCCAACAATGAAAGAATAGTTGGAGCAAAGAACATGGATTCATCGTCAGGATGAGCTACTACAAGTAAACATCGTCCACTTGTTTCCACTAGAAACCTCCCTTTTCTCAATAAAACGACTAAATATACTAGAACAACTAATAGTACCGTCAGCACGGCTAATAGATCAAAACTCATAGTATGTTTGCTCAAATATACAATGAAATGACAAATGGCTACACTGCCTTGACCATTTTATTTATTTCCATAAGTTACCGCGGTTTTGAACATTTGAACCTAAAACTTACATAAACAATAATGGTGACGTGAGTTTTGTACCGCCTTGATGGTGAAGATCTTTGGATTTTGTAGTAAAACAAAATAAACAAGCAGAGTTGACCAAACGACTATTTTTTACAACCAAAGCCCAATTCAGAACTATAAAAACAAACGTCAATGTGTTAAACATCCGCAAACGCTCACTTTTCAAAATCGCTACCCACAACTCTTCCCTATAAACATATTTTCCAAAGGCAACTTCCAAATACCCATACGTTGGACTTTATTTCCTTAAAAACACCTTCCAAAACATCCAAAACAAATTACAAGTTTATTAAACTTTAACAACAACAATGGCAAAATAAAACTTTACTTTCTCTTTTTAATACAGTACCGATGTAATGATATCCGTTTCAACGAATTTATAACCACGTAGCGACTGAAGACTAGGTAGAGGTATCTGAACCAGACCAGCTGGGACTTGTGGGCCTTCATTCCTTTCCACGCGGCCAAAGGACCCGAAAGACAGAGGAAGGTAGAGGTAAGATGCGAAGGGACCAAATCCAGAATCCCAATATACTTCCTGAGAACACGAACTGTTTCCAAAACAAATACTTGAGTGCCTGAGGGGATCCAGCCATTCGTATATAAATATTGTAGAGCCATGAAGCAGGAAATGTGGTTGGGATGTTTGCTGGTTCCAGATTCGTCAAAAGTTATCACAACTTTGGCATCCAGACGTTCCATATACTGCAAAACTATCCTGGCAAGCTTTTCTGTTTCCCATTTCGTCTTCATCCCGTCTTTCATGTCATCTATGTCCATTACAGTGACATCAGACCTAGATATCCCTATGCTTTCACAAGCATTGAACATTTCTTGCTTCCGAATGGTTCCTTGGCCTAAAAACATTAATTTGACACATTGTTTACAAAGTTATTTTAACTATAGTCTCTACAAAACACTTTTTAAAATTAAAATCAAAATTCACAGTGTAAACATTTATATTAGCTTTGTTTCTTCCCAATCCCCCTTATAGACCAACTAAAACAATATTGCAAAAATAAACCACCTTACCATAACAATCCCCGGTTGAAACGCATAATATATACACTTTGCATTGCTGTGCCAACAAGGAAACAATCGTCGGCCCAAAGAACATGCATTCATCATCGGGATGAGCCACAACAAGTAAACATCGAGCACCTGCCTTTACTAGTAATCTTCTCTTCTTCAACACAACAACCAAATTGACCAAAACAACCAAAAGAATGGCCAATATCACACATATATCAAAGCTCATGGAACGCTCTAAGCACGAAGAATGGAATGATACATGAATAAACTTACTTTAACATTTCTTTGTCGACCGAAAAAAGTGCTCTCTGATGGTTAATTTAAACCAAAACCATTGGAAAAGCACGCGGAATGTTGAAGTAGCCCTAGTCCCCTCGACAGCTGATAGACAATCTTTGCTAATTTCCGTTTTTTCCAAAAAACCGAATTTTACTGAAAAACCACGTTGAACAACTGATCTCGCTACACCCCGCCGCGAAAACAACATGTTGGCTTCGTGTTTTAACGCCGAAAAAGAACAATATTTTGTCTTTTTTCGTAGAAATCAAAAATTTTGTACGGAGTTTATACTTTCCTAACCTTTCTTTATATTTTACATTAGTTCATCATAACAGATCAGAGATGGATGGTGGATACTATCGAGGCACTAATGCCGATCAAGACATTCGGTTTTCTGATAAAGAGAAGAAGCTAATGAAACAGATGAAGTTTGAGAATTCTTTGGAACAAAAGGTAAGTGGTTTTGAGTTGATTCGACTTTTAGATTGATAAAGAAAAAACTTGGTAGATATATATTATTTTAAGACTAATTTTAACATGTTTTTTTGTAAATGCAGTAAAACTCTCGGCATAATTTCAATTGCTATGTATTTTTCAAAAACAGTGTCAGAGAATAGTTATCATGAATAAGATACGTGATGTATTCTCTTTCAGTTATTAACATTATATAGGTGGACATGTCCAAAGTGAATCTCGACGTTCTCAAACCTTGGATCACAGCAAAGTTAAATCAGTTGTTAGGAATGGAAGACGAAGTTCTCATTAACATGGTTTTTGTCACATTAGAAGAAACAAAAGACTTGGATCCAAAGAAACTACAGATCAACTTGACCGGCTTCCTTAACGCTAAACGAGCTCGAGAGTTTATGGGAGAATTGTGGCAATTGGTGATAGAAGCTCAAGGCAGTGAAGATGGGATACCGACGAGTCTTATAGAGAAGAAAATGGAAGAGTTGAAAGCACAAGGAGTTGATGTAGATGAAGTGCCAATGGCAGAATGTACAGAAAACGATTGGAAACACCGCTACAAGAGTTTGACCGGAGGACGATACGGTAAAAACGAGCCAAATTACAAATCGGAGCCGATGGATAGGAGTCCCAGGAGGAGGTCCAGATCACCAGACTTCAGAAGACGACGAGAAGAACGATGGGACGAAGGTAGAAATGATGCCAGGAATGAGAGACGACAGAAAGAGAGAGATAGTCTAGAGAGGAGAGTTGAGAGAAGGAGGGAACGAAGTGCTGAACGAGAGAAACGACGAGAACGAACTCCAGAACGACGGCGGATCAGAGAGGATGGTGATAGGCGGAAGAAGAGATCCAGAAGCAAGGACAGAAGATCACGGTCGAGGACTCCAGAACGACGTGAAGCTAAGCCGAGGAAATTCACAGAAGAGAAAGTTGTGAAAGAAGAAAAGGTGGATAAGCCTGAGAAAGAAGAGAAAATAGAAAAAGTGGTCAAACAGGAGAAAGAAACGTAAGGATTTGCTGTACTTTTTAATCATCTTATTACCTAAAGTATAATTTTTGTAAAATTTTGAAGAGTAAACTAAAAACACTGATAATATTTTTGTGTTTGATGTTTAAGTAAGACAATTAACACTTTACAAGTTTATTGGTTTTTCCTTTTAATTGTTTATTCGTTTTTGTTACCTAAAAACTTCATTAGCTCTAATACGGTTGAATGTTTTCGAAATAACAGTGTTATTGCTGTTTATTAAAACAAAATCGATTTCAGATCAGAAAAGGAAGACCATTCGCCAGAACCCGAGCCGAAACGCCGACGAAAGGATTCAGAAGCCGGCGAGAAGAAGTCGAAGAAGCACAAGAAGGAGAAGAAAAAGAAGCACAAGAGAGAGCGGCGGGGATCGGACTCGGATTAAGCTGTTTATTTATTGTTTTTAATAAAAGAGAACGAACGTTGTGGTATTGTGCGATCAGTTGTTTGCAAACGCTCTATTTGGCTTTACCCTTGTATACTGTTTGTTTGGTTTAATCTCCGTTGTGGAGGGGTTTAATTGACGGTGCTCTCATTCCGATCGCTGCGATTTCGAAAAAAAACGAAGAAGTTCGTTGCCCGGAGGCACTTGACATTAAATGGTTCGCCGTTTCGAAAGAATTCAAATCTGAAAACGGATAATTATCCGAATTAAAAGCTTTTCCATATTTTTTTTGTTTAATATGGGAGAATGAGACTTTGTAAATTGAAAGTAAGGAAGTATTTATAGTGATTTCATGTTTCAATGTTAAATTGTACGTTATGATATTACAATGTATATCGCCTTAGTGGAATTAGTCGTAGTAAAAGGCAGAAAGGGTTTATTTTGTCATATTTTTAATGACGAAAATGCTTTTTTATTTGACAAGCAACATATTGATAGGTCAAAGTAAACATCTAATGACAGTTTTAATGTTTACGAAATGTTTATTCGGCCGACATTTTCATAGATCATCAGATCTTCAAAAGTTATTGTGTTTACTATTAGGTTTGGTCGGAAAGTGTATAGAATATGGTTTTGCAACAAGGGAGTATTTTCGTAGGCTAGATCTAGGTTTTACGTAGTTTAAGTAATCATTGGTTTTCATCAGTCTTGAAACTTGTATCGGCCTGCATATTCCTCTATTGTCTCAAACTTAATTTATTTTTGTTGTGCCTTCTCTCGTCTGACCCACGCTGAACACTATCAATGAAATCTTGATTCTGACCGCTGTCCTTTTCAAGTTCAGATCCCGTTTGAGGATGAATGTTGAGGATGACTCTAATCGAATCAGAAACAGTTGTGAATAGGACTGCTTTGTATTGTGAATAGAATGGAATTGTTTGGGCGCAGTGAGGTGTGCGACGAGCTCTCCTCTTTTCAAAGCTTCTTCAGGTTCGCGCGGGTCGAAAAAAAAACGGAGAGCTTTTGGGGGAAAGAAGGTAACCAAGCTCTTATTCTGAAGAATGCCGAATTCCGGATCGAATTTAATTAGTCAACGGAAGCTTCTGATTTCTTGGATTTTGATTCTTTCAAGTTTGGGTTTTGAGTTTTAAAGTTTTGAACTCGAGTTTCTAGAAATGATTTTAGGTTTAGGAAAATTATTTTTCGGGAATTAAGAGTTGGCTGGTTTATAAAGTCATAACCCTAACATTTTTTAATTGGTGAAGCTTTCAATTTTTAATTATAAGACATTTTCTCGGACCTGGGATTGTTATTGTCTCGATCCAAGGCTTTTCCGACCATTTTCTTCAAGGCTGGTTATAATTTGGTTATGTTAGATGACCTTGACTAGCCGATCGTTTTCTCCACTTGTTTTTTTATATTAATTCTCTAGAATATTGTGATCGAACGGTATGTTTTGATCTTTTTGAAGCTCTAAATCTTGTTTGTTTTGAAAAAAAAAATTTTAATTGGTAAATATACCAAAGTGTCTGGATTTAATCTCATATTTTGCATTATAACCGTATTTTATGAGATTAAAAACTTTTGTCGTAATTTTTATTTTTTGCACGGTGCAATAATTAAAATTTAATAAAATTTGAATTTTTGAATTAAAAATGTTATAAGATGAACCAATTTACAAGTTAAGGCATGGCAGCTTATTAAAAAGTGGTATAAATCGCATGGTAGCACGATAAAAGCCTTTTAAACACCGTATTTACCGGAGTAAATGTGACGCATAGCTGGCTAGCTGTCTTTATTTCCATACCTTTCCGACGTCACTTTTTTGCACCATAAATGTCTTTTTGCGCCCTCAGGCAGTGTTATACTTTTGAGAGGGCGGAAACGAGAATATTCACCTTTAAGCGTCTAATCATTAAGTTATCAGTTGTGGGGGCTTCAATTCCTCTATGCTTCAGGCTGGTTTTAATTGGAATGAGGGGAGTTTTTGGAGTTATTAAGGGTTATAAGGGGGTTTTAGGATGTAAAAGTAGCTTTTTTTATTTAAAAATGATTTTTCTATACATGTTACGTATTTTACTTAGTTTATATGCAATTCGAAATTCAAATTGTCAAAAATTTTGCTTTAAATTTTAATTTTTTCGTGAGTTTTTACCTTTTGTAAGGTGTAACATTTCTGGTTATCATCGTAATATGTTTATATATATCGTATTAAACATAACCCTTCAGTGTGTCTGGCACAACCTCCTTAATGGAATGGAGGATGGGCGCGTCAGTTTGGCCGAGATCTTCGAAGTGCGCGCTTCTGGCTTCAATTCGGCGGAGCTTCTGGCAGTGTTAAGTGGGGCTACAGAGTGTTTACTCAGTAAAAAAGTTGGAATTAAGGGTCTGTTCAGCCCTGAAACACTTTTTATCACTGAAAATGGCAAAGTTCAAGTGAGTTTTTGACCTTTTTTTATATTTTATGTTTAGGTAAGATATAAAAATAGAATTTTTAATTGAAATGATACAAGACAACCGCGTATTTTACTTGTATTTTTAACTTATTTATTGTAGTTCTTTAAACGAAAACTATTATAATCTACAATTTAGTACATTTGTTTTGAAAAAAGGATGAAAAGCTTATTTTAATTTTAAATGTTCAGATTGAGATATGTGACACAATCAACCCCGACTTCATACCTCCAGAAACCATGCAGAATCCGAAGGAACCCTTATTCGACCATCAGTTGGTGTGGTGTTTAGGTAAAATAGCTCAGAACATCAGCCTACCCACCTCAAATGATGCCGGCCTCTTTTCCTTGATCAATCTGATGACCGTAGAACATGTGGCTACACGGCCCAATCTTCAGAAGCTCAATCAGATGATCAAGAACAAGTTAGCCAACCCGGAAGCCGTCAGCAAGACGTTGAAGTTGATGTTCGAGGAGGTTATGGGCAATATTGAAGAACTGGTAAGGCGAATATTATGGTTGAGGGCTTCAAAAGCTAGTTATGTTTTCAAAATTTTAAAAGTTGAAGTTTTAGTTTTGAAAAGTGATTTAAAATTTGGGTAAGAGTTATTAGAATTTTTTTAAAATTTTTTTTGATAATTTTTATCCTTTTATGTTCAGGCAGACGAATCAGATGAAGAAAACTATATCTCACCGCCGATCATACCCATGTCTTACTCCAAGAAAGCCGAACTAACTCAACATTCGTCACCGTCGTCGTCTGTAGCTTCGGATTCAAGCAATGATCATGGCATACCTCAAAGTAATAATTTTAGCCAGAACAATGGATTTCAACCAGTTTTATCGACCGAAAACAACTCTTTTACCACGATTCAACATAGCTACACACAAGAGTACACGGTACGACCAGATAACTCTAAAGGACATTATGATGAAGATTATGATCATAAAGGACATAAAAATGAAGGTTATGGGGCATATCAGAAGGATCAACATGAAGAATATCGTCAAGAAAGTAAAACTACTAGGATAAATCAAGAAGAACATCAAGTTCAACATACAGATCATGGCGTAAGTCATAATCACTATTACGATTATGGACATCAAGAACAACATATTGACTTTGGAACCGATGATAATGCTTATGGTAATCATGTTAATGAAGATTTGGATACAAGTGTAACGAATGTCTTTAAATATGGAGGAAAGCCGGTTCAGAATGGGGACAAGCTGGCATTTGATTATGCTGATGATGTAGATGAACATGATGAATGGGTTAATGTCAACAAAAATGATGTGTCTGGTCCAGCTGGTGTTGTTTCGGTATGTTTTTGATTTCAAATAGTTTCTTATATATGGAAACTTTTAATTTTTTTGGTGAAAGGTTACATACCGTGTCTACTTCTAGATCCAGAAGCAACCAGTAACCGCTACAGCAAGTGAAACCTTGAGTAGGATCAGTGAAGAGTCTACATCGTTACGCAATTCTGTAGTTGACCAGAAGGTTGCGACACCGGAAATGGAGAGCAGGAACATTCAGAAGCCTGAAACGACCGGTAGATTCTTGAAAAAGTCGGAAATTCAAAACAAATACATTAGTCACAAACCCTCAGGGTCAGTCGAAAGTAAGTTTTACAGTAGTTATTTATACTGTAATATTTTGAATACTAGTTCATATGAATTTCCAAAAGATTTAAGCTAACTAACCTTATATCACTCTATGTATTACCTTATATCACTCTATGTACTAACGTATGTTATTTAGTTGTGGCAGCCGAAGTTCACAAAGACTACAGTAGAGACTCTTCACCATCAGCCTCACTGGAATCAGAAGCCACAAGTGAAAACAGCTACAGAAGACAAAATATTGTAGGTTTTTTGAATACAATGTTATTAATGGTTAATATAATTGATTTAAATTTATGTCGTTGATGGTGAAGATCCTCGGAAAACATTTATAATGAATATTTCAGGAAAACCAAAAACCTCAGCCAGAGATTACCTCGTTGGATCAAACCGACAAAATTGTTAAACCTCTTGGATCACCTGTGATCAATCAGAATCTGGTCAGACACAACTCTTTGAAGCCTTCGAAGATTCATCGTCAGAGCACGAATCGACAAGTTAATGTAAGAAGTGGCTTGTATTTATTGTAGTTGGTAGTAAAAGCTATCTTTCGTTTGATTTTGGGTATTAAAAGGCGTAAGGCATATTATATTTGTTTTAAAACAGATATTACATCTGTTTAAAGTATTGACTATGATGAAGTTTGCCATTATTTTCAGACGTTCGCGACTCCAGAATTCCTCGAAAAGAAGTCGTACCCAATCATCAGACTCCGCGCTCAAAGTCAGAAGCGCCGAAGAGTGGCGCTACACCGTGTGGAAGAAACTTTCTTGTTTGTGAAACTTTTAAACGGCCAGAAGGTCGAGTTGAACTGTCGAAGCGACGCTCTGGTCGGAAACATCTTCGACACCGTCGTCGCTCATCTTAATCTCAGCGAGAACAGCTTCTTTGGGTTGGCGATTCTGGAAGGTAGGTTTCTCCACTTTGTTTAAATTTGAAATGTAAATTTATGCAAATTTTTACATAAATTATATTGTTTTAGGTAATAAATTTAAAAGTGTGTTGTTTTAGATAACTTTTGTAATAATTTAGATAACGAGTACTTTTTCCTGGAGAATGAACAACGGTTAGAGAAGTTTGCACCATCAGGATGGCGTTTGGCCTTAAAAACCGGTTCACGCTACAGTTTTATGTTGTTCCTGAGATTCAAATTCTACCCGAAACGCAACGATTTTGTAAAGTAAGTTTTTGTTTTTGTAAAATGCTTCAGATAAAATATTTTGCAAAATCTATAAAAAATAAGTACCTATCCTTATTATTGCAATATTTATCACATAGAGTTTTCTCTGAATTTTAAGACCGAAACTGATTTTTAGGACCGCTCAAGCTAGCCATAACCTGTACATTCAATTACGTCAAAATATTCTGGACGGTACCCTTCAACTGAATCGCAACCAACTTCTTGAAGCTGGTTCATTCGCGCTTCAAGCCGAGTTTGGTGACAAGCCTGATCATGTCAATAACTACTTTGAATTGGACGGTTATATACCTAAAGCAAGTTTTTTAGATAATTTGTTCTAGGCTTCTATCAGAAATTGAAAATACTGTAGAAAGATTTTGCGTATTTTGCTTTTAAATTATATGTTGAACATAGCCCATTAAAAAAATAAAAGTTTTGGGTACTTTTTCACTTTTTCCAGTAATATCTTAGGTAAAGCTTTTAAATTACTAATCATGTTTCATTTTCAGAGTATGCTCGCACGAATGAAGCCAGAAGACACCCACAACCTAAAAGACGCGATTCTCCGCCTCCACGCTACAAAGAAAAGTCTACGGTCGAAGGAATCAGAAGCCGAATTCATAGAGCTTTGCCAATCTTTACCGACATACGGTGCTCATTTCTATCTGGTACACAAGTTTAAGCCTTCAAACAAGAACCCAGTAGATGCTCGGTTTCGTGCCCACCAATGGGTCGTTATAATGCCTCAGGGCATTGGAATCGCAAAAGAAACACAAATCGGAACGAAACAGATCAATTCAGTTCACGAATGGCACATGATACGAACCCTACAGTACGATGGCAAAAGGTTCTTGCTGGCCACGATGGAGAACAATATCGCCGTGGATCATGTGTTTTATCTGGAGCATTTTACAAAGTAAGTGGTAGGATGGTGAATTAATATTAGGTTGCCTTTTCTCAAAGCAAATTTTTGGGCTTATGGGCACAGAATTATTTGAACGATCTAATACTATTATTATGTTTATCTTTCTAGAAAATAAAAAAAAAACGAACTTTTCAGAAGCCGTTACCTAGTCAAATTCGCAGCAGAACAACACAAATTCATGTTGAGAATGCGGCAATGGCAGTCAACATTACTCCGCAACAAAGTAACCGGCAATCAAGACGTTATGGTAGAGAGAGGAGTAGACGAAGTAGATCATAGAGAAGAAGCAGAACATGAACAGACTGAGTGGAACGACATGACCTTGTGGACTGACCAATTTATCGAACAAACTTATGGATCAGATGCTCAAAAGCTGGAGATTATTCTGGAGAAAGATCCTGTGAATGGACTGGGGTTAACTTTGGTCGATGGAAGTGTCAATGGAGTCAAAGGTGTATATGTGAAGAGTGTGGCGGAGAATGGAGATGGCAAGAGGAAGGTAAGAGCGATTATTACAACTATCTGAATTGTCAGACTTTTAATTATTCTTTAAAGAAAGTTATAGCAAAAACTACAATTACGTTATATATTAACATTACCATTCTAGGGCCTTCACATGGGCGATTGTATCCTCAGCATAAACAACGTGTCCCTTTGGAATCGCACTCGTCACGATGCTGTAACTCTAGTAAAACAATGTGAAAGCCATGTCAGAATCCAGTTCCTCCGCTTCCACTCGATAACAGCTGTCTTGTTATCAGAAGGTCCAGAGAAATTCAAAGAATCCAAACCAGAAGAAGCCACGCGAAAGTCTCCAGAATCACCGAAGAAGAGTGTGGACAGTATGACGTTGGGGAGGATGGCAAGAACACCCCCGCTCGAGAAGAAAGAAGTTCTGAATCGACGACAACGAGCGGTCTCTGACTTTGGAGTCGTCTCAGACACGTTACCTACCTTGAATTCAGAGGACTTACTCAAGAGCATGGAGCAGTTGTCACGGTAGGTTGATAGATCAGGTTTTGAAGGAGAGTTTGGTAGTTGTTGATGGAGAATCAACTTTTTTTGGTAAAAACTTATTATTTTTGGAAAAATAGTGCAAAGCTGCTGGCGCAGGTCAAAACACGGGTTTGCAGACTGCAATAAAAGTTTTTATCTGATGGTGATATTGTAAATACAACTGAAATACCTAGGTTTTAGGCTTAATTTTTATTGTTTTAGGTCCAGAAAGCGAATTGAATCTTCATCAGAATCCGAAGAAGAAGAAACCTCCTTCATGAATAAAGGTGTATATAACCCTCCTGTCAGTGATATGTACGCGTTTCATCGAAACTCGGATGATGAAGATGTTAACAGAGATATTGAGCCAACAACATCTAAGCAGAAGTCTTCGTACGACTACAGTAATGCTTCGTATGTCGACGAACGAAAAGAGTCCAGACCAAAGTTACCGTAAGATTTTGAAATTACTGTAATTTTATGTCACTGTAATTTTTTTATATAGGTGGAATGGCTATTTTAAAGATCATACTGTACTTTTAAAAAGATGTGTTTGCTACAGTATGATTGTAAAGAACTGTATTACAGTAAGCAAAAGACCCTGGACTGGACCAACGAAGTGCAAGCACATGAAAGTGAAGATGAAGAAGACGACCAGAAGTATATTACAGTAGAGCTGGTGAGAGCTCCAGCACGATCGTTGGGCTTCAGAATCGCCTCTTCTAATGGCGTCGTCAGAATCAAACAAATCACTTCGGAGCCGGCTTCACAAGCTGATCTGAAGGAGAACGACAGACTGATTTCGATCAACGGAAAGGAATTGTCAGGGCTGGCACATCAAGATGTGGTCAATCTCTTGAGGAACGGTGGCACCGTGATCACGCTGAAGATAGGGAGAAGTGAAGAGGAGGAGGGAGAGAGGATTACTGTAACATTCCAGAAGGCTAAACGGGAGGATTTAGGTAATGTTTTAATTTTAACAGGTTACAGTAGGCTCTGTATAAAGAATTTGATTATAATAAGGATGCTTATAACGAGCTTTTACTGTACACTTGGTGCTTTATACCATATACCGTACTATAAAGTATAAACCACCACAGCTTATGTAAGATAATACTTATGGTACTGCTTTAGGTATCTCCTGGGCCAAGCGAGCCGGAGCCGACGGTACCTACATCAGAAGCATAACTTTTGGATCTTTGGCGGAATCTGAAGGCACTCTTCGTATGGGCGACATTGTGATGACTGTCAACAACCTCGATGTGACTTCACAGCTTCCAAAAGAACTGATTGAACATATCAAAGACATTGAGGGAGAGGTCAGGATTACTGTACGGAGAAGCTTACAATAAGGAGTAGCTTACTGTAAGGAGAAGCTTACTGTAATTTAGTGTACAGTAGCATGGCTTACTGTATTTTCTTGATTTTCCAACTAATTTTTAAAATTTTTGAAATTGTAAGTTAGAAATTATTTTTATTTTTGGTTAAAAAGTGTTGGAATAATTGCACGGTGCAGCTTATTTATGTTTGCACGGTGCAATCATTTCAACTGACATTTTTTACCTTTTTTTGTAAAATCGACCATTTCTCTGTTAAAAAGTATTTGTGATATTGTTATAACCCGGTATTCGTATTTTCACTTACTGTAAGATTTAATTTTTTCAGCTTTTATAACGTTACTGTATTTTCTAAACTAATTGTAAGATTTTTTTCATGTTTACTGTAGAAAACATATGTTATGATGACTAGATTAAGTGCCTTTTTCGCAAAACTAATAAGAATCACTGTAAAATACCTTACCAAAACATGACTACGGCCAAGATACGATGAACGCATTAACTTATTTTTGTAATAAATTATGTTACAGTATGTTTTTGAAGGGACCTTGATGTAATATGGGGAGTTGAGACATTCGTTTAGGTGTGCTTTTAAGAGTTGTCAAGATTTTGTTGTTTTTATGAAAGTTACAGCGTGGTAAAACTAGAAAATGTTGTAATTTTGAGAGAATTCGAACATTTTTTTGTGTTTTTGCCATTTTTAATAATCATAAAATTGTTAAATATGATTATTTTGATCTAAAATTTTTGTTATAGACTTACAATGCCATGTTTTATTTTACAAACTCTTTTATTTAGATTTTGTTAAAATTATAAAAAAATTTGGCTTTAAAGTCACCGTACCTCCAAAAATCAGTCATATGTTTATGTGTAGAAAAATCATGTTTTCATGACGAAAAAAAAAGTGATCTGTTTATCCAATTCAACGTTAAATAACCGTAAAACAAGGCCCATAATGACTATGGCTTTATGGCCAATCAATTTGTCCATAAACCCCTTTATTGGTCGCTTTTTTGGGCCAACAGCGGCTCCGACTGCTGCACTGTGGTCTTGTGCTTCTGGTGGGCGCGTTGGCGGCGGAGATCCGACTTGATCAAGGCTGCAAATGTGATTGCAATTACAAGTTAAAGTTGATCATGCGTTGTAGGTTGTGCAATATCAAGTTAAAGCTGATAATACGTTGATATTTTAAAATTTCGGAAAAATTTTTGAACTTTTGCCGATTTTTCGAATTTCTGCTTAATTTGTCGTTTAAAACCACATTATTTGCTTATAAAAAGAACTAAAAATATAAAACAATATCTTTTTCATTATTAACAATCAAAAACCTACCAGTAAGTATCACACCGACCAGCAAAAACCCGCTCATCAGCACATTACACCACCAAATTGACATTGAGTATATCACTTTGCCAGCACCAGTTGTCATTAAAACCCCAAATACTTGAGCTGATCCATTTAGTAGGCCAGAAGTGGTACCCTCAGGCGTTGGGAAAGTCAATTCGGCCGCGAATTCAAAGCCAATCGGTAGATAGCCAGTCATAAAAAACCCGAGAGCTGCCGCGACAACAAATGTTATCCATAGGTCGAGATGCAGGGTGAAGGTGAAGAGCACCATTCCCAGGAAAGAGAGGATGTACACTCCCAAGGTAGTACCTCTGGAACCAAAAGAATCATTTTCAATCAAAAATCATATAACGTGACAGGGTTTTGAGACAAAGAAGTCCAAAAGAACACAATGCCAAATTGGCGGAAAAAAAGAATTCAAATAGTTTCATTTTAAAGGACCAGAAACCTATCAAGATCACAAAGTACCTACTTGAATTCGTGTGTTCTGTCAAGAATATATCCTCCTACAACCGAGCCGAACATTCCTGCGACAACAATCAATAGACCAATAGTACCAGTTTCTTCTTGAGCACCTTCGTGATAAAACAGTACCATTTGACTTAACAAGGTGGACACCGCGTAAAATACGCCAACATTTATACCTAAATTAATATATTGTCACTATAAAGCATACTTTTTATTTTTTTACACCTAAATTCGTACTTATAATACTAAAATATGTTAATTATATTGATTTGGCTTTGCTCGGAGAATTCTATAAAATAGATTATGTTATCTTTAAAGTTGTTTACAAAAGGTAAGGAATTTCAAAGGTAACATAATATGATAAGTATTTCTACCATAATATATTAAGCACTTCTTCAAGTTTAACATACCATATGTAATAAGCAGTAACATATAGTTGTGGTTGAACAATAACTCTTTAATTGAAGCCCAAAAGCTGTGGCCAACTGTCTCTTCAAGAGCTTGGGCCTGTGCCAGGCTTGGAGGTAGTTTAGGCTTTTCCTTGAAAACTGCAAAATTTAAAAATTTAATTTAATTTTCTTTTATATTTTCACCTCAAAACAACTAATCCTGCCGTTTTTCAATAGAATTGAGGGGTTTTCAACTTTTTTTCATTAAAAAGTTTTTATTTTTTCTAAATTTTCGCCATCAACCAGCTTTTCCGTGCCAAAACTAATCTACACATCAAGTGCAAATCCTCAAAAACAATACCAAAGCTTCCACAGACCCTACAGCATCTTCCAAGCTCACAACCACTTACATAGCACGATTAATACAAACACGAACGTGTTGACAACAGCCGAGATCAAGAACAATATACTCATATCGTAAGCCACCTGCTCTTTCGTTCCTTCGTGCACGAGCCATGGTGGAATTAGGAAACCCAATGCAATTCCTAATTGGTTACCGAAAACACCAGCTGAACACGCGGTACTAACTTGCTCGGGACCGAACCAAGTGGCAGCGAGCTGAGGCGGAATGCCAAGGATGAAGACTTGAGAAGAGCCGACGATGGTTTGGCCAACAAAGGTCAGCCAGAACTTGTCTGAAGGTAATTATATTGTGAGATAAAGGCCTATTAAAGCCTATTATAACCTATATTTACATAAATTTACATATCTATATGTATATATATATATCTACCTATACATATACAAATAGATATTATAGTAAAGTTTTAGTGTAAAGGTAAGCTTTTTGCCAATTTCAATTGACAAAACCTAAAAATAAAGAGCTGTATTTCACATACCTGGATGTGTTGATAATATTTTAAGCCAAGCACCAAAACAGTTACCAAAAGCACCAATTAGCACCGATTTTCGTAGCCCGTACTTTTCCAAGAACCAACTGAAAATGACATTTTAAGTTATATTATTACAATACTGTGTTTTTATTACTGTGGTTTTGGTACTGTAATTGGTCTATAATATACAGTAAACAAGGCAAAATTTTTTTTGTTTTACTTATTCCTCTGACACTAACAACTTTACTGTGCACTGCTTTATATTGGGTTGTTCAAATAATTATGTGCTCCATGTCAAAGCAAATTTTTGGGGTTAGGAGGCACAGAATTACATGAACAACAATATATTACTCAACCATTTTATTTTACTGTAAACCTTGAGTTACTGTATTTCTTTTAATACTGTACATCTTCCTCCACTATAATATCTTGTCTATGTCATCGTCTCAAGCCTAAACTCGGCTCTCTCGGGACTTATTTGCTGTAATTTTGGGCCGCTTTAATCGATACTTTTGATATTTTTGTTTGTTCGCGCAGTTTCTTTATTTACAAAAGCCCTTCAAACTTTACAATCGGTCTCGTCTCCTTTGACAAGCGTGCCTACTAATCCGCAAACGATCCGTCGGCTTACAAAAAAGTACAGAACGGCCGTGGAACGGTGGGAAAACAAAAGGTTTGCAAGAACGTGTTAAATAACAATAGGATTAGGGGAAGAAACTTCAAAGTTTTGAGGTAAAATACGATTTGTTGTTTTAGTTTAACACATGATACTACAAGAGACTTATAAAAAAAGATAAAAAAGTTATTTTACCACAAAGTCATACTGTAATTTGAGTACCTGAAGCTATTTTTGTAAAGATTTTAAATTTTATTCCAAGAATTTAAAATAGGTGCAAAGTGTACTGTTTCACGGTACGTTGCAGCGTGAACAGTGTACACAAAGAACAAGTCAAATGATCGAAGAGTAAATAGATATCTCAACTTTTGAACTAGTTTAGAGTTAAAAACAATGTTCCTGATTCAAAAATCAAACATTTAATTGGAAAGTGAATTGTGCAAAATAATTTTTTTAAAAAAAGTACAAAAAAGTTAACATGGAAAGTGCCCGACCTGCCTTTTTTTGATTGAGTTCAAAGTTATTATATAAAAAGATGATGTATATACAAATACAAGATCTTCAGCAAAAGTAATAAATCGCGCTTTCCAGAAAATCTCTCGAGAAAATACAAATCAAAAAATTACATTTTGAATTCCCCTCCCAATTGGTATTGTGTTTCAAGCTTAGAACTATGCCATTTTTTACCTTTAATTATTTTTCTTAGGTACACTAGTAAAAAACCTCCAAATGAAGCGAAATTTGTAAATTTTAAGACGTACCTTCTCTTGAAAATCAAAAAAGTGCTTAAAACACGATGCCAAATTTGCGGGAAACTCATATTTAAAATTTAAAACTAAAAAACGCAAACACAAATTTTTTACAAGTACTACTGGTGGTACAATAAATTCGTATAAAAATTTTGATCTGATTCTGAGTGGGGCAGATTTAAAAATCAAATTTTAACAAAAAAATACAATCACAAAACGAGGTAGCGATTGAACTTTTTACCTCAAAAAACTTCTAATACCAAAGTAAACAAGAGATAATATGTTAGCAAACTTTTGCAAATAAATATTTTTTGTTCAAAAATTTAAATTTAAGTTTTTTTTCAAAAAATAAATTTCTTAATTTAAATTAAGTTAATTTTAAAAAAAATATAAATTAAATTTAAAATTAAAAGAAATCCATTTTGAAGGCATAAAATTAGAGGTTTGTAAAGAGAAGTTGGCCATAAATCAGAAATCAATTAATTTTGGCCAAGAAACTCTTAAATTTTCTCGGATTTGATTTGATAACGTCATTATTGCCAGCTGGTTTTTGGAATTGATCTTACTATGGACAAATTGCATATATTCAAAAGTATGCAAAATTTTAAAATTTTAATTTAAATTTGACATGACTATCAGTAAACTCCTAATCATTTTACATTACAGTAGCCCTTTAACACTTCCTCAGTAACCCACCTTCCAGGAAACACCAACAACATGTACATCAACATGTATATCATGGATGTCCAGTTGATGGCGTCGTAACTGACTCCATAGAACTCGGTGAAGACATGAGCAATAATAGAGTACTCAATCCATTGTAAAGCATTAGAAGCCGACAGTAATATGAACATGATCAGCATGAGGTATCTGCGTTTGTAGAGTTTGGTCTCGGGCTGAAAACCGTCGCCCAGTTCGGCCGATTTGGCTGACATTTTTAGGCTGATACTGAAAAATTTATCTTAACTTTTAAATTTTAGGTACTGTTTAACCCATACTATCACCTACTATCATACTTTATGTTATTACCCTATTCAAAGCCTCAAATCGCCCAATAAAAATGTAAATCATGTTTCAGATGGTGATATATCCCTAATGAATTCAAGTCATCATATTCATAAAACTCATAACTATCATTTACTATCATTTATGCAAATTTAAAATGAATAAGAAGATACGAACATGTTGTTTTGTTACACTTACTGTACGCTGTTCCGTTTACAACCGAATTGACTGTCCGAGAGCGGAGTCGAGCTTCGACTTGGCCCTTCTCATTTTTGTGTCCTCAAACAAAAAACTTCGGCCCCGCCCCACCAAAAAATAGCTAAAACAAAGGAATTGAAATCGATGCTGGAAGAGCACGACTTTGAATCGACTCGGATCAAAAGCACACAAAACTCGAAAATACATAAGTAAAAAGTACATTGAAACTCCCGTATGTAGGAATGAAAAACAGGCCGTGTAGGCCTGGTCTAGGCCAGCCTTACGATCGGACCGGGCTGGCCTTGAGCTAAACTTGAAACGGGCCGCGTCGGCCTTAGACGGAAGGGGCCTTAAAGTAAGCCCGGCCCGTTTTTATTTTTTTTTCAGGCCGGCTTGGCTCAGTCAAAAAAATTTGAGGCTCGGTTACCTCTCAATTAAAATTTTTTTTGATTTGAGTCTACTATGTAAGACCGTTCCGCAAGCCGAGCTCGACTTTTAAGCCAGGCTTGTTTTGACTTTAGTTCACGGCCGGCCCGAGCAGACCTTCACGGCCTGTTTCTCACCCATAGAAACTCATGTATAACGAATTGCTAGAGGGTTTAAAATTTGTTCATTATAAAAGTTTTTTTATACAAAAGTTTTAAAAATGCACTGTGTAGTGTTAGCTAGGCATTTAGAAGTCGATCGTTATACATGAGTTCTACTGTACAAATAAAATAATCAATTGAAACATGCATGAAAAACAATTTTACAAGTTACATAACATTATACATCGCATAAGTATTTTAAAAAGTTTTAAACTGCTAATTGTAAAAAACTCAAATTAAAAAGAACCACCCTCCGTGTAAGCAAGATACCAACTATTTAATAAAACTGTAATGCGATATTTATATTATTCAGAGCAGACGTGCAAAATACCGTGCAAAGTGTGAATTAATCCGAAAAATATAAAAACAAAGTAAGAGAGGTTGTAAGTGTGTCTTATTAGTCTTTATAGGTTTCAAAATTACATTTTATTAATTTTAAATCAAATATTAAAGCTTATTTTAGTAGCTATAGACATGTTTTTAAAAGCATCTTTTATAATTTTAAAAAAGGTATAAAAGTAAGCGTGAGAATCAAACTATTGTCTCTGATGTATACTTGCCTCTACTATAATATAACAAAATTTTGCCTTGAAAATTAGTTTTTACTAGGGAATGGCACCAAAGATCCCTCGTCTATTAGACATTACCTATATAGGATAAAAGAGCATAAAAAGTTATCAAGAAAATAGTTTTTAAAAACGGCTGAATTGTCTTGGCTAGCGAGGTTTCAGCAGCCACAGAAAGGTAACATAATAAAACCAGAAAAAAGACAACGTATTTTAAGTACAAATAATAGTTTAACCAATGGTACGTTGCAAACTCGTATTTTACAAAAACCATTGTCAAACCTTGTCTTAACAAAACACTTTATATTATACGTACATGAATGACATAGCCAGTTATTTTTGTAATCTCGAGTGGGGGAAATCTCTAATAACTTTCTCAAACAAACAAAAATCGAAAACATAATTTGATACAGACATTTGTAATCGAATTAAGCTGTTATTGACACGGTAATTTGTCTACCTTCCAAAAGTAAGCAAATGTTCGATTGAAGTTGTCGTATTTTACCAAAAAGCAACTTTTTGTTTAGCAAAAAAATATTATTATGTTGTTCAAATAATTCAGTGCTCCCTAATTTCAAAAAGTTGAAAAAGGCACATTATTATTTGAACAATCTAGAAATAAAACTTCTTCATTTATCGTATCATGAAACTCCAAACTACTCGTTCCGACTAACACTACAGTAACTTCTGTGTACTGTAACTTCCAAGTACAAGCCCAAAAACTTTTTTTAACTCAAAAGCATGATTTTTCCAGTTGAAAGCTTTTAAACATTGAGAAATGTCAATAAATATCATGGTTATGCAACGTTGGCTATCTATTGTAAAGCCATCTCTATTGTTGTGATAACATTACTATGCTTAAAATAATGTTTAATTAATCACCCTTTTTAACATTAATCAGAAAAAGTTGTAAACAAAAGCTTAAAAACGGAAATATATATTGTACACAAGCCTAAAGCTGTCTTTGTTATTAGAAATATACATCATACTAGATACATTTGAAGTCTTGGTACTGTCAAAGAATCTTCTATCATAAAAGAATCAAAAAGACTAAAAAAGAGCAAGTATAACACTAAAACATTACCTAATATTCAAAATACCACCAGAACCCTCGAAACCAGCCCTCCATAAATCAAGCTGTTAATCACCCAAAATTACAGTAATCACTTCCAATTACAGCTCCGAATTAACATGATCTACGAGCATCTTCAGCACAATGCCCGAGGCCATAATAACCAAATCCCGAGGCCCAAAACAATATTTCCAATAAAACTGATAACATTCTTTATGTTATCGTCTCTCGGAACGGCCCGAGAACGTTGGGAAGGCGACATGAAATTAATCAAGCCCTGAGGCGCTATAAAGCCTGACAAATCGAGTCGAAGACAAAGAAAGTGAAAGGACAAGGTGATAGTGAGGTCAAAAGGTTAGCACCTTAGTGGTACGAATGAGGTGTATGATAGTATTAGGTTGTTCAGTTAATTCTGTGCCCTATTGTCTCAAAAATTTGCTTTGATAAAAAGCACAGAATTAATTGAACCACCTAATATCTGCCTACATTTCGTAGTGTTTTCTGCCCTAACTCTTCTTTACTCTACTTTATTCTACCTTATAGTACTGTAACCTACGTAGTGCTACTATCATAATACGGAGAACTTATTAGTACTACCAAACAGTAACAAAACATCAATAGTACCAAAGTTGTTGTACTAAAAACTTTATGGAAAATAGTAGAAACTCGTATTTTACCTTGAAGATCTAATTTTGCTCTCCTGATCTAAAACAATATAAAATAATAACATTTAAAGACCAATATAATGTAAACGCCACGTAGCATTTCTAAAATTCTCTTGAGAATAACAAATTTCAAACGTACATATGTTTTCGAAAAAACTTATATTTGCCATTAATTAACTCGCCGTTAGCTGCAAAATCAAAGCTAATGATTCACAAGTTCATTTTTGAGTACTAGTCTTTGATTACCGTACTGTTGCTTAAAAATGTCATCAATTTTTAGAAATTTCTTGAAAAGCTAAAATATGGTCTGTCCAAAAATGAATAAGCTAAAATAAAGTTTTTTTAAATCACAAATAAAAATATAAAGTTTGAAAAGGAATTCTTTTAGAATGTTTTATAGCAGATACGATGCATTCCAATGATACCATACGATTATTCAGCATGATATCTTAAAAAATCAAACTTGTCTACTTTAAAAAGCTCATCCATATTTAGACAACCCAGCACCGGCATAATTTTAATATTGCAATTCAAAATTATGGTTCAAATCACGTTTATAAATATATTATACATAAAAATATCTATGCCAAGTTTTATGAATCAGAAGTCTCCAAACAATGTCATAAAGAAAGTCATAAAGTGCCAAACAGTAAGCCCACTTAAGAGCTCTTAATTGAAATGCCTGGAGGCAAACAAAGAAGGTTTGTTTTGAGTGATAAGAGACAAAAGAAGTCGTTCACACCTGATATCAACTGATATTGCACTTGAGTGGCGACAAACTTTTATTAATTACTTAAAAAGTTGATGGTACAGTAGGACGAGCCAAGCCTCTATTAAAATGAAATTACACTAGTAATTACAAAATAAGCTAACCAATATAAAATAATAATACATTTTATATTACACTAGGTTGTTCAAATAATTATGTGCCCCCTTTCAAAAAACTTTTTCGTGGTTAGGGACACCAAATTATTTGAATAATTTCATTAAAAAGTCATTTAAATGAGGTATGTATAGATATAGGTATATTATTTAAGTCCGTGTTGTATCAATATCTATGTTACTGTTGACTATGAATTCTGATTCTGTCCAGTTTTTTGAAGTCAATCAAGTAATCTCGTAGGTCAAATTCAGATAAATCTGGAAACATAAAATCCTCAATCTTCTTATCATTCAACGACAGTCTTTCCATTATGTACTTGAGTATAACTACACATAGATAACCCTGAAACATACATGTAAGGTATTCATTTTATACTCTAATGTATAGTATCTTGCTTACCACTACTCTACTATAGTACCCTACCCTACTCTACCCTACTGTAGCAACCCAACGTATTTACCGTAAAATTGTGTCCCAGTACCAGTTGATACCCGATTAACTGTTCCAACTGTTCCACCGACAACATTCCAATAAAAAATCGCTCAATCCAGTTTGAGATCAAATGAAACAAAGGCACTTTCAGCTCATCCACCACAAGACCAATGTTAATATACTCGTGGTCGCCCAAGGCACAGTTGATAAAGCGATATGTGATTTGAGAAAATTTTTCGTAAAATAAACTATTCGAACTGAAACTGCGCGGCCAAAACATCTGACTTTCAGGGATTCGAGTCAGTAGCTGGCTACACAAGTCGACGTCAAAGTCTGTAGTTAATAGTAGTACTACTACAAAGTAATCTGGCCGGTCGGAAAGAAAGGAAAACGACTGAAGCCGAGAGATTAAGCGACGTCGGCTTCTTTCTTTGCCAAGGCCAACTCCGTAGTCTAGGAAGGGGTGGATCCAGTCAGGTACGGTGGAAGGCTAAAAATAGATTCTTACTTCAATCAATATCTCTGGAGAACGTTTTTCCTCAATGACTTATCCAATTTTGCCTTGTCGTCACTTAAATAACTTGCCTCACTTTTCTGTACATTATCCTATCCTATGTTACCTCTCTATCCCTACATAGTCCATACCTTGATTCCTTACCTCATTACCCACGTCCCTTTTAGCATCATGATGTTTAATATAATTCCTGAGCAACTCCTTCAAACTCCACTCCTTTTTCGCTTCAGAATCCATGAATATCTCCCACAACGGCTTCTGGAGTTCAGTAAAGTCAAATTTTGGAAAGATGACGTTAATTCCTTCCGACTTCTGAATAAATAATTCTTGAATTGAAGGGTTTTTTAATGCAAAAAGTTGAAAATTTTGAATTTCAGAGGGTGTCGCTATTAAAAGACGAGTCATCAGTAGTTTTACAATATCCGTAGATTCGTCGCACTTTACTCCTTGATTGTGAATGGTTTGAACGTACTGAAATTTTTTAAAAGAGATAAGTTACAGTAATATAGTACTAAGAAAGGCAGGGAAGTATAGGATACAGTATAGTACCGTAAAGTATCATAACATAAGATGGAAGAAAGTAAAATAGAATCAAAGCTAGAGTTCCCAAAGGCTCTGAAGCCGGCTCGAACTCCGTCTCCGGAGTAGCTTCGGCTCCGGGGCTTAAATTTTAAAATTGCCGGAGCCAGAGCCAGAGCAAGAAGTTTTAAATTTCGAACCTCTGATTACAGCAGTAAGAAAAGACAAGACCACAAGAGGCTAGAACAGACATCATACCTGTAACACCCTGTTCCACACAGAAAACTGTCTTCGTACTTCGACCAGTATCTCCGGATTGTACAAAAGTAGTGCCAAATTGTATAAAAACGAGTAATTCTGCTTCGAATACAGCGCTTTAAACCTTTCATCTATCAAAAACCCAAAATCCATCGACCGAAGAATATCGACCACAAAGTTACAGTCGAGTAAAATGATTAGAATCAAAGACCCATACTCCTTCAGCTGGATTGGAGTACTTGAGTCTGGGCTCAGAAAGTTGACGAGGGTTTTGGCTACGAATCGACGGTCTTCTATCAACGCTGAAAAGGATTCTGTATTTAAAAAATTTTTTGAAATTTAAAGTTTAAAAGTTAAATCCCCTTTTCTAAGTCTCAGCGCTGTTTCTTGTATCTACTATAATATATTCATATAGATATCAAAAACCTTCCCATCTCCCCTCAACCATGCTCTAAACTTACAAAACTCGATTTGATGACAAATCAGATGTAACGAGTTAGAAACTAGAAAGACGTGACTGTAATGTCTCCAGAGTCGTTGAGATCTCCCACTCAGAAGCAGAATCTTCGAATGCACGGTGTGTTTCGGATCCAATCGTTCATCAGAATCCACTTCCACCATCAAACTAACTCCAAACTCTGGTTTTCTTCTGTATAACATCAGTATCGCTTCCATTATCAATGTAAATACTGTAGTTTGCCTTCGTTGTAAACATCGTCGTATGAAGTTGACGAGAACTTGCTGATTTTCTGAATCCAAATCGAGCGACAGTTCAGTTAGTTTGACAATATTTAGCAAAGCTTGTAATGCCAAATAGGTTCGAATTGACAAAAGCTCAATCAGCAAGTTGGTGTAGTAGAAAGATGCTCCGGATTCTGACTAAAACTACATTATGTTACATGTAACGATAATTTAAATAACAATATAAAGCCAACCAAAATTTGAAAAATAATTGAAAATGTAAAAAATATACGGTGGTAAATAGCTGAAACTTTTTTTTGTCGTAAAATATCCTGTGAATTTAAAATAAATTAGGTGCAGCCTGCGCAAACGCTTCCCAAGCTGCGTCCGTAACAGCCTTCCCAAAAACTTACATTACTAGCTTGTAGAAGCACTTTCCCAGCAGTTTTCCTGATATCCTTGTTCACCTTCTTGTCGCAAAATAACTCCACCAGCAACAATCTTACACTATCCACCATCTTATCCATGTCCAGTCGTTGTACCAAGTCATGGTAACATATCAAGCGATTGTAAAAACAAAACAAAAAACATTTCTGTCTGATATTCAAATTGACAAAGGTCGAAAAAGTGTCAATTAATTCTGGCATTGAGTTGAGAAAGACTTGTCGATCCGAGAAACTTAATAGTCGTATCTTCATGAAGGTAGCATCAATGTCTAGAATACTGTAGACTGATAAGAGATTTGCTGATGAAAATTTGGATGATATGAGTAAGAGCTTGAAGAGATTTGGTATCACCTTCTGACGCGAATCCAAAGGAAAACTGCGGTAGAATGAAGAAGATTGAGATAGTAACTAAAATGGCTTGATATTACTCTTGATGACATAACATTACCATATAAATTAACTAATTATCTTTAAATAGACTAAAACAAACCAAAAAGCCACGAAACTACTTAGACGTTAAATTCACTTCTACCTGATAACAAAAGTCCGCAAACTGATAGTACTCCACGCTAGTGCTGTCAAACCTGTCATCCACAACTTCGTATATTCCACAGATATTTTCCATGACAAATGTCCAAGGTCTAAAGTCATTTGAAGCTAATAGTTTGAGTAATAACTCCATTGACACTTCAAATAACTCTTGTTGAGGTATCAACACATTGAGAGCATTAAACAGCCCAGCCAATGCTCTAGACCGCACCATACCAAAAGATGACATTGTCATCAAACTGTTTATCGCAGACTTCCTAAAGCATCCTCAATTACAACTTACAACAACGTAATTTCTCAATCACGACCTACCACAATATAGCACCATAAGTTATACCATAAGTTAAATTAAGTCCAGTTAACAAACTTTTACATATCGATAGCATACACAATAAACTAAAAAACTTACTTTGCCTTGACATCAACATCAGAATGTAGAACACCAACTAGGTGATCCAGTTCTCGTCCATCGATGGATTTTATGCTTTGGCCAAAAGAGAGTACACTTGTGGCCAGAATAGTGTCAGAAGAACCAGCTGTCGATGAATAAGTTGTTCGAGTTTCTGAAGCTGATCGTCGATTCTGAGTTGACGCTACTTTGTGACATACTCGGAGGATACGGGATCTGAATTAGCTGTTACGGTATATAGGCTGCAATTTTTTGCAGTAAATGAGATCATAATATTACATACTGCCAATCTTAACGTCCTCATTGACAAAACTCTTAGATTCTAAAAGATATTGGGACTCACTTGATTCGTTTGAATTCCGGCTCCATAACAGCGACATCACACAGACTTTTAATCTTTCTATGGATCAACACAGTGTCATCGTTCGTACTGTGATTGTAGAGTGACCATGATGCCACTCCAGAAGTCGATATCGACTTTGACCTCAGATTTATCCTAGAAAAAAATTTTTTATATGTTTCGTTACATAACTCAGCCTCCTGAAGAGTATTGAATGATATATTTCCAAGTTCAAGGAACTAAAAATTAACAGGGTTATATTAGCGCTTCTAATTGTCAATCTAAACTTAAAATAGTCTTTCTACTTTCATGTCGACGTAATATTTAAACCAAAAATATATTATCTTCGTTATAATACCTTTGCGACAATGTCTCCAACTCATTACAACAGTTTTCTCTGACAAATTCCACCAAAGCGTCGACCAAATCCTTCTGCACCTTGAGTTCCCCATTATTACCTAAATTCTGCTTCAGAAGCTTTTCCAACTTTGTGTCCATAAAAAGAAGACCATTTCCCGCTCATCTTTTCTTACTCTAGTTTCTATGGTGATATTGCTATTCAAAACACTTCAAATTATTTTTAAAACTTGAAAAATTGTTTAAAAAACTGTGTTTATCAATAAGTTCTATCATTCATGCAATATTTAGGTATAAAACTTTTTAAAGTTCATTTTCAGCAACAAGTTTGGTAATAATTGTGTTTTTTTAATTAAGAACAGATTAATAAATATTAAATAGTTCTACACAATATAATAAAGAACGATAATTTTTCACAGACAAAATTTTTTTTAACACCAGGGTATAATAACAACAAAATTAGATTACATTATGATATACAAATTGAGAGTGGTACTCAAGTTTTGTAACAAACAAAAAATGTAAAAATAGAAAAACAACAAGATAAAGAACACCAACAATATAGAGATTTAATGTTTAAAAGAAAAGTCGGAATGTAGTATTGAGATCCATTGTTTTAATGCTTGGTTACCCGTAACTTTCTCAACAATCCTGCTCGAGCTTCTTTTGAGCACGACCTTTCATCAAATTGGCCAAACGTTGTTTCTTGATCAGCCTTTTCTTTTCTCTGCCAGCCTTCATAGCCTGGATCCTCTTCTCATTAATAAGTCTCTTCTTGTCCTCGGAATCAGCCATTTGTGGTGGTACCTAAAATTACAGAAAGATTATATACAAACTGGATGACAAGCGTGTCATAAACTTTCAAAGTTGCAAGAACAAAAAGCTATACAACAAGGAAACTTAAAACATATTCAAGGAACTTACATTTTCTTTGGCCATGATACACTTCAGGAGAATATTTGTGTCGATTCTTTTGGAAATCGACCGTTCGGACAAGAATTCGTCAATGAATCCGCGATTTTGACTGTGACGAAAAGCCACAAAAAAATCGGCGCCAAATTTATTCAGTACATGACGAAGTGTCACAATTGACTTAAATATTTTATTTTTTCTAAAATCTTTTTGTACAATAAAACTATAGTCTAGTACTAACAAAAGATAATAGATGCGAGTATTTTTAAAAAGATTAATGTCTTCAGAAGCTGGGTCTTCTTTTGCTACACTTGCTCAGAAAAATGATCAGAATTTGGCGGTTATTCATCTACTTCGAATGGCCGAAGAATGTCGAATTCAGAAGCCTCCAAGGTACAAATTATGTTTGAAATGTTTAATGGTAAGGTTTTTTTACAATTTACATTGCTTTATGTTTAGGCAGCGACAAAGGTACCTTGTACTGAAGATTTACGAGTAAAAGTGGAGTTAAGGCTGGGAAAATGTTTGTGGTTGTATAGCAAGAACGTTACTCTGGCTAAAAAGTATCTAACAAGCACCGTAAGTCTTTAAAATTGTATTGTGTGATATTTAGTAGTAAATCTCGTAATAGTTAACAATGTGAAGAAGTTTTACATTTAGATTTCAGCAAAGTTTTATTTAAGAGCAATATTATTATAAACTGCTTTTAGTACACAAATCTGAAAAAGATGGGCGACGTTCGTTTGTACTTACATGTCGCCGGATTGCTTGGAGACGTCTATTTGTACGAACAAGATTATGATGCTGTGAAACACCTGATAAGACAAGACTTGGAAGTGTCAAAACAGTTACCTTTTTATTATGCCAAACTCTTATTTATGTTGGCTGATTCGTATTACCGTTCTGAAGACATGGAAACAGCTTTGGAAGTTGTGAAACGAGGGATAACTTACTTCACTCAGAGTCAGAACTCTGTTATTGTTTGCTATTTCTTGCTGGTTAAGAGCTTGGTAAGGTTATTTGCTGTACAACTTTTATTTTAAATATTAACTACTTGTGAATTTTCAAGAAAAGTTTTTTTGTTATATTATAGTGGGTTATGTTTAGATATACTCGACACAATCAGGAAACTTCCAAACGCAGTTAGGTGTTACCGTAGGTGAACTTGGAGAGATATTAAACACATTACCTGCTGATCTACCTGAACTTGATGATATTCGAGCGTTTTGTTATACAGTTCAGCTGTCCTTCTTCTTGTCTGTCGGATTCGTAGGTTCAGAAACTGATTTTGTTATATATTATATTAATCTTTATAAGAAAACATTAGCACAGGAAGTCAAAAGGGGCTATTGTATTAAGGATGATAGCTTGCAGAAGGTAAAGGGTTTTAACTTTTAAATTTCAGTACAAAAATGGCCGAAGCTGTCTAGGACAACTTCACAACGCTGTCCAATCGGCTTCGAAACGAGAGCAGAATCCGAATCCTCACTTCAGATGGCTGAATTCAGAGATGTTGACAGCTGTAGCTTATGTCTTTACCGTTCTTACTAACGTTCATTTGAATAACATGGACAGAGCGCAAAGGTATCATCAGACGTCTGTAAAACACTTTGATACTCTTAAATTGTGTTGGGCGAGGTCAGTTTGGCCAATTATCGAAAGATCTCATGAGACTTTGGCTAAGAAACTGGAGATTCTGGTGTTTTTGGAGATTGCACCTACGTTTCTGATCAAAGGAGACACTAAGAATTGTTTGTCTTGTGTAAGTTAGGATGATAAACAACTTGTAATGACACTTTGGTTCTGTCTCTTGAATGTCATACTGAAGAGATTTGACTAAATTTATTTTATGATTTGATGATGAGTTAACACCTTTTTAGGTATCAAAATCGATCGATTTGATAATGAGGGAGCAGTACTTGTTCAACAACTTTAGTGCTCAAATCCATTGTACTTTAGGGATGATAGCTTGCTTCCACAAGCGATTTAAGGAAGCTGAAGCTCAGTACAATATTGCTGCTACGGTAAGAGTTACTTTTCAGTAAAACGGTGTTAATATTATTGAAATTGAGTATATTGTTGTATTTCTGTGCCCCCGTCAAAGCAAATTTTTGCGGTTGGAGGGCAGAGGATTATCTGAACAACATAATAATTAGTAATAAATTGACATTTTCAGACAGCAAATGACTTGGACTTGCAGATATTCAGTTACTTGAGTGTTGGTCTAGTATACCTATGTAGTGGCGATTCTGTAAATTACTACGAGATGTGCGGCAAGATCACGGCTTTATTGTCGAACTCGAAGAACATTAAAGCGGCATTGTGCTTGGTGAATGCCTTCAATTCTTATGTTCACGGAAAGGTTGAAGATAGCAAGTAAGTCGACGCTTTTGAGGTATTAGTGAGTTAATAATAGAGGTAATAATAAACTAAATTTACTTTCGATTTTTTTATTATTATTGATTTAGTCTATTATTACTTTCTGACCGTGATTTTTACATGAAATATAGAGTTTTTGTGTTTTTCAGAGGTCACATAGCACAATGCCTGAACATATCACGAGATGAAGATATGGGAAGAATTCAATCTCTAGCTTCACTGTTGTCTTTGACTTTGTTCAAGGCCAAAGACAACGACGCTTTGGAAGCTGGGATACAGTGGGCCAACAAACTGTCTGATATCAGTTTGAAGATATGGGGTTACACTCAAATGATTGGTATGTCTTGTTACATGAAAGCAATGCTATAATATTAAAAATGAAAAATTGGCCTTTACCTTGTTTTACTTTATAATAAACTATTTGATTTTAGAAAACGCAAAATTAAATAAAAACTACGAGGTATTCAACCAAGCCAGTCAAGAAGTAGCTGTGCTCAAGTCATTAGCAGCTGAAGATCGTGCTACAGCACCGAATAACAACGCTTTCCTTTTGATCTCTTGGACGACGGATCGCTTACCTGGACATTAACTTTGTCTTAAGAGAGTTAATCTCATCTTATGTTGGCTTGAACTAAGACTTTGGCATATTTGTAACTTACTAAAATTATTTTTAATCCTACTTCAAAGTGATTTTTAACGTATACGTTATTTACAAGCTTGTATACAAGGCTCAAAAGACTGCTTTGTTTAAAAGTTCAAGTCTGATTTAACTTGTATTTTTCATCTTACAGTAGACAGCTTTAAAGCTACCGATACCAATCTACTATAGCTTTCAAAGCATAACTATGTTTTGTATATATTGTCAGTTTTATTAACATTTGGTTATAAATAAGAATTGAAAGATTTGGATATTGATTGTATGATTAGATGTGTGTGGATTCATAATATTTATTTTGAGAAGGAAACACGGCTTTAACATCACGAGTGGATGTTTTATGTAGCTTTTTTTGTTAAAATACAATTTTGTTGTTTTATATTGTAGTTGTTAATGCCTTATTTCGTAAGGCATGTATATATTATCTTTATTTTTTAACACTAATTTTGTAGATGGAAGCGTCATCGTCTTCTTCAATACAAGAGAAGGTATTAAGGTATGTTTTAACGCAAGAATCCTTGTTTAGCTTTAAAATATAAAAATTGGAAGAAAACTTGATTAATTTGACATAAAGTATAATAAATGCCAATTTTCAGGAGTTCAATACATCACTCTTCTATTCCGGATCACTTTGTACTTATTGTACCTGAAAGTGGCATCTTCTTGGCTGGGCAATTTCATTTCCAATGTCTTTACGGTGATCTAGAAGTTAGTGGATTCACAGAAAAAGGTGGCGAGTATGACCCGGAAAGGTTTTACTACATGGCTGTACATAACATGGGCAATGTACCGGTAAGCATTACGAAGCCTTCAGAAACCTTGGTATAGATGTACGAAAAGTCAATAATGTAAACTACGTTAGTCATGTTGCAGGTGCTATTCAAACCCTACAAAACGATTAATTTTGATGAAAAGTTGTTCAACCAAAGGATTCGTTCAGTAATGGAAAGTGTGACCGACAATATTACAGAGTCAGTACGAGCATACGGCGACAGTATTGCCGTGTTATTGTTGAACGTGAAGATTGACTTCAAAGTATCGTATCTTATCAGTCGAATTGGCGATGTATGTTAATTTGAATTATGTTGTTAATGCTAAAGTTATATATATCTTGCATTTTTTTCAGTATCATACTATTTTAGTAATAGCTATTTTAATCTTGCTTTAGATGTTCCGTCCCAGCGACAAATACCGTAGTATTCGAATTTCCCGTGAAGCCTACATCGTATACGAACAAGAGAACAAAATGAAAGTGTGGATTCAGCCAGAAGAAACGATTAATGTAACGCCACTGGTACCTATCCTAGATCAAGTTCGAATTCATGTCGACCAACAACAAAAGATAATGCTGACTGGCCCTAAGGGTGTGGGGAAGTCGACCATTTGCCGGTATTTAATCAACCGGTTTATTCAACTGTAAGTTTTGGTATTGAAGACGACGTGAGATTTCTGTAAATGTCTATTTATATGGTACAAAGTGGTGCATATTTTTTGTTTTTTTTTTCTTTTACAACGTATATTATACATGACATTACAACATATACATAGCTTTACAATATATACATGGCTAAAACTGATATGTTTTAGTGGCCGACCATTGTACTTACTAGACACAGACATGGGCCAAGCCGAAATGACACCAATGGGCTGCTTTTCGATCACCAGGATCACTAAACCAATATTCAGCCTTCCCTTTCTCCACCAACCTCTACACTTTGGCGATGGTTGTCTATATATGGGCACCTTGTCTCCAGGCAATAACCCTGCCCATTTCCGACAATTAATGCACTATCAGGTCCATCGATTCATCGCTGATGCTGAACCTAATGCCATTTTAATGATCAACACGATGGGCTGGATCGAACAGTTGGGGCGACAACTAAACTTGGAGTTGATCGAGACGGTCAAACCTACGGCGATTCTGAATCTCCACGGAACGACCAGCTTCAATTTGGTCGACTACAGAATCCCACAATTTACAAACATCTTCGACTATATTCCACCTTCAAGGGCAAAGTAAGTTATAAGGGAGAGAGGGCAAAATAAGGCAGTAAGGCAGTTGACATTATATGAAACACCATAAACATTAAAGAAAAGATTTGGCGACTTTCGAGTTGCTTAGAAGAAGTAATCATGATAAACATACTATAGTATACACTACTTTCAGCCTGAAGCCAAGTCTCCAAATCACTCCACCTCAATGGCGTGACCTCACAATGACAGGTTACTTGGCCAACGTTCTGGACGACGAACGATTTGGAAAGCCTTCAGTTAACAGAACATTGGCGAATGTGATGGCACGACAAGTCAGCTTCGGCAATATCGGGATCTACATTCATCCGGAAAGAGACAGAATCGCTGAAAATCTTGTCCTAAACGTCCTCAACTGCTCTGTTGTGGCACTGTGCTCTATGATGTACCCTGGTGGAGAAGATGGAGAAGCTAATGTAAGTTGTCGAATATTGATTTACAGTCTTCGAACTGTAGCACAAAGTCATGTTTCTATTGTTTGAAGGATCGAGGAAGTTAAAGTATTGAAGAATGTCATTTTAGAAGCTGGAAGTCCACCGAGTAAACAACAACATTGACCTTCCTGCCATTTTATACCCCATGAATCCTGAGAATCCTCCACTTCTGAAGTGCTACGGCTACGGTCTGATCAGGTCGATATCTCCAGAATTGAAAAGGTATTACCTTGTAACTCCACTGCCTGATGAAATTTGCAGAAAAGTCGATATCTTTGCATTGGGAAGCAAGATTCAAACCCCCAAATACGTTTATGACAAGCAGGTAAGCTGGTTACTGTATTATATATGTAATTTTAAATTGTTTTACCGTGTCTTTGGACTACATTTTGTTTTAAAATTTAAAAAAATTAATTTTTTGAATTTATAAATAAAATGCCTCTTTAAAGGGACCCTTAAAAGCCCCTCCGACGGTCCCACAACGAAAACCTACTAATCCAACTTCAGGACCCAGACGCCCCATACCTCGTGCGACCGCGTCCTGGCCTACAAGCATCGGCCGCCCGTAACGAATTGACCAAAAAACTCTTTGAAGGATTCACTAACCACACCGCTCTACGAGCTTCAAACCGAAGCCGCAGACAAAACTCACCCGGTCCCAGTACCAAAAGATTCAGAACAACATGATGAATGAGGTTCACATTCATCATGTTGTTGGTCTACCTTATCTTCATATCGTCCTTTTTGTTCTCTATATCACTAGAAAATTTATACCGATTTTGTTGATTTTAATCCGGGTCAAGTGTTGTTCAACTTTCATTTTGTTGATTTAAAATAAAGATTTATATTACTTTACATCTGCTTTTTCTTTACAGCTACGAAATTACCTATTATAAATAGCAAGGTACGTTATTCATCACATATCTTACCTTAAAAATAAAATTTATTACAAAAACACTGCCGAAATTTACCGAAATTTGTAAATTACAGATCACTGTCTAGGAGGTGGTGCAGATACAGGTGTTTTTTCCACCTTTACTTCCACAAATGGGGTAGTACAAAGGATAACAGAAGAAGAATTCACAGTCTATATCGGTCTTGCATGGCATATCTGCCTGAAATCCAAGTACGGTTGAACAAAGCACGAGCATAACAAGAGTTAACACACAAAACAGCTTCATTGTAAAGGATTAATAAGACGAAAGCTTATTCAAGCTTATCATTAACAACGAAATGAATGCTACTTTGCCTGTAGCAATCGTAGCTAATTTACATTTAATTGTCCAATAAATTCTTAGTGGCTTGGGAAACTAATCATAAAGCTTTGTCGTTTCAATGTTAAAAAGATTTCCATCGCGCATTGCTTGACAGACTCCCACCACGAAAACATTGGCGCAAAAAAACACGTTTAAACCAAATGTTTTGTAAAAAATCGCGAAATTTCGTCAGAAATGGCAAAATTATGGACGGAATTCGATGTTAGCTTCCGTTCTTGGCTGAAAACCAAGACTAATTTAGGTAATTTGAAAAATTATTTTTCGTTTTTTATTTCAATGTTGTTATAGTTGATTTCTGTTTAATTTAGATTCATTGGCTTGTCTTATAAAGTATTTGGGACTTTCACACGTCAATGTCACGGAGAATCCACGTATTTTTGATCTGGTGGACAAAAGGTAGCTTGATTAATTGTTTGTTAACTTTGTTTTACTAATTTTCAGTAAAGTTTTTGGATTCATTTGCGTGGCCAAGGATGATATTGAGTTGAACAAGGGGAAAGAAGAGTCCAACTGTTTCTTACCAATTGTAAGTTGCCTTATTAACTATTTCATTTTTTTAGAACGTTGAGAATGCTGACTTGACTATTGGTTTGCTGAATCTTTTGATTGGAAGGTTTGGAATATCTGGTTTGGGGCCAGTTTTGGAGGAATACTCGAGCGACTTTGACATTCACAGCTACATCAATGTGAGTTTGCTCTGGCAGTTTAGAAAAATAATTATTTTTTTAGTATTTTAGGCCACAGATCATTACCCCTGTTGCTTTTGCTCACAACTTCACTGCAAGGTAAATAATTAAACATTCAATGGCATTTACTAGTTAAGGGTGTATCATTTATATAAAGGTTTTAAGATTTACGTATTAGTTTATAAGCTAACCTTTTATTTTTTTAGACGACAGCGATTAGAAGAAGATGAAACTGTCTATTTTATCTCTGTAAATAGCAATACTTGCAAGTTGGTTAACCGAGATGGATCTCAAACGAAGCTGATGAAGAACATGACCAAAATATACAATGATTTGCAAAAGGAATCTACTGTGTTTGTATTGTTTGAAGATGTCTTAAAGGACAAATCTGAGGCTGTAGATAAGGAGAAGAAGCTGATGGAAGAACTGACAGAATCTCCAGCTAACCAATCATTTTACGATCCGAATCTGTCTGTTGAGGACTTGAGTGAGATGGAGAATTTGGCCAGAGAATTGGAAATGGCAGAACAGTTTGAACTCACCTTTTCTGATGGTCAAAAGGTACCTTTTTAAGTATTATTATTGGTGATATAATATGAATATTATAGCTTTTTAAGCTTGCGGTAAATGAGAAAGTTGTGATAATTTAGGTAGTTGCTGAGTATATACAAACGTTAATATTGAGTTTTTAGGACACAAGCCATGTTGAGACAGAGAGCGGCAAAAAGATAAAGGAATGTGAAGAGCGTATTTTAATGTTGCAGAAGGCGATAGCTGAGATAAAGAGCATGTAAGTTATTTATGGCTTGAAGCAAGCTTGTTTTAGGGTACCTATAACATACACAGAAGTTTATGGCACCAAGGAGCTTTATACAAACAAGGATTACCTGCAGTTTTTACAGTTTTACAAAAAGACGGTGGTTGTTGTAAGTAAATGTTTTTTATATTATGCTGTTTTAGTACTATATTGGCTATTTGAATTAGAATATTGAGTTGGTTGACCTTATTCTTATTTTGTGTCTGTACAATATTTTTTTATTTATGCCATTATGCATCATTTTTATGACAATATTAATTCTAGAAGACCCCACAAGCCCTAAGACATTCAAAAGTTGGCAAAAGTCCAATGAGTTTGATTAGGAAGAGACAACGACATCAATCTGGGTCATCATCCATATTCTCGGACGTGTCGAATCTCTCGACGTCTACATCAAGATCCGCTAAAGCGTCTGTTCTACCCGAAACTCCAGTCAGCTCACGAAGGACGAAAAAGCGTTTGGAAGAAAGAGAAGTAACTCCGAAGAGAAAACGCGCCAGAACAGATGACGGAGAAGAGAAGTCGGCTCCAGAAGGCGTCAGAAGATCAAGTAGAGTGAAGAAAACATGAACCGTCGCAATCGATACTTGATCATGTACATTTTGTCTTTTATTGATTTGTTTTTGTAGCAAAATTTAAAGTTTTTTATTGTTTTTGTGACGAACTTTGTATTTTTTACGGTAATACTTGACATACATAACATTAATAACCAAATCTACGACTTTATTTTGCTTTGATCACATTGATATTGTTTTACATTTTATTGATCTCTAGTAGAATGAAGGTGTGTTGAATAACTTTTCTCATCCTTATGAAGCTATGTTAATGTGGTTGTTTTATTAATTCTTCACGCCTTTCATCAGAGCATTGAGCTTTATTTTGTTTTACAATGTAATTTGGTATCGTTTCATACGTAATGTAATATAGTTTTGAATATATTTGTTATTGAATATAATCGAATAAATATAATTTTAACTATTTGAAGCTTTGCTTTGTTTAACAGTGGTTGATTAGCCTGAGATATATATTGATTTGACTTTTTACTGCAGTGTTTATTTTATTGTGTATATAATGTTTTAGTTTTTGTAAAGAGAATAGTGTTTGATTACGGTTGTTTCAATGAATTTTGTCGTATGTGATAATATAGTTTTTGATATTTTAATAAATTTGAATTTTTTACATAATAACGGGTTTTCTACCGAAAAAGAGCAATTACATAACATTTTTCTTAGCTTCCATCATTCGTATGCGTTGAGGTGGCGCGTATGGTTGATGCTTGAGAATTGTGGTTTTATGTCTGTCTTTATGTTTGTTTGAGTGGTCACAACGTTTAAGGACTAAAATTATGCAGAGATTGTTGTTTAAAATTGAGTTTGTTTCTGCGGTGTTAGGTAAAAGTTCTGTGTTCTCTTCAAGTCCTCAAGCACTTTATTTATTATAAAGTTGGCTGAATTGAACTTGGTTGCTATAAAACTAACCAACTGATTTGTTATTGTCAATTCGGTCACCAATGTTATCACGCTTTGTTTTTTGTAACGTGGCGTTGGGAAGGGCTTTTTGTGTTCGGGGGAGGACAAACAATATAACCGGGTTTATTGAATGGATGGTCTCATTATAATATGTGTATTGTTATATATTTTGACAGATGGAGGAAAAGTAAAATGTTTTTTAAATGATGAGTAACAGTTTAAATTAGATTTTGAAAAATAATGAAAGTTTTAAAGTATTCTTTTGGTGAATAGTGTAAAGTGTGCTGGCGGCTTTGGAAAACCTCAAGAATTTCTTGAAGTTTTCCAATTTGGAAAATGGCCTGAATCTCTTTTTATCTTAAGGCTAGCGGCGTTTTCTTTGTGTAAAGTTTGACGTTAATATTGTTTCTGTTTGAAAGTTTGCGTTTATAACTTTTCCACCTGAATCCCTCTGATTTCTCTCGCTCTCTCTTCGTATCTCTCTTCCCTCGTATGTGGTGTGTGGTAGTTACGAAAGAGCAGTCGTGAGTCCTTTCGCTTTTCACTCCCGGCTGTCTTTCCTCCCGCTTTCGGTGGTCGAATATCGATCGTCTCGCCCAGAACTGCTCCCCTTGCTCAACTATATTACTGGTATAATATCGTAATTTAAAATTGTAATTTACTACTGTAAATAAACTATTGTACTATTTTGATATATAGTTGTAATTTGTTAGAATTGACTCAGAGTTTAAGCTTAATTTTGCTGAGTTAGATACAAAAAACTAAAATATAGATTTTAAAGCATAAATTTGAATTCAAAAATTAAAAAATCATTATTTTTTATCTACCTTTTTGATATCAACTATATTTGAATTTTATCTTCATCTTCGACTTTTTTCTACGCTTTAGTTTGCGCAACTTGCTGGTATCAATAAGACGATTTGTGTGCAGTTGATCAAGTAGAACTGCCTTCTTCGCGGATTATTCGTTCTTCTATTCTTTTGCGAGTTGGTGGTATATTAATTTTGTCCTTCTTTCCAGGTAATAATGACGACCGATGAGAACGCTAGAGTAGAAGATTACAAGTAAGTTTGGGATTTTTTTGGATTTTCGACGTTTTTGATGCATAAACTTTGAATTTCGAAGCTTTTCATACTTAAAATATAAATTTTTAACAAACTGATAACTTTTTTTTTATATGTGGTAAAAAATAACTGTATGGGATACTTTTTATATTGTTTTAAAAAAGTTTTTACGACGTTTTTCCTGTATATTTTAAATTTGTTACCTAAAATCTGTATGTAATTATGACTAATTACAGGAACTCATTGAAGGAGTTAACGGGTAACCACAAGCTCAAGATCAATCTGTTGACGATATTGGCCGAGGATTACGCAGATGTCAGTCCAAGGATTGTGGACTCCATCATCGAATCTGCTTACCAGGTAAGGGTGTATATTGTCATTGGTTTTTGTGTTTTAGGTACCAGCTTTGATGTTGTAACTTCATATTAATGCTAGCTAGTTTATAATATAAGGTTTTATAGCTAATTTGACGTTAAAATGGTAATTTAGAGAGCATTTAGCTCAAAGTTGAGCTTTTATGCTATTTTAGGTAACAAATTGGAAAATAAATTATTATAGTCCTTTAATCCTTGTGTAAAAGGAAGATTTAAAGAAGATTTAAACATAATTAACTTAATATTATTTTTAGGCCCCAGGACCACTCAAACTGGTGCACTTGTACTTGATCGACTCGATTTCGAAGAACGTGACGGCCCAAGGCGGCTACGCCATAAAATTTTCGAACAAGATCGCGGATTTGTTCGTTCATGTTTTTCTTCAGGTACTGATATCTGAAGTTTTGTTTGTTATTTTTTAATTTTTTTGAGAAAACAAAGTTTGGTCGGTTTAGGGCTGAGCCGGCGGACTAGCTAAAGCTAGTGCTGGCTCGGCTGTCTTAGGTATTGGATGGACGTAGAGCCACGAGGTTGGGAGATCGTAGAGTGGGGCAACAGTTAAAATGGGAGAATTAAAAAGAAAATGATAATCATATATAAAACTCCCAATAAAAGAGTCGAAATGACCACTAAAAGATGGAGTATATGAATAAAAAAGAATAAAAAGAACATGAAAAGAGTAATATAAAGAAAAAAAGTAATATAACGATAATAATCTTGTACCGTAAAATGCCAAGACCTCTCTCTCCCAACTGACGACTGGTACCGTAGCGAGAACACGTGGAACGCGAAGAACATTACAATATGTTAATTTTGATGATTTTGGGGATATTGATATAAAAAAGTAAACAGATATACTGTCGGTTACTGTAACTTTTGTGTGTTTGTATATGGGTTGGAATTGAATTTGGAAAAATTACAGTACTGAGTATTGGAAATATTGTTGTAACGGGGTAGATATGATGTGTTTTGTTAGCGGATGAACATTAAAAATTGTAGTTTACAAATTCTGAACTAACTAGGCCATATAAGACTTGACTATATTGGTTAATATACTCTGTTTTGTGAAGGACATGCTAAGAACTTGTTAAGGTACTTGATATAGCTTAAGAATGTCTCGTAAAGACTCTTCTTGTCAACTTGTAACTTCTATTCTTCTTTTTTATTGAAAGTTTGGTAATATTCTGTGAAAGGGAAAGTGAAAATTTAAATTTTAGGTATGTATTGTAGACTAAGGCCGGTATGAAGCTGTTGCTGTCTAGAATCCTGATCTTTTTTGTCGGACAAATATTGATAGGGACTGCCACGTGAACAAATTGGGTTGATCGATTAATTCTTTCAAATTTTTATGTGTTAGAATGTCAAAAATACGAAGGAATTAACGGATCAGCCTAATATTGGCGAATAATTTAAAAATATCGTTGCTACAGCATTTTACTCTTTTTTCTCTCTAAAGCCGTGGACTATTTTTTGTTTAGATTGTGGAAAAGTATTTAAAATACGTTTTAAAATTGTACGAGAACTTTTACAAAAACATGGTTGAAATAGAATGGTGGCGGCTTGATAATTTTATGGAAGCCTTGATAAAATGCCTGTTAGTTCCCTCCAATCACCTATAACAAGCTGGCCAAATTTGTTTTCTCAAAAAACGATTTATTTTAGTGCTTATTTGCTGATTCAAAACGTTTGGCTAGTCTTCCGCAACATACAATGTTTTCAAACACGTTTTATAAAAGATTTTACTGTGTTGCGGAAGATGAACCAACCAACGCGTTTGAATAGTTTTTGATAGTAAATTGGGTCTCTTGATCTCATCCTTCCATTTACAGGCCGATGACAGAACCAGAGCTTCCATGTACAAACTCAGAAACACTTGGGCCAACGTGTACCCTCGTGCCAAGTTGTATGCGATCGACCTGAAGATTCACGAAATCGACAGAAACTGGCCAGTCCTCTCATTGACCAGTAATGGAGCCAGAGCAGCTGCCCCAGCAGCACCACGCCCAGAACCAGCTCCAGCCACTCCACAGACGGCTGCCTCGAATGTGCATGTGAACCCTAGATTCTATTCGGGAAACCAGGCCAACCCTCCACTCCCAAAGGTTAATTCAGCTTCAACCTCTCGCACTCCACTACCTCAAGTTCCCTCTGTTCCTTCAACGTCACGAGCTCCGTTGCCAAAACCTCACCTCAACGATTCACAGTCTTCTGTAGCCTCGGCTACGTCGACGTCGTCAAACAAGAGTACAGATTCTGTGTTGAAAGCCCCAGTCACAATGGGAGCTGCTCTGAAAAATCTGGGAAAGGTAGGGTTTTTGATTTTAGGTATTAAATGAGCTTCAGCTTAAAGTATTTGGACTATATTTAAAAGATGATGTGGTATTTTATGTTCTAATTTAGATTTGTTTTAAGCAAAAACAATTAAAATTGTTTTCTAAACGTAGATAACGTCAAACAGGCGCATTGTTTACTAGACAGACTCCAAAACGTGTTCAAATTGTAGTTTATAACAGAAAATACAGTATTTGGTGTAGTAACTGGTTAATTTTCAGAAAAAGGAAGAAAAAGCAAAAACCACAGATCCAAGACTTCGACCAGCCGAAGAGAAAACCAATGGGGTGGTTAAACCCAAAAAGATATCAGAACTTGGCCCAATCCCAAGGAAAAAAACTTCTGAAATCAAGACGGAGATTGTTGAAGAAGTTGATAAGTAAGTTGTGTTTTGTTAAAAGTTATTTTATATTTTAAAAACTTTGTCTTTGTTATCTAAATTGGTATAATTTTTGACGTTTTCAGAGTCGACAAAATCCGCAAAATCAAAAAAGAAGTGAGCAAACAGCGAAGAGATGCTTCGGCTGACGCTACCATCAAAAAGAAGAAGTTCACCAAATCAGATGCCAAAGCTTCCGCCACCTCGCCCACAGAATCATGGAAGAAGGACAAGAAGCAGGTCGATAAATTACCAGGCAACCGACACGCCGCTAACAATCATATCAACCGCCCTCCGGCTTCAAACTCACCGGTTCTGCAACCAACCGCTGCTCCAGGCTCTCATGCCTTCAATCTACCCGCAATGCAGCCACGAGGCCCACCAGTGGATCCGAATTTGCTTAATCCGATGAACAGAATGCCACCTCGTCATCCCCCTCCTCACGGCAACTACCCTCCCCCGCCCAACTTCGGGCCCAGACCAGGCCCACCTCCATTCGGAGCTGGTCCACCACCAGCATTCCCCTATCCAGGACCACCATCCTTCTTCAACACTCCAACTTCATCAGCCATGCCAATGCCGAATGTCAGTGCCCCACCCCCGAACTTCCCCCTACCTCAAAACCCGGCAAATCTACCAGCACATATCAAGAATGACACTCCCAGACTACCCAATGTTCCAGGGAATAATAGAATCTTTGTGGACGGGAAGGCATACGAAGTCATCTACCTGGAGAACGAAGCCGTCATCGAACGGAACGGTGTCCCACATCGTATCTCCTTCTGTGGCCCTCCTCGAGATGTCATCATTGACGGTGTAGCACATCGTATGGCGTTTGGAGAAACCAAAGAAGTCTCCATCGATGGTCACGTCCACAGACTGAGATTCGGCGCTCCGTCAAGGGAGTTGTACATGGGCGACTTCCCCTTCAAAGGCGCCTTCGGGGGACCTCCAATCATGGCCACGATCAACGGCAAGAAGCACGAGATCCGCCTCATGGGTCCACCTCCAGAAGTCAAAATCGACCAAGACCCATGCTACGAACTCACCAGACACATGCAGAACGCCAGGAGGAACGATGGGGCCAGGGGGAACACTTCTGAAATGAACATCAAGGAACTCTTGTCCAATCTCCAGAAGTCTGGTGTCCTGAATCAGATCAGTCAACCCAAAACCCCACCAGCCTTATCTCCAGCTGTCGTGAAAAGGAAGAGTCCATCGCCAGGCATGGAGGAGCCCATCATTCCAACTAAAATGATATTGGACAAGGCCGAGGAGTTGGATGCTCCAGCTATCTCATTGGCTGAGTTCGGACTTGAACAGCTTCAAATGTAAGTTTTACTTGCTTTAACAGACGGATTTATATTGACTTAGGGTAAAAAATTAAGATCATTGTATGTAAAATAGTATTTAGCATGAACTAAAGTACTTTTTTCAGGAGATACAAGAGTGTGGCCAGAGACCTATGCCAGAAGCGATCAGCATGTCCAGATTGTGGTATAGAAATCGAAAGAATGGATTCAGCTGAATACAGAAAGCATCTCGATGGCCATTTACAGCTGGAGTTGCATGCCAAACAAGACAGCGCTGCTCATGTCAGGACACGACCAGTATTCCAAACTGAAGAGGTAGGGAACTTAGGAAAATTATATATAAGAGGTGATTGGGAGGTTTTTTATACTGTATATATATAAAAAAAGTAGCTTTGAGGAAAGTATAGTCCCTTTCAACATTTTTGTCGAAGAACAACAAAGATAATTTTGGGCGCAACGTGCCAAATAATGTTTTGCAGACTGCGGTCGAGTTATACCCAAAATCAGAAGAGAAAACATTTTTTTTTGTTTTCTGGTTAGTTTACGAATAAAATATTGAAAATCATCTGTTTTAATAAATATACGAACTTGTTTTAAACTATTTTCTATATTCAGGACTTTATTAACTACTCGGAAACGGACGATGTTAACCATCCTCGAGTTTCGGCCGAAGTGGTGGAGAAAATGGACGTGGACACGAACGAAGAACAAGGTGGCGATGTCCTGAGCAGTGAAACGGAGCAGAGAGAATGTTCGGAATGTTGCGAACCCTTCGAGGAGTACTTCGACCACGATTCAGATGAATGGCGTCTCAAAGACTGTGTGCTTCTGAATGACAAAGCGTTCCATCGTGCCTGCCGAGCGTAGAGAATTAATAGACGGTCCTGTACAACTTCACCTTCTCCGTACTTGATCACGGTAGAAGATCAGATCTCATTTACGGTTGTTCATTATTTATATCACATGTTATTAAAGGTACAACAATATCATTGTTGACCTTGTTGTAGGCCGTGTATGGCTAGTTCTTCGTCTGATATTTGTATTGTGCTTTATTCATTTTGTTTTAGGGTAGCTAGACCTTTATTTTCTATTGTTTTTTAATGGTATTAGATCAAAAGTTCTCGGGTGAAAGCGTTTTTATTCAAATTTCTATTTTTGCTGGTCGAGAATTTTTGAAATAGTACTGTCTTTTAAAGTATCTTTGATAGTAAAGTTTAGAAAAATATGTTTTGTATTGTAGTTGACATTCTTTTTTCTACCGTAGCTACTCTTCGTTGTAAAAAATTGTAAAAGGTATTGTCCAAGGCATGGTGAACATGTGATATGTCTTTTATTGTTAACCGGTTATCTTACCTCACCCAAATACGGCTATCTTTTCGCACAGTAGCGCTGACAGTTACTGTACGGTACTATTAACATAGGTTTGACGTCTAGATGAATTAATAATAAAATAACATTATTAATGGCTTTTGTCGACCAGTTTAATCGTTTTAGCCAAAGACAATCACGGAACGGTAACTTTCCATGGCTTACCGTTCCCCAACTGTTCCCTCACCGTGCCCTGCGACTCTACCCCCAAAAATATGTAAATTTTACGTTTTTAAATGTTTTTCTTTTTGTTTTTTTGGATAATAAATGATAATTTTATTTATATGTTGAGGATGATGTAGCGTTCGAATCGATTTCAAATACCTTCTCTCATTTCCATTATTTTTGGTTCGCAAAACAATACGTGGATTTGGAGGGGACTTGCTGTTCATATCTCGTTTGTTCTACAAATTGTCAGTCTAGGGGGCTGACAGAGGTAATTTGGAGGCTGTTTTACATGGTTGATGTAGATTAATATCAGTTTTAAGGCTGTTTTACATAATTGGTATAGCTTAATATTAGCTTGAAGCTGTTTTACATAGATTTATATAAATCTTTATTAGTTTTGAGGTTTGATTAAAATTAATTTAATTTTTAAGGCTTTTCACTTTTATCTATGTTGATATTTGACTATGTTTTCTGATAATTAAAGGATTATTTTAAGAAAAGCTGTGGACTATATGAAGAAACAGCGTAATACTGTGTTATAATTAACGTTATTTTTGTTAACAAACACTTTTCCTTTAAATTTGAAAACTTTTTTAGAAAAACAGGCTGTTAATCTTTTTTATGTGATGTTATGTTGTATCGCTCCCAATGTAGGTGGTTTCTATAAAAAGAATCCTTAAAAACATGTCCAAAATTGGTTGTCGAGCGCATTTTCCCTGAGGAAACAAACATTTACTTCTTCGTTTTGATATGAGTCATTTCTGTTATGTTACAGTTACGTTTTCTTAACAATTTATTTATATGAGGAGAGCTTTAAAGCTTGAATTAGTAGTTAGTCATTAACTTAACGTAGGTATTTATACCTGTTTTAGTAATTATTGGTGTCTTGGCATGGTGAAACTTGATAATTTAAGCGTTTGTACGTAGTTTAGGTAACATTTACTCTGAGATTTGTATATATTATCCTAGTAATTTGGCTGAAAATGTTATTTTTCAAAAAAATAGTATTGTCATACACTAAAATAACTTTTAAACCCCTAGCAACCTCTTTTAATCTTAAAGAGTATTGCTAAGTAGACGTAGAGTAACTCTTTCTTTCTATTTATACGTCGATTATTACGCGCAAATTGCTTCCTTAACTCAAGCTTTTTCGGATTTATCAGATCAAAGGACCGGTTAATTAAGCGACAGCCGACTGCCAGTCTGGACTGAATGTCGGCACCGACATCCGAGCCTCCCACTTCGGTTGTTTCATCTGAGGCCACTTCCACGACTACGGCTGCTATCAACACACCCCCCGCCGCAACTACCGCAACCACGACAACTTCCGCGGGAACCACCGAACCCCCACCACTATATCAAGGTAGGTTTCTGTAGATCTTGAAGTAATCTTATGGGAGGGTCTTTTATGTTTATGTTGTGTTTCTTCCTTGTTTTACGTTTATATTGTAGTAGTTTGTTTATGTTAATATTAAGAACTATGCCATTTTAGAAAAGATGACGAGTCCTCCAGCCCAAGACCCGTCCTGGTTCTCGGCCTTCACCGGCGGCCAAGCCAACCCCGCCTCCACCCCCACCGGCGACAACAACATGAATGCCCAGCCCAACGTCGGCTTTTCAGCCCAATCCGCCTTAGGCTATCTCGGCGAACGGCGAAAGAACCTGCGCGGATGGGCCGAATTCTTCAAAACTTCCAAGTTCGGCCTTCCAGCCGGCCCATCAGCGTTGGCTCCGCGGCTCCAAACCAATTTGGGCTACTTCTTCAGCAACTACTTGTGCATCTTCATCTTGTTGCTGGTCTACTGCATTCTGACCTCGTTCGTCATGTTGTTGGCGTTGATCGCAATGGGAGGGTTGATTTACACGATCAGACAGAGAACTTTGAAGGGACCTGTCATTCTTGGAGGTCATGAGGTGGGTATTGCTTGTTAATCTTTAAATTCGTAATTTTTTAGGTAAAAATTTAACTGGCCTATTTTTAGTTTCCACCAAGCCTTTTGTACACTTTGGCCATCATCGTCTGTATTCCTTTGTTTGCTATGGCCGATGTTGGTAATGTCATGTACTGGGTCATTGGTAAGTTCTTTTTTTATTTTTTTATTTCATTTTAGGCATGTTAACAGTAAAAGTTAAGTCGATACTGGCTGGTATAATCAGTGGAGAGCCCTACGAGAGTAAAAGAACCCTCCGGAGATATACTCTTCCAATAAAAATTCGTATTTTATATATATCAGTAACTTATTTGATACCCTACGACATTGTAACCCTATGACTTTCAGGCTCGTCCATCTTCTTGATCTTCCTTCATGCTACATTGTACGAATCCGAGGAAGTTCCAGGCTCCGAGTTCGAGGTGATTACTGTACAATAAAACGGGTGTGGTTACTGTATTGTAGCCGCGTTTACAGTACGATATAACATTGTGATCCATGTGTATTTTACTTTTCGGTGATATAACTGACTTTGGTTGTATAATTCGTCTTTTTGGTTTTAGTAGCAACCGTACTATTTAGTACATGGTTGATGCCATTTAGTATGACTTTTATCTTTTTATGTTTTTCGTACTGTATAGTATGATATTGATGCTGTTTAGTATGGCTTTTATGTATTTTTGGTCTTCGTACCGTATAGTACCAGTAACTTTATGAAGTTCTATTTATTTTTATGTTCATTTTAACCTAAAACTACTATATAGCACGAACATTCTTTTGGATTGTTACTTTAGCTAATATTAATTTACAGTGGCACTCTATTACTGTGTTAAGTAATAGAGTACCACTTTTTCTTTTACCGTGTTATGTTCAGTAGTTTCAGGTTGAGTTACTGTAGTTTGATAGCGTCTCAAAATTGTAAAATTTATTCACAATTTCCTAAATTATTCCCAAAACATAATCTATTTCGGTTTTATTCGAAGCCACCCCTCCATCGAAGACAGGTTGTCTTTTACTGACTTTGGTATGTTGAATAAATTCTATCCATCTGTTCGCCGAATCTCTACTTCGGCTATTGTAGCCAGGAAAGCGGGCCGAAAGGGCGGGACTCGGAGGCCTGTTGCTACTGATTTTACTTTGGTAAGGTTACTGTAAGATATTTTTTAATAATTGTATGTTATTATGGGGTACTGTATGATGTTTATGTCGCTGTTTCTGAAGCTTGAGCTACCGCTTAATAGATTTCATCATTTTTCTAAATTATAAGGATCTTATGGTTAATATGATGCCACTAAACCCAATATTTCTTACTTTACTGTTCAAAGACTACTTTAAGATATTGTGTAAAATCAAAATTACACTAAACTATAATTACTGAATCTTCTCCACAAACCACAATTCCATATTTTCCCATGTTTTAGGGCGGTTTGACCAAGCTAACGTTCAAAGAAGAAGTTCACCATGCTCGACCGGTCGAACCCTTCAAAGTGAAGAAACATGAAAGAAAGAAAGTACCGTACCCGAAGGAGATCAGTGCCTACTTGGACAAGCACGTCATTGGCCAAGAAGTGGCCAAAAAGACGTTGGCAGTGGGTATCTACCAACATTACAAACGCCTCGAGCACAACGACAAGATTCGGCAGAAAAAAGAGGTAAGAAGGTGTATAACTTGGGATAATCAAGTATTTCTTGAACTAATCAGTTGTTATAGCTGATTAGATTGCTGTAATCTAACCTAATGTTTAATCTTGTCTGTTTTAGTGGGGAAGTCTTGCTGGACTAAAGAAGAGTATCATACTCGGCCCAAAGACTGTCCCCAAAGATGCCGATGTCCTCAACGAACTCCTGGAAGAAGCTGTAAGTTCATAAGCGACGTAATATAGCTAATATGACATATTATTACTTATAAATATTATATTATACTTAGTATTACTTAAAAATTACCCATGCCAATGTGTTCCTACGATGCCAAACTTATATTAACCTAAAACATTGCTTTAGAAGAACCCTACGATGCTAGAGAAGTCCAATATTGTGTTAGTGGGACCTTCCGGAGCCGGAAAAACGTACATTACTCAGCGTCTGGCCTCTATTTTGGACGTTCCATTCGCGTACTGTGACTGTACCGTACTCACACAAGCAGGTTACGTTGGGGATGACGCTGACACGGTGATTCAGAAACTGCTCCAGAACGCTGACGGTGATGTCGACAGGGCTATGGTATGTTTCTGACTATATCATCGTATAAATCGTACTTGTATACACTACGAGCCATGTGTTTCTCCAATATCAAGTAAAATGCGGAGTACGTCGCATCTTGTGTAATTCTGTAGCTAAAATCATGTAAAGTTACAGTGTGTCCTTGACATTGTATTTTCAGCGTGGAATCGTGTTCCTGGACGAGTTTGACAAGATTGCCTCTTCAATCGATCCAATTCACTCCGCCAATGGATTCCGTGACGTCTCCGGCAGAGGAGTACAACAAGCGCTTCTGAAGATCGTAGAAGGCTCCGTGGTCAGAGTCAAGAATCCGTACTCACAAGGAGCCAAGATTGAAGTTGACACTAGTGATATCCTTTTCGTGTCCTCAGGCGCTTTCAACAGTTTGGATCGAATGGTGGGAAGAAGGTTGAACAAACGATCGGTCGGCTTCGGATCAGGCGCCACGAATCACGATGAAGATCTTCTTGGCGACGATGAGATTGCTGTGGCCAGGAAGAGGGACGAACTTCTGCTTAAGGTGGAGCCGGCTGATCTGGTCTCGTAGGTTTTTTATGTTGCAGTAGTAGACCTTAAAGTAGTTACAGTAGACCTTAATATAGTTACTGTAGAGTACGACAGTAAACTGGTGTGTCACAAGCGAAAGTGTTACCTTCCGAAGCTAATTGTCCTTTTAGGTTTGGCATGATCCCAGAGCTGGTCGGCCGTTTCCCCGTAGTGGTACCCTTCCAAAGCCTGGACAAGGACCAGCTGGTTCGTGTCCTAAAAGAGCCCGCCAACTCCTTGGTAAATCAGGTCACAAAGCAGTTCAAGATGGACAACATCAAGATCAGGTTCACGGAACAAGCACTGGCTGCCATCGCTCAAGAAGCCGTCCAACGCAAGACTGGAGCTCGTGCCTTAAGGGCGATTGTCGAAAGGGTCCTATTGAATGCCAAATACGAAGTGCCCGGCTCCGAGGTGACTGAGGTCGTCATCAACGAAGAAGCCGTCAAGAGCGGCGGGTTCTCGGGATTCACTGAAAAAGCGAACAAAAACGTTTGTGAATAAACACTGACCTGGATTCGAAGTTTTTTGTTGTGTTTGAGGGTATTAGCTGTTGGACCAAAATTTGAAAAAAAAAGAATAATACATGGTATATTGACAATACCTACTCTTCTAAACAATTTTGGAAATTTCATGTCAAATGACAAAGTTTTTGGTTTAAAAGACAAATTTTGTTTAAAAATTAATATCGCCTAAAGTAAAAATAACAAAAGGTGAATTTTATTTACAAATTATAAGTTTCTGATCTCCTCTTCGGTCTCGGCTAATACTCCTTGGATCCTCGTCATTATACTGTCTTTTATCAGGTTAACCCCCTCGGGCAGGTTCTTTCCGGCCTTCAGGGCTTGATATGCTTCATGCATGGCTTCGGCTTCCTGGAAATTGATTTATTTACTTTATTTTTGCCTATATTCCTTTATCATGTAAATTTTAGACAGTCTTCAAATTGAAACAAAAATTAATGCATTTTTAGGTATGAACTTTTATTAAGTTGTTCAAATAATTCTGGTCCCCTAACCCTGAAAATTTGCTTTAAGGGGCACAAAACCAATGAAAAAACATACTAAAAACACATATATTAAACTAACCTTTAACGTGCTGTCAATAATAACCTCCTTTAGTGCTGTCAAAGGTGGTGCTACGACGTGTTCCGTTTTGGTCTTCTTATCCAAAAGATCGCTCACATTGAAACGTCGTTCCAACAAAGGATTAAACTAAATTTTTATTTTTACATTTTTTTCAAAGAACCAAGCTACCAAGTAAAGCCCAAATATAACGTAAAACGCAGCTCTTCAATCTTATAACGCCTCATTAATACCTAAAAACAAAAATAACGTTAAAACCCCCATACCTCAGGCTCGAACGGCTTTACCATAAAAGCATGGTTATTGACACATCTGTGAACACAAAACAAAGCTTCGAAGTATTCTCCAGGTAACAGTTCTCTAGCACAAAACTCCTTGAGCTCTTTCATTTGATTAACCGAAAGCTTGATATTGGAAATGCTGTTTTGAGGTTGAAGAAAGTATAAAGTGTACATCAAGTAAATTCCAAATATTCTGTCCTAAAAGAAAATAAACTATTATCAAAAAAATTAAAAGTTTATCTATTTTCCAATTTGCTTTATATTAACTAGACCCGTAACAATATACAAAAAGCTCTAGAATTACTTATTCTTTAAGAGCTGCCATAAATCAAATTAAATTAAGATTCTTTTTCTTCCCCTTCACCTTTTTGACACGTCAATCTCGTCTTACCTTGAGATTGTACATCTTGCGAACAGGTTCCATCTTCCGGAGCTCAGCCGCATTATCTGTTACCACAAACTCGTTGATTTCTTTGCCACTTTTCTGTGTAAATACAAAACTTGTGGCGTAGGTCAACAACATCTCGGAAAACTAAAAATAGAAATGTAAAACAAACTAGCCTTACCTCAACCAAATCAGCAATGTTCATTCTCCCAAGGAAGATGGTGGAGAACTCCCGTTTCAAGAAACAACCAGCAAACTCTCGGTAAGAACAAGCTGGAGTATTGCTGAAATCCTTGTGTAGGAGATCTATGTCCTCCATCACAGCCGAGACTACATTACTCTCGATTTCCTTGATGCTAAGGTTATCAGTTCTTTTGATGTAGGTTCTTTTACGTCTGTTTCGTTTTCTCTTGGTGCGATCCCTTGAAGGTCCAACCGAATCATCCATTCTCAACGAAAACACCCAAATCAAGCTTATTACAATAAGGTATTTTTTACTAGATAGACTTTAATACTCCACCAGTACAGAAATGTCTCTAAAAATATTTTATAAAATTTATTTAAAAGCGCAACCCGCGCCCGCACTTTCAACAACTGCGAAAACAAAAACATACGCAAAAACGAAAAATAATTCAAACAAAAGTATCCCCAGATTTCAGCTCGATTGTCAATATGACAGGAGCGGAGGTATCAACAGTAACGACATCTTCAACAAGTTCATTCGACGTGCTTATCAGTCCACCAAATGCCATCACTTCGTTGTTCACATTCCATTTGAATCCAGATGTTGTAATTCGTGTTTCTGCTTGACAAAATGGAACAATCCCGCATTTTCCGGTAATTCTTTTGCGATCTACAGTTATTCTAAATTTAGAAGGAACAATGGTAGTGAGATTTGTGGAATCTACTGAGTAAATCGAGGTTTTACAGTCGGTTTGGCGTTGGAAACAAAGGATTGAGTTGATGGCAGATAAGGTATGGTCGAATCGACCACTTTGTCCGCCGAGAATAAGGACGGTTTTGATCTGAAAATGAAGCTTAAAGTAGTGGGAATCTAATTATTTAAAAAAGTTTTAATAAATAAAATTTACAAGAGATATCAGGGATTAAAACGATGTTGTTTTAGCTGAATGAAGGTATTGTGACTTTTTAGCTTACCTCTTTGTTTACATAGTTTGGGGATGTAGTAATAAGGGAAAGTGATTTACTGAGATCTGTATAGTCTTGATCAGGAGTGTGTTTTATATCAGCTTTATCTGAAACAGTATAAATGAAATATAAAACACAGCAAACACCAAATCAAACAGTTGAACAACTACTACAGCCATAATAAAATTTTCAAATGTTACCTTTAAAATACTGTAAAGTGCTTTGTGTAATTGAGTCGAAATCCCCAGAAATTACAGTAGGAAACTTGGTTACGTTAGTCTGGCACAAGGCCACGAGACTATTGGCAGCTCCATCTGTACAATACCGCTCTCTAGCTCCATTCCAAACTGTTATCCAACTTTGTGGAGGTTCTTTGACTTTGTCCGAGTTTAACCACACCACGGCTAAATTATCTACAACAAATTTAGCCAGAATATATTTTAACTATAATAAAAGCAACAGATTTAATTGACAATTAAAATTTCATCTAAAGACAAAGTCAAAAACAAATTTATCTAATTACCTGATTGAGAGATCTCCTGGAATGGTTTTATATCCATAGAAAACGAGCCTACAAGTTTAGTGAAAGACGAAAAATACCTAAAATTAGATAACCTAAGTTTAAAACATGATTAAAGTTGAGTTTGAACTTGAAATTTTTCTGCAAAACGAATCTGAACCTTTATTTATTGTTCAAACCATTATCGTAATGCAAAAGGTTTATGAATTCCATGTGAATTTTTGCGAAACCAACTGATAACAAACTTATTTTTGATTCCACCATTTTTGCGTTACTGTTTTGCAAGATTTCAACTGTAAAGACATTGTTCTTTGAGCCTTTAGTGGTTCATCGACACTGTCTTATTGTCAAAAATACTAGTAAAATAAATGAAAGTACAAAAAAATAGTTAGAAACATACTTTTTTTGCGAATTTTCTTCATCTTCCGCTGTTCTGAAGAGAAAAAACGAACAAAAAACAGCAAAAAGAGCCTTAGCCCGATGCGGGGCTCGAACCCGCGACAGCCAGATTAAGAGTCTGGTGCTCTACCGACTGAGCTAACCGGGCACACTCTCTTCTTCTCTTGATTTCCTTCAAAAATGAAAAGGGCAGCTGCTACTGATAATAAATAACATAACTGATCGTTTATTGCTCACACCACTCAATTTTTATACGTTTTGAAGGTTTTTTCATCATAATATAGTCTAATCTATTTTAAAATACTATTTTATGTTTTCATAGACAATATTATGTTGTCACAGACCCAAAATCATCATTTCAAAGCTGGTTCTCCATGCGTTTCCGTATAAAATACCTGTATAGAATGAATAATAAAATTGAAATGATCATAAACAAGTTAGTAGTATAATATTTAATCATCTAATATTGTGTTAACACGTTTTGCATACTAAAACATCCATTTTTGAGTATTTGTCATAAACAGACAAAGACATAGGCGCGGTAAAGTAACTGTCACAAAAACTTTGGCATAAAAAATTGTCACAAAAACTGGAACAGATATAGAGGCGTCGCAAAACTTTTGAGTATAAGAACGGAAGTAAGTTTAGGTAATTTGTGTCCAGAAATTGAATTAAAATAGGATAATGAGATTGGGGATTTGAGAACAAAAAAGGTACAGGATTAGAAACGTTTCAAACCCCCGAGGGTTAGCCGGCTGAACTGGTTACTGTAACTCATCTCGAATTCATAAGCTCAACTTTGAGTGATTTCGAATTCCGCTACGTTTGACAATGACATATGAGCCGCGTCATGAGCGTTTATAACTGCCAAAACTATTATAATGGCCAAATATAGTTTCATATAAAGTTATATTTGGTTCAAAGAGTATGAACATAAATGCGGTCCAACTAAAGTAACAATCTTACACTTTGACGTAATTAACATACGATATAGTCAATTTACAGTAGATTTAACTAAAGTAATTTTGATGACATTGTCATCTGTGGTCAACAATTAATAAGACATTATTCTACTATACTAAACAAAGTTATGTTTGACGTAAATGGCTTGTAACTTGAGGTAAATATTTTTACGATTAATTCGATAAGGCTAATTAGTTAGCCTTATCGAAAGTTATAACTGGCATTAAAAGATTTCAAAGCCACCTTTTCCAACAAAAACAATAATGTTACATTTAAAAAACGCATGTTGCTAACTACAGTAACCGAAAGGGCTATGACTGGCTATGCTTGATTGGTATGACTAGGCTAATCTCCTACTATCTGTAAAACATATCACTCCACTAATATGACGCTTTGTAGAATATACTTCCCTAGCCCTTCGCTACAGTAACCACCTTGTTTTCAGACTCCAATCATACTTTCATAACTCAGTAATTGCCCGTGTAAAGAAATTATAATTTGCTTTCAATATCCCTTATTATCCACAGTGAACCTCACTACCCTGCCCACACTTCCCTTTACTACCCTACTACTTCCCCATACTACCGTACCCATACCAACTCATGATTACAGTAACCAAATTAAACCTCGGCCCTCGAGCAAAGTTGATAAATTATAAACGAGTTAAGGCGGAGTTACATCGGTTTTGACTTAATATGCCTGGAGGGGAGAGGCGGGAGCGGATGTACTTCTTGGAGCCCAACTTCCGTTCCAAACCCGGTGACGTGGGGCTGCTTGTTCACTTCTGAAGCCGGATTCCGGACAGGTCACTACATTGTCATGCACTGCCTCGCTTGGTGCACCTTCCTCCTGGCCCTAGTCATGGGCCACGCTCTGGTTAATATACCCAACTTCTACAGGTTTGCGATTGATGTGGTGTTAGGTTGTGTTGTGAGTTTTGTGAAATAGGCGACTTTACTTTTGTTTGTACCAAATTATGACAATTTCAAAAAATTTAAAAGCAAAAAAAATGCAAATTTCCTCAAAAATGACCAAATCTTTAATGTTCTTTTTGTTTCAGAATACCGTAGAGATATAGTAGCTTACCTAAACTCTAAGTAACTTTATAAATTCTTCTATAGAATCTTCTACACAATTAGAAAGGCATTTACTATCATAAATCCTTATCGTAGACTTAAAACAAGTGAAGAAAACTGATTTTCAAAAAATATACATTGAAGTTTTAATATTAAAAAGCAAGCTTTTTCTTTATACGTAGTTTATATATCGTATTTTATAACTCATTGTGACCTACACTTTCCTTTCAGTAACCCAGCTCAACTTATAAACGCCCGCCCTCTCAGATCCAGTAATCCCGTAAACTCATTAACTCAAGAACACGTAAGTCTTTTTCAAAATCTATGTCAACAACATACTCAATGACATATAGTTACAGTATGTCTATGTCAACAAAAGCAATTTCTGGCATATAACAATTTGATTATATGTAAATGCTGGCTAAGGTGATAATGTCATAGACACATTTTGTGGCAAATAACTTAAAGTGGAAATTACTCTTGTTATTAAATAGCCACGAGTACAATATACTTCCGATATACATACAATGTCCACATTCAAATACAAAAAATTTAGAAATGGAAGCGACGTCGTGCAACACCGATCCAAATCTCTCCCTTCTTCTACCTGACCCCCAACGAAGAAGATACCATGGTTTACATCCCTCCACAATCCGCCTCAGTAACCGAATAATGCAATAAGACCGTTTATTTTTTGTATCTTTTATTGCAATACAAATCAATGTTTTTAATCTAAAGTGAATACGAATAAAGATTAGTAAAAATCAGTTGTAACTTAACATACCGTCAATTACACAGATGAGTTCAGGTAGGAGATTGAAATATATTTTGAAACATTGTACAGACCAGAGACAAAGACATAGGCGCGGTATTGTACCAAAAAGACAAATTCCTCCTCAATATTGTACACAAAGTATCGATAACATAGTGTTATCTACTACACAGACACATAATCATCAAATGAGAACTCAGACTGAAAGGAACTCGTGTTCTTACTGATGTACGAGTCTGACTTTATAATGTGTTCAATATCTTCCTCCGTGAGTTTACTCCAATTGAAATTCTTCTCAAAGTCTTCTGAACTCTCCCATGGACAATATCCAGAATCCTCCAAATCTTCATCACGTTCTGGAATCGGGATGGTTTTGTGATAATCCAGATCGATGTAACAGTCCATATCATCATCAAGCTCTGCATGTCTGTAATTCGTATCTGGTTTCAAGTTGACGTCGTCGTAGTCAATGTCCGGTAATGAGTACTTGAACTGAAGAGCATTGTCACATTTTCCATCGTCTTCTACAACATCTTGTTCTTGATCATCTCCTTTTCTTATCGCTTCGTTCTGATTCAGATCTTCATTAAAATCTAACTTCCTTGGAACAGGTTCATAGTTCAACTTCTTGGAAAACCCGGCTTCCAATTGTTTACATTCACCATCATCTCCAGCAAAGTTCAATCTGCTACTGAAGCCAACACTCTTCGATGCCAACTTTGGAGTAGCAAAACTGTTCTTCACATCGCCCAATGCTCTTCGCGGTGTTCCAAAAGCGTCTGATGCTCCTTTTGACTTCGAATCTAAAACTTCTTCGTTATTCTTGATCAAACACCATTAAAAATATAGATCCCTTTACATTGATCTAACTCAAATACGCTCAAAATAAACTGTTTTTACTAATTTTGCCACATAAAATAGTATCTTATTCTTACAAGTATTTAACTCTTTTCAACCTTATTATTCTACTTAAAATTCACTCAAATCTAAACCAAGAACAATAATTTAACCAAAAACATACCTTTGCTTTGTCGAGGAAGCGTATTCAAACCGTAAGAAGCTCTATCTAACTCCATTATTGGCAATAATAGTATTTACAAGTCGAAAAAGTCAGTAAAAATATTTTTAGAAAAACTCGGGAAAATTGGCGTTTGAACTGAAGAAAAGACGCAAATAGGTTCGTGGCGAGACCAAATTCTTGTAATAGTGATTTTGCTGTAAGCTATTGTAAATATTTTTTATTGTTAATATATTTTGAACAGTTTTTGCTTTTATATTCAAAAATTTTCATTTTATTATTTTTAAAAAATTTATATTTATTCGTGGAAATTCAGAAGAATGAAGGCCGGATTCTTTAGTGTAAAGTTGTGGTTATTTGATTTTATCTAAATTTATGCGAAGAATTTGAAAATTGATCCCATACTAAATATATCCATTGTTGATAATATCTGTTTTTAAATTTAATTTTAAAATAATTTGATAAAAATCAAAGATAAACTTTTACTACTATAGTGAACCTTGGTACAAGTTCAACTTTATCGAACAGTAATGCTAAGTAAAAGCCTAGCTTCACTTTACAAGCTAGGTGCAGTCTTAACTTCACTTTACATTCTAGTTATAAGCCTAACTTTACTATCAAAAGCTACCAAATCCAATTCCGTTTTGTTTTTTGGATTTGTTTAATCAGCTTTGAAGTTTTATTCGAATTCGCATAAAACCGTTGGCCAATTCGAAAATGTTTTCCGAAAGACGCTTTGTGTACAGTAATCCCAATTTTACTTTCTTTGTTTATTTGTTTTTCTTAAACATCACGAGATGAGTAGCTTTTCAGATGATTTATTTGGTTTCAATCTCTTTTGGACCAACTTTCAGCTCTAATTGTACAGAGATATACTATTTGATTGTTCACATTATTCTGTGCTCCTAGCTCCGAAAATTTACTTCTAATAAGGCATAGAATTATTTGAACAATCTAATATATATTGTAATACAAACAGGACTGAAGGTTATCAGTAATAACTACAGTACAGAGTTTTATATTAATGATATAGGTGTGAAAGCACAGTACAGTGTTGTATATTCATAACCTTTAACCACACTTGTAAAAGTCGTATATTATGCGACATATATCGCTAATTATGCTTTCTGCAATCAGATTTACAATGGTAAAGCCTTTGATTGAATGTAGGTTGGGGTCAGATTGCGTCGATCTGGCACCGGCATTGGCTATGATGGCTAATACGAAGGTATAAGTCTCAGAGTAAAAGACCTCTTCGAATTCAAGTCAATCGCTAGCCAAAATCTAAAGATATCACATAATTAGCACAAAGTTAGCGAGCGATTTTATATTATCTATTAGGTTGTTCATATAATTCTGAGCTCTTTAACTCCGAAAATTGGCTTTGAGAAGGAGCCTAGTATTATGTGAACAACTTCATTTTACAAGAAAATATTGTAGAAAGGTCAAAGTTTAACAAAAAGTTTTGGAAAGAGATATTATACACAATTGGACCAGCAGCCAAATCGCTGACTCATCGGGCCAACTTGACAATGACTAACAACATGACTAACACTATATAATTGACATCAGATGCACGGTCATCTGGAGCACGGTCTGTGAGGTCTGTGCAATTAATAACAAGGCTAATCAGTGACATCAGACTAATAGGCTTTTGAATTGTTATAGGGGTTTGAGAGGTGTTACAGAGTAGAACTGTTATAGATGGTTTGAAGAGTGTTACAGAGTAGGGATGCTATTAGCGGTGTGAGAGATGTTACAGAGTAGTTTTTGGTTTGATTAAGATGTTTCATAGCTTTTCAACTTCATTTTACAAAAATTTTTTAAAAATTTGATTTGTGTAAGAAATGTCAGTTTCATTTTCTTATTACCGTGATATCAGCTTCTGTACTCTTGCTATCTGACACGTCTTGCTTACATCATTATAATTTGAAACACATTTTGAATAACATCAGACTTGACTCACGTATTTTACGTTGATAGGATTGTGATCTGATTGTTAAAATGATTTATGGCTTATCATAGTTTACGTGTTTGTTTACCCGCCATTGAAAGATAAATATATGTAGTGCAAGTGGCATTTGCTTATCATGTGGACAGAACATTAGTCAGCTTGGCCTTATTTTACAAGTTTTATACTTTGTGAGTGTGGCATGTTATCTTTCACAGTAAGGTAGTTCTTCTAAATCTATTTGTGATTATTTTAACTCATAACATTAAAAAGTTTTATATTATGTTAGGTTCTTTACTACAATATGCACAACTTTTATCATTATTGTAATAACCTCATCTTATAACCATTACATATTGCAATGTCACCCCTCTTATCTACCCATTCGGAAACCGAAGTCCATATTCATTTGGAGCGCAGCCGGGTGTCGTGCCATGAAGTGCTGATTCTGAATGTTTCTTGAGGTTTTTTTGTCAATTTTTGGGTTTCGGAGCCGGAATTGGCTCCGAAAAAGAAACCGGAATTAGAGTGCGTGTGCACTGTTTGGCCAAAAGATATTTGGGGCTCTATTTCGGATTAATCGGGAATGCAAAGAGTGCAGCTCGGAGCCCTGAGGGGCTTCCAAGCCAATGCCAAAGGCTGCTCGGAGTGGCGCGCAAAATATGCAAATTTCGAGTTAATTTTGAGCGTTATTGAGCATGATTTTTTTTGAAAAAAGTTTAGATCATTTAAATGCGTAAAAAATTACTTTTTGATCTATTTTTAAATTGCAAAGTGAGGTCAATATGAATTTTTGGAAAATCAGGAAAAAATAGCTAAAAATAGACAAAAAAGTCACTTTAAAGTAGAAACAAACTTTAACTGAAGCAAGTGCATACTGAATTTTGTACAATATTTGTTCATCGTACTCTACTGTACTAGTATGCAAAGTTTTGTGCCATTTTGACGTTTCTACAGAACGTTATAAGCAGCCAAAATTAACTAACAACATGTTTTATCATTTTTCTATAAATGCCATTCTTTATTGTCATTCTTTATCAAAACTGTAATCAAAACCCAAACAATTAGCATGTTCAGTGCAATTGCAGTAGAGTAATTAGCTTGGAGATTTGCATAAATTGTGTAATTCGGAAGAGATCCATCTCGTTCATTGCTCGCTCTCGACCGGGGGGAGGGGCGAGAGTCGGGAGGGGGGTTGCGATGGAGTCGATGAGTCCGAAGGGCAGCTGGCCCTCATCGCAATCGATACCACATTCATTTGCAAAGTAATTCCGTCTTGTATTATAGTAATTTCGGATAATTGTGCCGTTTTTTAATTTTGTGCCAAAGTCAATACGAGATGGTTTTGGTGGTATGGTTGTGACAAAAGTGTTTGGTATCTATTATTGTACTATCTAGTACCATATAAACCTATTATTTTACTGACGAGTATCATATGAAGCTATTATGGTACTAACGAATACTAAAAAGGTTTATTATTGTACTAGTTAGTATCATATAAACCTATTATAATACTAACGAGTACTATATAAACTTATTATTGTACCAATGAGTACCATATAATCTTCTCATTGTACGAGAGTGCCATATAACTTCGTCGTCTTACGAAACCTTTGAAAACAAATTGTCACACGACTTCTGAAGGCCAAGTACCGTACCCTGTTGACTTCTCAAAAGTTTTGTCTTTGGCTAGTGTTTTTGTTTATAAGATCGCACAACTTTCCGAAGCGATTTGGCCGTGTTATCAGATAAGTTCGCCACAAAAGAGCGGTTAATTTGTCTTTGTGGGTTCAGTTTTGTTTAAAGAATCCTTGTCGTAGCACCCTTTTCTAATCGGATGCCTTTGTATTGTCTAACTCAAGTTGTGTATATTGTTTAATGTCATTTTATATTGTTTAAACTCTGTATATTGTCGTTCTGCTTCGATTCGACTGCCTTTCTTTTGTCGTCTCGATTGTTGGAAGTTGATGCCAAAACGATCCCACTTCCGGTTCGGGCTTCTTTTGTATTCCGAATTGATAACGACGAAGCGGAAAAAACTTTTTTTGTGGTGACACATTCGTCATCTTGACGCTTATGCGATCCGACTTTGTGGACAGGCTGAATTCCGCGCATTCCATTCAAATAATATAGGTATCAACGGATATCGTCTCATTTTCAAGGCATTCAACTTTGTAGTTATTATATGGGCATTATATGCTTATATAAGCATTTCAATTTGTACTTAAGGCATGGTAACATAAATTTACAATGTTTAGTGATTTTCTTTTATTTTGGCACAAGTGTGATCTTTTTATATCAAGTATAATACAAAACCAAACTTTTTTCAAAATTTCAAAGTTTTTTAGTAATGTCGCCCAAACAAAGTCCAAATCCGTTCCCATAAATAGCCCTATATACAAACAGTTGTGTTGGCTGAGGTTGATCCCAAAAAGGCGATCGTCACAAAGCGCCTTCAGAGAGTGCAAGTTTTTTTTGTTTATCGCGATGGTCTGACTCACAGCATCGTGCATCCATCTCTTCACTCGGGCAAGGTCAGCGACAGTCGAGTCTCGACGTTCCGCACTGTGCCGTTCCCTAAATAAAAGTTTTGGGAGGGTCGGCGATTGCTGGGGGTGGTCGGCAAGTTTTGGGAGTGGTATGTGTCTTTGAGGGTAGTATGCGATCTCTGAGGGTGGCAGGGGATCTCTGGGAGTAGTAGATGACTTTGGGGAGGGGGGGGGGGTACTTTATCTCGTGCCTCTGGGGATAATAGGTGTCTTTGAAGTGGTAGAAAATCTCTGGAGGTAGTATGTGTCTTTGAGGGTAGTCATCACAATTTTGGGGAGTGTCGCCGTTCTTTGAGACGGTCAATGTTTTTTTTAGCCAGGGGAAGTCGCTGTTTGTGTTGGCGAACGTCCTGTGCGTTTTTTTTGTTTGCGTGGAAGGAGTGACCCCTTGACCTCACCTCCGAACTCACTTTCGCTTTTGTTCGTCGACCTAGATATCGGCGAACGCACTCGCCAAGGCTTACTTCTTTTTTGGCGTGATTTAGGTACATAATAAGAAAAGTATTTTAACTTGTAGAATACTAGATAATATCAACTTTAATATGTAAATTGAGATTGTTGTACCTAGACTAAATTTTTCAGTCTATTAAAAAGGAAAAAAGAGTAAATTTTTAAAAAATTGGGGTTTCTAATGACATTTTTTTTCGTTTTTAATCTACCAGGAGTCGAAAAATAGTTAGATTTAATTATCGGTCACTGGCTCATAGTATAGTCTACTGTTTAAAACGTTGTCAATATGGGTAGTTTAAAGATTATTATGAGGAAACTCATCTTATACATACCGTCTCATCATTACCTGCATTTTTTATCAAAGTGATTGTTAAAATAATAATGTGCCTTCCCCAAAAGCAATTTTTTGAAGTTATAGGGCACATAATTATTTGAACAGTGTAATACTTGTTCAAACAGATAACTTGGTGTTCAACTGTAACAACAAAGTTCAAAAGTATCGAATAGTAAGGTGTCATTTTGCTTGTTTTTATGATTCATAGGGTATAATTAGCGAAAACAGTAACAATCATACTTTTATGTTGTACTTTGTAAGAGATAAAAGTGACTAATTTTGTTTCTTGTTTGATTTTAACTATTTTTTTAAACTTTTTAAAACTATTTTTAAAACTGTAGGAGTGGATATATGTAGCCATATTACAAATCTTTTATAATTTTACATTAATTTTCTTTAGTATTAAAATACTAAATTGCTAAACTGGTTATCATTTGTCTTATCTCCTAAGAAATCAGAAATTATGTAAATTGCTCAAGTTAATGTCAAACAAAGAAGTTGGGTAAGGCTTTCTTTACCTTCTTTATAGCTTCATATTTGAGTCTTATTCAATCGGCGACAAAAGAGATTTGGCTAGCTGTAAGCGACATGTCTTGAAGCTATTCCATCGATGGCTACGATTTCTATCGCCACAAAGATTGACATAACTTATGTAGTTAGATCGTCTTTAAACTTACGGGTATAGAATAAGCGTCTGTTTCATCGTACATGAGTTCAGCTTTGGTTATAGCCTATATTTTAGACTAGCATTGTTGTTATATTCTCAGTCTATATTGATGAAGCATTCGCCTTTAGTTGCTCTTAAATGTACCCAGAATTGGCAGTCTGCCTTATCTTTTCGGAATTTGATTAGGGTCAGAAGATTGTATTGTGACATTGTCATCTGCCTTCTTATCAGTTTGTGATAAGAAGTTGTAAAGATTTCATCATTCTCTTAACCTACAGGCTTTGAAAATTAATATTTACTGTTACAGATAGTACTAAATTTACTATTAGGGGTAGTTTTATATTGTACAGTGTAGTATGTGTCAACAATTCTTTGTGTTCACAATGTCAATTTCAACTTGTTTGCCATTTCATATAATGACTTAAACTATATTAACCATCATTTTTTAATTGATCCAGCATTTTAATTCTATATTCATTAGACATGCGTCTTCATCTCAGTAGCGACGTGTCTGTGGAGTATGTTTCAGAACCCGATTTGTTCGATGCCAATTTATTTTGTCTCCAGAAGGCCAAAAAACAGACTGCAGGCCTAATGTTTTTTGTCGCTGCGCACCCATTTTTGGCCTTTTGTCTTTGTCCCAATCTCTTTTTGGGGGGGGGTGAACGTGGCGATCGGGAGAGTCCCTAAGCTATTAAGACAACCCCCACAGGCAATATTTCCTTTTCATCATAAGTTTCACTCGTTTTTGCGGCTTCTGAATTCATATTTTTGTTGGGTTTTGTTATCTGTTAAGTTTTGTCATCATTGCCATTTTGAAATTTTAAAAATATTTAAATTTTTCAATTTCAAAATTCAAATTTTAGCCTTGAGGCGCTTAAACTCTGGTTTTTTGAAAGTAATTTGTCGTTATTAAAACATGTTATTCCGCTGTACATTATGAATATATTGGGTCTCTATCAGATGATTAGAAACGATATTGTTGTAGCGGTGGTGTGCTTTGTTTAATAAGAGCCGTACAGTAAAGCCTGATGACTGTGTTTCGTACGACAAGGTTTTTTATTCCAACTTAAGGCGTATTGTATGTGTTTTTACTACTATTCGTATTATATATTACCCCCTATTGTAGCCTTTTTTATGCTAGTACTGTACAGGGTGCGCCAAAAGTTCTGTTACAAAACTTTTACCATTAGGTCGTTGTAAAGAAAATTTTTGTATGTTTAATTCGTTTTTGCTATTTTTTGTATATTACTTTCCTTGTACTATGCCTGCTAATACGATGCATACCCCAAAGTTAATTCCCTATTACTGTCCTATTATTATCACCATTACTGTACCTTCACTCCAAGTATAATATTTTCCCGCGTCGCATTCGTTTTTTGACCTCGTCGATCTGTATGGCCTATTTATGCAAATCGAAGGCTCGTCTTTACTCGGCCCGACTTTAGCGACAAATTCTTGCGAGTTGCGAGCGGTCGAAAAGGCGGAGTCAATTGCACTGTGTTCGGCGACAGAAGCATCGGGCAGGGGGAAGCGCGGGGCAGTAGTGCGTGTGGGGCTGGTTTCTTTCTCCACCCACTCGGGTCATTTCTGCATTTTTTGGGTTGAGGGCTGTGGTGTGTGGAGGTCAGAGGAGAACGCGCGCGCGAGGGGGGTTTGTCGCGCATCGAATGCAGTTGCAGTGCATCGTCTCGTTTCTCGGCTTCATTGGACACTCCTCGTTTGGGGTGGTTTTTTCATTCTCTGTTGAGCGGGGTGGGTATGTGCGAGCAATCTACAGGCCTAGCGTTCAGGCTTAGTCTGTAGTTGTCTCAGTAGTATAATAGGCCAGTAGATGTATTAATACGAATAATTACTATAGTATATGAACTTCTTTTCTCGGTGCAAGTTATTTTTGCTTCAAGTTTGTCCTAATGAAACCCCACCATCTACTCGATGCCATTTTGTTTCGAAATACGCGTTTGCCGGAGGTAGAATGGCCGCGAAGCACGAAAAGGCCAACGGCCATTCTTGGCACGGATTTCGAAATTAACCGTAGTATGGCTTACGTTTTGTTTTTGGCGAGCGGTGCAACCGGGCATATGAGCCAGGTAAATAAATAAGGATGGGGGTCAACAATGCATTCATTTACTGCATTTCTAAACGGTTCGGCTTCATACTCGTGCTTAACTATATTGGATTACATATTGTAATATCTGGTTTTGGAAGTTAGAACTTTCTTACAAGCTTTAAAATTGATCATCTGATATACTCATAAGTATGATGATAACATTTTGAATTATCATCATTCTTTTAAGCAGTATATATTGTTCTTGATCTTTGCAATTTAAAAAAAATTTAATTTTTTTCGCTAGTTGCGATGACTTCTTAAACAACGCGAGTACTACTATCATGAATTATATTCTTTTTTTTCATTTATAACATATTATTGTTCAGAATTTACCCCATTATATAAAAATGAGCGCCCAAGTAGAGCAACCCGTCCAACCCGTCGCCCCAGTCCCAGAAGAGCCAAAGCCAGAGAATGGTACCACCAGTGAGACCAACGGCACCGAAGAAGTGAAAACCGAAGAGACAAAGGAAGCCAAGAAGGAGAAGGAAGCTCCAGTACCAATCGACCCGAAGGAGGACTTTGTTGGCTGGGTGGGACAACAGATCCCCAATGCCATTCACAAGGTAGGGCTTTTGGAAATTTAAATTTTTGAACTTTTATAATATCTTTTTGTCTTACCAGTCATTAAATTATGGGTTATTGTTCTAATTTATTTGTTTTTATCAGTTTGTGATAGCTTTTGCTTAGTGTCTACAATGTATTCGAATAACGACTTTTTAATGACTACAGTGACACTTTTATTAATTACCTCAGTTATTTATAACTTTTTGAATTTATAGCCTTGTTTATGACAAAATGATGACATTCCATGCTTCGTTATTCTTACTTTATCTAGTTATCAACATATATTTAAAGTCATAGTACTTTGAAAAGAAAACTACAGTATATTTTACGTCATAACTATAAATTATGAGCTATACCAATACTTATTAGCTATAACAACGTACTATTAGCCATAACAATATAGTATGTGTCATACCAATGCTTCATGTCTCATTGAATAGAGCATTCCTTTAGTTTCGATGATCATATCACCTGATTCAACTCGATTCCCAGCCTTGTCTAAAGTCCATGTTTATATTAATCATTATCAGTTATTACACATCTTATCTAATTGTTTTAGTTTAACTTCTACATTCTTCAATGGGCCGTCAACCTCGCCTACGATGACGAATCCAAGAAGCCCAAACTTCCGGCCAACGAAGAGATCACCAAGTCCCAGTTCCTGAACTACCTGAAGGACGGCCAGATCCTCGCCAACTTGGCCAACAAATTGCACCCATCCTCGGTGGAGACCGTGAAGGAAGGTGAAGATGCCAAGACCAAGGAAGCCCAGAAGGAGAACATCGAAGGCTTCATCAAGTTCGCCAAGGAGAAGGCCGAGCTCAACGAGTCGCAGATCTTCGCCGCCGAAGACCTCCAAGAGAAGGGCAAAGCCGGCTTCAACCAGGTCCTGAACACCCTCTTCCAGCTGGCCCACATCACCCAGACCAAGTTCCAACAACAAGGCATCGACGTCGACGCCGTTATCACCGAAATCGCCGGAATCGCACCAAAGTCGATCATCGAGAAGATCCGCACCTTCGTGTTCAACAAGCTAAGAAGACAGTCGTCGACACAGGAGAAGGAGAAGGAAGAGAACAAAGAAGAAGAAGCCAAGAAAGAAGAACCACAAGAAGCCGCCGCCGAACCAGCACCAGCAACGGAAGAGAAGAAGGAAGAGGTAGGACAATGGAGATACCAAATTGGGGACTGTAATTACAGGGCTGGGCATTGTTTGAAGGGGTAATGAGGTTAGGCGGGTGGGGTCTGATTAGAGGCCTAGCTGAAAGGTGAGGTCAGGTTTGGCTTAGCGACGATTAATTGGGGAACTAGTTAGGGATGGCATGTTCTTCTAAATTTCAATTTAAAATTTATGGCAGGTTATTTTAATTTTACTTTAAAATTTTTTGAAGCGAAATTTAATTGAAAAGCCGACAAGACCCTCTTCACTGCTGTCTACTATAATATTTCATAATACTGAGTAAAACAAAATAGTTTTCCCTAAAATGAGTAACTTTCAAATTGAAATACGATTTCGAAATGCAAAAAATAATTGTTTTGGTAGAGTTACGAAACACAACATGAGTAATGGCAGTCGAAATAGGTCAGAAACAAGATTTATTTTCAAAATCTGAGTCAATACATTACTCAGCACTCTTAATACATTTCCGATCGCGCAGTTATTAAAAAAGGTATTAATATTAACCATTGAGTCGGAAATGCTTGGCATTAGTCAATTTCTAGACTTGCAAGTTATTTTAGGCGGTAAAATAGGAAAAGTGGACATATAGACATAAATTTAGGTAACAAAATTAATGGAATGAAACATAGTAATTTAAAACAAAGGTATTTATAAATTATTAGATATTACACTCAATTATAACATGTATAACATATTAACCATGTATACAATCGCATAACGACCTCCTCTTTCAGGCGCCAGCAGTGACAGCCCAGTAAACCTCGACTTATTTAATAATTTATGCATCCGTCCTGTTCAACTTTGTCCGCCGATCAAAATAGTCCATAATCTACGTCTTCCACACCTTCTACATCTTCATCATGGTCCTCTTGTAAACCTTTGTTGTTGTCTCTTTTTCGCATTAAAAGTTTTATACCAAGAATCGTTTGGATGGGAGTTATGCCGGTTCAGCCCTCCACAACCCTTTCAATGTAAGTTTACATTTCGACGGGTTATGAGGGGCTTTGAATTTTAAAAAGTTTTGATGTTTTAAAATTTAAAATGATTTAAAAATGGCTGTAGGCAAGATAATTTTTTTTAATTTTCATTTTTATGTGGTAAAAGTTGCAATGAGGATGTTTGTTAGCATTTGTTACCTATATTACTACTTTTGGCGTGTTTTTGAGGCTATGGGGTTAGAGTTAGCAAAATGTTATCAAGAATTGAAAGTTTATTCATCAAAAGTACAGTCAGTTAGATGATGTAGGATAGATGATGAGCTGATAAACAATAACATAGTGATATCACTGGTTATTCATTTCCGCTTGAACATAAGATTGAGATGATTTGAAAAGGTTATTCAGAAGACTTGTATTTTGGTTTAAATATGTCGATTCACTATTTGTATATTCTTTTTCAACCTAAAAATGAAAATATTTAAAATTTTGCCAAAACAAATGAGTAATGTCATCGTTTATTCATCCGATGACATTGTTTCCACACCATGTTCATGTATAATCTTGGTGTTCGGCAAAGTCGCCGTTTCCCATGCATTTCCAATGTTCTTGCCTCGGGGCTCGTTAATGCAGGCACAGTAGGCCGCGCGCCTTTAACTCGAACCCTCAGGGGAAATTGAGAACGCGCATTACCTCTTAATTTAAAGAGCGGCCCAAAAGAGATGAGAGGGTTTGGAAACCGGGGCCCCCTCCCTATAATTGGATACATTACCATAAAACAGCAGAACAAACATTCGGTTAATTAAGATCAAAGGGTGCCGCCAAGTGGTACCCTTTCCACGTGCAAATCTACCCAAACACAGATCAAACAAAGCCTCCATCGCGATTCCGAGCAGCGAGCGATCCGGTTTCGAGTGGTCTGGGTTCATTAGGTGTAGTCAATAGGTATGGGCATGTTTGTTGAAATCGACAGAGGCGGCGACATCAAAGGCCGTTTAGTTGGGCACCATTTAGCTAGCTAATCTGCTACTGTTTGCCAGATTAATCCCACTTGAATTGTAATGGTCCGAAATTAAAGCGACTTTTAGGGTTCATGATGGGTTGGGTAGTATTAGGAACTACTAGTATAAGTATGTTAACATAGGATAAAAATAAGTGTGTCAACATATGTAGGTATTACAATATGTTATAGGGTAGGTACTGAAATATCTTCGCGTAGGCTAGCCACTAAAGGTAAATAGCCATTGCGTGCGTCCTTTGATTACTACGGTCATTGTACGACCATTTCGAACAGTTTATGACAATCGCTTCGAAACCCAGCAATCGGTATCCGATTACCACGCTTCGTATTCCGATTACCACGCTCCGAGCTGTGAATGACGGTAAACATTCGAATGTCCCTTTTATCCGCTGTAAACTGACCCTTGGCCTTTTGTTCATACAATGATGGATTACTGGGCGCGCGGCGGAGACAGGTAGCCCAGCCAATTTATACGACTCTAGATTTATGTTCAATTGACAAGCATCAGAGATTGAAATTTAACTCTGGGGTAGTAGTAGGCATAGGCGGGGGTTTTTAGCTTCGTTTTTGGTTATTGAGGGGCTTTTTGAATGATTAGGTAACAGTTGTTAAGAGTGGTAAAGGAGCATCTTGTAGTTGTTTTCTCTGATCTTCCTATGGACTTTTAGACCTGCTACTCTGTAACCAACAAAATTACAGTCAAAGCTTTCATTACCTCCAAAATTCGTATCTTTTTTGTATAAAAGTTCCCGAATTTTACGATTTTTTCGTAATTTTACGACTTTTGATGCAACCCCCCTCCAGCCATGGCCTCTTACTGTGGCCAGAAGTGCGGGGCATAAAAAGACATATGGCGAATAAAGGATTAAATGTCGCGATCGAAGCAGACGGACATTATCCCATCATCTAATCGTCGCAGCGATCTGTAAAAGATCTGTTTATGGACTCGTCCAGGGCATTAAAATATGATGACTAAACCCGGGGTGTTGAGTAATACAAGAGGGTAGAGGGTAATATCATAGAGCTTGAGTAAGATAGGGTGGGGGTTGATGGGTTAGTGTAGTTTTTGATATGATTTTTTGAAAAGATGTAAAATTAAGATAACATTACATTACAATTCCACATAAAAATCAAAATTAGCCTCACAAATTAATTGCCTGAAGCAAAAATCATCATATTTTAAATTTTAATTCTTTAAAAGCTTTAAACTAAATAGAAAAGTTACTTTCATACAATAATATCAAACTATAACAAGATCAAAACTATAAAAAACCAACATGACATCTAATAATGCCTTTTCAGACACCCAACTCTCGACTACATTGTCTACTTTACCACATGAAGCTTCCTATGTCCGTGCTTAAGATACGAAGCTTCTCCCGCTTTTACTAGAGTTTGTTCTTATGTTTCAGTAAGATGTCACAAGAATTGTTACAGGCCTTTTCTTTCATTATTTTCGGTAACATATTTTGTTTTTGGAGTAAATAAACGTTAATTGTGATACGAGACTAGTGATCGTTATATTATAGTAGCTACTATAGTAGGCTGTTTAACTGATTTTTTCATTTTTTTCGGATTTTGTAATTAAGTTGGTTAAAAATTACATCGAATTTTGATTTATGATGTTGATTTTTCATTTTTAGACTAAATAATTTTCATTACGGACGCGTTACTGCGCGGTAATTTGCCTGTTATTAAACGGTTACTATGGTAACATACCAAATTGGTCAGTTGCCGACTTCCGCTCTAACGGTTATTATAACTGTGGCTACCTTGCACTTTAATGAGAACTGTATGTGCATTTACAATTTTTTAAATTCACATCGACCTTACTCTACATGGCGTATAGTATTTTACTTCAACAGTATTACAGTAAAATATAAGATTTTACTATGTGTACTATACTGCTAGTTGTCATTGAAATGTGATGATAATTACCCTTAATAAGTTCTAGAAGGTTTGAGCAAATCATTGTTTAAAAATAATCAAATATTAGTACTCGTCCAGTACCATTCTATCCTTGGACAAAGCCTTGCATAGAGCAAGTACTATGATTGTTTATGAATAACAAGGAACTCAAGTTTTTAGACAAATGATAACAAAAAATATTCTAAAATTTTATGATTTATATTACACTATAATTATATTGATATACACAGTAATGTCACGTAGTATTAGCACCATTATCCTTCCTGTCCACCCATTTACCGCCATGATTTACCTTCCCAATAACATTTAACCGTCTAGATATGGTAGCATACGAACACCCAAAGTGTTTAGCCAATTCTACTGTAGTCTGTCGAGGATTTTCATCGATCGCCACCCTCAGCAGTTCGTTATCTACCACACCCGGCCGTTTACCATGTTCTTGGTCGCTCAATGATTCGTCGCCATTCTTGAAGCGCTTAAACCATTTTTCACACTGACTTCTGGAGTAAGCGTCGCTTCCAAAGACTTGTAAGATCTCACGATGTGCTACTGTCGCTGACGTCCCTTGTTTGAATTCATATAACAAGCAGAGCCTCATGAAGTGTTTGCGATCCATTAAGGCTTCTTGGAGAAGGTATATCTACTAAAAAGCTAAACTTTTATAAAAAAGCCACAAAAATACTTTAAAGTTAAACTTATTTTAAAAAATAATAAGTTTATCACGCAAGACAAATCCACTATAACGTAACTCATCAACGAATACACATCTACTACAATATAATTCGAAAAACAAAAAAAGTCATATAAACAAAATGAAAACAGGAAAAAAGAGTATTGGAGTTACAACCGGCAAAAGCCGACTCTCATTCCCAATGCAAAGACCCACGATTCGCTTTTTGCATTAGGAATGACGCTTTTATTATACTAATAAAATTTCTTCATTTTATCGTAAAGACACGACTTTTAAATGAAATTTTAAAACAAAAAATATTTTTGTTACAAAGATTTGAAATTTCACAATAATCACATTGAAGATCTATTACAGTATTTATATCACAGATTTATTCTACAGCGAGAAAATATGACTCAAAAGGGAAAAACTTGACACAAAACGAATAATTATAAATTTTTCGGAATTTTTACCAGATTTTGGTAAACTGAACAATTATTCCAATACAGTGTTATGTTTTATAGCTTTTAGCAAACTTTCAACACTTTTTTTAATGTGTTTATTGTTGTAAATTTGTAAAAGTCACTAATTTCGGCAATTTCTCTTAAATTTTGGCAAGAAATGGATGGTTATCCATCGACAAGTTTCGACTTCTCTGTCAATTACTACTTGAATCAACAACGATGGTATTGGGGAGCTGTGGATAAGGAAGAATTAAACAAAGCTATCAATGTAAGTTTTATTTTTTAGTTTTTGTTGGTTTAGTTGAAGATGTCATTGCATCTTAACATGTCTTGATTATTGGTTTCAAAGGCTTTCAGAAGATTTCATAGCTTTTGCTACCTCGAATTTAAATATTATTTAATAAACAACACGGGGCCAGGCGTATTTTACCATAAAAGCATTGTTTCAGCACCATCCAACCGGCACTTTTGCTGTTCGTGACTCTTCGTCTCCAGGTGAATATACGCTGACTGTGAGAGTAGATGGAGCTAACCGTTTAGTGAAGATATTGATCTATGAAGATCGTTGTGGCTTTACACCGCAGAATCTGGACTTTTCGAGTGTTGTAGAACTAATTGAATATTATAGACATAGAAGTCTGGAGGATTATAATCCGGCTTTGAAGACTTCTTTGAGGTTTCCGTTGGAGAAGCCGGCTTCAGATGAACAAGAACTGGAAGAGAATTTTGAGAGAGAGGAAGCAGAAGATTCTTTGGTACCTCAGAGAGTAGTAGATATGTTGAAACGACACAAAAACACGGTAACTTTTTCTTAAATTAAGTAAAATTTAGGTAGTTCTGCTATTAATTTGTGAGAATGTTTTAAATATTTCAATATTATTTAGGACCAACGTCCTGACCAAGAATTTCACTCTACAGCCTTTGTTATACAACATCTGATAGAACAAATGGCAGCAGAGATTGAGAGATCCCGGCTAAGACAGATCGCCATTCATAATCTACTGGAAAAGATCGAAGAGAAGTTGAAGAAGTACACCAACATGGAGAAGGGATTCGATAGATGTGAAGGGTTTATCAAGAAGAACAAAGACGAGTTTGTGGAGTATATAAACACTTTGTCAGAGACCGACAAGTTGGGGATGTTCGGGAAGTTGGACACTATTGAGGACAGGTAATTTTCTTGTAAATTTTTGTAGTAGATTGCAAATTACTATTTAATTTTGGTAAATTGTAAACAAGTAGTTTTGTAGTACACGGTTTTAAAGAAAAAGTATGTTTCGATTTTGTTTTAGGTACGACATTGTATGTACCTTACGAAAAGACACTATTAGTGGATTCAACAAGCTAAAAGCGGTTAAAGAAGGTCTGAAAAACGAAGAAGATATTATACTAAAGCATTACGAAAGCTGGAATAGGTATTTTTTGGTTTTTATAATAAAATTGAAGTTTAGGCGCTTCGAGCACTACATCAACTTATTGGTCAGCAATGGGTATGACATGAGTTTGATCGACCGTACCAGTGATTACATAAAGACCGTGATTCAAACAGAGTCCGAAATGATCGTGCACAACCTACTGAAGGTCGACTTGATAACAACACCGTTCGATTGGCTGACGAATAACAGTAGCAAGGATTACGCGGCTGCCATTGTTAATCAGAGCATTAAGGTGGGATTTTAAGGATTTTAACTTGATTATTTAACTTTTTTAACACTTAATGTTTAAAAAAATAAAAAGCGTATTTTAGGTCTTAAAAAAACGCGGATCCAAGAACACGAATGGTATCTTCCTAATCCGACCTTCATCATCAAAACCTGGCTGTTATGCGATGGCGATCAGTATGAATGAGAAGGTATTGAACTGTTTAATCGACTATCGTGCTCCGTCCGAATCTGAAAACACTCCAGGCTACGGATTCTTCAACACGAATCTGTTCTACAGTACGTTGAGTGACTTTGTCAGATATTATTCACAAGTGACGCTTAATGAGCACAATCCTCATCTGGCGACAACGTTGAGGATACCTGCTTTGAAATTGGCAGAACCGAAGAAACACAAGGGCTACGTGGAGATGTTTGGAGAGATCGGGGTGAAATGGCCTACCGAGCCTGATCTGACTGACTGTGTTTGGGTGGATGATCAGTAGCTACTACTGTAGTAGGTCCGCGAATGGAGGAGATTGGTTGTGTTGATGAAAGCCACAGCATCTGAAAATGAATATCAGGGACATCATTCTATCTTATTGGTTATTTTAGGATAGAGTAGAAATAGTTAGTTCTGGTCTATTTAACAATTTTTGTAGATATTATACTTAACATGTGTAATATAAAGATATAGAGTCCATGTTTATTGAATTTCACAGAAAAGGCAATGGATATTATAGTAGGGTACGTGGCATTCTTTGAATCTTTCTCCAGGTATTATTGTAATGAAACATAGTTTATAGGATACGTTATTACATTACTATATCATCGAGTACCGCTGTATCCTCTCACACGTCACTGTAGTGCCAAATGAATGTATCTCCTGTACTTCCATTGAATATAGGTTACTGTAATACTATTGAATGGAGCACCGTTGTCATGATTAAAGTTGTTGATTCTGTGATGTTGTGACTTTCTTCTTGATGGAATCGGTTCTGCTCTTTTGCTCTGTGTCTTTCTTTGGTTCCTCCATTGCAACGGATGTTGTTTGCTAAAAGTTACAGTAATAACTGTAAAACACTTAATAAAGGAAAAGTTCGCTATAGTCAACACAACATGTTTACCGTTGGTATAAATGTTATGTTGGCTATAGCGAACGGTGATATAAACCACAATATATTTGACACAAGAACATACGATTTCACTGCAATTTTCCATGAGGCCAACTCCATTCTCATCGGCCGCTTTCTTGACAGCTAGGTATAGGTTGTCGAGGTTGGCGCGCTTCCACTTTATCTTCATCTTTTGTTTCATTAAACTTATGGTGGATACACATAATATAATTTGGGATACGAGCAGTATTACATGTAAAACACCTCTAAAACATTTTTCTGATATTACAAGGATATGGAAAAAGGTACTGTAGTGAAGTAAGGGGAGGGGTTTGTTAGAGATGGAGGGTGAATACACGGCCGTCGCTACAGATTTTTCCCATGGGAGGAGGGAGGGGGAAGGGAAGATCAACAACTTACAGTATTATTGCCAATAGTTTGTTAGCATCCAGCATCTCTTGGATTTCTATGGTGATATCGGTGTCTTTCTGTTTAACCTCATTTAGCACTGTTTCGTCAGGAAGATATGTCTACAACAATGTCATCTTTAACATAATATTAGGTCGTTCAAATAATCCAAAATTCTGTAAAATGCATTTTCATAGTATTTGGTTGTTCAAATAATTCTGTACTCCTGCATAAAGCAAATTTTTGTTATTAAGGGGCACAGAATTATTTTTACAATCTAATAGTGCTCGTCATGCTTTAAACTAATTTTAACCTTATACTTAAAAATTAAGTCAACTTACAACGTCAAGATACATTCGGTTAATGTTGTTTGTTCTAATTCGACCATGATATAAAGTACGGTTTTGCCGCTTTTCATCCGAGCTGGCACAGCTTCTAAAACATATACTTTTAGCCTTTAGAAAAGTTACGAAAACTTGAAGGTCAATCAGAGTAAAATATTAACATGTTGGACAAAAAAGAGTAATATTCAAACTTTACCCCTTGATCTCGTGACCTATAGCAATAGCTCCACCACTCAGAAACTGGATTCTTTTCGGGCTCCAATGGAAGTGGACGATGAAGAACCTTTCTTGCAAAATGGTCTCATTTTTTGGTTCTAAAATTAAATGTAATGTTTAATTTATCAAAAGAAATTTTAAAGCGAAAAATTACTATATATCTATTGATAAAATACCTTTGTTAGCGTTGAATCCGAATATCAATCTCTTACTGCCGCCATCTCTTCTCGTAAGGTTGATCTTGAACTTGCATTGATTAATCTAAAATGCGTTAAAATGTTTGAACTGATTGCAATATAACTTATAAAACTCGATGAAATCTTATATACAAGATGTATGGTACCTTTAGCAACTTAAAACTATAAATTATTAAAAAGGAGGATAACTATTAGATCGTTCAAATAATTCTGTACCCCCTAACCCCGACGTTTTGCTTTGAGAAGGGGCACAGAAATTTTTGAACGACATAATAGTTATTATTAAGAAACCTACATTGGCATCAAATCTGATTTGAAATTCATCAGCGTAGTCCAGATACATAAACACATTAACTCCCGGCCTGCTTTCAGTGTCGTCTAAAGTAATGTTGACGGTCCTTTTCGATCTGAGGTCATGCCATTTGGAGCCTTCAGTTGTTACAGTTTTGCCTAAAATACCATTGAAATAGCAAACGACCAGCACTGGTAGCAACAACCACCGCATCAAAAGTAACAGAAATATTAATTCAACAGCTTTTTTAAAATTTTAAATTCCAAAAAATCGAAAAAGAATGTTTATCGTACAACTTTAAGTCATATGGTATTCTCATCCCACAACTTTTACTGCTATAATGTAGACATTATCAACAATCTTTCTATTTTCCATTATATAAATCAATAATAATTTATTAAATTACTTAGTACCATATACTGAATACAATAGATAATCAACAATAGAACGTGAGTGTTCCGTATCAACAATAAAAGCCTAAGTCGAATTAGGTACTCGTTACTTCGTTACTATTGGAGTCGAGGTCAGTGGAGTCGGCTCGGTTCAAGCCGGAGAGATGCTGTTGTAGACTGTCTTGCGAGCATTCAACGACCATCGCCGTCGCCTGAGGGGACTGGGGCCTGGCCGCTTTCCATGAGATCCGTTGGTTTCCAATCTTTAAGGCCTGAAACATATTTTTATAATGATGATATTGATACATATGGTGATATACTTCTAGAAGTTGTTATTTTTTGTCAAAAAGATCAGTTTTAGTGATGTCATCATTGATGTTGACAAACTTTTTTCAAAAATCCAAAACTAAATTTGTCGACTGTTTTGAACCCGACTTTTTCATAAAATAGGCCAAATCTTACCTGATTTTGTTGAGGTTTGTCATTCGCTTCCGACTTTGCAACCAAACTCTCAGACTCGTTGATTTCGGGCGTGGTAGTGTTCATGTAGAATGCCAGCAACTCTTCCGTCGCCAACAACTTCTTCTTAAGCAAGTGAATCTCGGTGTTCTTCTCTGTCAGCTGAGTTCTGAGTTGTTTTATCAGATCCGCATCCGAGCCATTTGACGTGCTTGGTATGGGTGCCAAGCTGACTCTGGCCTTCTTCAAAGGTGGTGCAACTGTGGCTGGTACTACGACCGTCCTCTTCGGTCTCAGGCTGTACGATGAGTTCGAGTTGGCAGCGATTAATGGAGGGGGTTCGTTGTCGACGGTTTCATCGTCATCATCCATTCGTTCTAGTAGTGGTGGGGCTTCTCCTTTCTTTTTGGTCGATGTTGTTGATGGTAATGGTTGGAGAGGCTCGGAGTCTTCATTCTGTAACAAATTTTAATAAGTTAGGCTAGAAACACACCTTGCTTCTATTTCCATGTTTGTTATTTTTGTACTTTATTTTTAAATTTGCGTTTAAATTCTACTTTACACCTCAATTCTGTCGCCTAAACGCACCGAAAAAAGGCAACATCTCAATTTTTTGACCGTATATTTAAGTAAGACAACACAACTATAGACCGAAAGACGTAGAATTTAGGTATGAAGCAAAAATATGATCCCCAAGATATTCACCTGAACTTTTTTCTGGATCTGCGACAACAAAGTGACAAAGACATTATCATCGTACGTCTCCTCCTTCTCCTCCTCCTCAGCTGAGTTCTTCGTTGGCCTCGGTGGACGGCCAGCTCCTTTGATTCGCTTTTGATCGCCCGTGCACTTCTCCAGTTCCTTTTCCTTGATCATCCAATCTCTGATACACTTCCTATCTACACCGTACTTTTCGGCCGCCATGAACGTGGTATGTTTCTTGGCGTACTGTATGGCTTCTAGTTTGATGCTGACCGAGTAGCACTTTCGTTTTTTCACCGAATTCTCCGAAACGCCGTTGTTGTTGGCGTTCTCGATCAGGTATTTGTCGCTGTACTCGAAGACGGGCTGGTCTTTGCTGGCTTTGATTAAGGTCGCTAGGTAGGCCGGGATGTCATCTTTGTTGTCCCCATCAAGAGACATGGATGTTATAACTAATAATAGGAATTTAGATTGTAATTAAGGCATGGAGAACATAATTACACGCTTTTCACGGTACAGTAGCAGTAAAGGCTCGGCCATTAAAATTAGACGACAAAGTAAGAAATGGCATTTATTAACATATTAGTTTGTTTCAAATAATTATGTGCCCCTAACCCCAAAAATTTGCATTAAGAGGGGGCACAGGACAACTTGAACAAACTAGTAGAAAAATCTTGATGTTGAAGAAGTTGGTATCTTTAAAACAATTCTTTATTAACATAACGATAGGCTAAATAAGTTTTTCTAGTTAATACTGTAACAAAAACCACTACGCTTACATATAAAAACTAAATAAAAAGTTCATTAAAGAATCATTTTATAGCCACTGACCATAAATGCCAAAACTCAAAAATATTTTTAAAAAACTATTTGATCTACATAATAACACCATAAAACATAGCAACCACTAGTAGATGACATTACAAAAACAAACAATATTACAGCCATAAAAAGCTGAAACGTGTAACTACAACCGAAAATGAAAAACTGATTCGACAAAAACAATAGAGGCCCTAGAACCCTCTGCTTCCGCTCGGAAAGAGTTAGAAGCCCTGAAAGCAATCTGGAGACCCTAATCTGGGGCTACAGGCCTGTCATTAGCTGCCTAATAATCTGTCGGGAAAGACAATACAACCATACTCTATTATAGTTGTTACTGATAATGCGTACACCTACTTCTAATACTACTTTTAAAACTTTTACGGCCAAAAATTATGAAAAAAATCAAATAGACCCTAGGGCATTTACCGGCCAAAGCAAGAGCAGTGTCATTATGTAGTTCCCTCCTTGAATTCACACCCCGACCTCTTCCAACAACACATTCATCAACGTTCATCAATTCAGCAACGATACACTAATACTTTACAAGCTTCCACCCCTTCAACGTGTACCTCCCACAAGTATCAAAATTCATATACCTTTATACAACCATCCTAACACCAAGAGAAATAAAATTTATAGAAGAGAAATAGAAGCACTCGCACCCCTTGGGGCATCGGCATGCTGCGCCCCCACCCACTGGAAGCTACTATTACAAGGGGCTTAAAAACGAAGGCCGTCCGGTCGACTCACTGGGGGCTGTATTTCTGGGAGGCAGCGAGACGAGAAAAGAGCGGTGGCAAGCCCCCCATACCACTCTACAAGGTTCTCCTACCTGCCGGGCCTGGGTTACGGTAGACGGGTAGAATTAGTGCCGAACGAAACAACAACACTTTGCCACTTTTTTGTATAAAAACGGTGTTGAATTACACACAAATATTATAGATTATACACGCCTCTTCACAGATGTAATACTACAAGATTAACTTGCTTCCACCAATTGTGTGTGGTTGATATACATTGATATAAATATAAAGTTGATATAAAAAAAAAGTACAATACAGTCTAGATATGGTAGAAAAAGATGCTCGTATTATAACTGCGTAAAACAAAAATATTTTTAAAATGTGAAAACTTTACCAAAACTTACTTTACAAGACCAAGAGCTTATAAAACTTTAGGCTTTTGATAACTTATACTAAGCCTTTAATTGCCTTAGGATACGTTTTGAAAACTAAAATAACACTGCAAAAAAAACGTTATTTTTTAATTCCTTTCTATAGTAATATCACTTATACGCCAAAATGCTGTATTTTACCTCTCTAGTCTAACGAAAACCCTATCAATTACCGGAAAACTTTTAAAAACATAACTTCATTCACGTTGATAACATAAAGTAATGTAAAACCTACGTTAGTAAACAAGTAAGCCAATATACTCCTGGGATCATCTTCTACTTTGTCATCTTCATCTTCCGACACTTCTTCGCTCCTTCCCAGTGGTTTAACGTATCGAGTATGACGATCCAAGCCTAGTTTCTCCTTAACTACACTTATCGGATTCACATCAGGTTTGGCTAGAACCTCCAATGGATCCAATTCTCGTAGCTTCTCCAGAAATATGCCGTCCATTCCCTACAACAACACATATTAAAAATATCATAGATTCCTTAAAAATTCATAAACGCTATTATTCTGTCTCTTTAGCTTAATTACACTCATATAACAATAACTTTAAAATTTTTATCTTAAAAACTTAATATTAACCTAAAAAAACTATTAAACAAATTTAAAATACCATAAACATATTTTACAGCCTCAGGCAACACGATTACCTCCTAAAGACTGAACCTTTATGCCTCAAAACAACATGAAACCTCAAAATTGTTGATAAAAAAAATTAAACAAATCGTTACCTTGCACGGCACGGCGTCAATCTTGACCTTGGCATGAGCATCAGCCCTTACTGATACTACATCTGCGTTCTCAAAGTGTTTGATACAAATACTGCAACTTGAAGGTAAAGCATCGCTCACAAACTTGGGTAGATCCAGAGCCTCGTCAAACTCTCTCCGCTTGCCCTTTGGGTAAATCATACATTGTCCGAACGGCGTGTAATTCCCACAAATCATACACAATCGCCTAAAACAGGATTATGTGATTCTAAAGCCACTTACGTTGTAGTCCGATTCTTGCGACGTTCGAGGCGACTTAAAGAAGGTTTATCCATAATATTAATCTTGTTCCTGTTCAGTTGGACATCAGTGAGTAAGAAAACAGGTGAAATATGAATTTACGGACAGCTTGAACTCCTACAAGCCTTCGAAGTGCTATTGAAACAATGTTTCGCTCAAAATAAAAAAATCTTTAATTTAAAGATAAACTTGACACTTAGCAGAAAACTCGACTCAATTCAGCATTTTATTTTTCTAGCTTGTATTATTTTGAATTTAGCTAGACAATCGTAATTTATTGCCAATACATAGGTTACCTAGTGTTTTTCTATAAGTTATAATGGCCTCTTCTGTCCAGCCAGGTGAAAGATTCCATATTTTGGCTCAATTGGAACATCTTCAATCGAAATACACTGGGACTGGGCATTCTGATGTAAACAGGTACGAATGGATAACTAACCAACACAGGGACACCATGGCTTCTATTATTGGTGAGTTTAACAAATTCTTTATGTTGTGTAACTTTTTAGATGTATTTATTAGATAAAACGAAAATATTTTGACATGTTCTGGTCTAATTTTGAGTTTTCATTGTGCCTATGAATAAATTAATAACTGGTTAACATATTCGTCGAATTTTAGGACATCCAGATCATTTATCGTCATTGGCTGTATGTGAAAACATTACTCGAGGCCGCGCTCGACATGAACTTCTGAAGAGAATGATCCAGCCTTGTGGACCACCTCCAAAGAAGAGTGCTCTTGATGATCTCTAAAGTGGTGTAAATAAATTATTATTATTTTACAAATTGGAATTGCTATGGGCTTTTGATTGCATGGAGTTTCATTTCAGAAAGTACTTGTTGGACATTGGTTTGGGTTGTAATTCTATCTTAACTTTTATTTTGATGTAATTTTAGTTTTTTAAAGTTAATGTCGCGAAACATAATTTGCGATGTAAAACGAGGTTATAATGTTGGACAGTCAGTGGAAATTGATGCCAATGTTTTTCCAATTGAAGCTGTTTTTCGAGGAGGTGATGTAGTTGTGGATAACCATAATGTTGTACTGCATAAGCTGGTAAGCTCTTCTTTTTTATTAAATTTTAGGTATACTAAATTTGGAATGGTTCTAAGCTTTATTTTTACACAGATACGACTCCACCAGATTGCTTTTCATAGAGTAGTCTATAATATTTTTTAAATTCAAGGGTTACGGCACAAAGATAGGTCAAAGAATGAACTTCTACAACAAACGTTGTTTCCCGACAGTAGACATAGGATTTGTCGATAATGACGAGCCCTCAACATTGATAGAAAACTTTAGTTTAGTACCATTAGAAGAGGAGGAAGAGGCTGTTGGGGGTATCAGGTTGATGAACAACAACATGGGATATGAATGGATAGAAAAGACAGCTAATGAAAAATTGTTCTTGTCGCCAGAAGAAGCTTTGTATCTTCTTGTTGAGAACAAAATAGTGGTCAAAGGTTGGAGTTTAGAGAAGTTGTGGTCACACTGGAGAAGTTTAAAACTGGCAAAACGATTTTTCGCTTATAAGTAAGTGTTTCGATTATAATATTTGTTTTTAAAACATCCTTTTATTGTTTGTTTATGTATAATAATATTGTAATGTCGATAAAAAATTTAAAAGATATCTATTCATAAAATGTCATCTGAATAGAGACCAGTTTTTATCGCAGATCATTTCCCAAATCCTTCACCCAGACTCTTTACATTGTTATAAGGGGCTTGAATTTGCAATTTGGTACAATACTTTTTTTAAAAATAGTTTTTCATACCAGAAAATGTTTATAAAACCTTTTTATACCAAAAACTGCAGCCCTATCGCTATAGTAAAACCCTTATTTTCAGACATTTCCGAGATCTAGGCTGGATTGTGAAGAGCGGGCTGGTGTTTGGCGGAGACTTCTCGTTATACAAGTATCATCCAGAACAATGCCACTCATCTGTTGTTGTTCGACTTGACGTCAAACCAGGTTCACTTGAGGTTGTGAGTTTAAAACGAGAGCTCAAAAATGTCAAAAAGGCTTTATTTGTTGTTTGCGTTGACATAGAAAACGATTTGAGTGATCTAGAGCCTTGTAGTAGTGTTAAGATCACGGTGAATCAAGAAGTCAGTTTGATGAGAGGTTCAGAACTGGCTGAATTGAACAGTAGCTTAGTTACAACGTAAAAAAATGAATAAATATTTGTGTTTCCTTGTAAATAACAATGTTTTTTAAAAATTATTTTAAAAATCATTTTCCGTAAATTCGGCGCTAGGACAAATGCGGTTTTTGGACATTTGCGGATTTTGGACATTTGCGGATTTTGGACATTTGCGGATTTTTTAAAGGTTTTTTTTATTTTTTAGTTAATTTAGTTGTATTATGGTACTAATTCGTGGAACTTTACATTGTTTTATCTTTAGTTAATAAAATATTGAAAACCAAACTGCCAAAGATAAATAAATGTTCACTTTTAAATTAACATGACTTTATAAAAATACGTATGAGCAATAATTAAGTATTCAAAAAGATTAATGTGACCTGTTTTGTTACGAGATATTAAAAGAACTACTGGGTTTTTAAAATTTTAAAAAACTATAGTAATATAAGTGACAAAAACAAACCATACCATAAAAAACCAATGAAATCTACCATAATATGATGTTATAACAAACCCTATCAACAAATCACTGTTCCTATAAATATGAAAACAATATACAGACTACAACCCGAAGTTATTGTTCATGGAGATCAATTAGATGTTTCGTTCGCGCATATTCCTCGCGAATCTGATAAACTCGCGACGTGCTGGGAATGAAATGCAAGGTAGCATCCACAAGGACCAGTGTCTGGGTCCGCAAACGTCGCGCAGTAATGCGCATTTCCCACGTCGTTTCCGGCGCCGTCTGTTGAAGCCACGTTGGAGAGCTTCAATCACCGTTTCATCGTTGAAAATGGCTTGGATCTGAAGGTAGTCGATGTAAATATCATTGTTTTATAGTTTAGGGTTTATATGGCATTCTTTGGTCAATCTTGCTCAACATTATAGCTTGAGATTTCCAAAACTTACTTGATCACAAGAAACGGCCAAAACGAACAAGCCAAACAACGCACTCTCCACTGACAGTCCTATTGTATGTATTCTGAAAGGCATAACAGTGTTAATTTCAACCGCTACAGGTAAAAATGATGGCATTAAAGATTTCGTAACAATATAAAATATTCCAAAACAATTGATCTTTTTGTAAAAATTTACAAACGGCGACAAACGTATTCTAATGATAAAAAACAACAAAACTTACACTTTATAATGCTTGGCAATCTCGCCATTTGGCCCGTGCATGCCAGTTTCGCCTCTTTCATCGTGGTACATCCATGACAAGGCGATGATGCTAAAAACAATACTTACTACATTATAAGCAATGTAATTATACTGCAATACATAAACTTACAACAAATCATACTAATAAATCGTTCCAATTGTAAGCATATTAACTTACAAAAACGCATAACCGGCTAGAAATCCGACATATAGGACAAACTGCACAAAGTACTTCTGATTTAGTTCTCCGACACAATTGTTCACCCAAGGACCTAAATTAAAAATAAAGTACTCTATAAAAAAATCCTCTACACTTTCATAGCAAATAAGTTGCTGAATTCGTCCTAGAACCAGCTTTAAAGAACTTACAATGATGGTCCATCTTCCTGACACATCTTTTGCATATCTTACAATGATGTGCCCTTGGCGGTCGGTAACTCTCACATCTGGTGCAAATGGTCCAGTCTTCACCCTAAACAGAAATAATTTTAGAAATGTCACAACTTACAACATAATTATCTCTCGCACAGTACAACTCAGCTTCTGATCCAGAATATTCAGAATCATCGTTGTCATCGATCATTAATCGCATTTCTTGTTTTTTTGTCATTGCCTTGTTACACAATGGCACTATACCCGGGTCGCTTAACATTGTCCTTAAATGGGCCAATATCGCCATACCCAAGATCCCGTTGAATCCACATATGTGAAACAGACCCCAGAATCTAAGATGAGCAATGATTAGAAGGATAAAGCTTTAAAAGTACATTAATATTGTATTAACCAATTCACATTATATTTAATTTGTTTTATTATATAAATGTATTTAACTTACGTATTGATCAAGGTCGGGTATATTAACCATCGTATAACTACATAATCAGCATAACACATACAACAGTAAACCAGAAAGGCGCAGCAGAGCCCACAGAAATCTATCCGTAACATTATTTACATCTACGCATCTTTTCTGAAAAAAAGTAACTATCACTACAAAAATACAAGCTTACAGAATCATTATAGCAAAAGTTAAAACATTTCAAAATTCGCACCAAAAAATGATTAATTTTAGTTTGTAGTACTTGAAACGAAAAACAAAGTTGTTAAAAATACGCATTTTCTTTTTGAAATTGACCAAAAATACTAATTAGAACGTGTAAAAGGTCGAAGATTTGGCTAATTAAGCGTAAAAAATTAAATTACTAAATATTTTAGGTCATGTATACTATAGAAAGAAGGCCACAAACGTGCTTTGTCCATACAATGGCAAGATAATTAAATAAAACTTTTCGTAAAAAGCATAAATTCTTTTAACAGCATGGTAATAACAAAACAACAAACGCCTCAAAGTACCAATAATCTTATTACATATAATTTCCTTTCGTCTCTGGCTGTAGCCTTCAAAATTGTTTGAGGTACTAACCATAGGGACCAAAAAGATATATATATATATATATAGTCACTAGGACCCAACAAAAGTTCTCTGTACACAAGTTTCAAATTACAGTGACAAAGATAACTTTTGAAAGGTATAATAACATTACCAAAAACAAAGTAATTCAGCTTTACAAACAACAAGGTAATTAATGGCAATAGACCAATTTAAAAAAGCCCAGCCAGACTATTCGAATACTTTTTATTTAATTACAAAGTCCTAGAATAATGGCTCGGCGCCAGATCTGTCCACGATCAGCTTTTGAGTCAACAGCTGAGTTTTGACGAGTTCTGTCACCGTGTACACCAGGCTTTTGTCTCCGGTTTCTGGTCGCAACACTCGGATTTCTGACTGAAAAGGTTAAAGAATAGTAATTTTGAAAAGAAGTTGACAAAAAAAATTTTTTAAAGAAAATTATTCTTTTAAGCATAGTTAACATAGTCATAATACTTTAAATATAACTTACATTTCCCACAATACTCGGTATAATCGTTTGTGTATCGAAATCCGCAAACAAACTTCCAACAGGCACTACTAATGGTTGACTACATCCATACCTCTTCAGATCTTTCATCTGTGCCTTTATTGACAATAATGATCGAAAAGGAATGACATAGTCCCACGATGGGTAATATGCTACTCTAAATGGCAGTGCACGAGGATATTGTTCATATAAAGCATAGACAATCCTCTTACAAGCAGCGTGAGCTTGTTTATAATGTTGAAAATAGTACCACGGATGAGGTAACGGCACGGCAAAGACAATGGAATCAGAAGAATCTGCCGTCGACGCAATGTTCTCCGCAAACAGCTGAAATTTAAAAGAATAGTACAAAAAACTGAGTATTAAATTTAGAAACAAATAAAATAAATTTAAACAATACGTACTCTGACTAAACCCTCGTGTACCCCGATGTTATCTAGTTCCTGATAATCAAAAGATATTGGCTGTTTCTTCCCCACAAAACTGATCTTGCCAGTGTTAATGTCATGGAGTTTTCGTGTTTTTGTCTCCAGCAGCTTCAATATCTTCTTCTTCCGCAATTCTTCTCGTTCTTTACTCTCAAACGGAGCTATCGACGCCACAAACAACCTATCTGCTCCATTTCTAAACACAAAAACTTGAAATTTGGGTAACACTTACTTGAATATTGACGATACAGCATTTTCTGTTGAACCTTCATCAAAGTAATGCGCAAAATAAACATTAAATGGTTTGTATTCGGGCAACACGACATCCAACGCCTTCTCCAGCTCCTTTCCGAACCTACGATGTTGTTCATCGAGTGGCAAAAAAGCTCCACTTTGGTCCAAAGCCGATCTTATTCTTGACGAGAACTTGTAACGGTAATGCGCGAGGTTTCTGAAGGAAATGTCAATCCACACAACAACGGATCTTACGCGGACAAAGAGGACGGGACTCCAGCCGTCTCCAGCGCTCCCTTCAGATATTTTTGGGTATAAAATGGAGCCCGCGGCAGACCATTATGGTGGAATAAAAGGGCCGTCCCCAGAAAGTCCGGCAATCCGGTGGATGCCCATCGGATGGACGTCAGTTGGCCATTCATGTGTCCATCAACAACAAACTTTTCACAATTTTTATTTACTTTCCGAAATGTTTTTCGTTTGCGAACTGCGCTTTTTGGTTTACCGGGGTCAGCGAAATGCGCCCTCTTCTGAGATCAGAAAAATAATTTATTACAGATTTTAGATACAAAAAATTGTTTTTGGCTTGAAGTTAAGGCTGCTACTAGGAAATTTATGTAGCTATTAATTATTTTATATTAATTATATAAAAATATATGTTTCATTTTTTTAATTAACTTTTGTTTTGTCTGCTATGTTATAGTACCCTTGTCTTATTTAATCTCTCAAAAAAGATGTGCTTTAACATAAAGTTTGTAAGTTAGGGTGTTATAGCAACTCAATATTAAACGTGAAAAATCGTATGTTATCTTTGATGATTCGTCTCTATAGCCTTTGATCAACATGTTTATTCAGACAGAGGCCATTCTGTTAGCGAAGACAATTCTTTTCATGTTTGTTTTTTATTTTCTGACTAAAAAAACAAGCATTGTATTGTAAAACGAGGTTTGCAGGTTTTAAAATTGAATTAAAATTTGTTTTTTACTACTTTTTGTTGTTGAATATAGATAAACGATTTTTTTGAATTGAAACAAGGTTATTAGCTGGCTATAGGTATTCCAGTGTTTATTATAGTTTTCTGAATAGTTTACACCTACTGATATGCATATTGATCATTTTATTTTGGGTGATTTTTTTTTATTTTTGAAGTATCTGCACCACGCTACTTTAAATTTCGTTTACCGTGAAAATGTCTTTTTTCCACCGTGCAGATGGTCCGAGACCCTCTATGGCACATAATGATTAAAAAGTAACTTTCATATATCAGAAAATGAGTTTTGTTGTCAAACCACACGATATGGTAAAAGGCTTTAAACCATGTTGAACAAGCTCATAATCCCATGCAAATCCGTTATATTATAAAAGTTGGGCCGAGTGTCCAGCTGCCCATTCTTTCCTCCTGGACACTCTTTCGGTTAACTAATTTACGCTCTTTCTTTCGAGCTCTGAATGGACAATGGGGCCTTCCTTGGTCATTACCGCTTTTCCTGGGATTAGAAATGTTGCACCGGTTCTTGCAACCGACAATTATCCAATGTACTGTTGATTCTGGGTTCAAAACAATTGTGGGAAGAGGTCAACAAGGGTATATGTTCAAGTTTTTAATAAGGAAAGTATCTGAATTATATGACTGAACTATACTATACTTAATGATAAAGTATTAAGTTATTCTTTGTGCTCATATCTTCTTAAAGAGTGGATGTTAGCGTTGAGTATGAAATGTATTAGTTTATTTTTGTCATGCCATTTTAAATTTAAAATTTTTTCAAAAAAATCGTTTTTTCAACTTTTCTGAAAAAATTGGCTTACAATACCCGTCTTATCTACCTCATATAAAGCTTTAACGCTACCTAATTGCGTATGTGGTTCAGCCACATTTGTAGCTTAGTTAATGCTGAAACCGAGCCGAGTGTTATCAAGTGCGGACTCTCTCCTCTGACTTTTCTTGTTTGACGCTCTTGTTATTGCTCGCGCTTTTCGGAGGCGCGCGACGCCCTTTGGTCATTTCTTTAAGCGAATTGGCCCAAGTGGAAAACAACAGGGAAGGGAGGGGTTCTAAGCTTAATTCAACTGATATTCGACTGCAAGTTCGTTTCAATTGCTTTCAATAACTGGCTTAATTTGAAGAATTATTTTGTTTTGTCAGAAATGCGCTTAAGTTGATCTTGTATTGGTAATGTAAAAGGTTTCTATGATAATTTTAAAAAAATATGATATTTTCAATTAAAAATGGAAATTTTGCTTTTTTTTCAACTAAAAAACTGGTAATTTGTTCTTGTTTCGAAGTAACAAGGCGTTTAATACCTTGTTTTTGATTATATAGTCAAAGTAAAGCCATCTTAATTACTAGTACATACTTTGAGCTACCAATGACTTGTAATTTCGGTTCAACGAGGCTTTCCTTCAATGACATTAGTATACCGATCTCAGATTCTGGAAAATGTCAAATTTTCGTGAATCTTTGGATTCATGACTATGAATGGCATCTCCGTGAACTGTTTTAATGTGACGATGTCGTGAACTGGGTTAGTCTGCTTGTGTTTATATAGGTGTGTATTCGTCTCACCTGTTCGCCCCGATTTTTCTAATCCTGGCGCACTCTCGACCTCCTCTAGTTTCGAACAATTACCGGTAATTGTTGTTTAATGGCTTTGCCGGAGGCTATTGCAAGTAGCGATGCTATTGTGACGGTTCAAGCAATGTCATTCAAAAGGCAATGGTCAACTGGTTGACTTTTACCTGGAGGCTGTTTTTGAGGTGACTTGAAATGCCATTGTGATGGTAAAAGCTATGTTATTATACGTAAATGTCGCAGTAAAGAATGATTTTGTGGCAGTAAGAGCTATGTCTTTGTAGCAGCAATGTCACGGTGAAAGCTATGTTACCATAGAATAAGTGTCACGGTAGAAACTGACAGTAAGAGCTATGTTTTTGCAGAATCTCTGTCACGGTAAACCTTGCTATTGTCAAATTAAATCGGCTTTCTGTCGTTTGCCCGGAGGCTAAAACCAAGGTTGATCCGATGCGTTTCTGACGCTTTTCGCTGATTCATTCCGAAGCTTAATAAGGAGAGGCGTGGGAGTGCCAGTAATTGCAGAGGCCTCGCTTTCACGTACGCACTTTTTGCGGTTTTCCGAACGGTTTTTTTGGTAGCTGGGAATAACAAAGATGAATAAGTTGTAGGGCATTAGCTGGCTTTGCAAAAATGTTGTTGGTTGGACTAAACTCAGCGTATCTTGGGGATATGTTTTTGAAAAATTAAAGAAAAGTTGCGATTTATTGAAAAAGTAATTTTAAGTTCTCTGAATTGCAAAGGCAAGATTTAAAAAAAATTTTGAGTTTCAGAGTTTATTGTACGGTATTGAGAAAACTTGTAAATGATAGGAGGTATACCTGAGTTGATCTTTCACTTACCTTACTCATCTAGGTTCTTCTTCTACCCAAAACAGCTCTTTTGCTTCGTGATATATATGCTTACCTGCATACAATGAGTATTTTGAATATTTTACTAACGTTTTACCTTCAAAAAAGCCTAAACCAACAAAGTTTATCACTTCGATTACTCACGCGAACACTATTTATTTGTTCATTTTGCTATTTGTAGCATTCAAAATAGTTGTCGCAAAAACACTTTTTAAATTTGCAAAAAGACAATTTAAAAAATTTAAAATTTGTAAACATTTCACAGCTAAGCAAATGTTATGATTTATTGCAAAAATAATCGGATTCCGACGACTGTCACTTTCGCATTGTTATCAAGGAGTACAGAAACGGGAATTAAAAGGTTTCTTTTATTGTTATGACTCAGCGATTTTTCATTTCCCAGAAATGCGATATTATACTTGGTTTTCGCCACAAATCCGCATCGGGGCTTAATTTCAGCGTGATTTGCTTATTACAGCTTATATTATACTTGATCTGATTAGGGAGTCTTATGATCATGTTTTGGAAATTATGAAGAATTTTAATTTGAGTTTAATTATAGCACAAAATCACAAATATGCAAGTTGTTTTACAAGATTTGATCTTCATTTGCTTGCTTATCATAGGTATTTAGTCTAGTAGTGAGTAGTGATACTGTCTTAATTATCAGTACTCTTTGACCTAAAACATCATATAATTTCAATTTGGGATCTTTTTCTACTTTTCACGCAAGTATTAAATTATTTTGTCATTTAAAACGCGTGATACAGTGCACTACCGTACTGTAAATCTGAATTAACTTACTATAATTTCAGAACATTGTTTTGCACAAGAAATGCCACCAGGTTGATAACTGATAGAACGGGTCTCTGTTTGTTGTTCTTATCACAATGTCCCTATCTCGAGAAGCCATGCAGGAGGGACGTGAATATCTCAAAGGTACGTTAACAGCATTGTTATCATCTTTTTGTTTACAAATTTTGAAATTCGTACTGGGCTAGCCTAGAAATTTTTGTTGTTATGTAGCTAAGAAATTGTATGCTGGTCTTTAAGGTTTGGGTTAGGGGTTAGTTTATGAAGGTTTCTGTTAGTATATGATTCTAAAAAATGTGTGCCGTTTTTTATTGCGTGTTACAAAAACAGTGCGGGTTTAAAAGAAAATGTTTGGTTTTATTTTCAGTCCAAATGCTTTAATTATTGTCTACACGTTGCAGTCTTAACTTTTCAATTGCACGGTGCTAAGTCAATTCTAAGGTTTTGAGGTGCATTTTAATGTACAGAGCTTAAAACGTATGTTCTAAAGTATAAATAATAGTTTTATAATAATTAGCTGTTTTGATTGGGGGTTTTAAAGCTTAACTTTCTCTAAAACCTTTCATCGAAGGCTTTTTAAATAAAAACATAGATGAAAAAATTAAGATATAGTGGTATGGTTAGGTATAAAAAAGCCTAAACTCTTCAAAATTATATAGCCTAAACATGGGCATTTTCAGATAATTCAGCCCAAATGTTTGGTCAAAAGTTCTTCGACTGCCGTGTTGTTTCGATATGTCAGTTGTGCCAAAAGTCAGACAAATTCGAAAATCGATTTCTGGCCATTTGTAAATACAGAGTCTTCATCGTTCACGGCAAAAACCCGGTCAATTTTAAGTTGGAGAAAAGCTTTAACTTGCTCACATTGAGACAACTCCAGGTTCTGAACAAAGAAGTAAGTGTTTTGACTGTTCTTGTCGTCTTAGGTCTGTAACTGGAATAATGAAGCAAATATGTGTTTATGGGGTACTGTAATGAAGCTTATGTACTGTATTAATAGTTTCTAAAGTTGTAGTACATTACATCACTGTATGTATGTGGTTACAATTAGTCATGAAAGAAGGTCGTGTAGACTAAGAACGGAATAAAACCTCATATTTTCAGTTGATACTGGTATACGAAGACAAGCTAAAATGTCACAAAGTAATCTACCGGTCGGATGACATTGAGCCTCTCCAAATGGCAAAGGAAATATTGTCAGCTCTGAAGCATTACCTACCAGACATTGGCCCTTGCATTCCGAGAGTCATGCAAGTACAGCCAGAGCATCTTCTCCACGAATTCCACCTGTTACCTTCTAGTCAGCCGTCATTACCCTGTCATAATTTTAGACGGACGTATGTTACGATATGTGATTTGATAGATCAGCCTTACAACGAAGAGATCATCTGGGACGTGGACAGGATCTACTTCATCAACAAGATCAGGGACATTCGGTTGGAGGACTTTGGCCATCTTGGTGTTAAGTAGGTTGTTTTAAAGTGGTTTTATTGTATAACTGCCAAGCTATACAGAATTTTATTTAGCTTAAAAATATAATACATAGGGTAAGTAACTTATAATCTGTTCACTCTATAATATCACATTTCAGAGACCAAGTAGCAGTAATTGGATGTGCTCAATTCTCTTCGTACTTCACGGGTATTACTGTAGAATCTACAAAGTTAACGGCTGATCATGTTGATATGATTCTGAATGTCGTCAGACGATCTTCCTCTTTAAAGTCGCTCCGATTGACAAACTGTGGTCTGCCTAAGGAATTTTGTCAGCATCTTGGCAATGCCTTATCAGCCAACTCTGACATTCCATTGGCTGTTCTGGATTTGAGTGGAAATCAGTTGGATGATAAGAAACGTAAGTTATTTTGGTTATTTGGTTACATTTTAGACTACTGTACTTTGGGATATGACTGTAGATTTGCTATTTTGACTTTTATAGTAGTATATCAGGCATGACCGATCTAATTTGGATACCTTAAATTGCCTTTTCAGACATTTGCAACTTGTCAGCAGTGTTACCGTGCATCAGAACATTGAAATCCATATCATTCGCAGATTGTGGCTTGTCAGACAAGAGTATTCATCACTTAGCCTCAGGGCTCACAACTGGCCTAACTATTGACAAAAATGCCTCAGGCAACAAATTTGAGTTAAGAAGGTTGATTTTATCACGATGTTCACTAAAGGACGACCCAACAGAGTTGATAAACTTTGTATCAGTCTGTGGATCGTTAAGATCTCTGGATCTGAGTGGCACTGGCATTCTGATTGACAAACTGTGGTCAGCACTAAAGCTGGGAGGTCTTCAGCTGGAGCAGTTGAATATCAGTGGCTGTCAGTCGATGAAGAAACACAAAGAAGGCGTGGCCTCGATCAAGGAATTGTTCGCTTGTATGGTCAACCTGAAGGAACTAAACCTATCAAACACTCCTTTAAGTGCAGAACTACTTCAGGCCATTCTACAAGGTCTTTCGGCAAATTCCCAACTGTCTGACATTAAGTTGAACCTGGATGGAGCTTGTGGTGATAAAGGGTGTGGCTTAATCCTAGAACAATATCTTCCTTTGTGTCCGATCGCTTTTCTGTCATTAAGAGACAATAACCTTGAACAAGATGCTCTCAAACTGTTCACATCATTGAGGACGATGACAGCACTACAGAGTTTGGATGTTGGAGGGAACAACTTTATTGCCCTGAGGGTGAACAAGAAGTACAGCAGTGTGTTGAGCAAGCTCGTCAATGAACTGACCAAGTTAATTGCCAGTGAGGAAGTTGTAAGTTTTGTTTAAAATGTTTGAAAATTACTATTTTGCGACAAAAAGTATATTTTTATAGACAAAGGATGACGAAACATTGTTTTACATGAGCTTGAACTACAGTAAAGACTTTTTCTTACCGTAATCTTATTTCAGGAGCTAAAAGAGTTGATTCTAAGCGACGCCAAGCTCGGCAACTTCTTAACCATCCTCCTCAACGCCCTCAGCGTTGCCAACATTGAACAACTCGACATCTGTAACAATGAAATTGGCAATTCTGGAGCTAGGCTTCTTTCGAAGGCTCTGCAGATGAACACTAGCCTAAAAGTAGTGGCATTTGACAGGAACCAAATTGGCCTAGACGGATTCCAGGAAATCGCCTACGGGTTGAAATTGAATCATTCTGTCACTTCGATCCCATTCCCATCGATCGACATATCAGAAGCTTTAAATCGACCGGAAAGAGCCAAGGTCTTGAGTACGGTCGCCGAGATAGAAGTGGCTTTAGAGAGGAATAGAAAGAACCCGAAGTTGTTTGAGCTACATTCACAGAAGATACTCAACGATTTGAATAATGTAAGATAGTGTTTGCTTTGGTATTTGATCAGCAGTACTTAAAATTGCACGGTGCAAGAAACAAAGTTTAATTTGTACGGTGCTGACACTTAATTTATAGCCTTATCAAATATTTCATACTCTTATATATACAATTTCAGCACTGCGACAAGTACGAAGTGAACAACAATACCCAGAAGAAGGTGGTATTCCACACTCTGACTGATGTTCTCAGCGAACTCGAATCAGCTTCAACGTCAGCCTTATCATCAGAAAACCTGGTCAATCAACTATCATCAGACTTGGCCCAGCTAGCCAGAGAAAGCAGCAACACCTTCTGCCATCTCATCCAAAAGCGACTAGCTGATCATAATGTGGAAATCATCGAGCCGGTCGGAAACTGTCATCCAGAAGACCTTAACGATGAAGTTCGAGCACAATTCGAGGAGAAAATTAATGGATTCATCCGAGAGGCCTGCTTCCAGACGGCTTTCAACCAGTTGGACAAGTTATTGACCCAAAGCGACGCCTTCAAGTTGAGAGGATCCATCTCGAACTTGGGGATCGAGAACTCTGTACATATTAACCAGTTCTCGGCCAGGACTAACACACCTATGGCACATCGCCCGAACTCGGCATTGGTTATTGATGACAGTCCGAAGAGGACGGCTGCCGCTAATGGCAACTTATCTACACCATCATCCCCATTGGTGCATCTGGTCAAGAATCGACCACCTCCGCCTAGGATTTTGAAAAATAAGGTGAGGGAGTGTAGATTTTGATTAAAAGTTTACAACAATAAGGATTTTTAAGAAAAAAATTTAGCTGTCTGCGAACTAAAACTCAATTTTATCTAAAAACCATGAAATATTTATAGATTTTTGTCCGTAGTGTGACACCAGTCGTGAACAGTGACAACACTTCTGTGATGACATCTTCAATCCACTCTTCAAACTCCTCAAACATGTCCAGCAATGAATCCAAACACGCTTCAGAAGACGTCGAGAGCAATTCAGAAGCACCCCCTCTCATTCCAAGACGCACTCGCCTACCCCCAATGCCCAATCATCCCCCACGCCTCCCACCCAAACCCGGATCCGACTCTCCGTCCAGTACTAGAAGCCCCACTGACCTGAGGAACCATCGGACCAGAGTTCTGCCAGCTCTGGATGAAGCCATGTTGGCCTTCAAGGATCCTGACAGCTCTTCCTAATTTTGTAACTTACAGTCTTTTTTTAAATGTTATACATTCTCCACGTTTCATGCTGGATTGTATTACTCTTATTATCCAAAACAGCATTGAAGAACCAAAAATTTACATAAAATTTGCACCGTGCAAATCGTCTCATAACTTTTCACATGACCTAACCAGTTTTTTTTTATATTTCCATTAATTTTTTATCATCTCCTCTGTCTATTCATATTATTTTGCAACCTATTAGTCCTACTCTATCTTTAGCGCTAACGCAGTATATTACACTACTCTAAACCTACCGGGTGATTGGTCCCAGACCAATTCTAATGTATATTTCAAATCTCTTACGCAATATTACTCTCTGACGGATTCACAACATATTTACATCTACATATTTATCGTAATTTATATGATGGTATTCTCCTTGATTACTCAGGAATAATAAACTGCCTGATTTTGTGAGGGTTGAAACTTAAATTTAAAAAAATATAAAATTTAAATTAAGAAAAACGATAAATATTACACAGGCTGTAAAAAACAATTTGAAAAGTATCTCTTCGGTTAAATTTAAAAGTTTTATCAGTTTTCACGGTTGTTTTGAAGCAAGAGAAATGCGTCCTTAATTCTGTCCTTTTTTTTGAGGCCGGGACGCAGGCTGCGGAATTTTTTCATTTTGTTGTCTAGACCTAGTTGGGTTTAAAGAGTTGTAACTCCGAACTGGGTATTTTTTAATAAAATTTGCTTTTTGACAAATAACGATTTGATTTTGAGCTTTTTGAAAATAATCACACTTATTTATAAATTTTTGTTTTAGCAATTATATGTTGTAGTAAGCAGCTTGAACCTACAATATTGAATATAAAGTTTTATATTACAAACACTGTAATGGGATTAGTGTATATATTAAGCTGCGTTGTTCATCGTCAATTTAAGCCCAAAAACATATCCATAGGCCCAGTTTCAGCTAAGATATTACTCATAAAACCTTAAATATACAGTAATTTGACACTTAAATTGTAATTTCTCAAATCTAGTCAGTCAACAAGAAAATCGCTTCAGAGGTTTACAAGTAAAGGGTCTTAGCTCTTACATCGGAAAAAATGAGCAGCATCTGCTGAAAATAAATGGCACTTGTCTGAGCCGATATTACACATGGTACGTAATATAAAGTTATGGCCCGGAAATTTTGATATATTTAAAACCATGATACGCAAATATAGCTAACTGTAAGGTAGAAAACGATTATAAAAAGCAGCTCAACTACTAAATAAATAGTTTTAGTTACAGAATTTAAACTTTATTATGATACACATGTTATATACATGGTCATGTTCAACATGGGTATTGTAATCTTGGTAATCGCTTTTAATTGTGAATTAAATTTGATATTTAGCTCATAGTAATAGTGTAGAAACATTTTTTTACTGTGTGACAATTTACAGTGGCTTCAGAATCAAACATCTAATTTGTCATATGTACCGCCACTGACTTCAACTACCAGTAGCTTCTCAATTTAGAAAAAATAACACAACAAGCAATGTTTAATACAACGACTAAACTAATATCAACATATTAAAACACAATTAGTACCTGTCCTATGACAATTTAGATGCTTGATTCTGAAGCCACTGTAAATTACCACACAGTAAAAAAAGTTTCTACACTATTACTATGAGCTAAAGATCAAAGTTGATTCACAGTTAGAAGTGATTACCAAGTTTAAAATATTCATGTTGATGTACATGACTATCTTGACGTTGAACTCCAGAATCCTATAATAGAGTAAAATATTTTTAGCTAAACGTAATAGATGCGCTAATACAAAGTTGCGAGATTCTAACTACAGTCTCTTGTAAGTTGCATGCGTGGCCTAGTAATTTTGTCTACTTTTTGAACGTCAAAAATATTTTGGTAAACCTAAAAAATTTTCAGAAGTTTATGTTTTTTTCATATTACAAGCATACCATTAATTTAGGTCTACCTAGATGCCGCATGCCAAATTTTAGTTCAATGGGACAAGACACTTTCAAGTTATAGGGTAGTAATTATTTTGTCAAACATTATATTAACCTTATTATTTGAAGCTAAAAACGCAAAAAAACCCAATTGCAAATAAAATTATTTAAAAATAGTGCTTTTTACAAATTATTTGATCTATTAATGAGTGTAATCCCTTTTAAGTACTAAGCGCACACCTTCAAACAATACAGAAATTTTTCGTATAATACGTCCACCGCAGGCTGCAGCGAATTTTTCGGAAATTCGGAAAAGGCCAAAATAAAGTACGCAAAAAAACAACCGTGTTTTATTATCAACATGTAACCCCAACACGAAAACAATCGCACCTAAAACAGAATGCCAAACAAAAATAAATTGCAAAATATTTTCGGAATTTCGAGTGAAATGTTGAAAAACCGGTGAAAATGCGGTCAATCTCGGCGTTCGCCGGCAATTTGAGTCGTAGCCAAAGGCAGCAACTTCAGCTGGTTCAGGCTTTATCACAGAATCACACCGTGAGTTGGTATTCGGTCGATTTTAACTCGTTTTCCAGAGGTTAGCAGCGCTTCAAGGCATACGAAGTTACAGTCAACAGAAGCCCCAAAAAGGCGGAAATTTTTTCTCTAATCTTATAAGCAACATTACTGAAGAATTGGAGAGGAACAAGGAGCTACAGGTAGATTAATGTAGCTATGTTAATGTACTTTTTGCTTTTCAGAAAAGTAAACAAGAATTGGAGGAAAGATTGAGGCAAGTGTCGAACACTGATGCAATCAAGGAAGCCAGGAAGAAATTTGTAAGTTTTTAGTGTTTTTTTGTTTTTATGGACAAGCTATATTATTTATGAAGGACATTACGTTGTTTTTGTAAAACACTACAATCTTGAAGGTTTTTATGTTGTCGTCACTATATTGGTGGTTGTTTTAGGAAAAAGTAACGGAAGAAAGTAAACAAAGTAATGCCGTAGTGACAGTGAAACTCAAAGAGTTTAAAGATCATGTCAACAAAATGGTGGCCGAGATTCAGACTTCAGAAGCGGGTAAAGAAGCCATCAAGCAGGCTAAAATAGCAGTTGAGAAGTTAGAGAAGGCTGCTGAAGCTGTCGGTAACACGCAAGCTTACAAACAAGTATCGTCTACAGCTAAAGTTGTGAGAGATGAGTTAGATGGACTAGCTGATGTCAGAATGTACTCTAGGCCTGGTAGGTGTTCCTTTAATTAGTGGATTTTTTATTTTTAGAGCAGTTGAAGATGAGGTCTGATGGATTTAGTACAAGTGCTTTTGCTAATCGACCGGTCGAAGCTAATATGTAAGTTTTTATTTTGATAGTTTTAGTTACAACTATTTGTGTTATAAATTACACAATAGTTAATAACAGTTTAATTTTGGAAGCTCATATTATTTTTAGAATTAGTTTTTGTCTTGTTTGGTTTATATCATACATATGTTGTTTTAGAGAAGCAACAGGCATAGAACTACACAAAGAATCTAAATGGTACAGTGGTTGGAAGAATTTCTCAGAGAATAATACTTACTTTAATAGTAAGTTATTTTAAGGTTCCTTACATTTTCAGTTTTTTTATTTAGATTAACTTTTACATAACAATTAGATAAAAGGTAATAATCGTTACAATTTCTCTTTTTAGAAGTGCTAGACTGGAAGACAAAGTACGATGAAAGCGAAAACCCCCTGGTCCGTGTAGTACGAGGAGTGACGGAACGTGTAACACACGCCTTTACATCTCAAAGCGAAGTGTCAGAAGTGCTGACAGAGATAGCCAAGATCGATCCCAACTTTGATAAGCACGAATGGCTTCGGTTTTGTGAGAAGGAAATAGTACCGAATGTTCTAGAAGCTTTCATTCGGGGAGATCTGAAGATTTTGGAAGACTGGTGTCATGAAAGGGCCTACAACTTGTTGGCCACGATGATTAAGGACATGCAGAAGGTTGGCTACACAACTGCGGACAGCAGGGTTATAGACATCAGCAAGATGGAGGTATGGTTGGAACTTTTGTTCAATATCTTGTCTGTTTTATTTTTATGCCTATTCTTGACAAATTATAATTGGAAAACAATTTTTATGTTTACAGCTAATATAGACATCTTATTGTAGATGGTATCGGGTAAAATGATGGACCAAGGTCCGGTGTTGATCATTACTTTCCAAGTTTTCCAAACTCATGTTGTTAAGAACGCCGCAGGAAAAGTGATTCAAGGAGATCCTGTAAGTTTGATTTTGTACCTAAATTTCTAAAATGGTAGAATACCGTGCATTTGTTACTGTAGATTACGATTTTCACGTAAATTTTAAAATTTTGGCATTGTTCATCAGAATTTTATTGTACTTTACCTTTAGAACACACCTGTGCGCGTCCATCACGTTTGGGTAATGTGCCGTGACATGCAAGAATTCAATCCAGCTGTAGCGTGGAAGATTCTCGAACTTCACTACCAAGAAGGCGCCCTCGCTCTCTAATTAGTACTATATACATGTTATTGTTGTTAGGAATAAAGAGATAAATTTATAGGCCCGCGATTCTTTTGGTCATCCAGCTTTATGATGTGACAATCGAATCTCATACAACTAGATAACCAAAGAAAGCGAAGGACCCAAAATTCAAGTTTAAGGTAGCCTTGTAGGTTTAGGTTAACAGTAATAGTAGTCCTAGTTTACTATTTGTTTGGTAGTAAGATGGGTTGAAGTCAAAAGTAGGAGTTATGAATATATTGTTGTAGGTAGTTAATATTGAAGCGTTTCGTAAATGTATAGATTTACGAATAAAATAGTGAATATACGCCATGCTTAAGTTTGCGGCATAAGTAGTACCTTGCCTTGAAAAAAATTTTTTTAAACCTAGCGTAGTAAACTTCCAAAACTTTTTTATTTTAAAAATAAGGTGCACGTATGACTGTGTTTAACCGTACAATTCTCGTTTACGCCATTATAAAGTAAAACTTTTAAAACCTACTTACATAAATTAAAAATCAGTTAAAGATCTATAAATCACCGTGTCATAAAACAAAAAATGTCGAAGTTCAACTCGAAAAAACGAAAGCCGACTTTTGACCCGAATCCGGGCTGGTGCGCGGATCCAGAAGGTAATCAGGCGCCGCATCTGATAACGAACTTGATCAGTGAAAGCAGCCAACTGATAAGGGCTCTATTTGAAGGCGCTGCATGTGTTTTTTTGGTGCGGGGCGGGGTGAATCCAGCAACCAAATCGAGGGCACCTTTTTGCTGGTCGACTTTTTCATTTTTCGGCATTTCCGTCGCATTTGAAACATTAACGGACTTTTATCAATCTTCGCGCAAAAACTCCCTGGAAATTATAATTCGTTTTTGCTCACTTTTTGTCGTCTGTTTCCGCTAATCCAGCGACAAATCCGCCCGATCAGTCGATGCTTTTTCGAATTGCACTTAACACAATTGATAAATCAACCAAATACTGGGAACACAGGGAGAAACAGGGTTCAACATGAACAGTAAAACATGACATGTTACTATCATTATAATTAGATAGCCTGTAACATTTGAAAAACATTAAAATCTCATTCTACAGAGTTAAAACGATGAAACTTATGACATATATGCTTATAAGAACGTTTTTTGTTTATAAATTTATGTTTACAAACCGTTTATATCAATTACAAATGTCTTTTGTGATAAAAAAAAGGCAATAGGTTAAGTTCTAAACAATAGTTATGACTAATATAATAGTAAGGGTGATATACATAGAATTGCATGAAGTAAAATTAAAAGCACTTCAAAACAGAACAAATGAAAAGTTCTAAAAATTTAAAGATGCCAAAACGCATTGCCCCTATGCCTGTTCTGAGCACTTTATTGTAAGTTTTTATGGACATTATTATACTAGTTTGGTCCCACCACGAAATATTTTAGCGTTTCGAAGTTCGTTCGAAACGATCGAATTTCATTTCCTTAAAAAACGATGAAATTTTTGCGATATCTAACAAAGTTTTGCCTGTTTTTATGTAAAATATATAAATTTACATTGTTTTACATGTAAAGTAATATTATTTAATGCTGATATTGTAGATGGCGGACCCTTTCAACTTTAAAATCCCAAAGGAAATTCAGTTCGACGATAAAGGTTCTGATCCTGAAGTCTTTAACAGTAAGTTTTGCTTGATATTACAGTTTTAATATTTTTTTGTTTGTTTGATATTACAGTACTTTATAGTTTTTTTAGATGAATATATTGAGTTATGTTACGAAAGGTTACCTAAGTTTATTTTAGAGACAAACGGTTGGGGGAGTCCAGATTTCTATGCTCAGAAGAGGTCCAAAGAAAAGAAGCAGAAGTTGGAGGCAATTGAGGAAAAGCTGAGAAGGAGGTCATCAATGTAAGTACATTATAACTATTCATAATATTACAGTCAATTTACAATACATTTATTTTTAGTCTTGTCTGCTTAAACTTAGGATATTTGAATATTATGATATAGTTTTTAACCTTTACTGCTTCTTATCTTTTGTTGTTTGAAAAATATCTTTTTGTGTATGATTTTGTTGGTGTTGACTTACTTTTATTGATATTGTTGCAGGATAAAAGAGAATTTGGAAGCAAAGCAGGTATCAAAGAAGAAGGGTTTGCCTCCGATGACAGTTAGGCCAACTACTTCAAAGCCAGTTGAACCTTCAATTGTAGCTAGATTACCAAGTGGCACAACCAAACCAAAGTAATTTTTTGTTTGTTTTGTCATTTTAGGTTTTGTTGCTCTTACATCGGGGTCAAACTTGTCTTAAATTGCGTGTTACGGATTACTTTTATAGTGTTATTTTAGGCTTGTGCCACTACGAGCTACATCACAACCTCCGAAGCCTCAGCTGACTTTACAAGCACCAACTCCTGGTTCGTAAGTATTTTTTGAATTTGTTTTTACTTGACGTATTGTAAGTCTTATTGGTGTAATTTTTGGTAATGTGATGTAATTTTAATGAGCAGTCTTAAACTTACTACTTTTGTATGGGAAATTTTAAATTTTTGATTTTTAAAAAGCCTTTTATTTAAAAATGTATTTTTATACCTAAATTTGTGATTTTGCAGAAGAACAAGATCGAATTCACAAGCACGGGCGCCCGCACCCGTTCCTCTTCCAGCATCAGCTATCCCCACATATGTTCCGCCCTTACATGGTATGGCATTGAGAGGACGGTCTAAGGAGAAGAAAGAGAAGCCGCCAGTACCTCCAGCTGCTCTCAGATTCTTGACTGCACCTGACCGTAACTCTTACAAACGAGCTTCTCCTGTGGTCAGAAGAGCTGGTGTCAAAGAAGGATCGCCCACCAAGAATGCCAGATTGTCAAAGTCGCCTACTCGCGATGCGAAAAGTAACAGCGTCAAGGGATTCAAAGCTCATTCTACTTACAAACCCGGTCTGAAGTCGACGGAAAACACTCCTAAAGCTACGACTAGTAACAAGGTGCCAGTTCGACCGGCACAGAAGAAGGAACCAGTCCAAAAAGAGAATGACAGCCGAGTAGACAAGAGTGGCCAAGATGTTCTGAATAAGAGACCCATCAACAGACGTTTCAGCTTCATGCTACCTACACTCTCCAGTCGTCGGAGGTCACAACTGCCAAATCAACAGCCACAGTAAAGGAAGGGTCTCATCGTATGTAATGATTGTAACTGAACTTTATGGATCACAGTTTGTATAAGAACTGAGATATCAACATGTATATTTAAATATCCGGTAGACACAAAGCAATATTTACTTCAATTGGATTCATTTTGCTATCGGAATAAATTGATTTTTATTACCGGGTATTTTGTATCATTACAAAGTAGACTTATATTGCTTTTGCTTATTTTTAAAGTTTCTCTATTGTCCGAGCTTTTTCTCAAGTCTTTTACGGTGCAACTTTGGTTGCTAGACTTTTACTACACCTTTATAAAAGAAAATTTTTTAGAATAACGTTAATTGCCTAGACATGTTTGGTGTTAACTTTGTTGTTTTCTGTCTGCCGGAAGTCGGAGCTGAATGTCATAGCTGGGAATGCGTCAATCATAAGACAAGACCGAAAGTTAATATCATAATCTGTCAACATTTCAGAATGTCTTGTAAGTTATAATCATATGACCAAGGTTTCGCACTAAAACGTTTAGAAGATTTACAAAACTTTTTAACTTACAGTAGTAAATAACAATTTTAAGGTTTGCAAAGTGCAAGTTTATTTAAAATTTTGAGAAAGTTACTATACTAAGCAATGTGAAACTTATATTTGATACGATACCTTTTTCCGATCTAATTGCCACCATTTAATAATCCAAACATGTATTTTTTATTTGTCTCTCAACCTTTTTCGAATGTTGTGGCAAAAAAGTTTGGGGCCATGAATCTTTGTCCCAGGGCGGGCGTGGGCGACAAACAGATCACTCGAACTGCCCTCGAGGTATAGACGAGAAACTTTTTCGAAATGTCAAGTCAACAATGTCAGTCCATCTTCAAAACACTTGCCGATATACACTTTTCTTCGAAGACGACCAGCCTGAAGGACATGTGTAATATCGCTGATTCTAATAGGATCGACGCCAAACGATCAGACACGAAAAGATGGCGGAAATAGTGATTGGCCCTCGGGAAAGCGGCATGTGTACTTCCAAATCGAACAGTTGTGCCGGAGGGCGTGGGAGAGGCCCGCCCTTGGCCGCGGTCTCCTCGATTCGTGCGCTCTCTCGCCGCCCCTTCCTTGGCTCCGATCAGGGTGGATATCGGGCCTTTTTCTTCGATTCAGCATTCTGCTCGAGAGTCGTAGACACAATGGTAGGTTCTTTATACTTCTCGGTTAACAGTGTAGTTTACTTCGGGTTCGAGTTGTAACTTTTACGGTACAACTGGAGCTTTGTTTGATACTGTTTAAGTATGAATTGAAGCTTTGTTTTCTCATTTTGAGTTTTTGTATTACTGTAGAAAAACAATGTTTTGCAAGAATGACTATTTTTGGATATAATTTTAAAAGATTTTGATTGAAAATTAAGATTTCTTGAAAACTTTTGGTTAAAAATATAATAGAGATCATGGTGTAGTTACTTTTTAAAACTTTTCTTTAAATTGTTTGCATTTCAGGCCGAAGATATCGAAGAAATTCTTTCCGAAATCGATGGATCCCAAATGGAGGGTAAGATATTTTGATTGATCTGATAAAATATTTATTAATCTTTGATAAAATTGTGAAAAAAAGTACCTAAATGATAATTTTTAAAGACTGATTTTACTAAATTGAGAAAATAGCCATTTCATTGCCTAAAAATTAATTTTTTGTCATTTTGATAAACAAAACAGCATAATTTTGCTTTATATCATCGTCTACAAGCATCATCCATTTGCAGAGTACCAACGCTTCTTCGACATGTTCGACCGCGGAAAACAAGGCTACATCATGGCCACTCAGATCGGCCAGATCATGCACGGTATGGAACAGGACTTCGACGAGAAGACCCTCCGTAAGCTGATCCGCAAGTTCGACGCCGACGGCTCCGGCAAGCTGGAGTTCGACGAGTTCTGCGCCTTGGTCTACACCGTCGCCAACACCGTGGACAAGGAGACGTTGGAGAAGGAGCTGAGGGAAGCGTTCAGGCTGTTTGACAAGGAAGGCAACGGCTACATCTCGCGGCCCACCTTGAAGGCCTTGTTGAAGGAGATCGCCGACGACTTGACCGACGCCCAATTGGAGAGCGCCGTCGACGAAATCGACGAAGACGGTTCGGGAAAGATCGAATTCGAAGGTAAGGGGGTGTTAAGGATTTGTTTAGTTATTTTTCTGGTCATTCAGTTGGCAGTGTCTTCTGGTTTTGGTGTTGTTGATAAGGAAAGGTCTTGTTGTAGTAAATCAGCACGTTGAAGGACTAAAATTATTGTTACCTTGTAACGTTTGCTTCATTTATTGAGCATTTTTACATAAAATTAAAACTTTGCTTACTCTGCTCTTTAAAAATCACTAAAGATTACTTTTTTCCTTTGTCAACATGACCTCTGACTTTTGTCTGTTTCAAACGTCTAAGATGATCTTGCACTCAAACACCAACTCCTTCAGGTCTGTATGTATAATATACGTCACATATCAAGGTCTATATCAATATTATACGTCACACATGAACCCATCTCGGTCCATGTATATATCAAGCTCTCTTTTGATATTATACGTCACATATCAATATGCTATAGGGCACATGTCAATATGTGCATATTATACCTTACACCTGCACCTATCTCAGTCTGTGTGTATAACATGACCTACAACAATATCTATATGAACCTGATTTCAGAATTCTGGGAGCTGATGGCTGGCGAGTCCGACTAAAGCAAACAACCAATCCAACTCCTCTTTAATTCTCTTTTAATTTCACAAATATTAAGCAGAAAAGAAAGTATTTACACATGATTCGAGTGGTTGTTATGTATTATACTACTGCATTATAAATTCAAATTGTTTTGTCGGGATAGTAATAGGTGACAGCTGACATTGTAGTCATATAATACTTACTATGTCGCTATTTCTTTAGGGATTCATAAGAAATGACAAAAGTTTTCAAAGATACTGTAATGTGATATGGTAAGGTAGAGTAGGGTAGGTAAGGGGAGGGTAGAGAGAGGAAGGGCAAGATAGGAAGTGATAGGTTATTGTAGGGTTAATCAAGCTGATATGTTAGAATTTATGTTTGACAAAGTTTGAAATAGCCTTTGCTTTTCTGTTCTTTGAGATATTGAGTTACCAAGTGCTTGCAAAAACAAACAAAATACAAAAGGTGGTGTTGACTCACTCAGAAGTGTCATAATAAACTTGCAGAATACATAAAAAGAAAACAAAAAGAATATTAAATTCATCAGTATCTGGTAAAAATCATTGATATTATTTTGACTTAACAAAATTTAAATATTTTAATCAATCACAAAGTCTCTCAAGCTTGAAAACTTTATAATACTTCCTAACAATACAAATAACAAGATAGCCGTAATTACTATGCTTTACACGAGGTCTATTGAGCTTTTGTTTCGATGTTGAGTCCGTGCATCGATTTGATTTCGTCTTTAAGTAGGTTGGTGATCTCCTTGTGCTGATCCAACTTCATTCGGCCTTTGAATTCTGGAGTGTGCACGATGATCTGGTACATGGAGCCACAGCCATCTGAAAAGCAATCTTTTAGCGATAATTTCAGCAACTTTTAGATCTTTTTGGATCTTTATCGTCCCCGAGAATAAGTCACTCCATTTGTCCAAAAACGTCTGCCTTTTCTGATGAAATCCAAAGCTGTGACAACCTTCTTAAAGTTAAACCTGCAGAACTGTGTCTTAACTTACTAGAAACATCGTGAACTTCAAGCTTAGAAGCCTTCTTGTAGTGGTTCTTCAGAATCCCAGTTATTCGAGTTTCGCCTTCTGTAGCCAGCACGTTCCTCGTGAATCCGAAGAACCTTCTGAATACGATGCTCGACATCTCAACTATAATATTACTATTATAAGCATACTATTGCACTAAAGTAGTAGAACCTTAGCATTCGAATGTAATTTTCCGTTACAACGTAGTACAACATCTGCTTTGCCATCGCTTATTACTTATTTATTGTGAAGCACCACTAACGATATTATTATTCAGAGACTAGCATTTGCTTTTTAGGACTAGGCTTATCAACAATATTTTAAAATTTAAGAAAAAGTTACAATATAAATTGCTTACAATGTATATATATTAGAACTGCAATGTAAAATAGCGCCAGTACAGTAGAGTATTAGACTATTACAACGGTATATTCTTCAGTATGTAAGCTAAAAAGTGTCTCCTCTAAGTTTATGAGAAGATTTAACATAAGATAAGCGTGTATTAGACATTATTGTGATCTGGTATAACAGGTTAACAGCCGTTAACCTCCAATTGTAACATGAACTCGTGTCTGAATGTCACTTCTGAAGAATATCTTAAAAGCATCCCTCCTTTAGGGAAGCGTTTTACAGCTTAAGATACCACAATAGCGAAAGGAATGTAAGAGACTGTAACAGTGAAAGTTAATTTAGTAATGAATGGGATATTCAGCAATTACTATGCTAGTCAATAATTACTGTGCAGTAAAGAACTTTTGCTTCTTGAGAGCTGTGAACATGGACCAGATGGCGAGAGGACGCATGTAGCCAATGGCACGGTAGAAGCGTCCACGGTACAAAGCTTCTGGCGTTTGGTACTGTAATCCGAAGCGATTGAAGCAGGCGTCGTAGCAGCCGGCTGCCGTTTCAAAACCTTTCATTAGTTGATTCTGAAATATATGTTGTTATACAAGGTCAATGTGATGGAGTGATAGATAGATCAGGTTTAAAGAGAATACGGGGTGGTAGAAAGGAAGGTTCTAAGCACTAAAGTTGGCTACAGTAAAGCAAAATTTGACTGCAGTAAACCTTACCTGTTGAATGAAGAACGAGGCCAGCGAGTAGGTAATGCCCACCCAGACCTCGTCTGCCTGAATGTAGCTTCTGTCTATCTTTCCATTTGGCAACATTCCATTCACAGCTCCCAAGGTACAATCGGCAAACTTGACCACGTTGTAGTTGAAGACTGTCTCCAGGACAGAATCCACGTGAGATTGGGGTAGCAACTAAAAGTTCATTTATGTCATGGTTATAACGTTATACTGTCATGAAAGTGTATATTTGAAAGCCTATTACTCAAGTAAACGTCACTGCTGCCATTTCTAGCCAGACCCAAATTTTTAAATATTTAAATTTTTTTAAAAATTTTCTTACATTTCGAACCAATTCAGCATCAATAGACTGAAGGTACCAGAATCCGCACAGTTGATCTGCCATTATCGTGGAGTTACTGTTCGAAGCCTGGTCAAAGTTGTAGTAGCTGCCATTCCACAAAACTGTATCAAATACCTAAAAATGGCATTTCAAAACTTATTTTTAAAACTTTTATCATCAACGGCATACTCTTGCATCCATACCTCAATTACAGTACCCCTAACTGCATATCATCATACAGTACCCCTAATTACATAATATCTTACAGTAATAACCTAACTAACAATATCCTTACCCGTTTCGCTGAATCCAATGCTTCTCCGTACTTTTTGACCCCAGCTTCGTCCTTCATGTCCTCTGCCATTTTCAATGCGACCACCAGTGCTCCCAACCATAACGACCCACAGTAGGCACTCACCCCCACCATCTTCCAGGCATCGTATGTCTGGTCGGCGGCGCCAAAGTTTTCGATCATAGAGTCGCCGTTCTTGTCCCACTTGGTCAGCCCCTCCTCGATCACTTGTCGCACTGCTGGGTATACAAAGTCCAGGTATTCTGGCGACTTGTCCATGAGGATGACGTAGTCGCGATAAGAGGTAAGGACGAACTTCAGGTTGAGGTCCTTCCACTTCCCAGTATCGTGCATGATGTAGGCGTTCACTTTGAGGAAGGGCTCGTCCGCCGGGTTGCCTAGGTCGTGTGGTACTCTTTTCTGGGTCTTTATTGGTGCTCGGTCGCCTTCCATGTGGAATCGGACTTGTTTTGAAACGTGGTTTTCGAATTGGTCTCCTATAAAGCGAAAGATCAGTCATTTCTCTTTTTTCCCATCCTTTACCTCCTCCGTTCCCACAATTACCACTGCACTGTGCAAAACCTTGGGAAAATTGCGTAATTTCAACTGCACCGTGCAAGTGTTTCTTCCTTTCAATGAAAGGCTTGTTTGCACCGTGCAGTCGTCCCATTCTTTTCCATAAAAAAGCAAACCTTCTGCACCGTGCAAAAGCTTAGAAAAATCTCCTTGCTTTCCGCCAATTGCACCGTGCAAATCTCTTTGTGTTCGCCCTCAAAACCATGCACAGTGCAAGCCTCTCTCTAATCTGTTTGTCGCAAAGCTCATTCAGATTGCGACAACCTCAAACTGTTGAATTGTCGCCGCGACAAACCCACTGGACACAGTGCAAGCACTGTCGCTGCGACAACCGCGACAGTTTTATCGCATCACCCCTCCAAAAGCGAAGCGACAATTTGTCGCATAAACTTTTGTTTCACAAAAAGTTCTGCGACAACGCGCAACTTGCGACATTTGAGTCCACATCGCATTGTCGCAAGATGCAAGCAATTGTCGCGGTTGTCGCTCGATTTCTCTCAATTCATGTCGCGACAAACTTTCTTCCAAATTGAAAAGTTCTTAAGAGCAACAAAATGAAAGGAAATCGCAAAATTGACGGAATTTCTGTCGCTCACAAATTGAAAGAATTCGAGCGACAAACAACAAGAGCTGAACAATTTTTTGCTTCTTGCGACATTTTCCAAATGGCATTGTCGCGGTCGCCGCAATGCTTCAGTTTGCACTTTGTTCGATGAAAAGAGTGCGACAACATTCTTAAAGGTGTCGCAGAAGAGTTGGTGGCACTGTTTAGGGATTGCACGGTGCAGTCTTTCGAAGAAAGAATAAGAAACTTGCACGGTGCAATAGGAGTAGCGCTCTCAAGGATTGCACAGTGCAGATCATTCACTATTTCGCTGCACTGTGCAAACCGTTCTTTATTTTCTTGCACTGTGCAGACGTTTTTTCCCGGAAAAAGGTATACATTGAAGGCACCGTAAAGGTAAAAATCGCTTAAACAGTCATGATTTTCAAAAAAAAATAGCAAAACAAGTAAAGCGTACTCATTTCCATCTGAACAGTACACTCGATCCATGGGAAAAGTTCGGCCAAAGCAAAGGATGCATAAAAGTGCACGTCGTAAGTGTTCATCATACGGTATTCCCAAGCTGAAAGAAACTACTGTAACTTTTTTTGATTTGAGCTACAAAATAATTTTAAAATTGCATTTTTTCAAAATTTTAGAATAAAGTTATTAAGTTGTTCAACTAATCCTGTGCCCCCACCCAAAAAAAATGTTTAAAGATAGGGCACAGAATTATTTGAACAACCAAATAAAAATACTCACATTCAAGATAAGCAAATCGTCCGTAATCTTTGAAATGCCTCAGGGTGTAATCACTTAGGTGTTGTTCCTCTTGCTTCCACGATTCGTCGTAGGCGAACCAGACGGTACCACCATCAGTCAGGTAGTACAGCTCGTTGAACAAGGCGCTTTTGAACCATAATGGTACGTTTCTAAAGGTTTTATATTAGGTTGTTCAAATGATTATGTGCCCCTCTTAAAACAAATTTTGGGGATAAGAGGGCACAAAATTATTTGAACAACCTAGTGAACCAGAAAAATCTTCTTTTTTCGATTTTTAAGTTTCCAAATCGCGAAATAAAAAAAAACTTATGCAAATTTATCTAATCTCAAATTCTGCACAGTGCAATATAAAACAAACTTAATCAAACCAAGAACCTACTGATCCAGCAGCACAACATTCTGCCACTCGTCGATCTGCCTCTCCCAGCTCTCTTTGTTACCCAAAGCATAACATCCTATGTCGAACGCTGTATCCGGTGCTTCATCGTCGAAGAACTTTGTGTAGTACCTTTTGTAGCTTCGTTTCTTAGACGTAAAATGAACTTTTGGCATGTGCCATACCAAGGCGTGGTCGAAACTAGTCGATTCTCTCATTTTTATATGCTTGTAGGTGGAACAAGCTACGGCCAGATGAGTGGCTTCAGATTCTGCTTCCAGCTCGTTTAGATTCATGTTCTGTTCTAGTGAATCCCAGAGTTTGCATTCTAACGCGTTTGGATCAAAAGCTGCGACAGAAGTGGCGTCGACGTCGGATGACATAACACAATATGTCGTGTCCATTCCGGCGATCTCGTGCTTCAGCATCAGACCTTTGGCTACAAAAATAGATTTTTTATTGTGACTGATAACAAAGTTTTACTAGGTCTTGTTATTATAGTCAAAAATTACTATACAACCCTCAAAAAATCCACAAAAGCCTCACATATCCCCTATACCTACATGAACAATCCCCTATATCTTCCAGAAAAATCCCCTATACCAACATGAAAGCTCCCCTGTACCAACCTCAAGATATCCCCTAACCTACCTGAAGGTGAAGTAATCTGCAGACTCTTGCACATTCCTTCTGACTGTGTCTTCTTACAGCCAGTGCCATTCCTGAAGGTAAAGGTAATGGCAGCTTCGATGTCTTCGTTACTCTCGTTTATAATTTTAAAGTGAAACAGTGTCACTGGCAATGAAGAGTCTTTGTAGTTGTTTGGAATGACAGGCGATGTTTGGGTGATGACTACTTTGACATTATGCGATGATATCTTGTATACTGTCCATGATCGGGGATATAGACCTCTAAAATCAAATTTATGAACATTAGGTACCTTCTTTATATAAAAAATTTTTAAAAAAACTATAAAATAAGTCTAATATATCATTTTTACTATACCTACAACAGAAAAATGTCAAAAATCTTTCGGTTTTTTACAATTCTACAATCCTGCGAACTGCGCAAAGTTTTCCCAGCTGCGCCCAAATTTGTCGAATATTCTTGCCCAAAATTTCCAAAAAATTTTAAAAAATGTAAAATTTACAGTTTAATCTTTACCTGTAGATAATATTCTCTTCCTCGATTCCGAACTTCCAATTGTTCAGCTGATTGACGTGATGTTCATTTACACCTAAAACAAGCTGTTTTGTCTCGCCATCGCTCTTCCTCAATGTTAATATGAACTGATTTGCCTGGAAATTAACAAATAAATGTAAGTTAGGGTATACAATACGATTAAAAACATAATTTTTAAGTTTTAAAACATTGGAATTGTCAGTTTTACCTTGACCGCCTTGACATGGTGTTCGACCAATCCCGGCTTCAACCCGAACTTGCAGAATCCGCCTCGGAAGTCGCGACCAATGCTTCCGGATCCGATCGTACCACATGGTACACCATACGTATGTTTGTGTTTCAAAGGCTCAAAAGTGTTTATGAACAAGCGATCTCGATTGTTGTAGTTGCGCACCCAATACCTGGCATATCTGGCTACGAACGGTAGGACACGGTATACCTAAAACATCATTATTTAAGGTTTGTATTCCTGCTTAAAATTATATGTCACACTATAATTTATTTGGATATAATTACTATATTTATGCATATTTACCTGCATTAACTTTGGTCGATTAAAGGGCAGTCTCTTTTCAACTGGCCGTTTATCGCCTCGGGCAATCCACCCATATTCACCTTCCAAATCGATCACATCTTGCTCCGATGGCGTCCATTGGCGTGGCGTCGAAGCCGGGGTTTCTGTGTCCACGTCCATCTACCCGCGATTTACCTGTACATCAGCTGAAGAGAAGCAATTATAAGGAATGTAGGTTTTAAATTGAAAATTAAAAAATTTCTGATAACAAATTTTAAAAACTTTACATTTTGACATTAAAAACGTCATTTCTAATGCAAAGGCAAAGGTCGTTTTAATTTTTTGGCTTTAAATTATTAAATTAAGAGGTCTGCACCGTGCAAAAACTTCAAAAATTTTTAAAATTACGTAAATTTCAAAATTGAAATTAAAAAACCGACCAGTCACACTTTGAATATTCGAAATATTTCGTATTATGAATTTGTATGAAAACGTAACGTCACATATGCTGACTATTATATTATTCATGATGCTGTTCAGTAAGCCAAGAGTCCGATTCAAACGGGAAAACAAAAGGATCGAGAGTCAACGATTGGTGGGCATGATAAAAGTCATTTATTAAATACATGCGTTAACAAGAAAGAATAAATAGTGTAAGTGTCGATATATATCACAATATAACATGGTAAGGTCGTATTCACAGGCCTTGGACGGTGACATCTTCCTGGAAGGAGCGGGCCGCGCCATCCAGCGAGTAGTTGAGTTTGAGCCGAAGTTTGGGTACCCGGCTGTCAGCAAGCTGCGTGATCTTGGCCAATTGTGTTATCGTGGACATGGCGTCGGCTTCGAGGCGGCTGTTTGAAGCTGGCAGCAGCTCGATTTGAAATTGCTGAAGTAATAAAGTAAGGAGCCATAATGAATAATACATTACACATTGACAAAATAACTTTAATCGTTATTATTTATGAAATGTCAAACATTAAAACTTCAAATGTTACCCAAAAATCACTTCTATACACTTTTCGACCAAAAAATACAATAATATTCGTATAGAAAACCAAAGCTTCTTGAATAATCAAAAATAACGTAAACCTACCCTTGTAACAGCTGTCTGCAAGTTAAAGTTTTCGACCGGTACTGGATTGTTGTTCGAAATTTCGAAACGAATCACTGCCGGTCCTGATCCGAAGCCATTTTCAATGAACATCTGAGCTTCGAATCCACTTTTATTCACTACGATTACCCCTGGCTTCGAAGCGACGCTAAAAAAGCAGGGTGATTTTAGGACTAAAAATACTGTAACAAATAAAAATGTTGAAGCAAATAAAAATACACCGTAATAAGTAAAAATAATAATGTAATAAGTAAAATGTAAACCGACGTACGAATTAGAAGAGTTAGTTGAAGCGCCAAACAAATCCGAGAAATCGTTTCCACTTGAAACCGCTGGCTTCGCTTGTGGAGGTTGAGTAGTCGGCGTTGGGGCAGAGCCTGAAATTTGCATAAATTAACAAGATATTCCCAACTTAAAAACACAAATTCTAGTATTAAAACCACAATTTTTGTATGAAGTATAGACCATTACACTTCTAAACTCACCATTTATTCCGAGACTTCCGAAAAGATCGTCCAAGCCTCCAGTTCCAGAAGTCGTGCCACTTGTTGGTGGCGGCTGTGTCGTGGTGGTTGCGTTACCTTCACCATTACCCATTAAATCCAAAAGATCGTTGTAGACTGAATCCTTGGCGCCTCCAGAGGCTGTACCACCTCCTACGTCAAGTAGGCTATCTTCCTCGGCCGCCTTGGCTTCCTCGTCTTCGATTGGGGCAGCAGCTGTGTTCAAGGTACTGTGTTTGATCACGGGCATACGCTCCAGAAGGCCGTTCCTGAAATTTTATAATTAAATGTCATACTTAACTTCATGTACTAACTCATACTTCGTGAAAACGTTACCTACCTCAATTCATACTTTGGAATCAGCCCAGAGAACTCGACGGCACGTTGTTGTAGCTCGAGATTCAGATGAGCTACGTATCGGCGCACTAAAGCTCCGATTCTTTCGGTTTGAGAAGAGAATCTTGTGGAGAGTTTGGCCAATGCCACGATACCGTACTCTCGGGTTTGAATTGTCATGGTATTCACGATGAAGAGTTGCTCGAACATTTCTATAACGTCTGATTCAGAAGGCGGCTGGGGATCGTCATCTGATGGAGCAATCAACAAATCTCCAAACTCTCCGATGCACCAGAAGGCGATCTGCAGCAGAGGCTGAGCTACACCACCATCGTCCTTGGCCGCTTTGAACAGTTTCTTGGTTGCGTAGGCTTGGAGGTTGAAGTGGGCCGAGATCAGCTGGATCATGCAGCTCACAACCTCCTCTGGCACGTAGTTTCCGGCCTGAAGCAATAAGTTTAAAGACGTATTTTAGATTGTTATAGTTTTTCAAATTCTTTAATAGTCACACTTCCTAGAGTTTTAGATCAAAAGTCAGTTCTTACCAGTTTTAGAACCGAAATCATGGTGTTAAGATGCCACACAGGATTAGGCGAGTGAGTCTCTGTAGCGACATACATCTTAGATGCACACTCTGATTTGAATTCAGGATCAGCTGTCTCCAAGAACAATAGAATCTCCTTGATCATGGTGGTGATGTTATCCTTGTCAATCAGAACGAAACACAACTCCAGCGCTCTTCTTCTGATCGATACATCCGGATCCTTCAGATTCTCCAACACCGTTCCTTTGTACTTCTGCACGGTCTTCAAGTCGGCTGTAGCCGTCTTCAGAAGCGTATTCAAAGCGACGTATCTGATGTTCTTGTCAGGGTTAACCAGATATCTTCCCAGCAGGTTTATGGCCAAGATCTTGAGACTGGTCTCGCTCTTAATGTCCATGATAGTCAACACGGCTTCGTATAGAACGGCATTACCAGCATTCTTGTTTGGATCCGTGTTGGTGGTGATTATGGTTAAAAGATCGTTCATGGCTTCACTTGCTCGAACGTCATCTTTGCCTAATACACGCAGTAAACGTAGGATTTTTACCTAAAGTTTTAAGTTATTATGAAAAATTTAATGAAAATATTCAAATTAATCTTTGAATGTTGTCTTCCCTTTCATAAAATAAACATATAACCCTTACTTGTAAAAATGGATCAATAACATTGTTAACGTCATGCTCAGTAGATGAGTAACTTCCTAAAGGTGAGACCAAGCTTCTGAATTGTTTTACTAAATCTGGCACCATCTAAAATGCTTTGCATGACATTTTAAGTAAGCACTATTGCAATATGATTGTTTTCATCAATTAAAAATTTGTTCAAAACCTTACCGATCTGAAGTGATTCCTCACATCTACACTCCTTTCACACATTTCGGTAACCAAAGTTAGACCACCAAGCAGAACACCTAAATTTCGAATTAAATAAAAGTAACTGACACTTACCATGATGTTTGTCGCTCAAGAGTACCCGAGCACCAGACATAAAACAACTCATCAGGTCAGGCACTTTTCTCACTATTCTGAATGCACACAAAGCTGCCTAAATTATAATTTTTAGTTTTGGTATCTAACAAACTTCAAAAAATGTTACCTAAAATTTAGAAACTAAGAGAAATCTTACTTTTTTCTTGATGTAAGAGTTTGACGACTTTATTAGAAGCTTCTCAACTTCATTTGACAAGTCTCTGCACATTTCAACAGAACAAATCGATCCCAACGTACATAACGCCAAACCTGTCACAAACTGGTCAGACTCGTTCAAGTGACTGAAAGTTTAAACCAAACTAAGTCAATAATACAAATTTTTTATAAAAATACTGCTCAACATAACATGTTCTAAGCAATATCATACAGTTTAGCTAAGAGATCTTACCTTTTCAAGCAGTTCGTTACCAAAAGATGAACTTCAGACCTCTCATCCAACAACAACATAGCTCCCAAGTATCCGATTCTGATGTCTGTGAATCGTTTGTCTTTGGTTCCCACCAATTTCATGCACTCCATCTGACCAAAGTGTGCTGGATATCCTAACATGTGAATGTAGAAGAGTTTGGCCATGTCTCTACATCTATACTTGTTATCTTCATCACGGAACGCGTCTCTAATGTTAGCACTTTCTCGTTCTACTACAGCACGCTCTTCGGCTGCTGTTCTAGCTGCTCGAACCTTACGGATAAGGTCACGAAGCCTCATCGAAGCTCCGAGAGATCTAAAATGGTATATTTTAGGTATAAATTTAATAATGTGTTTGTTATCTATAGATAACAACAGATATATTTGAATTCTGACAACAATCTTCGTCTATTCGTTTCGGAATTTCATCTAAAAAACTTGATCCTTTGAAGTTTCTTAAAAACTCCAATTTTCTTGAAATATTAACTTAAAATCTTTTTGATCAATTTGTAACCTAAAATCGAAACCAAAAAACGTAAAAACATACCTCCCAAGTCTTGACTTGACCTCGTCAATCTTTTCTATCGTCATTTCCACCATGTTGGCCATGATGGAACCTGAAATATTAATTTAGATAACAATGCACATTCATAAAATCATATTCCAGTAAACAATATGTTTAAAACTTCGAGAAATTACGAAGACAATTAATAAAAAGTCTAAATTGATATTCCAATTGAATATTGGTAAGATAAAGCATGCATAAGCGAACGAACAAATTTATTTCATGAAGAAAAAAAATATTTTTTTTGTTAGCGCACACACAAATCGCCAGAACGTTTTCGTGGCGAGAGCTTCGAGTCGAGAGTTTCGATACATGTATTACGTTGCAGATATGCTTACGTTTGGTATTTAAACGTGAATAATTTAGAATGTTTGTTTTGGAGTTTTTAAAGTTTGTTAACCATGCTGATACCAACTATTACTTTACTTGTTTTCAATGAAATTAAACTAGAATTTCCAAGTAAACATCTGTGATTTATTCGAAAATTTAACAAACTAAATGAAACCGATAAGAACTAGGCGAAGCTGACCATTTCGCGGATTCTTCCTCTGCTGTCCGGATTCACAAGAACCCAAGTGGTAGCCATTAAAAGGCCCATGAGAGCGCCCATGCCTGCGGCACGGGTACCGTATGGGCTTCGGTAGATGGCTCCAGCCAAGGCACCGGCTCCCAAAGTGTTAAGATCGTCGTCAGCTCGAGCACTCTTCAGCCCGATTTCCAGTACCGAAAACATGAAGACGGCAGCGCCAGCCGGTTGAGCGTAGCCGCTACCGTGTTTTACTGTCGCGTTAACCATACGGGTTAACCACGGCTTACCACGCTGAAATGTTTGTGATAAACACACAATGCTATAGCATGCTACATCTTGTATCAAAAAAATTTAATTTAAAATATTTCGACAGAGTTTTTATGACTCACGTCAGCATATTATCATTTTTATATAATACTGAGTTATTTAAAGCCGTAAATACAGTATACCTACCAATTGCCTTGTGTCGGGATTCATAATTTCTGGGACAAAACCGCGCAACGATCCCACTGCGAATCCTCCTGCTACTGCCCATCCAATGTGTCCCAAAGCAAACTCAAACTTTCCTTTACCGTGCTCGTTACCCTCAGGCATTATGTATTCTGGTTGTGAAGCTTTAAACATGCTGGGGTCCATCTGAAATACAAAAAAAATGTTTTAACAAAAAATCAAACAAAAATTCTTAAAGTCATATCAAACAATAACATATCAAGCTGAATGATAAATATAGAGTATCTTACAGAAATTACAACACAAAAATTAAATTTTCAATTTCCTTCAAACACTATAACAATTTCAAACTGACCTGCAAATAGGGTGTCATTTGTGTTTTGAGCGCAACTCCTGAGTGCTTGATACGATCCAACGCCAATACCGGTTGATTGTAGAGTTGACTGGACAAGTCTTCTTGCTCATTTTGTTGTTGTTCTACTGGCTGAGAAGTTTCAGCCGGAGTTGAGCTGCCACCAAACCACGACATCATGATTGCCTAAATTTTATATTAACCATGGCCTTCTTATCGTTGTTAAAAAACAAGTGAACTCTCAATTGCAGATATTGCATCGTATGTAACGAATAGTAATTGTCTCGCATTTAAGTTCAATATTCATCATGTCAATAAAAACACCCGTGAGTATTAAAAGCGTTAAGGTAAAATGCTTATTCAATCAAGCGTACTGTAGTTGGAAACGCGATATTTTTAAATTTTTATTAAAAAATACTGAAGTTTTTGACAAAATGCTGAGAAACAAAAAACCTCCGTTCGTTTTACAACGCAAATTGTCACGAAATCCTTAAAATAAATATTTTAAAGATATTTAGTTTATAAAATCAATAAAAATACCGTACTTCCAACCACAAAACATTGAAGAGAAGTCGCCAACAACAAGAACAAGGTAGAGACGTAACAAAATAAGTTAAATTGGGCACATATCTACAAAATGTCATTCGAAAATGTACAAAAGACCGATTACAATAACTTAGTGACTATTTTGATAGCCGCCTCGCCTGAAATTCTTTCGTGGAGGGCCACCGCCGTAGCCATTACCATCTCGATTGAAGAACCCATTCCTGCGTTTATGATCAAATGACCGGTCGTAAGGTGGCTGACCTCCAGGAGAAGGAATATAAGGTCCTGAAGGATGTGGATATTGTGGTTGGAAAGCGGTATTGCCATTAGATGACCCATTTCCTTGCTTCCGGAGATCGAGATCTTCACCTGGAGGGCTAATTGAAGTGGATGGAGGTGGGTATTCCTGTAACTATTACTTTAAAAGCTAGATTATTAAATTAAAAAATGTTTTTGCATAAAAATATATATTTGTTTTAATATCAACAGTAGTAAAACTTACAACACCAGGCGGTAGTACTTGTGCATCAAAAGGCGGTGGGAAATTCATCATTGGTGGAGGTATAGAAGGCATAAAGGGTGCTACACCTTCACTAAAGCCAGTTGGATAAGGAGGCATTGGAGGGGGTTGGAACCTCTGTCTTGGGTCAGCCGCTTTCATTGTAACATTCGGTGTTACCTAAAATTTTAAATAGCTGTTTTTTAAACACAATACAGTAAAAGTGGTTTATATTACAAGCAAATAGAAAAGCGACAGTAGATAAAAATTAGAAGCTTATTAATAACTAAAAACGAAAAAGAAAGAACCCTTACTTTGATATCACTACCCACACCATTGTAGTTAGGAACATAATTCTGAGGTGGGATCAATGACGTAGCATTTGGTTTGCCAGGCATATCTTCCTCATCCATCTCCATGTCATCTGAGCCTGTTGCATTGAATATATCTTCGCCTGGTACCGGAGACGGGGCATCTCTTGGCGGCGTTTGACCTGGAAGAATCCCACTCTTAACAATCGGATCCAACTGCTCAATACGTTCCGAAATACCCTTGGCGTATCTATCATAAGCCTGAAAAGTATTTTATTAAAACAAACTTTCATTTTACTAAAATAGACAAGAAATGTGAATGTAGACCTACAAACACAAACATTAAAATGAAAACACCGTAAAATTCAAGAGTAAACTTACATCATGCACAAGAGCGACGTCCTTCAACTGGTTTTGAAAGAATCCCTTTGACTTTGCAATTGTATGATTAACTTTGGCACTTTTTGCACTTAATCCTTCAATTCGTTGTAGAAACGTCTGTAGCTTTTGTATCATCAAGTCTACTTCAAGCTCCATCTGGCTGAGCCCTTCTCTGTCTAAAATAACATTGTTTTAAAACGTCTTTAGCCAAAATGTTACAAAATGAGATAGGAAATTGCCTTGAAAGTAAAACTACACTTACCAGATAGATCTACATTGCTTTCGTCAAAATTGATATTGTTCAGCACAACTCTAGCCTTGTCAATAGCAGTACTGCTTTCCACGTAAGTTCTGAGTGTTTTTAAGAATCCTTCAATTTCAAATTCACCGTCGTCTTCATCCTGTACCACTGCATCGACTGTCCCTTCTGAAAAAAGCAAATTACGACATTAAAGACTAAAATTAATTTTTAAACTCGATAAAAAACATTTCTTCAAATAATGCTAATTAAAAACAAGTTACAATCTTGTTACCCAAAAACAATGTAAAACCAGCCCAACCACGTCAAAAAAGCTCTGCTTTTACCTAAAGCACTTTGCATTTCATCGATGATGTGCTTTGGGTAGATGTGCCTTTCCCTAAACACCTGTAAACATCGTCTAATTGCCTTCTTCACCGTCTCTGACGCCAATACAATCGCATTAACAAAATGCGGATGGAAAGCGACAGAAATAGTCTTGTCCCGTTCTCGTTTAGCAGTTTGAACAACATCATTAACAACGTATATTAGTCCAACTCGTTGAGACTCTGACCCTAAACACAGAACATAAAAATAAGGACAAAAAACTAACCTTGTTGATACACTTTGATCCAGCATCGTGTGATAACGTCGATCTCGTCTTTATGCGTCAGAATCCAACCCGACGTGGATTGAACTGATTCCTGTGATGCATTGACTTTCTGAAGTCGCTCACAAACGACTCCTTCGTCCAAACCCATGAACTTTACTGTTTTTAGATGGAAAAGTTTGTGTAAAAATAAAGAAACAAAATTCGAGAAAAGAAATCGAAATCCTAACACAGCAGACTGCGTCCAGACCACTGCAAGCTGCGGAACTTTTTTATACGAATACTTAGTTTTTGACCGACAAAAGATTTGTTTTGATCGTGACTTACTTTGAAAGACGTCTATTAAAATAACGTTTTATATCTGGTAAATATTGTTTTTTAACTTCAAAAACATCAATTTATTATATTAAAGTTTATATACATAATATAACCTAATCATCTCATGGGTATAGCTTTTTGTAGATAATATGAGTGTGTAGAAGCATAGGGTGTGTTGTTGTTGCCATAACCAATCTCGATTCTAAGTGGGTTTCGTTTAAGAGAATCCAATCTCTGACCATCTGAAATTATATTGTTTTAGGTATCAATCTAACAAAACTTTTATTTTTAAATAGCAGTTTAAATTTAACAGTATTTCTATAGTTCACTACATTACCAACCCTTAAATTAGGTAAAAATAAGTTCAACATACCCGTCTGACCGGGAGATCCCTGGAGAAGTTGATTCTGCCAATGTTTCGAAGTCTGAATCTGATGGAATGATCGGTTTCGTTGCCTTGCTCAACTGTTGCAAAGCCTAAAAAGACGTTTTAAAATGTAGTTTAGGTTACCGTTGCTCATGACAGTTGTCATAGCCACAATAGAGTTGTTTGGATGTCCTGTTATGTAGCCGTTTTCACTGTGAAGTTCTGTCAGATCACCATTATCCCAGGCAAAGGCTCTGAAATGAAAAATTTAGTACAATATTATAATTGAGCATTTTATTAATTGAGTAACACAGTTTTTACGTGTAGTTAAGAACAGGAGTTCTGGTGTGTTTGGCAATAGAGATATCGATATGTTCTCCATAAGTAAATCTTGGTATGGTTGGGAAATCAGCCTTTCCTCCGAATTCAGATCTCCAGATTCCGACCAAAAAGGCTACTTTGTGCAATGATGGAGCCAAGTTTTTGATGTTGTACTCTAAAAATGTCATTGTCAATGAGACAGTCGAAACAATTTCTTTTTTGATGTTGAGTTATTAAAAATCAATAACTTTAAGTTTTTTTTATATCCAAACTCACTCTCTTCTACCTCAACACTTTCTGTGCAGTTTCCGCAAGTTTTCTTGCAATCTTTTATGATAATTTCATCGTTCTCACACCGTTCTGGGTTCTCGGCTACCCAAAGGTAGCAGTTCATGTCTTTGTCAGCACATTTGTCAATCTTTGGCCAAACGAAGAAAGGGCAAAGAGCTGATACCACCAAAAAAGAAACTTAATTAAATTCTGGCCTTGTCAATGAGTTTTCGACTTACTTATGGTACGTTGAAGCACCGTCATTGCGTTTTGTAGTCGTTTATTATCCTTAAATTAAGTTAACGTTAAAGAAAAAAAAATATAATGAATGACAACCTTTGGAATTCAAATAAATTAAGAAAAAAACTTAAAACGATGAATTTAAAGCCAAAGGTATTCAAAATAACCTTCATATAACAAAAGACAATCACATAACAAACAAAAATTACAAAAACAGCGATTGCGCAACAGAAGGCTTAACGATGAATAAAGAAGTGATAAGCGAAACCACGTCGTTATCCAAAAGTTTTAAACAGGATTTGATTGACGAAGACGCTACATCAATTATTTTTACTTTTATCCATTTACTTTTCAATCAAAAATGTTCGAAAAAGAGATGACAAACTCTTGTGTAAACTTTATGTTACGGTGCCAGAGGTTTTGGCTTCAATTTTAAACTTTATGCAATTTGGCAAAAAAGCATTTTAAGGAGTACCTATCACACTTTCAGACGACGTTAGGGTAATATTCGACGTACGAATATGATAAAGTTACAAAAGGATAGGGTTCGGGTGTATTAGAATAATGCTGGGATGGGTTAAGTTAGAGTAAATCGATAGTAAGGCTATCCAAAGCTAGAACTGGTGTGTTAATAACTTTTAACTTTAGCGATGTTTAGGTAAAACCTGACTTTAAGAAGGTATTATTATAAGATGCCTTGTAAATTGAAAGTGGTCTAAATCAATAATGACAAGTTCATCCACTCAGTTATTTATTCATATGAGAATTTACATTGTTTACAAACTACTGGTGCCCATTTTGGTGTTTATGGACCACAGAATCCACAAGTTTGAGGGCATTCTTCAGAAACCATCGTTCTGTACTCCTAAAAACGAAAAAAATGTTTAGAATGTCTAAACCAATATACGATATTAGGTTGTTCAAATAATTATTTTATTTTCAAGAATTCACTCGTAATTATGTGCTACTTTTCGGTGTTAGAGGGCACATAATTATTTGAACGACCTAAGAATTTAAAATTATTACTACAGGGAGAATCACTGTTTATGTTACTAAAATAAACAGTGATTAAAACAAATTGATATTGTAAGAATTTGAAACCATATCTATACTAATTCAACTCACAGCAACATTACAAACATTGGCATGCTCCGAACACTTTGGATTCGAGTCATTACAACACCATTTGGAGTGGTAATCACTGGTCATGGCAAATGCACAGTACATAAACAACGCAAAAATTATAAGAATTCTCATTGTGAATAAAATAACAAAACTTTTGGACCGTGTCAATTTATATAGCTACACCAAACTGTCACAACTTGTTTGAACAATAGCACATAAACAAACATTTTCCTGCATTTCTCGTGCCCTGCATACGTCGAGAACATAATTGACGTATGTAAGAGAGTTATAAGCACTTTCTATTTTCGAACAAAATAAAAAAATTTTAATTTTAAGTATATTTGAAAATGTTCAAGTTTTAAGCTTTAAGGAGGCGATAATAAGATTTATAGTGATCTTACTGTAGAATTAACGCTAAGTTATAAATAAAAATTTTTAAAAATGTGAAGCATACAACGTGTGTGATGGTCAACGTTTCACGTTATTGTCTTGTTTTTCGCCAGGATTATACATACTTAAAATTTCCTGAGTTAAAAACAGACACCTCAAAAATTTATAAAAGTTACAAATTTGAAAATATTATACAAAAGCATAATAAAAATTGAATTTTTTGCATCTTTTATTTGTGCTGGGAAACAGTCAAAATTTTGATAATTTCAAAAATTCAAATTTCTTAATTTCCGCATGTCTACTATAGAAGGACTTGACGCGAGTCAACTTTCTCTCTATATTTTACCGAATTTCTTCATAATTTTTAGATAATTTGGTATACTTTTTTAAAATAGTTGATGTATGAATAATATTGTTACCAATGCAGATCTATGACCCGTGTTTTATCAAAAAACCGCAGGAGGAAGATTTTCAAGTTGAGGAAGAGGAAGGTAGGTCAATTGATAACAAACCTCATGGTCAAAATAGGAAAAATTTGTTTGCCCAAGAGTTTTTGTTTGTATTTATTTATTCGGCTTCTTTTCAGAGGAACCAGGACAGTCAACATCTGCTTCAGCTGGTGAGTTTAGTATATTATTTTATTTAATTTGTAGGAATTATTCGATTTAATGTTATTGTCTTTATATTGTTCTACGTCAATTTGTAAATTAGGTCGTTTTTATTGGATCATGTATCTAGAAAGCTTTATTAGTTACTAACCTTCGTTTTATTATTAAAAAACTTTTAAAAAAAGGTGATCGTCTATATGTTATACTGTTAGCATTAAGTCTTTAATATCAACAATTGAATTCATTTTTTAGAGCCCGAGAGACGACTTGTGGATGGGAAATGGCTGTGTCCATCAGCAAACGGGTTTTTGGAATATGTTGACAATGAATGGAAGCTGATTCCAGATCAAAACAAAGAGGAACTTCAGACGAAATGGGATCAAGCTCAGCCAATGGCCGAGCTACCTCAACCAACTTGTGAAATAAATGGTGTAAAGCACACTTGGAATCCAACAGCAAACTCATGGATACCAGATTCGACTCCAGATGAAGACTTTCTAGCTCAATATTATTTGAGTTATCCCGTGAATGAAGAAGTTGTCAATAAAGAAGGGGAAGAAGAAGATAAAAAGGTGGACAAGAAGCAAAAACAAGCTGAAAAAGCAGCATTAAAGAGGGAAAGAGCGGAAGAAGAGATTAGACGGTCTAAAGGATGGGTAGAGCAAGATGAAGTCCAGAACACGAAAGTTTATGTCTCTAATCTCCCTACAGAGATCAATGAGGATCAGTTTATTGTAAGTTTGTTATCTTTTGTTTTTATTTGTTTAGGTAGATATTAGCTTACTGAATTGAATCTTTATAGGAATTTATGCAAAAGTGTGGAGTGATAATGCAAGATCCCAGAAACAAGAAGCCCAAAGTAAAGTTATATCGAGATGAAGAGGGGAATCTGAAAGGAGATGGTATATGTTGCTACGTCAAGAGTGAAAGTGTTCAACTAGCTTTGGATATTTTGGATGGTTGGAATTGGGATGGGAAGATTGTGAAAGTGGAAAAGGCTAAATTTGAAATGAAAGGAGAATTTGATCCATCGAAAAAGAAGAAACGATTAACGGCCGAACAGAAGAAACGGTTTTTGGAGGGACAAAAGAGGTATGTTTTGATTGTTTTCCCATTTTTTATAACTAATGTGTATCATAATGGTTTAGAAACTGATTTTTTTGGTTGTTGTGCTTTATTTTTTGTTTGTTTTTGGCGTTTTCATGGCAAAATTTATTTAAAAAGATGTAAAATATATATATTTTATATTTGTTACCTAAAATAATATTTTTGGGCGTTTTACCTTTATTTTAGACATAAGTGTTACATTTTACGGTTTTAATAATATCTTTATAGATTATTCGAATGGGAACCAGAAAAAGATCGTGCTTATCGACCACCGTCAGATTGTACCGTCGTAATGAAGAACCTGTTCTCCTTGGAAGAGATGGATACTACTCCAGAACTTATGTTTGATTTAAAGGGTGAAGTCAGACAAACTGCCGAAACTTTTGGTACTGTCAAGAATCTGGTTTTATATGATGTAAGTTTGATATTTATTGTAAATTGGGCATGCTGAATTATGGTAATGGTAATATTTAATATTTTAAAGTTCAACTTTTTTGTAAATTACTTTTCTTTTAACGCCAAGTAGTCTTAAGTAATAAGATTTTGTTTCAGACAAACCCAGAAGGAGTAATCACAGTCACTTATGACAATGTAGAGTCAGCTGATCTCATGGTGAAGTTATTGAACAGAATCATAAAAAGAGGACGCAAAATCTACGTGGAAACGTGGGATGGAAAGACAAAGTATCGTCTACAAGAAACAGAAGAAGAAAAGGAACGACGAGCACGGGCGTGGGAACAGTTCTTGGGGGAGGATGATGAAGACGGGACAGAAGAAACAGAAGGTCAAGTGTAATATATACAACAAGAGAGAAGCGAGAATATGGAAATTGTTATGGACAATTACACTTTAATACTCACCAGAAGATATTGCCGGTTAGCTATATTACAATAGAATCTAAACGGTGCAAAATAAATTATGTTAAGCAATGATTTAGGTTGGTTGTTGATATTGTTGTTTTCAATGTAATACTTTGAAATACTGTAGCGTTTGTTAACAATGAAGCATTTAAAAAATCTTATAAAATAGTTTAAGTCTTTATTTTGATATTTTAGTTTTGGGGTTCAAGTTCTCAAATGGCAACAAATTTAGAAGGTAAGCGACAAATTTTGTTAATATAGTGTTATGAGTTTAGATCTAGTGCTAGCCTTATTCGACAGTGTATTAAAGACGACCAACGATGAGACAAAAGAAGCCTTGGCCGAATCTTTATTCAACTTTGGCCTTAAAAGGCCGGCTTTGTTCTTAACGGCAGCACACGCCTATCTTGTTCAGCATAACAAAGTAAGCCATAATATTATTCTATCTTGTTTTTTTGGCATTGTGACCGTCTTGTATATTTGCTTTTGAATTAGGGAAAAATCAAGAAAAAGTAATACAAAACAATAATGAATAATATTTTAGTTATCAGACAATCATCGAGAATTCGTACTAAAAAGCATATCTAAAGTAATCCAACGACAAAGCGCAGCAGAACAACTAGATGAACAACAAGTGCTGTTGGTGATAAACCTGGCTACACAAGAGATGACGATGTCCAAAGATTCCGACGATGAATGGGCGAAGGCAGCCAGAGATGTCCTAGTTACCTTGGCTAAATATGACAGATTTGTAGGGCATGTTATGGATGCTGTTCTACTCAAATTTCCACCTGGACTTCACGTTTCTCCGCATAAATATATTACACTCACATTGGCCTATGTCGCTCAACATAATCGTAGGTTTTAAGTATTTTTTGTCGCTAGTGAATCATAGGTTTTAATAGAAATTGTACTTGTAAAAGTATCTTTTCTTTTCAGCCTTTGGATTTGTACCATTCCTGACCGACGTGCTTTCACGAACAGTACCATTGTTGTCGTATCTCAAACAAGAGCAATTGAAGAATGCATGGGCACGAGCTTTAACAGCATTTTGTGAATCTTTAATCGAATTCTCATCCTCCAATGAATCCGAGAACCCAGAAGCCGTTGAGAATGTGGAGTATATACCACGCCAAATAGTAACACAGGATCTACAACAGAATTACTCGGATCAACTGGAAGCAGCATACGATATTGTGATTCATTGGGTCAACAGCAAGGATTCTAAGGTATATTAATGTTGTTGATCTCTATTTGATGTCTATTTTAGTGTCGAGCGGATTCAACAGAATGTGTTGGCATATTATCGTTGTTTGTGACCAGAGAAAGGTTAAGTAAAGATCTCAAAAAGATTGTCACTTCTTTTCTGAATATCTACAAGAAGGCCACGTCTCCTAAGGAACAATACCACATTACTAAAGTAGGTTATCTTTCTGAAACATGTTTTTGTATTATGTTATATAAATATTGTTGATTTTATTATATTTCAGGGCATTGGGTATTTTCTGGAGTCATGTTGTTTGGATGCTGTAGTTCCTCTAGAATACTATTTGGATGATGTGTTCAATTCCTTGTTTCCAAATGTTTGCGTGGTTACCGAACAATGTGAGTTTATGTCTCTGTAGTATCTCATCGTACTTACTGTTAGGTAGTTAATTGTTAAGTTGTTTTTTTAATCTTTGTTGTCTTGTCTATAAATATTTGAGAGTCACAGACAAAGTTTCAAATTGGAAATTGTAGGTTTCACAGCCGACGAAAGCCAAGATCATGTTCTGAATTCAGATGCGATCAAAGTTCGGAACGAAGCCTTCAGATGTTTCCACGTAGCGTCGAGCAGATTTGCGGACAAACAAGTTTATTACTTAATTCACAAGATCCAAAGCGAGAAAGACAGTATCAAACTAGGAGCGACAAACTTTATGCGACATCTTCTGAATTCGGCTGGAAGCCAGATGGAAGACAAAAGATCTTTAATAACAATGGGAATCAAGCCTCTACTGGTCGACAGTCAGCTGGCTGTCATGGTGAAGATGGGTGTATGTCAATTGTGTGTAGCCTTGGCCGACCATGGCTATGTAGATGCCGACAATGGAGGTGTACATGTTGTTCAATTCTTGGTCAAGAATCTGATTATCAATGAAGAAACGGGAGCCACGGCGATTCCGTCTTCTCAGAATATCAAAACGATCAGGTTGAGTCCGGAACAAAACGCTCTACTTCAACTACAACAACAATGTGCTCAAGCTCTACAAACTATTGCCAAAACTTGCGAGTCATCTGAGACATTACTATGGCCATATCTGTTTGAATTCGTTTGTAATGAGACCTACAGCCCGGCATTGGGCGACATCTTCAAGTGTATTCGTATCTTGGTCAACAAGAAGAAGCAGAAGGAACAGTCCCTCGACTTCGCGAAGGATATCGAGACTAATGGTAAGAGAAAGACTTTTAATGTTAATTTAAAGTTGTAGGTTTAAATATTTCTTGGTTTAAATTTAGTAAGAAAGGTAAAAATGATTTTTTAAAATATTTAAAGTCCTTATTGTTTTAGCAAAACTTGCCGGACCAGTACAGACGTTCGCGCGCTTATTGGTATGTTTGAATCGAGCAATCGTCAACGGTCAAATTCAAAAACGATCGAAGGAAGCGACAAGATTATTGATCGATTTGGCCGAATGGATCCACCCTCATTTGGCTACTGAACTTCCAGAGAAAGCTACCGATATTCTGAAGGCTTTTGAAGGTACATTTTCCGAAATTTAATTTCAAAGAAAAATTTATAAAGTTAGGGCGCAGCTAAAATAAGCGGGCCAGGTTGCTGAAAAATTTTATTCGATTGAAGGTTTGGATTATGTAGTCCTATATAATGCTTAAATGAACATTTATATGGTTTTTAAGAAAGATATAAGCAATGTTTTTAGTTCTCCATAATAACACAAATATTGCCTTTATTTTAGAAATGAGTACCTCTTTTGACACCTCATCTCCAACCAAGACCTTTGCCCATTCCATTGAACTCCATGATCTTGCAAACGTCACGCAGTCACGACAAAAGCGATTCCAGCAGTTATCGTTGGATCTTCTGTCAGCTTCCATTCAGAAGGTACGCGATGGAGATTGGCGACAAACCTTGGCTGCAGCTCTAGGGCAACAACTTCGACTCTATGTTAACTATCCACAAGACAGAGCTTTTGCTATGCAGTTATTGGGATCAGTACTGTCACGAGTAGCCAACACGGCCTTCGTCATTGAACACATCAACTTGATGGTCAGATCAGCCAACTTGGCCAACTCAGTAGAACGACAAGGCTGTGCCATGGGCCTGGGTTTGTGTGCTCAAGTACATACTGATCTGGTGCTAACTGAATTGGAAAACATCGCCAAATGGGAGCATTCCAGAAAAGGAGCTGGGATCTTCTCGTTTTTAAAGGATGCTATGCCCTACGGTAAAGGCAGTGATGTAGATATTGTGAATTTGAGAGCGACTGTCATCTTGAGTTATGGGTATGTTACACTCAATTGCCCGGATGACCTGTTGGTGCAGAGGTTGGAATCAACAACTTTGCCGTTTTTACGACAATATTTGGCTGGTTTCAAGGTAATTAAAAGTGTTGCTTTGACTATAGTTTACTGATTTTGCGGTTTTGCTATAATATTGATATTGTTTTATTATTTTAGCCAGAAATTCCAATCAAAGAAGCCCATCTGGAGACAATCCATTTGATTGGACTAGCCGTTCACCCGTCCAATTTGAACGCAGAATATCAATTTGAAAGTCGATATGAATGCTTTACCTACATGAAAGTTAGTTTTTGATTATATTTTACTTGTATTAAGGTCAATTCATAATTATATTGCAGATGTCTTGGCTTAAAATTAAGTTTTGTTTTAAAAAGTTTAAAATAATGTTATTTCAGACTTACGTGAAGTCTGAATCCAAGGATTCATTGTCAAATTGCGTCCTTCTCCACGCTGCCAAAGCGACAGCTACTTTATGGTAATTTTAAAGATTTTTGCTTTGATGATCTTTGTAATGCATAATATATGCGAATATGCTAAGGAATTGGCATCTTACTCATATAAAAATTACTGAATACGATGTAATGTTGGGGTTGTTTTAGTAGTTTGGAACCGGCCATCAGTGACAATGAGCTTTGGGACCTTGGTAATGTGCTGACTCAAGCCATTTTCCCAATTTGTCGAGAGAAAAGTGGACTCAAATGTGTAAGTCATACCAAATAAAGGGTATCAACATTAGTGTTGTTATTTGTACTTTCGACAAAGATCGTTAAAGTATTGTATGTTTATGTGAAATACGATTAAAATAGCGATGATAAAATAATAAGTACTAATAAAATATAAATTCATGAATTCAGACGAACGACGAAGATACGGCGACGATGATGGATTCAACTGTCCAACAGTACCAGACTGCCATCGCTTGCATTGTCGCCAAACGACCGGTCGTTCACACTGTTTCACAGCTTCTCAAGGTATTTAATAATTCATTTATAACATAGTCAGTAGCAAAAACAACATAAATATAGCAAGAACTACAATAAAACACTAAAATGAGGTTTTAGATCTTCCACCCCTACTTCTCATCCCTAGCTGATCACGAACGTTCACGGTCGATTGAAACGACAGTACTTATTCTTCAAATATACTCATCAGATCCCAAAGATTGCACTCTTGGCCATGCCAACAATTTTGGACCCCTGTGTAGTATATTGGGGAGACTGGCTCCAAGACTAGCGGATTCTGTAGCTTCTGTGAGATTGGCTGCCGTGAGAACGGTGTATCTTGGCTTCAGACTGTCACTTCTTCATTCTGGACATTCACCATTGGAAACCGATGTTCTTGATGATGCTTTATTTGATCTTGACGCCTTTATCAACAAACATCTGCACGACGATGGTAAACAAGACACAAACAAAGTGAGAGAGACTATCAGTGCTATCGGGGATGAAATTGAAGCGCGACTACCCCAGAATCAATTACAAACGTATCTTTCTGTCTTGTTTAAGATGCTGTCAGATCGACAGAGCAATGTAAGCACAGCAGCAGCTCAATTGCTTGGTATCATGGTTAGTAACCGAGGCCAACTTCTTTCTACAGAAGGCGAAGTTCTAGTCAAGACTATCACCGAACAGCTAGAACTGGTACAGTCTTCAGTCCACACGTATTCAGACCTTCTGGAGGCATTCCGAATCTTCTCCCATCATCAACCTCATGTTACAGTAGAAGTCTTGCTGAAGCAACCACTACCGTACTCTCCATCTTGTGTAGACATGTGGAAGATGCTGGCTCACGATCAAGCGCATCTGATGACGATCCTGGATTACATTCTGGAGTTCAGTGGTTTTCCGTATTATGAGGATTCCGAGGTTGTTAATGGTACACCACCTGAACTGGTCCAAGTTGTTGACACAGGGGCTGGAGCGTCGGTGAAAGTGGTTACATCAAGGTGTTGTGCTCTGTTGGCAGCTTTGAATGAAATTGTTCAGGTAGGTATAGTTTTATAGTGACTAAAAGGATTCGCTATTTTAAAAGCATTGAAAACACTTGACTTGTTTTAGCACGGCGAATTTGACGAGCAGATGTTAAACAAGATACCGTTCTGTCTAGCCGTCCTTTTCAACTCCCTAGCAGCAATCATTGTCGATGTAGTCTACCCAGCTTCATCGATGAAAGATCCCTCCCTGAAGCCAACTACAGTAATTACTCCAGAACTGCGTAGAGTAACCACAATCCCTGCCAATCTTGTAGTACATGGCCTAAAGTCGATGTTAATTAAGTTGAACGCCATAAAATCGATGGATATTATGAATGCGGAGAGAGGATGGTCCAACTTGGCTAACACATTACAGTACCCATCAGCTGTAGCCATTCTGTGTAGGGCCTTGGCTTCGGAAAAGCCGGCTTCAATGGCACGGTTGATTGGAATCATGGCCATAAGAGTTGATAAGGACAGAAAAGAATGCGAAAAAGAAGCAGCCGCCTTAGTGCTGAGTTCATTGGTCTCCAGAAGCCCTGACCAATACGGAGTTTTCGATTTTGAAGTTCTGAGACAGATCACTACAGCGTTGGCTACAGCCTTCGACGATAGCTCGTTGGTGGTCAGAAGGGTAAGTTTTTAATGACAATGCGTTTATAAAGGTAAAATTAAATAAATGTGATTGTTAAGTTAGTAAATTATATCGTAATAAACCTACTTTCAGTTTGCATTGCGTGGATTCACGTACGTCGGCCTTCTGCACGATATGGCTCAGAAGTCTCCAGAAACCCAAACTCAGTTCAAAACATTGGCCAAGGATTCGTTCGGCTTCGCTTTGGCAGGATTAGACGCTGCGGACGATAGGAACGATTTGATTGGAACAGAAGCAATGAATACCTTGTTATCGATCTGTGACGTCGTCGACAAAGAGCTACTGGATAATGCCTTGTCGTCGCTCTTGTTGAAGCTCAGACCTTGTTTTGAAAAAGTAGGTTTAATGAGGTCGATACTTGTTTTCTAGGATAATTGTACTTTTTTATAAAAACTGGTTGAAGCGACAATTTTTTGTTTTGTTGCGAAAAGTTGCGGGCGCAGGTTGGAAAAATAATGTTGCAGGCTGCGCATGTGATTTAAAAAAATTTTTTTTTTAAATTTGAGATTTTGATGATTTAAATATTTTTTAGTCCATTTCGTAAATAAACTTTAATATATAATAATAGTTTTTGAAAAGACTTGAGTAAGGACGATCTTATTTTAGGAATGTGTGGACTTACGGTCAGTTTCTTTCAAGCTTTTTGCCAAACTTGGCCAACGAATGGGAAGCTCCGATTTGTTCCGTGAGAGTTTGCACTCTAATTTGGTGTCAATAGTGCTGCATTTAAACGATGAATCGTTAATTGTGTCACAAGTGAGTTTCAGATGACATTTTTTAAATTTGGTTTAAACAATCTTTTTGATTTTTTCATATAAACTAGCGACAATGTTTAACATTCCATTTACATACTTTATTATTTGAGTCATATGATACTACATGTGCTCGAGAATCAAAGTTAATGATTTTTGTTTTAGTGCTGTGCTTATGCTTTAACCTCGCTGGCCGATATCTTCACAGCTCCACAAACTGTGACATTAATCCAGTCATCAATTCATGATTCTGAACCTCCAGCCAATTATATCTCATTCCTTGAAGACTTTAGTACTATATTGGCAGTGTGTTTCCCAGACAGGGTTAACTATTATGCCATGTGTTGTACTAACTACTTCAAAAGTCATTTCCCAAAGATACAGTGCAATGCGGCCAGAATGGTGGGATTCTTGTTGGTATCGCTGTCAGACGAACTGAAGGAGACCATTTCTAAAGATATTGTCTTCGGAGGTAAGTTACTTTACCGATTCAGAAATGACGTTACAGCTTTTTGGCGTGGGCTCGGTTGCTTAAAATTTCAGAGGGGGGGGAGGGGAGAGGGGATGGTTTACAAAATGATTTTTATATTTTTTGAAGGACTGATTATATAAGAGTCGTATTATATACATTAACTAGTTAATAATGTAAATTTTAGCTTACTCTGAACTTCTAAAAGAACCCAACTTGAAGGTCCGTGAAGCCGCTGCCGAAGGAATTCTTTCGCTAGCCACTTTCAGCTAGTCCATCATATGTCTCGGTCTATATTTGATAGTCTTGAAAGTACTTTTAAGGTACAATATATTTAATTTTTTGTTGTATAAAAATTACAGTATACTAGAGTATGTTACTGTAAGCATTACAGTATACTAGAGTACGTTACTGTAGACTTTACTAAATTTATAATCAATTTACTATTTTATTGTTTTTTTAAATCTAAATTGTAATATAATTAAAGATGCCAAACTTTTTTGTAATTTTTTCCATTTTTTATTCGCTTATTGCCACTTTCTTCACTGTGATTCCAATGTAAAACCTCTTGCTTGTTAATATATTTTTATATTTGAATTCCCGACGTTGTTTATTTATTTTTGGCGGGTATTTACATCGTATCTTTAGCTAATAATTTATATTTATTTTTAATAAATTATTTTGTTTGTAATTTGGTTTTTTTACAGAGCTCTGATCAGAGTTCCAACGGTTTTGACCGAATTTATCTGATATTCCGTTTGTAAACTATTAATATATCATGTGTGCCAAGTGTGGCTTTTGTTTTTTAGTGTTTCTTATGACAGTAAGAGCTGTTTTTCATAACGGCATGATAACTATTTGTGGGTTACACATTATATTTTAGATAGTTTACACGTTATCTTTCAGATATTAGTCTTGCGAGATGACTGTGAAGAAGAACGTTGTTCAAGAGCTAAAAGAAGAAGCAGATTCTACAGTATTCAAGGGTAAGTCACCTTTTGCCATTCAATTATCTCATTTTTAGTTCTGTACTACAAGATAGCCGGATCAAATGTGGATCGACAAATGTTCGTCAAAAAGGACCCCAGCGACAATAAATCTTTGGTGTTGGGATCGATACCTTTCTTCTTGACTACTGTAAGTTTTTTGAAGGATATAGTTATTTTGATAAAGCTTTAAAGAAATAAAAACAGAGCATGAATAGAACAATATAGTTACTCCAATGGATTTTTATTGCAGGAAAAACTGCTAGAGTTGTTCCAAACGATCACGAACAAGAAATCAGTGGATGAAGTTGTGAAACGAGGAGATAACCCGAATCAGGTATGTTTTCTTCGGTCTATTTTGACATTACTGTAGTTAATACGTTTATATATGAAAGTTAAAGCTTTTTTTATAAGCTTTTTTGTAAATGGGAAGGTAGGACTCTGTGCATATCGTTTCAATATGACGAATTTCAGGGTTACACTTCAGCCAAAGTGACGTTTTTGACTGAAAAGTCGGCCGAATCTACTTATAACAAGGTCCAAACTCTAGATGGACTTACAGTATCACGACCTAGTGGCTTCGGCTTACAAGCTTATGTTAAAGAGTACAATGAAGGTCTTCAAGGCTTCAAAGAAGAACTGCAAAGAGCCAACATTATCACACAAGCTCACCAAGAGTTCTTGGTTAATGTAAGTTGGTTTAGCACTTTTAATTCGTAGCATCCTATTGAGTTAAGTTTTTTAACCGAATATGCTGTAACACATTATTTTAATGTTATGGTTACTAACGGTTTATTTTTAGAGAAAAGCCGAAGCCAAGAACAAGAAGAACAAACCAGATGAAGATGGCTGGGTTACTGTTACAAGCAAAGGTAAGCTATTACTATAATTTTTAATGTACGTAAAGTTTAAAGTAACGAATTATTTGTACTCATACTTATCTTGTAGACCGTCATGTATTCAAGTCGCCAAAACTTGCTGGAATTAAGAAAAAGACCAAGGGAAAGAAGCCGGAAGCCAAAAAGAGCATCCAATTGTTATAAACTTACGTTTCGTTGTTATTGTTACATTGTTTTGAATCGTTATTAAAATAAAAATTTGTTTTCAATATGGTTTCAGTTAAAATAATGTTTTGTCATTAAATATTGTGCACGTTTTTAAATTTAAAGATTTAAAAATGCATTTCTACCGCGAGGAAGTTTGCGAACTGCAGTCTCTTTTGTGACAATTTATACGAAAGTACAACGGGCGCAGTTCGCGCAAGGGAAAGCTTGTTTTATTTTTTGGAAAACTTCCTATTTTTTCAACAAAGAAGAAGATAATCTTTACTTCGTTCTGTTATTATATTGTAAAATGAATATATATGTATATTTTTAATATATTTTTTAAATCTTATCTTGGCGATTGAAATCTTTTTTTGTTTTATTAAACGTTTTATCTGTTATATGTTTTAGCAAAAACAAAATGGTGAAAAAAGAGATCAAAACCGAAGACGAATCCATGGACACCTCGACTGTAGCTACAACTACAATTGTGCCGGCCACAGACAAAGACGAGTACAACAACTTGGTCGCTTTGTGTAATGAGATTGCACAGCCAATGGCTGGAAGAAAACTGACCAAGAAGATCTACAAACTACTGAAGAGTGTGGGCAAGGACAAGAACACTGTATTCGTGGGATTGGCCAGCGTTTCCAAAGCTTTGAGGAAGGGAGAAAAGGGAATCATGGTTTTGGCTGGTGAGTTTTTTTGTGAAATTGTTGTTGGTTTAGATTTTTACGGGGGTTTTGTTTTGGGAAGTCAAGAAGTGTAGATTTATATCAACGTTATATGGAGCAGGGATTATATTTGGACTGTAATTTTTTGACATTTTCTTGTTTTTTATTGAAGACTTGAACGATATACATAATATACCATCTTATAGGAAACGTCTTTCCAATTGACATGTACTCGCACATTCCCGGCATCTGTGAAGAGAAGAACATCCCATACGTGTATACACCATCACGTGAACACCTTGGATTGGCTATGGGCTACAACCGACCTTGTATTGTTGTTATGATCAAAGATACCAAAGCCAGCTCGGAACAGGTCGCCGAACTGTCAGCAGCCTTCCAAGAACTCGACTCTCAATTTTAAATCCTTTCCATTGTTGATTTGCTTGTTAATTGTTGGACTTTTTACGTTATAATCAATAAACCTTTAAACAAATGCGGCCGTAAGATCTATTACAAGGTAGCAGTTACACTATTTTCGGAGATCTGCATGTTCAAATAATTTTACAGACATACTTTTTAAAACATTTATGACATTTTTTATTTAAACCATAAAAATAGAGGTATAAATTCATATTAAATATTAAGTAAGTGTACATTCAAACTTTGTGCATATATTTAGGTATAAGCCCCTCGGCAATCTTATAATCGTCGATGACCGGCTTGGCCTTGTCGATAGCAATATAACACTTGTGCTTTCTGACCAGGTCTCCCCATCGTTGTGGTGCTTCACACTTCTTGCACTTTACAATGATCGGAAACAAAAAGTTTTCGGATTCATTCGTAGATCTGATGCCATATTCGGCTAGACATTTAATGTGGTATGAAGCGCCACAAGCCCCAAGAGTGCATACCATCAGGTCGTTTAACTGCAAAAAATCGTAAGTTCACTGATTATAGAAATATGGACAATAATAGTTCTTTATTAATAAAATAAAAGATCCGTTTGGCCAAGAAATAGGTAGAACCGCTTTCTATTTGTTTTCATTTAGACTATTAGTAACCACAGTCTATTACTATTGACAAAACTGGAAGATGATGACTTACATGAATAGTGAAATGGCATATGAGACATCCTCCAGGCTTATCATAATCCTTAAGTTGTTGTGGTATCGTGGAGTGTGTCTTTTGCACCAAGCCGTGTTCTACCTTCATATGTGATGGCATCTTTATCTTAAACTCGCGTTCTTCTGATATAACCAACCTAAAATTAAATGTTGGAAAATTTAAAACGTATTGTTAGGGTTTAAAGGACAAAAAACGCTTAAAGCATGCATAATTGAATGACAAAAACTTTGCAGTAAAGCCAATTAACGTTAACATACCACCTAAATGTCAAACTGAGCCTCTTCCAAGGATCCACGTTTAACATATTACACACGATTCTGAAGTGAAAGTCAAATGGCGATTCCTTTCTGCCAGCTTTTTCTAGTCCCAAATCACGAAGACGTTTGGAGCCTTTAGGGTTCTGCCACGCCCATTCAAACCTCAACGCTGACACAGAGTTGGGAAAGCCGTGGACGATACATACCATATCCCTAAAGATCGACCTTAAGCACGAGAAATTACAATGTCTAGCGAAAATAAGAATAAGAGGGTTTTTACGTTCCAAACACGTTAGTACAAAAATGCATTTACTGTGGTAATAATTGTTGTAGAATACCCCAGTAAAGTCTTAAGCAGATTGAATTTATCGCGTAAAACTTACCAAGGTCCTCTACTATCAGTCTTTTTGGCTCCCCCAAACTCTTTTCCAGCATTATGTTGTCGTACTCTTCTGTTCGGATCTACTGTGTAACCAACGTAGCATCTGTTCTGAAAACTTATAATTTCTGTCATAAAAACACGTTACCACGGTAAAACAAAAAATTCATCGTAGATGATGAGGAGAGTAACTCCAAAAAAATTGTAAATTTTATAAAACTTCTATAAAAGTCGACCTCCAGTAAGATGCCTACCTTATAACAGGCCTTTGGACTTCTACTGATCAAACAGTAAACTCCGAAGAACTCGTCCAGTATCGTAGGTTCTTTTTTCCGCCGGCTTTGCGATGGCTCTATTAGGAGATCACATATATCCGCTACGTTCATTTCTAAATAACTCATTAATATTTTTCTTTTACTTTAAAAGTGAGGCAAAACTTTGTAAATAAAAACACACCATTCTTTTTGCTTCAAAATATAATACAATATTGTTTTGGCAAAAAGATCGTTTAAAATAAAAAACCAGAAATAACATATTATTCACAAAAGCAAAGCCAAGAAACAGCAAATAAAAACAAAATAACCGCCAAAACTAAAAAACATACTGTAACTCAACAGAATCAAAGCAAACCATACCAAGGCTAAGTTACTGTATAATTTATTCAAAAGTTAACAAGATTGAACAATTTTGAATGCTCGAACCGCTCTCCTCAAGCTGTTCTGAGCCTTCTTCGACTCTTCCATCACCTTCGGAGTGTTTTGAGCTTCAGCAAAGGTTAAGAGATTGTTGATGAGAACAAACGGAATGTTATGGAGCTGCTCCAACTTTGGTCGACTTCTGATCAGTTGTTCGAGGTAGTCGGTAACGACTGTCAGGCCGTAAGCAATTTGGTTGTATTCGATCAGTTCGGCCAGGAAGTCACGGACATTCACCTTCTAAAATTAATCAGTTTAGACGCTTTTCGTATTTAGTCATTACAACAACTTTTCTAGTTCCAGCTTCAAACCTACCAAATATCGTGTTGTCAGCCATTCCGGTACATCAAGGCTTCGTTCCAAGAACATCTCTAAGACCTTCCTCAATACAAACGAATCATCTTGAGGACTAGCCAAAGAGAGATCAACATAGGTGATCAGAATCCTCCAATGTTGAGGCTGGGTTTTTTGTGACCTAAAGAATCAAAAATTAGAAGTTAACATATCTCGTAACGTGTAGTCGCTATTCAAATTCAAATATACAGAAGAAATCATAATAAATATAAATAAGTTTTATATTGATGAATATTTTAAATCAAATTTTATATTACCTTATGTTATCCACAAAGCGACGATTGTGTACGACCCAAATAGGAGTGACTTCTGGCTCTTTGAAGCCTAGCTTCAGGCATTCCAATGTCAATGAGCAAATGAGATCAGTTACACGCAAGCCAAAAGTCCTAAAATACGATGGTTACAGTATATTTTTTCTTTAAAAACTGACCAAAAGCAAAACACCCTACCTCTGAAGCACAAAAGCCAAATCGTAGTTCTTGTGGGTAATAACACCACTATAGACATCTTCTGTTTCCATTGGAGGGCCTTTGTCGTAGGTATCAGCATCACACAAAGCTAATCTGGCTTCCAACAACATGAATTCTTCCAATATCTTTTGTTTCGGAACCTGGATCTTATCAATTACAGATTCTCGGACTTCTCCCATTGCTTCCGGCATTACCGTCTCCTGAACATAACATTTTTATCATACTTATACAACATTTTTTATAATAATTGTAAAAAGCAAAGCCAATATAGAATATCTACGTAATTTTAAATTTAATATTTTATATAACATATGCTTACCACGTCAATTTGAAGAGAAACTCTGTCATCCCCAAGCAATTCCAACGTCTGACTGACACAAGCCAATAATCTGCATCGTTTTTCCAAGATTTCTCTGTTTTGTGGCATCAATTTCAGCTTCCATACCAAAGAATACAAAGTTTGAGCAGCTAAAATAAATTATTATATTATAATGCCTACAAATACTTTATTAAAACTTCCTCAACCCTCATATCGACAAAAAAATTATATCAAATACAAAGACATAACTCTATATTACTATTACTGTAGCAGCTAGCCATCAAACTGTTAAAAGTTAAATAGTCCCTCACCTTTCTGATACTCAAACCTCTTGAAGTAGAAGGCATAAACAGTATTGAAAAGTCCATTTTCAGTTAGCGGATTCTGACTCTTGCACCTTGTCTCCAGCATCTCGGCCACCTTATCGCCAAGTGTAATATACGGAAGGCTTATCAAGATCTTGGTTTCATTCAGATCCAACAAGGTTCCTATCAAAAACCTCAAACAATGTAGTTGTACAGTTGGTACTGGATTACTGTGTAGTACTTTGACAGCCTCGTTGTACTTCTTGTCGAATACGAACTGTGAGAACATTCTTTGGTAGATTTCACTCTGAAAACAATTTAAATATCAAAATTGTATTAGAGCCTAAGATAGCTAGTACACTCTAATTTCAAAGTTTAAAGTATATGATTAAAGTTCGAAAACTCAACTTACCATCAATTCTGGATTGTCCTCAATACTTTCAAACTTCTCCGCACTTTTTAACGCCAGATTCCCGCTTCTGATAACGAATTCACCGTGATTCGACAACTTGAAAATGCTCATTGTAGCAGCATAGAACTCGCAGAGATTGTGTTCATATGGGTATTCCCTGTTAGTATATGAACACAGTGCTCTATTCAAAGCTTCATCACCCATTTCGATGCCTTGTAACGCTTCTTGGAAAGCTAGATCTGCTTCTTGTGGATAACCAAGGCCAGACAATGAAATTCCTTTGTAGAAATTAAATGCATATAACAAGTTCGACAAGTATGGTTCGTTTAGCTGACAGTAGTTCTAAAAACCATAATTGTTAACTGTATATTGTTACAGCTCCACAGCCTCACTTAAAAATTATACCAAAACACATTTTTATATTTAAAAAACTAATACCTGTGTCTATATTGATGTCATCTTTAAATTACCTTACCCTCAAATGATCATAAAACAAGTTTTTGGCCAAAAAGTGAGGAAACGCCATAGTTGTTGAGTTTGGCCACAAAGACAAGATGGTCCTATTGACAGCATCCATGCAAAAAGCGACAAACTTTGAACTTGGGATCTGATCAAAACTGCCATCGGCATCCATTTCATCGTCAACTACTGAAGGCAGAATCTGGCCTCCAAATCTGTAGAAAGCTTCTGCCAGATTCAGTGCTACTGATCGTGAAGATGAATCTCGACCACTGAAATATTTTTACATTAAGTTTCATTTTCAACTTATGTAGCCCTAAGGCCTCTAAAATATAAATTGAAGGCACATAAAAACATCAAAAAATACCTGATAAATCTCGTCGACAACGCTTGGTACAAGTTGTAGTAAAACTCGCGAATCTGATTAATCGGTCTTCGTGCATTCGACACCTTCAGATACACATCGTACGACTTTTCAGTAGATTTACCCTAAAAACAAACATTTTTTTACCGGTGCCATGACATGTCACCAAATCATCATGAAATTAATTATTGTCACATCATTTTATTAAAAAACCTTACCGCCTTATCCACCTCGGTTAACTTAACCAATGAAGAAATACATTTGCTGAACATCAGCCGATTCAAGATACGGTGTCTCAAGGCGGCCGACATGAACCCTGTCGAGAAAGAAGAATACACGTAGTCGGACTTGATTGAAACTACTGAAACGGCCAAAATATTAGAATATATTATAAAATCATAAAACTATTAGAGCAGAATATAAACGTATAAAACAGAAATACTCTCAACAGTTGTAAAAACTTACACTCCCCAGTAATAACCTCAGGTGTTCTTTCTGAGAACCATTTGAAGACATCCAGCATCACATCCAAATGTGTCATCAAAAACTTGTAGTCATGAGCTGCTACACCACGGAAATCCTGTAAAAAGATCAGTTTTAAAACAAATTTTAAAAATAGTCATAAGTTTATAACCAATTTCAAAATAAATAACTCAAAATCTGAACAACGTACACAATCTTCTTCCAAAAAGTTTTCGCTAATTTTGATCAGCTTCTGAAGCACTTGTTTGTTTTGTTCTGTAGCGCGCATCATCGCGTAGTCTGGCTCCAAGTAAATTGTAAATCTAGCCTAAAAATACTTGTTAGTCCCATAACAAAATATATACCCGAAATAAAAAAACCAACAAATTTTAAGACAATCTAAACCGTAGATAGTAAATTAAAATGTTTTTAATACTATATAATTGCAACAAAACTCCTTCTGTAAAACGTACTTGCTGGATACATCCAATCAATCCCAATACAGAATCATGCCACAAAGCAATCGGGTTGATCAATTGCTCTTGGAACTGACTACAGTACTTGTCCAGCATTATCCAGAACTTGTCCTTAGCTTTCTTAAACCCATCTTCTTCCAAGTTATTCGTTGCTGAGAAAGCGTGCTGATCTTCTTTTGACAGATACAGCGTTTTGAACTATAAATACCAATTTTAAATAACAATCCACCCGTTGAACTATAAATTTGAAAAAACACGGCGTTATGAACAGTATACAACCTTACTACAATAACATAACTCAAAACAACAACAATATTAATAATAAACTACTTACCATTCCACTGTTAACAAATCCATCTACATAGCTGGACAGACTTGGCCAATCCATATATTCAAATTTGACTCCAGGTGCCTTACACAATGTCTGAATCGCTCTCTCAACCATGTCAAACGAATAGGTTTCTCCGCCCAATATCCTCCTTCTAACTGCTTCAATCTTCGACCGGTTGATAATATCAATATTTTTTGTATTTGCTGCTGTCGTTTGAATCTCTTCCCAAACTGATGAATGATCCCGATTTCTGAAATATTAACAATTATAATGCCTCTTAAAATCTTCTTTCGAAATTTTTCACTCTCCTTCAGCCCTCTACTCCTAGCGAAGTCTTTGGGTATACAAAGACCACGTAGACCAAAACTGATTAAACCAAAGAACAGAAAATTACAAACTCACAGTATAACAGAGCACTTTTGCATTGAATATGGTTGGAACATTCCGTTTAGCTTCTCTTCTCCAAACGATTCACGGTTACATACCCACAAAGTCAGCTCGTCTTTATCTGCCACCGACTTTGTCGTCAAAAAGTCTACAACTGACGCCTAAAACAAAAAATTGAACTTTACATTATAGCGTCGATGAAATATTTGTTATCTAAAATTCAAAAAAAATATTCAAACCTTACCGCATCCAAATCAACTTGTCGCTTTTTAATCAGTTCTCCATCGCTGAACTCGAAGAATAAGAACTTGACTCTTCTGACCAGCTGTACCTTCATCACCAAATATATCCGACCATAGACTTCAGTGAACTTCATATAAACATTCTCAACTTCAACAACATTGTCTTTCTTCAAAAACGTTGCCAAATTGTACGAACTTTTGATTGCATTCTCATTAACCGACCAAACTTTTAATCGACCGTCTTCGTGAACACTTAACACAAAGAGATCATCGTCCAGTAACACTGATGTCGCGTGAAGAATTACAGAATCTTGATCTGAAGAAGTCCACAAACGATTGAGTCCATAGCCTTCTCGTAGTAACGTCTCCTCGTATCCGTCTAAAATCATATCGATATAATTACAGATGTTGCAAATTATAAATGAAAAGTAAACCATTCTTTTCTTTCCAACCTAGTATCTAAAACTTACTTTTACTGTTAACCTGATTTTTCATATTTAACAACAACAGCTGATTCTTGTTAGCCACAACTGAGCAATAACAATTCCCAATCCGATCAAGGGTAACATGGACTGAACTGGCAATGAGAGCGTTGGAAAAGTAGTGACAATCATGAACTTGTTGTAGAAATTCTTGACGCGGAAAGAATGACAAAACTGATTTGTTAGTAAAGGTCTGATCAACATTGTTCTTCCCAGCCAATCTTATTTTGAATCTGTGAATACACGATTGTGTAGGTACAACTAGAACCAGAATATCTCTACACAACAATAAAGCGGTGCCTTGAACAATGACTGATGGTGCAAAGTCAATGTACAAAGAGTTTTCTGAATAGTCTCGTGTAGCATTAACTTCGTTTAGGTACAAACGAGAAGATTCTGTTCGCCTAAAAATAAAATAATGTAGGTAACGTTTATGCAGTTGTATATAAGTAACAAATTTTGAAATCCCTAAAAACTTAAAATAAAGTTAACAAAAGACTCACCAGAAGATAACACGATTGTTGAAGCCGACGGTATCTTGTGGGAATGAGAAAGAGCCGGCTGTCTCTGGAACTTCAGTCAAAGCCAACGTTCGAACTGTTGAATCTAAATTTTTAAGATTTAAACACCAATATAGTGCTTTAAAACCCATTTAAAACAATAAAAATAAAAGGCTTAATAATTTTATACTTTAATTCTTTACTTAACCTTTATAACATCTTTTTATTTAAGTTTCTTACCTGTTTTGACTTGTAAAACATTGTTTGTTCTTGACGGAAAATAACTTTGACTGAACACAACCTCAGTGCTGTTGAAGATCTTCATTATTTAACAAAATTTTGTCCAGAAACGTTAGATTTCTTTTAGAAGCCAAATTTTTTTCGAAAATTCTTAAATTTTGGCGGATGATTTGCTTGAAGCGGAATGCCATGAATTGCCTGACTCTCTATAAAGAGTCGTCGAACTGACACAATAAATAAATAAAAATAAATAAAAAGTTTGTGAACTTGTTTTCTGATTGATAAGTAAACAGCAATCAGTTTTGTGTGACTTTTAGAGAACTTTATACAATATTGTTCTAGATATCAAACGAGTTTAATGTTGTTTTGTTCGGAAGAGCTGTTTGTGGAGGCTTTTAGGTAGATTTTTGGGGAAAAAAGAAGTTTGTATGTGATTGTTTACAGAAATCGTTGTTGAGATCTATATTTTGTTCGTGTTGTTGTTTCGAGTAAATCTGAATTGAGGTCTGATTAAATTTCGACAGTTAATGTAATTACCTCGTCTTTGCTCTGAACATCTGTTGTTTCAGCGCAAAATTCTAACGCGACTTGTTAGACTCGGTCCTCCTCTCACTCAACGTTTCCTTTGCAGGAAGATGGGTGACGAAGTGAAATTGGCTCAGACGGCTGATCCTAATGCCCAAGACACGATTTTCGGTAAAATCATAAGAAAAGAGATCCCGGCCAAGATCATCTACGAGGACGAGCATCTGCTGGCCTTCCACGATGTAGCCCCACAAGCTCCGCTCCATTTCCTGGTCATTCCGAAGAAGCCTATCGCCATGATTGAGAAGGCCGAAGAAGGTGATGAAGCTTTGTTGGGGAAGTTGTTGTTGGCCGCTAAAGATGTGGCCAAGACTGTCGGCATGGCCAACGGATACAGGATCGTAATTAACAATGGAAAGGAGGGATGCCAAAGTGTTTACCATCTGCATCTTCATGTTCTCGGTGGCCGTCAGTTGAACTGGCCTCCAGGATAATTGAAATAGGATTAGACTAAAATGGTTTATTTGGGTCGAAACTAATATATTTGGTTTTTGACTAGAGTAATACATCTTGTTTTGGTCTGGAATAATATATTTTGATGTATTTTTTATTAAAGTAAAGGGTTTATATTTGTTTTGGCTATAGTAAAGTGATTATGTTTTTGCGGTACTTGATATTTATTGTTATGGCAGGATGATAGTCAAGCATGAATGTAACAGTAACTTTTATTACAATAAATTTATATAAATTTTTGTAATTTACAGTAATTTTCTTAGTAAGTAATGTGTTTTGTCGGGATTGAGGTAATGTGTTTACTCCTGCACAACAAGAGCAGTTGCTTGTTTAAAGTTTTGGGTTTACGGATAATTGGTCGCCGCCAAGAATAATATTCTATTGCTCTCTGGGGATTCGGATTCTTTAAGGGTTTAACGGAGTATTAAAGTTTGCTCAATTTTGGAAGAGATTGAGTGATTTCTGAAGCTAAATATTATAATATTTTGGGTTTTTAAGTGTCATTTTTTGGTCATTACATATTTTTCTAAAAGCCATTGTTAAATTGATAATATAGTGATAATGTAGTGATAATACACTGGACGAAGATCTGTAAACTCTAAGTTTTTGATGATATTGCTGTAGTTAAATGTTCGTCACTTTTTTCTATCCATTTTTTGACCGAAAAAAAGTGAATTGAAAAAAGGTTTTTATAAAACGAAAACGCCGGTAAAAGCCATTTTTTATAAGCAAAAGAGTCGGTTATATTATCGGCGATGAATACGGAAATTCGCTTTAAACATTGTTATCATAGAGGAGTTGGGAGTAATAAAGTTTGAAAAGAAATGGCCAAGTGTTGTCCAGGACACTCTCGATTGGCGATTCTCGAGGCCTCGGAGTGCCAAAGAGCCGGTAACCGCATTCATTTCCCTTTTCCGATCTTCTCCTTCACCCCTCCCCCCCTTTCCCCTCCCATTCGGCCTAAAAAGAGCAAGGGGGGGGGGGACCTTGCCGTTGCGCGTTTTCTGCTCCAATTCCCAGTGCCCTATGTCCAGTTGGGCGATGGGAGGCGAGCGTGACTCATAATAATATAATTCTGGTTGTAATTGATCAGCTTGATTACGAGTTCGGGTTTGGATTGTTTTCCAAAATTGTTTTTAATGCACTCGAGGGGCTATGTTAATCAAGCTTTTCGTATTTCGAGGGTTCGAACCGTTTTATCGCCGCAGGGATCTGGCTTCTTGTAGCATATAATGTTGTTATATTTGGGGTTTGGTGCACTTTAATGTCGTTATGGGCGTCTAGTGTAACATAATTTGTTTTTTTGTGGTTTTAGCAAGAGGAGTGGGGGAGGTTTATGGTTTTTTAAATGAAGCGTGTCTTGGGTTTTGTATTATCTTATAATGTGTATAATGGGTACCTGAAATTGAAACTTAAGATTTGCACAGTGCAGATTTTCTTTTTTTTAATTTTGTTTTGTATTTTAAAGGCTTTGACTATTTTTTAAATTTTGAACTTTTAACTTTTTTGTTTTTTCAATTAAAACTATTTTTGCTGTAAACCGTTAACACATTACCGAGTAAACTCGAATTTATATCGCATTTTTCACGGAATTTGAGGTTTAAAATTTTGATTGCACTTTATCGTTAAAACCTTTACGGCAGTAAAAACACAGTAAAAACTGCAGTAAAGTTTGTGCTTACATTGTACTTTAACATAACTAATAAAAATGGAGGTTTCAGGCTTATGAAAGATATAAATGACGTCGACTTGGCCAAATTACCATCAGCGGTACGGGTGAAGATCGCTCAATTGGATGTGGAGCTATCTGAAGGTAGGTGTAAAGGCCATTACAGTATTTGATTGTTAGGTGATATCACGGAGAAAGGGTATTGGAAGAAGCGGAACGAGTTGATCAGCAAAGTCAATGAAGGGAAGAGTAATGGAAGGAGAAGACAAAAGAGGTTCACGAGGACCGAGAACCGATATCATTCAGGTGGGCTACTGGTTTTTAGAGGTAGAGATGCTTAGTAACATTAGTGGTGTAGTAAGGGAAGAAGAGGCTTTATTCTTAGGTTATATGAACACTGAGGTTAAGGTTAATATAATATGAATGAAGTTTTGGAATTAGCGGAGTATAGCTTAAGTTATGGCACAAAAATCTTTATATTAACTTTGAACAGAACGTTTTTTTAAATAAAACTTTGAATTTTACATTAAATATCAATGTTTAGAAGTTCGCCAAGAAGCTGTTCAGAAAGCATTGGCCGAATGGTCTAAGGACCAGAAAGACCAGCCCGTGCCGAAGCCAATGCGCCGAAGATATAATGGCAAGAAGAACGTTGTGAAGCACACTACAGGTAACGATTCGGTTTTACGAGGCAATGAGGGTATAATTAGTGGTTTTATGACTTTCTCTAAGGTTAGGAGTATTGTTAATGAGCATTGTTATATCATGCTTGTTTGGGTTTAAATGCTTCAAATAGTTTTTCTAAGAATATGGTTTATTCAATCTCCAAAAATGCGTATCTATCTTGAACTAACATATACCAAAAGAACAGACAGTTAGTATAACAAGGATGACTAGCTGACCATGATTCACTTTCGCTTGTAAACTTTGCTCTAATTAATATACGAAATGGCGTTTAAAGTAATGTTTTCACGCGAAGGGGGCGGTTTGTTGGTATTTACTCTGGTATTACTTTACTTTTTGCGATTAATCCGAAAAAGCGAACTTGGAATGATTCACTTTTTGTTTTACCTTCAAAAAGGGACATTTTGGGTAATATTATACTTGGAAGGGTCTTGGGGTGTAAGTTGAATGAGGAATAGTGCTGATCGTTTTGAGAGTGGTACTATATAGTATCACAATGGTTTTGAAATTTAATAGTACTATTCTTCAATTTGTACTATCTAGGACGTGGTTTGTTATGCACTACTTTATAGTAACGAATGGATTTTCAAGTGGTACTATGTAGTACTAAATTCTAAATTTTATTGGTTAGAAGTTTTTCACATAAAAATTATTTTTTAATTTGAAAAACGCTTTTATTAAGTTGTTCAAATAATTCTGTGCTCCTTGTCAAAGCATATTTTTGGAAAAAGGAGGCTCAGAATTATTTGAACAACCGAATATTTGTTGTAAAAAGCCCCAATTAGTACCACTTTGTGCATTTGTTTGGACAGATCCGTCATAATTGATCCTGGTCACTTGTTTCAAAAACACTTGTTCCATCCGATTAGGTCGAGATTGATGAACAAAAAATAGCGGCGGTCATTAATTTAAATCAGTTGGAGGTAGTTAGCTTTAGTGTCCTTCCAATTCCGAAGTATTCCAAAGTTTATTCCCAGAGTTTATGAGGAACGTTTGCTTGGAAAGTGAAGAGTTTAAGCTTGCTTTCATATTAATCTTACATTCTTTGATATTATTATTGGCAGTTTTTTTGGGAAAGCTTAGTTTTTGCGAATTTTCTCTAGAAGAGCTCTTATATCATGTTTAACTACAGTATCTATGGGTGAGATGCGGGCTGTGTAGGCCCGGCTTTACAATTGGGTCGGGCCGGTTTTGAGCTAAAGGTGAAACGGGACTGGCCAGAAAGTTGAGTCTGAAATTGGGGATTGAAATGTAGGTCCGGACCCAAAAAAAATTATGTAAGTGCTGGGCCATGCCGGGTTTAATATTTTTCTGGCTGGGCCGGGCCGGTCTGAGAAATAAATTAACGGGTCGGCGCGTCTTGTGTCTCACCACTAACAGTACATATCTCAATTGAGTGTTTTACAAAAACTACAAGCTTGGCTAGTTTTTGCTTTTTTTGATTTATTTACTTTATAGGGTCTTTGTCATTAATTGTTTTGTAAAATACGAAAGAAGAAATATTCAGCTCTTCAAATTATTATGTTTACAAGGAAAGTACCTAACCTGCAACTCTTAGAATTAGCTCAAAATTTTTATACGGATTCTTTGTAGTACCAGTAGTACATATAAAAAATATTAGCTTGCGGTTTTAAGCTTTAAAATTAATATATTTAAATTTCCCGCCAATTTGGCAAAGTTGGCATTGTGTTGCAAGCACTTTTTTTGATGTTCCAGATAAGATAGCCTTACAAATTTAAAATTGCAGGTTCATTTGAAGATTTTATATCATTGTATTAAAGAAAAATAGTTAAAAGTCAAAAATTAACAAAGTTAAAAGCTTGAAACACTATGCCAATTTGGCGGGAAATTCAAAACGCGATTTTTTGATCTCGATTTTCTCAAGACGGGCCGCAAACCGCAACTTAGAATTTAGCATAAGATCTTACATTTAGATGATCTTTCTATAAAACAAATTTGAACGAAATCTGAGCGTTGCATGTCGGGTACCTTCCTTGTTAGTGAATTGAATGAGATTGAATATGCACAAAGCTTTAATTAACAAATGTCAACTTTTTATAAAAATTATTGAATCAAGTAACGATCATTTTTATGTACATTCAGCTGTTTTGATTGGACATATGTAAGCAAATACACATTGACATAGGGCTTAAATATAAATCGAACATAGATTACTTTATTATATCAAAAAGGCGTCTTAACTAAATGTTGATTCCGGCTGGCCAATCGCTGTTATTGATCCCCTTTGACCGCTGTCCTCTTGTCGTGCTGGGGAACGTACGTGGGGCAGAATGCTAAATGCTTCGCCTTCTGAACCACGTACGTTCGCAAGGTAGGACTTAAAGGTTGCGCTTGTGCATGGTCGAACTCCTAGTGCCAAAAAGGTACTTGTTGATTTTTAAGAACTAGTGCCTTTTAATAGCTGAGTCATCAAAATTTGAAGTTTAAAACCCCTGCCCTTAAGACTCTCACTTTAAACCTTTGTCACCCGAAAAGCTCGATAAATATGACAATTTGAGGCAACAAAGTGAATATTCAAATGTTTCCGCGCATTCCCGTTTGATTTCTTTTGTGATTGAAATCCGAGAGGGCGAGGGAATGTATGGACTGGCCCTTTCTCTTCGTCCCCCCCCCCTTTCTCAACCGATTGGGTTTCGCCAAAAGAAAGGCACTTTTAAAGTTTTTCCAAGGCTGGAGGAGATGGCTGACTGGTCGCATGGGGTTGCCATCGGAACGTTTTGGTATTTATGGCATTTACGACGTGATTACTGTTTTCGTATTCAATTTTTGTGTTAGTTTTGGGGGTGTATTGGTTGATTTTGATTTTTTAAAAGCTTGATGACTTTGACAGCTTTTGAAAGATAAAATTTGTTTTTTTTTGGGAATAGTAGTGACCATAAGGCCTGTTGCTGCTGTTTAGTATCTTTTAAAAGTTTTTTTACTTATAATCCTGAAAGTTTTCTTCCATTGTATCGTCCGTTTTCTTTAAAAAACAACTTTTTTAATTGGAATTCAGCTTTTTTCAAATTCCTAGCTTGAAACTTGTTAAAATGCTCTAAAGTACACGTTACAAACCGTCAAAAACGGCTCACGAGAACAATAAATGCGCGGTATAATCCTTTGTATTTGATTGTTGAGAAGCCAAAACAAATACTTTAGATGTTTCTGAATGAGGTCCAGCCTAAGACTCTCTCCAGCACGTACTTTTCATACTGTAAGGTCGAGCTTTTTGTAGTTTTTTGCAAAAAAAACAGAAAATTTTGTGTTTTGATTCGATGCATCATGCCGGGGCAAAATGTTTTTGATAGTTTTAAAGTCTTTGGCCTTTAAACCAAGTGAACGTAAATAATCCTAGGCAACTTACCTTAAGATCATCTTTACTAGTGCAAATCATAAAAAGTGATATTTGAAGTACAAACGTTTTCAAAACTAATAGCTCTAGTACGTAGAACAACATCAATACTCTTTCAAATTCAAGATAGAACAAAATTAATATCTCTCAAAGTACAAGGTAGAACCACATTAATATCTTTTCAAGTACAAGATAGAACAATATTAATATCTTTCCTAGTAAAAAGTAGGCCAACATCCATTACCGCCCGTCTTTATCATTCACTTTTCAGACAGCAGCAGCTCGGACGACGATGACGAAGACTCGACCACGATAGAAAGTTCGTTGGACAGCCGAACGGAAATGGGCATTCAAGTCAAGGATAATGACCTCAGGGCACACAAAACGACGGAAAACGAAAAAGAGCTGGTATGTTGAGTTTGATACTTTCGACTTTCGGAATGGGCTCAGATGGGGGTAATCAGGACCCGATCCGTTTATGTTGATAGTAAAAGCTTATGGGTTATATATGTCGAATATTGGCTCGTATTTCAAGAGTTTTTGCGTTTTATGGCCTAGGTTGTAATATTAGGTTGTTCAAATAATTTTGTGCCCATTTTGAAGCAACGTTTTAGGGTTGAGGGGCAGAATTATTTGAACAATCTAATATTTTTTATTTTTGTTAACATTATGGATGGTTTAGCACAAAACTATAGAATTTATTGCACAGTGCAATACACAAAGCCCCTCTTCACAAATTATCCAATAACTTTCGAACCGCTCAACCAAATATTTTAAAATTTTAGCCCAAAAGCCCTGATATCCAAGACTACGAGCCTCTGGTCGAGATCTCCTCCCCCGAGCCTCCACCTCGGCAAGAATCCATTCAGAGAAGCGAAATCGACCAAAAGCCCACGGCTCCGCCACGGTGTGCGTCGGTTATTGTCGAGGATCAGAAGCCAGACAACGATTCCATCTACATCAACACTCTTTCGGTGAGAGACGAGCAGGAGAACGGCCAAGAGGATTATGCCAACACCGTAGTTCGTAAGTTATTCATGTTTGTAGGCCTAATACTAGCGATGTTGTAGTAGGTGTAAGGCAAACTTGAATAGAAAGTTGAGTGAACGACTTTTTGGTGTATTAGGGTTAAACTTTATGGTGTTTTAGATAGAAACAAAGCCAAAAATTATTGTTTAAAAATATTTTTGCAAAAAAAGTTGCAAGGCCTAGTCAAACAAAGGCTAAAGAATTGTTTTGGCACATTAAAATACCCATTTAAACCTGAAAGATCAGCTTTTTGCCAAGACCATTAACTTTGTTTTTAACCTGCCATTCCAAAACCCCAAACCGCTTTGATGGCCCAATCCCAATTGTAATGTTATTAAGTGTTTTAAACCGGCTTAATGAGGTCTCACGTCAATTATGATTTTTTTGCAGAGCCGAAAGCGATCAAAGTCTCGGAGAAGATCCAACAGCTGCTGCTTACACTTCAGGTCGGTGGAACGGTTTTGCTTTTTTTCGAAAAGACTAACTATTAGGTGCTAATTATAAGCCGTTGTTTTGCGAAAGAGTTATTAGTAGTCGGTGGAGGACAGGCGGGGCCCTCGGGGGGAGTTTGAGGGGAATTAGACACGTTTATGAGGAAAGAGGACATATCACAGACAGTTTGGTTGTTGTTAGAATGCCACCACCGTCGCGGCCTCATCCCCGCTCCATCAGTAATCACGGGCCTCAGATCCGGCACTCGGTGTGTGTCAGCCACCCCCTAAATGCCATACCTTTGTTGCCGCCGTCGATCGGCGATGCCTCCGCCTTTCCGATGCTGGATCTGGCCGAACACTACCGAAAGACATCGCATCAACCGGTCGTGAGGGTGGCGACCTCCCCATCTCAACCATCCTCAGCTAGTGTCTCTAGGAACTCTAGCTTTGCTAAACAATATAATCCGACGAGGTATCAACGAGTTAAGCCTGTGGTTAACAGGGTGGCGCCTAGGAGAAGGTCGGTGCCGGTGAAACCACAAGATCTTGCCTCAAGCTTGCCTAAGAATGATCTACCTATACCTCGACATAAAATATCTTCCGTCTCTGCCAATATTCCGATCAGATCAGTAGGACTTGAGGGTAATGTGTCTCCTGTTCCTTCGTCGTGTGTACCAACATCTTCTAGTCATTTAACACATTCACAGAGTACTCCTATTCATAATGTTGTCTCTCCTACAGTGTCATCTGGTGTTTCGTCCTACGCCTCTCAGTTACCATATCCTTCTTCTCCTGATGTCCCAATAAGTTCAAATGGTCACAATACACAACTACCGGGTACTTCTAATACTACGGATGCCTCAACTAAATCTACTCAATCACCGAATAAAGCACCTACATCTTCAGCTGTTTTCCAAGCTACAACACAGCCTGTTTCATCGTCAACCACCCAATTACCTACTCAGATGTCTTCAGGTTCATTTCCAATATTTTCGTCATCCGTAAGCCCATTACCTATAGTGTCATCTCCATATTCATCTAGAAGAACTACTCCTTCTGTAACTCCATCTGCAAGTTATCACAATCGAAAGGACGTTAATACCCTCAGGATACGAAATAAAACTTGTTCAGTTTCTCCAAGTCTTTCCAGAAGAGAGGATTCTGAATCCAGAATATCAACTAATACAGCGATTAATATAGTACCGAATGATACTGAAAAGAGTATGTCAGAGGGTGATAGACAAAAGGAAGAGCAAAGGTCGATGACACAGTCGTGTAACCTTCCAGAAGACCACGAGGTCAATAGGAATAGTCATGTAGGGTCTGTCAAACTTAATAACAGCGTAACCAGTAGCTCCAAACTTAAGTTATCCAGTAGCCAGGTTGATCTAGCAGATCCTCAGACATCTGTGTACCTTCAAGAAGATATTCCATTTGCTTCAGCGGTTCCAGAACCCTTTAACAAAAGCAGCTCGTACGATAGAGTATGTGATTTTGTTATCAGTTCTACAGTCGATTCTGAAAATTTAAAACAACTTGAGAACCTTTATGAAGCGACGACCAACAACTATAACATCAACAGTAACATGGCCAAACTCTCGGCCAACAAAAAGAGGGTCCGCTTTGGGAATCGGCCTGAAAAGCTGGCCGGATCCTTCATTCTGGACCTCTACGATCCGTCGCGGATCGAGCGTCAGCGAGAGCAGAATCTCGACTCGAGCCGACGCCTTCTGAACGACGTCGTAGGGCTGGAGAGTGTGCACGATAGTCTGAACACCATCAAGGTGGTGGGGTCGCTAAAAGTGGGGCTGAGGCGGATCAGACTGACCGAGGTCCCGGGGATCGCCGATATTTTGATTCGAAATATGCATAAACAACGTTTCTCATTGCAGAGGCCACGCAAAAAACCGCTACAGGAGTATTACAACGACGACGACGCCGAGCTCGAAGGTGGGTCTGGGAAGGCTTTTGGTGTTTTTGAATTTCTATTTTTTTGGGGAGTTTAAAATATTTTTTTTTGAATTTTATAACTGAAAAAACGTCTTTATTTTTTAAAAAGATTTTAAAACTGGGCGTTTTCTGCTAAAATTTAATTTTCTAAAATTTCGAAATTATAGCGCCATAAGTTTTGATCTTTGTTACCTAAATTTCGAAATTTGCCGATTTGAAAGACAATTTTTGGCTTCTTTTTTAAAAGTTTGACCTTATATTTGATTATTTTGAATTTTAAATTATAATATTAAATTTTAAACTTTTATTACCTAAACTAAATATCAAATTTTAACTAAACTGCAATAAATAATGGCATGTCATTACCTTAACCTGAACATAAAACAATGCAATTTCAGCTATGGCCAAAATAGTGGACCCAAATGCCCCAAAGCCTGAGGGTTCAATTGTTTTGCCGGTCAGAGGCGAGTTCCCAAAAGAATTCCAACAGACTGGATCGGCGCCACGAAGCGTGGATTCGGTCCTTCAGAAGCATGCTCAAACCCAACCCAAAGCTGTAGCGGCCGCGATTTTAGATCAAAATGGAAAACTGAACACTAACATCACTTACAGTAAGATTATCTTGACATAGATTCATGTTTTTGGTGATTTTAGAGGATTTCCATATAATTTGTTACCTAAAATGTGATGTAAACTTGATAATTTTAAAATTTAGATCACAAATGTTACCTAAAACTTTAAATACTACGTTTCTAAACCGTCAATTTAAGGTAAATTATTTTCCCGCGCCCAAAAGGTAGCCCATATGTTAACCACCAAGCAGATCAACATGATAAACGTGAATGGCCAAAAGGAAAAGGTACCACTATGTCGAGTAGGCGACTGTGTAGGACTAGTCTACCCAAACATTGAACCTCTGGCCTTCCTCTGCGCCTACTATGGTTGTCTGCTCGCTGGAATGGTACCAGTACCAGTCGACATCCCTACAGTACGAAGAGATGCTGGTACTCAACAGTACGGCTTTCTCCTGGGATCCTGTGGAGTTTCAGTAGTTCTGACTTCAGAATCCTGCTACAAAGCCCTTCCTCGAATGGGTACAGCAGCATCATCGTCAACAACATCTACAGCGTCAGCCGTGTCATCTGGCTACGCCACAAACACAACTTCATCTGGAGGCTCGAACGGTGTTGTATCTCCATCATCCTCAATATCCGGCATAGGAAACAGCTCTACGAAAGACCCAAACGACATATTCGAGTTCAAAGGATGGCCGAAGCTACAGTGGATCGTGACAGAACATCTCCAGAAGCCCTCCAAAGACTTCACGCTACCGTCCTTCAACAATCCAGAAGACACAGCGTACGTTGAGTGTAGCACAGACAAGGAAGGCGGAGTGAAGGGAGTTTGTGTCTCCAGACAAAGCATGATATCACACTGTAGGGCACTAGCTGCCGTCATGGGCTACACGGAAGGAGAAACCATGATATCGTTGCTGGACTTCAAGAAGGACGTGGGATTGTGGCATCTCATCACGGTAAGCTTCTGAAGTCGATTTTTTGGTTTTTAGATAAGTGTTACCTAAACTTAAATTTTTATGCATAATTGACGTTAAAATTTGTTTTTTATACTTAATGTTATCTAAAATATCAAATTTCTCACTAAAATGGAATTCAGAGTTGAATTTTCAGGCCATTTACTGTGGAATGCGGATCATCTTCGTCCCCTACAGCCTAATGAAGTCCAGCCCAAGCCTTTGGCTAACTCATGTAGCAAAGACAAAGGCCGCCGTCGTGCTTTTGAAATCTCGAGATCTACATTGGAGTCTGATGGCAGCACAAAGAGAGACCAAAGATATTGTTTTAGACACGGTCCGGGCCATTATTGTAGCCGATGGATCGAATCCATGGTCACTGTCCTCTTGCGACCAATTCCAAACCATATTCGCATCTAAAGGTCTCCAACCAAATACCATCTGTCCGACGTCAGGAGCTCCAGAAACTGGCACGGTGTCCATCAGAAGGCCATCGTTGGGCACGGGGTCCAATTCTGGGCATGGAACCTTGTCGATGTCAGCTTTGAGTCATTCTGTGGTCAGAGTCAGTCCACAGAATTCTTTGAATTCGTTGACACTTCAGGTAATTTCAAAATAATTTAATTTCGAAAAGTCCAAATTTCAAAAAATTTTAAATTTAAACAAAACTTTTCTTTGCAGGACTCAGGTACCGTAATCCCCGGTGGAATGACAGTCGTAGTCAAGATGAATGGCGCTCCAAAAGTCTGTAGAACAGATGAAGTAGGCGAGATCTGTCTTCATGCTCCATCTACAGCTTCATGTTACTACGGTCTGAAGGGGATATCATCTCAGACCTTCCAAGTCAATCCCTTATCACCTGATGAGAGGGTACTTGGAGCCATTCGTTATGTTAGAAGTGGCCTCATCGGATTCTTAGGACCAGATGGTCTGATATTCATCATTGGGAATAGACAATCGATCATGAATGTGTCAGGAAAACAGTACAGTGCGGACGACATCATAGCCACAACCTTATCAGTAGAACCGCTCAAGTTCATCTACAGAGGCCGTGTAGCCGTCTTCAGCGTGCCTGTGTTGCGTGACGAAAGGATCGTGGTAATCGCTGAACAAAAACAAGATGTAACCGAGGAAGAGTCCTTCAATTGGATGGTGCGAGTGCTACAGGCGGTGGACTCCATCCATCAGGTCGGTATCTACTGTCTTATCTTGGTAGCACCTAATCAGTTACCCAAAGCATCGTTGGGAGGAGTTCATGTAGCCGAAACACGACAAAGATTCTTGGACGGATGCCTCCACCCGGTCACGCTACTGATGTGTCCTCAGAATTGTGTTCTGAATCTACCACGCCCTCGAGAACCTCAACAGAACGATGTCGGCCCAGCTGCCATGTTTGTAGGGAACATCGTACAAGGCGTCAGAATCGCGAGTGCTGAAGGCCGTGCTCTGACGATGGTGCCAGATGAGCCACTATACCTCGTGGATACGTTAAGATTGCGTGCTCAACAGCATCCAGACCACGCTTTGTACAGCCTCGTTAACTCGAAAGGGGCAGAGGTCGAGACGATAACGTGCTCCCAGCTGTGGAGAAAGGCAGAGAGAATCGGGGCTCTGCTACTGGACAAGGGACATCTGAATCCGGGAGATCACGTAGCCTTGATCTTCGCTCCAGGACTCGACTTGATCTGCGCCTTCTATGGCTGCTTGGCTGTGGGACTAGTACCGGTTTGTATCCGAGCACCATCCCTTCAGAATCTCCACAATTCTCTGATCACCGTGCGAATGGTTGTAGACGTCTCCAAGTCTGTAGCATTGTTGAGTACGGCTCCGATGATCAAGATTCTGAAGAGCAAAGAAGCATCGCACCGTGTGAGTACAAAGGCGTGGCCAACAATTTTGGACATTAACGATACACCGTCGTCTTCTGTGGCACGGAAGAAGAATCAGCAGGTGGATCAGCAGCTGATGGCGCTAAGGAGTCCTAAAGATCCATGTTATTTGGTAAGTGAATGGAACTATATTGTAGTAGATGAAAACTACATTATTGTTGTTTGAAGTCACTTTGACACATTGATATTGCTGATGAAATTATAAATTTGGTTTCAGGACTTTGCCGTGAGCACGACCGGTCAATTGGCTGGAGTTGTGATCACCCACGAGGCCATAATCCAACAATGTAAAAGTCTGAAGGTAGCGTGTGAACTGTACCCCTCAAGACACGTCGTCCTCTGTCTGGATCCATATTCTGGCCTCGGCTTCAACCTGTGGTGCTTGTTAGGCGTCTACGCTGGCCATCGTTCCACACTGATCCCGCCTTCAGAAGTCGAACTGAATCCATCACTGTGGCTGAACATCGTATCACAACATCAGGCTCGTGACACCTTCTGTTCCTACAGTATTCTGAATCTCTGTGTACGTGAACTGGCTACACAAGTCAATATTCTGAAGGAGAAGAACGTCACGCTCAATTCTCTACGCAACTGTGTTATCGTAGCCGAGGAACGACCACGATACGCACTGTGCCAAGCCTTCATCAGACTGTTCAGACCCCTAGGCTTAAACGGACGAGCAGTATCAACATCGTTCGGCTCCAGAGTGAACACGGCCATCTGTCTACAAGGTGCGTCGAGTCCAGACCCCTTCACCGTCTACGTGGATTCACGAGCCTTGAGGAACGACCGGGTCACGTTGGTCGAGAAAGGCGCGCCACACTCGATTCCATTGATGGAATGTGGCAAACTCTTACCTGGAGTCAAGGTGGTCATCGCCAATCCAGAAACCAAAGGTCAATGTGCTGATTCTCATTTGGGCGAGATCTGGGTGGCTTCTGGCCACAACGCTGCCGGCTACTTCTCCATCTTTGGCGACGAGAATCAGACTCACAGCGATCACTTCAGGTCGAAGTTGAGGACTGGAGACACCACCACGGTCTACGCAAGGACAGGATTCTTGGGATTCTTGAGGCAAACTGAAGCTATCACTGCTGATGGAGGTAAGGCTAAAATAATATTGTAGAGCACATAGGAAAAATAAATTTAAAAAATATGAAAGATATAAAAGGGTACAATTTTAAGGTTCGAATTGAAAATCTCAAAAAAAAATTTTTTATAAAGGAAATTTTGGGCGCAACTCGAGTTATGAATTTGCAGGCTGCGGAAACAATTTATACGATTTAAATTTAGATTATGAAAAATCGAATAATGACATCGATATCTCTCTGCTTTTAATGTGTTTTTTAAAGGCTTTTTGAAGTTTTTGAAGCATAATATTCAAAATCACCTCTAATTATCGTGTTTTAGAGCTACACGATGCTGTATTTGTGGTCGGTGCATTGGATGAAACTCTGATGCTACGAGGGATGAGGTATCATCCTGTAGACATTGAAACTTCAGTATGCAGAGCTCACAAACGAATCGTTGAAAGGTATGTTAACATAGCGTTTTTAGTCAATTTAACCTTTGGGTTTTGATATTGAAGATAATATTAATATGTACAACATTGAAATTTTCTGTATGGTAACTTTTATATAGTGTATTACCTTCATATTTTAGTATACTTCGTCTTATTTTTACTTAAGCATTGCCATTTTTTAGTGCCGTCTTCACCTGGACTCACCTTTTGGTGGTCGTAGCGGAAACTGATGCTCCAGAATCAGAAGCCCTCGACCTTGTACCAGCCATCACTTCTCGAGTACTGGAAGATCAGCATCTGATTGTGGGTGTGGTAATGATTGTCGACGCCCATACCATCCCCATCAACAGTCGTGGCGAGAAACAGAGAATGCATCTTCGAGATTCGTTCTTGAAGGACCAATTGGACCCCATTTATGTCGCCTACAACATGTAGGGCTTGTGATACGAATTGTTAACTTTATATATGTTATAGTAGGTTGTTCAAATAATTCGTTGCCTACTAAGCCAAAAAACTTGATTTGGATGAGGGTACGGAATTACTTGAACAACTTAATAGTAAGTCTTGGGATCTTTTTATATCTTAATTTAGGTCTTTTCCCGTATTAATTTATATCTTCTTATGTCTCAATTAGTCTTATCGTCATCAAGATAACAAGGGTTTTCGAACTTTTCAAAAATTATTAATTTGATTAACAGAAGAATTTTGAAAGCATTAAAATCAACTTCTTGTCTTATTTTAGGTATATTATCTATGTAAAGTCTAATATTAGCGATCGGTTTCTAAAAGTCAGGATTTCTAAAACTTTTTTGGATTGACTGCACGGTGCAAAACAATTAATCAATTGCACCGTGCAACACTTTGGCCGCAGCGTTCATACGTCATAGAATTTCATATCAATGACGTTCAGCGACAAATCCAAGAACTTTTGGACCCACCTGACATTGTCTATAGCACTAACCGGTGTCTCGTCTCTGCTTTATCCTTTGCCAACCACTACCACAACCTTGCTCAGCATTTAAACGTCGAAGCGCGCGCTTTTGGTCTGAATTGTAATATTTATTTAGTCAACTGACATTACACTCATCATCTCGGCTTCCAATTCCTTCGCAGTCATTCAAAACGGGCTTTTTGTAATTCTTATTTTGTACAGTAACTTTACCTTACTCTGTTATATTATAATTTATTCGAAAAATAAAGTTTTAACGAAGTTGTGGTACGGATTGATTGGATGATGACTTTATGTTGTTGTTGAGATTTTAAGATTGGGAGAACTAGTTTTTTGTTTTCAGTGCATTATTTTGGTGTTGGGGTGAAGGGAAACTGACTTGGAGTTGTTCAAATACCTTTTTTGTGCCCTCAGGGGCCTGTGGATCAAAATTTTATTTCTCGAAGCCACGGGGAGGACCAGGGTCGACTTTTTCGAAAAAAAATTTTGCTTATTATTGACTATAACGGGAGTTTATTGTCTTTACTCGAGAAATATTGCTTTTGGCATTATGAACCTCAAAAATTTACCCCGCTCACAGTATAATAAATAACGGATTATACGATGTTGAGGTGGTGGTGGGTAAGATGAGGTGGTGGTGATGGTGAGGAGATGAGGCTGGGAGAGGGTGCGATCAGGGCTGGGGGATGCTGGTTGATGATTTAAAGGCAATTTTTAAATATTTTATGTTTTTGATCACACAAGTTTGCCCTAATTTTTAAATCTTTGATGCCTAGGCCCATATAAATTTACCCTACCCATCATTTACCCCCTCCCCCTTCCTCAGGCTAGTCAACCTTCCACCAGACATTGTTTAGGATGTTGAGATAGTAAAGAAAGCGAGTAAAAACAGTTTTGGAAGTTAGTTCTGTTAATACCGATACATAAAGCATGATACTATTTATGTGAACTAATGCAATCGAGCAGTCTCATTTTACAGTAATTTATATTGTTTTAAGTACAAATTTAAATGATTCAAAAATTTTCATTAAAAAATAAAATTTTATTTTTAAATGGACTGCTATCTACTTTCTGACCGGAGTAGAAATATTGCCTTCTGGCAAGTGTTACTTGAGTAAACTATTTTAAATTGATATAAAACACAAACATCATTAGCACTTTCCATATAAAGGATAGTTAATATTTACATAGCCTTGATGACATGTCTTTCCCCATAAACTAATCTTCCACCATCTAACCCAACATTGTCTGCGTTGTGTCATTAAAAGTCCAGTAACCCATTCCTCTGCACATACCAAACCGAACGAAAGTAATGTAAATTGTGTCTCGTACTCTTTAAATTGTCTTGATTTGGAAACGTTTGTGGTCCAAAAAGTGGGGCCAATTTGAGAAGCCGGCCTTTTCCCCTCGGGCGGTGTCCTGTTTCCTTCGCGAAAAGAGAAATAAGCCGCTAGCTACTCTGCCGCCCCTTACTTCATTTAATTCCACGTCGATCACAACTTAACCCAATTACTCTGTTATGTTGCGGTTTCATACTTTATCCGTCTTCACCATGACGTCAGTTGCAAATCTCGAGGCTTCGCTCTCGAATTTCCTCCGCTTTCGTCGCGATTATTACTTTATTTACTAGTTTTCACGGATTTCCCAGGCTTTTTTGCTTTATAAGGAGAAGATAGTAGAGGTTTGTGGGTGTATATATTGCGAAAGGGGTAGTTTTATAATTTGAAATTAAATTTTAGGTAATATAAAGTTGTTTTTTGTTTTAAAATAGTTTATAACATTATTTTTTCAATAATAACATCTTTAAAATACCTAAATTTGTCCTTATAAGAAGAAGATCGTCGGGTTTTGCGGGTGTATACGTCGCGAAAAGAGTATCTTTACATTTTGAAATGAAATTTTAGGTAGTATAAAGTTGTTTTTTGTTTTTAAAGTAGTTTCTAATATTATTTTACTGATGACAACGTCTTTAAAATACCTAAATTTGTCAATTTTTTAGACATTTTTCTGTGAAAAAGGTATATAGAATTTCGTGTTCTCTTTTAAATTTTTAGTCAAATGACTCATTGTTCTTTTTACTTTTTGACCAGTAATTGGGTTTCCAATATTTTTTAACTTTATCTAATTTTGTAAAATACCAAACTCCAGAGTCAAAACCAATATAATATAAAACCATTTTTCAACCTTCAATTCTACTCACTTTTTGACCAGTAAAGCGAGTTAATTCCGTCTGAATACCTCGCAATAAATAGCTTGGGAGGAAAACAAAATTTAAATAATTTCAAACTATTTGCATTGCCTGCGGGTCCCCGGGGGTGGGGCATTATTTATTCAATTAAACTCGTCGTATATTGGTCACGAAACCTGTTTCGAGTTTTTTTTGCCTCAGGGTTTGTCCTTAACCCGTATTTAGTTTTCTTTAAATACGTTTTGCCTCAGGCTTGTTCTTGGCTTATATAGTTAGGGTTGGCTGGTTTGGGCTTATATTGTTATCTTTGGGATATCTTTAGTCAATTCATATCACGTAGTATTCTATTGTCTTTCCTATCACCCTACTGATTTTATAAAAGCCATTCTCTGCCAAAGCTCGAGAACCATACCTACCTCATGATAGAAATGAATAGTTCCTCTTACCAGCCAGTTAGTCTCAGTATCTTCTAAAATTAGTATCAACTTTAGTGTCTCAACTTTTTATTGTCCCACAAAGCTGAATGGCCATATAGCTAACAAATTCAGTGGCCAAACCCACAATAACCCTAAAGCATTGCTTTCCCTTCGGCCGAATCCAGAAAACGTGTAACTATGACGGTAATTATGACAGAATTATTAGCTTATTATTAGCCGGAGGTGGGGTGGTGAATATTATAGTTATGCTTCTTTCATTCTCCCTCGGCCATGATTTGTGGCCAAAAGGGGGAAAACAAAGGGCCCGGGGAGAGCGGCCGAGGCCCTTTCAGCGGCCATGATCGACGACTTGTTTCTGGCCTTCCGTTTTCGCGCCTCGGATTAATTATTTCTATTCAAATTCGGATTTGTTTGCCCCGTTAACAGATGTTTTATTGGGCCGTTCCCGACCCTGCCAATATTATTTTTATATTACCAATGGTCTCTAAATAGCTGGGCTTGAGTAACGCCTGTTTTGGTCAATATCGCGAGTCTTTAACATTGTTGTCTCTTTTGAAATTTAAATTTTTTGAGAACGATTAAGTTGTTCAAATAATTCTGTGCTACCCTGTTAAATCAAATTTTTGGTTTTTAGGGGCCCAGAATTATTTGACCAACTTAACAGTGCTAGAACAATACTATTATGTCTGGTCAAAAAGTGAATAGAATTTGAAATAAATCTTATTTTTATTCAAAACCTTTAAATCATTTAAATTCGTACCTAAAACAATATAATTTGTACTTTGAAATGAGACTGCTCGATTGCATTAGCTCACATTAATAGTATTATACTTTTTGTGTCAGTTTTAAGCGCAGAACTAACTTTCAAAACTGTTTTTACTCGCTTTCTTATCTAACTCAACATCATAAACAATGTCTGGTGAAAGTCGAGGTGGGGTGGGTGGAACATGGGTAGGGTGAATTTATATGGGCATAATGATTAAAAATTAAAAAATTGGCCCTAGGTCCTCACCCAGGAGGTCAGGAACTTTCTGGGCCAGCACCTCCCAGCCCTGGTTTCACTCTCTCCCAACCTCATCCCCCCACCACCACCTCGTTTTACCCACCACCACCTCAGCATCGTATAATCCGTTATTTATTATTCACGATTCTCATGGAAAATAACCTTTGGAGCTTTCTCAGACGGCCATAAACAAGCCCCGGCACATTAAGTGTCGAGATTAATGTAACGGCCGAGCATGTTGCCATTCTTTTATTGGATTGAGTTGGTGTACCATCAAATTGGGGCCATCAATCCTCCTCCCAAACCCATTTGTATAATTTTTTGCCGAATTTATTTCGTTTCCTCAGGCATTTTTAATCGAAAGAACCCAGTGTTCTAACCAGCCGGCTCGGAATTGAGTCGCGCGTCTTATCGTCCTTTTCTATATTGTCTTATATTGTTGTAGGGGCTGTGTTATGGAGAAGGATGGCTAAAGATACTTTCGTAACTTTCTTGTCTACTTTTCAATGCCAAGGATTAGGTTTGATATTTTATCAATCTCGATATTGTTGTAGACCCAACACAATATTTTCAATTTCATGTTCATATTTTAATATTTTTGGCTATAAAATAATTTAAAATTAGCCATTTTGTTACCTTTTTGCTCATCCATAAGCCGATTATTGTTTCCAATTCAATATTTTTCGATTTTAAATATTTTTCGAGCTCACCTTGTTCCAACCAAATATCGTTGTAGGTGCTGGTTCAGTTGGAAGTTGGAGAGATTCTTGGCCACACGGAACGTGAGGATGTGGCAGATATGACAACTAGTCCTGAACAACCAGATTCCGGCTCTAATGGCACTAGTAAGTTGTTTTAGCTAATTATCGCTGATAAACAAGTTTCGTCTAGGAAATGAGTCATCGTGGCAGTTTAAAAGCAAAAAGTAAGAAAATAGATTTTGGAGCAGATAAGAGGTTAAGTACACAAAGAGTAATAGTAAAATATTTGCAAAGTATTATATACTTAAATTGGAAATTTAATACGTCAAGATGACGGATTTTCTGGATTTTTTTCGAAATGGCTTCAAATGACTTTTTTGAGTATAAACTTGGACAAATTAGGCAAAAGGTTGATTGCTAGACGAGTTTAAGTAGGTTTTATTAATTTTGACAATCTTGTGTCATAACATCTGTCAGAAGCGGCAATTAAACCGATTGGCGTGACGAAGATGACCTCCAGATGCTCCCTAATTAACCAGCTCTTCATACTAATTAATTTCAGTAAATTCGACCGCAGATCCGTCACAAGCGAACGTTTGTCCGCCCTTCTTCTCGAACCCTTTCATGGCCCCATTCATGCCCCAACAGCCTCAGGGAATGCCCCAGATGAATGGTACCCAGATGGTACCGGGTCAGGAGATGAAGAACGACTTCAGAGTGAACCCTTTGACCGGAGGCTACTTCCTGTCGCCTCAACAGTATCAGGAGATGATGCAACAGTACATGCACGGTCTTCTCGTGGCCGCTTCTCAGGGACAGGATCAGCACGATGTGGTAGGTTCACATATACTGGTACTAAACATATACTGATACTGCAGGGTATTATTATAAAGTTTTTGGTTCTGAGAGTTGGGTACTATTATTCTAAGCTTAAGACATGGTGCAGAATCGAAGTAAACAGCCTGCAAGATAGCCCACGTTACCTACAAATCTTGAAAAGAATATAATTATGGCCCTAATTGCCTGAGGCAGAATTGATTAACTTTATTTGCGGAAAGTGGTTAAGGAACTGTAAACAGATTCAAGGCTACTTTTACTACTGTTTACCGTCAACCTTTTTGACTAAAAGTGCAATTTTGTATGCTTTTTTTGAGAATTGGGGGGTAGGATGAAATGGGGACAAGTTATACGAAGGATAAACTTTACGTAATGACAATTGTTTGAAAATATGCTAATTTTGTGTAAAATACGAGAATAAGAATAAGTAATTGAAAAGGAAGTTATACGACAAAATTTGTTTCCAGAACTCGAGTAATCCCTTCTTTTCTTCTGTAACGCCTTCCAACATGACAGCGTTCTCTCAATGCACTTTCAGCTCGTCATCTACACCTTCTAAAACGACCAGGACTCTCCCATCGACCAGTTCTAGTCCAGTTCAAGCGAAAGACCGCGTCCAACAACAATCGCCATTCAATTTCACCGATGAAATCAACAATTTACACAAGGAGTTGGGATGTAAGTTTAATCATTTAGTTCTCGGCTATGGTTGAGTATTGTGGGATTTTGACTAACGTTTTAAAGCCTTTTACTGTAGTAATTTTAGTTTTGTGCTATCAGTTTTTAATATTGGGGTTTTGACAGCTGAAGTTTAGTTTAGTTTTGGTGAGAAATGGGCCGTGTAGGCTCGGTCTGACCCAGCTCGGCTTGACAATCGGACCGGCCTTGAGCTAAAGTTGAACCGAGCCAGGGTTGAAAAGTGGGCCTGGGCGTAAAAAATAAAAAAAAAGTTGTTCTTTTTGTTGGGCTAGGCCGGGCTTAGCATTTTTTTTACCAGAACGGCCCTTTCTGAGAAAACAATGAAAACTAGCCGGGCCTAAATGTTGGGCTTGGGTTTGGCCTGGTCTTAAAAATTGGGCCTGATCCGATGCGTTTCTCAACCTTAATCAAATTGACAATTTTGCTTGTTTATGTATACATTAATATATCTATGTTCGTATTGATATCTTATCTTATCTTTAGTATGTTTATGTTATGACAGGTGATTCATATCAGTCTATCAAGAAATATGATTTTTTAAAATCATTTTAAGTGTTCACAAAGCAGGAAGTGATTAACCCCTCCATTATATGTAAGAAAAGTCTTACAACTTTTGGGCTTATGATAACATAATATTATATTGGTTTCTTTGAGCTCGTTAATTTTTATATTTTTGAGTTTTTCAAAATTTGAACTTTTTTGAAATTTCAAATTTTCATGAAATTTTTAAATTTTGCCATATTTCGAGATATCCTCTTCTCCCTCCGGAAACTTTTGTCATGAAACAGTTTAAGCGCGCTCTCGGCTTCTTTAATTTGCTCGGGATTAGAGGCCCTGAGGCCGTCGTTTGCATGCGATGGGATAGAGCCAGCCGGCTGGATATTTATAATTGGCTTTCTTTTCGCGCGAATTAATTCTTCTTTATTACAACAACATATCTGGGGTTGGTAGATGAGTTCCAATAATAAAAGTCCATAAAATGTGTCATTGGTCACAAAGTTGTGGCAAAAGGTTGATTTGAGGTAGTATCTTGGGCATAACTGGTCGGTATGACACTTTTTTGTTGTCTTAGTAACAGAACCGATTACTTTTTCATTACTTTTTTGGTGTTTTAGGTAGTTGAATTGTAAAATTGAGGATTTAGGAAGAAGTATTGGTTTAAAATGGCAGAAAAGTTGGTGAAAAAAGAAAAGATATTGTTGTTAATTAAAGTTTATTGGGGTTTTAGTGACAAAAATTGAAGTAATAGCTAAAAAAAATTAAAAATTGTAAAATTTATTTTACATTGGTCGAAAAATACTTAAAAACCATCATTTTTTGCTATTTTTTACAGTTTTTCTTAACTTTCAGCACTTTTTTCATTATTTCCATGAAATTTTTGAGCTAAAATAACGTAATCAACCTAAAATTTTTTAATTTTTAAAAACTGTTTATTTCCCTCAACTTCCTTATATGACATTTCTCAAACGTTGCTTTAGTAGTTGATAAGCCCCACTGATTAGGCCTTTACTGTCACTTAAACGACTGACAGCCCTCAGGGCATGAAGTGTTTATTTAACTTTGGGCATGAAAGCCTTCGTATGATGCTTGATATTGCGAGTTGTGGTCATATTTATATTATTTTGGAGCAGAATATCGTCGTATATTTGCATGATAATATAGTTTTGTAGGTAGGAGGAGGTTTTTGGGGGTAAATCGGGTTGAAAGGATGATTTTTGTGATGTTTTAGGTATAAAAATAGGATGTTTGTTCATTTTTACATAAATATTGCCAAACTAATTTTTAAATTTGTTTGATTTTGCATTAGAAATGAGGATTTTATTCAACATGACCCAAAATCAAAAGTTTTGTTATCAAAAAAAAGTTTTTGCCGTTACAAAACGAATAAACATGACCAAAACAGTTAACATGTCGTGCTGTGGGTTTTCTTAAGAATGTATTGTTTTGCACATAACAGACCCTATCTTCTCCATGCTGAGTCACAACAACTGAATCATGAATAGGGGGATGGTTAATGTCAAGTTGAATGTTTTTTCCCGAATGGACATTGGCCAGGCCTCGGTTTGGCCTTGCGAAACGCGTCTTTTCTCTGACCATCCTCTCTTATTTGCGTGCTCTCTCGTTTCTTTCCTTTTTCTCTCTTGTTTTTTCCTTTCTCTGCGCTCTTCTCGTTTTACACACTGTCTTGTTTCCTCTCCTTTTATTCAGCGCTTTGTGGATTTCTCTAACCGCTCTCTCTAATATGAGTGATCTCTAGTCTCTTTGCACCGTTTTTCTCCTCGATTGCTCTTTCTCTACGCACTTTCCTCTTTCCCCACACTCTCTCGTCCCATTTATTTTGTCTTTCCGCCCTCTCAATTCACCGTGCTCTCTCGCCTCCCTCAGGCCATGTTCTTGGGAGGCCGAGAACTTCCTTTTCTTGGCACCTTCGTCTTGTACTCTGTCAAACTCTTGATCATCTTCCTATATTGTTATAGTTATCGATTCGAATGGCACAAGAGAAAGCCTTCCCGTGGTTCAAACCTTTACTTTGGTTTGGAAGAGCGATGCTTTTAACTCTTTTATGACACATTTTCTTATTGTTTTAGCGCAAATTTGTTATTTTTTTAGGACTTCTAAAGGTCTGGGGAGAAGTTGAGCAAGGTGAAGGGTTTTAAGCGGTGAAAAGTAATACTTTTGGGTATAAAAAGTGAGGTTTTAAAGTTGTTTTTGGATCGGAAATGGGTTAATTAAGTTTTTTCGTTTAATTAAAAAGCTTTTTCGAAGATATTTTAAGTCGAAAATTGATTTTTTTTAAGTTTAAGGAAAAAAATTAGGGGTGTTTACTGATTTTTTTTTGTTTGAAGGCTTAGTTTTTAATGTAAAAGGCAAAAATTAGGTTGCAACTTAAGTCTGGCTAGTTAGAGCAGCGTTTTATCTTTCTAAAGGATACCATTTGACTTGGCCGTTTTGGTCAGAAAGCGCGTAGAACAGTGTATTTCTTCAGACTTTGGTGCTCTAAATAAGGAAAAATGCAATTTTAAGCTAAAAAGTACCGTTTTTCATGGCATATTTAATCCGTAAACAATTTTTGTCTCAAACATACTAAAAATGTACTATTTACAAGTACTATTGATGGAAAAAAGGTACTATTTAAAAGTAAAATTTTGGCTAAAAAGGTACGATTGATAAGTGCTACTTATAAGACTACTTATGGCTTAAAAGGTACTATTTTACTGCTGTTTAACCTCCAAAGCACCAACGTTAAGCCCTCGAGCAATAGAAAGCGGTGTTCCAAAAACAAGGTGCATATTGTGTTAGATTTCATTGTGGGATTAAGCGCGCCCAACCGGTATAATCCCGAATATTTTGTTTTTCGATGGCACTTTTTCCCCGCACTTCCACCCCCCCCTTAAATATTGGAAATCGCCGCGCAAAGACACACTTTATGCAGATTTCTTCGAGAAACCTTAATTAACGTCAATCTTCGGTGGCTTTCGCTTAAAATACGGTTTTAAGAAGTCGGGTTTACGTCTCGATTGTGGGAGTTTTAGGGGAAAAGGGCTTTTTAGAATTAAAATTAGTTAAAAAAATATAAAATTAGGTAATATTTTTTAAAATTTATAAATTTTGAAAGGCTATTTGCCCGTGATATTACCTAAAATTACAATTTTCTTGTCTTTACCCCCGTTCTATCGATGAAAGCCCATCAAACTCCTCTACAGAATCTAATATTATCCTACTTTCAGATGGCGACAGCATAAAAATGACGTCGTCTTCGAATCTGGAGTGTGCTGAAACCAGTACGTCGCCTTCTCTACCACAAGCTTCAGAATCCGATAAGCCCGATTCAAAGCAGAATCTGGATCCCAACATTGAGGTTAGGCAATCCAGTTCGGTAACTAGCGACGATAGTCATGTAGCCGATCGTCCTGAAGGCCATGAAGACGTGGCGAGTAATCAGAGTAATAATCAGGCTTCTGAAGACACAACCAAAGTACAAACGTCCAATGTTCAGAACGATTCAGCTACGGTGACACTGGCTTCAGAACCTCAGACGGAATCTACAATGAAAATAGAATCTACACAGAATCAGAATGTATCAAATCCTACGGTAATTCAGGAACCAGAAGCCATAAACAACGTCAAAACTCCTACGATACCTACGGAGATTCAGAATCCGCTGGCGACGATGATGCAGCTACAGAATCAGGCCATGAATCTCCAGAATCCCACGATGGCTCAGCTGCAGGCGATGCAGCTACAGAATCAGGCCACGATGCAGCTACAAAACCAGGCCACGATGCAGCTTCAGAATCCATTAGAAGAGCTACAACGACATCGTGCAGGCTCAGAGCCTCTTCCCGGCACTTCTGCCGAGATTCCGGCTTCAGAAGCCAAGAAGTCGGCTACGGTGGAGCGGACGACGGAGATGATTCAGAAGCAGATGAACGAGATCGAGAAGGAAATCAACCGACGAATGCAGAACAAAAACATTCGACAGGTTTGTCATTTTGAATTTGGCTTCTATTTTTAGGGTTTTGTTACAGTATCCTGTACGATACGCTCATCTTTCCGTATTTATAAGACTAAACATACTAATTAAAGCACTTTCTCGGCTTTCATGCTTAATAAAAGTCTAATATCTATGATAATATTACTCATTAACATTGTTTCAAAACTTATCAGACACAAATGACACCTTTGGCGATATTTTAAAATATTTTAAAGCCGAAACGAAGTTTAACATAACTCTAGCTAACAGTCTGATAAGCCTAACCACCAGCTTCCTAACCTTCTCTTACTTTTGCTTTTAGATCGACGAGGCCGAGTTGGCCCAGCTGCTGAACGATCACGGCTTTGGCAGCTTTGTCGACGCCGCTCCCGCTAGCGAGACTGTCAATGGGGTAAGGTGGCTGTCGTAAGAGACTAGTCCTCGATGTTATTTCGTTTCATTAACTTTCGACTTTTACTAACGTTTTGTTTGTTTCGTACCTCTGTCTGTGACTTATACCTACTACAATATTATATTATATTATGGTAGAAAGGAAAACATGTAATCGTTGTTTTTGTCAGAAAGTAACAGAAGGGCCGTCAGTGAGCTAACATGCTTCTCTGGTAGTCTTTCCGCTTACTTTTTGACCAAACAAGTAGTGGCTATTCAAATTAGTACTACCTATAATGTTAATATAAATAATAAAACCGTGATCTTTCTAATATAGGGTGTTGTTTTGTAATTATTGTAAAGTAAAACACCTAATAAACCTTCCTTTTAGGCAGCCGGTTTGCCCTACCGACCACCCTCCCACGACAGCGATGTGTCGCGACCAACCCTAGAACAACTTCGCTCATCCTTCAGTCCACCAACCGAACACTTCACAGACCCAAATGCATCTCACAACTTCAACTTTGGCCCAACAGCCACAGGCAATGGACTGGGACTTCACGGACCGGCTGCCTTTGCTACTAGTCCCACATTGCCTCAGGGCATCAACGCTCCAATCGGCGTCTATCCGATGGCCCAGCCCCAGATGATGGCCCAGTTCCCAGCCATGTTCCCCGCCCAGATGATGAAGCCTCCTAACGAGGCCGAGGCCTTCTACCCCTACCCTTCCATCCCAGTCCAGAATGTGTTCGCCGCCCCAGCTGCGCCCTCGTCGGCCGAAGAAATCACACCAGAAATGGCAGCTGAACTTCTGAAGAAGATCCAACTCCAGAATCCACAGTTACTGGAGAAACTGATGGAACAACAGAAAAGCGAAGCAGAGGCTTTCAAGCCCATCGGCATCCCAGCCCCACCTCCGCCAGGATCGACCATCGAACGACCAGCTCAACGGTCGAATTCATTGAAGAACGGCGACTGGCCTTTGAATGGGAACGGTCAAGAGAACGGCAAACAAGAAGAAAGCAGTGAACCTGTCTGGGTCATGAGGTAGGTCAAAATATGGCTTAAGGCTGGATTTATGAATTTGATACCTAATTTTAAAAATATTGAAATTAGCGTTGATACCTAAAACAACATTATTGTTCTTCAGAGATACCTTTGTGAAACGGATGCAAAGAGAAGAAGAAAGACAAAGAGAATTCCTAGAGGACCAAAATGGACAAGAAGAAGATGACAGTAAGTTTTAAAAAATATATTAACTACATTTATTATCCTTCTAATAAAAAAGACGAATATTACCCATTTTTCAGAATTAAACGGAGCAGAAGACAATAACGAAGAGGAAGAAACCTCCAAACTATTGACAAAAGACACGAATCAACTAGTCGAAGAGAGTATCAAGCAGAAAAAGGCCAACAACAAGAAAGAAGGTAGGATTTTGGGGATTTTCTATATTAACCACGATGGGTAATATACTTTCGAATGTTATTATACGGAGTTGCAAATTATAACCAAATTTTCACGCTTTTTTGATAGAAAAAATGTTGATGAAGATAACTGAACATATAAAACAGTAATTTTAAATCAAACTTACATTTAATAGACGTATAATTAATTTCCGTACATTGCCCATGATGGATAATATAAACTTTAACATTGTTTCCATTGTCGCAAAACTCACTGAACTAACATCTATCTCTGTCTGAAGCACTTTTGTCATAAAAGTGGACAATAATTTTATAAAATACGGTTCAAAAAACGTATATTATGATTGGCTTTTGACTGGTCCAAATAAAAACTGTTTTTCCTGGACAATTTTGGCCTGAAATCAGATTGTTTTTGCATATTTAAATAACAAAAATAATGGACTAAAGATGTTTGATGGCTTTTTATAAATTATTGGGTCGTTTTCGAGGTTTACAACAAAAAATGGCCATTCTTTCATCAGTTTTTGGGATTTTTTCTGAAAAAAAATTAATTTTTCGAAAAAGTGACATGTTATACCACCAAATATGTCCTATTTATCGATAAAAATTGAAAAACTACATTATAGTTAAATACATTATGGTTTATTTGAACCGTGTTATTCTGTCTCTCGCTTGTCTGAACCTTGTTTTACCTATTAACAACTTTTCTTTAATACACCCCCACTATAACCCTTGCTCGCTCTATAACACCAAAAATGGGAGTTTTAAAGGTAAGGTATATTGTTTTGTTACAGTATGCCGTGAATGCTTGTGTGAACATTATATTACGTTTGGCCTGATGTCTACGTCCATTTTATGACATTTTTTTGTTCTGTCATTGTCGTATCTTTTGGCATGATTAGCGTTTAGATGGTCGGGTAGATGTGGAGATTATGTCATTTTGGTTCTGTCATCATCGTATCTTTCAAAAATGAAATTTAAACTTAAAATCAAAGCGTAATTTAACCTGAAATCAAAACTTTTAGTTAAAGTTCAACGAAAAGTCAAAAATCGATATTTCGACGAAATGTAAATCAAAATATTGATTTTTTTTAAAAAACTTTACAAGTAGTTAATCAGGTTTTAATTTGCATTTGATATTCGTATTTTACATTAAAAGTGACATAATCAACCACATTTTTTGTTTATATGTATACCTTGCAAAACTACAGTATGACTAATTTTTTGGTTACAGTAATGGTTCATGAACCTGCAGTTTTGATCGAGGGCGTTCTGTTCCGAGCACGGTACCTGGGTTCAACTCAAATGTCAACAGATGGTCGAGCTACAAAGTCGAGTCGAATGTCACAAGCTCAAGAGGCGGTTGCCAGAGTGAAGGTGGGTTACTGTAGAGGGGTACTGTATTTTTTAAAAATCATTGCAAAAATGTGATTCAAAAGTAATGAAAATATATTTTTAAACATTTTTCAACTTTTTTAAGCATAAAGTGTTTAGACACGGAATGCCAAGAATGGCGGGATTTTTAAAATTTAAAAATACAGGGTGTGCCAAAAGTCCGTTGACTCATTATTTTAGTCATATATTTATTAAAACAATCAATATACTTAAAACAACAACTAAAAATAGTAACATATAGCACTAGTTATAACATAGTCAAGCGGTTTCGAAGTGGCCCCTCTTTGCCGCCATGCAGAGGCGTAAACGCTTCACAAAGTTTTAGGCGATGGGCCGCAGGTCCTGAGGCGTAAGTTTGTCCCACTCTTCGATCAATGCTTGTTTTAAAGACTCCAACGTTTGGTGTCTTCTACAACACACCCTTGCCTACAATATCGACCAAATACTTTAATCCATCAAGTTGAGATCGGGGGAGTACGGAGGCCTTTCAGCTGAGATGATAAAGTCCGGAAAATGGGTCCGACACCACTCCTGTGTTGTTTTGGCTTTATGGGCTGGCGCAGAGTCCTGTTGAAACGTCCATTTGGTGTTCCTGAAGTGTTTTAGGAACCAAGGCAGTACTACGACTTCCAGAATGTCTTTTTGGTACCCTTCTTTATTGATTTTTACTCCTTTATCAACAAAATGAAAGGATTTTTGCCCGAGGCGCATACTCCTGCCCAAACCGTAATGCCCCGAGGGTGTTGACGGTGTTCGACGATGGCCAAGTCTCTAGGAGGCTCTGTAGAGTAATGTCTGTCATTTTGATGGGTTATGTGCCTGTTCCAACGTGAATATCTTCTCATCCTAATGGGACAAACTTACGCCTCAGGACCTGCGGCCCATCGCCTAAAACCTTGTGAAGCGTTTACGCCTCTGCATGGCGGCAAAGAAGGGCCACTTCGAAACCGCTTGACTATGTTATAACTAGTACTATATGTTACTATTGTTAGTTGTTGTTTTAAGTATATTGATTGTTTTAATAAATATATGACTAAAATAATGAGTCAACGGACTTTTGGCACACCCTGTAATTAAATTTTATTGCTTTAGGCACCAGATGGAGACGTACAGCCGAGTACGGAGATTGACTTGTTCATATCAACTGAAAAGATTATGGTATTAAACACGGACTTACAGGTGGGTTACTGTACCTTTCCTACTGTATTGTTTATCCCATTTTGGCTTCTTGTAGCAACGACACAACGTACGATCATTGTGTTACAGTATCTTCGTACGGTACATTTTTGAGTTGAAAAACAAACTTATTTTGTATGGATTACTGTGGTATCTTGTACATGGTTTTATCATGTATTATACTGTGGTGCGATACTACATTATGGCACTTTGATACAATACTACAGTAACCCTTTTAACGAAATTAGATGATATAATATAAACTTATAGTACTGTATAAGATTATTGTAACAATGCTTGTACTGAAACATCCTTCTCCCGTCTATGCTCGGCTTTTACCGTACATTCATAGGGTTACTGTAAGATACGACCATGTTGAGTGTAGTGTCTGATTGTTTTTGTGTGCAGCTGCTAGATCGGGTTACTGTTGGTTTTGTCTTTTATTTCATCACGGTAATTATATAGTATTACGAAGATTACTGTAGTTTAGGCTACTGTAGTTTTTATAGGTTTTTGTAGTTTCTAACATTTACTGTATTTCTTGCTTTCTTAAACAATTACTGTACTTATTTACTTTGTCTTATCAGTTAAAAGGGTTTTGTCTATTTTGGGCTTGTAATACAAACGAATCATACTGTATTTTTTAGAGGATTTCCGAAACAGACGTCCGACAGGTGAGTACTGTAACAAATAGTAGTATTGCCTGTGTTACTTTTCACTTACACACTAACTCTGCACCCTTCCTTTTATTAACTCTCTTTCTTTTGGGATACGGTAATCATTTCTCGTCGCTTCGTGCTTTTTTCAATTGTATTTTACGTTTTTTTAAGTGTTCAGCGTGGTGATATGCAAATTTGTGTTGTTTTGTGGTTTATATTTTGATATTTTACTATAATATTTTATTCATTTTTACATGATTTTAGTTAAGTAAAGTTCTGTTACGGTAATGCAAAGTCGAATTTTGCAAAAAAAGCAAACTGCAGAGTGCGCTTTTAGGGGCGCAAGCTGAAAAAGTTTAAATTGACATTATTGTTTTGTTTGAGTATTAAGGGCATAAAATTAGGTGTGTAACGTGAACTTTTTGTCATTTTGGATCAAAATTATTATTGTTTTTGCCATAGTATCGTTGGCGTACTGTAACATCAAAAGTTTTAAAATTGTTTTGTTTTTAGTTGGATCAAATAATTCTGAGCTACTTAAACCTGAAATGTGCTTCGATGTAAAGAGTTATATTATAAATTATATTATTCATAATGTAATTAAGAAAGACATTTCAATTTGGTGTTGCTTTGTTTAACTTATCATTCTTTTTTATTATTTCTGTCATACTGTACTACATAGTACCTACGATTCAATACACAGCAAAAAATTATTTTTATAATCGCGCTGTTTAGTACAGTACTATTGAGCACTTTAACCCTTTTCCTTTTAGTTTCTTTGTTTTTCACGGCTTTTGAGTTTGCTGTTTTGTACGGTAATATATCGTAATTTTACTGTAATGTGGTACTGTAATATAACCGTTTTCTGTTTGTACCGTATTTCTTCTGTAATATGGTTGTACTGTAATTGTGTTACAGGACATTCTGATGGACCATGCGCTACGGAGTGTGTCCTACATCGCTGACATTGGGGATTTGGTGGTATTGATGGCTAGAAGGTTGCCACAGTCTTGTAATGGCAGCGACGATGAAGAGTAGGTTACTTAATTAATCAAATATAAAGGAGGGGGTTACTGTAATCGAAGTAGGGGTTTACTGTAGTCAAGGAGTATGGATGAGGAGGTTACTGTAATTAATGGGTATGAACGGGCAGATTACTGTACTCAAAGTAAGGGGTCACTGTAATTACGGAAGACCAAGAAAAAGGTTACTGTTGTAAAAAACTTGTAGAATGGTTTTCTTTTGGGATACTGTAATAAAATATATTTAAAACTTCGGTTTTTGCAGTATTTTACAGTATTATGTTTTCAGCCCGGAGGCGATTCGTCGTACGCCGCGTCTCATTTGCCATGTGTTCGAGTCGGAGGAGGCTTCATTCATCGTCCAGTCCATTGGCCAGGCCTTCCAGGTGGCCTACATCGAGTTCCTCAGGGCAAATGGCATCGACGACCCCGCTTGCCTCAGGGAAATTGACTATCAGGTAGGGATGTTGTTGTCTATACTATTATTATTAGGTTGTTCATGTAATTCTGAGCCTCTTCTAATAATTTTCGGGGTCAGGGGGCTCAGAATTTTTTGAACAATTTAATATTATCTATTACTTATATTACAGTGTTATTATTACTATTTTCTACTGCTATACATCAATAATATTAACCCACAATATTGTTATAGGAAGTCCTGAACTCCCAAGAGCTGATGGGCGAAGAGTTGGAGATGTTCGCTCGAAAAGAGACCCAAAAAGATGTTGTGGTACCAAAGAAGGTGGGAGAAGCGCTCGGAGTCGTAGTTGTGGAATCTGGATGGGGATCCATGTTACCAACGGTCGTAGTCGCCAACTTAGCACCAGGGGGACCAGCTTCTCGATCGAATCAGCTTAATATCGGAGATCAGATCATAGCCATAAATGGGATCAGTCTAGTCGGCCTGCCTCTGGCTGCCGCTCAACAAAACATCAAGGTGGGTAAGGGACGTGGGTGGAAGATAAAATAACTTCGAAATTTCAAATTTTATTTTTAAATTTTAAAAATTCTTCGTTTTTGAGTAATCTTTACTATAAGTCTAGGGCGCAGTTAGATAATAAAACTGCAGCCTGCAGAATCTAATACGACATGGAAGTTACTGATATTTCCTGGCTTCAGGACATAAAATAGAATATTTAGAAGGATTTAAAGTGTAATGTAAAGTATTTTACAGCCGATATTGTTTTAGAATGCAAAGTCGTCGACAGCAGTCAGGCTAACCATCGTATCAACGCCGCCCGTCGTCGAAGTGAGGATAAAGCGGCCTGACACCAAGTATCAGCTTGGATTCAGTGTTCAGAACGGCGTGGTAAGTAGGTTTTAATACGAAAACTACAATATCAACTTCTTTTGTCATTTAAAAAAATTTTTATAAAAAGATTGATTGCACGGTGCAGTCGTTTTTAAAAAGTGCATTGCGTAAATTTTAAGGGAAATTTTGAAAAATATTTTTCAGAAGCTGAAAGCACGTCTTACTTAAAAAGGCAATTTCAAGTTATGTTTTAAAATTTTGGTTAGCCGTTTTGATACTAATTAACATTTTTGAAAAACTGCACCGTGCAGAACTTTTACTCACTTTTTTAACCTAAAAGTGCAAAAATATTATATTAAACATTAAAATGTGTTAATCTATACGGACATAAAACTGATATCAACTGTAAACTTTGTTTACAGTAGATATCAGTTTACCAAATATTGCACTAAACTCTTATATTATTGTAGATATGCTCCCTACTACGTGGTGGTATCGCCGAACGTGGTGGCATCCGAGTGGGGCATCGTATCATCGAAATCAACCACCAAAGTGTTGTCGCCGTCCCGCACGAACGTATCGTCAACATGTTGGCGACGGCGACGGGCGAGATTCATATGAAAACGATGCCTACGGCAGTGTTTCGATTATTGACCGGTCAGGAGGTACCCAACTACATCTAGGTTCAACGTGTGTGTATATGCAGGTCGTATAGGTCATATGTCTACTATCTTTTTTGTATATTGACATCATATACCGTGTTACATGCTCTACATACCATGTTAAATGCATATGTCATGGACCTGTACGATCATATACACATATAGTACGATCATACACAGTACGAACCATGCCATCATGTGGTATACCTCCCAAAGTAAAGCCATTCCATAACGAGTCTTTATCACAATCATCGACGCCTTTTGTTGTTGTTGTTATCAGTGTTTTGCATCAGAACCTGTTCATGTAAATGTCACACGATATGCGAGTAACTGCTCCAAGTATTAAGTATAGAAGTCTATATCAAAATAAAATCATCTCACTACGCTTCGTCTCTGTATATAATAATATAGGGGGTTCTTAAGGGACATGTAGGTATAGGGAGTTAAGGGACATATAAAGGTTAGTATCTTGGGTCATATAGTATGGTAATACAGGTACTATCTGTTACAGTATCGTATTTGATATAACCAAAGATCTTTTCTTGAACATAAGATGAATATTATGACAGTAAGTTAGTTTATTTACATTTACAACTAAACTATGAGATCGTAGTATTCGAAGCCCAGCGCTCAGTATCTGTTATCAGCCGACCACCACCGACCTATAACAATATTTACTGCTTTTGCAAAAAGGATACTGTAATCTGAGTACGGTATGTTCGTAACAACAATACTGTAGTCTGAGTACGATATATACACAAAAGAGTACTGTAATTTGAGTACGGTATATACAAAAAGAGTACTGTACCCAGAGTACGGTATATCCGTAACAAAAAATTACTGTATATGACTATAGTATTATAACTTGTAGTTCATTTAAAAGTAACCGTAAAGTAAACTCACGAAACATATTCGTTTTTGCCATGGTACGGTGTGGCCTTTCGTTTGTAGCCACCTTCACTCGGCTCCAAGGCGACGGCTGAGTGAAGTTGTTGTAGATGGTGGTTCAGATACAGTACTTGGACCAGAAATATTGGCACAAAGATAAAGCATAAGGACAGGGAGATCCATCTTCGTGCTGCAATTTATATTATAGTATGTATATTACTTTACATTAGGTTGTTCAAATCATTATGCGCCCCCTCTTAAAAAAATTTCAAGGTTAGCGGAACAGAATTATTTGAACAACCTAAAAAAGAAACAAAAAAAATATAAATTGATAGATATCTTCCCATCAAACAACTTACACCTCACAAATCCCAGTGGATTGTCCTTGAAATCATAGTCAATGTTGTGTCTGTCGTCCGAGAACAGTGTGAACGACAGAATCAGAACACTGATGAACTGAAATACGATCAGAACGAGTGTAGTGACCAGCAAAGACTGTGCCTTCTGTCGCATAAACAACTGGAACAGAACACTGGCAGCGAGGAACGACAACAAGAACAGGGAAATGGCCGTGAGAACGGGGAACGGCACGCTAGCTCCAGTGATCACGGTGCGAATCAGAAGCCAGAAAATGAGCGACCAGATGGCAAGATTGATGCAACATACGATGCCAAATAGAATCTGAAAGTTGTTTTATACATTTTGTGAGTGTTAAGTACTGTACTTGAAGTTTTAGCATGATATTATATGTACTAGGCTTGTTTTTTTCATAACTTTTGACAACTTATAGGTATCAACTTGAATTCTTAATGCAAAATACCTTGGTCTATGTATTAACTAATAAATTTTAAAAGTAATTTAAAGGCTTCAAATTTTGAAGTTACAGTACTTCTACCAAACTCAACTTTTTACAATAAGTGACGCCAAGATTGTTTGTGTCATAACTTGTAGCAACAAAAAGATATGATTTTGAAATTTAGGCAAAAAGTAGACCATTTTGTGGGTTAACTAATGTCATATACCTAAATATTCATTTTAAAAAAATTCACAAGTTACAGTACTTTTACCGCAACCATGTCTTCTTAAAAAGGCGGTCTTCAAAACTATAATAAAAGTCCCATTTAAACACCCCGTATTTTACAATTCTGCGTTATAAACAATATATACAGTTACTGTTGTTACTCGTGATATAAGTTTTACAATATAGTAACCTATTATATATTTGTAATACTGTATAGTATGCTATTCTACGTTTGTAACATATATTTGCAATAACCTCAAGTGGCCTGCCAGTCTATAAATTTAGTAAGACTAGAGAGCCCTCAAAAGTGTTTTTATTGGAGTTCTAAATTACTGGTAAACAACTTTACTTTGATTACTCACATATACACACAGCTCTTTGTTCCAATAACAAAGTATTTCCTCAAATATTTAACCAAAAGGTCCTTTAAATACTGCCAAAAGTTGTTATTCGAAATGAGTTTGATGTTTTTAACTAGGCTTTAACAGACTTTTAATTTTACAGGCATAAAGAATGGCATAAGAAAATCAAACATAGGGTTTTACTTGCCAAGTACAATGTAATGATATCAAAAAAAAAATAAAAACCTACAATAATCTATGCAAAAAATATGTCAAAAATCATAAATACTTCTCTGTTACGTTCAGTTAGTGTATATAATGACTCCTTAAAGTTTTTCAAAAAAGTTTAATTTGACTGCACAGTGCAATAATTTTTTAAAAGTGCACTATGTAAATAATCTGCCAAAACATCACAAATAAATTTTAAAAACTTAAAATATAACATCCAAAAAGACCATTTTAAAATATTTTTGAATTTTTTGAACTACCGGTCAGATAGTACTCTCTTTTTAAAAAAGACTGCACCGTGCAGACCAACAAACAAGTGTTGGGTCAAATTAACCAGAAAAATTTAGTAAAATAACATAGCCAAAAGGCATTGAAATGATATTAGATGATTAAAGTTTAGTCCAATAATCATAGAATCACATTTTACCTTCAAAAACTTGATTTTGCTGGTAATTTAAAGTTTTTGATTGAATTTTGACAAAAATTGATTAATTTCGTCCAAAATTGATTATTTATTAATTAGTATTTTTTAAAATAAACCTCAAAATGTGGCAAAAAACTTACTTGCAAAGTCCGGCCCAGTCCCATTGTTCACATAAAACCGGCAGAACAAAGAATTCCCTGCAAAACAACGATAAATAAACACATATTGTACTCCCTCACTTGTTTACAAAATAGGTAATAAGAGGCCTTATCGGTAACGAAATAGGTAATAAAAGACCTCAATTTAGAGATTACTCGAAGAAGTAGTAGTACTTCAAGAAAAGGAAGGTTAAGATTGGGAAAACAAAAGAAAAAACAACTTAAGGCCTTCCGGAGTCCAGAATGGGAGGTTTTGGAACGATTAGACGGCCACTAGTTATGGGACACGCTTTGGGTGAGTCAGGCTATCTTGTCTTAAGGCTGGATATATAGCTTGACTTAACAACTACTTTGCATTAATCTGCTTTACCATGCCCTTCCTTATCCTACTCTGCCTTGTCCTACTATGTAAACTTATCCTACCCATTAGGCCACCTTTTCATACGAAAAACAGCATTTATAAGATTTCTGTTTATATATTTTTGTTATTGCGACCAGAAAGTCCATAAAAATAAACCTTAAAGTGCTTTTTTCGTATACGTTTTTATATATGGAAAAAATCGAGTAGTTGTTGCTATACTGACATAGAAAACTTTTTAAACTCATAGTAATGCTTTGATCCAAAAGTTTTTAGAACCATAACTCATTAACAACAACAATTCTATTACTTTTTGACCGTTTTAACATAAATACAAAAATGTAATGTTACATTACAGAATCTACCTAAGAATTCCAAAAATACTGCAATGATTCCCACATATCAAGACATATACAAATACATCGACTTCATATTGCGATATCTACTATAAGATCAGAATGTACTCTAAGCTGCAGAAATGTAACTTCTCCACGAATGTAAAAGACTTTAAACATTTTGGTCTTCCGTTTCTTTGATTAACGTATAATAGTGTCAGAAACCCCGAAGGGAAATCAGTTGAAACGCCTTCTAACTAACCAATCTTTGGCCATAATTCCACACTTGGCCACGCGAATTAAGGAACGGGGGAGGACAAACGCACGGATAACATACAAATGATATATTAATAGAATAACATATAATGTTATATTAATAGACATATAAGAAAAATAACGTTAAACATGACAAAAGATAAAAATCTGTAGATGCGTCCATAACAAGATCGCGACATAATAATATAGTCAAAAAGAACTGTCTCCAATCAACAAACATTAACCTTCCCGCTACTTTTTGACCAAGCAAGAGACAACACATCCCATGACAAGGATAAGACACTAATTGGCAGCATAACATCACCACAAGAATCCTCCAAGGATTAGACACAACATAAGAACAAGTTAAGCGCCAAATTTAGGCGGAATATCTTCAAATTTCAAGGCCAGTAATAAATTTAATTTCGCCGCTTCGACCAAATGTGCCACTTTCAAACATTTTGCGAATGAATTAAAGCGACTAATGGCAATTAAAAATTACTTTTCATATTGAAATTGTTTTAAAATTTATTTTTCAAAAGTTAGCATAGTACATACTGAGTTATACAGTTATTACTATGCAGTATATTGTAGTACTACGTTATCTTAAAAACGTTTTACTTCCATCTTCCTACAAATCTTCAAAAAATATTTAAAAAAGATTCAGATCTCTTCATAAGGTAATCAAAAGAAGTCATGAACAATTTAATTTAACCGATACAAATTTAACAAAAATTTAAAATACGCTTAATACTAAACCACATTGGCATTAAGGTACTCTGCCAGCTTATCACAGTCAGCTGCTGCACCCACTGTGATCAGATAAGTAGAGATCTTAACACTCTCTTGCTTCGTCTTCTCGTCCACACATTTGTTTGGGAACCGTACCTATATAACAACATCATCAAAATTATGTTAACAAAAGAAGCATCCTGGTAATACACATTCAACATTCATAAAAACATTTAAAAGCCGTATTTTACTAATTCCATATTACTTATTTAATTGAAAAATTCGTATTTTACAAACCTTGATCTTCTTCTCGTTCATTTTAAAGGCTTTAACATGAGCATTGAGCATGGTGTTGATCCAGATAGTTCCCAAAGTGGTAGCCGCCCTCACCAATAGTTGGTTCTTGTCGCCAGCTTCCTTAATGTTAGCAAATCCAACTCCCAGCTTGTTCCAACTCGTGTTCTCCTCCTTCAGAATATGAACTGAGCACTTAGTGGAGAACAAAGCGTTTGGTTCTGACTGATCTACTGCTTCAACCTTTGGTGGTTCTTCTAAAAATGAGTTATCACACTTTTGTAATCTTTACAGTTAACGCTAGCTATGTCGATATAAACCTACCTTTCTCCTCCTCCTCTCCCCCAGTAGTTTCAGTAGTCGTTTCCTTGTTACTGTCAGTCGACTGGGTAGAAAACAACGTGAACGGTGGAGCATCTCCTTCGGGTTTCTTCATGAATAATGACAAACTTGACCCGTTGCCCTTGTTGGAGTCGTTCTTGAACAAGTCTGCCAATTGTGGCTCCTTCGGTTCTTCTGGTTTCTTCGATCCGAAAAGTGAGAAGCCAGAATTCAAACTTGATTTAGGTTCAAAATTAGACTTCTGAACATCTGAATCACTGATCTTCTCCTCTGGCTTAGACAAGAAGTTGAATTTAGGTACTTCTTTCTTATCAGTAGCCGAAGAACCAAAAAGATTAAACTTTGGAGGCGTCGGATCTGATGGTTTTGGATCTGGATCGGATGGAGCGCTTGACGAAGAAGGTGGGAATGTAGGAAAAGCTGGACAAGATGGAGCTTCTTCTTTCTTTTTCTCGCCAAATGGAGTGAAAGACGGAGGAGATGAGCTAAAACAAGGTGTTTCAGAACAGCATAACTGCAATTTTTAATTAGAAATTTAGTTATAAAGCTAAAACAAACTTACTTTGTGTTTTTCTCTTGCACACTTCCACCAAACGGTAAAGAAGAAGATGGTTTTGTCGCTCTGAAAAATAAAGACTTAAATTCACACACAGAACTACTAGAACTTCAAACAAAACCAACATATTTAACTATAAACTCAAGGACTACATGAACTTACGTATCATCCTTCTTTTTAAACATAAAAGGATCGAAATTTGGTGGAGGCTTGAATGTCGTCTCTTGTTTCTTGGTACTGGATTCAGAAGGTTTCAAGTAATCATCGTAGCTAAGCTGTTCTTTAGCTTGTCTTTTCCTTGACATTCGATGTTCTGTGCTAAAATTAGAGAAAAGGTTTTATATTTTATACAATAAACTATAAAAGTTCAAAAATATTGTCAATACAAAAACACCATTTTATCCGTTCTAATTTTAGTACCAAAAGGCACAATAAATGTTGTCTTGTAACATAGCAATCTTACTTATAAGGTGTAGCACCATGAGCCTTGTGAGCCGGAGGATTGGTAGGAGTAATAGGAGCGGTGCTTTGTTGAACTCCAAAAACAGACAAACCATTAGATTCAGGCTTCTTTTTCTCTTCAAATTGTTTTAGCTTTGCTGAAGGAGGCAAAGCCTTTTTGAACGATCGATTCTGCCCATTCTTATCATCGTTCTCATTCTTATAATAAGTCTTGTCCAAGGCGGAAATGTGTTTCAGGTAGTCCTTTATTGTGGGAGTCTAAAAACATAAAATAAAAAGAAAAATAACTTACCAAATCAGCTGCTGGGTATTGATCAATCTTTTTAGTTACAAATTGGATAAAATTCTTATTTAATAAAGTTAATTTACGCTGAAATTGCGTTTTTGCGTCATTTGGAGACGTCATTTTACAGAAAAAAGTTCACCGGCAAAAAAGTAAAAATATTTTGGCGTCAAAAACGAAGTTTGGCGTGTAACGTTATCGCGCCGGGACCCAGAGAAGTGCCATGCAAAGGTATTTTGAAAGTGATGTGAAAACTAAAAATGACAATTCGGAAGGTACTTTTTTAGACCAAACGTTTTTGTAAGAGAAATTAGTGTTAGTTTCAACCTTTAAAAAGCAGCCATGAGCATCATCTAACATTATCACTTTTAGGAACAATGTATAGTGTTGTAGGTGAGAAAAATAATAAGCTTGACATTGTTACTGAACGTGTAGTACATTTCTTACTCCAACAAACAACTTTTAATAAACATTGTTATAGCTAAACAAATAGATTCAAGATTATTTTTATTAACTCACATTAATTATTATTAGTTATGTAAAAGGTGCAAACAATATATAAAATGAAAGGAAAACAATATTAAGGTTATGTACATTGAGTTAGGTTCACCAGTAGATGTAATTGTGTCCAGCGGACTCAAAAAAGGCACGTTTGAACTGGCGAAGGTTCCGGGACACTGACGATACTTTTATGAACGGAAAACGATGCTGAAAAGTAATAGTTATATCTCTGTACACAACAATAAATCAAACACTATACCTCTGTATACAACAATAAATCAACATTTCCTCATACAAACACCTTATCGGGACTTACATATAAAATAGCAGCAATCTCAGCATTCTTAAGGTCCGGATTCTCGTCTTTCAGCTCTATTATAGCTTCCTTCATAGCCAATCGCTTTTCTTGACCAGCTTTGGGAGCAGGCCTATGCTCAGAATGTTTGATGTTGCCAAATACTGTAATCAGTTCATCCTTGACAACGGCACCAATTTCTGCTCCACAATGACAATTCAAAACTGATCTGGCGGTCTTACAGACGTAGCGAATTCTGTACGAGTTGTCTTGACGATTGGTACGAGTGCTCTCTCTGTAATGACATCAATAAGATAAACATTTCAAGTTAGAATTACCTATATTGTTGTAGGTAAAGTATAGCTATACTTTATATATAGGTGTACATCCCCTCTATCTTTGAGCATTTGATTTTGAAAAAATATTTCAAAAATTTTTAACAGATAAATAAAGAATTTTAAAATGAAAGCTATTATTCCAACAATGCGCTCAAAATCCTCATTTCCAATGCAAATACATAAACTCACAAAACCCAGTTTCCCTCATCAATCCATTCTTGAAATTCACCAAAGTTCTTGAAGCTCTTAACGGCATCCTCGTTCTTGACACACGATAATGAAAACGACGACCATTTGAATGAATTGCCAACATCGCGAAGAGGTTGTGATAAGCCAAACCGTCTGCGCTTGGAATATGGAGTGTTACCTAAAAATACAAAAATCTACGTAAAAATAACCGAGAATAATATCATTGTTAAAGCCAAACCTCAATAAAAACTATATACAAAAAACGGGGAACGTTAAACCAAAAAGCTCGGCAATATCAGCCGCGATATCGTTTTAAGTAACAATCGGCCGGTTGAAGCTTTCGTAAACCAAAAAACTAGGAAGAGAAGTTTAACAAAATACAAACTAATAAAGTAAAATTGAAAATATTACAAACAATAAGTTAATTTTGTTGCCTAAACTTCGTTTTCCATCTACAATATCAGTTTCTTCATCGACAAATGTTTAAACCTTACTTTTACAAATGGAACTCCGCGAGGACGATGAGGAGTCAATGCGGCTTCTGGAGAAGCTTCTGTCGAAACTCATGTTGATTATTGAGATGTTAATTTTGAGCGATAAATTAATTGACCGATGAAAGAGCGCGAACAAAAAGGCGCGGCCGTTTCGGCAATGTTTCATCTGTTTTCGCTGCGAAACCAGTTGTTTACGTGCCTGATTACACTACCTTGGGTGTTTGAAATCAAGAAGTCTCCGTGTTGCGCTCATCACGTGCGCCAGCTATATCATACTAGCATGATCGCAAATTCTCTATAGCAAAATTGCGCGTCTTTTTTTTGTTGATTTTTCTACAGACTTTTTGACCATTAGTTCGAAACAACAGTTTCCATAGGTTCTTCAAACCTTATAGAAATTTAGATATTTATTTTCAATGTTAAGATACAGTAATACAATATTATGGCATAAATTAGGTAGACAAGCGCAGTCATTTTCCAAGTGATCTCAAATTGTTGACTTTTTCAAATTCAATAACAAGATTAGTATCATTGAATCATCTAATCTCATTGTCAGCTCAATGTCAAGCTTACTAATGTTGTTGTGCAATTTGTGAAAAGTAATTCAAGACGTCTTCTATTGTGAACTCGAGATTGAGACGAGAGTTTGGGTAACATTGGCTGATGAGTCGCTGATAATGCTTGATTTGTGACAAGAATTCTTGTTGCATATCTCTCCAGACAACTTGTAGCAGCGGAGAATCCGCATTCAGATGCTTCTCCACTTTGGCGTACAGATTCTCGAGACCTTTCTTCACTTCTCGACCTTGATGAGCACTTATGGCCTTCTTCAGTTCGCCTCGACTGAACTGTTGTTGGAAACCGACTTCTTCCGGGCGCACTCCAGAATTTATGGCAAATTCGACTGACTCAAAGAAGAGCTGAAAATGTTTTAAATATTAACTTGGAATCACAATGCCAACCTGGTCCATAAGTTTGTAGAAAAACATTTTTTTGGAAAAATGCGTTATTTTTTGGTATTTTATCTTTTGCCTTTGAATGCTCAAGTACATAAACTTACATGTAGTTTCTCCAAAGGCTTCCCGAGGTAATCAAATATGTAGATCTTCATGTTTTCCTGGTACTTTCTCTTTACTTGATTTCGAATTTCATCCAAGGCTGGCACTTTCATCTCTGACAGAACGGCTACAAGAATAACATCAAGTGTTTTCAATCAGATACCACCCAACGCGATTTTGGTCAAAAAGTATATAGAACTCTCAATTATAATAGACACCTAGTTCAAAGAAATTGGCTATACACTTTTAGACCAGTTATGATTAATATCCTGGCCTATTCCTCAATCCAAACTTACAATGCAACTTGTGGAAGTTCTCCAGCCTGACCACCGAAGCTGGTGACTTTGAGTTCGGTGACATGGCAGCGTTGTCAATACCTTCAATTACTCCATTACACAGTTTTACAGCCCATTTCTCGAAATCAGATCGTCGTTCACTGTTTCCAAATATGGCATCCATGTTTTTGATGAGATCGCTGAACTCATCGATGCACGATAACAATCCAATTCTTTGTCGCTTCGAGATTCGCTGATTACGATAAGATTCTAGGCGGTGATTCTGAAATAATCACCATAGCTTAGGATTCAAGATAAAGTAAGACAAGGTACATTACGAATAATAGCATGAAAAACAAAAAGTCGATCCTTCTTTTGACATAAATTAAGTATATTTCTCAAAAGAAGTCGCTTACCATCTGTTCATCCAATATCCTCTTCATTGCCACTACAAAGTTTCCAAAAACAGTGGAAAAGTAAGCCTTAGGGTTATTGTATTTAGGTAACAACGACACTAAGCGGACAAATAAGGCCGCTGGTAATCTGAAATAAAAAAAATGAAAAATTGAATTTAAGATAGTAAGATACTAAATTTAAATTTCCAAGGTAATTTTAAAAAATTCAGTATATACAATTCGCAAAGTAACCCAAAAAACCAAAATTATAGCCCAAACCCCAACACAATATTACACTACATACTCATGCGGGTTCCTAGAACAACAAGCTCGGCCGAATTTCTGGAAAAGATCAGCCATTGGTTCGAATATTGTTCTTATCACTGATCTCATCGAGTCGCTCAACTGTTGAGTGGTTGGGTCGATCGACGGAATGTGGAAGAACTTTTGAAGAAATGATTGTTCAGCTTGGACCACTATCTCCGACTCGGCCGCCACCATTTCCATCAGAGATCCGAATTCATTGAGTTCCGCCTTTGAGTGGGCTACAAAAGGTTAATATTATTTATAAATAAGATCGAATCCTCCCAATAACAAAGCCAGTGTTATTCACGATTATGCCATACGTAAAATGTCGTTTACGTACCTATCATCAACTTATGATGACACAATAATACAAGTAGACAAATTTAAGTTTACAAAGTACGCAACCAATAATAACAAAACCCGTTACCTGGCATCATATTCACCCTCATTTCGTGATTTTGATAGAAATTCTGTTGGTCTTGGTGGAATATCGTCGCCGTATGTTGTCGATAGTTGTCCAGTAACCTCTGATAGACATTCGGCCTTGATACTCTGATTACGTTCACAATTTCGCCAAAGTTGTTCAGCTGTCTGTAAACGGCAGAATGTTTTGGCATTATGGTCGACTCGTCCAATGGAACACGGTCTCTCTGTAATGTTGTTTATAGAGTCATGAAGAGAAGTTATCAACAATATTTAACCAGAAATACATTTACAAATAAAAAAATGAACAAATTTAAGTAAAAAGTACCTAAAAACCAATATCTACGAATAAGTGCTCGCAAAACTATTGTGATAACAACAAACATACCATGTTCTCAATAGTAGCTGATATGTAAGAGTAAAAAGTGTCGACAAAAGTGCCAAAAGCAGATCGTATTGTCTGCATACCTTCTTTATAGGCGTCGGTGTGACTGTGAGGAGTTTCTGTACTCATAAACTTGTGAGCTCGCTTCGCAGCTTCCAAACACAAGTTTATCCTAAAACCGTTATCATCATTAAAAAGTTAATACTAGGAGGTAACCCAAAAACTGATCTTGGATTGATAATAACTTACGATGCAGCATCGCCAAACTTTGGTCGTCTCAAAAGTTCCAATTGTTCTGGACTTACAGTAACCATAAGTTCGCTAAACTCAGTCAACGAGTTAAGTAACAATCGCAAGTTTTCCCGTTCGACTTGGCCAAGATTGGCCTTTTCCTCGATGATTTCTACGTTTTCTTCCACTTGCTGAAAACATTGATATACATGTTTGTTGATTACTTGTTACAATACCTACATATACTATTTTAACATTTTGTTAATTTTAAAACAGTTCCTTTTCTACGTTTCAAACCTTAATTAACCCAACAAAAATCAAACAAACATACATGTAAAACAGTGTCATAAGCAAACAGCCGATCCCCTAGAAACTTCATGTGTTCATCACACTTCTCCAAATTGTTGATGAGATCTGCTACAGCCGTCTCGCTAGCCATTATGCTCTCAATGTTAGTGTTATCAAGATCAGCCAACATTTGCGTCAACTTGTCATTGAACTCTTTGGCTTCAAACAACTGTAGATTAAACTGCTTCAACATCCTTCTAAAGTCGGCTTCTTCTTTCTGAGTGATCGGCTAAAAACAAAAACTTTTGTTCCACGTTATTCTTATACTTTTTCATATTTTTACTTCATTTTACTGCTCAATTAGTTAATAAAGTTTAAAACACCCCATATTGTTATTGTGTTCTTTGAACTAAAAATTGCGCTGTGAAATTAGATACGTGTTCTAAACCCTCCCAATAACCCTACACGTTACAAAATAATAAATTTCCATTTATACTGCTTACATGATAATCCTCGTCCTGAATCGTTTGAATAGCACTGTCATCTTGTACGTTTATATGTTTCGGACTTTCAATATCAGGTATTTTAATATTCACAAACTCTGGTTTTTGAATTGGCAAAAACTTGTGAGAAATCTAAAGAATAAACATCAAATCAAAAGTAAACTTACAAAAAACAATTCCTTTATAAAGGCTTCCTTCCCATTTATAGACACAGCCAAGAAGTTCCTTCTCCTGTTATCTCCAAACACAATATCGAATTCAGAATTCGGTTTTCGTGGGTTTATTCCATCCACTACTTTAATATCGCGCAACATAAAGCTCTCCTTCTTATGATACCCGTCATCTTTAGCTCGCACCAAGTATAGCTTCACCACAACAGGCTGTTGAATAGAAGCTGTAACAAAAGAGGATATTACTATGACATTATTGATGTTACATAAATTATAAATTGCAGCATTAAAAAAGCTTTAAAACAAAATCAGCTTATTTATCATACCTGTGACACATAAGTAAGTTTCTTTTTTCTTCTTTTTCTCGTTTTCTTTTGTGACATCAACATACGACAAAAACCTTTCCTCATCATCTTGAAATAAACCTCGTTGTAGCTCAGCTCTCAACGTCCCCATATTTACATTTCTATTGTAAAAGATATAAACATAGAGATTGGAACAAAATATACACGCTCGACGAACGTGAAATAAAAATTATTTTCCGAATTTATGAGAAAGAGTTGACCCACAAGAGAAAAACCTGACAGACAGTTTTGCTTTGCCCTGGTCTTGGGATAAAGTTGATGTTAAGGTTCTAAACCAGTATTATAGGTTTGTTATAACTGTTATTATACCGATATGATTACGTTTAGGGTCAAAATAATTTATTTATACAATAATATCACAATAACCAAGTATAACATAACTTATATAACAACGTTAGTCGAAGTGCCATCTACCACCATTCAAAGACCCTGAATACCCGTTTTCTCAGAATATAAATACAAACGCCAAAGTACAAAAGAAGTGCCAAAATGAGTAATATCTTGTCCGTGAATTCTCTACGTCCATATTTGTGGAGTAGCTTTCCGCTGGCTCTGATCGTCATACCAATACTACCCATGTGTCCTTGGGTGTCGACCAACATCCCTGAAGTCTGACTCAAGATCATGGTGCTCTGCTCGCCCAGTTTGACTTCATCTCCCATCCTTCGTACCAAAGAGTTCAAAGATGTTGTGGTATCCGCGGCTTGAGCCGCAACTTGTCGATTTCTGATGTTCTTCTTCAGTTTGATGGGTCTGATGCCTTCCAGAAGCTTCTTACGCTCCTCTTCGTCCTTTATGTTCTTCTGTACAAGAATCTGTTCACGTTTCTCTTTGTTTATCACCATCTAAAATAATGTTTTTATTAAATACATTGATAAATATTTCAACGAAAATATAAAAGTTCAGAATCAAAACTAGTAAAAAATATTTTTCTGGCATCTGATCTACGAAAGAGTAGCTCAATAAAAAATTACAGCCAAATTTAGCCATTGATTATCGAATAAATACAATCTATACCAATAATTTAACCCCCAAAAACCATTGTTTTTACAGAAAAATCAAGGAAAAAGCCAAATGAAAGTCAATTTCACATTCTAAAGTACGAGTTGATGAATATTAACATAGGCTACAGTTACCAACAAAAAAAAAACTTCAAATCTAGGCAAAATTTATTTATTTCTTTTGCGGAAAAATGTGCGTTCACTATTAAAATCGGAGCAGCGAACCGGCCTCGGACCCGCAGGCTATAATACAACAAAATGCGCGGTCGGACCAGCTCTAACCGCTCAACGGAAGCGATAGGGATAGATCAATATATAAGAATTATACCAAATTATATAATAATAATAGCGTAAGTTACATAAAACAAACAAAATGTCGTTGGAAACCGACACCGCTTAAAATATTAATATATGAAGACTTCGGGGAGAACGGCTGTCAATTATTATTAGTAAGGTTTAATCAAGATGCACCAGTTCGGAAAAGCGAAGGGTATTGTTTTAGGCCAATCGTTCTTGTTTCACTTCCACGCGTTGAACTTCGTAGCGCGGATTCAGGCCTGTAGCTTCGATGATGGCTTTTCGTAGTTCCTGAAATGAAATAATTTAAAATTGGAAGTTAAAATCAGTTTTCAAAAGCCCTATTTTACACAAACAATACTTTTAACCCTCAGTAATCCTGCCAACTTTCTGACTAAACGAATAGAAACTTACAGCTTCATGATCGACTTCAGGGCCTTGGATGGTTACTCTGTGTTCAACATTCGTGCTGACCACTCCATCTTTCACTGTTTTGTACTGAAATATGTTATTGTTAGTCATTAGTATGAAAATAAAACTGTTCATATAATGGAGTCAAAAATAAATACTTTGAAGATTATAATTGCCATGCCAAAAAACATTAAAATTTTTCAAAATAACAATCTTTCGGTTACGGTATGAGCAATGAAATAAAACCTACAGTAATGGTCTCAATGGTTCTGTTGCCGGTCGTGACAACCTTAGATTGCACCACCTGGTCTTCTTCGTAGGTGATATCCGTAGGCTCTTGTTCTCCGTCCTTCCCGTACACCAACACACGAGTTTGGGCATGTGTCGCTGCTGTGGGGAAGGTGGACTTGGATGATGACTTTATCGTTTCCAGCGCGTTCTCAATACTGTTTACACCACTCGTCTAAAATTAGATAATGTTAGCACTATTAAGGAACCCAGGGTGAAATAAAGTTAGTAAAAGAGTAATAGTGTTAATGTGTCAGGTAATATAGACATATATAAAGTATATTAAATAAAAGTACAATTTGAAAAAGTAAAAGTTATTGCACATATTTGTGCAAAAACTATAACAAATAAAACAGACCATATTATTGTTGTAGAGCACATAATTGTGTACCTACTTACCACAGTAAAACCCATAGACATAAACATAAAAACCGACCTTTTGACAGGCAAAAGCAACTCACTGTAAGACACCAGATATTGTTGTCATGTAAATCCATAAAGTAAACAATAAATGACAACATTAAGCATTGTCATCACAAAATCGAACAGTATGACACAAACAAAATAAAAAAATGAGAAAAATTGATAATTAGTGGTTTAATGTCACGAAATGTAAAGACTAGACAGACGTGTTAGTGATGACTAGAAGACAAGTGTTAGTGCTTGGTAATCACCTCATTGGTCGAATCTCCAAGGGCAAAGGTTTGATACGACTGCTTCTGGATGGTGTGGGTCTCGTGAGAGGTTTTGATCGTCTTCCTGAAATTGACAATTATTAAATAATAGAGAAGTAAAGCTAATTTTGATTTTATAACGCAAGCCTTTGTTTCTCATTTACTTATTTTCTAATTTTGGTCCCACCACGAAAACAATATCAATTTTGAAAACACTTAAAAAATAATTTAAAATCCCAAACCCCTCCAAACTTCAAAAAAATCAAACTGCAAAACCTCTTTTAACTTTTTCAATTCAAAGCCTACTTGATGACATTTCCGTGTTCGTCAGTTTCAGTCACAACGTGTTCTGGACTGATTTCGGACTCGTGCCAGCTTTGTAGCGTAGAGTGTGGGGGTGCGGTTTCCTAAAACAAGCATAGTTATACCTCCTTCTTCACACAGATATGATCAGCATAATGATAAGCAGAATGGTTACGTTGCCAAACAGCAGCTGTATATACATTTATTTTACAAAAGACTAAGGTTATACGAGGTCTAGTACAAGTTACAACAAAGTGTTAATAATAAAACATAATAAAAGTGCAAACATATTAAACAAAACTGGCAGAGTTTTTGAGGGTACAAGGAGGGGCATAAACTACGTTTTAGTGACAAAAATACTAGCCAAAACTACCAAAATATACACCACCACCTCTCTATCCTACAAAAACACCTGCCCAACAAAAACAACAAAACTAGTGCAAATACAGTACGAGTGTTACGGTAAACAAAACAAACAAAAAAAGACAACACACGCTTTCACACTTATAGACGGAGCGTGGAGACAGACGTCGTCGCAGCGATGAAGCCGAGTCCATCACCTTCAGGTGGCTGAAATAACGGTGCAGTTCGCGTACATTAGGCCAAGCAAACGACGGTTTGGGACTCGCCTCTTGATAGTTGGGTCCGGGCTCGTGTTGCTCAATCTCCAGTTGGCGAGCGATCAGTCGCACCTTGGGCAGTTCCTCGTTGTTCTGAACACATTTAGTCAACGTGTTCAATAAAGACTGAATAAACATAAGTTAGTTAAGTAATATGAGGTTAGACACAACATCGCAACTCTTCTTATTTGTCCACTTTTACTAATTTTTGGTCAAAAAGCAGTTATTTTTACATTTTTAAAAATTTGATGTTTTTAATACTGCGACACATAACTATGCCCTTTTTAAACGAATTTAGCTAAATTTTCACATTTTTGGTTCAAAACCTCATTCTATGTAAGAAAAATTGAATTTTTTAAATTTAAATTTTAAAAATGCTTCAAAAACTTGTTTTTCCGTGTCCCATAATTTCCGTGACCAAAACCGGAGGATTAATCGTATCCGATTGTTTATATACACATTTATACAGCCTATAGTTATATTCCAGAACGCAAAAAGATAAACTTTTCCCCAGGGCATTTTTTGTTTTTTGGTTGGCCAAAAAAAGAAAATCTCCAAAACTTTAGTCGCACTCAAAGCAACCATCAAAACAGCACCACAAACAAAACGGTATCACCAACCGGGTCGTTGGGGTCGATTCGTGGCGGAGCGCCGGTCCCGGAGATACGGTAGACGTGCTCCAGCCGCTCCGACCGTATCACCGGGCCGTGCTCACAGTCGTTGGCGGGCGAGTAAGGTCCCGCCGAGCCCTGGTCGTTCGTTTTGCCCAGACTCATCGTCTGGCCGATTGGGGATTCCCCAGAATTCTGCGAATTACAGTTTTAAACAAAAATCAAAAAGTTTGGACTAAAAAACTAAAATCTAGACTGAAAAAAAAACAAAAAAAAGTGAAAAAAAAGTGGGAAACGTGCTGTCAAAAAGACCGAGACACAACTCTGGTAAAAAAGTAATTCAAAGGCTTGGGCGGAGTTTGTCTAGACTTTCAAAATCTAATGACACCAATGCGGGATTGGCAAACAGAGTGGTACTACTAGTAAATAACCAAGTAGTACTAAAACCAAACTTTAACTAACGTACCATCGATAAAAACCAAAAAAAGTACCATCAAAAAAACATACGGTACCATAATAAACCGTCAGTAAGAGTTGACTAAATTTGCCCAAAAGTTTTCGGATTTAAAAAAAAATAAAAAATCCAAAATATCAATCCAAAAACTTTTGAACCAACTTAGTACCACCATCCTCTACTAACATTAAAATCCAAAAAACTTTCACCTACCTTATCGTTCTGGGCAATGTGCCGTTCCTCGACTTCAATCTCGGAGTCTGAATCCGACGACGATGCCGAGTCCTGTTTGGAGCTTTTCTTCGACTTTTTGTCTTTGGAGGAAAACTGAAAAAAAAACAAAATTAAACGAATTCAAAGGCCAAGTTGCATATCAACAAGCAATTAATTAGTGGGAATGCAACCAAAAATAACAGAGCTACAAATTAAAAGTACGCCGTGCACAGCAATCCGCCATCTCCGACACCAACTTCCGAGCCGCCGAAACCAAAAATGAGGCCAACCATATCACCAAAAAAGGAAATTAAGACGCCCCCGCGCCTACAACACAATCGCATATTACAATAGGAAAGCAAGCAAGCTCAATCACAATCACATGACGTTTACAGTTACGCTAATTAACGTTAGGATTACAATAGACAACTCTATGATAAATAAAGGTTACTATAGCTAACACTAAAATGACATAAAATTTGAAACTAGAACGTAACAAAGATTAAAAACCAACGTCGTGACTACAATGCAAAAACAGCCAACATGACCGAGTTTACAATAATTATCAAGTACGAAATAAACTATACAGCTACAAAAACCAACTAACATTACGTCGCTTTGTCTCGAACCAAATAACCATCGCAAAATCGCTTCAAGCATTATTAATTTTCTTTAAGCAAAAGCGTTTTTAATCTTAAAATGTTAGTAATACGGCTGTTTCATCAGAAAAATGGAAATTCTGCCGTGAAGCAAGCGGAAAAGAAAAATACAAGAAAGAACAACATAAATACCAAAAAGGTAACAAAATTGCACAAACAAAACATTCAAATAGAAGTAATAGAAACCTGTGAAATCTGGCGACGTAGCGAAGAAAACAGAGAGACGCGCGTTCCTTCTTTGGCTGATTTGTTGGCCGCCATTTTCCGCTTCTTGGCCTGATCGGTAGGCTCGGCACGTCGATGCCGGAAGCGTTTGGTGCCTGCGCCGTTACTCGTAACGGGTTGAGAGGCCAATGAACTCTCGTCCGCTTCATCACTATCATCCTGTGCTCCCAAAGGACCCGCACCGTTTAACGCCGTCGCGCCCGCCTCAGCGCCCCGCCCCGACCTCTTATTTCCGATTTCACGCAATTTCAATTCCACGTTCTCGTTGGTCTCGTCCAACAACGACTTCGGTAGAAACACAGGGCCACGTCGATTAAACAGAGGCTCAAAGCGAGAAGTCTTCGTGTCTCGGAACAAAACCTCAACCTCATAAGATGACTGCATTTCCCGTTTCAAGAAAACGTCCACGTTCAGGTCATTGACCATCTTTCCTTGGTTAAAGATCGACTGGTCATTGCAAACATATCCAGCCGACAACTCTGAATGATCACCTCGTCTGGCGCGGACAATCGATTGTAGCCATCCACGATCTTGACGCTTCCGTTTTCTTCCAAACACAGACTTAACGGTCTCTTTAGGTCTACCGTCTAGGTCATCTGAAGCAGTTCTTCGTTCTTCCAACTTTCTCAAGTGTAAAATAGCCAAACCTTTCCTATAAGAACGAGGTGAGTATTGGCCACGGTGATACAAACTCGCGAATTCGTTAATGTCAGTAGTTGCCATATCTTTTCTTGGTATTAGCTGATCTACTGGTCCATCGTATGACATTGACGGATAGTTTTTAAAGGCACTCTGTGAGTCTTCAGTATTTGTTCGACCCTTAAACAATCCAAACAGTTTGTAATCCCGATCTCTTGCCGTTTTACTCTTGTTATGAGCTTTCTTCACATGTTCATCCCCTGTATTTGTTATGTCTTTCAAATGAATAACGGCTGTTCTTTTTCCCGATTCTTCTTCAGACCCTGAAGCTCTTTCAGTAATTTTGACTTCGACTCCAAGATGCCCTTTTTTCGCATCATCTTTTTTATACCCTTCATGATATTTTTTGACATAACTCGCTAGTGGTTCAGTTTGGATTTCGTTAAACTTGCTAGTCTCGTCGAGAGGACCTTCGTAAGGCGTATGATCGAATTTGTAGCCAGCTGGATCTTGATCGCCGACCTCTTCCTCTCCTTCATGTCTAGCCCAAGTGAAGAACTTGAAGCGTCTGTTTCGTGATGGTTCACTGAGTCCAGAATGGTACACATTGACATCAGTACGCAGTGGTTGAAAATCAAGTTCGTTTTCTTTCCCTACCTCTTCAAGTGGACCTTCGTAACGTTCACCAACCAATGGGTATGATGACGTTGACGGGGTTGAAACGTGACCTTCTTCTTGTGGCTTGCGATCTTTGTGTTTGAAAATACCAAAGAATGATGACTCTTGATCTTTGTCTTTCTTTGGCTTCTTTTCCTTCGGCTGTTTTGGAGCTTTAGCTTGTTTCAACTCCTCAACTTGAGGTTCTTCTTCTTTAGTGCGAAGGTGAATGATCGCAGTTTGTTTATCATAAGGTTCTTCGTGCACTTCTTCCTCGTCGCCTTTAACGACAGATTCGCCTCCATGATATTTAGTGACATGACTGGCTAACGGTTCAGTTTGGATCTCGTTAAACTTGCTAGTCTCGTCGAGAGGACCTTCGTAAGGCGTATGATCGAATTTGTAGCCAGCTGGATCTTGATCGCCGACCTCTTCCTCTCCTTCATGTCTAGCCCAAGTGAAGAACTTGAAGCGTCTGTTTCGTGATGGTTCACTGAGTCCAGAATGATACACATTGACATCAGTACGCAGTGGTTGAGAATCAAGTTCGTTTTCTCTCCCAACCTCTTCAAGTGGACCTTCGTAACGTTCACCAACCAATGGGTATGATGACGTTGACGGGGTTGAAGCGTGACCTTCTTCTTGTGGCTTGCGATCTTTGTGTTTGAAAATACCAAAGAATGATGACTCTTGATCTTTGTCTTTCTTTTCTTTCTTTGGCTTCTTTTCCTTCGGCTGTTTTGGAGCTTTAGCTTGTTTCAACTCCTCAACTTGAGGTTCTTCTTCTTTAGTGCGAAGGTGAATGATCGCAGTTTGTTTATCATGAGGTTCTTCGTGCACTTCTTCCTCGTCGCCTTTAACGACGGATTCGCCTCCATGATATTTAGTGACATGACTGGCTAACGGTTCAGTTTGGATCTCGTTAAACTTGCTAGTCTCGTCGAGAGGACCTTCGTAAGGCGTATGATCGAATTTGTAGCCAGCTGGATCTTGATCGCCGACCTCTTCCTCTCCTTCATGTCTAGCCCAAGTGAAGAACTTGAAGCGTCTGTTTCGTGATGGTTCACTGAGTCCAGAATGATACACATTGACATCAGTACGCAGTGGTTGAGAATCAAGTTCGTTTTCTTTCCCTACCTCTTCAAGTGGACCTTCGTAACGTTCACCAACCAATGGGTATGATGACGTTGACGGGGTTGAAACGTGACCTTCTTCTTGTGGCTTGCGATCTTTGTGTTTGAAAATACCAAAGAATGATGACTCTTGATCTTTGTCTTTCTTTTCTTTCTTTGGCTTCTTTTCCTTCGGCTGTTTTGGAGCTTTAGCTTGTTTCAACTCCTCAACTTGAGGTTCTTCTTCTTTAGTGCGAAGGTGAATGATCGCAGTTTGTTTATCATGAGGTTCTTCGTGCACTTCTTCCTCGTCGCCTTTAACGACGGATTCGCCTCCATGATATTTAGTGACATGACTGGCTAACGGTTCAGTTTGGATCTCGTTAAACTTGCTAGTCTCGTCGAGAGGACCTTCGTAAGGCGTATGATCGAATTTGTAGCCAGCTGGATCTTGATCGCCGACCTCTTCCTCTCCTTCATGTCTAGCCCAAGTGAAGAACTTGAAGCGTCTGTTTCGTGATGGTTCACTGAGTCCAGAATGGTACACATTGACATCAGTACGCAGTGGTTGAGAATCAAGTTCGTTTTCTTTCCCTACCTCTTCAAGTGGACCTTCGTAACGTTCACCAACCAATGGGTATGATGACGTTGACGGGGTTGAAGCGTGACCTTCTTCTTGTGGCTTGCGATCTTTGTGTTTGAAAATACCAAAGAATGATGACTCTTGATCTTTGTCTTTCTTTTCTTTCTTTGGCTTCTTTTCCTTCGGCTGTTTTGGAGCTTTAGCTTGTTTCAACTCCTCAACTTGAGGTTCTTCTTCTTTAGTGCGAAGGTGAATGATCGCAGTTTGTTTATCATGAGGTTCTTCGTGCACTTCTTCCTCGTCGCCTTTAACGACGGATTCGCCTCCATGATATTTAGTGACATGACTGGCTAACGGTTCAGTTTGGATCTCGTTAAACTTGCTAGTCTCGTCGAGAGGACCTTCGTAAGGCGTATGATCGAATTTGTAGCCAGCTGGATCTTGATCGCCGACCTCTTCCTCTCCTTCATGTCTAGCCCAAGTGAAGAACTTGAAGCGTCTGTTTCGTGATGGTTCACTGAGTCCAGAATGGTACACATTGACATCAGTACGCAGTGGTTGAGAATCAAGTTCGTTTTCTTTCCCTACCTCTTCAAGTGGACCTTCGTAACGTTCACCAACCAATGGGTATGATGACGTTGACGGGGTTGAAGCGTGACCTTCTTCTTGTGGCTTGCGATCTTTGTGTTTGAAAATACCAAAGAATGATGACTCTTGATCTTTGTCTTTCTTTTCTTTCTTTGGCTTCTTTTCCTTCGGCTGTTTTGGAGCTTTAGCTTGTTTCAACTCCTCAACTTGAGGTTCTTCTTCTTTAGTGCGAAGGTGAATGATCGCAGTTTGTTTATCATGAGGTTCTTCGTGCACTTCTTCCTCGTCGCCTTTAACGACGGATTCGCCTCCATGATATTTAGTGACATGACTGGCTAACGGTTCAGTTTGGATCTCGTTAAACTTGCTAGTCTCGTCGAGAGGACCTTCGTAAGGCGTATGATCGAATTTGTAGCCAGCTGGATCTTGATCGCCGACCTCTTCCTCTCCTTCATGTCTAGCCCAAGTGAAGAACTTGAAGCGTCTGTTTCGTGATGGTTCACTGAGTCCAGAATGGTACACATTGACATCAGTACGCAGTGGTTGAGAATCAAGTTCGTTTTCTTTCCCTACCTCTTCAAGTGGACCTTCGTAACGTTCACCAACCAATGGGTATGATGACGTTGACGGGGTTGAAGCGTGACCTTCTTCTTGTGGCTTGCGATCTTTGTGTTTGAAAATACCAAAGAATGATGACTCTTGATCTTTGTCTTTCTTTTCTTTCTTTGGCTTCTTTTCCTTCGGCTGTTTTGGAGCTTTAGCTTGTTTCAACTCCTCAACTTGAGGTTCTTCTTCTTTAGTGCGAAGGTGAATGATCGCAGTTTGTTTATCATGAGGTTCTTCGTGCACTTCTTCCTCGTCGCCTTTAACGACGGATTCGCCTCCATGATATTTAGTGACATGACTGGCTAACGGTTCAGTTTGGATCTCGTTAAACTTGCTAGTCTCGTCGAGAGGACCTTCGTAAGGCGTATGATCGAATTTGTAGCCAGCTGGATCTTGATCGCCGACCTCTTCCTCTCCTTCATGTCTAGCCCAAGTGAAGAACTTGAAGCGTCTGTTTCGTGATGGTTCACTGAGTCCAGAATGGTACACATTGACATCAGTACGCAGTGGTTGAGAATCAAGTTCGTTTTCTTTCCCTACCTCTTCAAGTGGACCTTCGTAACGTTCACCAACCAATGGGTATGATGACGTTGACGGGGTTGAAGCGTGACCTTCTTCTTGTGGCTTGCGATCTTTGTGTTTGAAAATACCAAAGAATGATGACTCTTGATCTTTGTCTTTCTTTTCTTTCTTTGGCTTCTTTTCCTTCGGCTGTTTTGGAGCTTTAGCTTGTTTCAACTCCTCAACTTGAGGTTCTTCTTCTTTAGTGCGAAGGTGAATGATCGCAGTTTGTTTATCATGAGGTTCTTCGTGCACTTCTTCCTCGTCGCCTTTAACGACGGATTCGCCTCCATGATATTTAGTGACATGACTGGCTAACGGTTCAGTTTGGATCTCGTTAAACTTGCTAGTCTCGTCGAGAGGACCTTCGTAAGGCGTATGATCGAATTTGTAGCCAGCTGGATCTTGATCGCCGACCTCTTCCTCTCCTTCATGTCTAGCCCAAGTGAAGAACTTGAAGCGTCTGTTTCGTGATGGTTCACTGAGTCCAGAATGGTACACATTGACATCAGTACGCAGTGGTTGAGAATCAAGTTCGTTTTCTTTCCCTACCTCTTCAAGTGGACCTTCGTAACGTTCACCAACCAATGGGTATGATGACGTTGACGGGGTTGAAACGTGACCTTCTTCTTGTGGCTTGCGATCTTTGTGTTTGAAAATACCAAAGAATGATGACTCTTGATCTTTGTCTTTCTTTTCTTTCTTTGGCTTCTTTTCCTTCGGCTGTTTTGGAGCTTTAGCTTGTTTCAACTCCTCAACTTGAGGTTCTTCTTCTTTAGTGCGAAGGTGAATGATCGCAGTTTGTTTATCATGAGGTTCTTCGTGCACTTCTTCCTCGTCGCCTTTAACGACGGATTCGCCTCCATGATATTTAGTGACATGACTGGCTAACGGTTCAGTTTGGATCTCGTTAAACTTGCTAGTCTCGTCGAGAGGACCTTCGTAAGGCGTATGATCGAATTTGTAGCCAGCTGGATCTTGATCGCCGACCTCTTCCTCTCCTTCATGTCTAGCCCAAGTGAAGAACTTGAAGCGTCTGTTTCGTGATGGTTCACTGAGTCCAGAATGATACACATTGACATCAGTACGCAGTGGTTGAGAATCAAGTTCGTTTTCTTTCCCTACCTCTTCAAGTGGACCTTCGTAACGTTCACCAACCAATGGGTATGATGACGTTGACGGGGTTGAAACGTGACCTTCTTCTTGTGGCTTGCGATCTTTGTGTTTGAAAATACCAAAGAATGATGACTCTTGATCTTTGTCTTTCTTTTCTTTCTTTGGCTTCTTTTCCTTCGGCTGTTTTGGAGCTTTAGCTTGTTTCAACTCCTCAACTTGAGGTTCTTCTTCTTTAGTGCGAAGGTGAATGATCGCAGTTTGTTTATCATGAGGTTCTTCGTGCACTTCTTCCTCGTCGCCTTTAACGACGGATTCGCCTCCATGATATTTAGTGACATGACTGGCTAACGGTTCAGTTTGGATCTCGTTAAACTTGCTAGTCTCGTCGAGAGGACCTTCGTAAGGCGTATGATCGAATTTGTAGCCAGCTGGATCTTGATCGCCGACCTCTTCCTCTCCTTCATGTCTAGCCCAAGTGAAGAACTTGAAGCGTCTGTTTCGTGATGGTTCACTGAGTCCAGAATGGTACACATTGACATCAGTACGCAGTGGTTGAGAATCAAGTTCGTTTTCTTTCCCTACCTCTTCAAGTGGACCTTCGTAACGTTCACCAACCAATGGGTATGATGACGTTGACGGGGTTGAAGCGTGACCTTCTTCTTGTGGCTTGCGATCTTTGTGTTTGAAAATACCAAAGAATGATGACTCTTGATCTTTGTCTTTCTTTTCTTTCTTTGGCTTCTTTTCCTTCGGCTGTTTTGGAGCTTTAGCTTGTTTCAACTCCTCAACTTGAGGTTCTTCTTCTTTAGTGCGAAGGTGAATGATCGCAGTTTGTTTATCATGAGGTTCTTCGTGCACTTCTTCCTCGTCGCCTTTAACGACGGATTCGCCTCCATGATATTTAGTGACATGACTGGCTAACGGTTCAGTTTGGATCTCGTTAAACTTGCTAGTCTCGTCGAGAGGACCTTCGTAAGGCGTATGATCGAATTTGTAGCCAGCTGGATCTTGATCGCCGACCTCTTCCTCTCCTTCATGTCTAGCCCAAGTGAAGAACTTGAAGCGTCTGTTTCGTGATGGTTCACTGAGTCCAGAATGGTACACATTGACATCAGTACGCAGTGGTTGAGAATCAAGTTCGTTTTCTTTCCCTACCTCTTCAAGTGGACCTTCGTAACGTTCACCAACCAATGGGTATGATGACGTTGACGGGGTTGAAGCGTGACCTTCTTCTTGTGGCTTGCGATCTTTGTGTTTGAAAATACCAAAGAATGATGACTCTTGATCTTTGTCTTTCTTTTCTTTCTTTGGCTTCTTTTCCTTCGGCTGTTTTGGAGCTTTAGCTTGTTTCAACTCCTCAACTTGAGGTTCTTCTTCTTTAGTGCGAAGGTGAATGATCGCAGTTTGTTTATCATGAGGTTCTTCGTGCACTTCTTCCTCGTCGCCTTTAACGACGGATTCGCCTCCATGATATTTAGTGACATGACTGGCTAACGGTTCAGTTTGGATCTCGTTAAACTTGCTAGTCTCGTCGAGAGGACCTTCGTAAGGCGTATGATCGAATTTGTAGCCAGCTGGATCTTGATCGCCGACCTCTTCCTCTCCTTCATGTCTAGCCCAAGTGAAGAACTTGAAGCGTCTGTTTCGTGATGGTTCACTGAGTCCAGAATGGTACACATTGACATCAGTACGCAGTGGTTGAGAATCAAGTTCGTTTTCTTTCCCTACCTCTTCAAGTGGACCTTCGTAACGTTCACCAACCAATGGGTATGATGACGTTGACGGGGTTGAAGCGTGACCTTCTTCTTGTGGCTTGCGATCTTTGTGTTTGAAAATACCAAAGAATGATGACTCTTGATCTTTGTCTTTCTTTTCTTTCTTTGGCTTCTTTTCCTTCGGCTGTTTTGGAGCTTTAGCTTGTTTCAACTCCTCAACTTGAGGTTCTTCTTCTTTAGTGCGAAGGTGAATGATCGCAGTTTGTTTATCATGAGGTTCTTCGTGCACTTCTTCCTCGTCGCCTTTAACGACGGATTCGCCTCCATGATATTTAGTGACATGACTGGCTAACGGTTCAGTTTGGATCTCGTTAAACTTGCTAGTCTCGTCGAGAGGACCTTCGTAAGGCGTATGATCGAATTTGTAGCCAGCTGGATCTTGATCGCCGACCTCTTCCTCTCCTTCATGTCTAGCCCAAGTGAAGAACTTGAAGCGTCTGTTTCGTGATGGTTCACTGAGTCCAGAATGATACACATTGACATCAGTACGCAGTGGTTGAGAATCAAGTTCGTTTTCTTTCCCTACCTCTTCAAGTGGACCTTCGTAACGTTCACCAACCAATGGGTATGATGACGTTGACGGGGTTGAAACGTGACCTTCTTCTTGTGGCTTGCGATCTTTGTGTTTGAAAATACCAAAGAATGATGACTCTTGATCTTTGTCTTTCTTTTCTTTCTTTGGCTTCTTTTCCTTCGGCTGTTTTGGAGCTTTAGCTTGTTTCAACTCCTCAACTTGAGGTTCTTCTTCTTTAGTGCGAAGGTGAATGATCGCAGTTTGTTTATCATGAGGTTCTTCGTGCACTTCTTCCTCGTCGCCTTTAACGACGGATTCGCCTCCATGATATTTAGTGACATGACTGGCTAACGGTTCAGTTTGGATCTCGTTAAACTTGCTAGTCTCGTCGAGAGGACCTTCGTAAGGCGTATGATCGAATTTGTAGCCAGCTGGATCTTGATCGCCGACCTCTTCCTCTCCTTCATGTCTAGCCCAAGTGAAGAACTTGAAGCGTCTGTTTCGTGATGGTTCACTGAGTCCAGAATGGTACACATTGACATCAGTACGCAGTGGTTGAGAATCAAGTTCGTTTTCTTTCCCTACCTCTTCAAGTGGACCTTCGTAACGTTCACCAACCAATGGGTATGATGACGTTGACGGGGTTGAAGCGTGACCTTCTTCTTGTGGCTTGCGATCTTTGTGTTTGAAAATACCAAAGAATGATGACTCTTGATCTTTGTCTTTCTTTTCTTTCTTTGGCTTCTTTTCCTTCGGCTGTTTTGGAGCTTTAGCTTGTTTCAACTCCTCAACTTGAGGTTCTTCTTCTTTAGTGCGAAGGTGAATGATCGCAGTTTGTTTATCATGAGGTTCTTCGTGCACTTCTTCCTCGTCGCCTTTAACGACGGATTCGCCTCCATGATATTTAGTGACATGACTGGCTAACGGTTCAGTTTGGATCTCGTTAAACTTGCTAGTCTCGTCGAGAGGACCTTCGTAAGGCGTATGATCGAATTTGTAGCCAGCTGGATCTTGATCGCCGACCTCTTCCTCTCCTTCATGTCTAGCCCAAGTGAAGAACTTGAAGCGTCTGTTTCGTGATGGTTCACTGAGTCCAGAATGGTACACATTGACATCAGTACGCAGTGGTTGAGAATCAAGTTCGTTTTCTTTCCCTACCTCTTCAAGTGGACCTTCGTAACGTTCACCAACCAATGGGTATGATGACGTTGACGGGGTTGAAGCGTGACCTTCTTCTTGTGGCTTGCGATCTTTGTGTTTGAAAATACCAAAGAATGATGACTCTTGATCTTTGTCTTTCTTTTCTTTCTTTGGCTTCGTTTCCTTCGGCTGTTTTGGAGCTTTAGCTTGTTTCAACTCCTCAACTTGAGGTTCTTCTTCTTTAGTGCGAAGGTGAATGATCGCAGTTTGTTTATCATGAGGTTCTTCGTGCACTTCTTCCTCGTCGCCTTTAACGACGGATTCGCCTCCATGATATTTAGTGACATGACTGGCTAACGGTTCAGTTTGGATCTCGTTAAACTTGCTAGTCTCGTCGAGAGGACCTTCGTAAGGCGTATGATCGAATTTGTAGCCAGCTGGATCTTGATCGCCGACCTCTTCCTCTCCTTCATGTCTAGCCCAAGTGAAGAACTTGAAGCGTCTGTTTCGTGATGGTTCACTGAGTCCAGAATGGTACACATTGACATCAGTACGCAGTGGTTGAGAATCAAGTTCGTTTTCTTTCCCTACCTCTTCAAGTGGACCTTCGTAACGTTCACCAACCAATGGGTATGATGACGTTGACGGGGTTGAAGCGTGACCTTCTTCTTGTGGCTTGCGATCTTTGTGTTTGAAAATACCAAAGAATGATGACTCTTGATCTTTGTCTTTCTTTTCTTTCTTTGGCTTCTTTTCCTTCGGCTGTTTTGGAGCTTTAGCTTGTTTCAACTCCTCAAATTGAGGTTCTTCTTCTTTAGTGCGAAGGTGAATGATCGCAGTTTGTTTATCATGAGGTTCTTCGTGCACTTCTTCCTCGTCGCCTTTAACGACGGATTCGCCTCCATGATATTTAGTGACATGACTGGCTAACGGTTCAGTTTGGATCTCGTTAAACTTGCTAGTCTCGTCGAGAGGACCTTCGTAAGGCGTATGATCGAATTTGTAGCCAGCTGGATCTTGATCGCCGACCTCTTCCTCTCCTTCATGTCTAGCCCAAGTGAAGAACTTGAAGCGTCTGTTTCGTGATGGTTCACTGAGTCCAGAATGGTACACATTGACATCAGTACGCAGTGGTTGAGAATCAAGTTCGTTTTCTTTCCCTACCTCTTCAAGTGGACCTTCGTAACGTTCACCAACCAATGGGTATGATGACGTTGACGGGGTTGAAGCGTGACCTTCTTCTTGTGGCTTGCGATCTTTGTGTTTGAAAATACCAAAGAATGATGACTCTTGATCTTTGTCTTTCTTTTCTTTCTTTGGCTTCGTTTCCTTCGGCTGTTTTGGAGCTTTAGCTTGTTTCAACTCCTCAACTTGAGGTTCTTCTTCTTTAGTGCGAAGGTGAATGATCGCAGTTTGTTTATCATGAGGTTCTTCGTGCACTTCTTCCTCGTCGCCTTTAACGACGGATTCGCCTCCATGATATTTAGTGACATGACTGGCTAACGGTTCAGTTTGGATCTCGTTAAACTTGCTAGTCTCGTCGAGAGGACCTTCGTAAGGCGTATGATCGAATTTGTAGCCAGCTGGATCTTGATCGCCGACCTCTTCCTCTCCTTCATGTCTAGCCCAAGTGAAGAACTTGAAGCGTCTGTTTCGTGATGGTTCACTGAGTCCAGAATGGTACACATTGACATCAGTACGCAGTGGTTGAGAATCAAGTTCGTTTTCTTTCCCTACCTCTTCAAGTGGACCTTCGTAACGTTCACCAACCAATGGGTATGATGACGTTGACGGGGTTGAAGCGTGACCTTCTTCTTGTGGCTTGCGATCTTTGTGTTTGAAAATACCAAAGAATGATGACTCTTGATCTTTGTCTTTCTTTTCTTTCTTTGGCTTCTTTTCCTTCGGCTGTTTTGGAGCTTTAGCTTGTTTCAACTCCTCAACTTGAGGTTCTTCTTCTTTAGTGCGAAGGTGAATGATCGCAGTTTGTTTATCATGAGGTTCTTCGTGCACTTCTTCCTCGTCGCCTTTAACGACGGATTCGCCTCCATGATATTTAGTGACATGACTGGCTAACGGTTCAGTTTGGATCTCGTTAAACTTGCTAGTCTCGTCGAGAGGACCTTCGTAAGGCGTATGATCGAATTTGTAGCCAGCTGGATCTTGATCGCCGACCTCTTCCTCTCCTTCATGTCTAGCCCAAGTGAAGAACTTGAAGCGTCTGTTTCGTGATGGTTCACTGAGTCCAGAATGGTACACATTGACATCAGTACGCAGTGGTTGAGAATCAAGTTCGTTTTCTTTCCCTACCTCTTCAAGTGGACCTTCGTAACGTTCACCAACCAATGGGTATGATGACGTTGACGGGGTTGAAGCGTGACCTTCTTCTTGTGGCTTGCGATCTTTGTGTTTGAAAATACCAAAGAATGATGACTCTTGATCTTTGTCTTTCTTTTCTTTCTTTGGCTTCTTTTCCTTCGGCTGTTTTGGAGCTTTAGCTTGTTTCAACTCCTCAAATTGAGGTTCTTCTTCTTTAGTGCGAAGGTGAATGATCGCAGTTTGTTTATCATGAGGTTCTTCGTGCACTTCTTCCTCGTCGCCTTTAACGACGGATTCGCCTCCATGATATTTAGTGACATGACTGGCTAACGGTTCAGTTTGGATCTCGTTAAACTTGCTAGTCTCGTCGAGAGGACCTTCGTAAGGCGTATGATCGAATTTGTAGCCAGCTGGATCTTGATCGCCGACCTCTTCCTCTCCTTCATGTCTAGCCCAAGTGAAGAACTTGAAGCGTCTGTTTCGTGATGGTTCACTGAGTCCAGAATGGTACACATTGACATCAGTACGCAGTGGTTGAGAATCAAGTTCGTTTTCTTTCCCTACCTCTTCAAGTGGACCTTCGTAACGTTCACCAACCAATGGGTATGATGACGTTGACGGGGTTGAAGCGTGACCTTCTTCTTGTGGCTTGCGATCTTTGTGTTTGAAAATACCAAAGAATGATGACTCTTGATCTTTGTCTTTCTTTTCTTTCTTTGGCTTCTTTTCCTTTGGCTGTTTTGGAGCTTTAGCTTGTTTCAACTCCTCAACTTGAGGTTCTTCTTCTTTAGTGCGAAGGTGAATGATCGCAGTTTGTTTATCATGAGGTTCTTCGTGCACTTCTTCCTCGTCGCCTTTAACGACAGATTCGCCTCCATGATATTTAGTGACATGACTGGCTAACGGTTCAGTTTGGATCTCGTTAAACTTGCTAGTCTCGTCGAGAGGACCTTCGTAAGGCGTATGATCGAATTTGTAGCCAGCTGGATCTTGATCGCCGACCTCTTCCTCTCCTTCATGTCTAGCCCAAGTGAAGAACTTGAAGCGTCTGTTTCGTGATGGTTCACTGAGTCCAGAATGGTACACATTGACATCAGTACGCAGTGGTTGAGAATCAAGTTCGTTTTCTTTCCCTACCTCTTCAAGTGGACCTTCGTAACGTTCACCAACCAATGGGTATGATGACGTTGACGGGGTTGAAGCGTGACCTTCTTCTTGTGGCTTGCGATCTTTGTGTTTGAAAATACCAAAGAATGATGACTCTTGATCTTTGTCTTTCTTTTCTTTCTTTGGCTTCTTTTCCTTCGGCTGTTTTGGAGCTTTAGCTTGTTTCAACTCCTCAACTTGAGGTTCTTCTTCTTTAGTGCGAAGGTGAATGATCGCAGTTTGTTTATCATGAGGTTCTTCGTGCACTTCTTCCTCGTCGCCTTTAACGACGGATTCGCCTCCATGATATTTAGTGACATGACTGGCTAACGGTTCAGTTTGGATCTCGTTAAACTTGCTAGTCTCGTCGAGAGGACCTTCGTAAGGCGTATGATCGAATTTGTAGCCAGCTGGATCTTGATCGCCGACCTCTTCCTCTCCTTCATGTCTAGCCCAAGTGAAGAACTTGAAGCGTCTGTTTCGTGATGGTTCACTGAGTCCAGAATGGTACACATTGACATCAGTACGCAGTGGTTGAGAATCAAGTTCGTTTTCTTTCCCTACCTCTTCAAGTGGACCTTCGTAACGTTCACCAACCAATGGGTATGATGACGTTGACGGGGTTGAAGCGTGACCTTCTTCTTGTGGCTTGCGATCTTTGTGTTTGAAAATACCAAAGAATGATGACTCTTGATCTTTGTCTTTCTTTTCTTTCTTTGGCTTCTTTTCCTTCGGCTGTTTTGGAGCTTTAGCTTGTTTCAACTCCTCAACTTGAGGTTCTTCTTCTTTAGTGCGAAGGTGAATGATCGCAGTTTGTTTATCATGAGGTTCTTCGTGCACTTCTTCCTCGTCGCCTTTAACGACAGATTCGCCTCCATGATATTTAGTGACATGACTGGCTAACGGTTCAGTTTGGATCTCGTTAAACTTGCTAGTCTCGTCGAGAGGACCTTCGTAAGGCGTATGATCGAATTTGTAGCCAGCTGGATCTTGATCGCCGACCTCTTCCTCTCCTTCATGTCTAGCCCAAGTGAAGAACTTGAAGCGTCTGTTTCGTGATGGTTCACTGAGTCCAGAATGGTACACATTGACATCAGTACGCAGTGGTTGAGAATCAAGTTCGTTTTCTTTCCCTACCTCTTCAAGTGGACCTTCGTAACGTTCACCAACCAATGGGTATGATGACGTTGACGGGGTTGAAGCGTGACCTTCTTCTTGTGGCTTGCGATCTTTGTGTTTGAAAATACCAAAGAATGATGACTCTTGATCTTTGTCTTTCTTTTCTTTCTTTGGCTTCTTTTCCTTCGGCTGTTTTGGAGCTTTAGCTTGTTTCAACTCCTCAACTTGAGGTTCTTCTTCTTTAGTGCGAAGGTGAATGATCGCAGTTTGTTTATCATGAGGTTCTTCGTGCACTTCTTCCTCGTCGCCTTTAACGACGGATTCGCCTCCATGATATTTAGTGACATGACTGGCTAACGGTTCAGTTTGGATCTCGTTAAACTTGCTAGTCTCGTCGAGAGGACCTTCGTAAGGCGTATGATCGAATTTGTAGCCAGCTGGATCTTGATCGCCGACCTCTTCCTCTCCTTCATGTCTAGCCCAAGTGAAGAACTTGAAGCGTCTGTTTCGTGATGGTTCACTGAGTCCAGAATGGTACACATTGACATCAGTACGCAGTGGTTGAGAATCAAGTTCGTTTTCTTTCCCTACCTCTTCAAGTGGACCTTCGTAACGTTCACCAACCAATGGGTATGATGACGTTGACGGGGTTGAAGCGTGACCTTCTTCTTGTGGCTTGCGATCTTTGTGTTTGAAAATACCAAAGAATGATGACTCTTGATCTTTGTCTTTCTTTTCTTTCTTTGGCTTCTTTTCCTTCGGCTGTTTTGGAGCTTTAGCTTGTTTCAACTCCTCAACTTGAGGTTCTTCTTCTTTAGTGCGAAGGTGAATGATCGCAGTTTGTTTATCATGAGGTTCTTCGTGCACTTCTTCCTCGTCGCCTTTAACGACAGATTCGCCTCCATGATATTTAGTGACATGACTGGCTAACGGTTCAGTTTGGATCTCGTTAAACTTGCTAGTCTCGTCGAGAGGACCTTCGTAAGGCGTATGATCGAATTTGTAGCCAGCTGGATCTTGATCGCCGACCTCTTCCTCTCCTTCATGTCTAGCCCAAGTGAAGAACTTGAAGCGTCTGTTTCGTGATGGTTCACTGAGTCCAGAATGGTACACATTGACATCAGTACGCAGTGGTTGAGAATCAAGTTCGTTTTCTTTCCCTACCTCTTCAAGTGGACCTTCGTAACGTTCACCAACCAATGGGTATGATGACGTTGACGGGGTTGAAGCGTGACCTTCTTCTTGTGGCTTGCGATCTTTGTGTTTGAAAATACCAAAGAATGATGACTCTTGATCTTTGTCTTTCTTTTCTTTCTTTGGCTTCTTTTCCTTCGGCTGTTTTGGAGCTTTAGCTTGTTTCAACTCCTCAACTTGAGGTTCTTCTTCTTTAGTGCGAAGGTGAATGATCGCAGTTTGTTTATCATGAGGTTCTTCGTGCACTTCTTCCTCGTCGCCTTTAACGACGGATTCGCCTCCATGATATTTAGTGACATGACTGGCTAACGGTTCAGTTTGGATCTCGTTAAACTTGCTAGTCTCGTCGAGAGGACCTTCGTAAGGCGTATGATCGAATTTGTAGCCAGCTGGATCTTGATCGCCGACCTCTTCCTCTCCTTCATGTCTAGCCCAAGTGAAGAACTTGAAGCGTCTGTTTCGTGATGGTTCACTGAGTCCAGAATGGTACACATTGACATCAGTACGCAGTGGTTGAGAATCAAGTTCGTTTTCTTTCCCTACCTCTTCAAGTGGACCTTCGTAACGTTCACCAACCAATGGGTATGATGACGTTGACGGGGTTGAAGCGTGACCTTCTTCTTGTGGCTTGCGATCTTTGTGTTTGAAAATACCAAAGAATGATGACTCTTGATCTTTGTCTTTCTTTTCTTTCTTTGGCTTCTTTTCCTTCGGCTGTTTTGGAGCTTTAGCTTGTTTCAACTCCTCAACTTGAGGTTCTTCTTCTTTAGTGCGAAGGTGAATGATCGCAGTTTGTTTATCATGAGGTTCTTCGTGCACTTCTTCCTCGTCGCCTTTAACGACGGATTCGCCTCCATGATATTTAGTGACATGACTGGCTAACGGTTCAGTTTGGATCTCGTTAAACTTGCTAGTCTCGTCGAGAGGACCTTCGTAAGGCGTATGATCGAATTTGTAGCCAGCTGGATCTTGATCGCCGACCTCTTCCTCTCCTTCATGTCTAGCCCAAGTGAAGAACTTGAAGCGTCTGTTTCGTGATGGTTCACTGAGTCCAGAATGGTACACATTGACATCAGTACGCAGTGGTTGAGAATCAAGTTCGTTTTCTCTCCCTACCTTTTCAAGTGGACCTTCGTAACGTTCACCAACCAATGGGTATGATGACGTTGACGGGGTTGAAACGTGACCTTCTTCTTGTGGCTTGCGATCTTTGTGTTTGAAAATACCAAAGAATGATGACTCTTGATCTTTGTCTTTCTTTTCTTTCTTTGGCTTCTTTTCCTTCGGCTGTTTTGGAGCTTTAGCTTGTTTCAACTCCTCAACTTGAGGTTCTTCTTCTTTAGTGCGAAGGTGAATGATCGCAGTTTGTTTATCATGAGGTTCTTCGTGCACTTCTTCCTCGTCGCCTTTAACGACGGATTCGCCTCCATGATATTTAGTGACATGACTGGCTAACGGTTCAGTTTGGATCTCGTTAAACTTGCTAGTCTCGTCGAGAGGACCTTCGTAAGGCGTATGATCGAATTTGTAGCCAGCTGGATCTTGATCGCCGACCTCTTCCTCTCCTTCATGTCTAGCCCAAGTGAAGAACTTGAAGCGTCTGTTTCGTGATGGTTCACTGAGTCCAGAATGATACACATTGACATCAGTACGCAGTGGTTGAGAATCAAGTTCGTTTTCTTTCCCTACCTCTTCAAGTGGACCTTCGTAACGTTCACCAACCAATGGGTATGATGACGTTGACGGGGTTGAAGCGTGACCTTCTTCTTGTGGCTTGCGATCTTTGTGTTTGAAAATACCAAAGAATGATGACTCTTGATCTTTGTCTTTCTTTTCTTTCTTTGGCTTCTTTTCCTTCGGCTGTTTTGGAGCTTTAGCTTGTTTCAACTCCTCAACTTGAGGTTCTTCTTCTTTAGTGCGAAGGTGAATGATCGCAGTTTGTTTATCATGAGGTTCTTCGTGCACTTCTTCCTCGTCGCCTTTAACGACGGATTCGCCTCCATGATATTTAGTGACATGACTGGCTAACGGTTCAGTTTGGATCTCGTTAAACTTGCTAGTCTCGTCGAGAGGACCTTCGTAAGGCGTATGATCGAATTTGTAGCCAGCTGGATCTTGATCGCCGACCTCTTCCTCTCCTTCATGTCTAGCCCAAGTGAAGAACTTGAAGCGTCTGTTTCGTGATGGTTCACTGAGTCCAGAATGATACACATTGACATCAGTACGCAGTGGTTGAGAATCAAGTTCGTTTTCTTTCCCTACCTCTTCAAGTGGACCTTCGTAACGTTCACCAACCAATGGGTATGATGACGTTGACGGGGTTGAAACGTGACCTTCTTCTTGTGGCTTGCGATCTTTGTGTTTGAAAATACCAAAGAATGATGACTCTTGATCTTTGTCTTTCTTTTCTTTCTTTGGCTTCTTTTCCTTCGGCTGTTTTGGAGCTTTAGCTTGTTTCAACTCCTCAACTTGAGGTTCTTCTTCTTTAGTGCGAAGGTGAATGATCGCAGTTTGTTTATCATGAGGTTCTTCGTGCACTTCTTCCTCGTCGCCTTTAACGACGGATTCGCCTCCATGATATTTAGTGACATGACTGGCTAACGGTTCAGTTTGGATCTCGTTAAACTTGCTAGTCTCGTCGAGAGGACCTTCGTAAGGCGTATGATCGAATTTGTAGCCAGCTGGATCTTGATCGCCGACCTCTTCCTCTCCTTCATGTCTAGCCCAAGTGAAGAACTTGAAGCGTCTGTTTCGTGATGGTTCACTGAGTCCAGAATGGTACACATTGACATCAGTACGCAGTGGTTGAGAATCAAGTTCGTTTTCTCTCCCTACCTTTTGTGGACCTTCGTAACGTTCACCAACCAATGGGTATGATGACGTTGACGGGGTTGAAACGTGACCTTCTTCTTGTGGCTTGCGATCTTTGTGTTTGAAAATACCAAAGAATGATGACTCTTGATCTTTGTCTTTCTTTTCTTTCTTTGGCTTCTTTTCCTTCGGCTGTTTTGGAGCTTTAGCTTGTTTCAACTCCTCAACTTGAGGTTCTTCTTCTTTAGTGCGAAGGTGAATGATCGCAGTTTGTTTATCATGAGGTTCTTCGTGCACTTCTTCCTCGTCGCCTTTAACGACGGATTCGCCTCCATGATATTTAGTGACATGACTGGCTAACGGTTCAGTTTGGATCTCGTTAAACTTGCTAGTCTCGTCGAGAGGACCTTCGTAAGGCGTATGATCGAATTTGTAGCCAGCTGGATCTTGATCGCCGACCTCTTCCTCTCCTTCATGTCTAGCCCAAGTGAAGAACTTGAAGCGTCTGTTTCGTGATGGTTCACTGAGTCCAGAATGATACACATTGACATCAGTACGCAGTGGTTGAGAATCAAGTTCGTTTTCTTTCCCTACCTCTTCAAGTGGACCTTCGTAACGTTCACCAACCAATGGGTATGATGACGTTGACGGGGTTGAAACGTGACCTTCTTCTTGTGGCTTGCGATCTTTGTGTTTGAAAATACCAAAGAATGATGACTCTTGATCTTTGTCTTTCTTTTTCTTTCTTTGGCTTCTTTTCCTTCGGCTGTTTTGGAGCTTTAGCTTGTTTCAACTCCTCAACTTGAGGTTCTTCTTCTTTAGTGCGAAGGTGAATGATCGCAGTTTGTTTATCATGAGGTTCTTCGTGCACTTCTTCCTCGTCGCCTTTAACGACAGATTCGCCTCCATGATATTTAGTGACATGACTGGCTAACGGTTCAGTTTGGATCTCGTTAAACTTGCTAGTCTCGTCGAGAGGACCTTCGTAAGGCGTATGATCGAATTTGTAGCCAGCTGGATCTTGATCGCCGACCTCTTCCTCTCCTTCATGTCTAGCCCAAGTGAAGAACTTGAAGCGTCTGTTTCGTGATGGTTCACTGAGTCCAGAATGGTACACATTGACATCAGTACGCAGTGGTTGAGAATCAAGTTCGTTTTCTCTCCCTACCTTTTCAAGTGGACCTTCGTAACGTTCACCAACCAATGGGTATGATGACGTTGACGGGGTTGAAACGTGACCTTCTTCTTGTGGCTTGCGATCTTTGTGTTTGAAAATACCAAAGAATGATGACTCTTGATCTTTGTCTTTCTTTTCTTTCTTTGGCTTCTTTTCCTTCGGCTGTTTTGGAGCTTTAGCTTGTTTCAACTCCTCAACTTGAAGTTCTTCTTCTTTAGTGCGAAGGTGAATGATCGCAGTTTGTTTATCATGAGGTTCTTCGTGCACTTCTTCCTCGTCGCCTTTAACGACGGATTCGCCTCCATGATATTTAGTGACATGACTGGCTAGCGGTTCAGTTTGGATCTCGTTAAACTTGCTAGTCTCGTCGAGAGGACCTTCGTAAGGCGTATGATCGAACTTGTAGCCAGCTGGATCTTGATCGCCGACCTCTTCCTCTCCTTCATGTCTAGCCCAAGTGAAGAACTTAAAGCGTCTGTTTCGTGATGGTTCACTGAGTCCAGAATGGTACACGTCAACATTTTCGCGAAGAGGAGACGTAAATAATTTGTTTGGATACAAGGTATCAAGATGTCCTGTATAAGGAACGTTATTAACAGGGTATTCTGGCAATGGTTGTACTTCTGCGCGAGGTATAGGCGATAAATCGACTTGAGCAAATCCGTTTTTATGGCCATGACTTGGTCGTCGTATTCTTTGTAAATGCAAAACGGCTACTGGTTTTGGGAAACGTGATGGACCTCTGTATTTCTGTTTTGGGTAGTTTATCTTTTTAACACATTGTCTTAAGTTAACAGGTTCTAAGTCTTGTGATTTTTCAAGTCTTTCGCTGTCTATGTACTGTTGTCCATCAAAAGAATAGTCCGTATTACTGGCATCGCCTTCTGACTCTTCGCCAGAGTGTTGTTTTCGTTCAACTATTTTGTGGTGTTCACTATAGATTCCTGAATGGTAAATGTTGGAATAGTAACGTATAGGAACAGTTTGCATTTCGTTCTCGAGGTTTTGGTGCAATATTGGTGTAAACTCATCTCTTTCGAACAACTTCCGACGTGGGACGTGGCGTTTTTTCTTTGCAAAAGCAAAGCGAGACTTTGGCGTTTCCGTAATATTGTCTTCTCTAGTCAAACTTTGATACTCTTTTCTATTGTCAGGGCTTTTAGCACTTCTACGTATGGCACGTTGAGCTTCGGCAGCGCTGATGTTGTACCTATATAGTGGCACGGTATTGTCGATTCCAACAATTCGAATACAATGGTTGATAGAATCATCAAAATTGACATTCGGCGACGGTGTTCGCGTTCGAATAGCTTCTTCAGCATTTGCTGGTAGCTTTGAATATGGAGTTTTAGGTGAGAGATGGGATCGGCGGCAGTAAACCCGCGAAGTACTCGCTTCTCTAACACGGTACTCAACTTGTTCTGGTGTATGACCGGAAGCTGCCAGAAGGGCACGGTAGTTTGAGATGAGTTCTGTAGACAGTTGACTATTGTCGGGGCTACTAATGTATTCAGCCAATACAGTATGCGAACGGGAAGGGAGGCTCATTAGCGTTGTAAGCACGCTTTCGTTGACTTCCCTAACAATAGGTAGTAGTTGGTCGCCGCTTGGCGACGTAGCGATTAGTTGCGCGTATGGTATAGCTGACAATGATCGTGCAGGCGTCTTTGTCGTGTAGCGTGCGCTTTCGGTGTGTAGCTCGCGTTTTTCAGAGTGCAACCCAAACTTGGGAGGTACGGAAATAGAGGTTCTAGTGGGGGTGGGGGGCGAGTTGCGTCTAGCGGGGTCGTGGGACGTTCTACTGCCTAGCGGGGGAATGCGGCGTTGTCTCGAAAACCATTTGGCTGACAAGAACGTTGGCGTTGAAACCACCGGACGACCGGCGCGTACATTCTCGTCCGGCCAAGTCTCCGGTTGTTCCGGGTGTGGCACGTTTTCTTGGGGTCGCAAAAAACGCGGTGACGGTGTTTCAGTGACAGTGTAACGACCCGAGCGCGTAATCATCGTTGTTTTAGCGGTGATTTCAGTGGTCGTGGATACAAAAAGGGGACTGTCCAATGACTTCGCATTTTCTATCCCCGAATCAGAAGCTGTACCCACCTCGGTTCCTGATCTTTCCATTGTCGAAACCTGTGGACTGGTCGTTTCGTCGAATTGACTGCTGATCAGGGTGTACCGCTTTTGAGGCGAGTTTCCCTGAAACAGTGTTAAAGAACCATGACAATATGTTACTAATAAACATTACATCTGCAAAAATATAAAAACTACATTTGCTAAAACTTACCTCCTTATCGTCGGCGAAATGCAAAGGAGAAGATCCTTGATGTGTAGAAGGAACTAAAATATTTAAATTAAACAAGAAAATAAAAAAAATAAATCAAATTTAAAAACTTTTTTAAAACTTAACATTACTAACCTTTGTATGTAAACTTAAATCAAGAATATTGTCATAATTAACAACAACTTACGATTCTCCGATGAACGGCTCACGACTTGTGCGCTTGAGATCTGTGGACCGGCAGTGGGAGTACCATCAAACATTTGGCTAGCCATCTTTGTTTGGAAATGTGTGCGGCCTTCAGGGCGGAAACGGCCCGAGCCCAACTGGAAGAACCCGCTCTTGTTGGGCTTGTCCTCGGGCTGCATCAGGCGGAAGAAGGTGTGATGTTCGACAGACGTTCTCCAGCAAAGCTTGGCCAGAGGTTCGGCGTCGAGTTTGAAGGTCAGTGATGACTTTCCTTCCTTCTGAAAAAGAAGATTACTTAAGAAAATTTAATTTTACAGCATTATACAATGACTATTATGCATAAAAAATCATAAAAGAAAGTTAAAAGGCCTTAAATACAGTTCAAGACATTAAAGCCTGTTTACCTCTCCATGCTTGAGCTTCAATGTGAAGGTTTTCCGCTGGTACTCCAACTGGTGCATTCCCTGCCAAACAATATAGTTCTGTCGCAAATGCTCCTGGAAGACGCTGATTCCAGCCGAGTTGATACCAATTCGAACTGGTTTTCCATTGTGCCTTGCCGAGAACATGACCATTCCATAAAGGGTCAGCTCACGGCACGTCATCAGGAATCCCATTTCGGCTTCAGGGGGTGTTTTTCCTTTCTGATCTTTGTAGAGCTGAATGGTCTTGGCTTCGAGCTCTTCGGACAGTTGAGGCACAATGTTGAGCTTGGTTAGGGCGTCCTTGTAGTCCATATCGGGAGAGTAGTCTCCCAATTCGGCTTGTGCAATCAGTGAGCCCAGATGAGCTTGATTCACCAAGGAAGCGGGTAGTCTAAAATAAATTAAGGTTGGTCATTTTATAAAGTTAAATGCCAAAATAGTGACATAGTCAACATAGTTTCTGATTAAATACCATAAACTAGTAGCTTAAGGCCTAAACTTTAAGTGGAATAATAAGCGTTACCTTCCATTGTAGATATCAGCTCTGAGTTGGAGGGTGAGTAAGTGTCGAGTAAAGTCATCAGCAAGCTGACTGGGATCAGGTGTGTAAAATTTGACTTCCAATGAGAAGTCCCATGGCAAATCCTTGACCTGTTTTTGAATCTTTTTGTTTTTATACAGCCATTTCTAAAACAGTACCGTAAGCAACGTCAAAATGTAAATGTATTTTAAAAAACTAACATATATAAGCATCAAAAAAATACTTAAACTTTCATAAATTGTACTCTTAATGAAAAAAGTACAAATTAATAGTGAAAGTATAAAAAATGTTACTTACTCTGACAGGTGTATTGTCGTAGAAGGCCAAAGAAAAGTAATCCTTTTCGATCAGTCCGACAGCATCAGTGATCAAGTTGAACAATACTTCTCCATCGGCGTTTTTCTAAAACAAACGATAAGTTAATCATAAAATAAAAATAAATATTTTATACAAACTCTCCAAAATAAACAAAAAATTAGGTATAAAATTATTTTTATTAAAAACTGCTACCGCTCAAATGATAATCATCAAAAACTTTTAGTGTCTTAAAGAAAATTAGAAAATAAACAAAATGAGCAATACAGATTCATATACAGATTCATAAACTTACGCTAACTTGGAAGGTAAGTCGACGTCCGTCCAACAGAGTCACCGTTCCCGAGTGCAGCTCCTTGGACTTGACTCCCTGCTGCACCAACGAGGTATTTTCATCCTGTGGCAATGACATCGTGGCAGTGGCTTCAGATGGAACTGGCGTCATTTTTCTCGCTTGCTTGATCGACCTCACGCAGCGACAACGAAACAATGAATGAATGTGAATTCGATGTTAGGAAGTTTATTATTTGAATGGCTCGGTGGCCGAAGCCCGGTCCGTTCGTTTCCAATGTCTCCGAAAATCTCAGCGCTCCCCAAGCGGCTCTAAATTGTCGAGAATGAGGCATGTTAAGGATGTGTATAAGTGACAAGTTATCGTGAATGATCTCGCAATAAAACAGTCAGCGTGAAAACAACATTTGTGTGTCAAAATAACGACGAAAAATGTTTAAAAATCGTCATTTTATGTAAAAAAGCTTGTCGTCAAAGGAAAAAGCATAAAAAATAAAACAAAAAATTCAAATATAAAACTAGTTATACGTACTTTTTGACCATGCAATAAAGAAAACGGCATTTAGAATATCATTGTAAAAAACAAAACAAAATCTTATAAAAAATCGTATACAAACAGTAAAACCGTATATTTGGTACCTTACAGTGTAACAAATTACATTAAAAACCACGCAATATCAAAACAAATTACGAGAGCAAGAAATAAAAGTAAAAATTGATTACTATTACAAGCAATGTAAAATAAAAACGTTCCCATGTTGTAGTTCTGTGCGTTGCGCAACTTCAAAGAAACACGACAAAAATTTACGAAAGGCTATTTAAAGTCGAATTAGAAAAAAGGAAGGCCGACCTTGAGGATGTATGTTACCATTCGCTTACCACTATTCCCCAATTTTACAAAAAACACGAGTAATTTGAATTTTTCTTGACGAATATTAATTATCATGCTATAAGTCTTGGTTTAAACGAGATCGAGGGAGATGGGGAAGAGGGGGAGAGGAGGTTACAAATTAGCCTAGAAAATATTGCTTAAAATTAAAACTATCAACAATACCTAGCTATAATTTTATTTCGTATGCAATTAGCTATCTTAAGTTTTCAGCAATAAAACCTTAATTCTGTTGTTTAAAAAATAGCCTTGTTGTTCAAAAACAGTGATGAAAGTAATATAATGTTGTTAAGGAACAGCGACGTGTAATCGAGAAAACATGATAAAAAAAAGACAAAGGAAGTCGGGCTTAGAAAACAACAACAAGCAAACGTCTATTTTTGTTTACTTTCTCAAACTCTTTTATTACAGTTGTTCAAATAGATAATATGCCAATAAACAAAATATTAATCGAAGCAAAAAAAACATTATAATACTTAAAAGATTGTAAATTTTTGTCCAAATTAAATATTTTGTAAGCAAAAAGACGGCTTTTAATTACTAACAGTAGATTTTTAACCCAAATCAGTAGATATGAAAGTTTTAACATTGAAAAGTAATCATTTTTCAATAAAACTCCGTGAATTTGTAACCAGAAGCAATGGGTTTGTAACCAAACAATCCAATTTTTCTCCAGAAAAACACAAAGATTAACCGAAAACAGAAGAACAAGTTCAGGAAGACACCTCCTTTCACGTAAACAGAATATTTTATATTATTCAAAAGCAGATTTCATGGAGTGGAGAACGTAATTTCCATATTCTCCTCTCGGAAAACATAACAGGCGCTTCGGAAGCGAGAAAACGGATGCAATCGAGTGCGTTAAAGTTGCGTCGAGGTAAAAGGTTAGATCAGAGAAAGCTTTCAGACTCAGTTTCAAGTTTTCAGACCCTTTTTTTAATTTGCAGACCCTTTTTCAAATTTTCAGCCTTTTTAAATGCGGGCTTGCTTCAATTTGAAACAAAACCCCTGGAGCGACCCGAAGCGAACCCATGGAAACAGAAGAGAGTGGACACTTGAATAAAACGAATCGAATGAAATCACAAAAAGTGACAGCGATGTCGCTGCATCTGGCCCCGATTTTAATGGGACCAACCCTAAACCAATGTTGTGTCTTCTGTTTCTCGTTAACGCTACGAATTCGAATCTTGCCCACGAAACGCAAATAAAAGTTTGAAACGAATTAATGTTTTAATGAAGGACATTTCACTAATTTAACGTCGTAAAACTTTCTCAAAAATCGCGCGAATTGGTTTCAATGCCGAAAACTATAATATCCACATAGCAATTCATTATTTTGACATATTTATTTTTGATGTTCCGTTCGCAACCCACAAAAAAACAACCCCGAATTCCATCGTAATCCAATTAACAGCAGAACGCGAGCAAACAAGTAGGGTTTACAAAGCCCACAAGCTGCTACAAAAAGCGTAAAACGTCAAAACACAACCTGAATACAAGAGGTTCTGCTTTGGCGTTCTTTTAGAAAGGTACAAGGCTCTGATGTTTCAAAACTTAAGTTTGACTATCTTTACTCTGTTTAAAAAAATTGGAATGAAATGTAACAAAAAACCACTGCGACGGTAAATAAATTCGCAATATAACATACTCACAAAAAAATTAAAAGAAAATCCACCCATATCGCAGTTATCAGTGCAAAATTAACTGTCCAAAAGTAAGAAGTAAACAACAACAGTCTGTTAATCTTCCCAATTCCGCCCGTCATAGTAAGATTGGTCACAGTTTCTTCTAATTTGCCGAGCCGTAACACTAATACTTTAATTGAATTCACAATTAGATAAACGCAAAGTCGTTAAACAGCTTAGCAGAGATTTGCGCCAAACCTTGGAAAAATGACAAAGATATAAAAAAAGGAACAAGAGCAGCTGCCAACCTGAGGGCGGCAAAACATTTTTGCGGACTTACTGGCCGAACAATGAAAAAGTTTCTTCACCCTTCGCCCCACATTTTATGCATAAAAAAGAGAACGATGAGTCAGGCCCAAAAATCCTTTTTTAAGTTATTGGCCTCTCCTCGGAACATTAAGGCGCAAAAGCTTGACTGGCCAAGCACCGCCAGCCATTAGCACCTTCCGTCTTGCGGCCGAAAATACTCCAAAACAAGCCCTCACTCATATCATCAGCTGAATTACGAAAAAACAAAATTCACAAGATGCTGAATCACACTTCAATTTCTCATCAAAACAACTGTCGTCCTTGTTAAAACAATAACGTAAAACATGTGGCCAGGTTAATAAATATATTTTAGAAAAAGTTTTAAATATCTTGCAAAGAATGAGGTAATAAAGCAGCTTAAATTAGGTAATAAACTTATTTTATAAATCTGTAAAGAATCTTAAAAACTTCCCAATAAATTAGAAACCAAAGACAACAAACAATGTTAGTCACAATGAAAACTCGACAATCTTCAATTTAGAATCCTCATATTCGAAAATCTTCAACTACACGTCGAAATAAAAAGATTGTGCAGCTGTTTAGTTGTGAAAGCCGGCTTTTGTCAATCAAAAAATTGAAAGCCAAACCGACAGAGGCGAGTTTTGCCATCACCAACAGAACGTCAAAATAACACGAAACCACTCAACCCGTACCTAAACACAAAAACATCTCAGACCTTTGCCTTGATCCCACCAACAAAAGTAAAGCAGTATTAGTCATAGAAACAGGCCCGTTTTCAATTAAAAAAGGGTCGAGTCTCTGGGGAACAAAAAAGACGAACAAACGTTCCGAAACGTGCCAAATATAACCAACTCAAACATATTTTTAGCTCAAAACCAATAAGAACAATCTACAACATTTACAAGATTGTTTTAGGTAGATCGCGCCAAAATTAACAAAAAACACAAAGAAATCGAGGTAAACAAGTCACCCGGCTATCCTTGACTCAACATAAAACACCGTTCTACCCAGCAAATCCGTGAACATTGTAAATAAATCACTTGGACCAACAGATGCAAGGAAGAGTTGAGGTGAAAACAGCAAAGTCGGGTAAAAACAGTATTGTTGTTCTGTTTTTTTCACTCCCAAGGTCTCGTAACCTCCAAACAAACACCCGTCTCGTCCTTCCTTTTCAGTCTCATTTCAACCGATCCACAAAAAAGCCCATAAAAAGACGCGCGCGGCCCGTCGTATCCTCGTCCCTCCTTGTATCGACCCAAGAATTCTGGCAGCGAGCCGTTTTTCCAAAATCGAGAATAAAAAGCGAAGAAAATAACACTTGACACATATCTTGGATTTTGAGGAGATGTTGACGCATTAAAATATTTTCGGAAAAATAAATTTATCTTGCAAAAAATTTGTTTACTTGTTTTTTGTAAGAAAAGCAGCTAATACATAATATTACACTGTAAATCCATTGTATTTTAATTGTTTATTTTCAGTATTTTAAAATATTTAAGCTTCCAAGGACATTATGGTAAGTTTTATAAGCAACACACAACTTTACCTTTTAGAAATTCCGTTTTGTTGGTGACTTGGACTGTCCTGATTGGGTACTGGCGGAGATTTCGCAGTTCACACAAATTGTAAGTAATTTAAAATTATATTTTTCATTATTTTAGACTAAAAACAGCTTTAACTCACTGTGCGAAGAGATGTGTACTCGATTATTGATGTCAAACAGGCAATTCACACCTGAAGATACTGAAAGGACCCAAAATTTAGCTGGAATAGATATGGAAACAGCTAAAGGAGTGATTGCTGCTTTAGCATTTATCATAGAAAAGTCTGCTAAACATAAATGTGATCCGAGCGATTTGGAAAAGGAAATGTTACAATGTGGCATGGCTTTTGGTAAGATTTTTGGCATAAAACAAATACTTTGGTCTTAAATAATTGAATATTGTTTGTACTATTACAATATTTTCATATCAGATCATGCCAAAGAGCTCAGTGCTGTATACAACAAGCACTTCTCGAAGTTAACTACAAAACTTGGTCGCGACATACCGAAAGCTCCATCTCTAACAATACTCGAGAAAACACAAAAGGAGATTAACTCTGTAAAAGTAAGTCAATAGTTACGTAAAAATTGAAAACGCATACTCTAGGTCAACTTGTACTCGCTCAGTGATTCGAATGGTAAAAAGTTTCAATTGGGAATGACTGACAAGCAACAGGAGTCATTAAAGCAAGGTAATAAAATTCTAATGTTGCGATCGCTGATTTTAGAAATGCAAAGAGCATTGAAGTCGTTAGAGCCGTACAAGTAACCATCATTTACATTTCGAACATCAATTAAACGTTGTTTATGTTTTAACCACATTTATATGCCATTTGTTGTTTTATACATTTTAAGCGTATAGATTATGTGTACATATATTTGAACTTCATGTAAAAATCCAGTATTTATTCATACTTACATATCTTGTTATTCATATCATTAAATTATTATGATAAATGCCAGTGTGATGTATCAGTCTTTGTTTTCTAAGATTTTGCCTTCAATGATATTCATTATGCGAGATTTGCCGGCTCTTGAAACGTGACTTAATATAGCGTTGATTTGAGGGGTGGTATACTCCTGAAAATGGTGATATTTAACAAAAAAACCTTCATGTTTAGCTATTACACAAAAACATTTAGATAGGCACATGTTGTTTAAAAATGTCATCATTGTTAATGAAGAAATATAATCATATAAGAAAGTTTTGGCAACCAAACTGGTATACTTAAAAGTGCATTTTTCTTAAAGTTTTTGAAACTATGAGCATATTTTGATTATTTCCAAAAATTTAAGTAGGCATTTTAAAACTTACTCCGGAATGACGTGAGATCCAATCAGGTAAATAGCTTTCTTGAAGGTAATATGCTTTGACATAATCTTCTACATGATTCTTGAACGGAACCGGTTTTAGGCTGCTCAAAGTTTCTATTTCTTTGTTTAAATGTTCCGTATCTAACAACATTAAGGCCCGGCCTTCGTTAGTGCACTTTTTACTGACTTCAGAATATCTGAAAATGTACTTTTAGTGACTTTGGCATTTCTAAAGTGACGTGTATTTAAAACTTTTAAAAGTGAAATACCAGTGTTTTAGTATATCAACTAAAGTTTTAAAAGCATAATTTATGTTTAGTTAGGTTGTTAAAATAATTCTGTGCCCTTTAACCTCAAAAATTTTCTTGAGATTGAACACAGAATTATTTGAACAACTTAATGCTTCATTTTCACATTGCTTTACACAAAATTTCGTCAAAACCAACCATAAAATAACATAAGATACTCAACGCACCCTTGCACTAATGTTGTGAAAACGACCTTGGCCACATGTGTCCATATTACACTCTTTATTTCGTGTGATAAGTGGACCAGTTCTCCATATGAGTCCATCTTACTTTTGATCCAATGCAATTCCTACGAAATAAATTGGTTTCTCATTGTCAGCATCGCCTTACCTTTGAAATGTGGACAACATAGTCACTATGATAGTCAACAATATCCGATATGTCCCATTTCACTTGTTTGATGCTCTTCACTATTTGTTCTTGGTTGAAGAGCTTTGAAACCACACAACCATAAACAGCATCTCGTAGGTCAAACGTGGCTGCTAGGCTCTGAAAAGATATGTGTAAACATTATATAAATAAAGTTACGTATATACTACAGTAAATGTGGCTATAGAGCTCTAGAAATAAGGATTTATTACAAAAAGGTCTTCTTAACTTACAGTTTTATAAAAAGTCTGTAGCGAAGTGTTCTTCTTGTTTGGAGATGACAACGAGTCCAAGACCGGCCTTAACAACTCCAACTGTTTTGCCAAGAAAGTCACACTCTCCACGGCTACTACACGTTCTGCCAGTCCAAACAATATCTCTCTATCATTGACCAGGATACTTGGAGATGGTTCACATTTCGGGTATTTGCCGTTCTGTACCTCATCTTGGGTATTAATCAGTCTTGTCTCTATATCCTTCATGGTATTCTGTATCCTCGGCGTACAATACTTGGATTCCAACACTTGATTGTTGCCATCTTTGGCAAAGAATTCGAAGACCATGTAGAAGATGTACTCGTACAACTGGATAATGCTTCTGATTACTTGTTCTGAGATCGAGTGTAACAAGGACGTCATTTGGATACAACGACCGAAGATTTTTAACAGATTTAAAGCGCTGTTACAAACATTGGGTAAAGAGTTCTCCATCCCTGCTTGGTCTTGCATGTAACTAAAAATAAATTTAAAATTCAAAACTTAAAGTAAAAACCATTTACGAAAGTTAGCGATGCAATTCCTAGGTATAAACTTGGTCAGAAAGTTTGTGGAATCAAACTAATGACTTACCACGAATCTTGGGATGAAGTCCGTGACATCGAACTGCGTTTAGTTTGAGCTTCTATTCTGACTTCACCGTTTTCTTCTTTTGTAACTGGCAGAAATGGATTCTGAGGATCGGAGTTGAGCAAGATTAAAGATTCACTTAATTCTGAAGCTTCCCTATGGTATCTTCTGAGATTCGCATTGGAATCCTCGTCGAAAGCGTCCGTGGATTCTTTTAAAAATTGAAATTCCTAAAATACGATAATACATAGCGCAAAAAAAATCATATTTGGCTACACTGACTATAACAAACCCATGATAAAATTGCATTACAAATCCTATATTTTCATCAACAACTCACGGGAAGGTCGAAGAAAGTAAACTGAATAGGTATAGGACACAAAGCAAAAGCCTCGTTCTCCAAAAACATTCGTAATTCGTCCATTCTGTTCCGGTGATATCGTTCAAAATACTGCGACATCAACTTATCTACAGTAACCGTCAAGTTTGAGTAAGGATTTTGGAAGTAAGTTTGGCCAAATCTTTTGAACCGGTTTGTCATCTCTAGTACACTCAAGAAGTTGTCTACTTTAAGATGAGAGAAGTCTTGACACATCAGTAGTTGATTATATTTATCAGCAGCAGTTTCGAAGATTGAGTGTAGTCCATCTATCATCACGGTTTGGAACACGTCTTTTTCAACTAAAAGTACAATTTTAAACTTGAAGATAAAGTTAAGAAAAAAGAAAATTAAAGAACAAATAAAAAAGGTAGTAACCAGGGCCGGGCGCGGGGGGGGTGGGGGGGGACGGGGGGGGTACCCCCCCAGAACAAAATTTTTTGAAAAAAGTTGAACGTGGTCCCCCTGTGGGAAAAAAAATTAGCAAAAAATCGGCACAGGTAGCTGTGCCGATTTTTTTGGACCCCTGCCCCCAAAGAAAAGTCCCCATCCGGCCCTGGTAGTAACAATCTATACCTATAGGCGGTCCATCTAGTCCAACTTCCACCACACTTAAAGCATTGAACTGCTTCTTGTCCTCCTCTATGTGATACCGTAATATATGATGATAAATAAATAGTATTTTACACAAGACTACGCCTAATTCTTGAGAACATTCCACTGCAAACTCGTAGGGTATTGAAGTAGATAACTCATCGTATGGCATCTCATCCAATCCCTCCAGGTCCGTAGTTCTATTCAGAAATTCAACTAAAACACTTCTGGCAGACGTCTGAATTGTAGCGTGGAAGAAGGATATCAACTTTTGAGCAGCTCCGGACACTTTGTTGACCATCTTGTATGCAGAATATATAAATCTGTACTTGTCGACATCAAAAGAAGTTGTCATTGATGCTAGAGCGTCATCAATGTGGGACTCCATCGTTCCTAACCTTGTTGATAACGTGTTTGACAAATCTCTAAACAAAGATATTTATTTTTAATATAATTAGTATTAATATATAGTACTTACTATAACATTTTAAGATGTCAACTTTATACAATACAAACAGTTTTAAAATCAATGACTACCAAAAATATAAACAAAAAGTTATTTTATAGTTGAACGAACCGTATTGCGTGGTATTGTCGATATTCATCAGCAGCGTTCTTTGCTTCAACACATAACCTTATGGCCGATGGAAAGTCACCTTTCTAAATTTAAAATATCAAAAGTAAAACTAAACTCTTACATTTATTAAATCCTTAACTCTGATATTTGACTCTATTAGAGTGTTGAATGACAGGATATTGCTCTTCAACTTCTGTAGCCATCGTTGTCGACGATCGTTGGCTAATATTGCCAAGGAATTCTGTGATGACAGCCCTTCTTTCTGCAATATCCTAAAAAGAACAGTTGATAAGGTAAATATGTAAGTAGAGAGCATTTTTGCATATTTACTTTGTACAACTTTGTAAATTTTAAAACATAAAGTTAAAGAACAAAAAGTCTGTTTTACTCTCTAATCGTGCTGATTACTTCAATCATTTCCCCAACATCACCTCGAACATCTTCATATTGTTGTACTTGTTCACAAAAGGCATTAGAGTTCTTCGCAATCAGTCCCGAGATCTTGTTGGACACAACTTTTAGCTGCTTTTTCAACTTGAATCTTTCTCTTTCCAGTTCATTTATCTCTACTTCTTCTCCCATGAGTTTCTGCACAATAACATATTTTATATCTATTGACTCTTTTACAAATTTTATTGCTTTTATAAATAACTTTTAAGCTTTCCTACGGCTAATAACCTACTTCAAGTTCAAATCCAACGGCATCAAATCCATGTTCTTTGAAGTAGGCAGCGTTGATGTCTTCAAAGACTTCAGTAGCCGCCTTTTCTGTAGCTGGCATATGCGCTTCTTCATGTTGTGCCTAAAAACAACTCCAGTACATTAAATGATAAAAAAATTAGCAAAAGTTTTGGTTTTAAGCTTAAAAATGGCACTTTTTTCAAACTTTCTATAACTCACCAGCTCGGTGACCGAATTGCGCATGATTCAATTAGAATTTACATTAAAGCACTTCTCATTCTTTAGCTTGTACGCATTTTCTTCAAACAAACCCTTGTCCTTTCCAATTTACAGACGCTAAAGAATTTGGGAGCAGATATTGCGCGAGACTTGTACGAAATGGCAAGTTCCACAAAATGCGTCACGGCGACCCAATATTAAACAGTAAATATTGTGTTTTTTAAACATTTAGAATGTTTTTGTTATTTTTGTAACTATGTGAAATATTAATTTCATAGTTTTGTCAAATTTAAGCATACAAAATACCGTGTAATAATGACGGGTTTCTTGGAAAATAAATATTTTTTATATTTTTCGTTTTTATTCTTCTATTTTTATAACACAGACTTTTGTAACATGAATTATGCTGGCTCATCTAAAGAAGTGGACTGGGAGAAGTATCAACGACGATTCGATCAGGAATTTGAGAAATCCGGAACCAAAGAGAAGATTGTCCAAGAAACGCGAGAACGACTGAACAACAGTAAATGGGCAGACGAAGTACAACATAAATTCGATGAATACGTTAAAAGCAAGGTTTGTAATTATGTTTATTGTTATGTTCTTTAGGGTATAAAACCATCAGAACTAAATGAGAAACACATGGAAGAAATTTGCAACGAAATGAAGGACGAGCTGAGAAGGATAATACCTAACGATATCAAACGAGACTTGTTGGAGTCAATAACTGATTTTATCGATGATCAGATGTTGGAGGTAAAGAAGGAGGTTTTAAGTTGATTAATAAATAATTAATTATCAGTTTTTCGTTTTCTTTACGTTTGTTTGTTATTAACAAGTGTATATCGGCTTAACGTGAAGTGCCTTGGCGATTATCACTCTGAGTTGGATAACGTTTATGATATATAATGGGAAAATTATAAGAACGATTTGAGTGATTTTTGTGTTTTGGAAAAAGAGTTTATTGTATCTTAAACTGTCAATTATTGTATTAAATTTGCCTAGCTGTTTAAAAACTTGTCTTTTGTGTTTAACACAAAGTTTATAGTATTTAAAATGCGTCATAGAAATTACATTTATCATTTTCGATTATCATTTGTATCAATTTTAAACATTTTTTGTTGAAATTGATTAGTTTTTGTAATTTACATTAGTTTAAAGATCTTATTTTGTATCTCACAGTTGACCTCCCATTTGTTTTTCGAAAAAAGTAAGGTATTACTAGGAAGAGCGGACATTTTTGGCTTTTTACCGATTCAAACTAATCGAATTGTCAATCAAATTGTTAAAACGTGATTCTTAACATCAAAAAGTGTTATAGCGTGATTCCTAATACTCTTTAAAACGTGATTAATGTAAAGGTCTCGAAGTGATAGATGCTTGTGTTTATTCGAGAATAATATCAGGATTCATAAGTACACTTTTTACACTTTTATAATGACAAACTAACCGTATGATAACAGAGAGATAAATAAAGGTCAAGTGTACGAGATGACATACATGTTTATGAGATGGGATACCCGTATGTTGGTTTCTCTGAGAGAGAAATGCACCGAAAGTAATATTAATATCAGCTACATCGACAATATAACACTGCTGGCAGCATTAGGCATTGTGAGATGGGACTAGAAACTAAAAGATATTAATACAATATTAAGAGAGATGTTGATATTAAGAAGTATTAGAACAAACCTTTAAAAGGAGTAGTAAAATTGCAAAAGGTATCATATTTGGCGGATCAATTAAATCTCTCGCATTTTTTAGATCAAAATAGTGAAAGAATTAATGGATCCGCCCAATACAATGATTACAACAACAACATAAAAGAGTTTTTACTTTTCGACGCGAAACGATGACAATATACAATATTTACAATGTAGTTTTGTACAACAAGTAAACGTTCAACGTTAAGAGTAACAATAAATAACCATGAAATCACGATTATAGTCAAAAGACTGTCGAAACCATATTATGTACAATTATCCAAAAACGAGTACGTACAGTACCCAATGCACATACGATACCAAAGGTTGAGTATGTACATTATCAAACAAAACGTGCTATACCATGTATAACGTCAAAATCTACAACACTTTAAGCAGCGGCTTCAGCAATCTCTGTGAGTGGCTCCAAGACCGGTCGGAACTTGGGTCGGGCTCCAGAATGTTGTCGTTCCCGCGTTTCGTCCAATTTCTCGGCACGGTCCGGGCTTGGCACTCTTTCAGGGATGACGTTCTTTAGGTACACGTCTGGTAGGAGTTTGTCTGGCTGAGCTTCGTCTCTGACAATTCGAACTGATCCAGCGTTTCCTTTGATCAACTGAAAATATATTGTTATTGCTTTGATCAAGTAAAGGGCAAAAGTTTGATTTTTACAAGATAATATAAACCATAGATAGGTCAAGTGATAAACAATAAGGTTATAGGGTACAAGTAATCAAAGAGAAGTTTAAAATATAGTTTTAATTTTTTAAGCCCGATTTTCAATAAAATTTTTAACCTTCTAGGTATTTTTTGACCACTAAAAAATTAAATTTCTACTCATCTAGCTAAACTCTTAAAAACAATAAATCAAATTGCAACAGAAAGATATTTCCAAACAAGGCAATGATAAGTAAAAAAGGCAAAGACCAACCTGTTCGTAGTGGATCAGTTGTCTCCAGAAGCCGAGGTTGGGTCGTACCATTGGTCGTTTGGAGCACATCAAGTGGTAAGCCGCTCTCAACGACCTAAAGTAATACTTGGTGAGGTAGGCCAAGCAGATGGACGCACTTCGCGAAACACCCGCTACACAATGGACTAACACGTTGCCTCCGTCCTGGATGACGGCATGGATTTGGTCGGCTACGATGTCAAAGTGGGGGAAGAGGTCCTCGTCCGTGGTATCGTCCACCCACAACTTCATTCGCTGAATCTCGCCTAACGACTTCAGATTGGGCACTTCCTTCGTGGCATTAACAATGAGTGATATCTTGAAGGCCTTCATGTTGGCGGGGGAAAGGGCACTGACTCCGCAGATGAACAGTCGAGGGACTAGCTCCGAGATCTGGGCGAACTCGGGATTCACTTTGAAGCTGATTGGAGCCATTATAAGGTATCTGAAATATGGATGGTAAATATTTATAGTATAGGTAATATGTAGTACAGGTTAAAGACATATCGCGATTCGACCGAAATGAGATACAAAAAAGGGTTTAAATACCCTTGTCAGAAGCAATTATAACGTTGTTAAAAGTAATTGAATTGAGAAAACGCGGGTTTCGAGTACTTAAAGCGTCGCAACGACATCAATCATCATTCGTATATCACTGACACACAATAAGTCACATATTACTAGCAAAGTTAAAAGATATAATCCCAATATTGTTGACCCAAAAGGTGTATAATCAACAAAGTATTACATGAAAGATAGAACAATATCAATTTCTGTCATCCGTTGTTGAATAGACAGAACAATAATTCAAAGAACATTGACAAAGCACATTAAAGTCGTCATATCATTAACAACACAATGTGCTGGACATTGTCGCGCGAACCCTTCTTTTATATTTGTTTGACTTAAGCACGTGTGGCTGCGTGATTAAATAAAGGTCGCGGGTCGAAATTAAACAAATATGGAATGCCAATCAAATAAGACCCTTCCGGAATGACTCTCGATAAGGCCGAACATTGGCTTCTACTGATTAGATAATCACTATGAGTAAGGAAAAGGTCGAACAACACAGTACATCAATATAACAGGAGGCAAGGGAGCGCCTGTTATAATAATAGAGCCTTTGATAATAGGACTTAGTGATAATAGAGCCGAGGACAGAAGAGGATAGAGCCTCGAGTGATAAACGAAATGATAACAGAGCTGCCATAGGATTAGAAAGGGATCTCTTGAGTTAGGCCATCTCTTGAGTTCAGGCAACAACCCCGCCTCGGGGGATCACGGCATCATGGTACAAAGTTTGCCGGCCTCCTGATTCGCGAACAGAGAGCCGGCTGTTCTTTTGAATCTTTTTTAAATAATGCGAAATCACCGCCCTTCCGTCTTCAAAACATTCTCACACGTGCCCTCTTCCGCCCTTCCTTCTTTTTTGTCGAAAACGTTACAGCGACGGTCGTTGATGACCTGTCGCTGTAACCCGCAACGTGGGCATCGCGAAAGGAACTGATAAACCCATTCTTACCAAAGTGTTAACACTCTTTGGTAGTTGTGAAGGGACTGTTTTCAACGAAACTGGAACGGCTGTCTCGTCGCGAGCTTGTCGCGACAACGTCAATCGCCTTAGGGGCGGAAGGAGCAGGGAGCGGCCGCTGAAGGAGAAGAAGGGCCGGCCCGCTGATAGGGGCGATTAAAGGTTCAAACTGATAAGAGAAAGTTGAAAAGTAAATAAAAAATAAAACTACAATCACAAGTAGAGGAGATGTTACACAACTTGTGATCAAAGTAATGTTAAAGAACTTACTCTGAACTTGTTGTTATTCTACGTACGTTACAAGAACAGCGAAAGTTAATGCACGTCAAGAAGCCACGACAGCGTATTTTAATTAGCCAAGATAAGACAGAGATAACAAGTCGAATACCCTCAGGGTATTGGAGCCAAGATAACGGCCATTTTCCGTATATGCTACGTACATGTTCATTAAGAGATATTGGTGAAACAAAGCGGGTCCTCAACGTTTTTTTAACATATAGGGTATCAGAATCTTGTAGAAGCTTCGAATTCGTTAGATTCTTAAAATTCATGTGACAAATTTTAAGTTGTTTATCTCAAACACATTTTCTAAGCAAAAAACACCCCTAGGCCTTAAAATCTACTTTAAATTCAAAATCAAGTACCCACTGCACCAAAACAAGACATAGTTAAGCTCAAAACATAACCCCTACAGTCATAGTAGAACGCTAATTTTAACTCCTGACTGAATGGAACGGCCGCGTGACCCCTTGGCCTTGTTTGGCCATAAGAACAACAAACGAGGCAGCAGGAGGAAGACGCGCAGAAGCGAGCACAGCCTCAGCAGAAGAGGAACAGAGAAAGAGGCACAGCCTGTCGCTCTCTAGTGTGAGGCTTTCCAGCTCTCGACCCTCCCCATTCCCATCGCAGCACGATGTGTTCACGTGAACAACATGCGGAGTGGATTTGGGGCTTTGAATCATCGGAAGGAAATGGAAATCAGCGGGGTTTAGGGATTTTAAATCAAGGAAGAAACGGTTCTAAAATAAGATCAAAGGTTTTAAAATTTGAATCATCAATATATTGTGTTTAAAGTATTTTTAAATATGGTTTTAATCAATAGAAAAGGATATAACATCAATAATAACATCAACAATATGACAAAAAGGCCTCAAAAGACTGTCATTCTTAACTGAGAGAGAAGAGTGAGATAAGACAGATGATAATGTAACATTAAAAAGTCAAAAGTGTAACTGTAAAGTGATCGGGGTTCCAAAATCAGCGGAAAGAATCGACGGAAATCGCTGGAAACCCGAGCGTTCGATGGATAATTGATTGCGACAATAAAAGACATTCGTCACTTCACAATCAGTACAGCGTGAACCCTTTATTACCGGTTGATTGTTTTGTAAATTGACTTGTCTGCACGCGAATTTGAGTGATTATTCTTGGGGTTTAATAAATTATGGCAAAATGCTTCAGGTCTTAATTAGGATGAAAAAAAGCTTGTGAAAGAGTATGGAAAATAAAAAAGTTAAAGATGATAAAGGCTAGCTACTGCAACATTTAAAGACCAATTTTTATTTAAAATTTATTAAAAATAATTCAAAAATAACCATAATGCCTTGCAAAGGGTGACTAATGAGGAAAAGCCCAGACTCTTAAAGCAAACATGCAAAACAGGCGATTGCGTAACACATTGGACTTTTGTCACTCCACTGTCCCGAACAAACCAAACTTGACCTCATTCTGGATTAGCGTATAGAAAAGCCTACAAAACTATAATAATAAGAAGGCAAATATAAGGCCTTAATGAGCTCCTACTGCGAATATATAATTTTTTCAAAAATGTTGCGCGCAACATAGCCAAATCGACCGGTAAAGATAAAATTTTAAAATTTATTTATTTTACAACAAGACTTTTGGCCCACTCTGTAAATCTTATCATATAAACTACTACGCTTGGTATTATGTGGCAAACTACGCTTTTTTAGCCTGAAGCCTATTATTAAACTTTTTTTTCAACTAAATAATTAGTTAACAACTCTTCCAAGAACAACACAAGTACAACTACAAACTGTGCAAGAGTTCACAGTGAAACGACGAGTGCAACTTCAGAAGCACCGGAACTCCCTTGACAAACAAACCCCTCCAAACTCTGAAAAAACAGCCAAATCCCTACTGGGAATGTTATTCACGTGAACGTTTCGTGGCCAGACCCTTGGCCACGAATAGCTCTTGCGTCAATAAAAGCCTTGTCTGAATATCAGGTGAACAATAATAATGGCAGACACAGAGTAATTAAATGCTAATTAAGGGGTCCCGCGAGGTATCATGCAACTACAAAAAATACTGAGATATATGTAAACATGGCTACAAATTTGGTCATGTTGTCATTAAATTACTGAAAAATAATTGAAAACACGGCTACAAATACTGTAAGTAGTGGCTAGGATTACTGTAATTATAAATTACTGTAATAACAAAACTGCTGTTTACCTTAAAGTCGCCCCAATTACATTACTATAAGCTTTATCATCTAAACTCACATACACGTCACTTGCTGTAACATAACTTAACGAATTAAAAAATACGTTAATCCTATTGTATCTGACATGACGAACTAAAGTCAGCTCACTTTAACTGTGTCACTTTAATGTGTTTTTGTTAATCACAATCCGAGATCACTAGCAAAAGTTCATCAAAGCAAAACAAAGATTACATAACGCCAGAGGGCAATCAACAATAACAACATGGTCCCATTTTACTCTACTTGGAAGCGTTTACTGCTCTATGAAGTAATCTGTTCTCTACGTTTTGCAATGTAATCACTCTGGTTGTTGATGTAGTGCAACATTTTACTTTTTAAAATAAAAAAATGTTGTTATGATATGGCATCATCGGGAATAAGATGACATGACGAAAGAAGATAGGTAAATCCTGAAGATAAGTAAAATAATACAAAACCTATGCCTACAATATTAACCTTGTTCATGCCTACAAGGTCAACCTTATTTTACGTCAAAATCAATGTCCTCAGGCCTTCCGGCTATATGATATATGACTTTGGTACGAGTTCGAAGCCCCCGCTTTCCGCTCTGCACATGCACCTTGGGCCGGAAAGCGAGGTGATTCACGTGAATCGTGTCCCATTCGTTCTTTGGCCATATTTCGCGATTCGAAAGGCACAACGCCAGACAATCATAGGACAACGCGTTGCAACGGCGATCAGAGTACACATTCAAATTAGGGTTTAAAGCAAAAGAGCTGTTTTTGTTTTGATGTACAAGGTTTACAGCGTTCTGGCTGGGAAAATATTGTTGTTGATGGTGATAAACATTCTACATATGTATAGAATTGGGAACTAGTAGGTTGTTCAAATAATTCTGTTCCCCCTTTCAAAGAAAGTTTTTTGAGTTAGAGGCACACAATTATTTGAACAATATACAAAATAGTATGTCTAAAGTGATTAGAAAAGACCAAAAATGAGTATCAACCATCCTATCCTTACGGTTGAAACACACTGCCCTCAGATTACATCTGATACAAGTCTATTAACATAAAACAACAAACAATGACCTCAATTCTGTAGTTTTAAAAGATACGACGGCTTACTACGCTTTCCTTAAAGCACCACAGTAGTTTCTGATGCTTACAAAAGCTACTACATTTTATTTTTTACAATGTGTTACAGTTACAAAATTAGTCATGATTACTGGTGTTTACGTACGATGTGAAGTTTGCAATGCTTTACTGATGAAATGCGACTTCAATTACAAATTCTGAAGCTAAGCGTCTAGCTTTGATCAAAGATTCTAGACTTCAAACAAAGATTTTTGATCTTATTAATGACTCACAGCGTCAGTCTAAGATTACTGAGTTCAAGTTATGACTCTCGAGTTCAGTCAAAGACCCTGGATCTTACAATTATTAAACAAAGCTTGTGAACCTTAATTGAACCTCGATTTCAGGACTTCCCTTCAGAATCCGTTGAAAAACAAGATTACACTGAAGACGGCAATCTCAACTTGTTATGTCATATTTTGATCAAACATCGATGCTGTAATCTGATAATATACTTCTTCACGGCCTCTGATAACCTTTAAAAGTGTTTTCCTTTTTTGAAACCTGCAGCGTAGCTTGTTTATCAGATTGTCATCATGGTCAATATTTTGACAGTTTGCAAAAGTTATGACTGTTTGGTGAACTTGATTGTTATTGTTTGATAAGAGGATTATTACTGCTATGACCATATAATTAAACATATTCTATTTCTATCCAACATAACACATTAAATGCAATCACATGCAGTAAAAACCATTGTATTCACGTGTAGCACAACAGCCTTATTGTAACTATTTTCACTGAATACCACAATAACTATGCAGTAACTGTCGCTGTAAACGTGAAACACACGTTTACCGTGATATTTACTCAGTAAACTTTGTCAAAACAAAATAGATGGATGAGTGTGTAACAAAGTAAAAATAAAACGATGCAGATAACAACTATAAATACCGAATTAAAATGGTTCCATTGATAACATTCCTCGATTGGAAACGGTAATGCATTATTACAAAGTGTAAAATTGTTTACGGAAACGGCGATACATCACATACTTCACATAGGGAGTGGATATACATCATTATCATTGTAAAATGAGATGTTACAATCATTGATACGGTAAAAAAGATGATATATGTTTGTATCAAAAGAAAAAAGGTAACAAATTGTAAAATATGAATTCATACATAAGGTATACATTAATGACTTTGTAAAAAAAGATGATATACGCCTTAATCACAGCTAAAAAGGAACACACTTCACTATCATTGTAAAATATAAAAGCATACACAAGATGTACATGAGTAACTCAGTAAAAAAGATAATGTATGCCTTTACCAACATAAAAAAGGTTATTCCTCATCAAAACAGTAAATATTATATTATATACAGTAATAACTGTAAAAAGGTAAAAAAAGCCTTTAACACAAAAAAAATAAAATTTAAAAACATTGAAATTACAAAACGAAATAAACAAAAGTACAGAAATGTTTACATTTTGGTCCCGAGACATGGCCACAGACCAGGGAACACAAGACCTGTGATTCAGCTGTTTACAGGCAAAGATAATATGACCAGATTTTGGTTTACAATATAGGTCAGTCTGAGTTACTTTGAATGTTCTATATTTAGATTGAAATATTAAAATAATGCTTAGGGTTTTTTTTAATTTTTTAAATTATAAAAGCTTCTTTCGACTACAGAAAGGTACCCACAAGAATAATAGGAAGCCAAAGAGGAGAACAGTTTAGAGTCAATTGGAGTCAACCACATCTTGTGCCTTATTTTTAATACTTAAACATCAGTTTTAATGCCTAAAATAATATTAAAATTATTTTTAGTACCTAAAGCAATATATAATCACAATTTTTATTACCTAAAAGAATAGAAATCAAGCAAAAAGCATGGCCAAAGAACGAGGTAACGTCACTCCCATTTTCAGGTTCAAAGAACTCATTATCTCCAAAAAAAAACTTGAGTTTAGCAAAAAATTTTAAAAAGGTTTTCCAAAGAAAACCTTGATTTAGCCAAAGTTTTGTTCCAAAAACTCTTCCAAAACGACAATGTTCTCGAGCTTATCACGTTGGAATCCAAGAACATTCAAAGTGGAGGAAACCTTTAATTCCCGAGTCCAAACAGCTGCCGCTCAATTAATTGGTGGCATACCTGCAAGCAATACAACAACATGACGTCCTATATTGTTCGTTGTCCTTGGGATACGGTAACCGGAAGAGCATAATACAAATTACATTGCAAAGGGTGTAGTCTCTTCAAAAAACAAAGTTTTCGTGATTTTTGGGTCTTTCGAGGACTTCTTTGATAAAAAATGGCAGCACCTGCACTGTGCAGCTCTTTGGAAGAGACAGTCGCGCCCTAACTTGAATAAAGACTGCACAGTGCAAAAGGTACAGACTGCACGGTGCAAGTAGATTGTTTATCAAAAAATATTCATAACTTTGAAAGCGACACTCAATTTGGAAATGGAGTTTTGAGTCATTTATTCTTCCTACAACCGGTCGATTGCGGTCGATTATGGACAACAGGTGGTTAATATGGCATGCAATAAACGAGACGGATCGAACATCTTATCATAACTTAATTGGCTTGATTCCATTTACAATCGGCGCCGTCGAAGTCGCCCTCTTTCTTACCATCGCTTTTCTACTACCGCTTGCTTGCTTGGTATGTTGTTACAGTTACTTTTAACTGTAATTTTTAATACTTACAGTAGTCTCTTACTGTAGTTTTAACTTCTTACTATAACTGATTACCGTAACTTTTTGCGATATTGTTGTAGTTATTCGACGTGCTAACATCAAGGCGATCTATCAGCCGGCTGCCCGTAATGATCGACCCCAAAGGCTTCACCACCAACGATCTGATCATGCTGAATCTGAAGCAGGAGAAGACTCTCGAGAAGGCGGACGTGCGCGAGTGCGGGAGTATCAATGTGCTGGCGAGTACGGCTATTCCACTACCGCCCGTCATAGCACGACAACAGAAACGCCAGATCGACACCCTGTTCGATCAGGCCAACGTGAAAGAAGAGCCGAACCCGCTGAGTTTCGTGCACATCGAAGAGTATCGCGACAACACCTTCCTCACCGCCAACGCCGAAGGGGAGCTCACTACCAACATGGAGCAGGTTAAGACGGACCACAGCACAGAAAAGGAGAAAGAAAGTGGTAGTTTCGTGAACAATGACATTCCTCCGTAGAATAAAGTAATTTACTGTTGTATCTGCGGGTTTATTTGTTAACGATGGTTGCCAAAATAATTTATTTTACCATGATATGTTACAATTGTTACGTTTGGAATTACAGTGCTGTCAATCCGGTCAAAAAGTATATAGAATTATTTTTATAAGACCTGTATCTTAAAATTCATTCTTTCTATGATCTTCTTGATCAAACTAGCGTTATCTAGACAATTTCTTGCATAAATCTTCCCCGACCCATATAATTATATTATACATTAGCAGATCCTCTCAGAGCTGTTTACATTATCACACTTGTCTTTTGGGAAACACCTTCATGACCAGTACCATGCCAATGAAAGACCAGATGACCAATATCACAATCAATACCACCATACAATCGAAACAACTCTTGTAAGCGTGATGCTCGAGCACTCTGCTCTCTCTGTCCAGGTTGATCTTGTTGTCCTCAGTCTGGCGTTGCATCTGATCCAGTCTGGCATTGTCTTCTCTGATTATCTCCCCTGCCAATGTATATTGTTGTTTAATTTGACTTGTCATCTGGAGCAGCTGGTTGGCTAGATTATCTTGAACTTCTTCGTGTTGTTCTACTGTCAATTGCGGGGAATCGTGTTCAAAACCCAACAATTGTCGTCGTATATCTGCTCTGTAGGTCTGTAAAAATGAACGATACTACCAGAAATAGTTGTAACAAATAATTTTAAAAGTTTTAAAAAAATTAAGGTAATTTACGTACAGCTTCCGTTTGAGCCTTTATCATAGTATTGGACGCTAAGTCCTGATTAAATCCTTCGTCTGCAAACAAGTTATTAATAAACGTTACATACCAAATATTATAGTACAATTGATCATGTAATAACAAACTTACGTCCACGCTTCCTTAGTCCTTCGCTCGAAACTTCTGGGAACACTTTTGGCAAAGAATCCAAAACTTCCAACTTTTTAACCACGTCTTTCTACAAAATATTTACCTAGTATCACGTGTATTTTGAATATTCCCACTCTTAAGGCCCATTTTGCAACTTTTTAAAAATAATATTTTACCTTTTTAGCGAACTGGGAAAAAGAAGTTTGCAAAGAAACATCCAAACGTTACACAAGCCAATTTTATATTCAAGAAACCGTTAAAAATAGCTAATTGCTACATAAATATAATAAAATGTTCCACAAACACTTACCTTGCTTTCAGCATCTACTATGATCTTCAACTGCTGTAAATCCCTGCCATATTGCATTAAAACATCTCTGTCAACACTTTCATCTCCTTGAATCTTTATAAACACTAGTTCTAGCCGTTGAACAGCCTTTTTGAGTCTATTTACATTACCTTCCAGGTCATCTCGACAAGCTTTTCGAGTTCTCAACAATAACCTCTGAAATGACAATTCTCCATCCGATATTCCCATTCCCTAAAATGTAAAACTTCATTTTTTAGTTGCTTAAAATTAAAAGATATTCCTATATATCAAACTATATCACGAAATCCCCATTTACACTCGATATTCGTACAAGTTGACGAATACTTTTTTAATAAAAAAGCTAGACCAATATTAATATTTATCATTTAATCAATATAAAATTGTCGAGAACAACATAGTACTAAACAAGTTCAAATTATACACCGTTTATCTTGACAAACCTCAAAATAAATATTAGATTAGGATTGAGTCGAGCTGGATTCGGATTCCTTCTCACGTTCTTCGTGCTCTTTAATTAGCCGGCTGACTTCTTCAGTGCTCAACTCACTGATCACTGTCTTGCCGTCCTTTCGTGTTAGCGTAGCCATCTCCACCTTGTCGGGCGATAACTTCACGTCCAATGTTTTAGATAACACTTTCATGGCCAGTTTGGTTGCTTCCTCAAGGTTCGGCGACTTATATTCTTGTTTGAAGAGAGATACGGCAGCTTGATGGTTATTTCCAATGCACGTGGCTTTCCAGCCAGTGTAGTTACCACTTGGATCAGACTGGTACAGTTGGAAGCCATAGTGCTGATCCCATCCGACGTACAACAAACTCACACCAAAGGGCCTCTTACCTAAAAGCGATAATTTATTGAAATACAAAGCAACACCATTTATATCCAAAATAAAAAAGAGTCACTTAAAATCTTGTGTTACACAGCCAATACTAATTATTCTATTACCTAAAATAACAAAATATATGAAAAACAAAATTCTTACCTCCAATCTGAGTGTAACGCTGCTTCTCATTGCACAAAGACTGAACCAGCTCTTCACAAGGAATCGGCTCTCCATAGTTGAACTTGTAGTCAGCTGCACAGTAACGGAGACGGTTGATCAAGATGTTAGCATCGGCAGTAATACCAGCTACAGTGCAAGCAATGTTCTCCGAGATACGATAGATCTTGTCGTCCAGAACATCGTCGTCCAACAGCTTGTGGACATCTCTCTTTTCGGCAGCAATCAGAATCCCATCAGAAGCTAAAATACCAAGACAGGTACCAGCGTGACTAATGGCTTCCATCGCATATTCCACTTGATATAATCGACCTTCCGGCGAGAAAATTGTTGTACGAGAATCATAGCGACGTGCCTGTAAGAATTGATGTTTTAAAAAGGTAAAACAACGTCACTTTAGCCTCTAAAAGTATCTTGACCGCGTTTGGAAACGTCAAGAGCCTTGGAAAACATAAGAACCTTATTCTGACCACTATAAATGCCTAAAACAATTAAAAAAATAACAAGATAACTTACCATTTTTGCCCGGTACAAAAATTTGTCGCCAAATTGTTGTTTCAAAAAAAATAAAATTTATTTTGATGATTTCCAAAAATTGGCGTTGATTGTTTTCGCTTCAAAACAGTTTATCTTCCGCAGACTGCGATTAATCTTCTGCGATTCAGGAAGACATTTTATACGTTAAATTTTAATAATTTACTAGGCCATAAATTTGAAAAAATTGTAAAATTTGAAATGAAGTTTGATTATATTTTTTTAAGACAAAACTTTCAAACATAAAAATCTATAAAATAGTTCTTTATTTATTATGTCTTTTTTTCAACTTTGTGTGTTAAATCTGGAAAATTCTGGAAATTAAATAAATTTATAATGCTCTTACGGGTGTTTTATGAAATTTACAATATTTTCTTGATGAGTACATCTCATTTATTTGTTACAAGTAGTTTACAATACATTTACAAAACGCTGAAAGACTGCGCCCTTGGTTTTGTCAACTGCATGAATAATATTCGGAAAAGACGCGCTGATGGAAAATAGTTTCAATCACAATATATATTGATATATTATTTTGTTTCATATTAGTGTTTTTAAAATGTCTTCCGAAACCCCAGTAATCTTGATTTCTGGCGCTTCTTCCGGCATCGGCCGCGCGGCCGCTCTTGAGATGGCTAGTCTAAAGTGGAGACTGTCCTTATCAGGTCGGAACGAAGAAGCCATGGCCAAGGTGGTGCACGAATGTCGCAAAGCCGGAGCTGAAGATGTGAGTTTACTTTTAGAATTTAGACACAGATGTTTAGGTAACCACGACTATAGGCGATTTAAGGGATGCGGCCGTGGCCAAGGACTTTGTTCATCACACGCTGGAGACGTTCGGCCGCATCGATTCCCTTGTTAATGCAGCTGGGATTCTGGTGAACGGGACGGTGGAGGATTCGAGCGTGACGGACTATGATAAGCAGTTTGATGTAAATGTCAGAAGTATTGTTGTTCTGACAAAGTACGCTTTGCCTCACATTATCGAAACAAAAGGAACGATTGTCAATGTTAGCAGTGTAGCTGGTACAAATGCGGTAAGTTATTTATTGTAAGACTATAGAAAAGGTTAAAACTGTTGACGTTACGTTTAAAAATAGGTAACACTCTTTGTGTTTTTTTTCAGTTCCCTGGTGTAACTTATTACTGTATGTCAAAAGCAGCGTTGGACCAATTTACAAAATGCCTGGCTTTGGAGGTAGCGCCAAAAGGAGTTCGAGTCAATTCAGTAAAGTAAGAAGTTGATTTTAAATCAATAACAAGAAATTTGGTATAAAATATTATTCGGTCATTGTCATTCAGTTTAATATTCAAACTATCTCGTAAAGTCCCTTAAGCTACAGTCAAACAAACAATAACGTAAATTTTCAGCCCCGGAGTGATTGTAAGCAACATCCACCGACGATCAGGCCTGGATGATGTACAGTACGAAGCAGTAAGTCTAGTCAACATAATATTAGTTTATTTAAATATTTAGTTTTTGGAGAAGAGCAGAGCTACCCACGCCCTTGGCAGAGTTGGAGAAGCAGCGGAAGTGGCAAAGTCCATCAGATTCCTGGTCACCGGGGACTCCTCCTTCACTACAGGACATTTGTTGATGGTAGATGGTGGCCGAGGCATTATGACTCCTCGTTAATTTACACTGTATCGTATTTCGTCTTCAGCAATTCATACAACCTCTGAAATCGTGTTCGTGGATTAACATAAAGATTGTTTACTTTTTTTTGTAAAAATTTGAATAAATTAGTGCCGTGTTTTATTCCAAAGGATGATGTTGAGGTCTATCGCGATAGATAGCTATCATACTTCAATAGCTGTGCTTAAGTTCTTACCGTAGTCAGGTGACTTTCAGTCACGATGAAGCCTTCGTCTTTTTGGTATTGAAGTTCTTCCAGGGACTTCATGCCTTGAGGGTAAAAGTCGGCCAGAAGGTGCAACGGTCTCTTTGTCTTCATAGCTTGTTTTAGTTCATTTGTGGCCTCCTATAATTATCTTTACCAAAACAACATCAACAATCTGACAACGGTAAATCGCTAGATCAACAATCTGCCTACAATAAATGTAAAATTGTGTTTGAACTGCAAAAAGTAATGTTTGTTTTCTATACATTTTTATTTACAAAATTACCCAAATCACTTACATAACCAAAAATTAGGAAGAGGCAGACCACGAATGGGTATAAAGCAGCCGTAAAAACCTGGCCAAACTCGGTAGCATCATTCTTTTCTGTAGCTTCGATCAATTTTCCAACTTCTGGTATCAATTTCAAAGTTTCTAACACAGAATCAGCCGAATTCTTGTAAAATTGAGCAATGTTCTTCAGTTGAATATTATCCAAAGCTTCCGTTTCTCCCATTTTGGCCTTCCTAAATTTGAGTTTATAAGTTAATATACTGTACTAATTTACATCTTAATATGCATATTATAATACATATAAAGCTATAAGTTTGCTTACGTTAAAACCCGAGCAATATGAGGTTGAGCTGGTGGATATTGTAGTAGGCTATTCGAAATAGAGGCGGCTTCGTCTAAGCACCAGAACCGTTCAGCCAGTAAGAGGACAGCCAGCAAGGCCTTGGAGTTCATAGGAGTGAAATCTAAAAATCTTATGTTATTTAGTCATAGATATTACTTCAGAAGTCTAGTGATACATATTTGCTCATAAGTCACCTCGTATACATAGCATAAGAACTGTCATATACAATGACACTTATAGTAGGGTTTCTAAACTACACAGTAACACTTTTGATTATCTTTGTCACAAAAAATAGTCCTTATACTCCTTACCTTTAAGATTGATGACTTTGTCACAGTCGATCATCGTATGTTGATCCAGCTTTTTCTTTCCTTTCAACATCTTTGACAAGTAATACGCGTACTTTTGAACCGCAAGTTTCTAAAAAACACCACAGTAATAATAGTCAACACTAACACATGAAAAGCATACTCAGCGGTTCACACGGAATAAGGATATTAACCTTAAGTAAACTCTCATAAACCATGTAGTATAACAAAGAGTACTACTTACATGTGGCTGAAGAGCAATGGTATGTCTATACAAATCCATCGTCTCGTAGTGATTCGAAGATTCAGCGTGCAAAGCCTATAAAACGCGAAGATATTATACAATAAATTATGACACAAACTCATATGTACTCAGTAAATGAAACAATGTAAAAGTACCTTACATGAGCAAACCATGTGATCATATAGTTGGGATTTATCTGTTGAGCCAGTTGCATGGTTTGGAAGGCTGCATCGTACTAAAATAAGGACACTTATAAACATCGCGCCAACAGCACTGTAAGATTGCATATATTTAGCTAAAAAGCAATAAACATTGTAACAATAAGCCTCAAAGCCAACAATACCTACCTGATGAATCCGAAGGTAGACCAAAGACAAGGCACACCAAGCCTTGTCATTGAACTTGTTCAACTGAATAGCTCGGATAAAACAATGTGAAGCCTTCTGAAGTTGTCGCAACTTGGAATGGACAACTCCATACAATACGTAGAACTGAGACTTCTTCTGAATGGAGCATTTTGAAGTTATGGCCGCTTTCAAACAGTCAATCGCGCTAAAAGACATTACAATACATAGTTAACAAATTTCTTGTAAAATTTAAAAATAATACTCGTAGTAAGTTACACAGTAATGAACGCTATGTATGACATTACTTAAAAAAACATTAGTTTGTGACACTTTGCAGCATAACTTTAGAAATTACCTTGACAAATGATTTTGTTCACCAGTGTAATCATAGAAACTGACCAATCCCAACGCTAGATCGTACCACGAATCCACAAACTTGTTGTTTCTTTCAAGCACAATCTTCAGATAGCTAACTCTCTTCTTTATTATCTCCAACTTGTTCGGAAGACCGTACTCTGCCAACTTTAACTGATCTACCGCATCAATGAAGGCTTTACCGTACAACCTAAACATTAAATATCTTTTTTGTAACTTTAATAGTCAAGCAGTACTTAGAATAACCTTCTACAGACATTTAGGTTCAGATCTTACTTTTGTATATATGTTCAATAAAAATTGTATTTTAAATAAGACTGACATGTTACAGAAAGATAACATATAATAAATACCCCTGAAGAATCTCGTAGACGATAGCCAATGTTTTGTACAGAAAAACGGAATCTACTCCATCCTTCAACAGTCTTTGCAGATCTGGAAAGTCTAAACTGATGAGCTCAACTCGTTCCTGACTAGTTTCTTTGCTTTTGGCGAACAAGGCAGTAGTATAAGCATACTGTAGCTCCACGTAATTAACCAAATTCGCTGGAATTTCAAAAGACTTTAAAGTTTTTCCGGTCTCCAACGCTTCTTCATACTTTCCCATCAGCTGGTACACTATCATCAACTAAAAAGCCATCTTATGTTAACCATTTTTAGCTTTTGTGTTAATCATCAACGTTAGACATAGCCACTTTAATTCTTACTTGCACATGAGCTAGTAAACTCTCGGGATCAATCTCCAGAATGTGTTTGAAGACTCTGACAGCTGATTGCAGACTGTTCTGCTTCTTGTAAGCTTCTCCCAACATTGACCATAATGGGATAGTACTCCTGCTGGCTGTGTCTTCTTTCCTAGCCTTACAGACTTGTAAAAGCTTTTGTAATTTCAAAACAGCTTTCTCAAGATTGCCCTTGTTTATGTCTAAGACCGCTGCTTTCTTCAAAGCTGCTACAGCCGCACCTTTTGAGTCCATGTCTATCACAATATAGTTGCAATGCTGTTGGGGGTAAGAATTTAAGTTTTATATAAGCAAAAAGTTTACACTGAAAACGAAAATCTTTAATTTAAAATCCTAATAACTGGCATTTAACAATCCCCGTTTAAAAATAATGCAAAATCTAACGTTTCAAAATAAAAGTACAACAATCGTTACCAACACGAATTTCAAATCAATTTTACTCAACAATTCCAAAGGGCTGGCTATTTATTCCGTCCTAACAGTAAATACAAATTAGACATTAGTCGTCACGAGCGCAAAGTGGCCATCACCAGCAGTGAATATTCTACGACCTTGTTCACGATCCCACCACAACACTTCACCATCAATACATTTCTCAGCAACTTTTTCCTAAAAACAGAATAACCATAGGGTGAAATACTTACCGATTGAACATGACAGAGTCGGAAGAACAGGTAGAACGCAAGCAAAACGCCACCACCATACAACAATACTGATTTGGGCGTTAGTCTAAAGTATTCGGCTTGTGTCATATCAGCGGAGTACCATCTGAACATGGACGGACAGATCACGACACCTTCCTAAAAATACATTAACTTATTCTATGCAAATTACTAACGAAATTGACGTAAAACAACTAAAAATGAAAGAATATTATAGAAAGCTACTAAATAAAGTTTATTCTCTTTACAAACCTACCTTGTACTTAAAGTTAGCCGGGTCATATTCTCTGCGAAGATACTCCTTCTTCAAAATCTCCTTGACTCTGTAACGCCACAAAACAGCCTTCTTCTGAGCGTCCGTGAGATTGTACTCTTCTCCAGCTTTGAACTCCATTTTCCCGTGAGTTTCCCAGTAACCCAAAACAGGATCTTGCCATAACTTCGGAGAAGAAATGTTCTGATTTGGCGCCCTGAGAAGTCTCAAAGCAAACCTCATTTTCTAAAATCAAATTTTATAACTTGACCAACATTTTAAAATACTAACGTCGTGTATTAATATACAAAAACGTTTTATAAAAAAAGACAAACCTATTTGAATCTACTTGAACAATTTCTTGAAAAAATATGTTGGAAAGAGCTATTTATTAGATAAAAAATAAATTTTTCAGAGAATTATCGTTTAAACTCGCGGTTCTGGCATTCTGAACTAAATCAATGTTTCGTGGCGGAACTACAGAAAACGTTCTTTTAGGCTGGAGAAAAATAGAAAAAATTTCATGTTGAGATACTATTGTTATATTTTGGTGTAAAATTAAGGCACGTTTATTGTAAAAAGTTATTTTAAGTTTTCATTATAGGCGAATATATTTTTTGTTACGGTTTTTGTTTTTCCGGGTTTAAAATTACGATTTAGGAATATCTTATGTTTAACATACTGTTTTCAGGTTCATTTATCTCTTGGAATCATGCAGAACGACCAAAACGAACTTGTCGACCTTTACGTCCCACGCAAATGGTAAGTTAATGTTATTCTTGGTTTATCTTCTGCTTTTAGCTCATCGAGCTCTCGCATCATCTCCGCCAAGGACCACGGATCAATCCAAATTGACTTTGTTGATGTTGACCCTCAAACCGGCCGCTTGATCCCAGGAAAGACCACCAGATACGCCATCTGCGGAGCTCTTCGCGCTATGGTAAGTGATTTTTTTAGTTATTCAATATGAGTTTTTAAAACTACTTTAAGTTATGTTAGAGTTAGTTTAGTGTTTTGATTTGAGTTATAGTTTTTATGCTTTAACTTTATGAAAAAGCGTGCTTTATATTTTAAGATTAAGGTTTATATCTTATAGTTTTTCACGTGTTTATCTTTTAAGGAGACCAATTTAACATTTAGCATTTAAACCTTGAGCAAGCTTATAGTATTTATGATTTCAGGGAGAATCCGACGACTGTATCCTTCGTTTGGCTCAACGTGATGGTCTGATCCCTCAAAACATTTAAAATTTGTTGATTTTCTTGTTTATTAAATGAATTGATAAAATTCTTGTTGGATTTTTGTTGTCGATTATGTTCTATAGTTAGTTGGAAGTCTTATTACTTAACTTCGTGCTTTGGCAAGATGTTTTAATTATTCCCATTTTATTATATATGTTGGTTATGGTTTGTAGGTGATCTGTCATTGATTATCTTTGATATTTTGTGTTTCGATATGGAAAAATTTAGTTTGTTCTATTCTAAACTTTATTATTCTTCTGATATATACATACAAAGTAATGGCACCGGTAGTTGAGTCATGTTTGTCAAACAGTTCAAACATCTTGTACATCTAGCGTATAACTGGTTTGAGATACGATTCTCGTAGCTGTACTGCATTTTGTTTTATCCTACACATTTCACATTGTTGACCGTCGTTCTTGATCAAGAACAACGACAATAAGGGAAGGAAGAAGAAAGTGGCAAACAAGAAGCTGAATCCAGTAGAAACCAGTAAGAATATAGCTACTTGGTAGAAGGCGTGGGTATTTGAAGATAACAATGCCAGTCCAGCCAGAGCACTTGATAAAGCTGCCATACTGACAGGTTTTGTAGATCTTTCGATCGCTGTTCTGATTCTGTCATCCGGACACAATCGAGAGGACGGTAGAGCTGCTCCGTAGTGTAATGTGTAGTCGAATGAAAGACTGACAGCTAGTACCAAGATGACGGATTCTAGCATTCCCACCTCCCAACCCATCATTACCAAAGTGCCGCTGCTGCATATTACGATACATACGATGCTGATCATGGCGCAGATGGCTCGGAGTCTGGAAAACGTTTAGTAAAGAAAGGGTTTGTATAAGATAATTCTTCTTGCTTTTTTATCAAGCCTAGAAACTACCTTAATATACTGGCAGCAAACAATAGTACGACCAAAATACTAATAACCACTGATTGAGTCGAATCCGCAATAATGGACCGTTGTAAATCGAACCATGTTGACATGAGACCCCATTCAGGAGTGTACCACATTCCTTTTCTGTTAATACTATGGTCAAGGAGATCGAAAGCTCTGGAGAGATTGGCAAAGCGGTGAGAATACTTGAGTTTTGTAGGTAACAAAGCCGTGTATCCTACAAACTCGAAGGTGTGATTGTGATATAAAGGAGTGTCATTGTAGTTGGTTAGAAGTTGAGAAGTGGATACCCTCATACAGTGGTCGAGGTATCTGTCGGAGTAGAATTGGTTGTTCACGTTACAACAGATGTCGCCGGCTTCACAAGGAATTCTTTGGCTCCAGTCGAGGAATCTGAATGTGAAATTAATAATCAAAGTTTTAAATATAATACTGAAAGCGAGATCTCTGAAAGAGTATGACATAGAATATGTATTGATATAGTAATATTAAATCTTACCGTTCAGGCCAGAACTTGTGTTCATGCTGGATAAAGTACAAGGTCCTCAAGCGAAGCAGAAACGCTGCCAATCCTCTGATATCATCGACGGTCGATAACTCAAAGTCTTTATCAGTCGATAACAGAGAGATTTCGTGGGAATCGAAGAACGATGACTTGTCTTGTACACTGATCCCGAACACCAACCTGATCGTCAATGGTAACGCTATCTTCTGTTCGATGAATTCGAATAGTCTTTCAGCGTTGTTATCATAGAACTCGTTGGGGTCTGAGGCTACGAAGAGCTGTAAAGGATTATATTGAGGTAGATGAAGGCCTGTTATACTAATGTAGCCACATGTGGCGGTCAAATTGAACAAGGATATTAACCATAAATAGCGGCCTTTGAGGACGATAGAAGGTAGTAGGGTCGATAAGAGGTACTTGGACTTGTCTGAGGTAAAGTCTTCGATACGGTAGAAGATGAACTTCCATGGTCTGAAAGAAAGGTCATACAAAACGTAGAAATACTTCTGTAACAGTTGATATAAACATTGTTTTTATGAAACATTATGTATATTTTCAAGGTAAGTTTAGTCAAATCAGTATCGGCAAGATCAAGACAGACACTTACCGTATGAATTTGTTAGCGATAGGATCAATAAGTCGTCGCTGTAGTATCAATACCACGGGCAAAAACGATATTAACATGACGTAGTTGATGATCAAAGTGAAGCCCGAGAACAATCCAAAGCATCTGAACGCCAGAACGGCCGAAAAGATGTTCAAAAAGAATGGCACTACTGTAGAGAACTGAGTCAAGAACATTGTAGAAGCCGTGTGATGAAGACATTCTCTGAAGGTGTCCACGTTCAACGTATCTACAGTATCCGGGAACGATGAGAAGAGGAGAAATGCACCGTCAGATCCAATTGAGATCAGAAGCACAAACACGATCAGATTCATAAGAGGGAATTCCACGCTGAAGATACGGTAAATAATGGCAGATGACAGTACTGAAGCCATCAGTTGGATGATGCAGGCGATACAGTAAGTCAAGGAACGAGTGTACAGTACTACTAGGGCTATTACTAGGGTTCCGGCTAGTAGAGTGTACTGGGAATCAGCTATGGCTTCGTTTAGGAGAAGGTCTCGTTTCACGTCCAGAAGGGTACCTACAACAATACATAGTAAATAATAGTGATTATATGCTTCAGATGGGTTATTTGTGTTCAAGTTTTACATTTTGAAAGACAAAGCCAATGTTAATATAGACCTTACCTTTGATGACGTACTGCTCCGAAGATATATTCTTCAAGGCATTCTGGAGGTTGACAAAGTCACTTAGCTTTACCGGAAACCCTTGTAGCTGATATGAAGTGTAGGTGTAAACAGGCAGAAAAGAGTTGATATAGAACGGTCTGGATGTCAGATCCTTAGGCAATATCCGGTAAAAGAGGTCGAACATCATCTGAGTGGAGCAGTTCGATGGTACCATAGCTGGGTCGCACTCTCTACACTTTACTGCCAACAATGGCTGTTGCTCGATCTGATTCTGTCGTACTCTCTCCAAACATTCCCTCCGGCAATCCACAATCTCCGACCGGTATTCGGCACAGAACTTGACCAAGCTCTTGACCTTGATCATGTCCTCCGACTTGATGTAGGTACAGTTGATCTGAGGTTCGGGAGAGAGGCAGGCCAGGTAGTTTGCGACGTGCCAGATGTTACGGTGAGGAGTTATGGCGTCGAACACTTGTAGCGATGGACGTATCTTATCGTGAAAGCTACACATTTCTGATAAGAACGGCTGGGAGAAAATCCAGTCAAAGCTGGGGACGGATACTATGACTTGAGATAGGTAGTCCACTAAAAGTGACATTGATTGGTAACGTGGTACATATTAAGAGTAACGTAACACAAGTTCTTTATGATTATATATGTAAACGTAGTAAAACATCTCATACTGTTAACACTTACTCGCAGGTATAGGCTGTTCATAGCAAGCGATACTGCCCAAGCTCGAGAGTAAGTCATCTGCCCATCCTCTCTTCGTCCTGCGAGTCTCTACCATAACTCGGCTCCCCTTCAGAAGATAGGGCTGCAGCTGACTCCATCCTATCCTCGGAGTTGAGTATACTGTACCTCGAGTATTAAAGCCTTTTTCTGGATTACTGTCCAATCGAAGAGGAAATAGGTACAGTAGAGTCAATGGTAATATCAGAAATGTCCACAAAGTTATCAGTAGTACTGTCCACGGGTACGAGAACACAAAGTCCGCGTACCAGTGGTACCACTTGTGTTTGGTGCTGGTGGAGGAGGTTACGGATGATACTCGGACCATTTGACGTTCATCTCCTCAGGGCATGTAACAACCTTAAATCCGAAAAATGAAATTAAAAACTTTCGAAAGGGAAACCCAAGATTCGCAAAGTTCGAAAAAGGAAGTTTTAGGGATGATTTAGGTAGGAAGGGGGAGATATCGGTAGGAACGGTAAGGTATGGGTAGGGGAGGGTAGGTTAAGATACGAGAAGGGAAGATATCGCTAGAAGGGGGTAGGTTTAGACACGAAAGCGGAGATTCACATAGAGGAGGGGGAGATGCAGGCAGCGAAAGGAAGATCCCCCTCGAGGCGGGGATTCAGGTATAAAGGTGGGCGATGTTCGGCGAGGGATGTTTGATGGCGCTCGATCCGTCTTTTTCGGGTCATATAAAGGTAGGGGAAGGGAGATCCACAAAAGGCCTTCGGGCTTACAGTCGGCTTAACACGGGGTTAAAACGCCAAAAAGACTTTGGGCTACGAGGTTACAAGGTCATGGGAACATAGTCAACTTTGTTGTGTTATGACAAGCTGTTTTTAGACCATTATTTTTGTGAAAAACATGGTAAAATGAAAAGTTTGAGAACACGGTGAAATAAAAAAAATTAAAATGCTATTTTTATTACAAAGAAACTGAACTAAAGGCCTTCAATGTAATGTCAAAGGGATGAAACCCAAAATATAAAACATCAAATGCCTTCAAACTTATTATTTAAGGTCAGCCTGAATAAGCAAACATTGCCGGATCTGTAACCGGTTTTACTTTTATATTACCCAAACAATGTAAAACACAAAATCTGAAGGATTACGCACAATGTTTGCATTGTCACCATGTTATTCATTAGGTTGTATACAAAGTTTTGACAAAGCATGACCTGAATACAATATTTTTGGGCTTTAAACTTTAAAAAAGGGACTTCAAAGTATTTTTAAAATTAAAAAACGGACTTTAAAATATTTTAGATTTAAAAAAGGGACTTTAAAGCCATGAAAAGTATATTTTCAACTTAAAAAAGCTGAAAAAATTAATAAAAATTGACTTTTTCTAATCAAATTTTTAAAATTCCCGCCATTTGGCATAACGTTGCAACCATTTAGTCCACAATAACTTTAAAAACCAGGAAAAGATGCTCATCCAACAAAACGACAGAAAACACATTTATTAAGTTGAAGCACCTGGATGCCCTGAAGTCAGAAACGCGATTCCATGACATTCGATCGCGTCATTCAGCGCAGCACTTGAGATGATCGCTTCAGAAGCGCCCTAATCCTCCTCCTTCATTTGCATGTCAAACCGGAATATGTTTGGAATAAGCAGCGCCTCAGGGGATGAGCTCCTGCTCGGCTGACTTTGTCAACCGTTCGATGACAGCCGTCTGATTCACGTATTCGAACACGTTGGGGGCACTCAGCAGAATGCCCATGGAGCCGCCCACGGTGACGGCGAAGAAGACGTACAGGAGGAGACGGTCGATCACCATCGCCACGTACTTCCACTCGTCTTTGATCTAAATCAAAATAGTATTAGGTTGTTCAAATAATTCTGTGCCCCTCTCAATACAAATTTTAAGGAGAGGCACATAACTATTTGAACTATATAATAATAGCAATGTTCGAATAGTAACCAGTGTTATAGCCAAAAAGGACTACGGTTACATTATTAACATAGGCGTATATTTAGATACGGGATCAAGAGATCAGTGGGTATGGAACTGTCGATACCTACTGATGTGACGTACCTTTTTGTAGCGATTAACTCGTTTCAAATGCTGAGTAATGTAATCTACAGCGTCCATCGCCTTGATGGCTTCTTCGCTCAACATTTCGTTGAATTCTGTTTTGTAATCGTTGAGTTTCCGATTCAAAGCCGTCTCCACGTGAGGTAGCAGGTCGTGCCGGTGACAGTGGGGATGGTGACTCACCTAAAACCATCTTTTGGAAAGATTTCAATTAAACATAGTGTATACAATAACATTTCAATGTAAAATCGATTTATATGATACAGAAAAAATACCGTATTAGTAATTTGTGGCAGTTCGTCTACCTAGTATTGGAAAAAATAAATTTTTGACATTTTGTATAAAAAAACGCTAATTTTTCATAACAACCAATACTGTCGTGTTCGAAACAACTAACAACATACCTGAGGCTTTGACATCTCGATGAACTCCCCAGGCAGATACTTGGCCTTCCCAAACGACTTCCTCCTCTGAACCTCAAAGTTCACATACACATTAGGTCGTCTCATACACAAAAACAATGGCATGTACTGTAGAAACACCCTCTTCACCCATATCGGCATCGTATGTGTTGTAGGGCCTCGGAAGTAGATGTTGATGATAACTACAGTAACCAGAATTGTGACAATATTAAGACAAAAGGTGGTCAATAAGTACTTGGCCATCAGAGGTATGGTAGAAGAGGTGGGAGGTAGGATTTTGGATACAAGTAATAGGAACACCACCAAAGCGAGTAGAATCGAGATGGACAAGGTGATCTTCTCATCCGCTTCAGCTGGCAGGTAGAACACCATCATACTCAGGAAGGCCATGAGTACTGTAGGTATAATAAGGATTACTGTATAGAAGAGGGTTTTCCTATAATTAGGTATTGTATATAAAACGAAAAAATAAAATCTAACTTTAGTGGTATCTTATGACATGTTCACCATCATTTATGTTAAATGATGATAAACAACAATACTACCCCACCTTACCTCCTGATCTTGATCTGATAAGCGATCTTGCTTTTCTCCTGAATCAGCTCCCCAGGCACTTCCATCACATCCCAGATACCAGAGGGTGAGTAGTCGTTCAACTCGACCTGGCGTTTGCCCATCAGGTACTTGATGGTAACCTCATGTTGGTTGAAGGTCCATGACCCAAAGATCATGGCACAAGTCTGTTCATCGAAGGGGAAGAACTCCACGTCGATGGTACAACTACTCTTGTAGATGGCTGGAGGTACCCACAGCATCTCACCCGTATGCTCTACTACAACATTCGAGTAAAAGGACACTTCGTAGTTACCATCGGCGCTGAAATGGAGATGTTATAGATAAGTGTATATGAATATGTATGTTAGTATAAAAATGATACGATACTGTAGACAAAGTAAAAATGCTAAAATTAGGGTAACATAGATAAGTTAGAGTAGGTAATGTTCATGACCAGCTTACTTGTTAAACAGCACAATATCAGGTAGCCATACTTTGTCTGGAGGCACTAAAATGACATCAAAATTTAGCACATTAAAGAAATTCTTTAAAATATTAAAGTATGTTATCAAATTATGAAGCCACTTACATCGTACAGTCTGAATCCCACCGTACTTTCGTGGATCCCACCGCATCTGATAGTCTGTCCATCTCTAAAACAATATCATGATCCCTGTCTTACAAATAATACCTTATATAAAACCAACTTGACAATGTAATATTGAATCAACGTACCATAGTAGGCCAAACATTGGTCTGCATGATCTGATTCTTCTCGTCCACGCTGATCAGAAGTACCATGGCCAAACTGAATGATATCTCCACGGGCGTCGCACTAGTGTTTGGTACTGGCCGGACTAGCGAGTTGTAGCCTTTGAAGATGTCCATCATTAAACGTTCTTCGTCGTCTGAACTTGTCACATCTAAACATAATGTACAGTAATAAGAAAGATGTTACCTAAAATATAAATTTTAAAGTTTTTTCCATTTTTTACCTCGTATCTCAACGAAAAGTATTGCAAATCTGTTATGTGATGTTGTTGTAAGATAAATTACCCTAATAAGTACCTGAAAACATTAATTAATACCTAAAATAGAGTTAAAGCTAAACCTATCGACCAATCTGTAAGTATACCTACTAAAACCCATCATACCAATCACCCCCAATAAAACACAACAATCATCACAGTAAAAATAGAAGTTTATTGAGTAATATGTACAACAATAGCTAAGTAAACCCAGATTCAGCGTCCAACCGGCTTTCCGCGATCAATCGTTTGATCACTTCATGCTGATCAACATAGTCAAACACATGTGGAGCCGAGAAGATGATACCAATGGTACCACCAAATGTAATACCAAAGAATATTAACAGTAGAAGACGGTCGATCACCATGGCTATGTACTTCCAGTCGTCTCTTACCTAAAGATTTGATTTTTCATTAAAAAATAAATAATTTAGCTAGCTATCTCTCTCACTACTATACCTTCTTGTCGCTCATCTCGCACTTCATGTGTTCCGCGATGAAAGCGATACTCTCCACGGTACTCTGCAGGTCCTGACTCATCCTCTGCTCATGCCCGAACTCGGCGTTCTTCTCCTCCATGTTCAACTTGGGGCCGAACGTGTATCGACCGCTGAGTAGATCTTCGGCCGCGTCTCGTATCTTCTGTCGGTCGATGGTTTCCTCGGGCGGTGGTCTTCGTAAGGTCGAGAACGTTCTATTCTTACCCCGCCGTGCCTGACAGTTATGGTGATGCTTGCCTACCAAGGGGCGACGTCGCTTTCCCACTTCTGTGAAGGGTAATATAGTCGCTGTGATTGAGGGCATGATCAGACCTGAAATATGGTAATATTAAGATGATATGTCGTCTATATTGTCTTTAAAACAATTCCAGAATCTTCTTTCAAATATATCTGTAAGTCCCACTTACTGGCATCGAATATCTCCTCGACACAGTACTCCTCGACGAAGTAACCGTTGAATATAGGTATCCTCTCAGGTCGTTTCATCATCAGACATCGTGGCAGAAACTCGAGGAAGATTACTCTTACTGTATTCGACATTACTGAAGTCGTGGCTGATCGGAAGTACACGTTGATGATAACTACAGTAACCACAATGGCCACAATGTTCAGTATAAACGTAAGGAGAAGATACTTGGCCATCAGAGGTATCGTATCTGAAGTTGGCGGAAGGATCTTGGATACCAGAAGTAAGAAGACCACCAAGGCCAGTAAGATAGAGATCCCTAGAGTAATCTTCTCGGAACATTCAGCTGGTAGGTAGAACACCATCATACTCAGGAAGGCCATCAGTACTGTAGGTATGATGAGGATTACTGTGTAGAAAAGAGTTTTTCTGTAATAGACTTTGTTATTATCGTACATGTATATATGTAGTAGCTTACTATAAGAAATAAGATCGTATCTACCTTACTTTACCGTATTCTACCCTACCTTGACCCAACTACACCCTTTTACTACTATATGTTACTAGAGATGATCAACATCTGATATTTACCTCCTGATCACAATTTGAAACTGCATTTTGCTTTTGTCCTGCACCAGCACTCCGGGCGCCTGCATCACATCCCAGATGCCACTGTAGCTGTAGTCCTCCAACTCGACCGCCTTCTTGTTCATGTACCACTTCAGCTTGACCTCGTCCGAGTTGTAGGTCCACGACCCGAAGATCAGCTGACAAGTCTGCTCATCGAATGGAAAGTACTCGACATCGATCCGACACGAGCTCTTGTAGATGGCCGGAGGTACCCACGTGACATTGCCACGGTAATCTACTTCTACATTACTGTGGTATGACACTTCGTAATTGCCATCAGCGCTGGAAAAAGCGTGTTACGACCGGTAATTCGATTTGAAAAAGCCGGAAAAATAAGCGGAAGCAGACCACAAACACACCAGTATTCGAATACCCGGAACGTTGTTTGGCACAACATCAACATGTTACACTCGCTCAATATAAAACCAATTATGATAAAGACCAGAGAGTCAAATAAATCTTGCTTGGTGATATAAATAGATGTTTTTAGTAAAATTGTTTTTTAAATTTGGGAAAATATGTTGTGATAGTGCTATAACAATATATATTCGTACATGTTTATAAAAATAAATTTCTTGTCTAAAAATTACCGTAACATCATAAGTTTATTCAGAAAACAGCTGCACAGTCTAGGCTAGTTCTTACTCCCATAGAAAGAAAGGGCGCAGTTCGAAAATCGCGCCGCAGGCTGCACATAAAAGAAAGTTTCAGATAACGAGGGTTTGACTACAGCAAGGCGATTCTTACAACGAAATAGCGTAAAAAGCTCCCAGAAGACATATTTTTAAATACATAATAAATAAAATATCAAAATACTCACTTGTTAAAGAGAACAATATCAGGTACCCAAACGCGATGTACTGGTACTCTCATACTCTCCAGACCTCTATAATCAGCCGGATTCCAATTGAACTGGCAGTCGTTCCACTTCAAAGTCAGCCACACATTGGTTTGCATGATCTGGTTCTTCTCGTCGACGTTAATCAACAGAATCATGGCTACACCAAACTCCACGAAGACGACGCTACTGTTGTGGCACGGTGTCGGGCGAATCAAATGATTGTAGTTTTGGAACATGTCAATCACCAGACGCTCCTCGTCTTCGTTTGCTGGTTTTACCGTTTCTACAAGGAAAAGATACGATGTACTGAGTTGCGATGGATATACCATGGTATTTTACATTAATACGATGGTATCTTCAAAGATATTAACAAGCTATTACCGTACAGATGTAAAAATGATCAGTATGTTACTGTAAAGCGGATATACAGCTTCATTAGTCTATTACTTCACCATGAATTCAAGATACGATGCAATAAACTTCTCTGTAAACCTAAAACAATATAATCTTACCTGGCTGAAGCTCGGAATCGTATATGGAATGACCATATCGATCTACAGGTGACCATTTCGGATCCTCAGTGGCGGCTCCAACAGTACCAAACCCGATAGTACCGAACAGTAAACAAGAACAGAGAATCTGGAGATTCATAACATTTCCGTACGATCGGCCGCTTCTTTTGCCTCGAGGGCGCGAAGCCGAAGGGCGGGGTCAAGAATTGGCCAAAAACGAATTTCCATTGTTTTCGGCTTCATTTCGTGGCCACGGTCCCCAGTGCCCCTCTGAATCCCCCCGAAACCCTCTACAACAACGTCAACATAACACTTTATGAATATGACAAGTTTAATCAAACTTTTGTCTTTGTACCAGAAATTAGGTAACATTTATTGTATTATAGTGTGAAAAGTTTATTTTTTATTTTATTCCCAGCTTATTTAATTAATGATAATAAAATTATCAACTTTGGCATTAAAAGCCATCTTATTTTAAACGTAAAAATGTTACAGTATACCACACTCAAAAAAATTCTTCACACTAACGTTTTATAATCTTTTAGATTCTTATGATCTTCTACCTTTCACGTTTTTTAAAATTTAATAAATAAAAAAAAACGGTTAAAAAAACGTTAAAATTCACAAAAAAACTTACAGTAATCCAAAAATAGAACAACGATCATAGCACGAATCAAATACCATTTTAAAAAGCTGTTTATTAGCTTTAAATTGGTGTAACGATTGGGTAATAAATTAGTCTGTTTAGTCGACATAGTACGCTTTTTCTGAGTAGTACTAGCTTATGAGGTCAAGTGTATATAGTAGAAAGTATAAAAAATATGTTTTTGAGCCTTTTTGTGACAATACTTAAAATAATATTTAAAAATGTTAAAATTAGAGGTATTAATTAGTAACTTTAGCTATAAAAGAACAATCTTAGGCTTAAAAGTGGCCTAATAACAAAAAAAAACGTTTTAGGCTTAAAATTCGCAATTTCGGCTTTTAATTACCTTCTTAAGCCTTATAACAAACTCAAATACCTAAAACCTATCTTCCCATTTCAGTCTCGAACCTCTCAAGTATCAAACTCAAAGTCCTAAGCCCCGGTGAACCTGCTTAAGGCTGGACGAATGGTCGAGGCGGTCGATTATTAGAACACGGTCTTTGGGGGATTCTGGAGATGGATGCAATTGGAGCGACGGGAAAGGCCAAAAAAGGCGGCACTTAACGGCTATCGATCCCTCTCCCAACACCCCACACACAAAGTTAAGCCCTCCGGGTATCTGTCACACATTTTGTCATCTTAAGCCCTCAGGCACAACAAATAAACATTTAAACAAAAAACTTGTTTATTCTGCTCTGTACATTACTACGAGAAGGCAGCACGGAATATATTACAGTAAGGGCAAAAATTGAATTACAAGTTGAGAAAATGGCTAAAAAGGTGTCATGATGACGGAATTTTTGTGATAAACACGAAACTAAACAAAATTCATTTCAAAAAGCTCAATTTATGCTGATTTTCAGCAATTATACCCCTCAAAAACCACCCCAAACAAGAAATCGTCGTCCAAGAAAGAAATCATCAAAATTCCACAAAACCCGTCATCGCACGTTCAGAAATCTCGTCATCATGACACCCCAAAAATGAAAGAATCCAAATAGGAAGAACTGAGAAAAGGATACGTAAAGACACCGCACGTTGAGTTGAGCTCGATTTGATTAACATAGGACCACAAGAGCGTGAAGATACGAGGTATATGTTTATATTGTGTTTGCTGCCCGCTTCTGGCCTCAGGCAATCGCTTGCTGATCCGACCAAATTGTGGGCGCCCTGAAAATGATATGCACCGTTCCGATGAGACAGCCGAACGTGAACAGGATCAGGAAGATGCGGTCCATCACCACCGACACGTACTTCCAGTCCTCGATCACCTGTAAATCGCATGGATAATATAATTTTGGATGAGTTTTGTAAAAGAGCACGGGTAATTGTTATCTTTATGGTTTTTACAGATTTACGGTGTTGTTATACACCTTATTTATTAAAAGCTATTCTCAAATAGTGTGAGAAACCATTGACAAACTTATATTACACTTCCCTAGGGATGGATAATATAATTTTTCGCTCAAATAATGCCATTTTTTGCAGACAAAACAGCATTTCCACTGTCCTCTCCTCTATTCTTTATATCTTGTCTAAATATCCGTAAAATTTGGCCCTTAACACCAAAAAACGGCAAAACCATATATTACACTAGCCAGATCTTCTCAAACCTCAAGTAAAATAATTATAACATACTTGTTGATCTTCCTCCTCCTTCCTGAAGTGGTCAGCGATAAAACTGACAGATTCCACAGCTGATTTCATCGGAGTTTTCTGTTCCTGCACACTTCCAGTTCGACTGATAAGAGCTGGGTGGGTATCAGAAGGTCGATGAACTTGAAGATGGTCTCCATGTTCAAGCAGAATAGATGGTCGAGAGTAGAGACTGGGTCTGGTGGATTTGCGAGAGGAATTCCCTCCTGTTACTAGTTGCATCTGAAGACCGTCGTTTTTAGTCTAATCATGTCTAATTTTAGTTGTCATAGATAATATAGCGATATCATTTAGTTTTTGCTAGATTTTTAAATTTGCTACATATAATACAGTTCGTAAGTATTATTTAACGTATTCTAAATGTATTTCTAATATATTCTATACTCCTACAATTTACTGTAATCAAAAAATTTTCTGCGAACCGCGAAAAGCTTTCTCAAGTCGCGCCCTTGTTTTTTGTTTAAATTTCAAATGTAAATAAGAAATAACATTGATTTAAACCTACAGCTATGGGAGAGAATTCCTGAGGCGGTGATGTGTTTTCGTAGATCTGGGCGGGTCTCCGCATGAATAGGTAATAAGGTAGTGTCTCGATGAAGAGCCATCGTACAAAACGACCCATTTTGTGTGTAGACGGCTGACGGTAGTGAACGTTCTGGAAAGAGAAATTGGTGTCTTATGAGAAATATTAAAGATAGGAGTATTTTAGAAGTATTCTGTATTTGATTTTACTGTAACATCAGGTATTATTGGTTTGTTCAAAAAATTCTGCGCCCCTTAACCCCGAAAATTTGCATTGAGATAGGCTCGCAATTATTTGCACAACCTTTAGTATAAAAATTGGCTTTACCTGAAATTCAAATGCATCACTGTTCCCATAAGACACTTACCAAAGTTATCACAGTTACAATAACACTCAACGTTACCAATACCATGGTAAAGAGTAGGTATTTGCCGATGAGTGGGATCACAAGACTGGTCGATGGGATGATTTCGACTGAAAACATGGTTTAAGGGTAAATACCATTACTAATACAAAATAAAATTTGTTATACCATAACAAAGTACCATAATAAATATACTATACAGTATACTACAATACAATAATCTATTATATGTACTGTATAATTTATTATGACTCACCCAACAACAAGAAGAACACGGTCAAAGAGATGAGGACACTGATACAGAGTGAGATCTTCTCCCCACCGTCAGAAGGCAGGTAGAAGACGAGGGCGGTCAGAGCACTGATGCCTACACACGGAATCATGAGGTTCACGGTGTAGAACAAGGTCTTCCGTCTGAGGTGGATCTCGTAGGTGAGGTCGATGAAGGGAGATTCACAACATGGATACCGCTTCTCATGACGTTTGGCCGGCACTGACAGGATGTCCCACTCCACGCTGGGGTAGTAGTCGCTGAGGTCGATACCTATAAGATCAGATGATATTGTAGTAGGTTAAGGAAATTTTCATTAGGGTAAGGAGTCTGACTTCATTTTTAAAATTGAAAAAATGCCTAACAGATATTACAAACTCTCCAAAGTCTCATTATAAGCTCACCTTGATCCACGACCCACACCGTCTCGTTATATTCACCATCAATGCCTTGGACACGTATCTGTTCCTCCCGTTGTAGATGTTCGTCTTTATGCTTCAGATCCACTTCGAAGCCGCCGTATGTCCAGGATCCAAACTTCATTTCACAGGTCTGTACATCCAAAGGAAACCACTCCACATCGATCTGGCACATACTACAAGACAGAAAAGGGACGTTAAAAAGCATGTTATTCAATATCTTAAGGAAGGTAATATTTTTTGTGATAAGGAACATTGTTTTTTAATCAAGATACAGCTTTTTAATCAAACATACCTTTTGTAAATGGCTGGTGGGGACCATTCTACAGTGCCGTCGTAGTTCAGTTTGGCTTTGTGCATAATTGACACTTGGTAGTTGCCGTCAGCGCTAGAAAATAGTGTTTGTAGTAATGATTCTTTATCAAAAAATACTTTAAAACCCTAATTTTCTTAATTTTTGATTAGTAATCAACACTTTGAACTAAAAAACCTCACAATATGAATTTTCGGGGTTAGGGGCACAGAATTATTTGAACGACTTAACTTAACAACAGAAAGTTAAAGATAGCTTACTTGTTATATAACACAATATCAGGTAGCCAGATCAAATCGACCGGTACGTAAAGTTGTTTCACTCCGCCATATTCATCTGGGTCCCATGTTAACTTTTGGTCCCGCCAGGTCTGAAAATGTACAATAATACCCAAAATCAATATAAACAAAACAATAAAAAGAGAATTTAACGGTTGATTAGCATATTAAATTGTATAAAAATTAATGAGCTAATTAACTCTCTATTGCTGTGAGAGACATAGCTCATTACTTTTTATACAACCTAATAAATGAAATTTTCGCTCAAAACACAGACTAGATTCCGAGAACTTTGACAATAACTTAGTTTACACGGTGTTGTTTCTCGGTAATCGTATCTCAAACATTGCGACACTTACATGATGAAGCCACACGTTCGTCGTCATGATTTGATTCTTTTCGTGCTGAAAACAACAGGAAATTGTGTCAGTTTAGGGAATTTCAAATTTAAAAATTATCGACCAATTCCTGGTTTGTGAAATTTTACAAAAAACGGCAGAAACTTTCTTTACAAGTGAAGAAATAGGCTTTAATAGCCTAAAGTGACAACCTTTTATAACTAAAATTTAAAATTAGCCAAAAATGGCAAAAACTTTCTTTACAAATAAAAATATTTCAAAAACTGCCAAAACTTACCACATCAAGAAGCTGAGACAGCTTCAGTTTGAAGTAGACCACCAGAGTGTCGGTGTTGTTATACACTGGTCGTACCAATTTGTTGTAGTCGGACAGTAGCGTTTCGTATAGTCGACTCGAGTCCTTACTGGACTGTGCCTGGACTGAAGTGAAGATGCACATAACCAAAAAGAAATGGTACAGAGAGTAGCTGAACCAGCTAGTCAGACCACGGGTTACAGCTGACAATGAAGGTGATGATGACAATGTAGAGGGCAATGATGGTTTAGGTATGACTGTTGATGATGTTGTTTTTGATGATTCTATTTTACAATTCAAGTTGACTGGTGTCCTACATGTATTACTTGAGGAAGAAGATATAAATGTACATAGAGTTGAGCATGATGATGTACATGTAGGAGACCCACAAGATATCCCATCAATATCTACACATCCATCTACATCAACATGTCTATCTGTGTCTACACTGTCTAAGCTGTTGTGAAGATTGTTGTGTGGATACCGTGGCGGCGTCTGATTCTGAATTGGCTCTGGATTTGCATAATTCTGAATCCGGGATTCTGGATTCAGGGCCTCGAAACGGACGCTTTTCGGCGTCCGCATGATGGCTTCATAAGGGTTTCTGAAGCCGTCGGAGCGCTGATCAGATACGTCAGCTTCACGATCCTCTCGGCAATGCCTGACTGGCCTGGTTTGGCAGACGCAATTGGCCTGCGCTGAACTAGCTGGCCCGGCCGCCGCGTTCGTCGAGCGGCAGCCGGCCGCCTCACTCGTCCTGAACTCGGCCGCCCACAAACGTGCACCGACCGTGAAGCCGCGACAAAGAAGCCGGAGTCGGTAGCGTGCAAGCTGCTCCTGTCGTTCGCCAATCTCATAAAAGAGTTAGACCAATTAATCTCCGGACTGTTGTTGATCAACAACACACAAAGGCGGCACTTCTCCTATAAATCAATCTCACATCATCTCCATCACATTAACATAACTAAGCTTCGACAAACACGACCGCCATTACTATTATAATGTTGAGTATGTTATGGTTGGAGTTAAAACAGTAATTAAAGTTCAAGCATAACGTATATAAAGGATCTATTGGTTCAAAAGCTATCAATATAGAGAAGGTAAATCAAACCAAGAATAAGATACTACGCAAAATGAAAAAAAAATAAAAAGAATAATTTTTATAACAATTACAAGATTACAGCTATAATGATTTACTTTAAAATATTAAAAAATCCAAAAATTAGTTTCAATTTAAAAAAGATCAAAAAAACAATTTTAATCTTTTCAAGGCCCAAAACAAACCAAGTTTGAAATTTCAAAATCGACCAAAAGCAGGCTCAAAACAGTAGTGTCTCAACCCTATTTTTTCGATATCAAAATAAGAAAAAGTAATTAAACGCGAGGCCCTGGAGGCATAACGTCCGTTCAATGACTTCCGAATTTTGAAAACCCTAATCTCCGGGAAAGTAACTGTTTGTCTGCACAACAAAATAAGCGAGCATTAGCAATATAGGAAATCAAACTGGGTCAGTTTTTCAGTGGAGATTACTCGAGGGGGCTTATAATGTCCGAAGATGACTAAGTGGCGGAAGATGGGCCACAAACAGGGCCCGGCTGACCGGTCGGTCACACGTGAGGGTCGTGAGGTTATGATAACAAGCTCGAGTCTGGCAAAAAGGTTTATATTGTTTTAGAGAAGGGTTTATAATATTTCAGAAAAGGGGTTATCAGGCTTTAAAACGGTTCATTAGGTAGTATAAGGTCTAGATTTGATAAGCAGGTCAATAGTGAGAGATTTATAAGCAAAATTTATGAGCCGGCTGATTAGGAATGTCATCTCGATATCTACACATCGGTGTCAGTCCCACATACTCGGGGATAAGGGGGGGGCCAGAGGTGGAAGCGGCCAGATAGTCTCATTCTGGGACAAAAAAAGCCGAGAGAAGGGCCATGAAGAGTGGCAAAAGCAGCACATCCCTTTTCTACTTTTTCCGTTTCTTCGGGACAGACGTCTCAACGGGCCCACCGTCAATTGGCCAAAAAGCCCGGCGAGCGCGGAAGAGTCGCCGTGGCCGGAACTTTGCGTTTTTTGTTGCCCACTTGGCCATTCCGGCCTCACGAAACCGGGAAAACCGGCGCCGTTCACCAAGATTGGATTGCACTTGTCTGCGGCGTGGCTAGCGATTTCTCCCGGGACCACCCCGCCCCGAGTTTATTGACCTTTCATGTATCAAACATATCAGCGTACACATCATACCAGGGTTGAATTAGGGTACATCAAAGCAGTCATATGAGATAATACCATGGGTCAGATGAGTTATCATACCAGTAATATCAAAGTATTTCTTACTAGTCATATTAACTTTTAGATTTGCCTGGTTAAAAATCATCATAGATAACACTTTTCAAGTCTCTAATTTTCAATAATTATATCAAAAAGGTTCAAAACTAACCTTAAGACGTTGTTTACATATTTTGATTAAGAAATACCATTAAATAATTTACATCATTCCCAAACCGGTCAAATCAGTATATTGCACTTAACAAGTCTTGACATTTTACCGAAAAAACCACAGACCCGGAGGCATCTCACCTGTCCATCATTTAGACACTTTTATTTGTGACAAAACTAAAAACCTAAGTTAAGTTGAGGAAACCTGATCCTTCTGGAAGGCCGGATTCTGGAAGTCGTGGTACAGTCGAGCATACGGCCCCTTGCCCAAATTCCTGTCAATCAGTTGCCTGTGCTGCCAGGCCTGTAGCTTCTTCCTGTTATCGGCGTAGAAGATGTCAGGGAACTGGGGCTTCTTCACCTCACCCTCGTGGACTCGCTTCTCCAGCCATTCTCTGTAGACCGAGTTCACTACTTCTTCTGGCGGTCGATATTGATCTAGGTATTTGTCGAATGTTCGGACTTTCAATGGGAACTCCTTCTGCTTTCTCACAACCGGCTTGTTCCACTGGTACCAAAATCGTGGACTTTTCAAACCTAAAATGACATCATTTTAAGATAAGACATTACTTAATAGATAGTTTTTTTTGTATGAGAATATCTTAGCGATCTATCTTCTACCTTTCATTTTTTTCAATACCAATAACCTATATTACAATATCCCTTACATATTATTACATATTGACTAAACTAAAATTGAATGTTTACATTACCTTGTTCATGAAGGATGTTGTCGACATTTTGGTCCCATTCGGCCTGGCAGAATCTAAGCGACGATGGTGTCATCTTTTCTTCAAACGTTTTCAAAAATCGATTCGTGGAAAACAACCTTTCTTCAAACCTAGACCTAAATAGCAATCAATATATAAAAACCATACATCAAATAAGACATAATAATACAACACCACAACAAAATTACTTACGACTGTAACGTAAAAGAACTAAAGTCCAGTTTTTCTTGATGTCTGAACAACACAAATGCTATCCGATGATATCCACTTCCATGATAAGGAGTTGGCGGCAAGTAAGGTACTACAACATCTCCGTCTGACACTGCACTGCCATCAGCCACATTACCAATTACCCAGTGAGCCATTTGTTGATATCCACCTTCAGTCAGCTCTCCTTCTAACATATTTCCATCCAAATTGACCATAACAAGAGAGTTGTAACCTTTACCATCTTTTGGAGATTCTATTTTAACAACTGGAGCTTCTAGCATGTCTTGCACCGTTATTACATTGCCTGTCCTTGCGTCAGAACTGCCATAAGATACTTTGAATGATTGGACATTGTGGAAATAAGCTCCAGGAACAAATAGGTCTGAGTAAACATTGAAGTGCTGACCAATGCTAATATTGTCGTCTTCAACCTGCTTCAAGTCAATCAATACTAAAACATAATAGATCAAAACACTCAACTAAAAAATTAATCTTATTTATACTTCAACGCCAAAATTTCCTGTTCTCACTAAACTTTAGGTTATTATACATAGAAAGGAAAAAAGCCATCTTTAAAATCAACTTTTTTTTAATAGTTAAGATAAAAACCAATTAATAAAATTGACATAACTTACGTTCATTCTTTCTGGCTGCTTTCTCAAGTTCTTCACTCTTATTCTTGTGTTCAGAAGCCTCTATCTTCAGTTTACTGAACCCAATATCCAAACTTGAAATGTTTTTGTTTTCTAAACCCAAAATAAAGCCAATATAATATAAAATTACCGTTTAATCGTTCCTCCAGAGTCTTGTAGTAATTTGTGGGCTCAATAACATACATTTTTGGTAGCAACTCCGGGTATTCAATCCTGGCTTTGTACCATGCGTTTCGCTCTGACCATCTGCAATGATAATGTTAAAAAGTTTCAAAACCAAATAAAAATAGCTCTCATTTTACTCAAAATAAGTAAGAAACGCACCTTGTCTGATAAAAAGCAGCTGGACCAGCCCAAGCAATCATTTTAGGCCGATCAGGACGGTTAACTCTAGGCGTACGTTTGGCTCGGCGTGAACCAGGAACATAATTATCGCCAAACACTGATCTGATTCTCCTTATTGCCGACATTCCTCAACAATAACAACGAGGAGGTCGTACAATATTCCAGGATTTATTCGCTAATATTTTATATTTAGTTGCCACTTTATTCATCGGCTTTTGGAAACGAAGTGTCAGAAAACGGATTATTGAACGAGACGACTTTTTGTTTGTCGAAAAAAGGGTGTAAATAAATAACAAAACCCGCCTTGTAACAAGTCACTTTCTGTAAAAGAAGGTTGGGTTTTGTGTGATCGATTTTCGAATGTTTATCAGTTTTGATTTAATTCTTTATATAGTCATATTATTCATTCTTTGACGTGTTTTAGACTGATTTATTCGAGAAGCGTACACTTTTTTGAAAGTTCTCTAAATTTATTGAAGATTTTAGATAACAATGTCTGTGAAAGCTTTTGTTGACGGTTTGATCTCTTCGAAGAAGGTTGTGATCTTCTCCAAAACTTATTGTCCTTTCTGCACAAAGGCGAAGGATGCTATTGGCTCGTTCAAACTTCAATCTGATGCCATTGAGACCGTAGAATTGGACAAGAGAAACGATTGTGATCAAGTACAAGATTACCTCAAGGACATTACTGGTGGACGGTGAGTTCAACTACTTCTTTTACAATATCTTGAGTTTAGATCTGTTCCCCGTGTGTTCATAAATGGCAAGTTCTTGGGTGGAGGAGATGACACAGTAGCTGCCTTGAAGAACGGATCTCTGGAATCTAAACTGAAGGAAGCCGGCGCCCTTTAAGAAGTTACCTACGTATTTATGATCGTGAGTAAATTTCTAGTAAACTTTTGCTATTTATTTGGAATAAATAATCTGTTAGCACACTGAACGGAGACATTAAGGTACTTCGAGTGTATGTTAATATAAAAATGTATACAAATGTATATGTTATATTTAAGTACATCTAAGTGTCAGTTCGATAAATTTGTATTGTTGTTTTTAAGTAGATTCCTATTATAAAAAACGCATTACCAATCTACCTACCTAACATGTATAGTCTATGTTAATATAAAATATATAAATGAATATGTTAGTGAAATCTTCTCCGATGGACTACTTTTGAACAAGAAACTAATAGGATAGATAGAGATTTATTTTTATGCATACATTTGAGAGATGAGCAGGTCATCTTCGTCATCCAGTAAGCTCTCTCCTTTTCGCACGTTCCTATTGTTGTTGGCTTTCCTTCGCTTGCAAATGAAACGTACTCCGCCCGCCAACCCGACCAACAGGAACAGCCCTAAGGCGGCCAACCGAAGCGACAGCCCGTTCGCGGATGTTGTTGTAGGTAATGCGGGAGTTGTGGTGTATACCTTGGGCTGGAGATGAACCTGACGACCTGGTTGCTGAGGTTGTTGAGAAGGTCTTTGTTGTTTTCTGAAGTGGTTTAGAAGGTAATTAGGTTAAAATCAAAGCTAAAAGATGTAAATTTTTAAGTTTTAGTATATTTGTTGGTCCAAAAGTGCATAGAACGGCTTTATATGGACACGTTTAGGTTAAATAAAGTAGGTTTTAACATTTAAACTGTTTGGACAAATTAATTAATAAATTTTTAAGTTAAATAAGCGACTTCTCACGCTATATAACAAATTACAATGAGAAAACCTACCGTTCCGGTTGATCACATTCCAGCTCGTCCGAGCCGTCTTCACATTGTGTTACACCGTCACAAACGTCGTACTGGGCTATACACTCTCCGTTAGCACACATCCACTGATAGGTAACGTCACAATAAGCGGGTTGAAGGTCGGCTTCTCCACCGAACATGAGGCCTTCGTCGTTCTGTGCTCGGGTAACCCATACTGTCAGACAAGCAAGTAAAGTGATTAGCCTCGGGTCCATAGTTGCATTTGATCTGAGTAAAACAATTACTCGCACAATTCTGCCAATGGAAAGTGTATCGATTGGCGTGCCGCGGCCCGTAAAAGGCCAAAGAAAGAGAGAGCGGGGGCAGCCGGCTTCACAGAGCGAGGCCCGTTCGGCCGAGATAACTGGGCTCATATGTACATGGTTATAAATCTTTTATCATCAGGGTTGGGGAACATACGTTTTTATATTTATGTTAGCAAACCTGGTATAATATTCTTTTTTCTATGAATTTTTTTTTTAATTCTTGTTTTTGTAAGAATTTTTTAAATTTGTATTATCTGCATGTAACGAGAAAGTACAAGGTCGTCTTTTACCGTAGATTAAACTATTTATTGTGAAAATCGTTATCATTACAGAACAATAACTAATCAAACCCAAAATATTGTACAATTGAAATTGTTTTATTTACAACATTTTACCACATAAATAGTCAATTGCACAACATAACGTTTACAAAGATACGATATACATAATAGTTAGTCTTCTTGTCCAAACTCTTTTTGGAACACTTCCAGTCGTTCGAGGTCGGCCTTATTCACGGAACGTTTGTTCTTCATCAACGCGACCAGCATATCGTTCTGAAACCAGTTGTAATTAGCTTTTTGATAACCATGCCTAATGTTTGGAAGAAATAATGTTTATATCAAACATACCATGGATACAATGGGTTCGGCGAGCTTATCTGATGGAACATCTTGCCAGTTCATCTCTTGTGCTCCGGGATGTCCTGGAGAACATGGTGTCAGAAGATCATGTACAGTTTCGCCATTGACTGGAGATGGGCCTGATATCTGCAAAAAACAACATAAATTTTTAAAACATCAACTTGTTACCTAAACTTGAAAATATAAATTGTTCATCCTACAAAACATCACAAAACAACCTACTTTGACAAAGTGAGTAGCACTTTGGAGTTTCCTGATGGGCTCCATCAACGCATCCTTCACGACCATCGAGATATCGTGACCTGAATAGCCCTCGGTCTTCTCAGCCAGGATTCTGAGCTCATCATCGTTCACATTGTGAGGAGTCGATCCTATTCCCAGCTTGAACATCTGTCTGCGGCCGTTCACATCGGGTAGGGGAATGTAGATACGCTTCTGAAAAAAACAAATATTACAATAACATTTTTAAAACGTTGTTTAAGCGAATTCAAAGCACAATATTAGTAGGTTGAAACTTAAATCTCACAAAATGTCGAAAACCAGTGACATTTAACTTATCATACCTCGAAACGTCGTCTGATAGCCGAATCCAACGTCCATGGGATATTAGTGGCAGCGAGCACCAGAACACCATTGTCATCATTGCCGATCCCTTGCATCTGAACCAAAAACTCGGTCTTGATTCTTCTCGCGGATTCAGATTCATTGTCAGATCTAGCCGAACACAAGGAATCCACTTCGTCGATGAAGATAATCGACGGCTTCTGTTGCCGAGCCATGGCAAACAGCTCTTTTACCAACCTGAACAAGGATAATATATTTAAAATGTATAAATTTTACAGTTTTGTAAAAATTTTTCGAAATTTAAAAAAAAATTGAATGTAACTTAATATAACAGTATTTTTAAACGTAATTTGCGTTACATACGATTCTCCCAAACATTACACAGCATTTTACACTCGTCCACCATCGTAAACACTTACTTTTCCGATTCGCCGAGCCATTTGGAGACCAAGTCACTGGACGAGACCGAGAAGAAGGTCGAGTTCTGGGCTTCTGTAGCCACCGCCTTGGCAATATAACTCTTTCCTGTTCCTGGTGGGCCAAACAAAAGAATCCCGCGCCACGGCTTGCGCTGACCTAAAAAGGAAGCCAACCTTTAGCACGAACAAAAAACATGACAATGCGTAAAGGACGGCCGAAAGTGAACCTAAAAAGTGAACAGCCCCCGGAAAACGGCCGACATCAGAGGACGCACCAAACTGACGGGGCTGGGCCGTTTTCTGGCCGTCGTGTGCCCCCATTTTCAGTCGCCTCAACCCATTTTGTTGGCAAGAGGAGAGAGCCGAAGCCGGAGTGTCTGTGAGGTCGAGAATTGCTTATCTCTCATGCTCTTAAATTCCCCTAATTGAGCGAGACGGAACAACAACAACCACAAGATCATGACCACGGAGCCGGCAGCGAGTTCGGATGAGGCCCTCGGCCCCATATCCAGTCTAATCCTCATTGATATGGAAGGCCGGCCGCCTGTCGCCTTTCCCTACAATGCCACCGAGTACGCGTATCCCCTGCTGGTGCCTTATTTGGGCGGGGTGGGGCTGTTGGCTCTCCTGTCCAACGTGATCTTGCTGGCGTTCCTATTGTATCGCCGACTGTACAAGAACTTCATATCGAGTCAGTTCATCATACACCTGTGTATCACCAACATCATCGGGCTTCTTATTCTCTTCCCCCAATTCCTACATAATTTATGGACTGGCGAGAACCTCTGGTTCAACAATAATGCGCTTTGCCGCGTTCAGGTAAATAACTTTTGACGTTAACTTGAATACTGTTGTGAATGAGTTATAATTTTTAAGGTATGCATTACTTAAAAAACGTTATGTAAACGAATTTTGAAGACATTTGAATAACTTATACTTGCTTCTTTACAAATTCAAATTACTGTCTTATAGTAAAGTTGTACAATTAATAATAACCTTACATGACAACCCAAACTATGAATCCAAAACCACATTTCAGGCTTTTCTAATATGTTCAATATGGTCAGTGGTCAACTTTGCGACAGTAAGCATAGCTGGAGTGCACTTACTGACCTTCAACCGAATCCACTACGACCAGTTGTTTGGTATGAACCCCAACCATCTATGTTATCTATCATGGGTAGTTGGATTCGCTGTGTCTCTGCCATGTATCACGAATGGTAACATTATCGTATACAACCCAGCACTGCGACATTGTATATGGGGCATCACCGACTACAGCTACAAGTTCCTGACCTATGTGCTGATACTGGGTGTCATTATACCAGCCTTGTTGTCGTATTACGCGTATCTCAAGATCCTCAAGACCTTGTATCATTCGCCAATCGTGTTTCAGAGCTTGGGGCTATACAAGAGTCGGTTTATTATCTACACCTTCTTCTTGTCGTAAGTTCTTCTCATATATTGCTATTACTTAGCGTAAAATACAAAGATATGTAGACAGGAAAATACACTGTTTTTTCTAAAAATTGTCACAGAACACTATGAAGGGTTGCTCTTATAGATGTTTCCCTATATAGAGAGATTAGTGTATTTTCTTTTCACAATACCTACACATAATGACATAACCCATACTTTTCCAAATATAGCTCACAAAACAACCTTCAATTTCAGGCCCTTTTACCAAGCTCCTCTCATATACATCACTCTCACTGGCCATCATACTGTCTACGGACCTACTGACCTATTCCCCATTATTAGTACGATACTCGCCTACTGCCCCATGATGCTGACACCGCTCATCTACAGCCTTTCAATGGTACTGATCAAGGAAGAAGACATGGTGATAACAGCACGTGCCCACAAGAGCACCAACGCCTACACCCAAGTCGCACCTGGACATCGGTTATAACTTATGTGATATAAATAATATTATCTATAGTACAAATGCATATTTGACAAGCATATAAACTAGATTGACTTCTGAATAAGTTTTTAGTTACTTTGACAAAATTTCATTAACTGTGACATCCATTGTATTCCTTTTGAAACCCCAAAACTATGTTGAACAACATAAATTACTCACAATAACCGATAAAATAATAAAAAAAACCTATAAGAATATAAATAAAAGCTTATTCTTACCTTTGAATAAGTGAGGGAACTTGATGGGTAAGATGACAGCTTCCTTCAGAGCTTCCTTAGCAGCATCCAGTCCAGCCACATCACTCCATTTCACATTCGGTTTCTCCACGACGATAGCCTTGTTCAAACCCTCTTGTAGCTTCTTGTTTTGATTGTCGGCATCAGAATCATTGTCGTCACCACCTTCTTTCATAGGCTTCTTTCCGTTCTCTTCTGCATCTAAATATTCCTTCACCTTCTCGGCTCGAACAACATAAGACAACATCTTCTGTCTGATCGTTTCTCGTTGCTTGTCACTGTGAGTTTCATCTGAAAAAGCAAAACAATAAAAATACAAACTAATTTAATAGATAATAAGATTATATTTTGCTAAAATTATAAAATGAATTAAGAAAAACTTCCAATTTTTGAATATTGCTTTAGCATCAAAAATTATATTTTAAAATTCAACCAAAAAACGTAGATTAAACAGCCAGAACTTAAACTACACTATTAACTACGTAAATTCTACGTATAAATAGGTTTTCAATGTAACATAAACTTGTTCTAACTACAAAACACTATATGAATCTTTTTTCGATGAAAAACTTGTCTATAGTCCATAAAAATTAACTATTCTATCAAAAACACTGTAATTCTAACCAAAAACCGTAACATAAATAACAAAGAACGTCCTAATATATCTCGTTGCGTCGTCTTCAACATAATCTATGAATAGAAAAACAATAACAAACGAAAAACATACATTTGAGAGCGTGTAAGAAGTAATCGCAGGCATTTCCATACAATCTCAACGCTTCTTTATAGTTCTTGGCCTTGTCTGCTTCAGTAGCACAAGTGACGAGCTCGATCGCCTTCCCTAGACTGCTGTCCGACGACATCTGAAAGAGTAGAGTAAGTAATAAACAACAAAACAATCAATAAAACCCGTGACAGCGATCACAAAATAAAATTTAAAATTTTTAAAATTAAAGTGAAAATGATGTGAGTCAGAAGATAAAACAAAGTTGCGTAAAGCCTCTTCGACAACGAACGAACGGAGAAACCGACAAATCAACTCATTTCATGTTCTTATTCATCCACTCCTGGTCTGAGCGAACTGCGTCCGAACTGTTTGCTTTCGCGGACGACATTTTATACGATGTTTTATGTCTGAACATTAAATTGTTGTTCTGTCATTCCGAAGTGAAAATTATCTTCTTATAACAATTGTTTGTGTTTCTATTACAATTTCTTTTGATCAAAACGTCTTCGGCAATAAGGTTTTTTACTTATATTGTTTTAGATTAAGTCTCAGTTGATTTTTGTTTAGAATTTGTTAATTTACTCGACCCTAATTACATTGCCGGTGACAGAAATAAGCTTCATTTTATTTTAGCAACATTCGTAGGTCTTGCAAATAACCCGATTAAGTATAACAACACAAGCGTTAGTCATTAGGTATTAATTCACAATTGCAGGCAGCTGTTTCTTGAGATTACATGATATTAGTCATCAGTTGGAAATAGCTGTATTCAAATGTTTTGGATGTGTAGGTGTATGGAAGGATAGGGCTTACTTTTAATTAATACTCTATTAACAGCCACCCTCTCCACCCTCACTAATAATTCATAACCATCATAATATATGAAGGTATTCGTCTTCGTTGGGCACATCTGCTTTTGTATTTTGTTTTTAAGTGCAGGTTATTCTAATATGTTGTGCATTTACTTTTGCATAGTTTATGGTTACAACACCTTTACGTGGTTATGGTAGTTTACTTTTTATTACTTTAGATAGCTTTACATTAACCACTGAAAGCTCGTATCGCTGTCTTGTAGTCATCCAAAGATGACCAAAGTATAATCTGCCTTAAGGCGTTTGTACCTTTTCATCATCTTATTTACATCCCGAATAATAAAAGCTATTTATAGCGACCGAAATCTGATAAATACTGTTTCCTATGGATTAGAAGGGGGGATATCTGTAATCTTTTGGCCTCATCTATTTCAGATTAATGTATTGGGGAGAGGGGCGAAAGGGTGGGGAAGTGAGGATGGTGTGCGGTTTATAATTCGCCCCGTTTAATAGAGCCCCGGGGTCCAAGTGGGAGGGGGAGGGGGGGCAAGGGGAAGATGCGAGCTAAAAATAGCATCTGAAGTCGTTTTGGACATTCATCCGCTCTCCGCCGCCGTCCGAGAGTGCATTTCAGGGGTTAGAGTGTTTTCTTGGGGAGAGATGGGGCTGGTCTGCTCCCTCCTCGGCCTCGTCCGCTCTCCGTCTCGTGCCTTTTATTTCGATACTCTGTTTGTTGGGGGTGTCGCGTTGGTGGTGCACTCTCGAGCGGGGGCCTGCTGGTCTGGCGCGGGCTGCCGTGCACGCACTCTCGCAACCCTCTGAGCTCTTCACTCTGAATTCAGGAGCTTTTTGGACATAGGCGGCCAAACCCTCGAGGCACGGGAGAGTGCAATATCCAGAGAAGAAAAGGCGGAAGAGTGCGTAGAGCCAAGACACTCTGCATCGGCAAGCGGGCCGCGGCACGTCGCCTTTCGGCCGGGCCCAGGGACGCACCCGCATCGGGAATGGCGGGCGGAGAGAGCGGAGCCAGCGCGGAGAGCGGCCCTTGGGCCACAAAGTTTCGTGGCTCGAGGGTAAATGTGGCTCTCATTTATTTGGGGTTGTTGCTGAAGAAAGCCGGCGTTTCGTGCCAACGCCCGAGACAGCTGAGAATGCGGGGCCAGAGATGGAGAGAGACTTCGCCCTGACTTTTCTGGACTCTCTGGCCGAAAAGCATCCGAAACGGACGGAGGGGACTCACCTCCAGCAGCCTCACAAGTAAAATAGAGCGATTCCGGGGCCACGAACACGGAGGACGTGCGACGAAGCCGTTGCAGCAGGAGATTTGGAATCTTGGGACGGCTTCGAATCCTCTTTTGCTTTTTGGCGAAAGAGTATGTCGTCGTGCAGGATCTCCCCGGCACTCTTCGCCCGCGATTCTCCCGCAACTTGTGGCTTTTGTTCTTGTATTTAGTTTCATTCTTTGTCCTCTGACGCTTTTAGGGCCGCGGAGGAGAAGGCGGGCCCATCCTGGTTTCGCTTTCTCACTGTCCCGTCGACGTTCTCCTCGATAGGAATCCCGCGCGACCGGTCAACGCTTTGTTGACAGACCTAGCTCCCGACCCTGGCCGCTAAAAATAGCCGCGTTACTCACAGGTAATTTGGCCCGGCAACGCTGATTAAGGGCCTTCATTGGCATCGATTCCAGAAGTGAGGCGAGCGTCCACCGTCCGATCGTTTCTTGCCTGAGGGGCGGAGGGGCGTTGCACGACCGATTCTTGTGGCGACCTCATCGCCTCCTGCCATTCCTTCTCCGAGGGACCGTTTTGTTGCTATTTTTGGAAGGGAGTTGGGAACTAAGAAAGGGGAAGGAAAACAGTTTATTCGTAAGGTTTATGGCTGGTGTTGCTCATTTGCACCTCGATCCGCGTTGTTTGGCGTGTTGTTTTGTTTACTTTCGGAATTGCAGAGGGCTAGCTTGCCGACCGGGCCTGGTTGATCGAATTCGGATCAGTGTAGACGCTGTCGTGTCCAAAGTGTCTGAGGGCTCGGCTTCTTGTCCCACCCATCTCATCTCTTCTTTCTTTTTCGTAATTTTCCAAAAATCAACCCGCCGGCTCAATAACGGCCGCACCGTGCATTCTGCCGTGCTCTTCCGTGGGAGTGGCTGCCGAACATCAAGCCATCCATTCCTCCAACATAATCAGCGACGAAGGAACCGCGTGCGGGCTGGTGACATCACAAAACAAGGATTCTCCCCGCCGAGTCGGCGGCGGTGCTTCCAATCCCCCCGCCCAGCTAGTGTGCCAAGTTAGCAGCAAGGCCGGGTGCGCGTCAGCCGAAAAGAACGGTCAGGCCGAGACTGGGCCGCCTAGGGGCCAGAAACCGTCGGCCAAGCCCCGAGGCAACAGTTCAACTCAGGAATCAACCCCAGATCTTCACCGTCCGCGCAAACGCTCCTCCGGAGCCTCCACCTCCAGCAAGATGCGCATCCTCGGATGCATGAGCCACACCGGCGCCTTAGGGGAAGAGGAGCGAGAACAACGAAAAGTCAACAAACAGATCGACGAGCAGCTTCAGAAGGAGAAACAGGTGCTCCGTGCCACCCATCGGTTGCTTCTGCTGGGCGCTGGTGAATCCGGAAAGTCGACCATCGTCAAACAGATGCGGATTCTGCACATAAACGGCTTCAACGAGAAGGAGAAACGAGAGAAGATTCAAGACATTCGACGTAACGTGCGAGATTCAATCACGGTAAGAGGGATTTTCTAATTCTATAGTAATCAAGAGTAACACTCTTTTGTAGATATATAGTAATCAATTGTAATATACAACAAATTTTTTTGACTAAAGTCTTCTAAACTGTGAAATAATAATATTGTAGGTGATTGTGAAAGCGATGGACGAGATCGACCCGCCAGTAGCAATCGACAACCCGGCCAACGAAGCCAGCAAACGCTACATTCTGGACGAAGCCAATCAGCCGGAATTCGACTACCCTCAGGTAACAATTGCTTACACTTACAACAACAATGTTACCTTTAAAATCAAATATATTTTCACAAATATGACCATAGTAATAACGATATCCTTTCTAAAAACCTCAAATTGAACCTTTGAGCCTAAAACAATATTACTTTAAAGTAATATATTCAATATTGCAGGTATTTTATGATCACGCCAAAAACCTCTGGCACGACAAAGGCGTACAAGCGTGTTTCGAGCGGAGCAGCGAGTACCAGCTGATCGACTGTGCCAAATACTTTTTGGAGCGGATCGACGAAGTCAGGAATCCCGACTACAACCCGTCGGAACAAGATATTCTACGTTGTCGTGTCATGACTACGGGTATTTTCGAAACCAAGTTCGAGGTGGAAAAAGTCAGATTCCAGTAGGTTTTGCTTATGTTATACTAGGTTTCCGTTTATGATAGGGTATTTTTTAACGATTTTTGAAAAATTTTTGGGGTTTTGGGAAAGACATTTGGCAATTTTTGTGAATTTTCTTGCTTTGTGGCCTTTAATAATATTATTATTGAGTTTCCTTTTGACTTTAATTGGCTATTTTTCAATTTTTAAAAATTTTAAATAGTTCTTTCAAAAAGAAATGTCTGTTATATTGTTGTTTACTATAATATGTCAATTACTTCATTGTATTTCAGCATGTTCGACGTCGGAGGCCAGCGAGACGAGCGACGAAAGTGGATTCAGTGCTTCAACGACGTGACGGCCATCATCTTCGTGTGCGCGTCGTCGTCGTACAACCTCGTACTGTGGGAGGACAACACGCAGAACCGGTTGAAGGAGTCGCTAGCCCTTTTCCGGAACATCTGGAACAACCGCTGGCTAAAGACCATATCAGTTATATTGTTCTTGAACAAACAGGACCTCCTGGCCGAGAAGATCAAGACCGGCCGCTACAAGCTGGAGAACTACTTTCCCGAGTTCAGCAACTACCAGATACCCACCGAGGCCGTCTTCGCGCCCACCGAGGACACGCAAGTCGTCCGGGCCAAGTATTTCATCCGCGGCGAATTCCTGGTGAGCGTTTTTTACTTTTTCTGTTTTTCGGCCAGAGGGCTTAACATCAAAAACGGAGCTAAAAATAGAAATGCCGCTTCTATTTTTAGCCGAGAATGTTTTGCTCCCATTGCACGTCTTTACTTGCTTCGTACTGCTCTATAAAATTGTTTTTACCTTATTATTTTCTCTCGCCGTCTGCCCGCTCTCTCGCAAACCTTTGTTTACAATTTGAATAATTTGAACAAAGTTTGACGAATGCGGGTTTGACTCGGGAATGCATGTTAACATACTCAAGAGTACAACATATACAGGTCTAATAGTGAAATGAAAAGCATTTTATACATTTGGCAACATTACTACACATCTATCACAATTTTTAAATTCTACCACAATTAGAAATAACTGTCTCAAAATCTTATAACATCGTGAAATCAAATACGATATACAGTCAGATACTATCTTCACAACGCAAAATTGTCTGCGAATGATCTGTGATGCTCTATTTTTCCAAATTAGGTGCTATTAGACTCAAATTTGGTCCAGTTTCAGTCCAAGGATTCAAAAAACTGGAAAAAAACTATTGTAACTTTAGAAGACCAAATTAACTGCGATTAGGGTGTCTACTGTAGTCTCGTACAGCGTAGAACAATATTACAAGTCTCCCGAGTTAAACTTGTTGTGATAAGCGCCCATCAGATAACGCGTTGCCAAAAATAACTTCTCCTTCTATTTTAATGGAATCTGCAAGTTTATAAAAGGTTTTGCAACCAGTATTCTCATCGATAAGATCGCTTTCAGGCCGTTTGGACCTTTTGTAAGTTCGCTTCTTGATCTTTAACATTGATTCTTGACCTTTTAAAATTTTACCTCTGTCCGCCTTGAATAATATAAGATTGTGTTTTGTTAATGTACAACAATATTCATTTGATGGTGAACGTACCTTGCCTGGCTTTCTTGATTTTCTCATCTAGTAGTACCCTCTTTTCTTACTTTTCCGTCACAAAATGTATACCAAACCAATTGTTCTTACTAAAAATGTCGAAGTTTGCAGCCTGCAACTAACAAAATGTTGTCGGGCGCAGTTTGTCTAATATCTTGAATAATTAAAATTTGGTTTCTATGAATTTCCTAAACAAATATTTGTTTGATCAGACCAAGTTAAGACTAATAGACATTTTTACCCAGTATAACCTTAAGTGTAAGATATATTCATCAATTACTTGGGTATTATAACATATTACTCAATATTATACTTGATTAGTATAAACTTTCAATAATTTCAGAGGATATCGACAGCGTCGGGCGAGAACCGTCACCACTGCTATCCCCACTTTACCTGCGCGGTCGACACGGAGAACATACGACGAGTGTTCAACGATTGCCGCGACATCATCCAGCGTATCCACCTCAGGCAGTACGAGCTGTTGTAAAGGTCGGTCTGAGTATTATATCTTCTTTTCGGTGCTCTGTCTTCTCTCGTAGTCTCTGTAGCCGCTACGGGTGTTGAATGTTGATACATGTGGCTGATGTTGTTTTAGGACATAGGGGCTGATCTTAGTGGAAGGTATGATAGGCATGGTAAATAGGATGGGGTTGGCATCATCTTGGGGTTGGTATCATCGAGGGTTTGGTATCATCAAGGGTTTGTAGATGACTGTAGATGTAGATTTGCAAAGGGTACACAAACAATGATACGAACTTGGCTCATTTAGGCTTATATTATAGTATCTTGAGTTAGTCGTAAAGGCAGAGCATATGTCATGAACACTCTTTTAAGTTAAGCGACATAGATAACGTCACAAAGAATAGTTAATGTCAGTGCATGTGCGACGTTGTTACAATGCTCAGCGAGGTACACCCGTTCAGTCAAGTGATGGTACTGTTTTGTCTATCTCAGCCACTCTCCTAGTCATGATCATAATGTCACCCTCAGGGCACATTTCTTTAAATAAGAGATTTTGATTTGTAAAATACGTATAATTAATCTATTTTATGAAAAATTTTTTACAGATTTTTCTTAAAATTTGAAATTTTTAAAATTGAAACTTTGAGATTTAAACTTAATTTTTTTGAAATTTGAGATGCCCTGGGGCGGACTTCGATCTCCATTTAAATCGTTTCAAATCACACGATTCAAGACTTCTATATTGCGTCAATCTAGTCCGAAAACTTTTGTGTCGAGCGGCACAGGGTGTACGGCATTTTATTGTATGGTACTGTGGGAGTATTTTGTAGTTATTTTGTCATCTAACCCTATGGTATTGAAGTTTTTAGCTTTTAGACCTAAAACTGATTTAAAAATTTAAATTTTCATACTTTTTACTAATCCAAAATTTTCCCTCCCCCTCCCCCACCGTACTTGATAGCATGATACACAGAACCTCCCTCCCACCGTACTCGACAGCACAATACCCACTCCCCGGCCGCTCCTTATGTATCTACACCCATCTATCTTGTTGTTTATTTCATTGGAAACGGGTCTCCTTTTGATTACTATTATATTATTGTAAATGGCTTTCGGTTGATGCTTAACTAACTAGTTGTAATTTAAACGAAACAAAACTCTTTCTTGTTATTACTATTGTAATGTCAAAGTTTACTACCGCGAACCCTGCCGTCATGGATTAAAGAAAAAGAAATGATAATCGATATGAGGGACTGATCGGTTTTGTTGATTCGCCAAAAGGAACAGCCGTTTGTGTGTGGCGGCCGCTCTTCCGGCCGCCATCATAAATCTGACGTTACTGTAAGTGTTAAGGGAGTACGAGGTGTGTTCGAAACTTGTTCGTTATTATCTGTTAGGCTGGTCGAAAAGTATTTGGAAACGTCAGAAATTACATTTGTCGTAAACGAAAGTTTTGTTTTCATTTGATAGAAAGGATAAGGTACTTAATCTTGGTGATATAAGGTACTTAACCTTGGTAATGTAAGGCAATTAACCTTGGTAATATCTATTTTAATTCTTTTTTGAGTTAACGGACTAACAGCTGGTTTTTGGAACTCATCTTGTACTACCTTAATATATGGTTTTCGTCATTAAAAACATGAAAAGACTTTTCTTTAAAAACTTTGGTAAAAATATGGTAAAGAAAGTTAAGTTACCTTTTACAATAATAAGATATGAACCTTTAAATAGATCTTAAACTGGGCGCCTCTCCCTTCAGAATACGAATGTTGGCCTTGGTTTAAGAACTTAGATTTTTATTTTTTTTAATTTTAAAAATCTAAAAAAAATGTTTTTAAAATCTTAAAACAAGAGATTTATTATATTTTCGAAGCGTTGATTTCAATGTGAACTCATTGAAATTGGATACGTCAGAACTGAACTGCCTTGAACTTCGAAGCCTCCCAACGTTAATATAAGCCAGATACCGGTCGAAAACAAAGAAAAAAGGTCGAGCAATTATAGACTTCCTGGTGCAATTTGTAAAGTTTTAATGTGCCTAAAAATACGCTTCACCGTGTTTTGAACCGGCCTCGTTTTATGATCTGCAAATCAATCCATCAGAACTCCCCCCTTCTTGCTTTTGGCCGCCATTTCATTCCAATCAGCTTTAATCTTGTAATTGAGTGAGTACTCGGGGGAAAGACATGGACTTCAATCCGGACCACGAGAAGTGGCAATGTTGTTGCTGTCACGTCGTTTCCGGCCTCAAGATCTTGTCGGTTGTGGAGTTGGTCGCGTCCATACTCTTCCTCGGCGTCTTTGGCTACAATGCCTTTACGTCGGAAAAGGTGAGCTACGGTACATTACTGTAACAAAAGTTTTGTCAACTTTACAAGGCTTTTTGCGGTTATATATATTACTCAAGACAAGACAAGACTAAACATTAATTTTTAAATATTTTTTCTATTTTCAATTAATTTCAAAAAAAACTTTACAATTGTGATGTATATCATCATATCTCGTCCATTTCAGCGCACTGAAGACTTCGTCTTCGCGATAACATTACTTGGCCTATGTCTGGCCACAGCAATCAGTTCCGCCCTGCTTGTAGCCGGTCTGTTCAAACTACATGCCAAACTCATGTACCCGTCGGTAGCCGTCAGGGTAGCGATTGTTATTTTTGTTGCTGTAAGTCATGTTTTTCGAGATTGATCGTAAACAAAGACACGTGCCCTCAATTATATTGTTATAGGTATTTGGTGTTAGTCATATTGTTTTGCGGCCGGATGAAGATGATTACAGCCCAAGGAATAAACCACACAGTAGTCAATACTCAGTAAGTTCCTTTTAACAAACTACAGTGCCACTTTTATAATTCGTTATGAATATATAAATCTAATGACACTACACAGTAAAAACGTCACACCTTCAGGGACAACCTTCAATGATAGCGCGACTCGTCTTCTTGATATTCATCATGTTAACCTTGTGTTGTGTGGTGTTCTACACGATATTTCTTATCATGAACGCCATCAAATACGTCACAAATATGAACAAGCTTAAGGATAGAAGACAATCACTTATAAATGCTAGTCAAATAGGTAAGAAACAACAAAATGCAATCCAAATAGTCTGTTCTTTCCGCTTAAAAATCCTTTCAAAATTTTTACCTTTTTATCAAAAACAATTTTAGCTAAATTAACATAAAAGCAGCTGAGAGTACTGTACTTTCAGACCCCGAACTGTTCGACCAAGCCTACCGCAGACCATCGCATCAAAGTTATACCAGTTATAGTTAATGTATTACCTCTGATACTTGTAAATAAATGCAACTCACATAATGTTAAAGCAATTTATTTGCCAAGAACAAAATTATACATGTAATCGAGTTATCTGCCACCACGTAGAGCCAACACAAGATGAACAACGCTGCCACCGATGATCTAAAGTTTAATTATAGTAACTATTAGCTGTAAAATCATAAAAAGCAAAAAGTTAATACTTATACCGTCTCCTGAACTTTCATAAAGCTTTCAAAATGTAATAGAAGGCAAAATCACCTGTTTGGCGAGAAAGCCAGCAAAGTATAACCATCTACATTAATATCACAAACCTACTTTGTAATCTAGAGCCGTCTTCTCGTCCAACATCTGTTTTCCAGCAAAAATAAGACGTTGTTGAGGTGGTGGAATCCCTTCTTTCTCTTCAACCTAAACCAAGAACATGAAAAATGACAAAGACTGTTACCTTTTCCTTAATTCTCTCGACTTTATCACTGGGTTCAATATCCAATTCGACTTCTTTACCGGTTAACGTCTTTACTTTAATCAGCATCTTACAAACAGTAGACGTTTATGGCTAGATAATAGACTGATCAAAAATGGGATTCTCAACAAAATTTTTTTATTTTTAAGCATTTTTGACACTACTCGCGTCCGAACTTCAGAAGAAGACATGACTCGAAAGTGCAGGCTGCGCTTTGCTACATTTTCTTTTTTGTCGAGTTTATCGGACTTTTTGTAAAAAATCTAAATTAATATTTATTATTTATATAAGTATTTAAATACTCATCGTGTTATCAACGTTATTATTTTTTACAATGATAAATTTGGCTTTTTTCAGATGCCCAACAAAGGATATCGCCAAGATCTTCCACCAGAAGGTGGATATCGGAAGTTCAACTGGGAAAGAACCTATGCCAGGAAGCTCTTTAGACGTAAGCTTATAATTTCTTTATAATATCGCTAAACTTTTACTGTTGTTGTGATGTTAATATTCTTTTGATTTTCTGATCTTTTATTGTGATTTTAGCGATTATCGTTATTCCGGTTATCAGTGCGGCCTGTACTTATGGTGTCTATCAGACGTGGTCTCAACAGAGACAACTAATGTAAGTTGTTTATTAATATATATTATTCTGCTTATAGTACGCGTAAATTTGAGGATACCGACTTACATACTGCTATGGAGCCATTCTTGAAAGCAGAGCGAGACAGAAAGTAAGTTTAATAAATTAATTATAGTTAAAATAGAGGTATTTGGTTTTTTGTAGATTCTTTTGGTTTAATCGTTACTGAAATTGTTGGCTTCTGGTTTTTTTATTCGTTAATTGCCAGAATTAACATAGAATGCATAGACGTAAAAAACGTTAATAAACCTTAATAATTTAAGATACCTAAAAACTGTGAAAAGAAACTTTGAGTTAGAAGAAGAGATCATGAAGGACGTTCCAGGCTGGCAAACTGGTACTTGGTACGGTGAACCAGTCTACTTTACAATGGGAGACAAGTGGTGGGATCTTTCTCACTATGTAAGTTTTTTAATTTTACTAACCATGCTCAGACGATACATAAAAAAAGATACCTTTTGAATCCCACAGGACACTATTTAGGCCTGGAAATTGGATTTATAATCTTTAATAGTTTTAAGATATTAATTTAAAACTTGATTTCAGGAGATGTTCGCTCACGTTTGGCATAAGAAAAAGTACGACGAAATGCTTTGGCGTCATCACACCGACTACTCGGCTCCCAAGTTCTACGACAAGTGGATTCCCGAGTCTATCAAAGCCTACCTTTGGTGATTTAGGTTTATGGATATTAGAATAAACGGCCTTTGTATTGTCAAAGAGGTCTTGAAGATTCGTTTCCTTTTATTTAATACCAGTCTATAGTTTTATGGTCTTTATTTAAAAGTCTAGAAGGTATCAAAGCTCTTGTTTGGCTTTGTATGTACTAGTAGATGAAATTTTACATAAGCAGGCTAAAACAATCGTCTTTCTTTTGGCAGGTTTATCTTTAATACACAAATTTTTACAAATTAAGAGCATATTATTACAAGGTGGTGATCGTTTACTTCTTCATCTGGATACTGTAGCCGCCGCCTTCTTGTGGTACCATTTCGAAGTTGTCGGTCGACAATCCGAATGGCTTCAGGAACATATTGCCCAGGTTCTTGAGGCCTCCCATCATTTCCTGCATCATCTTGGCCTTCTCTTCCTCTGTCATCTCCTTCTGTTCTGGTTCAGGAGCTTCAGTTGATTTTGAAGAGGACGGCTCCTGAGCTTCTTCTGTGACAGTTGGGGAGTTGACTGTTTCCACGTCAATAAACTCGTCCTCTTCATCGTTCAAAGCAGCGACGTCTTTGTTATCATTTTTGTTGGACTCCTAAACTAATTTTAGAATCACCTTCAGAAACGTACCATAATTGATTGATATGCAGGTTCGGTCAAACAGAGGTATATCTTCTAAAATCTGAAAAATTATTAAAGCAATGTTCAAAAAAATTACAAATCGCTATGTATACGGACAAGAAACCGATATTTACAAAGAGAATCTACAATATTTTACAAGTTTATGAAACAAATAACAACGATCTAAAGTAACATTGTGTAACAGTCCTAATCCTGATCTGGGAATACTATCTTGAACACGTCATCGTAGTGCTCGACAAAGTGTATTGTGACATCGTTCTTGACAAAGTCGGCCAAGTCGTCGTAGTCCTTCTTGTTTTCAGAAGGCAGAATGACGGTGTTGACTCCCGATCGTTTGGCCGCGATGATTTTCTCCTTGATGCCTCCGACTGGTAGAACCTTTCCGGTGAGTGATATCTCACCAGTCATGGCTATGTTCTGTCTGGCCGGTGTTCCTAATGCCAAAGACAACAAGGCGGAGGTGATCGTGCATCCGGCAGAAGGGCCGTCCTTTGGAGTGGCGCCTTCTGGAACGTGTACGTGGATATGTGCTTGTTCCAACAGTTGATTGTCGGGGAATCTCTTGAGCATCTGGTTCTTGGCCACGGTGTAGGCCGTCTTCATGGATTCCTTCATGACATCTCCCAGATGTCCTGTAGCCTCGAGGGATCCTTCTGGGACATGTTTGGGTTTGTCTTTGTCCTTCTCATCTACTATCTGATTGGGGATGTATCTTCTCCTTAAAGAAGCTTCAATGTAAAGAGCTGAACCACCCATCGCCGTCCATGCCAATCCCATTATGACACCTGGAGGTGTTTGTTCGTATAATCTGTCACTTGTGAACTTTTCTCGACCGACAAACTTGTCCAAATTACTGTTTCCCACTACTACAACATCCTTTTGTTCGTTGAGAGATCTGGCTTTGACTAGTTCGTAGGCAGCCTTCCTGAAGATTTTCTCGATGTGCTTCTGAAGATTCCTTACTCCGGATTCTCTACAGTAATGCTTAATCAGTGTCTCTAACGCTTCGTCTGATATCTGGAGTTCGCTGTCGTTTAATGAACTGAAATCAATGTATTTAGTAAGTTTTTATAAAATTTACAGGAAAGAATTACAATATAAGAAACCAGTCTATTTCATCAACAATATACCTACCACAACCCCCGACATTGTGGAATAAGATAACTTTTGGCTATGCTCAACTTCTCCTCGGCTACGTATCCAGAGACTTCTATTAACTCCATACGATCTCGGAGTGCACTTGGTATGGTATCAATAACATTGGCAGTGCAGATGAACAATACTTTGGAGAGATCGACCGGTACATCCAAGAAATGGTCCATGAAGTTGGCGTTCTGTTCTGGGTCGAGTAACTCCAACAACGCTGAAGCTGGATCACCGTGGTAGCCTGCAAAGCAATGGTAGTACAAATGACAATACGAAAAATCAACAAAATTTAAAAAATCTATCTGCTATTGTAAAGAAGACTCTTTAAATAATAGAAATAGTCGTTACGAGCACCTACCGGCACCGCCAATTTTGTCCACCTCATCAATCAGTACCAGTGGATTCTCGACCTGTACCTTCTTTAAGCATTGTATCATTTTACCAGGCATAGCACCGATGTAAGTACGTCTATGTCCTTTGATTTCGGCTACATCAGTCATACCACCAACAGAAAATCGGAAGTACTAAAAAAGAGTCACGTAATCAAATACTCGAAGCAGATAATCATACACTCAAAACAGGATCAACACAACTTTAACACATTACTAATAACTAATGTCAATATCTATTGTATACTGTGCAAACGCCTATACAACTTACTTCTCTATTCAAAGCCCTGGCAATAGACTTGGCTATACTGGTCTTACCCACTCCAGGAGGGCCGTGGAAACAAAGAATCTTTCCTCCAGCCGACTTCTTCAACGTCGCTACAGCGATAAACTCCAGAATCCGGTCCTTCACGTCTTTCATTCCGTAGTGATCTTCGTTCAGAATGGTCTCTGCCTTCACCAAATCCAAGTTCTCTTCTGCTTCTTTGCCCCACGGAATATTGCACAGCCAATCCAGATAATTCCTGTAAATATGGTTCAAGTTAATTATAGTAGATAATGAGAAAGTTCAGCTTGCCTCACCAAACCATTAAAACCTTGTTTTTTATAAACTGCTAACTCTTAAAATGGTCAAAGATTTTTTACCTGCAAACGCTGAATTCACTAGAATGAGGATCCAAGAAGCTCATCTTCTGTTGCTCTTCCTTGATTACTTTCATCGCATATTCAGGTACTTTCAGACCTTTTAAGCGTTCTTCCATCTTCTCAATTATGGTCTGCTTGTCATCCTTTTCCAGTCCAAGCTCTTTCTTGATGGCTTTTAGCTAAAAAAACAACTTATCAATGTAAAACATTACTTATGTTAACTAAAACGGCGTTCCATATACAGTATCTTAATATTGACTCACCTGTTCGTTCAATAAGTACTTCCTATGTTGTTCTTGAACCTTTTTCTCAACATCCTTGTTGATATCGTGCTTCAGTTTAGCTACCGTCTTCTCTTTCTCCAAGAATTCTAACGCCAACTCAAGCCTCCGTTGAATCTACAAACATATAATGAGTTGTGTTACAATAGCTATCGAGATAGTAATACACTTTAAATTATCAATCTGTAACTCACCTTTGTTTCCTCCATCATCTGTTGAACATCTTCAGTTTCGACAGTTTGAACCAATGTACCCACCAAATCACACAGATATACTGGATTCTCAACCACATTTTGATTAGGATGTAAGAGTAAGTTAATTTGTTGAGCAAAGAGAGGACTATATTGTACTATGTCTCGTACTGTTTGGACTATCGCTTGCATCGAAGCCTGTAACATAAAAAAAACTTTACCTAATATTGTATTTAAAAAAGATTTAAACAATCATTAAGACTTAAATAAATAGTACCACAAATACACTTTTAATAAAGTTATACCTAAAATTACACTACTTACCTTCATCTCCACAGTTCGTTCAATGTTTTCGATTACAACATTCTCTGTCCTCACATAAACCAACTTCTCGGTTTTTTCAGCAGTATCCGTCTTTACTTCTTCACTTTGAACTGGGTCTTCAGGTACAACATTATCCTTCTTCTTCTTGTCCTCCTTCACCTTCTTCATCCGTCTGCCATTAAGTTTGGCGACATTCTTTGTCGTATCAACTTCAGCCACATTATCATCCAACTTTTCTAATATTCTAATTCTTCTATGAGCGTTTAAAACCACTTCTAAGTAAGACCCGTGATCTCGCATCTCCATTATATGAGCGAAAGATCCTGTGTGATATATGTCTGACAGAGAAGATACTGTACTTGATGCATTACTAAAAATACAAAACTTTAAGAAAAATCTATAAATAAAAAATTGCAATACGTTTATAAATTATAGTGAAATTTATCCAGATTAAAAATCATTCGGTATATTGTACAGTATTAACTTACTCATCAGCCTTTTTGACAAAGACACCAACATAAGGCTGTCTTAATTGGACTTTCCTCCTGATCAAATCTTTCAATGTCTCATCCACAATCTAATAATCAAATAAAAAATCAGCTGATAACTTACATCCACTTTCTTAATAAACCCTGGAAACAATGGATATCTGTTGATAGCGATAACTGGGACGTTTGGGAAGTACTCCGGGAACGATACTGGATTCAATACCTAAAAAGAAGTCATAAGAATCAATTTCGTTTGACTATATGTTAAAGAATTAGTTGTTAAGCTTGCTTGTGACATAAAATCGACTGGAGTATGTTCCAAAGCTGTCTCCTCATTGTTGCTTTCTGGAGCTTTGTTAGATTTGCCATCTCCACCATCATTGGCATCTGATGAAAACAATCTCCTGTTTATCTCGTTTCCCTGTATATTTGTGTAACCAAGCTTTTTGTTCATTAACACCCAATTCGAACCACTTGCACATCGTATATAACTCCTACTCGACCTAACACCACATCGCAATAAAGCACCGGATAATCGATACATTACTGACTATTGTCAGTAAAAAACTATAATTAACGTGATGTAAACATCGTTAAATTAAAATAAATTTACACAACGTTATGGCAAAACGCAATTATCCAATATATTAACATTGACATACATTGTTTTAAAAAATCAAAAATTGTATTGTTGGATAATAACCAAAAACGCCAAATCTTTTTTTACAGTTACAAAATGTTTATTAAAATAAATAATGGAATGCACAATATATTTTTTAGTTCTTCTTCTTCTTGTTTTTGTCTTCTTCGCTCTCCTTGGCGTCAGTTTTTCTAAAACAGCAATAAGTTATAGATTAACACACTTACTGTAAAGCCGGCTGCCAGTTCAATGAATTTTTGCGAAAACATGGCCAAGGCGGTAACATAATCAAACCCGCGAACGCTGATCCGCCCAAAATTGTAAATACCATGTATGAAATCTGTTCAAACCAAAAGCCCACCAAGAAACCGATGATTCCACTGATCACCAAGATCAACTAAAAGCTCAATATATGATATTTAATTTATAAACGAACGGCAGTGTAAAGAACACATTTTCCCACATTAAAATGCCAAAGTTTCTGTTTCTGCCTTACCTGCATTACTCGCTCAGCTCGTTGTTGACCAACAAAGTCCATATGTGTTGAGAATCGCCTTACTGAAGCAGGCAACATCTGAATTATAAGATCCATGGCTACTACACGTGTTGCAATACCAAAACAATATTTCGGTCGTCAAAAAATTCTTTATAGCTGCTGCTAGCAGACGGAATGCCAGCATAATTTGCGCAGATCGTTTTCGTTTCAGAACCAATTCAAAATAAATTCGCGGCTTGCTTGAAACATTGCTTAAATTGTGCTTGGTAATTTAATATTATTTTATTTTATACTACTTTTTTTTACAGTTTTTTGAATATGCCAAATAGTCCAACAGAAAAGTTGGAGCAGCCAGAAAATCCAGTTTCTGATGTACAAGCACCAAAAATCTTGGTTGTTGAGGTACGTCGTCAGCAAGAAACTGTTCTCTATTATTGATTATACCATTTCAGACAGCTTCTTGTCGGCAAGTGCCGCTTTGTACGAATTGCTCACAGAACGTATCCGACCTACAACACGAGAATGCTCAGTTTGCCTTCAAGAGTAACTTTGACAAGGAGTTCGATATTCAAGAGATCCAGAACGTCAGGTCGCCGACAAAGAAAGGTTTGGCGATCTCCAACAGCACAAGAGCTATTGCCAAACGGGCCAAATTGGATGTGAACAGTTTGCGAGAGAAGAATGTGCTTCAATCTGATCTCAACTTATCTTATCCATCAGAAGTCCAGTTTACAGATGATAACAGGAAGGTAGTGTTCCCAGAGAGTGAATATGACATTCTGGAGAAGCGACTGATTGCTTTAGAGTCAGAGCTTCAACATTCAGGAGGGAATGAAGGTACGATCTTTGGTTGTTTTTTTATTGGTTAGAGTATATTTTTTTTTGACATCTTGATGTTCTTTTTGTCTCTTTTCAATAAAGTAATGTCTTAAACCTATTTTTTATTATTTTAGATCCTGAATTCAAAAGATTGTGCAAAATGGGTGTGATATACGAAGAGAAATGGGCTCGATTATATTGCCGAGACTATAACAAACCAATTGTAAGTTTTTAATATTGGTTTTCTTACTTTTTAGGTAACATTCAGAATTGTTATTCCGTTGTAAACTTTCGAAACAATTTTCTTATTATTCACTGTTATTTTGCTTACTTCAATGTGTTTATTACAGAACGAATACAGAAATGAAGCTATTGGAGTGTTGAAACAGAATCTGAACATCAGAAGAGATGGTCTTCGACCTTTCATGAGGTTAATGCAGTCTCGTCAGCTTTCATACACTCCGGATACACAGAAAGTCAAACGAGATATACTGTCAGCTAGTCCAGCTGTAAATATAATCTCTGGACGAATGACAACGCCAAAGGAATACAGTAAAGGAAACGTCAAGAAGATGTTCGGTCATTGGTAAGAGTTTATGATGAATGTTAATGGTAAATATATATACTATTTGTAGTTATCTTTATTGGCTAAATGAATAAGCGTTAATTTTCTTATTTTATATTGTCTATGTTTTTTTTCTCACAGAATCTTACAATTGTGCTTTTAGCGTTCCTATTACAACTCTAATGACAGGGCCTTACTACAACTACTCGTATGTTCAACAAGATCATTGTTATATGATTGAGAATGAATTATTCGATATTGAGAGTAGGTTAAAGCGATGTGCACCAGGAACGCAAGGTAAGATTATATTTGTACTTATATAAAATTATATGTAGGTGTATAATTAGTCATATTATTGTCTTGTAAACATTAGCAAACAATTATAAATACTTTTTTATGCTTAATTGCAATTGTTGATTTTCATTTTTACTGTGTAAAACCTTAACTAGCGACTAAAATTTTACTTATAAAGTTATTAACAAGTAAGAGTTTGATTATTATGTACTTTCAAGTCTAATAGTAGGCTAATTTTAGAATACAAACGCCTGGCAGAAGAAGGTAAACGACTGAGGTTCGAATGGAAACACACATACGAAGAGATACGACGAACCCGGTCGATCACTCAACCGGTCTCGGCCTACGACCTCAAGAAGTGTGTGGTGGTGAACAGAGGCGGGAAGCGGATCGCCCTGCCCGTAACAGATGAGGAGATCAGCCAACAGCTGATGGAAGGCGACATCGACGTGGAAGTGCAAGACTGATCTCTGTGTACATCTTGTTTAATGTTTCAATAAATTAATAATAACATAACATTAGTATTGCGTTGTTTAAGCAATAGTTTGTCTGCTTTGTTACCTAATTTTGTTTTATGAAGAATTTGTATTTGGTTGTTACCTATTTTTGTGATTTGGCGCGTTGTTACCTAAACTTGGTCTGTACGGCCAGAAAACAAGCAATGTTTTCAGTTTTAACATAACTTTTCTAATTTGCATTATATTTTTTTGAAACAAACATTATGTAGGTTTTAATACCTAAAATAATGCGGAAATGAAGAATTACATAAAATTTGTCAGCGCGACTAATTATATAGGAACAGAAAATAAAAAGTCGACAAAAAGCAAGAAACTTTTTTGGAATTCGTGTTAAACTAAAACACAAGAAGTAAGTTTTTGTGGTTTTTAGGTAATGAAACAATAAAATTTGTTTCAAAAAATTTAGTAATCAATTAAAAGTTATTTTAATAATAAAAACGTTGCTTGTTTTTGTCAACAGCTGTATTTAGTGTTGTTGACCTTTGTCTTTAAAAGGGCTGTTATCTTTACAAATGTATTTTGGTTGTTGAGACTTTATTCCAATTATATGTTTACCTCGTAGTACTTTATAATGTTAAAAACATTTCAAATTATATCTATAATGCTCAACTTCTCAACGTAGTGCACATAGGTCTGCTTATGTCTTACCAAATTATGTTAATTTTGTTTGTTTTGCGCGTCTGAACTTGGTCGTATCAGTGCATGCCACCATGCGAATGTGTTGTTGTTATTAGCCACTCGATATTATTCTTTTTGGTTTAACAACACGGGTCTCTGGCTTTTCGAGGACATTAAACAACAACTTGTGTAATCGACTTGGTGGGGCAGCGCAGTTATATTATAATACGAACGCGTTCTTTCGTAAAATAGGAGGCCGCAGCGCTTTCTTATGTTACACTCAGCTAGTGAGTGAAGAACTAGGTTATATTATTGATATTTTAGTTTTTTTAGAGTAGTTTTGTTGTGATTTACATAGCACTTTCTTTGAAAAAAATTCTTTTTTGGAGCCGTTAAATGCATTGGTTTAATTTCAAGGCATTTTAGGTAACATTCACTAAATTGTATCTTTAAAACTACTGTTACATAAACAAATGAGTACACGAGTATAAATCAACAGTTAATACCTTATGCTTTAAACCTTCTGATTTGCTTTTGAAATAGCCGGATTCGAAAGCCAAAGTTCAAAAACGCGAGCAGATCGAGGTTTTCGCTCACTACACATCACGTCAGGTCGTTATGACCGTGAAGGAGATCATTTAAGCGTCTGGCGTGACTTACGTCGCGTGTCTTTCTCGTTTTTTGGGTTGATTGCACCATTTTATGGGATTCTGAAACAAATTTTTGACTGCTTTGACAAAGGTAATTAGACATTGTTATGGAGCTGTGTTACTCCGAATTGAAGTGTTATGACAACATTGTTTAGTACCTATAATCATTGAGAAGTTGTTTTTGTATGTTGTGAAGGTGGCTTTAATTATAATTGTGTTCCACTTTACTAATTGGCTTAATTGCTCTCTAATGAATGGTCTTGTATAGTGCATTGAGTACGAACTTTGGGATAATTATTTTTGAGTCGCTTTATAATTATATAAAGTTGAAAGCTATTTCCATCTTATACTGAACAGTTTATAACACATTTTATTTTATGTCATTACAAGTCTAAACTAAGAGTATGTCATTTCAAATCTAAACGAGAAGGAATGTCATTACCAGTCCAAAAACTTTTTCAATCCTTTTTTGACGAAACAAGTACAGAAAATTGGGTACAAAATATGACATTTAGAGTTTGTGCATTTTAAGTACATTCCTGGTGCATCTTCAGAATCCAAAGCTCAGACGAGGCAGGGAGGCGGGCGGGGTGTCTGAATGTGTCTGTTCGTTCCCATTCTCTGAACTTCCGTCTTCTGTCGCCTGAGGGACCCTCGCTTTTGGGGAGAAGAAAATCGTGTCCCTCTCTGTCGCTTCTCGCTTCGTCGTTGTCTATCGTCGTCGCTCTCTCACGCGGTCGTTTTTTTGTCATATGGTTATTGTTCTCGTGCTTCGTACCATGCTATTGTACCTGGCTGTATATAGTAATATAGGGTCGGGAATGGTAGTAAGCGACTGTTTCATTTGGTACTCGTTTTATGTACTATTTGGTTCGTTTGGTTTCCATAGAGTTGGGTGTCACGTGGATGATGAGTTTTTTCGAAATGAAATTGCTAATCTTTGATGTGACTCTTTTGTAAGTTACATCAAAGATTCTTTTCATTCTCGTTTTACTTAACATTATTGGATGCTTACTTAGCTTTTTTTTTGATTATGCGCGACATTGATTCGAGAAGATCAAGGAGAATATAATTTTGAATTGATTGATTTCAGTTTTTCATTTATTACACTACGGTCTACGGGTACCGGTGGTGTTAGAGACAGCGACAGTCGGTCTGAAATCATGGTAAGTTTAGTGCTCGCTGGTCCAAAACTACGTAGTATTTGCTCTATGATAATTTTGATTACATCTTCTTTTACTCAATAGCCCTATCAACTTTTCTATGCACTTTTTGACCACATACAGTGAATTTAAAAAATTAATTTTTGGTGTTTAGAGTTCTGGTCACGTCACTCACACCTCAGGAGCTGCATCCTCCAGCAATCTGTCGGCGATTCGGGCGCTGCAAATGGAGCTCAAAAGTCTGCAGAACTCGCCGGTCGAGGGGTTCACGGTACAGGCTGACGAACAGAACCTCTTCAAATGGACTGTTGCTATCTTTGGGCCACCAGGAACGTTATACCAAGGTGGATACTTCAAGGCCGCCATCAAGTTCCCCAACAACTACCCCTACTCCCCACCATCTGTCCGGTTTTTGTCCAAGGTCTGGCATCCCAATGTTTATGAGGTAGGGAGACCTTTTCAATTTTTTTGGTTAATCAGTTGGAGATAATTTTTCTGTCTAATTTTTAGATTTATGATCAGATTTAACATAATAGTAGATTAAAATCCCTTTTGCTTGTAAAACATGTAGTTATAGGTCACATTTTTGACGGTAAAGCCCAAAAATTTGATAATATATTTAATATTTTGCGATTTTCAGAACGGAGAACTGTGCATAAGTATTCTCCATCCCCCAGTCGATGATCCGCAAAGCGGGGAACAAGCTTGTGAACGGTGGAACCCCACCCAGAGTGTCCGCACTGTCCTTTTGTCTGTGATTTCTCTCTTAAACGAACCCAACACATCGTCTCCTGCCAATGTCGACGCCTCAGTCATGTACAGAAAGTATAAGGAAAGCCATGGGAAAGAGGACGAGTACGCCAAGATCATTAAGTAAGTTATTGGTCCGACTATTCATAGTTTAGGCATTGAAAATGAAAACATACAAAAAGTAGTGGACTTTGGGTATTACATTTTTTTAATTATGGCAGTGAGAAAGCATTTTGGTGTTGTACATAGCCGAATATATTTTTTACAAGCAACTTTTGCAATACAATATTATCATAACGACCACTTTAGGAAACAAGTGGAGCAAAGCAAAGAAGAAGCCGCGAAGGACGGCGTGAAAGTGCCCGAAACCGTGGAAGAGTACTGTGTCAAAGCCCAGGACCACAAGAACGACGACATTGACATGCTGGACTTTGACGACGACTACTACGACTACGGCGCGGATTCGGATGATGAGGAATACGAAGCCAACGATGAAGACAGCGGCCAAGGAGAGAGCTAACTGACTTCTGCCACTTATTGTATAAACGCTGTACTAAACGCTTTTTCACTGATTTCACCTCTTTTCGAATATTAAAATAAAACTGAAACCTCAAACTCGGATTCTGAATCTCAAATCACATCGTTGTCGTTCGGCTGATAGGTACTTAAAGTGGGAGAGGAGTGTAGTTGTTAAGGAGATGCAACATAATGTTATTGTCGTTATGAAGATGCATATTCATACGTATTTATTGTTATTTATGAAGCACAACTTATTTAGATGAGCAAAAGACAGAATCCATCAGATTTCTTGAAGCAGATCGTCGGAAAACCAGTTGTAGTGAAGCTGAATTCTGGAGTTGACTACAGAGGTATGTGTTTCGATAATGTTACTTTATGACTCTGAAGGGTATTCCTTACCATCTTTGGTATTAAGAGCTTGTAAATATATTCTTTATGGTGTTTATCTTGTTTATAGTTAATTTGCAATAAAAAATGACTTTTTACCAAGAGAGAAGGTGGCCTAAAAGTGTTGTATTATGTATATTTGTTGTATGAGTTATAAAATATTAAAACTTCAGGCGTTCTCTCATGTCTTGATGGCTTCATGAACATTGCTCTGGAACAGACGGAAGAGTACCAAAACGGACAGCTCAAAAACAAGTACGGCGACGCCTTCATCCGTGGTAACAACGTTCTGTACATCAGCACTCAAAGACGATGATCTCCCACTTCTTCTAACTTATACTTTGTTAAATTTATAATAAATTTTGTGGCACTGCCCTTCTGTATTTGTTACTTTTATTTTGGTTTCTTTAGTTATTATGTAGTTATATCTTAGGGATCAATGCACTTAAAAGTAAAACTATAAACTTAATTTCAATACAAATTCTGACGAGAAAAAAGCAAAATAAAGACAACAAGGGAATTCATTATACAAAAATTGAATAATTTCGTTATTATTTCCGATATAATTATGGGACACTTCGTCCAGTCGATATTAGCAACCCGCTTGCTGCGTTCATAAAATAAGTCATTATGACAAGCAATGTACAACTGTTGTAAAATTAGTTCTGAAGTCAAAAATAAATTTAAATTCACCAAATCCATTTAAAAGTAAATATTCTGTTTTCTTTTTGATATTTTTGGTGCCATTGACTTGGTTACGATGACGCCTTTTCTGGACGTTTGATTTCAAAAGCGCGTAAAATATCGCGAAACTCGTAGACGAAATTGGTCTAGTTTTGGGACTTTCTTGTTGATCAAACCTCGTTACTCACTGCCTTGGTATGTTCTCGGATCCTATGTTTATGGAATTGGTAAGTTCTTTAAAATATTTTACTTGTTTTTATGTCTTATCTTGTTTCTTATACTTTTAAATTATAAATTCGATGTTAATGTTGAGTTTAGAAAGTAAATGTCTAATAGTAAGTCTTTGCTGCTTTATGGTCGATTAATCTGATGTGCATTCAAGAAGTAAAAAATGCACGTGTGATGGATTACGCACACCGACCTGATAAAGGCAACAGGTCTTCTGGCTCTGTAAGGATGACATGTTGTATTTTAGGTATTAATTTTTATTTTTAGGCAGTGGACGCGAACATATTAAAGTGTCCCAAATGTTCGGATCGGTTAGAGCCTTTGTTGTTGGACACAAAAGGTGAGGGTAATGACAGAGAACAAACGATCTGGTGGACGTGCAAGCAAGTGGCCAACAGGGTAAGCCTTTATAATATTATTTTATGTTTAGGGCGATGAATTATACAGGTTTGGAAAGATGTTTTTGTTATTTTTTATGTTAAAAGGTTGTTTTATAGTACTTATGTAATGTTTCATGTTTCAGAAATGCAATTTCCCTTTGAATATGCCAACGAATGTCTACTGGGTGACTCGAAACGGATTTGAGATTGATCGAGAGTACATTCCACTGCCAAAGATTTATCTACTACCTCCTAATTTTCAATATTTGTATCCTCAGACCTTCCCCAACTCTCCTAAACCTTCAAGCGGTATGTTTTATATTTTTAGATATTAACTGGCAAATTCTATTTTTATGCGTTTTGGTAGTGTTATTTTAGTTATTAATCTATAAAGACTTAAACTTGTTTCAGGTAATAATAATTATGTTTTCAGCATCATTCTTTTCTTCCGATTCCGTATGTTCATGTTGTTCATCTCCAACGACAGATCATAAGTCAAGTCAAGAAACGAAACCTGTAAAGAAGAAACCTCGGAAAAACAATTTCAAATCAATGACAGAACGCATAAGAAACATGGAAACTGAGCCCCTCAAGCAGGTAATAAGTTTAGACCAAAAGATATATCAAGTGTTACAGAAAGCACCGGAGGAGTCGAAGGCAAAGTGTTCTTATTACAAAAGGTAAGTTATTTTTGTTGTTTATATTAAGTTAATGACGTTTGCTTCTTTTTTAGTACGTTTGGATTAGTCAAAAGGTTTTATTTGCGTTTTATTAGGAATAACTTGATTTTTATGCTTGAGTGAGTTTTTATTTTTAATGTATGTTTATTATATGTTGGCTTATGCATCTAATGTTATTTCATTCAGGTCATCTCGATATGTGTACAACCAAGAAAGTAAAGAGAAGAAAGATAGTCAGAAGGAAGTAGAACGGCGAGAAAGGAAGCTGATACGATCCCTGGCTCATCTCCAGAAGGAGATCCTTGAGAAAAGTGTTAACGAACGTTTGGGAATAAAGACGGTAAGCATTTAAAATATTTTGGTTGTCTTTAGTCATTTACAATCTAGTAGATTCTTAATTTCTTACATTCTAGAGGATATCTTTAGGACGCAACTTTGGCTTTTATAATTAGATATAATTTTGTTTGCTTTATCTGCTAACAATAATTAGTACCTAAAATACTATGTTAATATTTTGATTTCAGAAACGGGATTGTGACACTCCTACCTCAACAGAAATGTCAGTATCAACAGCCTCTACATCAACATCAACTGGTCCGAAAGAAGAAGAAGCCCCTAATAAGCTCTGCGATCACATCGAATCGACAGGTTTCCCCGAACTGGATCGTCTGATTCAACAAAGATATCTGAAGACAATGAAGAAGTTGACTAAGAGGAAGAAGCGACGACCTCGGCCAGAAGCGGTGGAGAACGTTATAGTAGATACGACGGTGGATATGTCAGTGGAAGAACGAACGGCTTGGGAGGACGAGTTGATGGGTGGTTTCGATGATCTACATCATACACATTGATTCTTTCGTCTTTGTAGGTCCATTGATTGTGGAAATTTTTCATTTTTAAAATATGGTAAAAACGGAAACGAGAGAACTAATGGATTTGTTATTATGGTTATTTTTTACATTGTTAAGGATAGGTTGTATGTCTGGTATTTGAATTTTTGCAGAGGGCTTTTTCATTTTTTAAGGAAAAGTTTAAAAAAACCGTTTAAAAGCATAATTTGACATACGATCTATGCTGGTTGATTTCAAAGACGGGTACTTTTGTCTTGGTTGTTTTTCATAGTATACTTTGTTACTTTTTATAGCCTAATTTATACTACAAGTTAAGTTGAATAAATTGTTAATGAACTGTTTTTGGAGGTTTAATTTTGTTAACTATACATTTTTCGGATTTTTAATAGCCATTTGGCAGAGGTAAGAACATTAGTTAAGCGTTTATACATGAAATGAGAAGCTGGTTTAAAAGTTTAGTTAAAAGCAGTGCAGTGAGATACGATGATCTGTTCTTCATAGCCAACGTATTATCCACAAGTCTGTAACCAGCGATTTCTTTTTTGATTTGACCCGAATTTACCGTAGTTAGTACCCATTATGGCGTCAGAAGTCGGGGAACGAGCCTGTCAAAAGGTAAATTACATATCAAATCCTTTTGTGTTATGTAAACACAGAAAATTCATCTACTTAAAACTACTTGATTTTAATGAGAATATTATGCATCTTACAAACTATTTTCACTTTCGTATCTTATATACAAATATTTTGTTTACTACTCTCAACTTACTGTTATAGCGTTCCGCATGTGAATGATCAAATAGTGCTGAAAGTAAGTAATGTAATGTAAGAAAGGCAGCAACATACGACGACAATCACAAAACATACGACAAGAAATATAAAGCATGAGCTGCTCACACTTGCTGCTGGATGGGGGGCTGATTCCGTTGGTGGGGCATCATCATCTGGACTAGATTCACATACGTGACGGGCTGGTTTTCTTCTAAAGCAGGGAAAACCACAATCAATCACTTGGTAGGGTAGGTTTAAGAGAAGCTATCACTTTTAAGAAAATATAATATTGTAGTACTAAATACCCACTTGGTACTGTTCACTACAGTATATGTAGTATCAAATGATACTTTATGTACAATATATATGATACTAAAGAATACAGTACCAAACCATTGGTACAACCACCTACCCCCAACGAAGCCGGCCTTCCAACGTCGTGCTGGATCCATGGCGTGGCTCTTACTCCGTAGCGTGCCTCTTCTCGACGTCGACTTCACCAAGCACAGTCCAACGGCCATCAAGATGAATAACACTCCACACGACGCGAATATTATCCATGCCCACAAGGGGATGTGGTGTTTGGAGTGGGGGATCTGAAGTTTGTAGTCGGCCAGATTGAAGGCTTCTGTAGACCGTCGAACCACGTTGTTCAGGACTTTGATTAGGGGGTACCCGTTCTGGAGGTTCATGTTCTCTTCGTCCACGATTCTGAACAACGAGTCCATACTGAGGTGATCGTCCAGGGATTCACCGAACTTCTCCGTGATCAGTTTACCGTAGGATACGACCATTAGCTGAAATATGGCATTTTGTAAGTGTGATAGTAGTTTTTGATTATTTTCCATAATGTTAGATAGCATATTGTAATTTTAGGTAATAATTTTCATCTTTTTATAATTTTTTTGTTATCTTTTGCAATTCCCTTCCTTTACATTATCTATATATCAATATACTTTAAAACCTACAGGATGCATGTGTCGTTGAGTGTTGAACGAGTGTGGTATCAGCTGCTCGGGAGGGTCGTTAACTATCAGAATCAGGATGTCTTCTCCACATGTGCCCAGATTCCAACGTTCTCTCACGATGCGAGCGTAGTTCTGCATGTAATTGAGGACTTCCTTTCTGAAAGTAATTTGCATATTCTCAGATTACTTTAGCTACACGTGATACTAATGGTATCGATGAAGTAAGGTATATTTGCACTTTTAATGCTGGTTAAGATTTCATATACAACTTTACTTGATCTTAACATTAATTATAGTAAGCTACAGTAGGGTAGGGTAAGAGCAGTGTTAAGACTAGGATACATAGTAGTGATACAGTAAAATAACTTACGGTAACGTAAAGTTTCTCTTCCGCGGCGATAGCGGTAGTTTGTGTGGGCAGAAGCTCTTGGTGACATGTTCGAGAGCAGGATATACATCTTGCGATATGTTCTTCACAAATGCGAACCCAAATTTGTACCCGCAATGAGGAGATTCCGACTGTAACATATAATGTACTACTACAATATATCATTATTTAGTAGTATATCACACTTTTATTAATGTAATATATGTTTGTACAATCACGTAGTACTCACCTTTGGACATTGACATGTATTGGCATTGGTTCGATATATATCTTTGATATATTCGTTTAGTATGTGTACTAAAATGACGTTGCAATCAATTAAAGTAGTAGAACACAAAGTAACAACATAGTTAAGACTAAATGTATAAACAAGTATATAAATCATACTACGTGCATATAAATATGCACATTACTTCTACATGAATGATACTGGTACTATATACGTTACATATGTCTTACATTCAGCCATACTGATGGTGTTCTCCGGATCGCATGCCCATCCTTGTAGTAGGGTCGTATCTTCTTGCAAGGCACATTCCGCTTTGTTGATGTAGTGGGGATACGAACATGGACTCGACAGTTGTGAGGTACTACAAGAGTTTATATGGTATAGATGAGTTAATGTAACATTTTTACTGCTTCTGCTGACTTTGTATATGATACTAAAGTATACAGAACACATTTGTAACTCATTTTTTAGTCTACTACAACATAGATACCAAACTTAATGATGCTGTTACATCTTGTTGTTTGTTTATGTCCATACGGTCGTGATAACAAGATATTTATACACTATGTATACATATAATGTAAAGCAAGAAAACAGACGTCTATATACGTATATGCTTGTTTATATTTACACGTTTCTATATGCATTATTTACTTTATATGTTAACACACATTGCAAAATATGCAAATATGCACGTATTAAATTAGACATATCTTCATTATCACATACATGTATGTAGCGTAATATGTGTAGGCCCATGCACAAACATACGTATATAAATATACGTATATCTCAAGAAAAATATACAAGTATACGTATATCTGCCATGGTATGTTTTTATGTAAATTAATGTCTGAGCCGACGAAGATAGACAGTTGTATTAATTATACTTCCACAATATATAGACGATATATCAGCGGTTAAAGTACAAGATACAGAGTCAGAATCTTTTGGGCAGGAACGAAGATACGACAAAACAGACAGCTTTTACAATACCGAGTGTGAGTATGTATAGTACTAATTCTGAGTAGCTAAAGACAACTTTTTGGATTATATTATAGTAGATGGAGGGTTTGAAAGTTTAAAAAATCTTAATGATGGTTATTGTATAGAAGGTATTACCTATCCAACCAGCATACTATAATAATATGGTCAAAAAAGTAGGTAGAAAGATTAAAAATTGGTCTTAAATTTGAATGAATGAACAATTCTACAAACTTTTAGACCAATTTATAATGTAAAACTAAGGTTTCAATGTATATCATCCAAATAACTTCAAGTTTCTTGATAATTAAGCTAATTACTTTCGAAATAATGCTAATTTCAAACATATTTTTGTGTTTTTTAATTTCGAAAAGATTGCCTCGATTCGAGACGAATTTCGAAGTAAATATTGGAAGTAAGTCGAAGTCAATAAGAGTAAACAAGAAATTACCTTAATTGGGCGGAGAACAACAAAAGAAGAAGACGTCGGGCCATGGCTTCACATCGGAAAACAAACGCCTGAAATCATAACAACCATTATTACCACAACGTAGGGCCCTCAGGGCGTTAATCACTCGCTTTTCTTGGCCCCGCTCCAAAGCCGGCCTCCTGCCCTCAGGGCCTAATTGCAAATTACATTTAAACCCAAATCCCGTTAAAGTTTCTCGATCCACCAAAGTTTCAAACGAAACATGGTTTACATCTAAAAAGTCTATTAGGTTGTTCAAATAATTCTGTGCTCTTTTCATAGCAAGTTTGCGGGTTTAGGGGGCCCAGGATTATTTGAACAACTTAAAAATAAAAATAATATTAGTTTAAAAATTTTAAATATTGTTTTTAAAATAATTCTGGGCCCTCTAATCATGACAATTTGCTTTGAGAAGGGAGCACAAAATTATATGAACAACCTAATAAAATGAGGGCAGTTTAGAAAATTGCACAGTGCAATAGTAAAAAAATGATAAATTATTGTGCGTGCCACTTTTTAATTGACATAATAGTATTATACCTGGAAAGCTAAAATAATAACATGTAATATCAAGAAAGCAACAAGAAAATACTATTTACATTAAAAAAACAAAATGCAAATTGAAAGAAAAATAAAATTGTCTGTTATATACCATAAACATTTGCTTTAGCTAAATGTGATGCAAAATACCTTTAATACTCCATAAACACATGTCTTTGAAGTAAAATAAATGCTATGTTATACTTTATCAATTTAGTAGAAAATAAAAAAATTGGCAGAGTTTTATAGAACTAACAATAAGAGTGAGAAACGGACGTGGACTACTTTTGAGGTCCGGCCCACGCTGAGGGCTTAACGTTTACAGAATAGTCAGGCCGGCCCGGCCTATTCAAAACAATTTGAGGCCCGGCACGCTTTAAAAAATTTTAAATTTTAAAACATAAAAATAAAAGGAGATTTGGTTTTTCATTGTTTTTGTTAGATTTAATGATTGTGGTACCCAAAAAATCGTCCGGCCTAGCGCAGCCCAATTGTGATTTGCTTTAGCTACATGTGTTGTAAAATACCTTTAATACTTCATAAACATATGTCTATAAAACGAACGCAATTGACAGAGAAAATAAAATAAAAACCAAGTGTAAAAATAACAACAACAAAGTATAAATAGAAAAGTCAATTTAAACTTAAAAAACGTCATTCTTTTATCAACAACACTTAAAACCTTTAAAAAATTAAAAGCTAGCCTCCTGCCCTCAGGAAAATAAAATAACAAAGCGTTTGCACAGTGCAAAACGTCCGAGAACTTATGAAAGTGTGACAAGTCTAATGACAGTCGGCTCGCTAATTAGTAGAGTAAAGAATAATTAAAACTGCGAGAAAAGTAATTACAAAGGAATTTGGCCGTCTCGTGGGATCAGATAAACATTGTCACAAAGCAAACAAAGTTACAAGGAAGTTGCAAGGCTACCATAATATGGGTACGAGTAGTACTATGTCTGTACGTTAAGTGGTACTATGGTTTACCCAATAAGTAAACTAACAGTACTGTCAAAGCTATAGTAAAGTTTCGTAAGTTAATGACAGTCATAAACGTTCTTATTATACATTTATATAGATGTATATAAGTACCTACAAGCCTATCTTCATATAAATCTAGATAAGATGGACAAGATTTAAGACCATTCTGACCCACCTAATAGTCCTGACTTCTTGACCTTATTTTAGTTATTCATTGCTTCCTTCTCGAGACATTCTTCGAGGCACGGTTGTTAGGGTTACACGTACATGTTATAAGGAAACATTAAAACACAGGTATGACCAAGGTTCAGGTCTGAGCACGCATGCTACCTGTTATAACATTTTACGTATTAATACTTTGCTAAACATATTAAGAGGTACTGTAACGTATGTTTCTTAGAGTAAACTTCGACAAAAACACTGACACTTCGAAAATGTCATAAAGTAACTGTTATATTATATAAAAAAGTTGTAATGTAAATTTTCTTTAGCACGTTTTTTCATTGATAAAGTCTTTAGATACATCTAGGATCATACAAGAACATATTCCTTACTATACGCACACCTACAACAACATCCCTAGGTATGCCAACAAACTTAAATCGCCAGAAACAAGTAAAGACATGTATGCATAGCTTCCTACGTACACGTTACATTAATCATCCCCAGCAATTCGATTACAGGGTACGAGGAGAGAAACAATCTTCCAAAGAACAACATACCATGGTCTTGGTTTTCTTATTCTTAAAGTTTGAAATACAGTTTTTTTCATACGTTGATGACATTTATTTTCTAATTTACAAAACAACCTCTTGCGTATACTGATGTTATAAACGTACGATTACTGGCGTAGACAGTACTCTTTTCTACATTTGTTATCAGAAAAAAAAACTTTTTTATATTTTTTTGAGTTATTGAAGCTTCTTCAAATTTAAGGCTTAGTATTAGTAGTCCACTTACATACAGTATACATAAGTTCAACTGAATTGAGAAAAATAAATCAATGTTAGAAGAGGAGTTAATAATTTTGGCAAGCAGTACATGTTGTTATAGCCTTACATATAGTCATCTATAGCAGGTCTTCTATATATTAAACTAAAGATTCCGTAAGCTGCTTTTAAATCTTTTAAATACTAAACCGGTTTTAAGACAAAAACTGCAAAAATAATATTAAAAAATGTGCTTTTTATAATTAATAACATGCCCTTAGGTGTTATAAGAGTCAAATCACGATAAAAAGTAAGATACATTCCGTCAAGAAGACAACAATATTTTGAACAACACATTGTAGAAATCATTACTAACTTATTAAAAATACGTGTTTTTAGATGTTAAAAACGTACTATCAGAGCTGGAGGAGTAACTTTAAACCAGAAAAGTCCTATGACACAAAAAAATGTAGGTACCAAGGTCTGACTTTCCTTTCGGATTTTGACCTCTGCCGCCCGGCTTAAGTGTACCAGAAGGTTATTACATGTAACAAATTTACTTAATTACACTACAATTTAAAATACATTCACATAACACGTCACTTAACCACCCATCTAAACTCAAAGATCCCAACTGTCAATTACCACAGTAAAACATTTGAATTTGAAAAGTGTCAGAGGGCAACTAATAAACCGAGTGATATCGCTGACAACTCGGAAATTGGATTAAGCTCGGCCCATTTGATACCTTCTGAAGACTGAGTAGAATTGCGTAACCGATAATGCGGCTCCTCCTTTCTGGCTTCGAAGCCGACTGCCTCCAGGGCCTTGTTTTCGCTCATTAGAACCAATTTCCCGGAAGAAAAACAGAAGCAACGACAAGGTGTAGATGGCATTTGCATACTTGGTATCCTTTGTCATAACATGGCGGTGACGGGGAGGTGGTTAAAGATTACAATGGCTTTTCTGAGATGTATTGTTGTACTATAGTAATCCTATAGTGGCTAGTAGTAAATAAAAGTTTTTACAACCTCAACAGTAGTCTTGTTGTAGTAGGTTTTTCAAATAGTTCTGTGCTCCTTAAACCAAAAAATTTGTTTTGAAAGGGAGCACAGAATTACTTGAACAACCTATAATATATGTACTTTACTTTCAGATTGGACTATAATATATATTTATTTTAACGATTTCAATATACACATGTATAATATGTATTGTACTTGTAGATGTTACCCCACTCTAGTCATTTGTCGTCCCTGCCCGCTCTGTAGCCCCACACGACGGTAATAGCGATGACCGTTCCTGTGAGCGACATGTTCGTAGTTTCGATCACTGTAAAGTAGGTAAAACATAAAGTAAATTAATTTTTCTGTTTGTAAAATACGAAAATTAATATCGAATCTGTAAAAAATTTAAATTTAGATTTGGCGGGAAACAAAAAATTCAAATTTTAAAATTTTTTAAGAAGAAACAAGCCTTAAGATAATATAAGGTTGTTAAAATAATTCTGTGTCCCCAAGCCTTGAAAATTTGTTTTAAAAGGGAGCACAGAATCATTTGAACAACCTACTGTAGGACTAAAAATAGAGAACAGGCCGGAACAGTCTGAGCAATAGGAAAAAAGGGCCGGGCCCATAATTCAGGTCTGGCCTAGTCTCCATATCAATATAAAACCTACGCTCTGGCCAAGACTCGTCCAGCAGGACAAGGTCTGTTGTCCTTTTGAGTGAAATCTTGTCTATGAGTCGTGTACCCTTCGAATGGATCGGTCGGTTCGACTCTTTCATTGGCTGGTCGGTGAGGAAGCGACCGGTCGGCTGAAAGTCGTAAGCTTTTGTTGACCGATCAATCAGATATAAAGTACTATATGTAGTAAAAAACCATGTTAAACAAACGACAAGTAAAACGCTAAAATATTATAAAGTTCTTACCCCTTTTCTCCGTAAAGCCATGTTTGTATGTTGTTGTAGCATCTAATGGCTCTGAATTGGGTACGTAACCGCTTACTGGTCGATGAGCTCGTGTAACTGATCCTCGTCGTCCATCGTATTGTTGTCGATGTTCTGTAACTCCCTAAAACAATAATTTTTAGACTTCTATTTATCTTTTGACCGATCTAGTTGAATTTCTACAAACTTTCTGACCACCTAGTAAAATACCATACAATTCTTAATTTTGTGTTCTACGAACTTTTAGACCTGTTGAAATCCGTGTTCTACAAACTTTCAGACCTGTTGTTGACTCACTTGGAAGGGCTGACTAGACAAGTGCCTCGAGGTGCTAATTGGACGTCTGACCAAAGATCGTTGTCCCAGATCCAAAGGAATGAAGTCTTGTCGCTGGACTGTCAGTCCATCTAAGGGTTCTGTATTTCTAAATGCTGTAACTTCTGGTCGATATGGTGTTGTTCTGCTGGCCTAAATGAAAGTAACAGTATTAAATTACTATAACTCTTCTAGTAATTAATACAAAAGCCTACTATAAATAGTTGTTATATTATTGGGCTATTATATTATGTTACTCACTTCTTTTTGTTGAAAGTCGTTTCTGTGAGTAGTCTGGCCTTCGAAGGCTCCAGAAGGCGGTCGACGATTGGTTACTGGTCTGCCAGCTCGTACGAACTCTGCCTTCTTACCTGTAAAGTCTGATCGATGTGTCGTGTTCAGATCCAATGATGTGTCCTGTAACACAATATTTAATATGAAGAATTTAAAAGTAATTAATATTACTCTGTAAAACAAATATATTACTTTATCGTACGTTTTGTAAGCATAACATAAATTTATAACGTAAAAAGTAATATGATCAATTGAAAAGGTATGAATATGTATTATCCATGACATCCTTACCCCGTCTCTTCCCAAACTCGTATGTAAAGTCCTTTGTCCTCGTTCTCTAGCTCCATTTTTGTGTACAAAAGTTTCTTTGTATTCAGTACCACCAATTGGTACCCCATCTTCACCTACCAAGCGACCAGAGTTCTCGTGAGGACATTTGTGGTTACTGTAAAAGCAGGATTACGGTCAGAAATAAATACAATTCAATAATAAAACAAAGCTCATTACATACAGTAATACTAATTTAAGGATTCTAAGAACTTCTTGACCATCACAACATCTTAGGTTGATTTCCAGTTACAACACATAGTCATATACTACAATATAAGTTACCCTACTCATATGCTCTACTCACCCGCACTCGCACAACTGACAAATGCACTTCTCACTGGCACTCATCGTATATTACACTTGTCGTTCCCTCCGTTCATATTCTCTCAAACTGTTTCCGTCTATGCCCTCAGGCATTATGGATTCCGGGTGGCTTCCCGACGTTAGTAACCTTAACAACCAGCCCTTCAACCAGTCGTTGTTCTAATTATAACATAATAATAGGGACGTCTTAACTCGTTATTAAAAGTTATTTTTGTTATATTATAGTAGGTAGAAAGTGACGAAAAGGCTTAAAATTAATGTTTTTCATGCTTTTGTTACCTAAAATATTAAAGAAAGTACACATATCCTTTTCGAAAATGTATATTCTTTCAAAATATAATACTTTAACATAATACCAAAGTAAAACAAGTTTATTGCGATATAAATATATGTTAGCTACTTCGAAGAGAAGGCAGTGACCTAAGGGCGGAGAGAAGTTGTCGCGCAACTTAGACAACATTTCAGCCGAATTCTCGGCTCGTCACATCTGCAAAGTAATGTCAGTGTTACAATGAAATGACCTACGAGTGGAAGACGCGCAGAATATCACAGTAACGGGTCTGGTCGATACAGTCGCCGCGATGTTCTGCAACAGTACACAGTCAGTAAAATAGTTAAGTTATTAAGCACACAGTCAAGTAAACTAACAGTTTTTACGGTAAAAAACTTTTTTGAATATCATTTTTACTTGTTTCAAGGCATAAACTAGTGACTAATCAGTAACGATTATCCAAAAATCAATAATGACTTGTGACATTTCGTCAAAAACGTATCAATTGCCAGTTTCGGTAACTGTGTACTCTAAAACTAAGTAAAGCAGCATAAGTTACAATCATATAGGACAGTTGTTACAGATATAAACTCAGTTACAGAAGGAAATGTATGTAAAAAGAAGTAGTAAGTCTTGAGTCATTGGTTATTGGACAAACAATTTTAAAAATAAATTTTCCCCAAAAATTGCTCAGATCTTTTTGTGAACAAGTCGTCGCAACTGTTGCGGCAACTGTCCGTTGTAGTCCCGCCATCCCCTCCACCGTTCCCAGCCCTTAAAGGCAGGTATGGGCAAGGGGATGGGCTTGGCCTCTCTGATCCCCTCTACTTCAAGATCCAGAGGACCTTCGGAGACTAGCGCCTGAGGGGCTGAGGAGTGATAGACAGAGACTTCGGCATTACTTGGAGCATCAGCTTGTTGATAACAAGGTGGCAAGTCCGGCACGGCACAGGCTCGAATGGCAGCCGGTCGTTGGCTGGGGTCACAGTTATGGCCAGCCGGCTTTTTGGTGCCTTTCCACACGCAACGCAGGATTCTCATCTGAAAATATAACTTTTATAATTGAGCAATTTGTTCTTCTTGTTGTCTTTGTTCTTTCGCCTTCAAATGTCAAGTTATATTGTTGTTAAAATGTTATGTTAATATACTTACCTGTACACCTCCATCGTCGCACTTCTTACTGCATTTTCCCCAAACAGAAGTCTTCCATTCAGCTGTGCAATTCACTAAAATTATTGTATTTATCTCTACTTTCTACATTTTCTTTTCCATTTTTCATACCATTTCATTTTAGGCCCCACCACGAAAACAATAAACAGAACTTTGTCCAAAATCTTACAATTTTGACATTCCTTCTTGATCTTCGGCCTTGTTTTTCGTTCACAGAAGTTAGAATCTGCTACAGTCGAGTTCGGATACACACATTTGACATCTCTTCTCGATATTGATATACCATCACGAGAGCACCGAGATATTCCGCACTGAAAAGGACAATTTTAGGTAACAATTTGATTTTTTTATTTCACTATTAACCTAAAACTTATTTCTAAAGATTAGCTACAAAGTAAAACTATTAATAATGATAAAAAATGCCAAAAGAACTGATATTGTAGCTTCAATGTTAACATAACTCACCTCGCTCCAGTCAGAAGCCTCCCACTTCGGACAATTCTCGTTTCTACAACTTTTCGAAGCCTGAGGGCGTTGGACAGCAAAAGAATCACATATCTCTTCATTGACATAGGCTACCACACCTTCTACCTTCAGCCTACACCTCAGTAACCTGACCTGACTCCCCTCGATGTCATTACACTTGGTCTGGGTGCACGCTGACCAGTCTCCGACCTCGTAGTCCACCTTCAGGAGGCCAGGTTCATGGATCTGTTTCACTTTGTCATAGGCTTTCAGTTCTCCCAACTTGTACAACGAGTCTCGAACAGCTTGAAGAAGTTGTTCATCTACATCGTTGGCTGACTTCAGCTCCGTTGGGTCTTCTGAAGCCTTCACGGTGCCTTTGGCTGGTCTTGTTTTGAATCTGAGAGTAACGTTGCCTTGTACACCATCAGCTACACAAGCGTATAGGCCAGCGTCTTCTAGTCGAGCGTGGAAGATACGGAGAGCACCGTTGCCAGAGACTTTGATGTGAGCTGAAAAGTAAGAATACTATAGTTATACTGGCTACACTGTGCAATATCAGATAATATTGTTATTCTTTAGCCAGTGTAACATTTTTATTAACAATATTATATTAGTTAAGTTGATGACTTATATTATTCATGATATAGCTCACCTGAGTTCTTCACCTTGAGTCCATCCTTGGTCCAGAAGATTCTCTGTTTCTCAAAGTTCTTGACCGGACACTTGACTTTAATTGATGTACCTTCGTATAAGTTAGCGTATCCTCCAACATTTAGGGTCAGCCTTCTGTGGCCAGGATGAGTTTGGTCAAAGTTTGAAGGTTTCGAAGAAAAGGTAGCCGCAAATCTGGACTTGACTCTGTTCTTGTCATCTGGACCGTCCTTCTGAAGGCCGTCTACGTCGTAGCGATTGTAGTTTTTGTCGCAGCTTTCTGGAAAAAAATATTTTTGTAAAACACGCTCAAACATGATGTATCATAATCATCATTACAATAATTTTGGAAGATAACTACACAGCAAAGTCAGTTTTGCCTATATTAATATAAAATTAACTTTAAGCTCCAAACCCACCTAAGTTGCACAACTGTAGCGTTGGAGGTCGTTGAAGTCCAGCACAAGGCAATGGTGGATTGAACGAGTGGACATTGCCTGAAGCGTCCCTCCTTTCACACACAACTACTCGATGTTGTTCTCCTTGACCACAGCTCTTGGAACAAGGGCTCCATGACTCTACTCTCCAGTTGAAAGGACAATCTACTACACCACACGGTTCTTGGTCTTGAGGTTTGGGTAGATAGCATTGAGCATCAGGGAGGATGAGCACGTTCTCTGGAGACGCTCCATTAGCTACTTTTCTGATACATCGTACTTTGCGGGATCGTATGCCACCTCCACAAGTGTGGGAACATCCACTGAATTCAACGCTCTGGAACCAATGGTTATATTGAGGTAAGTTAAGGTACAGAAATTAATATTTAGGTATCTTTTTATATAATTTGTGACTTAATACATATTTTTTGAATGACAAATTGATATAATAATCATGTGTATATGACTTATATTGTAGTATAGCTTACCTCCCAAGTAGGTGGACAAGGATCTGTATTACAAGCTCTGGTCAGATCGACCGGTCGTTGTTTGGCACGGCAGTTTGACCAGGGAACGGCCAAGTTTCTGCTCATATCCAGACACTTCAAGGTCGACTTTTGTTTACCTAAAGAACATATTACTATACCTTTATAACCTCATCTTAAAACTCGTTATAAATTTTAAAAAAAGTCTCCAGAACCCTACCTCCAAGACAGCTAGCCGAGCAAGGGCCCCACTCGCCGTACTCCCACCTGAATGGTCCCTTCCCAACTTCATTGGCCGCTCTCTCCTCCTCTTGTGAACAAGCCTTCCTCTCGCAAGGCTGGTACATGCTCGGCTTCTGAAGGCCGCTACATTCAAAGTCGGGCAGTGTAGCCAGACTCTCCGTGATTCCTTGTTCGGCTACACATTCGACTTTCCGGGTTTGGAAGCCTGGTCCACAACTCGAGGAACATTCGGACCATTCGGCTGGCTTGTATCTAAAATAATATCAAGGTTATTGTAAAAAGAGGATTTGTAAGACATTTTTTGGTAGAACCAGTATACCTTTGGTCAGAAAGTTGCTGGAAAAGTCATTATACAGTAAAATTTTATATTATGTTGTTCAAATATAAGTGAGCCTTTAAAAACAATGTTGTAAAAAACCTATTGTCAAGTGTTTAAATAGGAAAAATAACATTTTTAGGTAACAGTATATGATTGAAGAAACAAAAAAAGTATAAAACTTACTGTGGTCGTGTTTGAGGTTTGGCTGAAAGTTCGTTAGAGGTGAAACCGCTGGCCGAAGCTCCGCTGAAGCCATCGTTGGCATTCCATTGCAGAAATGGCGATGCCTCGGCGAACCTGAAAAGGTTAAATTTCAACTTTTAAGATTCAAATTATAACAATGAATTGAAAGTTTAGTGTAATTAAGGACCCCTCCCCCCACCTAGTTGTGAGAAATGGCCGTGTAGGCCCAGCTCGGCCTGACAATTGGCCGGGCCGGCTTCAAACAAAAGTTGAATAGGTCTGGTCTAAAATTTGGGTCCAGTCCTATTTTTTAAGCTTGACCAAGGCCGGGCTTACAATTTTTTCGCCGGGCTAGTCCGGCCTGAGAAAAAAAATGAAAACGGGCCGGCCTTAAATGAACGTTGGTCCCTGCCGTTTCTCCCTCTTACCCCTCCCCCACCCCCCTCAAACAATGTCATTATTTACTGTATTTTTCATTGTTAGTAATTGTTACTGTCACCCCTAATAGTCAAAGCCAAGCAATCACGGTCTACTGTAACAACACTCTAATTATAAGCCCGGATTTCCTTTGTTTACTTTGCTGCCATTTGTGATTATGTACAGTTTGATGAGTGTAATGCCCATCTGTTTTGGCTGTCGTCTTGACTAAACCTTTCGCGTCTTAACCGCCATCTTAACCAGCCTTCCGTCGGCCGCCGTCTTAACTAGCGCTTTCATTTTGCCGAGGATTAAACAATCATTTATCATGTTTGAAGCGCCATCGAAGAAACAATAATGCCAAAAGTGGCAATTTATTAGTCGAGGGGGGGCAATAAAGGAAATTCCCCGATTCGCGGACTAATTATGTCATCGTGACGAGTGTTATTGTTGGCGAAATGCCACCAAAACAAATTGCACTTTAAGGGACGGGGGATCGCGGCCAGGACAGTAGAGAACTTAGTTCAGTTCATGATTTTTGGCACTAGATTTGAAGGTTTTAAAAAAGAAAAAAAATTTAAACACTAAAAATTAGGCCAAAATAGCACCGAGCAAAAAAAATCCTAGCCATTTTTAACTTTTTGTAAACAATATTCTTGCAAATACCTAAAAATCTTTAAAAAAGCAGTTTTGCGCCGTTGTAAACAAAGTTATTGCCAAAAGCTTAATTTCTGCACAGTGCAGCGTCATTTCTCTGTTTTGCACAGTGCTAAAGCGCGATTTTCAAACTGAAATTAAAAATTTTTTAAATCAAATTTTAAATTTAAAAACTGAAAAACTAAGTTTGCAAACCTATAACAACATAGATAGTTAATGCCATTTCAATGTTATATTACTACAAATCGTAATCTTGTTATTGACCCTTGCCCTTGTAATGGAACAAAACTCGCGATCCCCTAAGGGCCTATACAACATTTCTATTGGTTAAGCTACTTTGGTCTTCGCTAACTCCATTAAACTCTCAACATAGCTAAAGTTTCATTAAGACAACAGCTGATCTATAACTCAGTTATATACACCATGCTCTATCTGATACTAGAGGTACCATAATCTTTTTCATACTACAGAGTATTCATAACTGTGCCGAAACTAATACAAAATCCAATATCAACCCTAATCATCGACTACTATATGCAACAACTTACGGATTAACATTGTAATCAGCTAGAACAACCTTAGCGAACAGGGCCAAGACAAGCACGGTCTGGCCCATGTTACAGTACCCGGCAACACTTTTACCGTATAAATCAGGGGAATCGGAAGGAAAGGAATGACCAAAAAGTAAAGCGGCCGAAAGGGGGGGGGGGGGGCGTCTCTCGAGTGCCGTTCGAGAGATGCCGCGCCCTCAGGGGACAGCACTGACCTCGTTGACTCTCGACCTTCAGATGTCTTGTCTTTAGATGCCGGGTCTTCTGGCCTGCATTCGCATTCCATTACACTTTTGGGCCGATCGCGCACCGTACAAGCGGATTCTGTGATTCTGATTCCGTTCTGAGTGCAGTCGATCTGAAAGTTGAAGTGATGAGAGATGTTGTAGCGTAAAGACGATAAGTGTCTTCGTTATAAAGTCTTAAAACGTAATATTGTGGTCGATTATAAGCTTACGTCTCTTTCTTTGATACCTAGATGACATATACAAGTTGACCAATCACCAGGGGACCACCTCGGGCATTCATTTTGAACACAGAGACGTTGGCGTAACTGTAAAAACACTTTGTATCGTATCAAAGCGGATCCTCAAGGTAAAGATTGAAATTAACGTATACAATCTAGGGCAGACGTCAGGAAGGACGCAGCCCGCAATACATACAATCATAATACACAACTTTTACATGATCAAGTGTAATGTATGTGTGATATGTTGTAACATGACTTATGTGGTATATAACAAACAAAATGCAATAAATCTACCGGTCGTTTCACACCAATACAATAATGTTCATCGATGGCTGGGCCATCAGGATTGGCCAAGTCGATGCACTGAACTGCGCGAACTTGATGCCCGCGACCACACGAGGCCGAGCACGATCCCCAAGGGCCAGTAGTCCAACTGAAAACATTTGGTAACAACTTGGATGTCATTTTAATATCGGGTCATCAAAAATATCTCGCCAAACAACTTTTTTCGGTTTTTTCGAAAAAAAATCATTTTTTAAGTTGTTATTGTGAGAAATTTTTGATGTGACCCTAAACATAAAGTAAGGAAGGGTTTACAGTACATTAGGAAAGGAAACATATGTTATTGTACTTGACATTAGCAAAAAAAATAGTAAAACAGGCAAAACTATAAATAAGATTAAATACAAATTAAAAATTGTTTTTAAATTAAACCAAGCCAAAATGAAACTGCAACCAAGTTCAGCGACAATGTATATTACATCTAAAATTACTTGGCAATGTTTTAATTTTCAAATTGGAAGCTACAAAGGATAGAAAGCGAAGCGAGAGGCACGATGGCCTTCTCAACTCACGTGTAATCCAAAGAATGTTCAGGTCTGAACAATACTTATTATTACGCAAATCAAAGGTTAGTTTTTGTTTTTAAATTAAAAAAAATGTAGATTTGTAAAATACGATTGGTTATTTCTTTTGAATAAGAAATTTCAATTTAAATAAAAAAAATCACAGTATTTTATATCTAAAAATTGTATTTCATTGCTTCAAAAAATGAAATTTTCGTTTAAAAAACCAAATTTTTCGACCGGTAAATAATAAAAAAAGCAGACTTACTTGGCCTGACACGATGTTGGAGGGCACTTCCTGACCCGAGGTCGCGGCCGTTCCAAATCGGCGCACATTCTCTCAGGAACGATGCGATCGTTCTTTGAATTTTTACATATCGAAACTGACACTTGATGTCCTGTAAGTTTAAAATCATACTAAAACATAACATAACAAATAATTAAACATATTTCTGCATATTTTTTAAAAAAATAAAATATTTTTTGACCGTATAATACATTAGGTTGTTCAAGTAGTTCTATGCCTCCAATAAAAGCGAATTTTCGGAGTTAGGAAGCACTGAAACTTGACCAGTCTATAGTAGTAAAACAGGAGAAATATATCACACTATCCGTAATAACAAAAATGCTTACTTATAGGCCCACAGTGCTGATCACATGGACTGAACTGACCAGTTTCCTTCCATACAAATAAGGTTTTGTTACAGTTTCTACTATCACCTCCACAATTACCGCAGTGATCTACTTTGGCAGAGGATCCTATGATTCTATCACAGCCAATTGCCTGAAGTCACTTTGTGTAATAGTAATATGCCTAATAAAGTACTCAAAAGTACGTTTAAAAAGTTGTTATTCATAATGCTTAGAAAGTACAGTAAAACAAAAGTTCGGTATAATAATGTTTACACTCTATAAACACATGTGAAGAACAAAAACTCGCTGACTTACTTGACATTTTCCTCTCAGACAAACGCCGTTCTGTCCATCTGATCGAAGACATTTGGCGCCGTTCCTCAACGTTCTGTCCAAGAAGAATACCTCGTTTTTCGTTAATGATTTGCATATTGCTTGGCACTAAAATATTAAACTTTGGGTACAATAAACTGACTTCTAATACTTCACTGAACTCTCTTACAAGCAATATCAGTGATGAGAATTCATTGATAGAAGCTCCAAAACAAGTTTAATTGTAAAAAAACCGTTATAGGCTTAAAACCAATATTTTATTCATTTTTAAATATAATATTAAACTCATGTTAGTATATTACTTACACTATCGACAGCTAAAGAGCTAGTCCAGACTCCGGCGTGACTAGAATCAGCTACAAAATGTAACGCTCCTCTCTTGTGACATTCTTTCTCAACGTCGTCGTCTTCTAGACATTCCTGAAATCAATGACTACATTAGTTTCAAAAATTTACTGTAAACTTTACGTTTTTGTATATTGTATTTTTCAGCCTTATCGTATCATATTGCACTCTTTCAAATGATACAATATCTTTTATTTAAGATTTTTGTATCAAACATAGTAGTATAATATCCAAATAGTGAAAAACCCACCTCAGTCTTGCACACCCGATACCTTTTGACCGCTCCCTGACATCTTGGACTCAAACATCGTCGTACCTGAAACTGGACTCCATCCCCACACTAGGTACTGTAACACAATCTACCGTACTCACCTCCACGGAACAGTCGCTCCACTCGGACCATCGTGCCCACAACTGGTCCCCGCTCACAAGGTACGACGACAACAACACTGCCCATACGACAATGGTCATCTTAATCCGGCCACATTGAACGCATTACAACGACAAAACTGAAAAAGTCCTAAACATATTCAAATCCAATTTAGGCGACGGCGAAGGAAAAACACACAAGATACGAAGTGAAGAGGGTATGGCCGCGAGGTATTCACAAAGGTCAATCAAGAAGAATGGAATCTGCATAAGTTATTAGCGAAACTTTGAGGTATGACCGGTAAGTGGGTGGTGAAAGTCAGGTGGGTTTAAAGTAAAGTGACTACCGTTATAGTGAACATTTCCTTACAAAAACAAAAATTAACCAATCCCTGCAACCATATTTTCATAAATAACACCTCATAGAAGAAACACTCGATATAGTCAACATAACTTATAAGAGGCTTTCTGAGACCTTGAAGCATCCTGTAACAGGCATGTGCACTAGAAATTTAGCCCCTGTTTTTATTTGCTAAATCCATGAGATAGACGGTTTTAAGGTATGTGGTAAAGTGATTTCGGACAAAATGCCGTTTTGGCACTTTTATGCCATTTTTTGTTAACATACTGTTAAAATATACCAAAAAATCAATAGTCCGCCAAATGTTCTGAAAATTTGTACACTTACGTTTTTGACCATGCCAAAAAATTAATTGAAAATTTTTTTCTATCGGTACCGTAACCTACCGTAATCCGACCGGTCGATTATAAAAGTGCAAATATCTAAAAAGTTAACGCGGACCTTCACAGGCAATTTTTGCATATTTAAAATCTCTATGAAATTTGGATTATCATAGGCTATACCCCCGTTTCTAGTCCGATGGGTTTTGGGGGTTTTTGGTCGACTGAAAAATTACGGTTACGTACTGCCTAAAAATTTAAAATTTCACTATGGCTTTGCTAATGCACTAATAAGTCTAAAAATTTGCATACTTACGTGTTTTACCATGCTGAACAACTTCGTAATATAATTTTCTTCCTGAATGTACCGTAACCCACCGTAATCTGACCGGTCGATTATAAAAGTGCAATTTTCTAAAAATTTAACACGGGTGTCCTTATTCAATTTTAGCATATTTAGAATCTACATAAAACGTAGATATTGATAGGCTAGAAGCTCATCTTTAAAACTGCCAATTTTGAGGATAATCGACCGGCCGGATTACGGTAGGTTACGGTACTTTTAAAAAAACGATTTTTTATTACGAAGTTGTTTAGCATGGTCAAAAACATAACCATGCACAGTTTCAAAACGTTTGATGCATTATTAGATTTTTTAAAAAAATTTTATTTTCTGCACGGTCTGCTACCGTAATTTTTGAATCGACCAAATACCCCCAAAATCCATCGGACTAGAAACGGGTGTAATTCCTATGCTGGTCCAAATTTCATAGAGATTTTAAATATGCAAAAATTGCCTGTGAAGATCCGCGTTAACTTTTTAGATATTTGCACTTTTATAATCGACCGGTCGGATTACGGTAGGTTACGGTACCGATAGAAAAAAATTTTCAATTAATTTTTTGGCATGGTCAAAAACGTAAGTGTACAAATTTTCAGAACATTTGGCGGACTATTGATTTTTTGGTATATTTTAACAGTATGTTAACAAAAAATGGCATAAAAGTGCCAAAACGGCATTTTGTCCGAAATCACTTTACCACATACCTTAAAACTGTCTATCTCATGGATTTAGCAAATAAAAAGAGGGGGTAAATTTCTAGTGCACACCTTGCTTCACGGTCTCAGAAATCGTCTTTTATAGTACCTCAATCCCATTTTGAATATTCTACTGTACACAAGCAAAAACAATAAATCTATTTTTAATAACATTATATTATACTACTTTAAGGTACCCAATCCAGGCTAAATCACCAAATAAACCTTGAGAATGACCAAATAATCCCCAGAACACAACCCCAGCCACAAACGATCATAGCAACAAAGATATAACGCAGATGTTCAATCATCATCAAAAAACAAAAGCCGATATAATAGATAGTTAAAACCTCCATCGGCTTCGTGTCCAACCCAACTTCTTCTGAATCCCCCCAGGAATTCAGAAGCCCTTCAAATATTTAGTGGAGACTCGGCTTCTGACAAACTTCAAACATTACCTTAGGCATTGCTACAACAACCTAGCCTAAAGTAATATCGCAAAATGTTTAAATTTTGTTTCTTGCAGTAATATACATGCCCATAGAAAGAAAGACACAAAAAGTAATGTAAAAAACATTGACAGAATGTAAAACAACATAAATGACAGAGTAATGTAACACAACACATATCCGACACAGTAATGTAAACACAACAAACAGCTGACAGTGTTCGAACTCCTAACCAAATTTGCATATCGCTTTCTGAGAAAACCGAATTTGCAAAGATTATTTTGTCATTTCATTTGTCGAGAATCGTGTTCGGTGGTGTCCAAGGAAATGAAAGACAAGGTCGGTATCGTAGTTGAGATGTTTATATCTTGGCTGGTATTGCTTTTCGTGTCTGTCTCAATATTTGAATAGGTTTTTGAGGATTCGACAATATAATACTAGGGTTGTATGTTGTTATGTGGTTTAAAACACAGTTTTACTTATTTTTTTGATACTTTGAATCTAATTTATCAAGAATTGTTACCTAAAATCTTTTTTATCATGACCTATTACTTAAAAAATTACTTTTTAAAAGTTTTTGTATCTAAACAACCACCTTTATTACCTGAAAATTAATTTTTTACCTAAGAACCGTTTTTTCATAATTATTGTTACCTAAAATACATTTTTTTTTGTTTTTAAATCTAAAAACCTTATATTCAAACCTTTTGCCACTAAAATCATGGTTACAGAATGTTGATACTGATAGAGAAGAACGCTCTGAAAACCGCTCCATTCCCCGTCAAATGATCCGAATCCGAAGAACGAAGGTAGATGACGACTACATCAAGGTAGAGCTACGGTACGTGTCGTATCAGAAGACGGACAAAACGGACGACACCGACGAAGATGTCACCGCTAAAGTACTGTCACACCTCTTCTCCAAGTACCAGGAGATGAGTGCCAAACAGAAGAAGCGATTCATCGAACAACAACCTCAACATACCCAGACCACCATCCTTCAAATGGCCAAATACGACGATTTAAACCAATAAACATTTCTATTGTACATATAAACGTCAGTAATTGTATATTAAAATTTATTTTCAGTTTATCGGTTTTAATATGTTAGCTTAAAAGCTTTTATTTAGCTTTAACACTTACCTTTGACGAACAGATACAATAAATGAAATGTCCAGAAAATGTGTCATCGATTATTCATTAAACAGTAAACTTGATTTTAAATTTTATCTAAAATATTAAGTTAATTTTTATTATACAACTTTTCAAAATTTTAAGAAATTTGCATTTAATTTCGACGTGTCATACTAACGCATTTTCTAGAACCCGAATTTCCTTCCGAAAAATTAAAAAAATTTGTTTTGGTGATAATGAAACGGAAAGAAGAGTTTACAGTCTACTAAACGAACACTTGTTTTATGTTAAATATTGTAATTGAATTTGAATGAGTAATCTCCTTCATGATCGTTCTCTGTGATTCGTTTTTGCCCGCGAATTTGTTTAGAACAATATCTGTTTTGTGTAAAGTTTTTTGTTTTTAGACGGGTGAATGCCGTCGTGTTTGGGTGATTATTACAAACGCGGCAACGAGACCACTGTGCTAGAACCTATGAATGACAGTTCGGATGCCGACAACTTTCGTCCTCAAGCAAGTTTTTTCGTTTTTTATTCTTGTTTTAGGGAGATCAAAAACTTTAGGTGATAAGGTAGTTTTGGGTATTTTTTTTTTTCAATTTTTTTAACTTGCTTTTTGAGTGTATATGTCTTGGCGGGTTTTGAAAGAAGAAAAAACACCTTATGGAGAAGTTCTAACAATAAAAAATTTAATTATTTCAAATAAATATTCGAAAATGCTATTATAATATTTTTAAAGGTTGAGCTGCCTTATCGCTTCTTTAACTACAAGAATGGACATTCTTCCTTTGCTCCTACTACATTGACAGTCCCACCTAAAGGCCCAGCTTTGAAGCTGCTTCCTCAATCTCTTCAACAAACCTTGTTGTTGACCGACCCTAATCAAGGTGAAAAAGAAAAGGAGAAAAAGCCTAGACGGAATAAGAACAAGAAGAATGAGGGAACGGCCATTGAAGTTGAGAAGGATCCTGGTTACAAGGGTAACATGGACGTGGAGAACCTCATTTGCTGGTTGGGCATTGAGGGCGAACAACCCCCAGTTGTTCCTAGAAGAAGAAAGAACAAGAAGAAGAGGGGTAGGAAAGAGGAAAGTACAAGTGATCCTGTGAACGAGGAGCGTAACAACGATGAAGATATGGAGGTTGATATTGAGTTAGACACTGATGATGTAGGTTTATTTTGTTTATGATTCAAGAAGTTTAGTTTTTATCTAGTTACAGCTTTAGAAACACGTGTTTTACGTTTTGTTGTTTCCGCTATAGTAATTTGTAGATTTCTTATACCAAAATTCAATTTATGATAATTTTATCTTCAGGGACCAGCTGCTGAACTTCGGATGAACACTGAAGAACCACAGAGAGAGTCAAGTGAAGCTAGTGAGGTTAGCCAGCGGGAAACCGAGTCTTCTGATAGGACTACTCCTGAAGAGGAGGTTCTAGACGATATTCCAATCGTAGAAATCGAAAAGATAACGAAGAAGCCAAAGAAGATGACCATGGCGGAGAAGCTGAGACAGAAGTCAGTCGAGTTTGAACAAAATAAGAAGGTTGACGTAAAGGATGAGAAGAAATCTGAAGCAAAGGTGGAGAAGAAGAGCGATGTTAAAGAAGAAAAGAAAACGAATGATATTAAGGATGATAAGAAGAGTAATGTTAAGGAAAAGGAGGTCAAACCTACTGATAATCTTGAAGCAAAGGTAGAGAAGAAGAGCGATGTCAAAGATCAAAAGAAAAAGAATGATATTAAGGATGTTAAGAAGAGTGATATGAAGGGCGAGAAGGTCAAATCTAGTGATAATCAAGCAAAGGTAGAGAAGAAGACCGAAGTTAAGGAAAATCATAAATTGAACGATAATAAGGAAGAAAAGAAAAACGATGTTAAGGATGAAAAGAAGGCTAATATTAAGAACGAGAAGAAGTCTGATGCTAAGGATCAGAAAGTCATTAAAGAAAGTGACAAAGCTAAGGCTAGTGAAGATAAGAAAGTAGAGAAGGAGACTTCTGAAGCTAAGAAGCCACAAACGGAAGGGAACCAAAAAGCTAAGGATGATAAGAAAGAAGGGCTAGAGAAAGACAAGAAGGATAAGACTGGATCGGACGACAAGGAGAACACCAAGCCCTCAGGGCTTGTAAGGACGGACGAAAAGGTCAAATGTACGTTTTTTGTAATTTAAGTATCCTGAATAGTATCGAGTATGTTGAAACATTATACGCTTCTCAATGCGCTATACCATAATGTGCCTGTCTACCTATTGCTTTGTATTTCAGCTTTCATTGATCAAGTAATGAACAATACCCCAGTGGCCGTAGAAGAAGAAGCAATAGAACAAACAGAAGAAGAACTTAGAGCCGAGCAAATGGTCGACGCGTTCCTGCTAAAAAGATGGGACGAGTTTATGGATTTGAAGAAGAGCTGTAAGTACCTAATAGTTCTTATCAGTTTTAGCCGTTTATTATGCCTTTTTTCTGAATAAGGGAAAAATAATCGGTAATTTGATACTGACACTTTATATAGCTAAACTTATACTAACACGAACCTCTTTTCAGTGGAAGAAAACTCGTTTGAACAGGTAGTTAAACGAAAACAAAAGGAACCCACACCCACATATCACAACAACCGCAAGAACAATCGCAACGGCGGGAATCAACGCAGAAACCGACGTCAGAACTGAGATTCTGATGCCTCTTGTGAACTATTATTGTCAAGCCTTGTCAACCCTCGTGTCCACTGCCTTCTGTAAACGGGTCAAACAGACGGAACATTTCAGATCTCTTTTTATTGTTTATATTTTGGTGACATATAGTTTGGATTGTATTTCTTATATAATTTTATAAACTGAAAACTCAAATGAAATGGTATAAAAATGGTAAAATTGAAAACATTTGGGGTATAAGAGATTATAAACACTTCTATTATAAAACTGGCATAAAAAATTGAGAATGATATGAAATTTCATGTATAAGATAAGTAGTTTTGACACTACAACAATACTGGCATATAAAGTTGAGAAGACTAGAAACGGTAAAGAGATGATAACATTACTGTATACTAAAGTATAAAACTGAAAAAATAAAGAATAGCAGACCGACAAAGTCTCTCACTATAGTTAGAAGAAAGACAAAGCTAATTTAGCTTTCTATACTTTGGCTCTCTAAACCTTCTAAAATTATTCAGCTCACAAGCCAATACGTAAACTATGAAAAAGACACCAGCCAAACCATATACAATATACGTGTAGTGTTCATTAGGCACAAAACAGGTAGACACATCCAGAGAATCACTGGAAATACTTGCCAGTATAAAACTGGGCGTTTTCAGGTTTCGCCACGAAAAAGAAGGTACTGTAAACTCCCAGAGGTTGTACGGTGCTCCCCACCATTTCTTGCACCCGAAGTGAACGTGACCTGAGAAGGCTGCACGAGGTCGGAACTTCTCCAAAAGAAACTTGGTCGCTTCCGATGACAAACAGTCCCATCGCTCACGGAACTTTTCCGAAACTACATCTTGAGGCCCTAAGTCAGGAGTTTCTGGAGAACATTCTTGATCGCTTGTCCTGGAAGATAACAAGGTGATATAAAAACCACTACTGTACTTTACACAGTTAAATGTCCCGTCTTCTATATTACTTATGTAAGCAAAAAAGTTTAATTCAGCTCACCGATACAAAGGATAATGTTGCATGAGTATCGGCCGACTGTACGGTGTCATTGTCTTCGTGGTACAACTCGAATTCCGTCTCATACTGCAGTTCAACATATCTGATACCTCGTTCAACTCATTTGTAGCAGTTTCACAGAATCGACACCCGTCTCCTTCCATAGCAACAGAGTTGATCAAGATGAAGTGATTACCGTCAACTTCAACATGTTCTACACCTTTTTCATTCCCAAACGCCTTTATGTAGCGATTCACGTTTTGTGGTCGAGCTCTAAACATCAATAACTTGTAAAACATAAAACTCACGAGTAATGGAAGCCAATGTCATGGTTACCCGGAACAGTGAATAACTTAGTGCCTCCCGGCACGTAGAACAAGGATCTGAAGCGATCGACATAGCTGTTGAACACTGCATCCGATCCGAATTCTCCTTCATCAAACAGATCTCCTACAACAAAGAATTCGGTAAAACGTTGATGGACAAGTATTTCTAAAATGTTTAATACTGTTTAAACGAACCTAATATAAACACAACATCTGGGTTGAACATTCCAACTGCAGTTTGGAAAGACCTGTACATCTGCCATTCTCTAAACAACAATATACATATTATGTTAACCTTACCGTCTTAGTTTATCTAACCAATGACCACGATAGATACCAAGGAGATGAACATCAGCTAATATCAACGCTTTAGTTTTGTCCGTCACGGGCCAAGAACACTTTGAAAACCAAAGATAATAAATAAAGTACTCGTTAAACAATGCTACGGAGACTAGAGTTACCAAAAATACTTTAATATATGTCCATATTTTAAAAATTTTCATGTTTTAATACTATATTACAGTGAATACTGATAGACGAAATACGTTTTACAGTTTAAATGTTCTTGAATTGTTTAGAATTACTCATTTTCAGTCTACAGAGTCATGATATTCCCCCTTGAGCACAGCGTTGATTAGCTTTTGCTGTAAAAATAATTTTTTTCCAAAATTTTCTGAAAAGATATTTATTTTTTTCGCAGTCTGCGGATTTCTACTATCCTCGAGTCGCGCCCAAACATTGCCAAGCTGGAAAACGTAGACGTAGAATATTTTGATATCGGCGAGGTCCGAGATCAACGTAGATTTTCTGACTCCTCTAATCTGCTTATGTTTTAGGGATGTCTTTACTGAAGAAGTTCGAGTCCCAATCCGCAAGAGTTAAAGGTATGTTATTGTAGGTTGTTGGTTGATTCTTGAATTTTAGGAATAACTTTTCATCCAACGCGGCCATGGGTTCTTACCTCGCTTCACAGTGGTATTATCCAGCTATGGGACTATCGGATGTGTGTGATGCTCGACAAGTACGATGAACATGATGGTCCAGTCAGAGGTATCGACTTCCACTGTCAGCAGCCTATTTTTGTATCTGGAGGTGACGATTACAAGATTAAGGTATGGTTCTTTATAAAAGCGATAAGTTAATTTTTTTGAGATATTGGTTTGTAGAATTAGTGGAGTATACTTATATGTATGGCTTTTCAAATTTAGGTAACAAATTCGGAGATTATTACGAAATCTTTTAGGTTTGGAACTACAAACAAAGAAAGTGCATTTTCACGTTGTTAGGTCACTTGGATTACATCAGAACTACGGTGTTTCACAAGAATTATCCGTGGATTCTGAGTGCTTCTGACGATCAAACGGTCAGAATCTGGAACTGGCAGTCACGAGGCTCCATTGCTATTCTCACAGGTCATAATCATTATGTTATGTGTGCTCAGTTCCACCCTACTGAAGACTTGGTTGCCAGTGCCAGTTTGGACCAAACTATCAGAATCTGGGACATCAGTGGCCTCAGAAAGAAGAACGCCGTTCCAGGCATGGGATCGGGATCAGGACGAGTTGGCTCTACCATGTCTGGTACTCAGACCGACCTTTTTGGACAACCAGATGTTATTGTTAAGTATGTGTTGGAAGGTCACGACCGTGGAGTGAATCATGTAGCCTTCCATCCAACGATGCCATTGTTGGTATCAGCCGCTGATGACAGGTTGGTCAAGTTGTGGAGATACAACGACACCAAGGCTTGGGAAGTTGATTCTTGTCGTGGTCACTACAACAACGTGTCGTCTGTGCTGTTCCATCCCAAGCAAGAGCTGATCTTGTCCAACTCCGAGGACAAGAGCATCAAGGTCTGGGATATGCAGAAGAGAACTTGTCTTCAGACCTTCAGGCATGAGAACGACCGCTTCTGGGTGATCGCCGCTCATCCGACGCTGAATGTGTTTGCTGCTGGCCACGACAATGGTATGATTGTGTTCAAGATTGAGAGGGAAAGACCAGCTTACACTTCCCACGAAAACTTTGTCTTCTACGTCAAGGAACGACAATTGAGGAGACTTGATCTGACCACCAAGTAGGTTTTGGTATACTTATAAAGACTTATTGATGGTTTTTAAAGTTTACAATTTAACGGTTTGTCGGTGAAATGTGTTAAAATTTGGAATTTATAGCCGCGACGTCTCATTGGCACAACTCCGCCCTACCAAGATCACTCAGCCTTACTTCAGCTTGGCCTATAATCCAGCCGAGAATGCTTTTGTCATTGTTAACAGGCCACAGGCCATTGAAAACAGTACCTACGAGTTGTTTAAAGTACGTTTTTTAAAACTAATTAAATATGTGTAATACAACTTTTAAATAATAGTAATTTCGGTTAAATTAAACTCTGTATTTACAGGTTGCCAACGAAGAAGTCAAGATCTCCGATCAAGGTGACGCTCGTCGCGGTCCTGGAGTCGCAACAGTTTGGGTAGCCAGAAACAGATTTGCCGTACTCGACAAGAACCACAACGTCATCATCAGAGATCTCCAGAACAAGGAGAGCCGACGGGTGGAGCACAATCTCCCAGTAGACGAGATCTTCTACGCCGGAGTGGGTCTTTTGTTGTTGAGAACTCCAGAAGGCCTTCAATTGTACGATCTTCAACAGAAAACTGTTGTCGCTACTGCCAAGGTCCCCAAAGTCAAGTACATTATCTGGTCCAAGAACATGGAGCACGCTGCCTTGATCTGCAAGAACACTTTGGTCTTGATCACGAAGAGATTAGAGGTACTGACTACTGTGCAAGAATCCACCAGAGTCAAGAGTGGAGCCTGGGATGAGAACGGTGTCTTTGTCTACACTACCTCCAACCACATCAAGTACGCTCTGACAGCCGGTGACAACGGAATCATCAGAACATTGGACCACCCCGTCTACATTGTCGCCATCAGAGGATCCAAGCTTTACTGTCTTGATCGGTAAGACATTTCTAAGTGTTTAGCAATTTTAAAATTTATTGCTTATTCTAACGAATATGAACATAAAAGTATTATTTTAGGTAACAGTTGAATTTTTTAATGCTATATTTTATGATAATTTATTTCAGAGATGCTTCTCCACTCGAAGTCTCTATTGATCAAACTGAATATCGCTTTAAGTTGGCCCTCATCAACCGCAGATACGACGAAGTTCTGAACATGGTCAGAAACGCCAACTTGGTCGGTCAATCCATCATTGCCTACCTCCAGAAGAAGGGCTACCCAGAAGTCGCTCTCCATTTCGTCAAGGACGAGAAGACCCGCTTCGGGTTGGCTTTGGAATGTGGCAACCTTACTGTAGCTTTGGAAGCTGCCAAGGTTTTGGACGACAAAGCCGTCTGGGAAGCGTTGGGAGAAGCCGCCTTGCTCCAAGGAAATCATCAAATTGTCGAGACTACTTATCAGAGAACCAAGAATTTCGAGAAGTTGGCTTTCCTGTATCTGATCACTGGAAACCTCGAGAAGTTGAAGAAAATGACTCACATCGCCAGGTCGAGGAAGGATACTCACGGAAACTTCCAAACTGCCTTGTACCTTGGTGACGTCGAGGAAAGAATCAGATGTAAGCTTTTATAAAATATTTTCTTAAAATAATCGCGTTTTTGCAATTTAAAAAAGTAATTTTCGATGTATTTAAAATAATGTAACGTGCATTTTAGTGTTGGCTGAAGTTGGACAAACCTCATTGGCCTATTTGACTGCCGCTACTCACGGCTACGAAGACGAAGCCGCCAAATTGAAGGCCGATTTGGAAGCCAAAGGTCAACCCTTACCTGAAGTTGATCCAAATGCCCGTCTTTTGGCCCCACCCCCACCAATCCAACGTACCGAAGAGAACTGGCCTTTGTTATCTGTCGCCGCTGGTCCCTTCGACGCCCAAATCTTGGCTGCCGGTGCTCGAGGAACTTCGACAAACCAGACGGTCAGAGCTGCTCGTGCTGCCGCTCAATTCGCTGCCGAAGAGGTCGACGACGAGCCAGAAGGAGATGCCTGGGGAGTTGAAGGTGACTTGTTGTTAGATGAAGACGGAAATCCAGAAGTCGACGAAAACGAAGAACTCGGAGGTGGAGAAGAAGGCGGTTGGGAGGTAAGTATTAAAAACTGATAATAAAATAACATTAACAAGATATTAAGGTGTTTTTTTTTGTGAATTATGTATGAGTTAATTGAAAATGATAATTTGTAGGTTGACGATGATGTTGAACTTCCACCTGATGTCAAGAACGCCGCTGCTGCTGACGATGATGAGGGACCATTGGTGCCAGGAAACCCTCCATCGGTGTACTGGATCAACAACTCGAACAAGGTACACGACTTGATTGCTGCCGGATCCTTCAGTGCGGCTGCCAGTGCTCTCAGAGGACAAGGCATTGTGACTGTGAAGCCTTTCAAGAAGTTGTTCATGATGGTTTACGCTAGGTACGGGTGTTTATTAACTTTATAATCTTATGTCAGTATCAAATGTTCGCGTTGCTTTAAAGAAATTAACCTGTTTTAATTTCAGATCACGGGTAGCTGTCTCTGGTATCTCAAAAACCCCACCTTTGTTGGGCTACCCATTGAGGAATTGGGAAGAAGCCGGGCCAAAGAACGGTCTGCCAGCCCTGTGTGTCAAGATGGAAGACCTCGGTCAGAAGCTACAGTTAGCCTACCAATCCACGACGCAAGGAAAGTTCTCTGACGCTGTCGTCAAGTTCAGAGAAATTATTTTGTCTGTAGCCTTGTTGATCACTAACGGCAAACAAGAAGTGCTGGAAGCCGAACAATTGACTGAAATCTGCAAGGAATACCTGGTCGGGCTGTTGATGGAGACCAACCGAAAAACATTACCTGCAGGAAATCCTGCGAATGACAAGAGATCCATGGAGATGGCTGCCTACTTCACTCACTGTAGCCTCCAACCCCGACATCAGCTGCTCACGCTAAGAACGGCCGCTTTCTTGGCCTACAAACATAACCTGAAACAGACGTGCGCATCACTGTGTAGACGTTACCTGGAACTCGGTCCTCCACCAGAGAACGCCGCCAGAATCCGTCAGATGTTAACCGCTTCGGAACAACAGAACACCAACGCTTACAACGTATGTCTTTTTATCCTATAATTTATTGTTGTTACATTTTTATTGTATTTTTACAAATGTTGAACTTAAATTAACATAAATTTTGCTTCAGATCGACTACGATGAGCACAACCCCTTCGTCATCTGCTCGAGGACCTTCACGCCCCTCTACAGGGGCCGACCTCAAGAGAAGTGTCTCTATTGTAAGGCCGCCTTCAAGCCCGAGTTCAGTGGAGAAGTGTGCGACGTGTGCCAGGTTGGGCAGATCGGAAATCTCTAAGAGAAGCACGGTGAAGGCCCCTAATTCTGTGATGTTGAATCTAATTATTGTTTCGTAGCAGTGACCTTGGACCACCGATTCAAGCTCACGATAAGATTTTTCTAATTTATTTCTCAACAATAAGGATATTTCCCTGTTTATAGTATAATAAATTTATCTATCTTTCTTCTCGGTTAGTAGGACTGGAAGGTGCAGTAGCAAACCGGGGTTGGACTGGATTTCTAAACATTACGTTTTCAGTACCAATACCGTATTTTAAAAATTTAAGTATTTGAATTATTTATATCCAAAAACAATCAGGTTTTTAAAATCAACTTACTCTTTGACTCGGCGATCCAATTCTGCAGATCCGACCTCATTTCCTCCTCCGACTTCTGATGGAAATCTAGCCGTCGCAGAAACATGTGATTTCGGAGTTCAAGCTTCTCCATCCCGTCCAGTTCCTTGTCCACAACATAATCCAACTGTGACAGGATTTTGGCTCGCTGTTCCAATCCTCTACAACCATATAAAGGCATCGAACGATGCAACTTGCACAAGTTCAGTAAGTGAGAGACGCTTAGATCTACCAGTTTCACATTCTTTGGCTCGGTCAGAGACATATTCTATAAATGATTGATGATTGTTAGTCCATGCAGGATTAAAACAAGTTCTTTTAATAAATGTATATCACCTTTTGTATTAAAAATTACCTGATTCAGATTCTGTAATCGCCGAATCCGGGGTAGAAATGTATATTTATACATCATCTGCCAGAACTTTTCTTTCTGCTGATCCGTCCAGAAATGCCTCGTCAACACGAATCGAGGGAAAAAGATTCTGAAAACAATTACTTGAGGCTATTTCTGTCTGAATAATAAGATACAAGAAAGAAACTGACATAGACAGAGCCAATCCGTAAAGGGTGAAAGGCAACGGAGCGAGGATTGTAATTGTTACCAACTTGGGCAGCTCCTCTTGTGTCTAAAACACATTGATTTAAATGTTTGTCACGAAAAGCCAGTCACATAAAGTTATCTTTGGTTAAAATTGCAACGTTTTTCAAATTTAAATTGGAAATTCACTACAAAGTCAATCAAAAACCTTGCTATGAACAGTTTCTTGTTGTTATTACCCAGACAGAAAAGGCCGCAAGTCCAAACTCAACTTACGCCGTTATAATTAGTCCCTCTCCTATTACGGGAAACTGTAACAGTACCACAATGACCACAATCCTCAAAACTTCGGGTGGACACTTAATAAACACATCACGCAGTCAGTCAGATCACTTACTTGCAACAAACACATCAGTTCCTTCGTGTTCATGTCCGTCAGCTCTCGCTTTCCATATTTTAGGTCTTTGTTCAGCCGATACAACAACTTCACATCAGCCAAACAATCTCTGCAACCTAAACAACAATATTAAAAAAAACTCAACTTACCATCCACAACTAGACGATGGATTCTGTAGACCTTAGGATAGCGTTTCTCCAAGAATTGCTCATATTTCTGATAAATCCCTGAGGCTTGGCAAGATTGACAATATTGAAGTGGTCTTGGCCGAAGGGCGATCCGACCGAGCGACGAAGAAAGCATAACCAATCGTATTACATAGAAACCTTATAAAAATCTGTGAGATCCTTTCAAAAACAACAAGTAAATATAATTTCGATAAATAATACGAAAGGCCAAGTGCTCAGATTTCGTGGTAAGACCAAAACATTACAACGGGCGACAACTTTTTGTTTGGTTTTCACGGGTGTTTTTCCATTATCGTTAGACTTTTTTTCGCGGCGAGCCGCTGTGTCCCGCGAGTGACAAGTTATACGAAGGAACGTTTGCTCTATTATTCACAGGCAGCTTATGAACTTTTTATAATAAAACAAAAATAATATAAAAGACGTAAAATGAAAATATTATAGGTTTGTTTAAAAACAATTTGTTGTTGATGGCAACTTTTTAAAACTTAACGAACTGCAATTTGCAATGTGATTAAAGAACTGTTAGCTGTAGGGAATTTCATTATATCCGGATTTTTTAGTCAAGAATTAATGAAGCATTTTTTCTTGGGATTTAAAAAATTTCGCTATATCGGGGGTTTTTAAGCGGAATCCTATTAGCGAATTTTGATATATTTCTTTAAACTTTGTTTGCATATTTTTTTGAACTGGCACTTGTATTTAAGGATTTTTAATAAGAGAATGAACAAAACGTAGATATAGGTCTGCTTTACACGGCTTTAGACAATATTAACCTTTGTAAAATAGCTAAAAATGCCAATTTTCTAACGATTAGGCTGGAAATGGATAGCAGGTAGCAGGTTAGCTTCAAACGCAGTTATTAAGTAATTGAAATATTATATTTGCATCGCGCTAAACATTATCTGAACAAACATAAAATTTAGTTTTTGAATACAGTATTACTTTTTTTAATGCCATGTTACCTTCTTCACAATCTTTAAAAGGTTTGGGTCACTTTCCGGAATAGTGACACCTCCAGAACAAACCCTAACATACCATACCCTATGCTACCTACTATATCGTACTCATCCTACTTGGCATACCATACTCTATCCTAATTACTATGCTATACTGTACCATTATATCGTATGTTATCTATTCTCTACCTTGCGTACCTACTATACCATGTCATACTTTATTCTACCTACCATATCATACCCTACCGTATCCTGTACTAGCATACCTTATACTAACTGACATTCCATACCCTACCATGCTTTATACTACTATATTGTACCATATCACACCCTATACTACCTACTCTACCCTACTCTACCATACTAAACCAAAAAATACTATATCATATTATACTCTAACATACCCTACACTACCCACAGTACCATATCTACCATACCATACCGTGACATATTTGTATATACTAAACCACTTATCTTGCCTTACTTACTTGCACTGAACTCTTACCAATGGGTTAATATTATAGTATACGGTAGTGTCGTAAATATAAGATTAGACAAGGTAAGATATGATATAGTTTGGCAGATAGGATAAAGTAGGTATGGTATGTGATACTATGGTATAGTAGGTAGTATAGGGTTTGGTATGGTATGATTTGGTATAGTATGGTATATAAGATAGTGTAGGGTATGTAAATATAAGGTGTGGTAGTACAGGATACGGTAGAGTATTGTACGGTAGGTAGTATAGAATATGGTATGGTAGGTAAGGTAGAGAATAGTAGACAACATACAATTTAATATGATATGATATACGATATGGCAAAGCATAGTAGGTAGAATAGGGTATGGTATGTCAGGTAGGGTAAAAATGCACTTTTCACTATATTTTTCTTCAATGGGTGTACTTTGAATGCCAATTGTGAGAAAATGAAACATTATTTTTGCCTAGTTTTAAATAGTGCCGGTAAGAGAATACAATGTAGTTTTTAAATATTCTATCACTTTTTTTAATTCCATGTCAAATTTTTTAGTATATTTGAAAATGTCATGTTTTACTTTATTTTTGCCCAACATTCGGACTTTGAATGCAAATTGTGAGATAACAAAACATTAGTTTGGCATAGAACTAAATATTATCTGGAAGAGCATAAAATGTAGCATTAAAATGTTGTTTTATTTTGTATTTAGCGGTGTTAACTTTTTCACTATACTTTAAAATGTCAGCTTTTACTGTATTTTTGCCCAATGTGCAAACTTTGAATGCAAATTGTGGGAAAACGAAACATTGTTTTGACATAGAGCTAAATAGTATCTGAAAGAGTATAAAATCTAGTTTTTAAATACTCTATTACTTTGTTTTTTTCGGTGTTAACTTTTTCAGTATATTCGAAAATGTCAGTTTTCACTGTATTTTGCCCTAATATGCGGACTTTGAATGCAAATTGTGAAAAAACGAAACATTGTTTTGACATAGAGCTAAATAGTATCTGAAAGACTATAAAATCTAGTTTTTAAATACTCTATTACTTTGTTTTTTTCGGTGTTAACTTTTTCAGTATATTCGAAAATGTCATTTCCCCTTATAATTTTTCCGACTTGCGCCCTGGCCCGAAAAAATGAATTTCTTAGCGATAATCGTTCTTTTGCGTCTAAACACCCGTGTTTTGCAATTGCTTAAAACACGGTAGACTCAGGGGCTATTTTTATTGTTGATGTAAAATTTTATACGTTTTTAAGATATGCAACGTTTTTTTACTAAGTCTCGTAATATTTATGCATCACAGTTCAGTCAACTCTGCTGTTATTGGTGAATGTCGATTGATATATAGCTAAAAACCTAAATTGTCTCTAGTTGCAACTTCAAATATTTTGTGTTTTCCATGTGTCATTTTAGATTTTGCTTCATCAACCAAATGTATTTACTTTGTTTTTGTGTGAATGTGTTTTTTTTGTGGTTGTAGCAGGAACTAGCATGAGCAGACTGGTTAATCAGTAATATATTAATCTTGCTGTTCACGGTAAATGTTATTAGCATGCAATTCTTATTGTCGTGGTTAATACAATAATGGGCTTTGTATAATAATATAATAATTTACTTTACTCCAATAATAATTAACAATCATTAACTCATTGTCGACATTAATATTCGGAATGGGTATTAAGTCTTCAGAATAGATATTAATCCACGATATTAAGAATAGGTATTAATCCTTTTTTAGATTTTAATCCTTTTACAACTCTTTTACAGCTGTGTGTAAAGCGGATGTTAGTGTACACCCACGAACGGATGTAGATGTATTCTGGCAGAGTTTGCTTAATCTCCACGATTAGATGGATTTTATTTGGATTCTGAAGAAAGTAATTATTCTTGACGCAGGAGAAATGTAATCCCACCTTATTGTCGTATGTTAAAAATTATTTTAGGTGATATCTGTTTTTGTGGATATCGCAATTACAATTTGAAATGTTATGGGCTTCATAATAATGATAATAGTTACAGTACGTTTTCTTATTTGACGATCATAATAGTGACAGTACTTTTTCTTATTTAACGATGATGTTGTTACAGTACTTTTAAGTATTGTATTTTTGTGAAATGTTGATAGAATCGTATTAAAAGGTCTAAATAGGTATCTGCACAGTGTGGTTTTTGATGTTTGTTGAAGTGCATGCACTGTAATGATCATTTTTGAGGTTTTAGAGGTTTATATATACAATAAGTTTAAATATTTCAATAATTACCTGGGTGTTAACAAACAATTTGTTTTACCATGGTGTGTCATTCCAAAAATACCGGTTTCTTTTAACCCCATGGTCAGCATTGACCTTCTTATGACTTGATTCTGTACGAAACAAAAACAACACGTTCTTAAGTTTTAAAGCCAGCATGACAATGATATGTCATTTTCAGTTTGTTTTCGAATCAATTTGTCAACTTTTTGTGACAGCACGGTGCAATTAAGTTGACAATTTTTAAGACGTTCCAGTACATTGTACTTGACTTTTAAGGGCACGAGCATTCTTCATTGAACTCCAAATTGTTCTTCAAAACAATTTCAATAGATTGTTCTGTTCTTCCTACAACTCTATTAGATTGTTCTTTAGTATAAGCCACTTTTAAGACATTAATCTCTAAAACAATTCCCTACAACAATATGTTATGGACACTTTTGAAACAAGCATCCCTTATGGACATGAATATATTTAGCAGCCTGTCAATCTCAACATGAACACTCACACAAGGCCCGCTTCTACACATAGCCACCTTCTTGGCTGGGCCCCGTGCAGACAGGGACTTTGGTTCTTTGAATTCATTCCAATTTCATGCCCCGAAGCGTTGAAATTGTTGGAAAGTGCGTTCCCTCGTTCACGCTGGAGACATTCCGAGTGCATTCGGGCGTGCCGGCACGGCACGTTGGCCTCGGGGTTCGAAGTGAATATGATAATTAAGAGAACGCAAATATTAACTTGAAATACAATATAATGTAAATTGATATTTGTTTGAGGGAAGTAGCTCATATAAATGAAATAGAACAAGATATTGAGACAACACATTTTGAATAGTGTTGAAGTCAGCGACTCAATCAACCGCTCACCACTATCACGAGAAAACCGAAGTTACTTTATTCAGTGAATCTCGGCCTTTTATAGGGCCGAGGAAAGACATTTCACAATAGACAAATAACTAGAAACGGTTGGAATTAATCGTATCTCAACACCTCCTCCAACGTGTTGAACACGTTTACTGGCGAGAACATCCCGGGCGGTCTTCGAACACGATGCGAGGTCTGGCCGGTTTGATCTCCTGGTCCTGAAGTTGGGTCTTGAGAGCGTCCAAATGTTGTTGCAACAGCTCAATCTGGCTTTTAGCAGCCTTCGAATCCAAAATCTGCTCCGCCGATTCAGCGCTAACTGGAATCTTGGCGTCGTGTACCAGCGAAACTGAGGTGCGTGGCACAATAACGTATCGCTTAGGGGAAGTCTCCGCGGAATCTGGCTTATTCAGCCTTCCTAACCGCGACCTGAACCGGCTTTCTCGTTTCGGAGAATTGTAACGGCGGCGCTCAGAACATTGAGAATCATCTCTTGAGGACCTTGGAGTACGGCCAGAAGAATACCGACGTCCAGAGTCACGAGAGTTTGTTGAACAATCTCCACGAAGCGGGGACAGTGACAGTAGTCGACGGGGCTCTTCCTCCTTGGCTTGATTCTGCTTTGCCTTACGGCAACCCTCGACATTCGTGCATTTCAGCACTTTTTTGCAGCAATTACACCGCATGTTCACAACGAATTGACCGTTCGAGAGAGACACACTTTTCTCAAATGGATCGACCGAATGAGGGTTTATGCTGACTTCGTTTTCAATTTTGAGGTAATGAAGGTTAGCGGCTGTTGAAATTTGCTTACCGTCCTTGTCGTAAGACAAACGGACCGGTGGTGCTACATGGCGTTTGATGCGCCCAGCCGAAGTCCCTTCTAATAACCTTCCTAACGACGACCTTCTTGCTGAATATCCTGACAAATTTCCGGCCTCCGGGTTCAATTCTCGTGTGTTATTTTCTGCCGCTCCTCCTCCATTGAGAACATCCCCGTTCACAGAGCCTGGCAAAGAATCTGAACCCTCTGGTATATCTGGCACCTCATTATTCCCTCCTCCTCCATTGTTCTGAGGTATGAACATTGGAATCTGAGGAGAAGAATCAGCATCACCAGATGGACCATGACGATGCTTGAGTTGATCGACGTGTCTACGAATGATGCCGGAGTCGGTAACCACTAAGGCAATCTTAGTACCGTCAAAACTGTCAATCCGACCTTCAATCCATTTCACTGTGCCCGAATTGTACATTCTGGCATAAACGAAGTCGTCGACGTTGAATTGTCGGGGTTTCGTTGCCTTGTTGGCGTTCTTTAGCGCCGTAGCTGTGTACTTTTGAACTTGAATTTGTTCTTCCCTCGGTACTTTTCGTGGGGTTCGCGGCAGCAAGTCTAATCGTGACCGAATCTGTCGGCCAAACATCAAGTTTGCTGGCGCCATCCCTGTAGCTGGGTGTGGAGTAAGCCGATATTGAAATAACCATCTGTTCGCTTTGTCCAACGCCGACCCAGACTCACCGACAGCTTTGTTCATGGCCATTTTGAACGAACCAACAAACCGCTCAGCTTGGCCGTTGCAACTTTGTTTGTCTGGAGGCGAAAACAAGTGTTGAATGCCATTAGAAAGGCAAAAATTCTTGAATTCAGTGGATGTGAACTGACGACCGTTATCCGACACCACTTGTTCTGGGATACCAAAGGTAGCAAATAGCTGGCGCAACTTGGTAATCAAAGCTTTTGATGTTATCTTGGTCATAGGGTGAATTTCACACCATTTTGTGTAAGAATCGACCAGTACCAGCCAATAATTACCCATGAACGGCCCACAAAAATCTAAATGTAAGCGAGACCATGGGTTTCGAGGTCTTTCCCAAAGGTGCAATGGTCTTTTGGCGGGTCATTGGAAACAACCGCACAATCTTTACAATCCTTGGCTAGAAGCATTTTTTCCACCATCCCGGGAAACCAATAGTATTGGTGGGCTAAAGCAATCATTCTTGTAGCCCCCATGTGAGCAACATGTAGTTGTTTCAGTACCATTGGTTGAATCACTGGCGGTAAAACCACCTGATTACCTTTTAGTAAAGCGCCTCGGAACAATGTCAACGAGTGGCGTTTACGATAGAACTGAACCAACTGATCAGAAGGGCATTTGTCTGGCCAGCCCGTCTGTACGTATTTCTTGACCTGAGTACATTATCTTGTCTTTTTCTGTAGCCTTCCGAACTTGACCAAGACCAATAGGATACTGTATGACATCTTGCACGGCGTTCACCGTAAGATCTTCGACTTTCGTAGCTCTGTCTGGCTTCTCGTCCGGATTAGGAAGCCTAGAGAGACCGTCAGCGTTCCCAAATTTGTCTGTTGGAACATATTCGATGTCAAACGAGTATGACATCAAAAATGTAGCCCATCTTTGCAGCCGACGAGCTGCAACCGTTGGCAAACCCATTTTAGGACCAAAAATACGAACCAGTGGCTGATGGTCGGTCAACAATGTAAAACGCCTGCCATACAAGTACTGGTTGAACTTAGTGACTCCATAGATGATCCCTAACCCCTCCTTCTCGATCTGCGAGTAGTTTCTTTCGGCCGGGGTCAAGGTTCTACTGGCATATCCAATTACTTTAATGTTACCATTTGGAAATATATGTTCCAATTGAGCTCCAATACCGTAATCAGAAGCATCTGTAGACAGTCTGACTGGTAGCTGTGGGTTGTAGTGTACCAGGACCTCTGAACTCGTCAATAATTTCTTCAGTTCTTGGAAAGCAAATTGTTGCTCAGATCCCCATTCCCATTGACAAGCCTTCTTCCTTAACTTGTTCAAAGGGGCTGCTACAGAAGACAGTCCTTTGACAAACTTTGTGTAGTATTGTATCATACCCAAAACGGACAATTCTTTGATGTTTCTTGGAGCCGGCATCTTCCTAATGGCTTCAACCTTCTCAGGAATAGCCTTGATGCCTTCAGAAGTCAAAATATGACCCAGAAGCATGATTTTTGGCTCAAAGAATTGACATTTTGAGGCCTTCACCTTCAATCCAGCGTTTTGCAACCGTGTCAGCACGGCGAACAAATTTTCAGCATGTTTGTTGTCATCTTGTCCCGTTACCGTAATATCGTCCAGACAGACGGCGACATTAGGTATACCTTGCAATATCTTCTCAATTGTTGATTGGAAGATTGCTGGAGCCGATGCGATACCAAATGGTAATCTAGTACACTGGTACAATCCTCTTGGTGTGCTGACCGTGCAGATCTTCTGAGAATCTGGCGAAAGCTTTAACTGAGTAAAGGCCGCCTTCAGATCGATCTTGGAGAAAGTTTTGCCTCCATTTAACGACTGGAATACTGACTCTACAGTAGGTATTGGATGTTCATCTACGTCCAACTGTGGGTTTATAGTCCTTTTGAAATCAACACAAAGTCGAATTTCGTCGCCTGGCTTTGGAACAATGACCAATGGCGAGGCAAAGTCAGTATGTCGTACTTTCTTCCATTCACTGGACTTTTCCAACTTGTCCAACTCTTGATCGACCTTGTCCCGTAAAGCAAAGGGAATTTGTCGAGAGCGGAAGAAGACGGGAGTAGGGGGTTTCTTGAATTTGAGCTCCACGTCCGGGCCTTTATAAGTACCCAAAGAATCATCAAAAAGCACCGCGAACTTTTCCTTGATCTGGTCTACCGTTAGACCGAATGCTGGCATTGGTGGGACGACTTGGTGCACAAAATACGGTCCCATATCGAGCTTGAACTGGCGGATAAGATCTCTACCAAAGAGAAGGTGTCCATCGCCTTCAAGAACCACCAGCTTGGCACATGTTGTTTGACCTTCAAACTTCATTTCCACTGTACAGCTTCCTTTTAACGGCAATGGTGTGCCCCCATATGCCTTCAGACGCCCCAAGGTTGGCGTCAACTGCGGTTTTCCAACGTTATCCCACACCCCTTCAGGGATAACCAAAACAGCCGCTCCACTATCCAGTTCCATTTCGAAATTTTGGCCATTTATTTGAACTGCTAGCATTGTGGGCGGGCAGACAGCGTGCAGATCAACTTCATCGACGTGCATATGTAGCAGGTGAAGAGGAGGATCGCTGTCACTGTCACCGTCAGGATCAACCCATTCTGTGTCGTTGATTCGTTCCTTCTTGTTGAAACGACGCTGATTCCGTCCATTTTGACGTGAACCTCCTTGACGATGATTTCCTTGTCCTTTCTTCTTCGGACAGTTTGAAACCAGATGTTCGGTGGATCCACAGTTGTAACATCTTCTCTGATTTCCATTCTGCTTTCCTACTTGGAAAGCTTTCTTCGGTTTACGACGATCGACGTAAGAGACAACTCCTTGATGTTCAGAATCCGGTTTCATGGCTTGTGCAGCCGACCGTGCTTGCTCCGAAGTCCGTACCAAAGCTCGAATCCGTTCCAACGACGGATTTTCTTCCTCCAGAAGCCGTGCCCTGGTCTTATCATCTCGAACGCCGGCAATAATGGCCTGGACTTGAACAAATTCTCGAGGATTAGTTATCGAATCGAGATCGGCTTTCATTGACAACGACAGGATCTCCATAATGAACTCGGCCGAAGTCTGGGACGCCTTTCGGCGACAAGAAAAGATCTTGTGCCTGATTGGCGCTAACATAGCCGGGGGATCGTAAATCCCTTTCAAAGTATAACACAGTTCCTCAAAAGTCTTATCCATAGCATTCTGGCCATTCAGAGCGACCGTGAGCTGGTGCAATACCTTGGAACCAATCTGCTGTAATAAAAACAGCTTTTTACTCTCGTCCGTCGTCAAATTGGCAATCTGAATGTACGTATTCAGAAGGCCGGAGTATGAAGTCCACGACATAGAAGCAGGGTCGAAGCTGCCTGGCCCTCGATGGCCGCAAGCCGATGAAGCATTAGACATGGTCTATTGGTACCAAACAAGACCGTCTAATCCTGAATCCGTGCGAAATCGAAGTGCCTGATCGCCACTTTATCGTTGTTGAAGTCAGCGACTCAATCAACCGCTCACCACTATCACGAGAAAACCGAAGTTACTTTATTCAGTGAATCTCGGCCTTTTATAGGGCCGAGGAAAGACATTTCACAATAGACAAATAACTAGAAACGGTTGGAATAAATCGTATCCCAACAAATAGTACCTACAAGGTTATGTTAACTGATATATTAATTTAAACATTGTATTTCATTAAAAATTACATTTTAAACCTAAACTAATGTTTTGATTGTTTTAAATTAATAAATACACGTACATTCCATATTATCATTAAACTGAAAAAAGTAAACCATTATCATTAAAACTAAATTCAAACCCATTACAACCAGACCAATCATAAGTTATATATCTTTTATTATTTTTTGTTTTAAATTATTAATTAGGCAATGAATAATAACATAACAATCAATTACACATAATCAGTATTATCACTCGTTTTTCCATTTTTTGAGATTTTTTGAGCTTTTTGTGCGTCGCTATAACAAAAAGTGCGGAGATACTTAAGAGTAGTGGGTTTTTTGTTGGAAGAGAACAGTCGGTCGAGCACTGGTGTTGTACTAAAGATACTATGGTTGAGATAAGGTCGGAGAGTACCGAGAAGTGAAGCCGGCGCCTATGCAAAGGTCATTCCATTGGCACGTTCCTCGAGGGCAGCCGGAAGTCAAATGTGCATCCACCTGCTTCAGTTGTCGGATTTCTGAAAATAATTAGGTAAAATACGAGCTTTTAAACAAGAAAAAATATATTGTAGTAGACTAATGATCACTCAATTCTAGTCTTATTTGTTTAAACAAACACACTATAAAGAAAGGAACGTTCTTGAACTTTAGTGTAACATAATTAATGTCCAGATGAAGAAAATAATGAAAAACAAAAGTAAAACGGACAGGTGTCACCTAATCTTATAAATATTCAAAAAACTCAATATTGTTGAAGTTTTTTCTTACCTCACAGTCGACGTAGAACACACTATTGTATGATACTAAAGTAAATATTGGTTGATAGGATAATGTAGATGATGAAAGACCATCGTTTGTCGACCGGTTGATAAATTAAAATAATGTTGTTGAAGCATGGTCAATGTAAAATATAATTTCGATGAATTGTTGTAGAACATTGACCAAACCAACAGAATATCGTCGGAACTGGATCAAGTCGTAAATCTCTGACCAGTTGGCGACAATATTGTTGAAACAAATACTAAACTACTCCTTAACACCGCGCTGACCGACCATCCGGGTCGGCTGGGATGCTGACAGCCGGTTATGGCCGTCGCCCAAACCTGAGCACCGTTTTTCTTCTCTTGTCGGACACCACTCTGAGCTGGCTTTTAAACCCCGACCCTAGAGTTGCGACTCCGCCCATTGCCCGAAAGCAGTGTGGAAGGGAGTCGTGGTGTCTCGCACCCTCTCTCCGCTTCGCGAACACTCTCGAATCGAAGAGACAAAATGTTTTTTTTTTCGCGAAATGGTCGCGTCCTTTTTTCGCCGTTCGGGTGCCATGTTTCACTGCACAGCGCCGAAGCCGGACCAAATAAGCAGGAACTGGGGCTCCAAACTTTGCAAAAAAGGATTAGGCGACGTTCACTTCACGACACGGTGCGATTCACAAACTCTGTGCGTACTTAGCATAAATCTGAGCGATACACCTGTTTTAGCATAAATTTGAAGCGAATTTAGATGTGCTTATCATAAATTTGGTGCTAATCGGCCTCGCGATGGCCTCATATCACAGGACACGGGCCAAACGGACCAACTGTCGGCTTAATCATGCTGATGTGATAAGAAAGGGATCAGTTCCAGAACACTGACTCATGTTTCGAAATGGCTGGGAACACAAAGTGCGTTATGTGACGTCGATAAGGTTGTTTTGTCTCGAGAAGCGCGATCTTTTCCACGACAGAGCGTCAGGTGTAGTTGTCTTAAGGAGACGAATATCTTAAGGGAGGGGAGAGAGCTCACGGTCGGGGGAGGGCGATCTTACGAAAAAGACCAAGAAGAACGATTATTGGTCATTTGATCGGCCGCGTGACAATCAACAAACAAACAATATTCTTGGTGCCTTTTATGATCTCTGCATGCTCTACCTCGAGATGTAAACATATTTATTTATTATAACTCGCGATAAACATCGTCGTATGTCTGTGTTCAATTGGATTTGAATGTGATTATCATCGTTCTAGATTAGGTAACTAATATGTTGTTTTGGGGATAAAGTTGGTGCCGTGTTGAAATGAAATCGAACTTAAAATCAAAATAATATTACCATACTAACCATCGTTAATATGGTGAGTAACGATAATATTACTGTGGTTAGTGAAAGTGGATCGGCGCTTGCTTTTCGGGGTCTGATTGCAACATTGGGGGTACCTTTGCTTCGACTGGTAGTTCTGGTTCACTTTTCGTCTCTTCGATAACAGGAGCGTAATCTTTGTACAGATAACTGATAAGATCGGAAGAAACAAAGTCTCCACAGTTCAACTGTACCAAGCGTAGCGTTGTAACAGCGTCCAAGTACAAGTAGCTTCCCATGAATTCCTTCGTCTTTACAGAGTCCAAATCAACATTCTTGTAGGCCTAAAATCAAATATGTAAACTCATTAATATAAGTCCGCCTGTCAAGACATTATAGTACAAACAAGCTAATAGTTAATACATGAACTATAATTCTTTAATTTAATATATTAACCACAAGCCTGCAAGTAAATTCATTAACAATAGGTTTGCAAATTGAGGTAATAATAGAATATTCCTTAGAATATACTATTGAATTTGCATTAGGCGACAATTCTTTGGGTATTAATCATTAAGAATATTTTATTTTACATTTTGAAAGAAACTCGTTTTCTATAGGAACGGATGGATTACAACTTTAGAGCCCTCAACTCTGTAGCTTAGTAATTACAAGTCAAGGGGCCGCAATTGTAGCTAATTATGCTGTGGGTGTAAGCTATAATAGGTGATAATGTGAGAGTTTGTTTTCTAGGTGTCGAGTTAGTAATTAAGAGGCTGTGTGAATAAATTGTAGACGTCTGTTTGTACTTTTCGGGAATTATACTGTTCTTTTGGACTTTTTCATAATTATAGTCAGTTCTTCACAAATTCCTTCAATTGGAGGGTGTTATTGGACTTTTTATAATTAATGTTACTTGGGTATTATCTTGACATCAGACAGATTTCAAAATAAAAAAATAGTTGCAAAAAGACGGCTCCGCCATGAACTTGTCCACACAGTGTATCGGAGACTCTAGTCTAATGTTTCTTCAAGGCCGCCTGGACGGGATCGAACCCGCACCTCTGGATTAAAAAGCGAGCGCGTTACCATCGCACTACGCACGCACTGTTCGCTCGCGTCTTCTTTTCGCCATTACTTTCGCTTCTTTGTTGTTTTCTCTAACCCATTCAACGGTTTTGTTTGACTGATCATCAAACGTATTCTAATGACTATTTTTGTATGCATTCCAGTTTCGAAACCAACTACAATATAAACTCCTTTTCGGATCCAACTATAATATATTTCGAAACCCGTTCGACATTATTTATCCCTGGTGTTCATGCATCATGCTTTGCAAACTAAAGCCTGCCTATTTTGGTATCCAGATTAGTCATACGAACAGATCTCCCACTTTGTCAACAATTTCAGACCAAAAGCAATACTAATACAAACAATAATATCAGAAATGATCACTGAAACAGTTTGCGGTTTAAAGATCGTCTCGGAATGCTAATGCCAGCTATTAATATACAAGCCATTAGTATACAAAAACATACCAAAGTCATTGGTATGCAATACTATTATCATGCGAAAGTATACGTTTCACAAATTTATGTTGTGGTAGATTCTGTTTCAAAAACAGTGAGTAATGGTTTGGAAACGCGTTTGACAGTGTTTTCAACACCAACAATCACAAAACAATAATATGTTTGTGTTGTGTATGAATGTAATATTGGTGAATAATAGAGTTCATTGAAACGGTCAAGATAACAACTTGTTACTACTTATTGTTTAAAGTTGATAACACACTACTACTCCATTTCCTGCCGTTTAACGAGTAAATAACTGATAATCAACAGTTACAATCTAATAACTACAAACGTCAATGCTTAACACGCGAAATATATTGATAATGGTGTACTTGATTAGGGAAAAGTAAATAGAAAGTTTAAGAAGTTAGTGATATAGTGATATCAAATAGTTTAAGAAGGTGATGACATTGAATACAAGGAAGTTCTAGACATTTTTTGACCATTCCTAATATAAAAACCTTAAAATTAGGCATTTTACCACAACTTTTTACTAATTGTCATTACACCTAATAAGAAGTTATTATTGAAAGCCCTTAATGATGATATTGTAGTACTAAATACCACAATTGTCAGTTTGTAGGCAATGTGAAGGATGTCAATTACTTACCAATTGAGTTTGCACAAATTTGATAGCATTCTTCTCGCTGAGTACGAGGAAGATCCAATTGCAAAGGTTCAAGAAGTTCAAGATACTCAAGCCGAACAGCCAAAACCAGATGAAGATGTAGATCTTCTCGTTGAACATGTTGATGGCCAGTACACATTGCAATGTGTATTGGGCCACAACGTCTCCTGGTAGACGAACATCAACATCACAGTAGGTTACCTAAATTTTAAAATGGAATAAAGAATGGTCATGAAGTGAATATGAAGATGAAAATGGCAAAAAAGGTAACAATATTTAATTGGTTGCACCGTGCAGTTAATCTATAAACTTTCGACCCATTTTAAAAAATTTGGGCTTGTTTAATATGGTTAATATGACAAAATATGACTTTCACAGCGTAAACCCCTTGTGATTGTAATGTTGCCCGTTATCTTTACTACAACATCGGTCATCTTTACTCAAAAGTCTGAAATATATAAAAGTTGACGTCAACAAGCTTGTTTACGTAACTCGTGATCTTTGCCCCAAATCAGCTCCTGATCTATCTCATTAGAGTCGTAAATAAGCTCACTCCAACTGTTTATCAGGTGTCCTGAGACTGTACCGGATGTGAAATGGCAAAGGGCAACTTACTCGGGGAAAGTGTCCAGATTCCTGCCATTGTTTACCTTGTAGCAAATCCATCAGGAGTCCGTATCCCCAGAAGGTGTATTTAGGGCCGAGGAATCGGTTCAAAGCATACAATTGGATGATGGAGTTGAACAGGTTGATCACCTTGAACAGCAAATACAGCTTGGTGATGTAGCCATTCCAGAACTTGGCGTTCAGAGGTTTCCTGGACTGGGTCGAAATACGATCCTTGTTGAAGCGATGTAGCGTCTTCATGTACTCGGAAGCCTTTTGGATGTCATCTTTTGTGTTGTCTTTGATCACAGCGTTGTTGCCTTTCTTCAACGTGAGTTTGGAGGTGGATATCAGCGACTGGATGTTCAGACCTTAAATAGTTGTTAAAAGTATACATATTATGTATGGATGGCTAAGATAACATGCAAATACAAGTTCAAAAGATTAAAATCTTTGGATTTAATAAATTTTATATTCAAGTACAACTAATTTAAATTACCAGTCTTGAGGTTGAGACTATTCCAAACAGCTTTGGGCAAGATGAAGAAGATCATTTGGCCTATCATCATGAACCCGACCCATTGGTAGTACTGTAACTCCCTGCTTTCTCTGTCGGCTTTACTGTCCGGTAACTTCTCGTGTATATTGGCATAGTAAGTGTTTTCCACGAAACAGTAACTTTCCGAGTATTTCTCCCACCAACCCTGAAAAAGTCTTCTTATTGGATATAGATATTCTTACTGTATATAACCGTGAGTATTCTTACTATATATACATGTTCTTACTGTATATTAACCTTGGCTTACTATTAATTTTATTGCTAAATCAACCTTTGTTTTTGCCTCAAAAAGAACTTACCTTGAACTCAGGTGGTATCCAGCACTGTAACGGCTCTCCGACATATTGTTTGGCCATAGTAATAGTCGCGAACATACCAAACATTGTGGCTGTGTATACGTAGTTAGCACGGTCAATCACATCGTCATCGTGCCGACTTTTTACCTTTTCTATTAACCGTGCTGCCGCCTGCATTTGGCCGACGCTTAACCTTTAACACTATATTAGCTACCTTCTTAATTTAATTATCATATTTTAAGGCACGATTTTCCACTTCATCAACCTTTTTTAATTTGACAACAGGTACTGATACAAAAATGATGTCATATTATATCATGGCATAACACAATATAGCTAAAACCCTATCACATACATCATCGAATATCATCATCATATCAACATAAATTGGCAGTGTTTATTAGTAATCATTGTTAGTAAGATGTAAAGGTTCAAAACACAAAAGTAACGTTGTTAAATAGATTAAGAATGTTAGAAGTATAGCTAAGTCATTAGAACCAAACACATCAAGTCTGAGTTAGTAGAGTTACTGTGTTAAAATACATTCAAAGATATTATTGTAGCAACATACTAACCCAACACATATGTATCATACCATGTTACTCGAGTTGTTTCTTCTCCGGTATTGGGCCTAAAATTACAGTAATCTACAGTATTCACCTACTTGGCGTCAGACGATCGTTCTTTTTACCGTAATTCATCCACAGCTCACACAAAATGTCAGCCATGTTAACATAGCCAGCATTCGAGTCGATCAGACGTAACACCGTCATGCCATCCAGCTTCAGAAACCTTTGGATAAACTTCTGCACATTGGCTGTCGACGGCTTTTCGTGGTGAAGCTACAAAGCATTCGTAGTAATGTAAAGTATGACTAACATATCTTACTGTAGAACAGGTTTTTGAACGACTTTATATCAGTAGTAAATATGATACTATAACATAAACTATACTACTTTATTCATACCTTTAGAGCATCCTTCACCATTCGTACTTTAGAAGCTGAAGAGAACGTTCTGTAGATCCAGGCAAACAAATTCAAAATAGCTACAGCCAAGAGTACCATAGACCAAAGCCATAAGAAAATGTATATCTTCTCGGCAAACATGTTGATCATCAACACACATTGCACAGTATGCTCTCTGAACTGGCCTAGATCTCTAGTACGGAGATCACAGAAGGTTACCTAAAAGATTGATAAGCTTAATACTTATAAGTCCCATATATATTGTATGTATCACTATATATACGAGTCCATATATACATAGACATAAAAGATACGAATATTATAGTATACCAACCCTAGGAAACGCTCCAGTAGTCCTCCAATCGCCTCCTTGGAACAGCTGGCTGAGCACTTCGAATCCCCACAAGAAGTTGTTGCCAGCGACAAAGTAGTTCATCATAAGAAGCTGGCCCAGTAGCGCGACGATGAATAAAACCTTCATGAGGAGGTAGATAGCAGTCAAGTACCAATTGAAGTGTAATTGTACTAAAATTCGAAAAAATTTAAGTCTAGGTATGGAATGGTAATAAAACAGTCTACCCTTAAGCTGGCTCTTCTCCAGGAGTTGTAGCGCGATCTTCTTCTCCACTCCAGGCCCAACGACTTGTTTGCACTCTTTGTAGGCTACTTGCACGATGTCGGTGACGCGGAGGTCTGAAATTTATATATTAGCCCTAATAGCTAAATGTATACATATGTGTCTGTTCTAATCAAGAAATTTAATCTAAATTTAGTCTAGCTAAAATATACAAACCACTAAGTGAGTATAACAACTTGAAAATCAACTTCGGAGCATAACATATCAGAGCTTGAATACTGAGCAGATACGGTATCCATTGATAGTACTTTAGCTCGTACTTTCTTCTACTCAATTTGTTGTCTGGTACAGTATTATTGGCAAAGTAAGTATTCTCCACGAAGCAGTAGTTCTCTATATATTGCTCCCATGCACCCTAAAACAATATTACTCTATGTTATACACCATTACCCATACCTATGTTATAAAATGTACTTTATGTGTAAGTATACCTTCTTCTAAGATGTTTCCCTACTAAACATTAGTTAAATATGTATATAACATCGAGTTACCTATTACATCATATAAACATATATCAACCTCAAACCCCTACCGTGTACTCAGCGGGTACCCAGCACTGTAACGGCTCTCCCACGTACTGCCGTGCCATAATGAGAACGGCAAAGAAGCCCAAGATGTAGACGGTGGTAGCGTAGATGCATCGGTCGACAGCATCATCGTCATGCTCTTTCTTCACTTTCGATATTAACGAGCGGAGTTTGGCGTCCATCTTCGAGTAAATAAACGAGAAAAAAGTTGAAGACGGCCGGTGATTAAGTGATAAGACGATGTTAGAGACAGTGAAGAAAGAAGAAAGGGTGAGAGAGAAACAGTCATAAAATTGTATACAGTAGTACGTTAGGATTCAAAACTATCTTAAGGTAGTGCTGGTTAGTAGGTTAAAGGTTAAGTTAATGTAACTCATTTTGAGTTAGTGAAAGCACAATAAAATCGCCGTAAGGGTTACATTGCCATCTTATATAAAACTTTTAGTAACTTATACTAAACGTTTCCCTACAATACATAAAGCAATGTCCATAACAAAGTCTACACGATGCTATTATGAAAGCTGAATACAAATCAAAAACTTTTCCCAATAAATGAGCAGATGATTAGTTAAATAAATCTAGTGTAGCATAAACTCAGTCAACCCATATCACTTATATTATCTATAACAATATGATCTGAACCCTGATTCACCAAAACGCAGAATCCCATCTACTGAAGTCATTATCTAGAAACACAAAACGCCTTTTAGTTATCACAAACTGTCAATTATAGTATTAAGAACCACAAATCTGCACGTGAAAAAAAAGCAAAAACTGCTGGAACAGCCGTAGGCTACGGTAATCCCAAGAATGCGGTTTAAAGCGACAAACCCTGCGGCACTCACGGCGTCGCAACGATCCAATTTGGACTCTAAAGTGATTGGGAGAAGCGGCGGCTGGACTTCCGATCAGATAAAACAATTCAGATGGGGACACGGCCGGGGCCCGAGTCGCGGTTCCCAGCCATCTGAAGCCCTTTTGTACTTCACTGTTATTGTTTTCGATGCGCGACGTCTTCCAACTTAATAAAGACAGTGTTAATGTCACCTTTGTTGTCACGTCGATTTGTCACTCAATTCTTTCCTGACCTTTAAGCCAGCTTATGGATAACTCTACTGACAATGTAAGATCCGTAGCTTCGCGACCGTGTGTGGTCGTCTGTGGAGCATCTGCTGATTCTGATTGTTTCAAGTTTCTTTTGTAATTAAAGTACACAGATCAGAATTCTTTGAATTTCTTTTAGAAATGTTATTACTTGGCTATTAGCCACTTCTTGGCATTTACCTTTAGCTTGATATTTTAAGTAACAGTAAAGCCAAAAAAAACCAAAATCAGATAAATCTCCTACTAGTCTGACTATGACATCAACTTTACTTTTTTCTTTCCTACTAATCGGAAAGTATATCGAATTTGCATACAGTTCCGGGAGACCCCCCCGTCTCTTTTAGGCCAGCCGTCTCTCCCAACCCATCGCTTTAATGGCCACAACTTTTGAAGCGAATCGTGGCCAGACATCTCTTATCTACGAATTTTAGGTTCTCTCATTATCTCAAGTCATAATAATAATAATCTTTGATATTTACCTCATATCTTTGTTAAAGTAAAATATCTACCGTAATTTACATTATTTTTGCCATAGTCTACGAGAAGTAAAGCCAAAAAGTTTGTGGAATTAGACCAACTTTATATTGTCTTTACCCTTTTTCTATTAACCTTTGGCCAGACCTGTTAAAAGTAACTTCTCATTTACCTATCAAGGCTACCTATTACTTAAAGATGACACTACCTTCAGATGGACCGGATCGGCGGTTTAATCAAGTCGTGGGCCCATCAACAGAACGACGATGACTTCGTAGACAGGCTTCACTATAAAGTGACAACATTAATGTTAACCAGCTTGTCGTTCATGATATTCGCCAAGGAGTACGGTGGTAATCCTATACGATGCTGGGCCAGTTCGGAATGGACTGGCAGTTGGGTAGAGTATGCCCATGACATATGTTTCATAGAGAACACGTATTATGTGCCTACGGGGGTTAAATTGTCAAAATTTCAACGAACTCCAGAGAAGGAAATCAACTACTATCAGGTAGGTTAATATAAGGTTATTTTTGATATATTTTGTTACCTAAAAAGTGATTCCTTACCAAGCTTTGTCATTTTCATTCTAAGAATAACATGCTTCTATCATCATAATCTCGGATGTTAACTTTGTGTGATTTCAGTGGGTTCCGTTCTTTCTCCTCGGCCAGGCCATTTTTTACAATTTTCCGTCGCTTTTCTGGAGAAATCTGAAGAGTTCATCTGGTGAGTCTTTTTGTGTTTCTAATTTTTGGAATCCGGAGATGTTTTGTAAACAATTTTTTGTGAATTTCAAAAGGTTTTTTTCGAAATTTTAAATATTTTGTTCAATTCAAATTGCCTTTGCAATAAACATTCCAAGGTAAAGTAAAATAAAGGTTTTTTAGGTATTAAAACCAATTAAACCCTATGATCCCTCAATCACGCCCATCCTTAAACTTACGTTTAGGTCTCCATGTCCGTGCGATCTTGTCCATGACCTCAAGTGCCACCAAGAGCTTGGATTTTGATGAAAACGCCAAACACAAGTTGGCCGAATTCATCTACAACACCATAAACTACCGTACTCACAAGCACAACGACGCCACTTTTCTTCAGAAAGTTGTTTGGTAAGTCTATCTTTACCCTTCTTATGTAAAACTTCAGTAAAACAGAAGCTTGAAACAGTTCTTCGAGTTTGCGGTCTGCGCCCAGTTTTTATAGCTGCAGACTGCGCTTTGAAATTGTTTTTGCTCGATTCTATTAGTTTTGCTACATAATTTATGTTTCGGTAGCGTTTTGTAAAGTTTATTACATGGAAGTTGCTCATGCAAGCTCATGGATTTTAAATTATATTCAATTTTTTAAGAATTTTAATAAATATTAAGTTTTAGGTAACAAAAATAACTTTAGAAGTTTAGGTATTGTTCCTTTGTCCAATTAGTTGTGAACCACAACGTTTTACTATATTTTTTATTTTTTCAGTGTGATCGACCGCTTGCAAGGCCAATCTCGACTGGCTATATTGTACTACACGAAGAAGGTCCTGTTCCTTTTGACGTCGCTTTATCAGGTGAGATCTTACGAATGACGTCTCTTTTTATCGAATTTCATGGTTTTTTATGCAATAATTTTAATGGACCGAAAGGATATTATTCATAATTATGAATAACAACATAAATATTACAGTAATCGATTGGAAAAGCAAGCTATGATAATATCTGATGAATTAAAAAGTGAAAAAGATAAAAATTTTTAAATTAACTTTAAAGACATTTTTTTAATTTTAGGCATTTCAATGTATATTTACATAAAAATGAAAAAAGGTTAATGTTATGATATATTATTGTTTTAGCTGGTACTTGTTGGTCGATTCCTTGGATATTCGAATACGTTTTGGGGCTTTAACACTATCAACGACTTGAGAAATGGTGCTTTCTGGGACAAAACTGGCATATTCCCACGAGTCACGATGTGCGACTTCACTGTAAGGGCTTTTAAACCTGTTTTGTATATAATTTAGGCATTAAAATAGTTTCTAATAGTCTAAAAACTTTGTAAAATTACATGCAAACCTTAATTGATATTTATGGTAACTTTATCAATTTATGCTAAATTTGAATATTTTTAGATTCGTCACCCAGCTGGTCATCCAGTGTCATATACAGTACAATGTGTCTTGATGGCCAACATGATGAACGAGAAGATCTTCCTAGGAATGTACTGTTGGATATGCATCCTCATAGCCATTACCATAGTAAACCTCTTCCAATGGTACAATAATCTCAGTAGATCATCGAACAGAGTCAAGTACGTGTACGAAGCGCTGGTAGCTGGTCATTCTATTCGGAAGGTGGAGTCGGAGCCGAAACCGGAGTACGATGAAGCCAAGACCTTCACACAGTTTCTTACTGTAGATGGGGTTCTAATATTCAGGTTGATGGAGATCAACTCGAGTTGTCTGATCAGTAATGGGGTTCTGTATGAGGTCTACAGAATACAGTCCAAGTTATAGTAAGTTATTGTCTTTTAAAGAGTTAATTTAGGGAATTGAAAGGAAATTGTTCGAGTTAAGTTTACTGTAGATTACTGTAACTTGTATATTTTATTTTGTTACTTTAAGTGTGACATTTTAGTGAGAAGTCTCTGAAAGAAGAAGGGGAGAAAAAGAAGAAAGATGAAGAGAAAAAACAACGGAATGAAGCTCAGAAGGTGAAGGAAATGGTAGATCGAGTACTAAAGAAGAGAGCTGAAGAAAAGAGTAAAACACCGCAAGAAGATACTAAAAGTTCATAATATGGTACGACATGTTAAGCCGGTTTTCTTTGGATTACGATCCAAGTAACGTGATATACCACATCTACGGGAATCATACTCACTCAGTACAATCTATATTATCATACCCGAGTAGTCACAAGTCTATGTTAATGTAGACTAAATTATTCAAGTCTTAAATATAATAACACGACTTTTAATATCTACATGTATGTTATGTATATCTGCAGTATGGGCTGTGCATTTTATTTTATATTATAGTATGTTAGTGATACATTATTTTTAAAGTTTTTTGTGTATTACAGTACTTTTAATAATGTATTATAATGCGATACAGTATTATCATTACAAGGTCAGCTGTAGTAGTATCTACAGCGTTATTTGTGTATTATCTTCGCCATATTTGTCACATATCGTTAGTTATAAACTTCTAAATAGTGAATTGGAAAGTGACTTTTAGTACTAAAGGTATGACAACACGGTATTTATTTGAATTTCTAACTATCAAGTATGTTCTACGGTAATATTTTAACAATAACCGAAATAGTGTCTACAACAATATAACTTAAAGAGTAATTAAGGCCGTAAACAGTGGAAATAAGTTGGTTTACTTTTAATAGCCATTCATAACATTTGAGCGAGTTCTTAAAATGATAAGAGTTATCATCGTTTTTTACGATTGTCGCTGCTTTCCGAAGCGATGGATCTTCTGATCGGCTTCGTTGAGGGATTCTTGAAGCCAAGGAACGAAGAGGATGCTTTCGATCGGCTGAACTATCAGGTTACACCGTTTCTGTTCATATTGTTCTCTTTGGTCAATATCAGCAAGGTAAGGTGAATAACGATAGACTTTTTAAAAAGATTGTTAATATAATGCTGAGTAAGGTTATGAATAATATGTTTGTAAACAAAACTTTTTATTTTTAGTCGGAATTTGCAATTCGATATTCAAAATGGCAATTGTAATAATTTTAAAAATAATTTTAGGTATACATTGGCAAAGCAATCAACTGTTTCACGAAAGCAGAGTTCAGAGGTGGATGGGTGGAGTATGCTCATGATTACTGTTTAATTGAGAATACCTACTACCTTAGGACTAATGAGTCAATTCCGATAGAACAAGAACTGAGAGGAGAAAAGCAGCTCAACTACTACCAATGGGTACCATTCATACTGGTACTACAAGCCTGCTCTTTCTACATTCCTCACTTGATGTGGAGGTCTTTCAATTGGATTACAGGTAATGTTATGTAAAGAATGAGCCAAAAAGTTTATGAAAAACCCAAAATTATATTTTTTCCAATTTATAACGGTTTTCTATTTACTTTTAGACCTGTACATTTATTTGACCTTTGTAAAGTTGTTTTAGGTGAGCTTTATGTGGTATGATAAATAATTTACTTGTAGGCTACCAAATCCGAGCAGTAACATCAGCAGCCAAAGAGAGTTACACTCAGTCTTTTGAAGATAATACGGCAGTTGTACAGAAGATATCACGGTCTCTATATTACGCTAGTCAGCTGAAACATAGGACTTTGAGGATCTTAAATGAGTAAGATTTTTTTTTGTTAAATTAAAATTTAGATGATTTTGTAAACTTAATATATTAAGTTGTTCACATAATTCTGTGCCTTCTCTCAAAGCAACTTTTCGGAGTTAAGGCACATAATTATTTGAACAACCTAATAGTTAGACTGAATGTAATAACTTGAGTTTTAGCCAGATCTTTGTGACCGTCCTGTACATGGCGATGAAATTCTGTTACCTCGGGCTGATCGTCTTCCATTTATGGGTATTCAAATTGTTTATCGGATCCTTGGACTTTGCCTTTGGCATAGTGCAACAGCCAGGAGAATGGGAACAGACCGGCTTCTTTCCTAGGGTTACGGTCTGCGATTTTACTGTAAGTTGTGAATAATATATGTAAATAACATAATAATATGTTGAACACAATAATATTCAAAACATTTTTGGTATATTATTTTTAAAAAAAATTCTGTAGCTCATAAAGGGTGATGATGGCCAGGACGGGCTAGGGCGGTTTGGATTTTTGATGTTATACTGTTATACATTTAGATCCTCCGTTACGGCCAGCCAATGAACTACACCTTGGAATGTGTGTTACCTCTGAACATGTTCAACGAAAAGATCTTTGTCTTCTTTTACTTTTGGCTGGTCTTACTGTTTGGCACTACAGTATTCAGTATACTGTTATGGGTACAACGACTCATCAATAGAAGGGCCTTTTTCCAACGACTTCTGGACCTATATGTAAGTTTGGGTATAATAAAGTGCTCAATAATACAGTGGAATTGCTTAGAGATGAGTTAATTTATATTTTCTATTTACTTTTTGACCGTGCTATAACATATATATACTCATATTAAGTTATTACTATCTAAACTATATATTTATATACTAAATAATTGTATAATTTTTGTAATTTCAGCAAAAGAACGATCGCTCCGAAGTACGTGAATGGGATGTTTGGTACAGTGCGGTAATTTTACTGCATATAATGTTGTATATAGTATAACTTATATTGTAATATTTTCAGAAAAGTACTCCTGACGGCGAAGTTTTACTACTGGATTCGCTCAAAGTAAGCTTTCCAGTAACTATCAATCAGGTATTCTGAAAAGTTGGCCATTTTGGTCGATTTTTTCAAAAGAAATTTTGAGGAATCCCTCCCATTGGGACCTCGCGCCCATTGAGACCCCGAGCCCATTGAGACCCCAAAAGCCCATTGAGACCTTGAAAGGAAATTCGGCGGAGGGTCGGCGGAGACTTTAGAGGATTCGGCGGTGGCTTTAGGAGGTGCGGCGGAGGCTTTAGAGGATTCGGCGGAGGCTTTAGGAGATTCGGCGGAGGCTTTAGGAGGTTCGGCGGAGGCTTTAGAGGATTTGGCGGAGGCTATAGGAGGTTAGGCGGAGGCTTTAGGAGGTTCGGCGGAGGCTTTAGAGGATTTGGCGGAGGCTATAGGAGGTTAGGCGGAGGCTTTAGGAGGTTCGGCGGAGGCTTTAGGAGGGTCGGCGGAGACTTGAGATATGGGCGCAGCTGCAAATGATGTCTTTTGCAGGCTGCAGTTTTGATTTTGAGTGTAACAGCTACTAGAAACAATATTGAGTATGAAATAAGTATTTTTAATTGTATTTTCAGCGTTCTCCTGATGGTTTGCCGGCAATTGACTTTGGTTACGACCTTCGAGTAGTGTTGGGTCTACTACAAGATCACTCAGGCCTTTTGTTTAGTGCTAACGTGTTTCATGAGATGGTCAACTTAGTAAGTAGTGTATAAGTGACGCAAATTTTAAAAGTCAAAAAGTTTTTTTATATTATTATAAGAAAACTTTATAATTGACTAATAAGCCCATAAAGGCAGGATTACCTATATAAAACTCCGAATAACTATTCAAAAGATCTATTTTCAATCATATTTATGCACTTTCACATTACACTAAAACCAAAAATAGTTTTTATAAATTCGAGTAATCAATTTCAGAAGTTGGCGGATCAGCGGCTCAGCACGGGACAGTGAGAACGTTGGGAACGGTCGCGCGGAACGAAGAGACACTGCCGTTTTCTAATTGTTTTTAGTAAAAGAATACGTTTTTAAAGTAAATAAACAGTTGAAGCAAGGGGTTTTGCAGCGATTTTTTGCTAATTCTTGGTTAAAATTCAGTTTTGGGGCTTTTTTTGATATTGTAGTAGGTTTTGGTAGAGTTTAACAACATTTTTTAATTTAAAGAGTATTTTTTGACATTCTAGGGCTAATATTATTACACTTATACTTTTACTAAATGTGTTAAAAGGGTTTTTTTTTGATTTTTTAAAATTTTGTCTAGCGATAAGTCAACCCCACTCCTAATCCCAAAATTCGATTTCCAACCCTTACCTTCCCTGTGGATTACCGCGGTAATCGCTCCTTCTCGATCCCGTAATTCTTCACCTTTCAAGGCCCTTCAATATTTTTTGTCAGCCGGCTGGCTGCGCTCAATATTCCACTGAATTGTCGCCATTTGTATGCGAAAAGAGCCGGAGGGCATTTTGACTGTTGCGTATCGGATCTCGCCACTAATCCCGAGCCTATCTGATTCTGACTCTCGCTTTCTTCCAACTGCGACGAGGAAGACGGCTGGCTGTAAACTCTCGCCTGGGGGCTGTAAATTGGTTTGAGTCAAAGTTTCGGCGGGTTTTAGGGGGTGGTTTTGATTTTTTACACTTTTAGGGGTGTGGAAGTGCGGAGAGGTTAATATTGTACTGTATAATGGTGATAACTATGTTTTGAGGCTTATATAAGGGGCAATTTGTTTAAAATAATAAGCAAGATGACATTAATATTGATTATCAAAGGTTGTTCAAAGCACTTTTTGACTACCTTGAATATGTTTTTACTGCCCTTTAATAACTTTAAGACCATGCTCTTTCAAAAAAGTAATCAAAAAGGTAGTTATAAATCAAAATCCCACATTACATTCTAGTATAGTAGCTGGTGTCACCCAAAAACACACAAAGTAATCACAAGACGCTTCCTCTTCCGTATACCCATGTTTTGATGTTCAGTTATTCAGATAAACTACCCTGCTTGTTTACTTTCTTTCGCAGACTTTTGCTCACAAAAACCATTAAATTCGATTTGTTTTTCGCTCTAAAGGTTTACTATAGTAATTACTGACATGGAGTGGCTTATGGTGGTACATAAATTTGATGCTTATATTGTTATAGGTGTAGGTATTCTTTGGGAGGTTTTATTACGTTTTTGGGCTATCATTATGTAATAGGGCACGTCAAATATTGTATATAAAGTTGTTTTGTTGATATTGATGTAGGCTATGGTTTTGTCATTTTGAAAATGATTTTGGCTGAATATTTTTAAGATTTTAATATTAAAAAGCAAGCATGATTTGAAGCCTTTTAAAATTAAAAAAGTACTATTATAGCGTCAAAACGTATCTATTATTAAGGATATAAGCACAATACTAATGAAAAGGTAGCACCACTTTTAGTATCCCACCATCCTTTACTGTGTAAGCATAGTAGTAAGTGCAAAATGTCTTCCCCTTTAATATTCGAGACATTAACAACATTTGGTGTTTGAGTTTCCTCCGGCTCTTCCCTTCCACAATATTTGCATAACACGCGCAGCACTGCATAATTCCGGCCTTTCTCCTTTCGACCGGTCATTTTTGGAATTCGAAATTGGAGGGGGGGGCGTTGCGTCAAACTTTTAATAACATTACTAGTAACTCCGGGGTTTGGTTTTGGATTGTTAGGGCGCTGTAAGGTCGTTTATAAGTTGAGGTTGTTTGTAAATTAGGTAATATTTTTATATATAACAACCTTCTTCAACTTTTAGTCATTTTAAGATTGGTCAAAAAGTATATAGATTAGAGATATGAACTTGGTCAAAAACTAGGTAGAAAACGCTTACTTTAAAACTAATTAAATCAATATAAAAAAAGTGTGACATTATATGATATTGACAACTTTTTTATCAGGTCAGTCTAGACCGCTGACCTTATTTAGGCACTTATCAAGTGTTTCCCGCATTCGCTTCAAGTGCGGTCATGTTCGTATGTTCATATAGTTAATAAAGGACCAAGCGCTTCTGAATATATTAGACTTACTCTTTATTGAATCTCCAGGCTAATTTGGTTAATGTCCGTAAGCTTATTTCGTTGGTTTCATCTGCTTTTCTTTTTTTGTAGTGAATTTATATTAATGTAGGTATAAATGCCTTGAAGATGGCTCACTACCAGGGCCGGGCGGGGACTTTTGGTCTGGGGGCAATGGTCCAAAAAATCGGCACAGGTAGCTGCTACCTGTGCCGATTTTTTGCAAAAAATTTTTTTTCAAAAATCCACAGGGGGGGGACCACGTTCAAATTTTTTCGAAAATTTTTAAATTTTTTTTCTGGGGGGGGTACCCCCACGTCATCGCCCCCGGCCCTGCTTACTACTAACTTTTTATAACATAGATGTTTAAATTTCGAATTTTTGTAAAGATTTAATAATTTTAGGTTTAAAGTTAAAAAAATATTTATTAAATTTGACTTTTCAAAAAAATGAAATTATATAGAGTTAGACGATCCAAGGTGTCAATGCTGCCAGTTGCTGCTTTTATGAGGTAATATGTCACTCCGATGCATATTAAATAACACCTATTATAAAACGACCAGAAGTTCTCACAACTGTTTCGGCATAAAATATGATTTTATATTGTTTTTGCATATAAAACTAGTTATTACTCCGCATATACATCTACTACTCTGAATATACGTCTATTACCCTGCATATAAAGTACATCTATTACCCCGAAGTATATCTAGTTATAGAATATGAAATGGCCTTGGCCCTTTCCGGAGGGGATCTGATGGTCGGTGTTTTCTTTTCGGGATAATTACTTGGCCATCGGAGAAGTGGCTCAATTACTCTGGAAGAAAGGTCACTCGGGAAGACGTCTGGCCAGATCTCGGCCGCGGATTACATCGCTAGCCAACTGCTTAATCCGCGATTTGTTTATTCCCGAACTTACTCTCGAGATGGGAGCTGACTGTTTGCTAATTAAGTGATATCGCTTCGCTTTGTATTAATTTGATATGATACGTTGTTGATTTTGATTGTAAAAGACCTGTTTTGATATGAATTAGGGGGTTTTAAGTCTGGAGCGAAGAAAATGTTGTTTTTGCTGTTATTTTTGAGCTTTTTATCATGGATAACATAATTTTCTTTTCTTGCCATAATTTTAATGTGCCAACCTCCATATTATCCTACAAATAATTTTAAAATCAACTCACAAGTATTACAATTTTAATACGAACCCACAAGTATAGAATAGTACAACTGCAAATTGAATATGTAGTGTGTTATCTTGTTGTTTCTGGCCCCACAACTTCCGCCCTTTCATTGTGTTTTTTTTTTGTTTTTTTTGGCCGCGACAAAAGGAAGGAAAACCAGCTGAAAAGGGGAGAAATACTTGCAGAGTCACGTGTGAAAGCGTCGAGTGCCTGAGGCCATTCAATTCTGCTGGCCACCAATTTGGACACACGATTTGTGGCCTTTCTTCCTTTGGCTTCCGGTCACGGTGAGGAGAAGGATTCTGATTGACTTTCTTATGAGATTTGCCTGACTGACCTAAGAAATCTGGCTTCTGAAGTTGAGCACGTTAAGAAAATTTGGGCAATATAATAGAACGTTTGGGTTTGATCACGTTAAGGGTTGATTACAAGATGTTACGTTGAAATGCACTGTGATGGCCAAAGACGATTCTGAATCCGACGGATTCAAAGAATCGTTCGAATCCGACGATAACGCTGGTCCACATGCTGTAAGTTTTTGTATCTTATGTTATTTATGAGGCTGATATGTCAGCTCAACAAAATGAATTTCAAACACTTCTCTGTGTCGTATTTTACAATGATACTTACCACAATATATCATTAAACTTTTAGATATCAACAACGCTGTATCTCCAGAATCACGAGAAGATCTCGTTGATATCTTCCCTGGGACCATCAGATGGAGCCAAAGATAGCAAGGACAATGTGAGTGTGACATCAGCTGATCGTCTACCACAATGTCGTATCTGTCTGTTGTGTACGCAATCCAAGCGAAAGCCTCTGATATCACCATGTAGATGTGCGGGTACGATGCAGTTTGTGCATACTACGTGTCTTTTGGTACGTTTTTTTTATTATGAAGGTATAATATCAACAGGGTAGGGCGCAGCTCTAAAAGGGTTGTTGCAGGCTGCAGGATCTGATTTTGTCGGCTTTGATTAAAGTACAATAAAAAACACTTAAAATTGTATATACATATACTTAGTGATGGTTTATGTGTACTTTAAATAGTATTAAAATGTCATTCTTCAGCGATGGATAGACGTATCATCGCGCAAAGCCCAGCCGTGCCCTCGCTGTGAGTTGTGTGGGTATCGCTACAAGCGACAAGGCCTCGTCAATCTGAATCCAGTCCAGTTCCGGGTACCTTCGGTCTGTCTTCGCGACAAAATTTTAAATTTTTTAACAATTCTATTGTTATGTATTATGACATTTTGTGGATGGGTTATCGTCAGGTATATCAAGTTGGCCATAAAGTAAGTTTTTACTCCAAAGTTAATATTTCAAAATTTTTACAATTTTGACAGTAATTTAAGTCAAAGTTTTTAAGAGTAATGTAATATACACTGAGTAACTGTATTACGTTTTTAGGAGATGGAAAGCGCACAGAATCGGTCGATTTCTGAATGACGATGACGTTACTATGGTCAGTGCTTGTGTGTTGTTTCTGATCGCTCTCTTTCTGGCTGTTTTTACTCAGAATCGGGCCGAGGTGAGTTAAGCCATCATGAGTAATATACGCAATATACTTTAAGATTGATTTTCTTACACATTTGATTTAAAAGCTTACTTTTACTATACTTTTAAGGCTTATACTAATATATATATGTTAACTAAAGTATTTTACAAGGTATTAATCGTTTTGAGCATTATGATACTCAGGATACTAGTAGTACGGGCATTACAAGTAGCTTAGAATAAAAACTTTATTTTTCGTATAATGTATATATTTAAATTCACCACAAATTACTTTAGACACCAATCTACTCCTTAGTATCCAGATGTTGGTCTCGGAACCGGTCGTTTCGAGAGTATCAACTTGAAAATGACATTGAACGAATAGAAAGTGCCGAGTCTGCTTAAAGCATTTGCTTGGTGAGATACTTCTATTACCGTCAAGTGGTATAGTGAAACTACTATGAAGTGGTATACATGGACTATAACGTCACATTAAACTACTGGTTACACTACCTATTGTATAGAATACAACATATGGTAGTACACTATATATACTGTATGTTTAAATTACTATATGGTTAAAGTATTTTTTCTGATAATTAAGCCTATCTACACTGTTAAAGGTGCATATACATGTGAATTAAAGCTACATACGGTACTCAGATTGTAATATATACAAAAGAGATATATTTGTTTGTACATAACGTCTTTAGTCTATGTTAATATATGTTCTTCTATGTTAATATAATATATAATAACGTAACTTATACACAATACTGGTGGTTAATAAATGATTTTTACTATTCTTAACAGCTTTTTGTGTTTGAATTGAGACAAAAATGTATTGATAGTTGATAAAATTAACAAAATATATAAGTTAAAATCAATTAGCTAGATACGACAACATTTACTTTACGACGATATGCCTCACTGCCATTATGTGAAATATGTTTCGGGGGCGGAAAAGGCCAAGTCTCGAGACAGCTGCTCGAACATAATCAAAATTCTACCAAGATCAACAACAATATCTTCTCTGGTTGTAGCTAACAGCATTGTTGTCTGTTATCTATAACAATATTGTTGTGGCTATATCAACATTAGTGCTAAATTGAATAGTACATACTTTAGTACTAGTTACTTCCAAAACCGTACCAACCCTACCTTGTCATGTACGAAGAAAGTACAACCACGTACTACACGACTCGTACTGACTTCCAACCTCAGTACCAAAGAGGTTCAGTCAATGCTAACCTTGACCCATCGTATCTTCGTACTCTACCCGGCATGCTGAAGGTAGTCGTCATAGTACTAGACTTCTTGTGCTTCTTCTGTGTACTAGTTGGAGGCCCAGGGTACTATGCTGGAGTTGGTTTTGCGACTTTTGTGTCAGTTATTGGCTTCATGATCAGCTTGACTCTCCTGATATTGTACCTGTGTCACATCGTGGACAATCTGGAGAACATTCCGTGGATCGTTGGAGTAGGTTAATGTGATTTACAGTTGTTATGAGTTTAGAGTACTGTAGTACTTTAAGGAAGTAATTTAAGGACTTCATGGTAATGTTTAGGAGATGGTGTACTGCTTTGCGTGGACGATATTCTTCTTCATCGCTGGCAGTGTCCTAGCTGTCGCTTCTGTTTCTCACAGAAATACGACCGGTTGGGCGTTGGCTGCGGTAAGTTTATTATTATATTTATCTTAAAATTGTAAACTCCGCTGATAAGTATATGATTTCTCTTTTATATTATACTTTAAAAAAACTTTTAGTTTTTTGCCATAGCCGCGATGTGCGCCTACGGACTAGACTGTTACCTAAAATTTTTGGCTTGGAAGAACGATGAAGTTGCTAAAGGAGGTGGCGTGTCGTACAACCCACGACCTCGAGTAGAACATTTTTAAAATTTTGTTACATTACAGTAGAATGAGTGTTATGGCTTCAGGGATTACAATAAAACTTTATATTAAAGTAAAGTTGATATAATTTGATATTGCAGTAGACTATTGCCAAAGAACTTACACTTTTATACGTAAAGGTAGTTAGATTACGCCATTGTAACACTTAGTTACAGTACAAAGTAAAATTTAGAAACAGTATATTACCACTTTTTTATTGTTGATTACAAAGCATAGCTAGACACATCAGGTATGTATGTTCGGTTGTTTTTCCTTTTGAATAATACAAAAATATCGACCGAGTAAATGATAATCGAAGCTAGTAAAGTGCCTGTTACCAAGCATGGCAGAGTCGACCATTCTGGGTTACGTTCCGACCAGTAAATAGCGCCAAACATAGCCATGTAAACAGTAGCGACAAAGAGGGCGGATACGGCGAAGATGTAGATCAAGGTTTCCTAAAGTTGCATTATACATAGTAAGAGCTCTTGAAACATTATGCATTACATATTACAATATACTAAAGCTTTCTGGCATATCATGTTGATATTCACATGGCTTTGCTTTCAAAATGTAACTTTGACGATAAAAAACACTACAATCAAGATCTTCTACCAACATACCATGTAAAACCAATGCTTGGGAGTGAGCTGCTTATGCAAAGTAAATATCTTGGCAATCCAGATAGTAAACGTGACCAAGATAACCCCCACACACACCGCCATAGTCATGTTCTTTTCCCCACTCACACCTCGTATCTCCGAGGTCAGTACGAGTGCCAACAACAACAAGGTGATCTCGATGATCTTGAACCTTCCTTCCTCATTAGTCAGGTAATCGACATCAAAGTAGAGAATACGATCGTCCATCTCGTATTCATGGGTGTATTCCAATATGGTATCTTTGCTCTTCCTCCCCATGTTTCAGATTAAGAGCGACGAGTGCGCGACCTCAGGCTAAAGTAGAGGGAGTGGGAGATGAGCCTCATCCTGACTTGAACTAACAAAGGCTCGAGAGGCAAACAACATATCCAACATGAGGGACGACAAGAGTTTGCAGGTTTAGGTAATGTTGAGGCTGTTAATTTGGTTTTACTTTGTTTTTTGAAATATTTTTTGAATTTTTTAAATGTTTTTTTGACTTTTAAGCCTAAAATCAGTTTAAAACTTAAATTTTTGAATTTAAAAAATATTTTTTTTCAACTTCAACCTTTTGGTTTTACCAGTCAGTATTTGTTGTAAATTTCATGTTATCTACTTTTTCTTAAACTTTTTAATTCAAATTTCAAAGAAAATCTTTAAAAATATAAAGTTATACCCACCTAGAACACAATGCCAAAATAAGAATTAAAAATCAGATATAAAAATGAATATTTGTGAATAAACTGCTTCAATGTGGTTCAAAATTGTATTACAGAGAGACCCAAATGACAAACAAATATTTAGAATGGCAGAAGCAATGGAGCGGTAATAAAGTAATGTGAAGAAAGCGAGAACGACCTTGTCAATTCATATTTCCATAAGTGACATAAGATACGTCGCAGAACGTGTAATCTCGAGTAATTTGGCTCGAAACTATGCTTTATATGCATACAGTTATCTTTTTGTTGGTTTTGTTATTGTAATATAATGTTGTAAGGTAATAAATCGTTCAAAAAGTTTGTAGGGTTTCATTTTTTTATGAAAACCTTAGTCTTTTGCTTTTTCTATAAACTTTTTGACCAAAATAGTGCGTTTCTACATGATTTTCAATGAAAATAATGTTTTAAAGCTCATTTTCAGATCAAAACACGTGTGTAATCGTATGTTTTGTTGCTGTTTTCAATCGTATTTCAAACATATTTAACTAGCAATCAATTTTAATTTTTCAAAATGCTTTTTTAACAGTTTCGGTTTAACGAACTCCTTAATAGTTATGTATAACTGGTGAGATGAACCTTTTGATTTAGGCAATTAAATCATTTTACCTTAGTACTTATTGTTGTTTCTAATATAAATATGTTTGTGTTTTATGTTATGTAGTTATTTACCTCACCTATAACTCTACAATAACTAAAAGATACAAAGTAACCCAAAAACTACCTTTTTTTGAGCATATAAACATAGTGCTTACAAAACGAAGAGTTGTGTTTTGTAGTAATGAGTCTCAAACAAACCTAAACAGCCACCGGAAGCCCGCCGGGCCCAGAGTTTGTTTGTGGAATTTTATTTAAATTTATTGTTTTCCAAAAATGGGGCGAGGGGATTAGAGAGAGTGCTGTTAAGGAGAGAGTGTGCGGAACGGGGAGAGGGATTAGAGAGGAATCTAACCGAGAAACGGCCGAGAAGTGTCGCTGCCTTCTCTCTTTTTGCCCAGAGGGCCCGTCAGCCGGCTTTTCGAAAAGAGAGCCTTGGCCCCACAGCTCGGGGGCTCCGAATCCGCAAAAAAGACGTCTGATTCCGCGCTTCTGAAAGCTTAAAACCCCTTCAGAAGAGGTTTCGAGCGTTCACAAGTTTGGGGTTTGAGAATTCAGATGTTGGGGCTTCGGACCGGCTTCAGATGTGTAGAGTGAGGCTTGAGGCTTTCAGAAATCGTAGAAAAGAGTTCAGACGGTCAGAAGCCGAAAAGAAGATTCGCTATTTCTGATGCCGGCTGAATTAGAGCCTTCTGAAGCCGAAAAAGAGGGTTTAAACGTTCAGAATGACACTTTGAGTCGCTTTGTCTTTTCTTTTTGAACGTGTTAAGTTCCTCGTGTTACCCACTTACTTAGGTCATAATATGTCATTATTATTAGTTTTAGCCAATGGCCGAAGGCGACGAAGCCACCGACAATGTGGAATCCAAAGTGACGTCGTTGGCCGCCGACGCTCAGAAGATAACCATCGATGAGGACAAGCCCTCCACCAGCGTCAAGTCAGAAGAAAGTCACGAAACAACGAAAAGCGTCAAAATGGCAGACAGTGTGACCATCATGGACGGTGCGACCAGGTGAGTACCAGTAGTACCAGTATTGTTGGCACTCAAAAAAATTTTTAATTTTTTTTTATTTGGACACATTTTTATTACTGTAAATTGTTTTTAAATTTGTCATTTTTAATAAAAAAAGATGTCATGATGACAGAATATTTATAATTAACAGTTAAATTTTATCACCAGATGTTAATTTAAACAATGTTAAATTATAAAACGTAAAAAAACTTATACTTTTAATTTTGTCGCAATGACGTGAATAATCAAAAAAACATATCATGATGACAACTTTATAGACAAATCGATGCCTTGGAACTGTTAACACGAGAAGCCGAAGAACTGAGACGCAAACTAGAAGCCGAGCGACAAAAACTGAATGACATTCCTAGTAAGTACCACCAGTACCATTTTATTCATGTTTAGTCCAACAAGCAGCAGACCGTCTGGAACCGATGGGAGCCCTGAACATAAAACAACGTCGTATCTTGAAAGGACATGCCTCTAAAGTGTTGTGTATGGACTGGTCACAGGACAAGCGACATATAGTCAGTTCGTCACAAGATGGTAAAGTCATCGTATGGGACGGCTTCACCACCAACAAAGAACATGCCCTTACCATGCCCACTACATGGGTAATGGCTTGTGCTTATGCTCCTAGTGGACAATTGATAGCTTGTGGAGGTTTGGACAACAAGTGTAGTGTAGTACCATTGAGTTTTGAAGAAGATATTCTACAGAAGAAACGGTCTGTCGCCACCCACACTAGCTACATGTCGTGTTGTACCTTTTTGAGGTCTGACAACCTGGTAAGTTGAAGTAATGACATAAGACATCTCTAAACAAGCCTTAATTACACCTAAAGACATAAACCTTACGAAAACTCTACAGTATCCCTAACAAACCTTATCATAACCTACAATAATATATTTGCAGCTTCTAACCGGCAGTGGCGACTCGACGTGTGCCATTTGGGACGTGGAGAGTGGCCAAATGATACAGAACTTCCACGGACATTGCGGCGACGTGTTTGCCGTAGATATACCTAAATCTGACACGGGTAACATCTTCATCTCAGGTGGTGCTGACAGACACGCTCTAGTCTGGGACATACGAACCGGTCAATGTGTCCAAAGTTTCGACGGCCACGAAGCTGATGTCAATACCATCAGATTCCACCCGAACGGAGATGCCTTCGCTACAGGGTCGGACGACGCTTCGGTGAGTTAAATATTGAACTTACTGTAATTTATGTTGCAGTAAATTAGGTTTTAAACCGGATATAATCAAAAAATCACAATTTCATTATTTTTCTAACACTCTTTTAATCTAACCCGTAACAATAGTACCAAAAAGATCCTCTGCTAACAATTTACACAACCTTCAATAACATTTTATAACGTATCCTCTTATAGTGTCGTCTGTTTGACCTACGAGCCGACCGACAGATATGTGTGTATGAGAAAGAGTCCATCTTATTCCCCGTGAATGGTGTTGATTTCAGTGCTAGCGGTAAGTGTCAAGCATAAGTAAGCTTATACCATTCACAGGTCGAATACTATTCGCTGGATACGGCGACTACCGAGTTGGAGTATGGGATTCGTTGAAATGTAACAGACAAAGCATTTTATATGGACATGAAAACCGAATATCCTGCCTGAGGACGAGTCCCGATGGTACAGCCATCTGTACGGCATCGTGGGACTGCACAATTAGAGTAAGCTATCTTACAATAGAGGTCAAAAAGTTCATAGAACTTAAGACTAACTTTCAATTTTTGAGTGAACCAGTAAAACTATTGGACGAAAAATTAAAAAACAGAGGAAAACTTGACGAACTAAAGATAAACTTACTATACCCAACATTTCAGATATGGGCCTGATCTCAGAATTCCCTGCCATTAACCCTAAGGGCACCTCAAGACTCACGGAAACAGAAAGACGTAAAATTCGCATAATTTCTAGCTTTATCATATACTAAATATATAAATAAATCATTATGAACATCAAAAAAAAGATCTTATTCTCTGCCTCCTTAGACAATTCATTAAAGAGGTAGTGCTAATTAAATGACTATTATTTAAAAATTTATAAACATCAGCAATACTCCTACTAATTCTTCAAGTAAGCCGAAACCAAAAAAGCAGAGCTACTAATAAAAAGTATAAGAAACATCAGTAAAAGTCTATAACCTCCCAAAATCCATCTAGAATAAGGCAAAACAATTTATCTTATAAAACAAGAGTAAAAACAACAAACAGCTCCTTCACCATTTAGATCTCCTTGGTTTCACGAAGACGACGGATGGTTGAACGGGTAGTGGCAGCGGCAGTCGTGGCGTACACATAAGCTCCTCCGGCGACGACCTTGTTGCACTTGCTGCATTTCCAGATTCCAACACAAGTTCTCTTCATGGCTTCCTTTCCACAGAAGGAGCAGGTGTATCTGGAGTGCTGTGAGACTTCCATCTTCTTGACGGTCTTTCTCAACGAGGCACCATATCTGGTACCGTATTTACCGACGATTCCAACCTTTTTGGTACGCTTGGCCTGTAAATACAACAATAAGTAACAAAACTATAATTTCAATTTATTTATTTATCAATACAGCAAATGCTGTAAAGATAAAGTTATTTTAAACAATAATATTTTCAAAAATGATTTTATTAACAAAAAAACTTTAAAAGTAAATGCCTTTAAAACAATATACCTCCACAAATTAAGTATTTTTTTAATCCCTAACAGTTTACTATGCGATTATAACATAGTACTGCCACATTTAGCCTCTCAAAACTATTAAAACCTCGTTTAAAAATCCTTCCTAAAAAAACTTTAAAAATGTATTTTAAAGTCAAAAATACATCCACCACAAGAACTATATCAACCAAAAGCTAACCAACTTTAAAATACTTCATCTAAACATCAAAAAAACAATGCAAAAACAGAAATACTTACCATTTTATCCGATTTTAGACTGATCCAGCCAAAAGGAAAATATTCAGAAAAAATTTACTTTATTTTTCTACCGTAGATTTTGTTCCCTGCTTCGTGGTGTGACCTAAAACGCTTTCAGACGTTATGCCAACAGTGGGCGCGAGTTGCGGTTAAAAGTAAAAAAAAATCTAAAAAAAAATTTGTATTGTAGTAAATCGGAGAGTTAATAACGTAACAATATATAATGTACGTTTTATAAAATTTTTAATTAATTTTAGATGCAAGTCGTTGCCCAAATTTAAGTTATAATGTTGCCAAGAACGGCAAGTGTCTTGAAAATTTAAAGGAAGGTATGTAAATTGTTAATGGTAAATTTTTGAAGAAGTTAATAGGATGAAGTTTTCATATGAAGGTGTATTTGTTATGTTATCTGCAGTGATTAAGTTTGTATAATACTTTAATACTAGGGTGGTATATAAAAAAAGACATGTTTGCAAAAAGTATGGAATTTTCGATTTGTTCCTTGTTTTGATTTTGTCGCCATAGTGTTTTGCACGATTTGCAAACTATCTTTACATTTTTGCCACTGTATTTTAGAAACGGCACTACGCAGAGTACGGTTTTTTTGTACAAAGAGTACAATGTTGTTGTTGTTATAAACAAACCATAGTATTCATGTTCGGAAAGGCGGCTAATTTTAGATTTACTTTGAAGTTGTTTATACCACTAATTTTAAAATTGTTTGTATACATAGTAATTTTAAAATTGTACTATCAGTTGATACGTACAGACGGTTGTTGAAACTGTCACGGTACCCACAGAATCCGGTGGCATGGCATCGTAGGTTTTGTAATATGTTGTTGACGCGGTGACAGCACTGCTCGAGGCGTTTTCATTGAAATGCGCCCTTTTCACATCGTTCGAACGATGATAAGGGTTATCACAGGGTGCGATGCCAATTCAGTCAATATTTATGTGTCATTGTAGAAATGCAGACTCGACATGAAAAAGGTCAGCATCAAAACAGTGCTATTATCATATGGTTGTGCGAGTTTCGTTGACAAAAGTTGTTGCTGGGAGCTCAAGAAGTTCAATGGTAGTACAGTATTGTAGTAGGTATTTATAATAGGTATACTAGAGTAATGTGGAAACACCAAAACATAGCGTTTAATAATGCATGAACTAAATTATACTAAGATATACTAGTAAAAAACCTCAAAGTACATCAGAATAAAAGAAAGTACTACAGGTAGGAGCAAACTACGAGACAAAAGTGCAAAACAATCAGAAATCGCGAATTCAACTTTCGAAATTGTTTTTGAATTATAATATATGAAACTATTATTCAAACACTAAATTGTGACAACTAGATTGTAATAGTGATTTCTCTTGCTTTCACTGACATTTTTGAATAGTTTATATTTTTAATATGTATAATATACTAAAAAAAATCAGTTTATCCAAAAAGTCTTGAAGCTAAAAAAGATACGTACCTAAGTTTTACGTAACAAAAAATTTCGGTCAACGCGAAGCTAAAACAATATTTTTGTTTTACTTCAAGCTAAGTAGATATACATAATGGGCCTACAACGCTACAACGATTGTACAAAAAAGGCAAGACGATATTGTAAAAATGTTTGAAAATTTAAATTTTCGTCAATTTATAACTGTGCTTTATTATATCACATATAAAGTGTTAAAATGACAAGTATATACAGTGCTAACATCACGTTAGTCATGAACTAAGTTGAGAATATCAGCTTCAAGAAATGTGAAGCTTTCATTTAGCATTTACAGAACTAAACAGTAAATTTCCTACATAATGTTAAAAACAGTTTTCTAACAATTTTTGTATATTGTTCTTGGCAATGCTTCCAAACAGAGTACAATTCCGGAACTGTTTCTGAGAATTTCTGAGAAGTTATCAAAATATTATTGTTACAAAGAAGCTCTTAAAATGTGCAAATGAGAAAGACAATGATAAACAAACTAAAGAACGATTTGAAATTAGGAAAATGCAAAACTTGTAATCATGAACATGTTTTCAATACATTTTTGCTTATTTTCACGAATCTTCACATCTCAACATTACCGTAGTAACAATAGGCTAACAAGTTCTGTATTCAAATCAATTGCGGTTTTTTGTACCAAATTGAAGCCAAATCACTGGTAAAGTGGCAGAAGGTCGGTAGCTGTATCAAGTTTCATTAAGGCCTGATGTTAAGCTAAGAGATCAACTGGCAGTCTTTCCATGTTCATTGGCTTTTTTGGATCTACTACATGATTTTTACGTTAAAAATGGGTCAAGGAAAGCTGCTTTATTAAAACTACCACAATACATGTGCATCTTCTACTGCAGTTGTAAATATACAATGCCATAAGCTTTGAAAAAGACTTGTCAACTCTTTCCAATTCAAATCGTATCACGGTCGTATCACTTCATAGCATATATTATACATAGATCACCAACGCATGACATTGCTGTTTTTGTACTGGAATAGATTTGAGCGGCGATCGCACCGTCTTAGGCGAGTCTGTCTTTGACATTTGTTTGGGAAACGAGGAGAGTCGGTACAAACGCACTCTCTTGTCGCGGGAGGGCGGGAACTCTCCCCAACTTGTGCACAAAGATTAACAATGAATATTCTCAGCCACACGTGAACTCTGCCAACCTTTATTAGGGCTAGACTCTGCGCCAAGCCATCAGTTTTGTGCTGATTTCGTACTTGACTTAACTCATCGTATCTACTATCATCGGCATTTGATATAGCTGTATCTGTTGAGTATATCGCTCATTTTTATTCTTTCTATCAACTGCTTTTAGCAAAACTTTAAATAATGGACAAACTGCCATTTTCAATCTATGGTCAGATCTGCGAGCATCTGGAAGACCTTGAGGATGTCATGGCTTTGGAAGTAAGTTTACATTATCATAAAGGCTGCCATTTTGGTTAAACTTATATCTCTCATAACTTCAAATTCCAGTTAGCCACTTACTCATAACACAACAATAAAGTCTCTTGTATCAAAAGTGTTACTCATAACCTCTAAAATATTATTCATTATGTGAATTGCTTTAGGCTACTTGTAAAAGGATTCGAAGCCAAGTCCGTGCTTGCTTCTGGGGTCAGCCCAAGAAGCTACGGCTGACTGATGGTAACTTCGTCCAAGTTTTCTTAGAGAACGGTCAAATGTACAAGGCCAAACCTCGATTGGACGTGCTGAAGACAGTCTGTTCCAAGGCCAGAAACTTGACTGAATTTGATCTGGCATCGTACACAGAGCTGCCAGCGTCATTCATGTATGGATTCCTGAGATTCTTGAGGAAGACCAGTAAGTTTTGGATATTGTAATTGATATATGATACTATATAATTGTTGTTTGTTACTAAATTCACTTGGGAATGTTCAAAACATTGTGAATAACATTTTTCTGCAAAACTCAAGTTATCAGTCCAATTGTTGTCACAAGCGAAAAACTAATTTTTGGTCATCAGGAGTCCCATTAACATCGTTGTGCCTCAACTATGAGAGACCAGAATCCATGTATTCGTGTCCAGATGCCAAGAACGACCAGCGATCTTACCCATCCAAGCTAGTTCACGACCAAATCACCAAGTTGATAAACAGACAAGGCTCCAATCTGTCGCACCTTTTCATCAGAATCAACTCGGTTGATTACGTGTCGCTACAACGTGACGTGCGTGAGATCTTTGTGGAGTTTGCTTGTAAATGTTCTCAAGAGATTCGTCAGGTGTTGTACCCGCTTCTGAGTGGATTCAACAAGAATCTAAAGGGATTCAAGCCTAAGATCATGAACTTAGGCATCAAGTCGGAAGGCCAATGTATTCTGCCAGCCTTCGACTTCTGTACCCATACTATCGTGCCACAGGAAGCCAGAGGATTCTTGGAAGAGATTCACTACAGGATTCCAAACGCTGAGACTGTCGCCGTGCTGAACTACGACGCCTTCATGCCATCGTTGATGGAGAAGTTGAACAAAGTGTCGCTGTACATCGAGGATCTTAATGTAAGTTACATCTCTATTACTGTGTCATACTGTAAAATAATTTTTTTCTGTATATCTAAAATAACATATACATTATAATATGTTAATCTTTACTTTTTGCAGGTAAACTCGACTGACCTAACTGACATTGGCACCAGAATCCAGCCGAACCCTTTCATCGTCGAGCTGAACACTCCCACGGCTACACTCTGCCTTCCGGCTACAGCCAAAGTACATTAAACCAGTTTGTCGCGGACATGTCTTTATCACTTGTTATCAGGTCAACTATTTGTGTTTAGTACACTGTTCTGCTTGACCTTTATGTACATTCAACCATCTTACAGAAACTTTACTACTGTAACTTTTATTTATTTGTCTACCTTAACATAATGTTACTGTAGTTATTTATTTACTCAACTGATGTCTTTTGCGTTCTGTTACTGTACTCTTTCACTACTGTATTATATATTTCTACTACAGAAACCCTAACTTAAGTTACCGTTACTTGTAATCATGGTTACCATACCCTCTTACTACTGTAATTACGTCTTTGATCGCCGCATACCTCGCCCCACATTCATATTTTGATCTCGGAATAAATACATTGGCTCGAATTATTCCCTCCCCAATGTTATCTAAGAGGCAGCGACAAACTTATTCTTCTCGTTTCAATGGCCGCCGCCCTGTGGCAATGGAGCTCCGTCCGCATGTGCATGGTACTCATGCTGGCCGTGGGCATGGCCATACACGCCCTGTTGAGGGGTGTTTTTGGCATGGCGTTAGGTAAAGGAGGGGCGGGTAATGGACTGGGGGTGGATAATTGAGTGAAGGAGGGGTAAAAGATGGATTTATAGGTATAGAAAACAATTTAAAATGATGTTTTCAAACTTTGAATTTAAAAATTTTTGCTTTAATAGGTCAAAAAATGATGAGAAATGGTGTTTTATAACACTTTTTGATCAAAATATTATAGTACAACTTTAAAGTTTAAATTTTTTACAAAAAATTAGCAATGATTATCAGCTAATTGTATTTAAAACTATTTTTAGTAGCTTAACCATCTCACGAGTCATTTCAAAAAACAATTAAGTCATTCAGAGTTCTTAACAGCCGTTTATAGTCATAGACAATGTCACATTTGGCTCTATTTTGGTCAAAAAGTAACGAGAAAACGAAAAAGTGACAAAAATCTTTTTAAAATCTAAAATTTTACGCAATTTTTGACCACCTTAAACACCTTTTTTATTAAAAAAATTTGTACTTTATATTAAAAATTGATTGAGTTTTGTGAATGTCTGACCAAAAATTCAAAATTCTATAAACTTTATGCCCAAAAATGTAATTCTATTTACTTTTTGACCAACTTTAAGTGTAACATGTAGTAGGCAGGTGACAGAAAGCACAAAACCACTAACAATGTGGTCGTTATCAGCTGGGAAGGAATTTGTATAACTGCTTTTGGTTTACTTTTATCTGTTTACATGTCATTCTCGAGAGTAACTATTCCAAAAATGATCATAGGTTTGGAGTGAAAGGCAAAATTCATAAAATTGTAAATAATATAGTGTTCAAATAATTTTGTGCCCCTTCTCAAAGCAGATTTTTGAAGTTAGGGAGCCCAGAATTAGTTGAGCACCATAATATGTTGCTTGACAAGAATACTTTCAGTCTGCATCGTGCCCACTTTGAATAGTACCGCCGTTCTGCGAGTAAGTTATATTTTAATCTCTTACTACAATATTGTACTGCATTATTAACTTTGAAAGATCTTATATTTACTAATAAAAGGCGCTTCAAAGTAAAGTTAGAAAGCTTTGTTACCTAAATCTATCAACATTGATCTATTGACTAACTTTCTTGGCGAACAGCAAAGTACCCATCGCGTCCCGCTTAGAATCAGCTCGAAATTTCTATGAGTTCATTGTACCACCCTGCAGTACATATAAAAAGTTTTTGCTCTCGCTTTTAAGTTTTAAATTTGAATTATTTCGGTTTCCCGCCAATTTGACAAATTTGGCATTGTGTTTCACGCACTTTTTTGGCTTTTCAGATATATTACGCTTACAAATTTAAAAATGTAGGTTCATTTAAAGGTTTCCTACTAGAATATCAAAGAAAAATTATTAAAAGTCTAAAAATGAGAAAGTTATAAGCTTAAAACATAATGCCAATTTGGCGGGAAGTTCAAAACTATGTTTTTGATCTTGACTACCGCGTGGAAAAGAGTAGAAATTGAAGGAAAATATTTAATTTCCTGGGAAACAATCTATTTTTTAATCTTAAAAGTACATTTTTGTTTGAAACTAATTTTATAAATTTCGTATTTTACAATATTTTAACTTATATAACGTGAAACTGAGTTATATTGCTTCAGAATGAGTTCCAAGTGGACTGGCAGCTGCGCGAGATCAGTTCGATGCACATGTTCTTCTACGCGGGTACCTTCCTGTCGGTCTTCGCCGCCCATTACTTTACCCTCAAGTTCGGAGCCAAACATCTCATTTCGATTGGCATCGTGGTCGGTTGTGTAGCCACAGCTCTGATTCCGCTCACGGTCTACATCACCAAGGACTACATCTTCACTTCGCTGTTGAGGTTGACCACTGGCATTGCTCAGGGTAAGGAATGTTGATGTAGGTCAAAAAGTTTGTAGAAGTATGTCTTTCGGTCAAAAAGTGGATAGAATCTCATGCAAACACGGGTAAATAAGTATTCTACCTACTTTTTGACCTCCAAATCCTAAAATACAATACTGATCTTCGGATTCCAGGCTTCTTTATCCCTTGTAGCTCATTGTTAATATCGAAATGGTTTGGTCCAGCCGAGCGGAGTACAGCGATGGCTGTCTTTACGACCGGTAATCAAATTGGCTTGGCCATTTCTATGTTTGCGACTGCTGAATTGTGTCGCTTGAACTTCTTCCACGGATGGCCCATGGCTTTCTTACTGTACGGTAAGGTCTTACTGTAACTTTTCTTACTGTACAGTAAGGTATTACTGTAATTTTTGTTTCTGTACGGTAAGGTATTACTGTAATTTTTTTACTGTACGGTAAAGTGTTACTGTAATTTTTGAATCGGTCATAAAGTGTGCAGAATCTTAATTTTTGTCCAATTTTTGATGTTTAGGTAGTTCCGGCTTCGTGTTTCTCTTTTTCTGGGTAAAATACGGGGCTGATCATCCGCGACAATCAACCAGGATTACTGCGGTAGAATTGGCACACATTCGAGATACGACCACACCCATGGTAAATCCATCATCTACTCCGTTCAAAAAGGTAGTCAATTCTTTAAATACATACTACAATATAATACTTTGATACTTTGAGCTACTGTAACATACTAAAATCATCTGCAGAAGTTGCTGTAGATGTAGGAGCTACTATAACATACTATAAGACAATTTACAAAAGTTACCGTATTAATCGTTGCAGTTATTGTTCTCACCCGTAGTTCTGGCGATATGTTTGTCGTCCTTCTGTCAGTCGTTTGTGATGGTAGCGATGACATCGTATCTTCCTGAGTTCCACAGAAGCGCCCTCCATCTGAATCTGAGTCAGGTAAGCAAACACAGCGTTCGTCAGTTCTATCTACTTTTTAACCCGCATTTGCTGTATCATTACAGGCTTTTGTTACAGTAACATCCTTAATTATTCCTTTAAAATTTTAAAATTTGAATAATCAAGCCCTTTGGCATGGCGTTAAGTAACCTACCGTGCCGTTCCAGAACGCCCTGTGGTCGGCGTCGCCGTTCTTCGTCCAAACCTTCTCGAAGGTTCTGTTCGGAGTTGTCGCGGATCTGGCCAAAACCAAGTTGTCGCCCACGTTCGTCGCCAAAACCGGCAACTCCATCGCCTCCTTTGGGTGCGCGGCCTGTCTTCTAGCCGTCGGCTATGTAGAAGATGCCACCACGATGCTGATTCTCCTGAGTCTGGGTATGGCTCTGACCTCAGGCTATGTCCCCGGCTACTTTACGAGTATCGTGAGTATCGCCCCCAACTACACGGCTGCCATTTCGGCTTATGCCCAAGGGTTCGCACAGGTCGCGAGCATTTTGTCGCCGATTGTGGTTGGGTTTATGACCAAAAATGTAAGTTTGTCATATGTTACCGCAGTAAGCATTCATATTTATAAAAATATTTAAATTTTTTTAAAACTTTTCTTTATTAAGTTTTGCACCGTGCAATCAATCTGCTGCTTACTTTATTCTGCACCTTGCAAATATTACGGAATCTTGCACCGTGCAGTCATTACATAATAACCAACGTTTGCACAGCGCAGTCAAAAAAAAACCTTTTCTACTGCACGGTGCAGTCCACCGTCATTTCTTTTCATTGCACCGTGAACTCCTCCACTACATGATTTGTCGCTCCAAAACGAACAAAGTCTGCACGGTGCAGCCCATTTCTTCGCCACAACTTTGTCGCAAACAAACCAAGTTCAAAGTGCCAAACACAGTGCATCGCTTTACTTTGTCGCTCTCAAAAACAAAACATCTCAACAAAACAATGTTTTGGAAAACCATTTGTCGCTGACAAAACAAACATTTGAGGTTTGTCGCAAACCGTTTTGTCGCCGTGCCCCAAAGTGCGTTTGCCTGTTTTGCGACAATCGGCTCGATTGCGACAAGAACAAAGTCATGCGACAAAGGCGACGTGTTTTGTGTCGCGTTTCAATGAAATTTGTCGCTGATTGGGCCTTTTCACCGTGCAGATTGAGAAAACAGTGGAAGGAGCGATGAGAATTGAGTAGCGACAAAGAGAGGTTGATGGCACTGTGCAAAGAGTTTTCTCAAAGGAACTTTCTCAGAGATGTCGCGATTTAACGAAAAATGTCGCAGGTTTAAGTCTTTGCACCGTGCAATTTGAGAAAAGAGTCAAAGATGCACAGTGCAAGAAGTAGCGATGAGTAAAAAGGGATGGCACCGTGCAAGAGGGTTGGTTGCAACGCGGAGAATTATTTGCACTGTGCAATAGAGTAAAGAGAAAAGTTTATTGCACCGTGCAAGCTTTTATTTGAAAGGTCGGTTGCACAGTGCAAAATCATTTCTTGTCGCAAAAAAAATAATTTTTGAACATAAACCGCGACAAAATTTGATAAAAAATGTCACAAACAGTTAGTTTTGTCATAAATTCTTTTTCAGTCCACGCTGGATGAATGGACCGAGGTGTTCCAGATGTTAGCCGGGATTCTGATTCTGACTGGGATCGTGTTCGCGATATTTGGCTCGGCTTCTGCCCAAAAGTGGGCCTATTACGAAAGGAAAGAGACCGCTCAAGGCGACTCGCGAGGGAAACAGTCGCTGTCGCTGATAAAGGAGGACATTTGAGCAATAAAACATTAATAAGAAGTCCATAAGTTTATAGAACCTCACGAAATTCAGAAATTAAAAATGTAAACTTCTAGATACTTTTTGACCAAGAACGATGTATTAAAGGTGTACTGCCAAGATCTACCATCCACTACAACACCATAAAGCTCTTTGACATAGATAATATACACAAGGGTTTATTCGACATAAGTATAGAGTTTTATGTTGTTAGTGTCGCGACTCAAGTAGTGATGGTCGATCAGGTTCTCGATGGACTTCTTGAACAGTTTCTCTTCGACCGGTCGATCCAGAGCGGCGACAACTTCCTGCTTCAGTTCATCGTGGAGCATCGACTTCTGAAGCTTCATCAGCCTGACGACAGCGGCGTCGACAAGGTTGCGACAAGCTTGGTTAATCTTCTAGAAATGAAAATATAAGTCTGCGACAATAATGAGAAGTTGCAACAAAATCAGTTATCATTATTTGGTACCTTATAGTAGTCATTCAAAATAGCTAAAACAAGGTCAAGTCCCTCATGGTCAAGTCTCTTACCGCGACATCGATCTTCTTGTTTTTGGCCTCGTCAGCCCTTGAGTCCTTGGTCAAGTTGATGGTGCCCTTCTTGTGAGTGAAGGTGTCGTTCACGTAGAATACCTCCTTCTCGTTGTTATTCTCGTCCACCACCACCTCTTTGACCAGGATCTTGGCTCGGACTAGCGACGGAATTCCCTTTCTCAGCTCGTTGTCGCCCATGGACTTGACTTTCTAAAATACAAATTACAGTATACACTGAAAAATTATAAAGTTACAGTATACCTTGAAGTCCTCACTATTACAGTATACTTTGAAAAAATATAAAATTACAGTATATCTTGACTTTTATATTGTAACTTTGTAAACCTAACTGACATTAGAATCAATGTACGAACACGAGTTGAACAGGTCCAGAATGGCACACTGGACTGGGGTGCAAACCAGCTTCTTGGACGAGAACTGACCAACGTTCTGATGATGCGCATCGTCCTTCTAAAACAAAATTTAATCACTATCAACTCAGTTTACACCAATTTTATATTATAATATGATACATCTTATAACGTCCCATCTGTAAACCACCCCAAGGCCCCTCCGTACCTGCTGAATCTTCCTTTTAGTGACTTCAATCGCCTCAGGGCCATAGAATCTGGCCTCAATCACAACATATCCACTGTATATTATCAGCCCCAGCTTCCTGGTGGGATACTTAGTCGTGTAGAATGTTTCAAAAGAGTGGAACGCTGAAGCCAACTTTTGTGAAAGTCTACACGGTGCCAGAGAGTTCATCTGAGGCCAGAAGCCAGGAGTTATGACATTAATCGAAAAGGAGAGACCAGACTTCAGGTCGAGAGCTCCAGACTCTGGTACCATACCCATTTGTGCACCATACTCCTTAACCAAATCCGCAGATGTCGCTACATCAGCAAACATCTTCTCCATCTTTCTCGTGTACGCGTTGCCAAACTCTACCTAAAACAATATAACTTTAGTCTAAAATGTGTTTTAACCACTCCTGTCTCTAAACACAAGTAAAACCAACCTTCAAGGAGTCAATTACAACCTTCTCCAAGTCCATGTTGTAACCATTGATCGCTACCAGCCGTCTGCCAAGGTAAATCTTGTACAATCTAAAACAATATGCCAATTCACTTAAACATGAATCTTTTCATGCAAGAAAATACCACTAAAACAATATAAAAACACCAAACTTACTTCTCGAAATCATCCTTGTTGCTCACATAGTGTACCAGTCCCAAAACATTGTCGATCTGGTCCACCTTGTTTTGTCGCAGCTCAATGTCAAAGTAAATTACCAAGAATTCAGCGAATTTCGTGACAGAAGTAAAGACACGATGCAATTCCGATTGGATTCTGCTTTGGAAGGCCGAATCGCCTTTGCAGCATTCCGTCTGGACTTGGTCGATAACATTCTTGAACGAGATCAGATCCTGAAAGAAAACAATGTGCGCCCTATGTTGTGCAGGCTGCAGAATACTTGTATGTCCTTTTATACAGTAAAAAAATGGAAAAATGAAATTAAAAAAAGTTTATAATTGTCTTTACTTCTTCTTAACTTTAAAAATTGGTCAAAAACGGCATACCGCGGCACCTTACCCTAATAGTGATGGTCGGAAGCGAGCTTTTCTCAGTTTTTCCTCTTTTTTCAGCGAAAAACTGAGCTTTTCTGGTCATGTAATCGGTCAACAATGCCATCAACTGGTCCAGACCGTTCTCAACTCTATTGAACAAATTAAACCATACTCCAAACACTACAAATACATTACTTTTGTTTATATGGCTTTATTTTACCTGCACAATCCAGATGTTCAAGTACAATATCGAAGCTGTTGTCTTTCTTCAGCAATCCTGTCAGATATCCAGCGACAAATGTGTTATACAAGAACTGAAAGATGCAATACTTATAAAAATGTCCTTGCAAAGATCCTTGCAACAAAATAATAGCTTTGGTACTGTTTCTGCATAAAATATTACTCATGATACCTTTTTGAAGTGTTCTAGTTGACCTTGCGTGAAGTCCATCTTCCTGGCAGCCTTCATCTCGTCTTCAAGCCACTGTACGATCTTCTGAGTGTACTTTCTCGGATGCATGGAAGACTCTGCCATCTCGGCGACATTCTTGTTGTAATCCAATGGTATCTCTTGCAGATACGTAGTAAAGAAGACTGGCGAAATCTGGTTTAAGGCTTTGGCTGATTTATGCACATTCACACTGAAAAATTTTAATAATCAGTACTTTCATTCACTTTACAATATCCTAAGGGTAGTGTATACTAAACTACAGTATTATTTTTAAAAGACGATTCGCGAGAGTTTGAATCGGCGGTTGCCTTAGAAATTTTACCCTATGATTTTTTCGAATAAAATACATACTTAGGTGTTCAAAAACACTTTACTAAATTTTTTTTTAAAAAATACGTCATAATGACGGATTTACTATGTTGGGTGATATAGTATTATATGTTAGGGTATTGTAGGGTTTGGTGGTATGGTAAATAGGATAAGTTATGGTATAATAGATAGGATAGATTATGGTAGGTGGGATAGTTTATCTTTCAACTTGTCCAAATTTGAAAAAAAGTTTTTTATCAGACATTATAACAGTAAAAATATAAAAATATTAATAAAACACTTTTATTTTGGTATTACAAGTTTAGTTTTACCTTAATCTTACGTTTATTTTATTTTTTGTTTTTATTTTATCGTTTCCCGCCATTTTTGGGCCTTGTCCTCTGACCGGACTCGAACCCGTGTGGTTTCGGTCGGGTGGATAACGCGCTACCAGTTAGACCATGAAAATTTTACCGCGCGATCCAGAATCGGGAATAGTGCCGTCTAGACGACGTCTAGAGCAGAATTTTACGCTGATTCCGAATATGAAAAAAAAATCCATAACGATAATGTAATTTTCTTAAGAAACGGTGCATTTTATGTATGCATATACCATTTTGGAGTATTAGGACCACTTTTATAAGTTTGACATAATAAGATAAAATATAGAAAATAAAAAATTAATCTTGCATACAAAATTTCAAAACCATTGCACGGCAAAGGCAACATAGTAAATCCGTCATTATAACGTATTTTTTTAAAAAAAAATTAGGAAATTGTTTTTGAATACCTAAGGATGTATTTTATCCAAAAAAATCATAGGGTAAAATTTCTAAGGCACACCCCTTATTTCAGCGGACGCAAGTTCTCGCAAATCGTCTTTTAAATTTAAAAGTTATAAACATCGTCATTACCATATAAGCCGGCACAGTACTAAACAGCAAACATACGTGTTTTCAAAGTGTGTAATAGAAATGTTTCTGAAAAGCGGGTATGCCAGCACTTGATTTGCAAATACTGTTTTGGCCAGACCGACCAGTCGCTCTCTCAAATCAACGTCAGGAAAAGCCTGAGGGCAGAAGTGGGTGTGGACAAAGATGACTAAACGAAGTAAGTTCTTCCACAAGAAGGTGATCAACTCCAACGGCTGAGAAGTATCACCTTTTATGGCGTTGTTAAGCTGAAAGGTTAAGGTGTGAAACGTTCTTTAAATTATATTATAGTAGACAAATAGCTTTCAATATGACGTCTAAATACTTGAAAAAGCAAGTTGTATTCAAGTTTAGAACCATTAATACAAATTTTTGTTAAAACCTGTCATTTTAAAGTTAGTACTACCTGTATGGCGCAAGCTTTCTTGAAGAACTCGACCAACTTCTCCACATAAATATCCACCTTGCCACTTTTGACGATGAAGTCGAACTCTTTTGTGATGAAACTGAGCGACGGCTTCTCGACAGGATGGTTGTAAAAGTATTCAGCTGCCTTCACCAGGTCTTCACAAGCCGTGTTCACGATCCGAGAATCAGCTTTCGATAACTTCAGAGCCTCTAGCTCTTCTGTCATATACAATCGACGGTACATCTCACCCTGAAACGACGGTATGGAAAGATAAAGTACTCTGGAATGAATGTTAAGACAAAAAATATAAGATATAAAGCAAGAACAGTAATATAATATTTAAAAATTTAGATACACATGGTGCAAACTTGTAGTATAACTAGTCTTCTGAAGTCAACTGTCATAGCTTACCGAAAGGTCTTCAGCTTTTGCAGCCTCCAAATTCATCGCTCACCGATCTCTGTGTGTAACCCTTGTACAAATGACTTCCATTTCAATTTTCGCAACAATTTTTTGAAATCTTAGGGTAAGTACTCTAGGTAAGGACTTTTGAAAAATAACTATTCTTATCAAAATTTTATGTTTGAAATAACTTACTTTCCGCTAGAAGTAAGAAAATGTAATTAATAGCCTTTTTTGTTTTCTGGCAACACAAAAACAAGATTTTGTCTTCAAATTAACAATCTAATCTTTTAAAATACAAGAAATCATATCCTCTCATTAGTCCCGTCACGAAAACAATCCGTCTGGCTTAATGTTTATTTCTTTTTATTTTTTGTGTTACCACCAAACAACGTGTTTTAAGTGAAACCTCGGCGATTTCTGTGTTTTCAATCAATATCAAACGGTAATTGAAATGAGTGGCTCACCTCCTCCACCTTACTCTGAAGGTCCTGTGCCTGTGAAGGTGGCTCCACCGTCAGATGGCTCGTTTCCACCAAATCCTCAGTTCGGATATGCTGGTGGAGCTCCTCCACCATCCTCTACTGCACCCACAGCTGCACCACAGTCGACTCCGACTGCTCCAGTGACAGTAAATGCCAATACTGGTAACTTTGGACCGTTCCCAGTGGAGATGGACTGTAGATATTGTCATGTAAGTCTTAATATTTTGATTTGTTTCGTCACTGTAGGCAATGATTCATCTTGATTCGTTATGTTTGTCATATGACGATAGGAATTGATTTGAAGACAAATGGGATTTCATTATTTGAAAATGCTTTACCTTTACTAGAATAACATAGTTTAATTGAAGGCACGTCAGTAAAGGTTGTTATATAAAAAATCAAATAAAGTTCATTTTATCAAACAGGTCAGAAATTTTAAAAGTAAAATTAAAAGCATAATAACGCTCTACTTTTAAAACCTTATCGCCTATGACAAACTAGACAACATACGAAACGTTGTTTTGTCGCTTCTGAAGTAACCAATTTTTAATTTCGAAGAAACGTTAAGTCTTCAGAAGCTGTACGTTTATTGACGACATTTGTTTTTGGTAAATGTTAGTCACAATCACAATAATGTTATAGTCCAGTCCAAATGTAATGAGTTATGAGCGGAACATACGTAAATAGGTGTTGATTCATGGCTCGAAGCAGTATGATTTCTTTTGTTTTCAGAATCACATTGTTACACACACCAGGCGTGTCGCCGGGACATTGCCGTGGATTATAATGGGCATTTGCTTTGTGTTGGGCTTCTTCCTTCTGATTCCATGGTGTATATGTTGTGTACCGTTCTGCGTGGACGCTTGTCTCGACGTTCTCCACACTTGTCCATCGTGCAAGAGAACGGTTGGGCGATTCACGAGACTTTAAGGTGTTGTATATACGATTTCTAGCTGGCTATTTGGGCTTAGGAAGAGGTTGGAGTAGTAAGCTGTTAAGGTGATGTAGGTATGTTTGGTCAGTTTTGATTCTGGTTTAAGCTTTTTATTACTGTAGTTTGGGTTTTTTGTATCAAATTTACATTTTACATCTTTTAGGTAATGTGTTTTAGTAGAGCTTAGTAGGTGGCTTAAAAATGTTCTTAACAGTATTACTTTGACAATAATGAGCCTACAAGAATAAGTACCCGCGGGTGTTGTATCTTGACGTCTAGTGTCTTTACAATTTACATAATTTTATAATTTTGGTCGCTAAATCTACTTACTTTACATTTATGGCATAGTTTATATTTTATTGTCGGTAAAATAAAGTTTTTGTAGTTCAACTACGCATTATACAGTAACTTCTTTGCTTTTATGTTAATTTACATTGTTTTACGCCTTTACATTACTGTTTCAATTTTTATAATTTTTGATATTATGTTACAGTACTTTCCTTAATCACTATTTTATGACATTATTTTATGTTTTTTTCATAATAAACCGCATTGCAACATGGAGTTGAGTTTACAATTGCTTTTGTTTGTGTAGAAAGTACTAAAAAGTGATTTACATCCAGGCCCCCGAGGCACGCAGTCAGTCCATTATCAAGCGATAGCGAGGTTTATATTATCAGTTCTCCCTCACTCTCCCCAAACAATAATGCTTTTACAGGTCGAGCAGGATGTCATCAAATGATATATCACAGAGAATCCAGTCCAAGGCCTTATCCGTGAGTTTGTCGCCTATTTTTATTGTTTGTGGAAAACGGAGGGGTTCGTTATTTATGGAAGGGACCTGGAGAGACGGACGGTCCCCTCACCGCTCTTGTAGTTTTACTTTCTCTTTTACAGAGTCTTCTGGTCCTGTTCTGGGGGGGCTTGGTACTCTTTTTGGGGGTTTCTGGTGCTTTTGATATTGTTTTAGGGGTGAGGGGATAATTTTGGTTTTCAATTGATCACTGTTGTCAAAGTATTTGTGATAAAAGATATTTTAGGCCATTTTCTAATGTTTATTTTAAAACTGACAGAATGACCTGCACCGTGCAGTAATTTAGTTCTGAAACCACCAACAAGCCCAACAACTTTTGTAACTAAAATCATAAAAAGCCATTTTAAAATAGTTAAATTTGAAAAACAAAGATACTTTGCAATCCCAAAATTCAAGTGTCCGATGTCTGGCGACAGTCTTTTGTCCAATTCCGGGTCAAAATAACTTATCTACCTTCCGTAAACACGGGAACAGATCATGGGGAAAGTATGTCATCGATAACACAATTGTTTTCTGTTTACTCTGTAAAACGATCCAATCCAAAACTTATGGGTCGTCAAACGTTTATGTTGATCTGTTATTGTTATGTTGTCGGAGGGACGTTAAAAAGTACAATTTCAACTAATTTGCGGCCTTTACCAGGGTTTTGTTGGAAGTATTGGCTCCGGGGGAAGGCGATTGTGGGTGGTTCTTTATATAGTACGAGTGATGGAAGGAGATTCTTGTAGTACAAGTTATAATATGGGGGTGTTTCTTATAGTAAAACTCGTAATATGGGCGGTTTCTTCTTATTACAATAAGATACGACGTTTTACTGCACAGTAAAGTTAAGATATCACTTCAAAGTCAACTTATACGGTTAAGAGAAGATCAACCATGCTGGTTTGGGCTTTTTCTATACCTAAAATAATTTATTTTAAGCTTTTACACCCAAGAATCGTTTTTCAAATTCTTTTTCGAGTTGTAATAACCGCGCAGTAAAGTAGATGACTGTGGAAACTTTAAAAATATATGTTGTAAAAAACAAAGTCAACCTTTTTTGTTACAAAATAATCATTTAATTTGGACTCTTTAATTACTCGGAACGTCTTTCATTCTTACTGCTTCAGTTTTACAGTTTAGTTTTTACTTAATGATCAGGTTCAAAGTTACAATTTAAACATTTTTTGGGGTAATTTAAGGTTTTTTTTTATTTTTTGAGCTTGATTTTAATATAGAACCATATTTTAAAAGTTTTCCATTTTACAACGCTACCTTACAGTTAACCTTTTTCAATTTTAAACTTTCTTATTATCACGTTGAGAAAACGAGTAGCGACGTCTTCAGAAGACCATGCCTTGAGTCGTGTGGCTGTCTGGGTTGGTCGGTGAATTCGTCGACTCGGTCCACCGAAGACCTGGTCTCTCTCCCTGTCCCCCTCCCTCCCCCTCCTCGGGTTTGTTTTTGTTTGGTTCTTGTATTATTTGCAGGTCGCGTGGTTGCTTCGTCTTCAGATGGGATCCGTCCAAAGTCAGCCGGCTGTCAGCAACGGTCAGTCGTCCAAGCTGAGCACGTTATGCCCGCAGGCAGGGAATATCTGTTGTATGAGCAAGAAGCGACTCAAAGCGAGGTAAGCAAGGGCCGGTCGAGTGATGTGGGTAATGGTTTTAAAAGGCATTCGAAGATCTGTTTGGTCTTATGATCCGATTTTAAATGGTTTGAAGTGGTTTTAAAAAGCATTAGAGCTGGTTCTTAAAGTAATGTTAACATATTTTTGATTTGATGACTAATCGCTTGGGTTTAAACTGTTTGGGGCCAAGTTTTGGAGCATAATAGGCAAATTTTACTGTTTTTTTGGTTAGTAGTAGCCACAGTTACACAATTAAACGTTAAATATGTTGTAAAGAGTTAAAAAGCAATAAAATAGTTAGATATATCTTATGATTGCCAATCGAAACTAAAGACAAGGGACTGAAAAAGAGAGTTTGAACTTGTTCTATCTAGTTTTTGACCATATACACATTTACAAATCACACTTTCAGAAAACAAGAGAGTACCGAGATATATGAGCCCACCGTACTCGACACCAAACTTGAGCATCAACGTGACAAGGCTCTTGATCCGCGACCGTCGATGGTGGCGGCTACTGTAGCTCAGCAATGGAAGCACGGTTCTGTGAAGAAGGAACCCTTAGGCGAGAAGCCTTCTATAGTATCGTTTTCCGACGACTCGCTCCTTAACGAAGATGTCAGCTACAATCTCAGCGAGCAATCTCACGAAGTCTTGGAACAGGTCTGTAGCCGCTGTAAACCTAGTATATATTGCTTCAAGTTTGACGTGGGGTGCAAGTTATTAGCTGTAGTTTTGGGTAGTAAAGGGTGTTTATAGTTTACATATATACTTTTTTTATTAACTAAAACCGTTTAAAAGGTTATACTACTATCATACGAAGCTAAATTTAATGTTTTATATTGTTAATGTTCCTATAGTAATATAGTGCATATTCCTAAAGTGCTATTAGTATTGAAGTACAAAAGCAACTAATAGAATTGAAGAATAATATTACTTTGTTCGTATATATTATATGTACATGTAATTGAATGGAACATATAGGCTTTCTTTCTACTTTATGACCCTTTCATGATCATTCAGAGCACTTTAAAGATGTTTTAATCGAGAGAGCAAGCCAAATATGGTAATCAAAAGAAAATATTAGAGTAAACAACGTATTGACAAAGTAGCTTTAGAAGAACATAAAACAACATTAATATAATTTTTTTTAAATAAAAAAGTTTTAAAAAATGGTGCACCTAAATGGCACCACAACTAGTGATAGGGGCCAAAAAATGTTATCATCAAGAACTTAATTTCAATTTCACAGGGATTTAACATAATATTTTAGATCATCCGCTGCTTCCCCTTCCCCGTGAACCCCCCAGATCCGCCAAAATTACCCTATCGTCGACCCTCCGTGAATCGTACTGTATCCAACGATCCCACCGTGCTACTGAGTGACCATCCCAGTGCCAAGGAAGTCCATTCCGACGAGATCAAGTCGTTGGAAGCGCCGCCAACGTCGCGAGCTTGGGGAGTCAAGAAGCGGCAGTTGGGCGCCTTTCTGAACCGCCGGCTCAACAATTCCGAGCAGCCGGCTGTCGCGCGCAAGAATGACAACATTAACACGTTGTGCGACAAAGAGGAACGGCGTGGTGCCTTGGGGAGACTTTGTCAAGTGGGTTTTGAACTTTAAAATTTGAAAAATTTTTTGAAATTTAAAAATTTTAACTTGATTTTAAATGTTGTAAGTTAGTAGTTCGGACAACATTTTTCAAAACTTCGACTTCTCAATTATTGAGCGGAAGACGGTCTTCTCTCTCACGCGCATCCAAAGGTCGGATTGTGACATTTGAGAGTTATGCGATCATTTGACTGTTGCATAATTTAGTTTTATTATATTTGGTCTCTGTTTGTCTTCAACGTTATCCAAACGTAGTTTCGTTTCATTTCCATTTACAGTTATACGAAGCGATCGATTATAATATACCTTGTCATTGTAAGTTTGTTTGTCATGATTACCTTACTGTGAGTTTTAATGCTTACAGCACAGTACCTTTTGTTTACAGTACTTAGCTTATTGTTTACAGTACTAAAATATTTTTTTGTGATTTATTCAAATTTTGGTATCAAGGTAGTGCTTTAAATTTCAATTTTTGAACTTCTTACAGTATGCTATGTTATATTTACTATACCATCTACCGTAACCTTCATTTTGTCTCGTTTTTGATATTCAAATTTATAAAAAACTATTAATTTTATCTTATTTTGACTAACTTCATATTAACTTTGCACCTAAAGTTTATACTCTAAAGTAACTGATGTATCTTTCTCAATATACGTTGCAAATACGATAACGGCCATTAGGTTTTCATATTGTTTCGCTATCTGATCGCCATTATATTTATGTTAGTCACGATGGATATTTGGCTCGTTTAATGGGTTTAATGCACTTTGTCTTCTGCACGGTATTATGACTTAATGTAGCGAAAAGTGGATCGTATTTGAATCAAAACACAGTTTACTTACTATAAGTGAAGTGCTGAAGTCTTAGAAGACAGTACAGTGTTCAGTAATGATGATATGTTAAAATACCTTACGAAGGACTGTATTATTTCATGTGATACATCAACCTACTGTAATATATCTATCAATATACGCTATGATATGAAGAGAATGCAACATACGAAAGCTTCTAAAACCTTTATAACTGTATAAGCCTCCAAATTTACTCATATACAACATTTATCATCAAATTTGTAACACCCTAAACTGAAGAAAACAAAAATGACGCCACTCTTCACAACATACATCAATATAATCATATAATCCACTGCAGGCTATTTTTACGCGCTACAATACCATATGCAAATATCGGTTGACAAAGAACATGTTGTTTTGTCAGTTGATGAGACTTTCCACCATTTAACAGCTTTTATTGTGGCGATATGGTTTGGTGTGATAAGAAGGGTTCACAGCTTCGAAGAAGGGAATCGAGAGTTTTCTTTTCGGTATACCATGTCCATTAGAGAGGTTTCTTTTCTCTCACTTCCATCACTTCTTTGGCCAACAGTTCGGCGACAGTTCGGGGGAAGGTCCACAGTTTAGGGAACAGTTTACATTATTAAGTTTGGCAGTTTACATGGTTATATGTTTACTAAGCAAGTTTACTGTTTGTGACGAGTTATTGAGCTACTTAAGTACAGTTTTGTGACATCAACGGGGGTGGCTAAACACAGTTCATTAAACAAAATAGCTAATAAAGTCATTGTTTTGTAAAATGATAAGTTAGCAGAGTTTACTGCACTGTTTATGTATAGCTATGACGCAGTTTACTGAACTCTTTAACTACAGTTGTGTAGCTGTTTACTAAGTAGTATAAATACGGTTTTGACGTAGTTTAGTGAACACTTTTACAGTTGTTTGACCAGTTTAACAGTAGATTGAACTCCCTGTTTGCTGGGTGTAATTATGATGGTCAAGGTGAAGATACTGTAGATTTAAGAGATTGGGGAGGGCTTAAAAAAAAAGGGGGGGGAATGCTGTTTGGCGAACGATCGAATTCAGAGCGTCGAATTGCAGATTCTTTTATCATTCGTTTGCTGATTGACTTCTTTGCATCGTGAATTACCGTAGCTATTAGTATTGGTATCATTACTGAGTTACCGTAGTTTTATAACGTGATATTGGTATAGACCCATATAGTTGTTTTAATTGATAGGTTAGAGCTTTGCGACAGTTTATTGAAGTTTTATCGTAGATTATTGAAATTAAACATGTAATTCAAGCTATCAACCACCGTATCGTTTCAAAAAAATACTACAATATAATTCATCTACACTAACTGACTAACTTCATCTACATCAACATCTACTGCTCAAAACGACGTCCTACGACGCCCAGAAGACCCGAAGCAGTTGTCGCGGATTGTTTTTATGTTGATAAACTTCCCGATAGTAAAGGTGTTGGCCTCACTGCTCGCCCGAAAGAAACGCGTCGAGCCTGAGGGCCGACCGTCCAAGAAGGCTGGATTCTGTTCGTGTGCACGCAGAAGCTCCGTCATATCAGTAGCACTCGATGACTCTGTCAATGAGTATCACTACGAACGGCCGTCGCTGTCAAAGGCGGTGCATTGTTCGATCCACGAGATGCTGAAGATCCACGTTGACGACCATCAAGCGATACCGTCCTGTAGCGCTCCCATGGAGTTCGGACGGCTTTTCAAGACTTCTTTGTTGCAGGTAACGAGATGGGGTGTCTATCAATGATATTGTAGTAACGTATGTCTTAATCAATTCTTGACGATATGCAAAAATCTGTTATATATGGCTTTATGCATATATAATATCAATTTCAACGAACTTTTAAAATCCGATGGTAAACATATGTTTCCAAATGTCATGGCCTTGTTTGTCATAAAACCCACATGTCATGACTAACTTTATGACGTTGTTATACTTTCCACATGAGTTTTGTTTCCAAATCACGAGGGCTGCTCCAATTTCGTCGCATTTTCGCCCTGAGGGCGGTGCGGTTCAGGCCTCGCGTCTTATCGCGACATAAAGCGAAACTTTACGTAGGTGCGAAATACATAACAAGCTCAATTTCTGTTCTATATAATTTGATCGGTCTTTGGAATAACATTGGAACGAAAGACACACGTTTTATCATTAACTCTGCGTCTTCTAATTAAAACTAATACAATACCTATTGCCCTAATTAGATTAACAGTACCATTGGCACCAAAACATAACTAGTCTTTCTAGTACTACTTCAATATCTAAAACTTCTACTTAAACTATTTAGTACTTTATTCAAAGTCTAAAGTCCTGTACAAATAACGGACTATTAAGTACCATACGTACTAATGGACAAACTAAGTCTAATCATAAGCAACTGCCTGGCTCAAATACTTCTGATCCTCAAATCTAACACTTCCAAACTTCTGACCACCAACCCCACCCTTAATCATACCGTTAACATGGTATTCCAGGTGTCAGTCGATACTATGGCCATTACAGCCCTGCCCTTGGACTGTTGGCTGAAGGAGCGGCTAAAGAATTGGGTCCAACTCTCCGGCCACGAAGGCACCATTGTACCAGCCTCGAACCACACGTTGTGGAAGAAACAGCCACCTGGGAACAACGTCGAAGCCGAAGCTTATCAGAAGATTATGGCTGACTCGTCGCTGAAAGGCCTCACTCCCAAGTTCTTCAAGGAAATGGTGCATAACAACGAATGTAAGGCCTTTATCTTGCTGTAGTTCGAAGTCATAACTGGTACGGGTTCAGTTTAATGTTTCAAAACAAGTTTATGGCTAAAGTTAAAATGATTAAGCTGGTCAAGAAATGAATGGAAAAACACTAAAAAGCCTACATTTATATGTTTCTACCTAAAGTTGGGAATTAAAAGTAAAATTAATAATGAAAAAAAGCGAAAATAAGAAATAATCTCCTATTTTTGGAAAATAAAAAAGTTCATGCGGCCGCGATCTGCAAATAGCAAAATTTGCAGGCTGCGCAAAGATTTTATACATATCCTATTTTTTGATAAAAAACAGTTTTTTAAAACGATTTTTAACTATATCAACTCATTTATTAATAAAATATTGTTATAGCTTTCATCGAGATACAAGACCTTTTGTCTCAGTTCCCGAACACTCAAGAACGTGCCGTCATGGACATTAAAGTAGGCTGTAGAACATTCCTGGAATCAGAAGTCGCGAACACAACGAAACGGAAAGATTTGTACAAGAAAATGGTCGATATTGATCCGAATGAACCGACCGAAGAGGAAAGAAAAGTGGAAGCCATTACAAAGTTGAGGTATATGCAGTTCAGAGAACGAGAATCCTCCACATCGTCACTCGGATTCAGAATTGAGGCGGCACAGGTAAGGCATTTCTGTGTGTTGTAATTGCAATTGTAATAGTGTTATGTCAAGCTTTATTGTCAGAGCGGACATATAATGTCATTTCCACACGTATAATGATATTGCTAATGTTACAGTAGTTTCACTTAACCTAACAGTACATTTTGTTATCTTATCGTATACGAAAGCGATCGTACAGCAATAGAATGCAAATTATTTTTGGTTTCGAAAAGCGTTCAGATTACTAGCGTCGTATGACGTAGGGCGGAAGTACCTAATCTCCAATTTCCTTTTATTTACGGCTAGCCAAATGTGCTTTATACTTAACTTCCGACATCTACATTCATGAGATAGTGATTAAAATAATTAAAGATATATTTAATTGAAAAGAGAGTATGATAAGTATTACAATGTAAAGAATCTGTATAACATACAGTAACTACTACAATGTCATCTGGTGAGTATTGTAGTGATAAAACTATCATTTGATATCTTATACTACGAAAGGTATCATCTGATACGTATAGCATTGAAACATGTCTTCTGATACGTAGTAAAACATAAAAAGATACCTTTTGACAGGTTAATCAGCTAGTTCCGTTAACAGTCCATCGTCTTGTGTTAAGGTTTCACGAGGTTCAGGCGTTGTTTTGGCGTGACTAAGCCTCAAATTTATCATTGTTTACAGTACAGTATACTTGACACAGTATGAAATGTGCTATTGCACTATAAAAATCATTTTGCGTTAACTAATTTTACATTACAACGCTTTCTAACCTAAAGCCGATATACGTTTAAAGTCTGCTTTAGACGAGAAGATAACGTACAAGAGTATAAAAACGTACACGGTGATGCCATTATGATATATTATATGTTGTTGTAACGTATAGGTGACATTAATCTTCGAAAAGACATTAGCAAAACAGACAACCTGCTTTATCACGTCTACTATAATATTTTACTTATACGTACGTGCTATTGCATACGATATCGTACAAAATGGTTAGGTAGTAAAATGTGAAATTACTGTACTATCTACTTAGTTTCTACATCAATCCTAATAAAAATACTACACATCTTTTTTCGAGTAAATTATCTATTCAAGCGATGTTGTAGTAGACACGTTGGTCCTGTTTTAGATGCATAACGTAAAATTACATTATACGATGTTATGAAAAAGCTTTTGTATGGCATATACACACTCAAATGATATTAAAATTTAATTTTTTACGTTTATACTACAATAATTTCTTTCAGCTCCCAGGCGGCAAACTAGAAAAGTCGTTTAAGAAGGTCCGGACCAAGGCCCAGGTCCTCGACACCTTCAACGACTTTTTCGGAAAGCGACGCGACGAGATCAAAGCACAGTTGGCAGCACGTCTCAGGGAGATGAGGAACGGCATCGAACAGTCAGAGTTCTTCCAGAAGCACGAAGTTGTGGGATCCTCGATTCTGATCATCTTGGACGATGTGAGGACAGGAGCATGGATCATAGACTTTGCCAAAAGCATCGCCGTGCCAGACGAACTAACGCTGGATCACCGTGCTCCGTGGAAGTTGGGGAATCACGAGGACGGCTACTTGGTGGGGTTGGACAATCTTATTCAGGTAGGGTAATATTTTAGAGATTTAGTTTGTTTTTGGCTGAAGTTTAAAGAAAGGACAATATTTATCGCTAATTATATTGTAGTAGGCATTAAAATTAATTTTTTGTTTTAAAAAAATTTTACAAAGCAAATTTAAAATTTTTGTATTTTAGATTCTGGAGTATGACATCGGTGTGTAACCTCCTAGTTCTACACTAATTGTCCATCTACCTCTGCGAACTCTACAGCGTCTTTCCACAACGGGTCTATTATAGGTTTATGATACGTTACTATTCCGTTTTATCATTTTATTTTATTGTGACATCAGCTGAAGTTATTTGCGACCTAAATTTCTTTTGGATTTGCCACAAGGCTTTAAATTTTGAATAATAAAATTCAGGTGTAAAAGGGACTTTTTTAAATTTTAAGGTTTTGACAAAGTTTAATAACTTGTTCAGAACCTTTAAAAACCGCTATAACATCAGCTAATGTGCATTGCCACAACGGGTCATAACATTGCTGTCAATGTTGCCAAACGTCATAACATGTTGTATATTTTATATTGTACATCTCTCTATCGCATAAATGATTTATTCCTTTTGAATAACAATCTGATATCCGAAAAGTTGGAATGGCCTTAAATATTCAAATTTTAAAGAAAATTTCAAAAAAAAATTTGAAAAATTAACTAATGAAAGTCAGCTTGGGAAGCGACGAGAGACAGCCGGTTGCCGCGGGATATGAAGTCCGCGGGACTCTCGATCAATTTGTCGAGATTCTGATTGGCCTATGATTGATTGGCCGTTTGAGCAAAAAAGGCCAAAAACTTACAAAAGACCTTCTTTAGTGACTATTAGAGTTTAAGGATAATGTAGTTATAAGAGAGACGCTAGAGAAAGAGAGAGATACGAGTGAAAGAGCTTTTAATTTGCACTTTTATGAAGACAAAGGTCAAGACTGTGCTGTAGTTTTACTTTGTTTCAAAGTAGTTTACAGTATCAGCTTTAGTTAACTTATATTATAGATGTTTCTCCTTTTTATTAAAAACTTTTTGTTTGATCTATCGTATCTACTTATCTACCTAAAACAAGTTTTAAAATTAAAAATCTAGTTTAATTTTTTTAATTTAAAAATCTACTCAAAACTCTTCTTTGAACCCTGTGAAACTCACTGAGTGATAATTAAAACCATTTATATAAGCTAAAACAATAAAACTTTGACTACAATAATCACATAGTAACACGAAAGTAAAAGTGAATCAGTAAAACCAGCAATTGAAGATATCGTACTTACAACACCAACAAGTAGGTACTAGACACGATAAGTAGGTACTACAAGTAAGTACTAGTAATAGAATCTACGTCCTATTGTTCACGTTACCGTAGGCCGTTAGCCGCCGGCCACCGTATCGTAGTTGGCACGGAACAGCCGTTTGTGTAGCTCGAATTTCCAGACGACGCCACTCAAGGCGATTAGCAGAATCAGAAGGCCGAACACCGAGATGAGGGCGGTGTTGGAGTCTTCCGGCTCGGGGGGTAGGGTGGGTCGTTCGAAGATGTAGTGTGGGGTGGAGGAGGGGAGCTTCTCCTTTTTGGCATCTGCTTCCTCTTCTTCCTCGGATTCGTCACGTTCTTCCTTCTCTTCTTCTTCTACTTCCTTCTCGGGTTTCTCCTCTTCCTCTTCTTCTTCATCGTACTCGATCTCCATGCTGAAATGGCATGTTAATGTTTGTTGTAAACGTGACATTTCGGGTAAACATCTCAAAGAATTAGAATGTAAACATAGAGGTTTCAACAAAAATAGTGTTTTAAAGGTTTGGACGACATAATCTCGTCTTTCTTGGTCATTTTTAGCCTAATAAAATAGGAAATTTAAAGAAAACGCTAATTAAAAATTAAAAAAGTAAAAAATTAGCCAAAAAATATTTTTTATTTTAACATAAACTACTACAACTTTATATATTAATGTAAACCTACTTTTTGCCCTGCCCCTTGGCCCGAGGCGGTTGTTGTCGGTTCTCCTCGGCCCTCCTGATGGTTTGTTTGTTGGATGTTTTAAGACAAGCCTGTACTTTCAATTTCTCGCTGTCGAACTTAGCACAGCCCGTGGGATTTAATTCTTCGGCCAGTTCGGCACCTTCGACAAAACTCAAGCAACCTTGAGTACGGTAAGAGTCTGGAACTCCCATCTCACTGGCAATGTTCACCACGAAACAATATTCACCTTCACATGGCTTTACTCCGGTCGAAGCCTAAAATAAGGTGGGTTTAGGTGTGTAACAAAATATTAGTTTTACTTATCGTTTAATTTCTTTACCTTTTAAATATTTCATAAAATATGTTTTTAAGTATGCAATAATGTTTAAGTAACAGTTAATTAAAGTAAAGTTGTTATTTTTACAAACAAAGCCAATTAGATTCAATTTGTTTAACATTCTTAAAATTTAATAATAAACTAATCACTATTAAATCTCGTAAACAGATTAAATCCGTAATTATCTATCCTATTAGCTAGATATCAAAATTATTTACAAACACCTGAACACAGACCACCTAGTATAATATAAATTTAAAAAACAACTACCCACTGCAAGGTAAATTAGCCAAAGTAAAAAAGAAAACAAGTATCAGTTTGCTCACATAATTCTGTGCCCCTCACATCAAATTTTTGGCATTAGGGACACAGAATTATGTAAACAATCCAATATAGTAATAAAAGCTTTTCTTTAAACTATTTGACCGATGAAACTTATAAGTTAATAACTAAATTAAATTTTAAAACTTAATCATCTCAAATAAACTAAAACTCACCTTGTTGCCAAACATCGTGACCTCTACACTAGCATTACATCTTTGATCTTCCTTCACTCTGATCCGGGGTTTCTTCCTGTTACAGTAATCTCCAGCACAAATACAACTCTCGGTTTGCTGTAGCTGTTCGGCATCTTTGGCTACACTGTGGTGCATGGCTCCAGTCATCGGCGGCATCATGCAGGCTCCAGCTGAGCGTCGCTCGACCAAAGGTAACGATGCATTGACACATCCCTTCTCTGTCTCTCCTGTGACGTGATTCTTGACGAAAGAGCACAGTTCTCCGTAGCAGACGTTGCCGTCGCAGTGGGGACCGTCGCACGAACACTTGTACAGTTTGACTTCTTCTTGCTCGTACTTCCGGGCAGGGTTCTTGTTACACATGTTTTTGTCATCGCAGAAACAGGTGAACACGTCCTGGAAAGTTTATCATGTATAATGTAATTAAGATACGATAATATCATTATTTTTACCGTTATGTAATGATTTTTCATGCAAAAAAGCAACATATTTTGTTTTTTTACTAAAATGCACTTTTTGATTATGTTTACATAGTAATTACCAACAATAACTACAGTTTTACTATCCTTGTTATAAAAGTACAACAAAGAGCACTTTTAAACCAAATGCCTCCAAAAACAATATATTATCATGCAAGTCCCAAAAAACAAGTAATTGCGCCGTAAACAGTAATCCATTACTCCCCCAATCAAATTACACGCCATTACTTTTGCATCTCACTTTGATTCATTACATTAACATTGATGTCTGCTAATATTCGATGCCCATTAATATGTGGTATCTATGACATTGTCAAGGAAGTTTAATATTATTCGTCTGCACAAAGGAATAATAAAAAGTAAAATACTACATTCTCCAGTCTGAGTAAAATATTATAGTAGCTAGTCTTACCACAGATTACTCTAGCAGTAAACATGCCTAGTAATAAGCGTGAATTTTAATCAAAAAGTTCAAAAAACATCTTAAAATTGATAAACTTTGCCCTTTTTTGACGTAACAGACCACTTCATGCCCAAAATGACAAGTAATAACCTACCCCAGAACCCTGGGCCACTTCACAGTGACTTCGAAGGTCTCGGCGTAGCATCTTGCCACTCATGCATCCCTTAACCATCTCCGACTTCCTCTGCAACGATCCCCACCGAGGTGTAAATGATGACACCACACAGACGTCGCCATTACAGAAGTCACCCATACAATCTTCACCTACACAATCTAGACATCTAACTGCTTCTACAGACTGAACTATGAATATACTGGCCATCACAGCCGCCACGGCCTCCCTGATCATGTTTTGTTACCGTGACGTGATTCTGAAGAAAGATTACAGTGTAACGTTTATTGGTTTTAAATTTAAAATGTAAAAATACCAATAATTATCCAAAAAACAGTGTAATAGACAACGTTAACATGAGAATAAATACTATTAAAACACTAGAAAAAGTAGCATTTGAAGGCTTTCGCACGCATACTGCAGTAACTACTTTAACACCAGCGATAATGACAACTATAAGAGCACTAAGCTTCCACAAGCTAATAAAAAGTGACGTCAGAACACGAGAAAAAACATTAGGAACTGGTGAATTTGTATAAAAGCCGGCCCATATCTGGAAAGGCTCTCTTTTGGCGGGACCGGCTTCGGAAGTGAAAGAGAAATGGGCAGGACGAAGCCCTGGCTCAAAAAACTTCTACGCCCGCCGAAAACTGCTAGAGTAAAGTGGCAAATCGGGGATGCAAAGAGAGTATGACTCCTGGCATTACGGCGACAAACCCCACCAGAAACCCTTTAGTCGTCCATCATTCCGGCGCCAACAACCATTTCTTATTCAAATCCACCTGGAATCCGCAAAGCCACTTAAGCAGAATCCATTTACCGTACCCCCATCCACATACTACAAATTAGACGTGGTAACCCGACACATTTTGGCTTAAAAAACTCAAAAAATACTCTCCCCGCCTAAGGGCATGAACTCTTTTCCACCGATTTTCGATATATTGGACTTAGGACGGCACTGAAACGATGCAAAGAAGCGAGAGACTCTAACAATAACAAAACGACGAATAGCGGGAAAACGCCCCTCGTCCTTATTCCGCTCAGCCGGAGATTCGTCTTTGCTTCCACAAACATCAGAATGGCATTGTTCAGACGTCCTTATATTAACATTTCGCTACCATCCATTTCGCGTAATATAAGAACATTTAACTACGCCATTTGTCTTGAATATTTCACGAAATGTTTTTTCATTTATTTTATATTATACATGGCAACAATAGTTATTTCGAAACAAACTGAACAAACAATTTTCGAATATAGATGTATGGTTTTCAGATATAGATATACGGACAGAAATATTAAGATATACACGTATATCCCTATCGTTTTTGCCTGGATTCATAGCAAAACCATCTTAATAGTTAGATGTGTAGCCATATATATATCTTAAAAGTACACATACGTCTATATCCAGTCAAACATCTATATCCTAGTCCTTCTTCACGTCCCGTTCCCAGGATCCTATCAAATAATAAGTGAAGTAGATGGCGAAAATGTGAATTTGGAAGGAAATCAAGAAAAAGATGTACCAGATAATAACCATGGGGAATTGACCGTTAAATGTTGGTGTGTTACTGTTCTCCGGGTCTTGAATGTAAGCGATCAATTCAGGAAACAAGCTGCCAATACCAATTGAACATGGCACTATTCCAAGTACAAATTGAGCATAGTATTCGATACGTAAAAGCTTCGTCTGAAAGTGACAATCATTAAAAAAAATCAAAAGTTTATTTTATAGCAAAATAATTTTGAGCAATATAACTCATACATCCACAAGCATTTAAAAAAAAAATTTCTAAACTAAGACACAACGTAAAACTTACCTTGTTGTGATTAAAAGACAGCAGACCAATCACAATACACACAAATGACGTGCACCACACGTACTCCCATGGATATGCTGAAGGAAGATCCAATTTCTCAAAGAAGGCACTTTTGTAGCCGAGATCTTTGATCGCAAACTCGCTTCCAACCTTCGTCCACATAGCCAGAAGTACCAAAAAGTGTAGAACAAACAACATCTTGAGGTAGAATTTATATTGTACACTAAAAACATAAAATACATCAAAAACAATGCCTACCTTAGCTTTATTAGTTGTGATACTCTCTGTCGATGTGTAAAATCGCTTCCATCCGTGCCTGTAGCACGTGGTCCAACTCTCGACGACATTATCAACAAGTAAAGGAATTACACCAAAATTTCTTTAACTATAGAACTACCAGTTGGAAGTTTTGTAGGAGATCAACCCGATTTTCGAGAAAAACGCAAAAACCAACAAAAAACGACGAAAAGCCAATTTGTGGCATTCTGTTTCATTTAGACTTGTTTTCGTTGCTGAACCCACAAGGTTTGACAAAGAATTCCTGATTCAAACTCTTCGCACCACATTAATTTCGCGGTTATCGATAGACAAACGTAATTAAACCCCAAAAAAGAATTTTAATTTTTTAAGCTTGCTGATTAAATGCCTTTGACTCTTTCGTTCTTCCTCGCCTTGTTTGCTTATCATTCTAAGAGAACGGGCCGTGGCTGCGATGTCACAGTGTAATCGGCAAGAAACGATGACCGGGGATGTGTCGTCAAATAAACAAGACGAGCATCAGAATCAACAATCTTCCTCGGAAATGGTTTTAAATCAACAAGAAAGGTTGGAAATGGGTTCTGATATGAAAATGGAGCCAGAAGCGGATTCGAATATACAGTCTTCAGCAGAAGTGATGAAGAATCAAGTATCCGGTTATGAAATAGATTCGAACAATGAATCTACACAAAAAATGGCATACAGTGACGAATCTACATTATATTTGGCTTCGAATCATGAATCTACATCGAATCTGGCTTCGAGTCGTGAGTCTCCATTTGATCTGGCTTCTGACAATGATGCTACACCAAAGATGACTTCGTATCAAGAGTCTGAAATGGGTCGTTTCTTGCGAGAACTTCTGGAGAACCACGATGAAGAACATCCCTCGGAGCCAATGCTGAGTCCGGACGAGCTTCTGGAGCCGTCGTTCTTCGGGTAAGAACCGTGACGTGTCCGTATGTAATTGGTGAGATCTGTCTGTGATTGTGTTCATATGAAAGTAATTGTCAATAACCTTGCGTCGATTCCGCCATCTGCTAAGCAGGTTACTGACTTCTGGAGGTCGCGTCTCCGTTTTCTCTTCACAACAACGACGTCTTCCGAGATCACAGCCACGATTTAATCAAGCGCACGAGTTAAATCACCGCCTTGTTACTTTTGTGTAATTGTGTTTTCACTTTTACTTTGTATTTTTGTTTTAGCTTTCGAACACCTCAATTTGACTTTTCAAACTTTCATTTTGTTAATTCAAATTCTCACTTTGTGTTTGTCAGATCCGAATCCTAGAATCCGGGTATGACGCCACCAAAAACGGCTGTCAGAGCGTTCGATTGAGATTGCCTTTACTGTTATTTGTTTTATTTATAAAACCCTTTCGAAACGAGGCCTTGAATATGATCGCAAGTTAATTTTAACTTCAATTGTTTTTTAAAATGATAATAGAGAGAACTTATCAGCGTCTGTAAGTAATGTGAGCAATACCTGTACGCCTTGAAAAACAAAGGACTGGTCAAAAAATATTTAGAATCGTGTAACAAAAACATTTCAGTCTACTTTTTGGCGTTTTATTGGATCTTATAGGAATCGGCATCTTACTTTACAGTCAACTTTATGAATAGATCTCTACCCTATAGACAATAATTAACCATAAATTCAAAAATATTCCGAGTAAAACCGAGCTTTAAACTCGGAACAGCCGGTTGTTTGGAGGAAAGAACGGCCGGTTACCCTGTTCCGAAGCATCATTTTGAGCCAAATCTTTCGGAGCCAAACTTTTTTTACCATACCCTAAAAACCAAAACATATTTTGAGCCCTGAACCTTTGCCAATTCATTGTGAGCATATGAAAGCCAACCTGACGCCTACCCAAGCCAACCTTACCCAATGCCCTAACCCGGCGCGATTCCTGAATCAGCGCCTGGCCGAGTCGATCGTGGCCCGATTGATGGAGTCGCGTTATGGCCATAAATCGAGGAAGAAGTGTGCGCGAGGGACCCCACTCTTGAGGTGGTTTCCTCCAAAAAAAGATGTGGCGACGACCTCTAATCGAACGGAATGCGAAGACACGGGGCGAGCGCAGATGGGACTGATTCGTTATGAGAAAATCCTTGCTGTCCACTACTTTCGACGCGCGGACCATTTTCTTGTCTTCCCTCCAATTTTACCGCACGGTTACCCGATACGTTTCCTTTGGTTTGGTTTCACCTTAAGCAGCGTTCTCTAGCTTTGATTTCAATTTGGGGTTCGCCAGGGTTTGCTTTACCTTAAACGGCGTTGCCACTTTAAAATTCACCTTTATGCTGATGTAAACTCATACTTTACTTCCATCCCACCTTAAGCGCTCTTTATACCTTATTTTAGCGTTTTTGTGATCTCAATTTACACGTTCCGTAATTTCCCCGTTCCCTTTACCCTCAAGCGTTCTCAATTTCACCGTTCTCTAACCCTTTTCGGTTTAAACCCCTTCCCTTGTTATTTTTAATTCGCCGGTTATTTTTAAAGTGAATCAAACTATAGAGTTCAAAAATACCTGTTTCGGTTATTACAGCTATCGCGACAACGCCGAGGATCATTTCGAGGAGGACCTGCTTGACCGCACCGAACCCGAGCTGGCCCAAACCGCGCCCTCGCCCTCGTTAGTGGCGCGTTCGTTGGCCAAATCCCTCGAGGAGCGGCCCCTGGAGGGTTTTAATATCCATCTGACTCCATTCTCGCTCCCCGATTACTATACACTGTCCACGGTGGGTTCCTCGCAGCGACCGGACCCACCTTCGACCTCGTCTCACGCGACCAACCTCACGAACAGTAGAAGCCCTCCCTCACCCATCCGAACCCAACCCAAGCGAAGATATCAACGACGTGGCACGGTCAAGCTACACAACTGGAACAGGAGTGTCTCCAACGACCGTTCGGAGGATCACCACCGTCCACGGGCTTTGTTCGGTAAGCGATATCTATAACAATATATTGATAGCAACCTATATAGATAACTTTACGATCAATACACGTCGAAAAGTTCTGACCTTTTTTAAACAATAACGTTCTCTTCCAGATATTAATGATAAGCTGGCGTCGCCTCCCAACGAACCCATCTACATGAATCGCTCCGGCGTCACTCGTAGAATCAGTATGCGACAGAAGCAGGCCCAGTCGGTCATCATAATGGGTAAGGTTATTTTTTTACTCGTATCTGCTTTTAGATTAGCTTGTTTTGTGAACGTTCATGCATGTATAGTTCTTGATCCTTAAATTTCATAGGAACTTTTTAAAATGTTTTTTATTTATTGCATCGTGTATACTCTTTGATACATAAGGTAAAACAATACAAATCCATTTTTAGACGAACAAAGCTTTTCCGGCGACGAATCCTCACCGTCGCCTCACACGATGCTCAAAGACGCCAGATGTGGATCGTTACCCTCTATGAATATTAATTCCGAAGGAGAAGAGACACAAGATACCAATACCTGGTCATCTACGTACGAGAAAGATAACATTGGCTTCTCGGACCCTTTAGTCACTTCGTCCATCTTCAGAAGCGACTCAAACTCAAATTCGATTGGCGATTTTCAAGTTTTAAACATTCCAAATGAAAGCGACGAGTACTCGAGTAAGGTGTCGTCACCTGTTGAAGGTACGTTAATATAAATTTTTTATAAAATTTAAAACACAATGCTAGAGTAATGATCAAAACTTATTGAGTATTGTTTTTCGTGTGTGTACTTATGTTTTGACATTTTCAGAAGACAATCGACCTCCACATTCAGCACCGCCTAATATGGAAGACAATACTCATTTCACGTTCGAACGACGAAAGTCCATGATCCAGGAGTTGCCGGCCATCTCCGAGGACCTAAGAGAAGAAGAAGTAAGCTTCTTGAAACTGAGAAGACCTTCAATTAACATAGTTAACATTTTTTAAAAAACATTTAAAACCATCACTTATTATACAAAATTTTACTACATATTAGTCTATGTTAACCAAATGCATCACCAAGCCTTGTCAAAGCGCGGTTTGCCAAAATTATGTGCAGTTTTTGAAAAAAAAAAGTAGAGAAAACCCGAAAACTCCAAAATGACACTCGATTTTACACACCTTTCAGAGACCGCCAAGCGCTTGTTCATCAACCGAAAACGACAACACCTTCCACAAGCGAAGCACCAGCGACTATATTCTGGACAAGAAAGAAGCCTCGCCTCCTCTGGTCAAACGGAATTCGATTCAAGTAAGTTAATATCACCCAAAAGCCAACTCTAATCGATTGCAGGAGACAAAGGATAAGCCCCGACTTCGTATTATCAGCGGAAATCCGAACGGGAACGGCGATCACGTCGACGGGAAACACGAGACGACCATGAACAAGACCTACGATCTCCCATATTCACCTCACGAGGACAAGAACATGATCCTGAAGCAGAACGGGTCCAAGAAGCTGCATCTGGTCGAGAGTCAGAAACGGTAAGAACTTTCTTTACGCCTTTTTGTCTCCATCGCAAGCCACAATGATAACGGTCTGAAACAGTTTTGCGTTTTGTTGTTGTATAGTGGGTTTTAGTTTGTTTTTGTTAAAGTTTTTAGGTTGTGTTGTAACACATTACCCAATAGTTAAGGAAGGACTCTTTGATTATTAAACCAAGCTTTCTGTTTATTTTTTGTTCTAAAAGTACACTTTTGTTTTAAAACATGAGCTAATAGAATGAGAAACCGAGTTTTCCCTCTGTAAAGCCAAGTTTTTGTTATATTAAGCCTAGTTTTCCCCTTATTTTTGTCCTAGAAACATCCCCAAGCTCAAGAAAAACATCTAAAAAGTTATTACCTAAAATGTTTCAACAATACTTTGAAAATATTAGTGTCAGAATAACAACAAAGTCCCCCAAAAAGTGCGACAATCCCCCGACAGAATTTTGTCCGCTTCGAAATTCGCAGCGAGACAAAACTGACGGGCGCGGCTCGCCGACGTCAGAGTCTCGGACTTTTGAGAGCGGCTCCATGTCGCAGACGATCTCATCTCCAATGCCTACGCCACACCGGTTCGACATCAATGCGCTGACTCCACGTCGATGTACCATTCAGAAGAAGAAAAAGAAGACCAAATCGCGACAGCCGGGCCGTGGGATCGCCTCAGCGACGGATTTTGTGGATCCATCGCTTCTGCACGGTGTCGGAAATTCGGAATCGCTGCTCTCGGCACTGGCCGAGATTCCAGAAGCTACTCAGCCAGTAATACGGTAAGATTGTGTGAGTGTGGTCTAGTCTAATATCGGAGTGGCTTGCTTGCTTTCGCTTTTCTAACTTTATCTACCACAATATCGTCGAAACTTACCTCAACATTGTCTAAACTTACAATAATATAAAGCATTTCGTCTATTTTTGTTTTCAGGACCGACCGTGATAAGAAATCAGGGATGAGTTTCACTTTTTGGAGCATTCGACACAAGAAAAAGGTTTGTTTTGTTGGTTTCTTTTAACTTCCCAAATGTTATTTCTGTATAAATATTGTTGTAGCTGCAGAAGGACGCCAGAAGTACGAACAGCATCTCCCCAGGAAGATCTGACCTCGACTTGAAGCGGGCTTCTTTCGCCGAGTTCGGTGCTCACATGAGTCCAAAAGTCTCGGATGGTAAGTTAATATCTTGATTCGTTAGCTAAAACTTGAAAAATAAGAGGAATTTTACTTACATTGTTCGATGGTAGAGACAGAAGGTTATTCTAGTTTTGTGTTAGCTTCTGTGGGTCTGATAAAGTTGATCAGTCCATCTTGTTATCTTCGACGAAGTTTTAGGTAATATTGGAGATAACATTGGTTTTGATCAGTTTTTTGGTTTATCAAGGGTACAGGACCTTATAAGTTAAGAATGTATTACGACTTTACTTTGCATTTAGAAGTTAAAAAAACTAGGTAGATGATTGAGTTTTCTTTGATTATATTAAGGATGAGGTCTATTTTTTGTCGAAATAGTAGTTTCTTGCTTCCCAGTGATTCTATATTTATATAATCAGTTTAAAACAGAATTGCGTGTGATTTAGAAGTTGTATTACTAGCTATAAAAGAATTTTGATTTGTTTTAAAAGTGCTACACCTACTCAGAATGATGTTATTCATAGCCAGAGACGTCTGAATAGTTTGCTTTAACCTGCAAAAGTTTGTAAATTTGTTTTGGGATTCTTTAACACGTTGAATTGTCTTAAAGCGTGTGGGATTATTAGGAAACGGTGAATCACTGAATGGCCCGAAACCCAATTGCCTCCCCGTTGATTCTCTTTGGGGGGCTGATTCAGAGCTCGGATAGATTGATGGCTTCGTGACCGTGTTTCCTGTGCTCCTTTTCTCTTTTATTTATTCTCATGACCTCACGTAGCAGTCCGCAATACTTGAATTGCTCCCGAATACCGTACCATTACCGGTCGGTGGGAGATCTTCGCGATGGCGTCTGCTTGTTACCTTCAAGTTGGCCTTCAGAAGAGCGTCAACGCAAGAATACGCTAGGACCGAATGACATTCCTACTGCATTGTCTCAAACTCGAAGAATCTCTGGATCTTTGGCTGATATTGAGCAATTTCACGCTCACTTCAAGAATCAACAGACGATAGATGAAGAAGAGGAAGATATCTACCATCAGCACAAAGAGTTCCCTAATCTACAGACTCCTCGAATTAGGTTGGATTCTCCAGAAAAGAGTGTGTATGTGCCTGATGGGGTTGTGGTTACTCATGAACGCTGTTTCTTACCTCCAGTCTGGGTCCAGCCGGCGTCACCATCGCGAGAAGATGCTCGACCTCTATTCCAACCTCAAGATTCTATTGACCGACCGGGAGTGGAGGAACATGAGCCTCGGCCGAGAAGGAGAAGAACCAGTAGTGTTTCGAAAAGTCCAACCATATCAGATCAACTGATTCTGCACAATATTCAGAAGGAAAAGATCAAAATGGATCCGTTTATGTTATCTACCGATTCTCTTGAGTCTACTGCCGGCTCTGGCTCGTCGTTCTATCGATGGCCGTCGTTGAGGAAGAAGAAAGCGAAATCTTGCAAAACGAAGCCAGTAACTGAGCCGAAGAATGTCGCCAGAACCTATTCCGAGAAGTATTTTAATTCTGTCGGTCATAAGAGGAACTTGTCGTTGGCTGATGGTGGTTCTGTCAGAATACGGGGTTAGATCATTGTTTTAAAGATTATATTAAGCATAAAATAGGACTTTGGTAAATATTTTTGGAAAGTTAAAGATAAAGGGTAGTTTAAATGCGGCAGGGCTTCTATGTTGTTGTAGTTTATATTAATGCTGTCATTTTTAGTGTTGCCAGATACCTTGGCTAAAGTCCTTGGATCGCACAACAGTTCGATTGACTTACGAAGCTTGTCAGAGGAAGAACCTATTAATTGGCCATTATTGTAAGTTTTTATACTCTTGTTATCGATAAGTTGACTGTATGTTATGTTATTTTGTTACCGACTTACCTTATGTTATGTTATTTTACACTTTGTAAAGTAATAATTGTAAAATTTTTTAGGGAAAAGCCAAAATGGGAAGATTTGAGAATCTGGGACGACATTGATGATTCCTGGTCTTCAAGGCATCCAACTATCCATTTACCACACTCAGAAGCCAAACGACAGAATGTTATTTATGGTATGGTTATATCTTTTTGTATTAGTTTAAGCTATTTTGAATCATTTTGAGTTTTAAATTTGATTTTTTAAACAAAAGGTATGTTTTCAAATTTAATTTTGATTGCTTTCAGAATTGCACGCTACAGAAACGCGACACTGCAGAGTTCTCATCTATTTACAACAAGTTTTTCAAGCTGGATTGCTAATAAAGAAGGTGTTGCCACCGAACGACGTCAAATCTATTATACCAGATGTCCTCGACTCTCTACTTGACTTTCATCTACAGTTTCTGCGACGGATTCGGACTAGAATCGCCGAGAACCCGGTGGTCAGGACCATCTCCGATATTGTAGTAGATGAGTTCAGGAACGGGGAGAACCGAGCCGCGGCTGTTAATGCCTACACAGAGTTCTGTTTGGCCAGTAATGAAGCTGATAAGCGTTACGAAGACTTGATGAACAAGAATAGTCGCTTCAAGCTGTTCATTGATGTAAGTTGATGAGCTTAGGGCTACGTTAAAGTAACTTTAGGTTAAGATGTCTTTTTAAAATTATAGCAGGTTTCTAGAATCTCAGCTAAATTACTGTTGATGACGATTATTTATTCTTTATGACATTATTTTAAACTTTATTTTAGGAAATCGACAGAAATTTGGTGTACAGCAGGAGTATGAACTTCAAGTCGTGTTTCTTGTTGGTAACGCAGAGACTGACCAAATACCCGATGTTAATAGAACAAGTAAGTCGATGTTAATATTTATTTTGATGTTGTTTAGATTCTAAAATACGAAGAAGGAGAAGACAAGAATCTCAGCCTCAGGGCGTGTGCTGCTGTTAAAGGATTTGCTTCGAGAGTTGATAAGGAATTGTCGACTCACATGTTGAACAAGAGGTTCGACAAGATCAGGAACATGATCGAGAAGACTTCAAAGGGCAATCTGCTGGATGAGGAATTCACGGTAGGCATATTATTTTACTGTCTTGTCTTTGATTAAAATATGACATTGTTTTTTTCTCGAATACATTATCTTGTTCGATATTTTACATGTTTGAGTGTCATGTGTAATATTATTCTAGCCTGATTAATACCATGAATGTCTTTTGTTTTTGTATATTTTCAAATTTTGATTGCATTTTTCTCTATCACATGATCAACGGACAACAAAAGAATAATGATTGTTTTGTTTGCAGTACGATGACCTTATTACATCTGGAGATACGTATCGTAAGATTTTGTCGATCGGTACCGTAACCTGGAAGAGTGCCACCCATCAAAGCCACGAGCTGATCATGCTACTGTTCGACGATATTATTGTATTTTTGCAAGGTCGCAACGACGTTTTGTACTTTTTCCAACAGAAGGACCACGCCTCGGTGTTACCGTTGAAGGCTACATTAGTCAGGGAGATGCCCCGGTCCAACGAGGTAATGCTAATTGTAATAGACCAGAAGAAGCCCGACATGTACAGATTATCATTCAACTCAAAGTCGGAGATGACACAATGGGTTCACGCTCTTAAGAGTGCCAATAATAACGCTCCAAAGTTTGGTGAGTTGAGAGTGTACCTTCTTTGTTACTATGGTTGATTTTGATGTATTCTATCTGGTTTTTTAAAATATTTTTCTAAGTTTTTAGGTAACTGGATTACAAGAACAATATTTTAAATTTAAGGTTTTTGCCTACTCTAAAATACATTTTACTCTATTTTTCAGCACTTTCAATTAAAATTTCTAATTTTTTATAATAATTTTGTATTTCAGTTCGAACGGCCAGTCGGCTCATGTTCGTCGAAGGCTCCAGAAGCTCCACTTCTCAAGACAACTCAAACGAAGAATCTCAGTACACGGAAGATCTCGACAAATGGCACAACGAACTGGACAAACTGTACGCGGATCGAAAGAATCGCGACTCCAAACTCGAGGAGTACATGGAGGAACACATGCAGTTCTTGGACGGCATTCGAGAACATGTCTCCAAGTTCCCAGTCAGGCCAACCATTGAAAACGGGTCGAATTCGGTGCGACAGAAGGAAATGAAGGAGATCGTCAAGATGAAGAACCTTCTTAAGGCCAAGTTCGCCGATCTCAGAACTCACCGACGGGCCAAGTTTGACAAGTGTAAGTGCTTTAAATTATAGCAGGTAAAGGATGTCTCGTGTTATAGAATTTTATGGTGACATCAACACATCACCATCTTTTATAAGTTTGCAAACTGAACATTCCTGAATATTTTTTTGTCACTTTGATAACATTCTTTTCCGATATTAACATTGTCTATGGGAAATACTTTCCAAAAATGCATTATTGCAGTATTCAAATACCGTAGCTGTGTGAATTTGTTTCTGCATTCGAATGTGATTTAATTTCGTTGTAATTTCAGTGATTGAGAGAGCGGAGAAGGCCAGGGACAGCGATCTCCCATCGTATTATGATGAGGTCTACGAACTTTCCCATCCAGGAGGCTTTGAATCAGCTACTTTTTCATCATCTGATGAGAACTCGCCCTCGACGTCGGAACGATGCAGGAAGCCACGACGGGTGCGAACGTATCACGGCGAAGAAGACAGCAAACATCAGAGTATGTTATCAGCCGATAGTGTTTGTGACGAAACATGCTAGTGTTTCTTGTACAATATAATTTAAATAAGGTTTTGTTTTGTCGAATAGGTTATAGAAAACATTGTCTGTTACCAAAGGCAATGTTATTGTAACTTAGACTAAAGTTTATGTTTCAGATGTCAGGCGACACACCACTGTACCTCATGTATACGACAACGAAGACGAGACGGAAGCCGAGAAGCTGATCGACCAGGAGATTATGCGATTACCGTTGAAAGTGAATCAGAAGAGCAGGAAGGCGGCGACGGATCTCATCAGAGAGAATATTCGACTGCGGTTGGAGAACGATCGACTAAGAGACGAGAACGCTCTGTAAGTTGTACAATAAGACTGTAATTGGCATAATACAATAAGGAATATAGAGTTTGGTGTGGACCTACAATTGTATATTTAAATATTTTTTAAATAATTTGGCTAAAAGTAGTATAAGATTTGGCAATGTGTGTATATGTTAGTAGTAGTGGGTAATGTGAACGTCAATATAAAATGTGTGTTTTTAGAACCAACATCCATTTGACGGCGCTCAAAGCGCGCAAGAATCCGTTTGCCGAAACGGCCGAAAAGCTGGAATCGCTGCGACAAAAGCAAGAGGAGGTACAGAACAAGGAAGTGTTGTTCAAAAAGGAGTACGAGAAGAGGATGGACGCCCTCAAGATGATGGAGGAAGAGCTAAAAGCTAAGGAGGTATGTCGTCGTGACTTTCAGATAGTACTGTTTATAGTATTGCTTATTATTGTCATTGTACCTTTAAAGGATGTGTTGTTTGGATAACATAATCATGTTCTTCTTCTTACTGTAGTTTCTCTGTGTAATTAGAGCATTTGTGGTTAACATCGTGATAGTAGTTTGACAAATTTAGTGGTGATCTACCTTATTTTATGACTTGTACGATTGCGCAACTTATTTATTGAGATTTTAATTTATATTCGGGATCTGGGGTCGAGATAAGGCGACTTTACAGCACCAGTTGCTATGTCAATATTGAGGTCAAACTTGTAGATCAGGGGATACTGTAGGTTACCGTAAACCAGGTTTTAAAAAATTATCAAAAATTTTTTTAAAATGACATATATATTTGTACTTTGGTATGTTTGTTGTCCATATAGGTTTAATAGCTTTTGAGGTCAATGCATCGGCATTTGAAAGGAGATCAAGTCTCGTGTTAATTGACGAGAATCAGTTGAGTGAAAAGTTTGTTGCGTAACAAAAGTGGGCTTGTAATTAATACTGTAGATCATTTTTGCTGGTATCCTATGTACTGTAATTATTTTTTTCGAATTAAAAATTAAAATCGAGATTTTTTGATCTAAAGTTGTAATAATCATGTTATTTTAGGCAGAGTTGAGACAGCGTGAGCTGGAAATGGCAAACAACAATCAATCTTTCTCCAGTCTTCCTACAGAATCTCCGGCTTCGCCCATCGCTGAATCCCCACGGCCTGATCTGAACAGGGAAACGAGTTTTCGTCTAGGAGCGGCTATTTTGGACAATCACAAACCGTAAGATATTATATTATATTGTTATTGGTTTTTAATGGTTATTATTAAGAAGACTGTCAAGAGGTCATTTTAATAGTAAGTTTTTGCTTAAATCAAATAAAATTTTCAGAACGATGATACCTCGAAGTACTCAAAGTGCGACGGACGTGGTACCTCGACATCTGGCCTCCAAAAGTGAAACCAAGTTGGATAAGACCAAGAAAAAGAAATAACATATAATTGAGAGTTATATGAATATATATTGTTTTCACTCGGTGTTTGTTGATAATTGTTGGCTAACTTATAGTTATGAATTTTACATTACTAATGTGTTAGGCTTTTATATTTTAGTTGCCTGGGGCACGAAATTCAAAGATTTGATAAGGTTTGGTTGCTAAATGGACCATATTTATACAAAACATATCATATTAGTACAAAACCAGGGTTGTGGTAAGGTCATCTGGTGTCTCTGAGAGACTCGACCCAATTCTGATTCCAATCTTCTCGCTTCGGCTCTGGCTTCTTGGCATTGTGAGCGTAGTCGCTGTACTGAACTGTTGTATCCAGATTGAATGCTGGTCGTTGTTTCAGTTTGGCTAAAGATAATACTCAAAGTAGTTCAGAAGGTGTCATGATACCATATAAAGTTAAAGGTTAAAACAGGGTTTAGTATGCAATCAAAGGTAGAGGGCTTTCGACTTACAAGAAGTGGTTTCCATGTAGACTCTGGTACCATTGTGGTTCTCTCCCAGGGTCATGTGCTCCACTTTGTGTCTCTGACTGTTTTTTTTGCGATTGAGAGACTTTCGCTCCTTCTAAACATGAATAATATCGTTTCGAAACAGACAGTAAAACATTTCGCAATTACTGATTCTTACAATAGTTGGACAGTGAATCAAGTTGAAACATCTGGAGTATGATACAAGGCTTACAATAACTGAATGCTATGTAATTAGATACATGATGACTAAAGACTGATTGAATTTACTAGGTGATCCAAATATGGATGAGCCTTAAAACATCCAAAACTGATCGAAACTTACGGAAATGCCTTTGTCTTTGGTTGAGGATGAAGAACTACTCATGCTGAGAAATGTTGTGAGTGGAGTTGGTTGAAGAATGTTTTGCATGCCCCATTCTGGTCGTCCATGGCTACAGAAGAAGCGGCTTCTGCAGAGGCGACCACAACAAAGAAGGCATACATATTGTAGTAAATCATGTTGTTATAAACATGTTTAACAGCTGTCAACGAACATTGGTACTTTATTTCAAAAATACCTAAATATAGCCATGTTTTTGTAAAATTTATGTAAATCAATGTAAATTACTGTATTTCTGCGAACTTTACATGTGTACATGGATCCCATCATGATTTATGCACCAAAGATTAACTTTTAACAGTTTTTTAGTTTCCAAATTAAGTGTAAAATTATTTAGATTTGCAAAAGTATTAAATATGCAAATTAATAACTTTGCGCTCTGTCTGATATGTCTATTTCAACATTACGCAACTTATTTATTGAAACGTTTTTATACTCGGGATTGAGGTCGAGATAAGATGCTTTACAGCACCTTGTGTTTTGACAAATTGATTTACTTTAGCCTTCTATTAGAGCGTATGGGAAGCACAAACACAAGGTAAAACAATATTTGTAATACCTTCTTTTTAAATCCCACTAGAAATTATTTAGCAATATTTAATATACTTTCAAAATATTATTTCTCTTTAAATGTTTAAAATGTCAAAGAATATACTTGGAGCAGCAACATGCTGTACATGATACGTTTGTTGTCCCCATATGGTTTAATATCTTTTGGGGTCAAAGACTTCGGCACTTTCAAAGGAAATTGAGTCTCGAGTTAATCGTCGAGAGTCAATCGACTGAAAACTTTGGTTGCGCAACAAGACGGAAGTCGGCATGTAATGAATAATATAATCGATATTTGTGTAAACATCGTCCTTATCTTGATTTGGGTTAGATTGGATTCCTTTCTCGATGTTATGGTAGTATATAGAAGTGAAAACTATAACCAACATTTCCAAAGTAAAGAAAATGTAGATTATAACACTGTAAACCATAAAAAGGTTTGTTTATACCTATTCTTCAAGAAAACCTCGTCCTCTGGCTACAACAATATAATATTTTCCAGAATCCTCAATATTATCCTTCAAGCCCTCCACCGTCCCTAACTACGGAAAACTCTTTTGCAGATGCGACAACAAAAGAAGATTCCGCACCAACAGTAAATACGATAATTGTCGTGTATACATAACGGTATTCATCAACAGGTGTTTGTTTCAACCCTCAATTAGGGGCTTTGCTGGTCGTGGCCTTTGCTCAAGTACCGATGATCTTACACTCAACGGAGTTTGTCTTCTTCAAAGGATATTATAGGCCCCCGATCATCTTTACAGACTCCGATATTATAATGTTTTGGTCTCGATCTTATAATTGCTTTCTTTGTTCAGTTGGCCACAGTCCCAGATCAACAATCTCAACATAAAGGGTCGTAAATCAGTCGGACACATAATTAATTCCACTCTTATCAGCAGGGTTATCGCTTGTTGGCAAGATTTATGGCCCGGCGGGGGCAAAACAATGTTGTACACCTCAATTTAGAGTGGATCTGGCTTTAGAAATGTTGAGAAATTAAAAATAGATATAACTTACGTGTAAAACAAGGTTAGAAAGTGGAAAACTTACTCGAAAGGCTAATTTTGATGCCGAATATTCAATTTGCCAAATTTGGCCAAATTATCTGTTTGTGTCAAGTGTCTCGTTTACATTTTGAGTTTTGTGAGTCAAGTGTTTCTTTTGCTTTGGATTTGTTTTATCGACTGATTTTTCTTGTTTCTTGACGATTTTTGGTATTATTCTTTGATTGTTGGGCAATTTTATTTGAATATGGATATGTAAGTTTAATGTTTTATATTTTCAAACGTTTTATAACTTCAATATTTTGAATTTTTGTCGAATTAACATCGAAATTAATGTTGAGAACGGCAGATGGAACGGAGCGCTGATTAGGGCCGCTTAGTTAGCGTTATCACTCGCTTCTGTATATTATTATTATTGTTTGTGGAAGGGATTATCGGAAACAAGATCATTTTTTGCAATTCCCAACACTTGTTTCGCTTCACACGTCCTGAAGGTTGACGAATGAGCTGGCTGCCTTTGTTCTGACACTTGCTTTTAATAATGTCATATGTTAATGTCACCTTCCGATTGTCATCATTCGTTATCTCGTCGTGCAAAGGTGTGTAAAATTCTCGAAATGACAGGCGTATTTAAGATGTTGGGTAACAAATGAAAGTTCAACAAACTAATGCTCATATTTCTGTGTTTCACATTGGAAATGAGGATGTGTGGGTTGAAAGTGTGAGAGAAAGATATGATATATTGACATATTAATTAATAAAAAAAACTAAAGGCTTTAAGTAGGCTACATCAACGTAAAAAAGTGCACAGTACAATTTTCCGAGAACTTTTGACTTCTTTTCGGTATTAACGTCGATGATAACACAATGAAGCTTGTGTGTAGACAAGTGGTCGCTTCTGATGTTGCTTTGTAATCTTTTATCAGCAAAACCCATAAGCCCATCTTTTGTCTCGGGCGTCTCTCGCTTTCGCGCGCTCTTTCGCTAATCAGAACCAAGTTTTTGCTTAATATCTCTGCCTTCCGGCTTCGAGAATTGGAGTGCGAATGATTTACGACTGGTCGCATCGTGCAAGTTTAATAAAGCCCGTCCATCGCGCAATTTGTCTTTGTCTGCTTCTGTTCCAATAAAAGTGGAGAGAGATTATTACAATCGCTTGTCTTATGATTACTCCACAACAACCGCGCATCAATCACAGTGCCTACTACAACATGACCTTCTTGTCTACATGCTTTTTATAATCTGTGTGTAGCAAAAGGAATGTAGAAGGTGATACGAAAACATACGATGACAGATGGCAGGGTATGTTGCGATGTGGAGGTGCATTGCAGCAAGTGATAAGCAGAATTGAGTGTTTACTTGTCTATTACTAGTATATTAGTTGTTAACATTTTGTACTGTTTAAGTTTAGTACGTACTCTTCAATCTTACTAAGCACCGTAGGCTTTCGCAATATTTACTGTATGGTATTGTTTTTCCAATTACCATGTCATTTTTCATGTTACGTAGTTTACAAATTACGTATCAGAGATCTATGAAAACAGTTTTCGAAATTCGAGTACCTAGGTATGCCTTGAAATCAACGATCTTAAGCCAGCAATAGCAACATAAACCACTCGAGGCGGTCGTGTCGCTACCGTATGTAAACACGAGGTTTCGAATGCAAAGTGCGAGCATGACCTTGGTATGTGTACAATCAATTATCGAATTTCAACGGAAATTGGAAAAGCCCTGAGGAAAAGTGTATTGTTGTGCTCTCATTTCCTCTCACCGCTACAGTAACCCGCCCGTCTCGAGGAGTCGACAAACAAACGCTTATGATACCGCTTTGATGTGCTCGAGAGTCTCGAGAGTTATCAAGTTTATTCGAATAATATATTTAATATAATTAGTGGACAAAGCTCTGACAATGCGCGTGAAGAGACGACAAAGAAAGAAAGAAATCTGGAACCTGGGTGTGAAGAAGGTCGACAAAATACAGTAGAATACAGTAGGATCAAGGGGCATACAGTAGAACAAGGGGCATACAGTAGGAACAAGGGACATACATTAGGAGCAAATACATACAGTAGGAGCTTACAGTATGACAATATATAGTTACATACGATTAGATACGATCGACCGGTGACAAAACATACAATCTTTTACATTGTAATCTAATTAGATAAACGTCATGTTACGGCTATTCTACTGAGGCTACTTTGGCAGTACTATTACTCAGCTTACTATATTAATGTACCTGAGGATGGTTATTAAATTATGGTATATACCCCTAAAACATCTATTAATCAACCGTAGTGTTACCATGACAACTACCGTATATGCCCACTAATGTGGCCAAAAAGACTAATGAGCTGTACAGTAACTTGCCAATTAAACCACCGTAGCATAACCGTAACATCAGTTGTACATAAGAGGCGACAACCACAATAAGACCCTATTTCGGTGGCAACTTCAGCAACAAATTGCTGACGAGTTACTGTAATGTAAGAATGTCATCTTACTGTAATCTAGAAGCTTTTGACTACGGGATGCCTCAGTATCGTTGACATTGTTGCATTTACAGTAGCCTCATCTGCATTACAGTAACTGTTAAATAGTTACAGTATACTTGATCTTGCCAGCACTACAGTAACCATTGTGTTGCTGTTAAAACTACAGTAGCCATTGTGTTTTTGTTAAAACTACAGTAACCGTGTTGGTGCACGACGAAGTGTTGATCAAATTGTCGGCTAGACCGGAAGTTCGGGCGCACCTGCAAACAAAAGAGAATCAGGTCCTGAATGCAACTTCAACTTGGTGATTAATAAGCGACCGCGCGACGCCACTGACGTGATCTTAAGTATATATTTCTTTTTATTTACGACCGCTGTTAATGCGACATGACAATGTTTTGATTATGTTTTGTGAAACATCATCGTGACATTGAATTGTAGCGGCGGAAGTAGCAAAAGATTGGGGTCGGGGTGGATCCGTTAATTCTTTCGTTTTTAATTATTATGCATGAGGAATGGATTGTACCTGTGCTCAGTAACTGACTCTACTTCCACTACCTAATATAGCTAGGCCTACTGTCTCAGATAGTCAGTTAAGTTATCGTATATTACATACCTCAACCAATGATCGTATGTTGGGATCCTGTAACCTATTGGAAGTAGTTCTCAAACAAGTCACTTCAAAGTACATCAATAAAGCCATCAAGTTGATTACATTAACAATAAAGTTTGATGAATTACCTCAATGTCTCTCGCTCAACCTACTGCTTTATATCTTTCCGCCATCGACTATAACAACTTCATAATTGGAATCGTTATGTCAACATGTTCGCAGCAAAGTGATAGAGGTGATATACACATGAACTGGGGATGTCTATTAACTACGGTAACATGGGTATGTGTAGAGGACATATATACACAAGTTTATATAAAGGATTGTTATGTAATGTATATGATGGTTTTTATGTACATTTACATATAAACTTAAGTTTATATTGAGCTTATATGTTCATATACAGTTATATATAGCATGTACACATTCCCAAGCCTATATATACGCTTACTGTCCAAGTAAAGTAAACTTACTGTACGATATACAACTGTTACTACCTTATCTGTCTACCCTAACACAACTCAAAGTTGCGGTGTGTGCTCTTGAGCTTAGACTAGTAATGTTGAACATGTAAAGCATGTAATTGTGTTCGTTTTCTTATCACTCGGCCTAGAACAACTGATCCAATCAACACTTAAAAAGTAATGTCAACGAAATGCCTAATCCCCTGCGGCGATAGGGAAAAGTGGGAAAACTACAATTATCCTCAGGCTGATAAGATTGCAAAAAACATTTGTATTCCTAATGCGACTTAAAAGTACTAATCGGCATGTTTGAGTACAAAGAACGCGCTGATTCACGATGTTATAGTAGGTAATAAGCTGTCTTAGTTACTATATTTAGAATATTTAGGGAGATCTTGACCTTGATAGCCACTTTCATTTTATTATATACTTAATATCGCGTCGCAAACAAGTCGTATTTAGAAACAAGATGTATGACAAGGTATATAACCCTTACCTGTAACCGGCTTCTCATCTGGTTCCTGCTTCAGACAGTCGTTGAACGGACTCACGGCTTCTGGTTCGGCCGACGACTCCGAGCTACACCGTGCTTCCGAAGGCTTCTCCTCCTTCGGCTCCCTGACGTCGCTGCTACTGGGTTGAGGTTGTTGCATCATATTCTGAATCAGCTGCATCGGATTCATCATTTTGGAGGGTGAGGGCGGATTCGTCGCCATTCGGCCCATCTGCGAGAGTTGCTGGGCGGCGAGGAAGGACTGCATCGGATGCATTTGTCGCATCTGGGCTTGCTGCTGCATCTGGGCGAACATGGCCATCAGCTGGGGATTCATTTGTGACATAGCCATCAGTTGGGGGTTCATTTGGGCGGGGTTGAAGAATGGGAGGCCATTGAAGGCGGCCGGCTGGGCCGTGGACTGGGAGCTGAGTTGAGGTGGATTGGCGTCCGAGCTGCTGGAGGAGGAAGGTGGACTAGCCGTTCGGATGGACTTCCTGTCGTCCGGAGAGCTGTTCGTGGTGGAGGGTTGGGAGGGGCCAAGAGTGTCGGTTATCGACCAGATCTTGCGTTTGGGGGTGTCTTGGCCGTTCTCCTTCTTGTCGTCCAGACTGTTGGCTGAGGTATCTTGTTTGGATTCGTCCGAGTTCACGCTGCCACTTGGGGAGTGGGGTTCGTGGGCAAAGGAGGAGTCGTTGTTGTCGGTGCCATCTTCATCGTCAGGTCGGCCGTTCCGAGGCGACCATGACTGTTTGCCTTCTTTCTTCAGACGCCTCCGTGCATTGGCAAACCAAGTGGATACCTGGAATGGTGAAACATGTTATTATGGTTGATCTTGATTTATTTTATGATGTTTTGAGGTATTTTATACTGTATGTAATATCTTTGTGTCTATCTCAAGCCTTATATAAATTTAGTTTCATGTCATAAAAAGCAAAATCTTATGGTAGGCGATCAGATAAGTCGTCTAGGATAAGGTTAATCTATCGGTGTCAATTACCCAACAATATCTATATTTATGTTGTGATGCAAGTGTTAATATGATGAATGTGCGATCGATATTCTTGTTGACATTCCTTCTCTAATCGCTAGCTTAACCCCTCCGAGGGCCGATCCACTTTATATGAGGTCGCTGCCCGTTAATCCCTTCAAACTACAGTAAGACGACAAAAAGAAACGTTAATTGAAGTAAAGTAAACCATTATATGTTGCTCTTATTATGATCGTAAAAAAGCCCTGACCACCATAGAGTTATATACTTTGTGAAACGTGCAATTACTGCGCGCAACCTCAGCCTCGGACCCAGGTGAATAGCCGGTGGAGGGTACGGTAAACATACTTTTTGCGAGATACATAGTAATTGGCTGACATATATAATACACAACTGGTTTACAAATCTACGGTTAACCTAGTACAAGTTTTTCAAATTTTCGTCAAATCCATTAGTTACCACCTAACAAAAGTACGACAAAATCAATATATCTATGTTGTACCACTTTAAAAAACGTTACAAAGTCCTATAATCATTACAATGTCCTACAAAGCCCTATGATAACTTCATATAAGTCCCCAAAGTCTCGAAACAAAGCCTACCTGAGTCATGGTCATGCCTGTCAACATGGTCAATATCATCTTGTCGCCTTTGTTGGGATACGGGTTGGTACGATGCTGGTTGAGCCACTCCTTCAAGGGTTTCGTGGCTTCACGCGTAGCGTTCTTGCGACGATTCGGATCCATCATATGGTACGAATTGAAGGGGAATGGGGCCGCGAAGGCATTGTGTCGCATCGCTTCTGTCAGCTCCTGAAAATTGACAATATTTAATAGATAATTGGTGAAGAGTACGTTATACAGGAAGTTGTTTGGGTTGGTCTTTAAGTTTTTAAAAACTTTTAACCAAATATAAACTAAAACAATATAAACTTCATCAATCCAACCATAAAACGAGTTTACTACAGTAACACAACCCTATCTAGCCATGTCCTACCCCTAATTTATTCCGAAAAACATAAACTTGAAACTGCTCTACCCAAACCAATAAAACCTACTAAATTGGGATAAATGCCGAAGGGGAAGCCGGCTGCCTGCGCATTATGGGCGGCGAACAGCGCCCTAAAGGCCGGATTATTGGGATTGGCGGCCGCGGGTGCTAACGGGTGCTGGGAGGGGCTGGGGGCGGGGGAGGTAGGCAGGAGCTGGTTCATGACCCCAGTGTTGTTCAGGATCTCCTGCATCGCCGACAGCATGTTCTCGTCCATGAAGGGGGGTTTCTCTTCGGAGGGCGCGGCTTGCCCGGCGGCCAACGCCTGAAGTTGTTGCTGGAAGGCTCGCATCTTCTCCGTCGCATCGTCGGAGCCCATGGTGAAGGTCTGAAAGCGATTTGCAATTGAATAGGGTAACTAACACATAAAGTGCTACTACTCCACGCGTTTAGATAAAAGAATATTGAGCAGGCAAGGAGGTACATAATGAGATACAACGGGCGGCGGTCATAAACGGGTACAACACATTGTCAAAACACTCTAATTGTATGCTTAAACAGTCGGTTGGGACAAAGGGTTATTAATGTTCGAAATATTAATACTACTTAAAAGCTTAAAGATGTTATAAATGATACCTAAAGTTACAATTTACTAGTCAAAAGTGTACTAAACACGGGTAAAATAGTATATTATACTAAAAATACAGTAATTAACAATATAAAAATAAATTTACTATATCAAAGTCAGCGATTTAATATCCAAAAACCAAAGATACCCTACACCATGATTTGACACTGACACTAGTCGCGTGGCCTAGGATATTCAACTCAAGGTAATGGCGGCATGATCAGATACGATCGTTTGAAATGGAGCCAATGTTTACCGCAGGGTTTCACGCGCTTACACGCGACAACATACGATGCGACAAAGGTTGTGTAACTGCCACTTGATATACCCCTGTCTTTAGCGGCAAATCGGTATCAAAATATTAAGGTAAAGGTTGGTTTAAATGATCATGGAGGGTATATGTACATAATAGGCTTGGTTAAATGAACATGGAGGTGACATATATATTATATATGTACTAAAACCATTAAGACAAAATAAAAACCTTTAAATTATAAATTGTTTATCAAAAATGCCAAGTCTAACTATCTTAACCACAGCCAGTTGATTTTATACCTTATACCTCCAAGATCTCCTCACCCAATCTAAACATCCCTCCAAAACCCTCTCTACTACAACATAAATCAACAAAACATGACCAAACCAAACCTACACCATGTTTCGTACGCCGAGATCACCTTGTCTTACAAAACAGCCGATCCGAAATCCCTGATAACGACGATAATCCCACTTAAGTTTATCATTTCAAATACCCAAACCTTATCGACGAGAAATAAGCGAAACAAACCACGCAACTAATATGATTTGATCATCATAAAAAGCAGAAGATGGAGCTTTCTCATTGTTTTTACAACGACACAAACGAGACGTCAACGATGAAAAAGGAAAGAACGAGCGACGACCACGGCGGCGACAGTGGCCAACCTCGACTGGTCGGGTATGATAGTAGCTATTGATAAGTTTTTGGGCCAAAGGTGAGCAAAAGATACTATAATATAAACTGGAAGAGAACAATCATCGTATTTTACTCTAACAAGTACTATATAGACCCACATTCGAAGCTACTCTAGAGAATTCTATACCTAAAGCTACATACCATACTTAACCATATATAACCCCATTTAACGCTATACAGTACAACAACCTCAATCCTCCAGAGCTTAGAGAAATGGTAGCATGACCAGATCACTCAGTAAAATAATTTTAAAAAAGTGAAAAGACCTTGTAACAACTCGATTACTATTAAACAAGAATGACAAGTGCGCGAAGTCAACACGGCACGATGGGGGCAGGTGTGAGTGTTGTCACCACAACATGTATCAGTCTGAAGGCATCTGAAGTCGCGGCAGGGGGTCCGAAATTGACGAGAAATGTTAAAACATGAATATTGTTTGTTCATGCTGCGATTTATTGTAAAGTAATGCCCTACACATTCGAAATACGGCGACAAACAACCTCTACTCTCAGTTGACTCAAACATAACTTTAAGGTAGGTCTTAAAGTGGTAGTATCTAATAAACGACTATTTAAAGCAAGTCAATGTTAATATGTTATAGCATTTCGTAACACACAAATGAATGTTAAGGTATCTCACAAAGTAAATCATAGTAAATAACCATATCAATCTGATAGTAACGTCGTCAAGTAAAGTTACAAAAACGTGACAAAACCTTAGTCATACAACGAACGTGACATAACATCGATCGCTCATCCCCCCTATACCAAAATAGCCCCCATGTCAACACGACAAAAGTACAGGGCTACGGTACGAAACACGACAACACTTATCACTTTACAACAACAACATGGTCAATGTTATTGTAACGGCCTCCCGAGAAGGTACAAAAGCGACACTGTTTCATAAAATTAAAACAGATTGGGAAGGCGGGCGGAACACGAGTTCCTCGTCACAACCGGTGCGAAATTTGTGTTAAATCGCGGCCCCGCCCCCCTGCCTCGGCGGCGGGGTACGCTGATTGGCTGGGGCGGCGTCGCGCGCCCAGAGGATTAGTTTAAGGGCCGACATGATCTCGGACCGTGTCGAACAACAATTGCCTAAACGACTTGATTCGAGGGGGCGGGGCGAGGGGTGCGGATTGGCCCCGGCTTGTTTTCGGTGCGGCCCCAACGTCTGGAGGGCACAAAAACAAGCCGAAAACCGCATTCCTTGGCCCAAATAACATCGCGGCCGAATAACATGGCCGCAGTTGGTTTTATATAATGGGCTGTTGTGGCCAGATTACGGTGTGTCCCAGTGAATGGATGGGCCCACTTCTGGAAGCGATGTTCTGCATTAAACATTCGTTTGTTCAGCCCTCGCCTCGATTCACTCACTGCCTGTCATAACGTGTAAATGAGGTCGACCAGAGAGGAGGGGAGCATATACAGTAAGGTAATGGACGTATACGAAATGTGTTTGACAACTTGTTAACACATGTTTACAAATTAATATTGTTGTGATGTGGAATGACATTGGGGTGACATGGAGTGGCATAAAGATGTTATAAAAGGTAGTTACATGTCATATTATAGTATATAAAAAAATTGAAAAAATTCGAAGTTTCAAAATCATATGTAGATTGGCTCTTTGTAGCAGGTGCTACAACAAAAACCACAAAAATTCAAAAATATTCAAATGAAAAATCAATTTGCAAAATACTTTTTAGTTACTACCATCAATATCAACAAAGATACATCGGAATGTTTTGAAATTTTAAAATAAGTAAAAAATACTAGAAAAATCGCAAAATGTTACCGTAAACCATGTACAAAATTTTCTCAGAACTAGTTGTACCAATGAATGGATGACAATATTTACGACCGGTCGCTGGCTGAATGCCATTCCCAGACGTAAAAGTGCCTTAAACGGAAGCCGCAATAAACCTATAAAGGCTGAGAAACGGTAATATAAAGTGTTATATCGAATGACTCTATTCTTGGCCAAACAAAACTAATCTCTACCACAAACCCCCCTCCCCCCCCCCTGCACTTTCATCAGAATCCGCCGGCATCCGATTTCGGGGGGTTAGTGCGCGATGCTTCTCAAGTGTAGCCACGAATGGCTGGGAAAAGTGTCATTAACAAGTCTTTTCATCACACACACAATAGGACACTCTACGGTAATGGGCGACAATCCCAATATCATAATGTTTGAGTAGCTGCCATCAGAAGTCTGTAATTCTCACGGGTCTCTTCGGCCGAAACCGTTTGGTTTTGAAACGTGTCAGGAACAGATTGAATTCTATAATAGACATACGCTTATCTGATCGCATGCAGTGTGATGGTATCTTGAATATGGGGTTTGTAAAATGGTTATTAAGCTATGGTTTATGGCATAGCATGGTTAAGTTTTGTAAAATATATTACTTTAGATTGTAGGTTACCTACAACAACATGTTTTGCACAAAAAATTATTTTAAATTACCTCTTTTTCAATTTTAAAATTCAACTTTTGCCTTAATTACCTTGTTTTACATCAATTTCCAAACCCATGCCCAACCACCTTGCCATAAATTACATTATGCTATCGCTTCCGTTGTGACATGTGTCAGTGCCGCCAAACATTATTGAGTGCCGCCTTTATCGCGGCATACTTCCGCTTCCAAGCTCAGTTCTAATTTATTGATGGTGAGCCAGGTAAGCGAGACTGTTGATGCGGCGAGACGAAAGTCTGCCACCTGGCCATATAATAATATAAATAAAAGGCTGCGCCCTCCCCGCCGCGCACGCTTCCTTGCCGCCCCCCTCCCGATGGGATCAGTCGAGAAAGGGAAAACCGCCAATAATCGACTGGTTTTGTTTGTCGAGCTTAACGCGCTGATCGCTTTACCGCGGCCATGTTACTGTACTTGGCTCTTCAAGATATGAGTCGTGAGTTTATATTGCTATAATTCGCGGTTCTTAAGGGGGGGGGGGTCTGTGTTTGACCATAATATACTCATAGGTGCTTCACGGCCATGAGAACCCCGATTGATCTTAAGCTTAAAACAAACCCATAAAACATAAAATGCATGATAACACAACACACCCTGTGCCACAATATACTCTATACACCCCTTCACAGTGATCTCTCGAGTTTGGGAAAGCAAACAGATCGCGCGGCCTTAAGGGCGTCTAATTCCATTTAATGCACTGGAAATTGAATCCCTCACACACACGTAAATGGCGGTAATTAAAGCCAGGAACATGGATCCGCAGGGATATGAAGAAGATGCCAGCGGCTATTTGTGTTATACCGAGCAGCTGGCACCCCCCCCCCCCTCCCGTCCTCCAGAAGCATAATGACCGGGGAGGAAATTAAAAAACGTTTTCGAGCGTGTTTGTCCATGGATAAATCAAACGCAAATAGATGTAACGGTCATGTAGAATACTAATTAAACGTGTACTGGCCGAAAGGTACTGTAAAATAGGAAAAAATGATTTAAAATTTGTAAAAAATACCTAATTTTTAAAAATACAGTATTTTAAGCTTAAAAATACAGTAAGAAAGCCAAAAATTATTAAAAATTGAAAAATGTCGTATCCATACCTCTGACAATCCTAGCACACATAACACTCCGCATACTTTAATACCAAACCCACACCCTCAAAAACCGACTACAGTACCCACACCTCGAAGTAGAGCCCATAAACCGCTCAATTATTAAAACGTTGAGTAACGGCGCTTCAGAAGTCGTAAAGGAGGGGTAATCGTCGAGGGAGGGGGGTAATAATATTGGCATGCAAATTGAATGGACTGTCCGAGATTTACG